GTTTAATTAAAGTACCATCAGCACGATGCTTGCTAAATACAACATTATTAATCGACTGGCGCCTGAATGGTAAAACTCATTGTATGGTGTACTTGTTAATTATGGTATCAATAATTAACTACAAGGTGTTTTTTTGTCATATTATAAAAAACAGCCGCTTAAACTTCGTCTTTCAAAACATTTCTTCCGATGATAGTATTTCTTCGAGCTCACCGCAGTCTTACATATGTACAATTTAATTTCAATGTTTTCAGACTCTTTATGAGGTGTTCGTGACTGTGTTAAATGGATTTGCAGATAAAATACCTTAAACTAACAGGCATGACAACTAAACAAATGATAAATGTGTAATTGCGAAAGTGCATTTGTTTCATTGTTGGAATAGCAGCTTCTCTCGAGATGACCGGGCGCCTTTTCGTTTTGTTTGGCACAGCTTTAAATTCCAGCCAGTTTGTCCATGATGAAAACCATGCAAGGATGCACCTTTAGCTGATGAAAGTTAGCCTTCGAGGGGAAATTTTAGATCTTCCCCTCAGTGGTTATGAGAAAAAGGCTTCGTGTAGCTAGATAATCCGGCTTTCTGTAGCTATGCAAGTTTTTTAAGATCAGTTTGCATGCATAATTGTTAGACGGTCTTTGGAAAACTTTTGATAAGATATAAATGATAATTATTGTTTGTGCGTAGAACCAAATACCATTGTTCTATATTTAACCCATACTGCATTCGTATCAATAGATGTATATTAACATGCCCTGGCTTGCCCTGGCTTGCCCTGTCTCCCAGATTATACGGCGAAATAGCCAGAAATAAACTGAGTTAGGCTATTTGCACAAGAGCGTCGTTTTTGAGCGTTTTCAAGGAACGATTCATACGATTCAAAGAAAAATATGCCAAATATGTTAAATTAGCTGAAACTTCTACTTAGCTGAGCTATGTATCATTTAACCATTAATGCTATCTTTGGTACAAAATTTTCCATTCAATCTTCTTGAGTTACGAAAGCCTCAATAACACTACCCAGCTGAAAATTTTTTTACTCGTAGCTAATCGATCAAAATATTTTTTTTTGCTGATAAATCGATCAATTAAACAAGTTAAAAAATGTTTCTGACGTTATAGCGAATGTGGGCGACGTTAACTCCCACGTGAAAGGCATGCACGTCATTCCCACGTGAAAAGCATGCACACCACACCAGACCATTTATTGAATATCAAAAATGCCATAATCTGTCATATACTTATCGTTGAAATTAATGGTATATCTAAGCTACCAGAGGAGATGTGAAATATTACTACTTTGGAAAATTCTTGTATCATTCCTATTTTATATATTAATTTAATTAAAATACTAATCACTTTTTAATTAATACCTTTGTGAATTTCAAATATCTTTGCAGTGTTTATATTCCATAAGGCTAATGTTTACCAGTCACCAAGAAAATTTAGTTATTGGGAAATGATTTAAAAAAAGATCATTGATATAACGACATCCGATAATTTGGTCTAATAAGTCAGTTTTAAGTATTGTATGTCATGAAATGTTGCAAATTAAAAATTTTTTATTCCAAAATGTTGCAGTTTAAACAATGAGACATTCCAAAAATGTTGCAGATAAAAGCATTCGATATTCTTAAATGTTGCAAGAAATAATGCTAAACAAAGATAGAATCTAGCGCACACAGAAGTAGTTTTAATTAAAGGGGGACGTAAATAATTACCTCGAAGCCCCATGGGCACATCACGCCGCCAAATTGCCGTAAGCATCGACCTATCTCGACATCTTCGTGATATGAAGCAGTTCCATTTAAACAAGTTACAGCATTCGGACCGACATTTCTCAACACACTTGAAGTCATCATAATGCCGGGTCCGCCGAGACAAAAGTTATCGTCTTTTCCAAGTCCAAGTTTCCCTACTTCCTCCTTTTTCCCGATCCCTGGTTGCCCTATGACTAGATCATCTGAACTATCAAGTCTCAAGAGATACGCTCTCAGTTTATCCGCTCGTAAATAAACATCATCGTCAGCCCTTATAAACCACTCATATTTATCAACATAGTGCTCATATACATACTTGAGCATCATGAATGCCTTTGTTTGAGGTGGATATACATCATCAGGGACGTCTAGTTGAATGATTGGAAGATTTCTCACATCATCTGTGTAGTTGAGACGTCCAGTAAAAAACGACAATTTACCCGGCACATCTTTCCCCCATGTTTCATAAACTCCACGAGCCCTCGTTCTTAAATATTTACTTGAACTCATAACAGAAATAAATAGAAATTCTTTAGTGTGAAATTCTGCTCGAAGTCCATTCGGCCGAGCGGACTTCGGTATTACATTCCTGACACGTGTTCTAGCACCGTAGAAACATTTCAATGGTGGAAATTTAGCGTATTTACTTGTCCATACACTAAAGGTAAAACTTACAACAATGCCAAGGACCAGAAGAGCAAATACTCGCGTTTTATGACCTTGGCTCATGGTCCTATAATTCCAGCAGAATTCACACCGTTTGAACGACAATGACGACCTTTTTCTAGTCCTTTCGACATTAAGAGCATAACATTGATGACAATTTGCTGAAATGTCTCTCATACGCCGCTCTAATGGAATAATGATTGGAATAATCTTGGTATTAACGAAGAACCAAAGACATGAATATATGCTCATCTAAAATGCAGATTTCATAATCGTCGTGGGTGTTATTGTAAATTTAATTGTGCACTTTTTTAGTCATGCATCACAAATGCCATAAAATAGTTTCATAGGGTCAAACGAGCAATGGATATTAAGGACCCATTCTTCTCTGTGTTTTCAAAATATTTCACGATTCCATTCCTGGATGATACAAAAGAAACACTTTTCCAACACACGTGTCCGCGTTTATAACTTTAGCCTATGTAGGTCTTCATTTTCTAGAAGCCTGCATGCATGCATGCAGTTATGGTAACTAATTCATAAACATTCGATCACATCCCTTTTTCACTCATTTACCTGGCAACATAGCCTAAGGCTGGACAATTTCATCCCAAAGTTGTAACGGATTTTACATTGGAAGAATTTACGTTGAGGAGAAGAGTACGGTGAAACTATTTATGGATTAAACAGAAGCCAGTTTAATTTAACAATGAAGATGCTTTTGTTTCCAACCTGCATCAGGATAAACACTCAGACATCAAACCATTCTGGCTTTATCTATTTTCACATTGATACTAAAGAACATTTAAGTGCATGCATATTTCTTTTTATAATTTAGTCCAATCACACAAAGGGTTAGAGTTTTCTTAGGCTGCGTTCAGACCGAGTGCCTTAGAGTAATCACGTAAAGATTTCTTAGAGTCATACTGAAAACATTGCTCTCAATCATGTAATTCCAAACATGAATCCATCTTCGGCTCCGGTGATCGAAGTAATATTCCGCCTTGTGGATTTCCAAGTTATGGCCCATCATAAAAAATATCCCTTTATATTTGGCACAATAAATCTGTACTAATTATAAACATCTAAGAGGTTCTTTATTGAAAAGCAGGATTATCCGTAATGCGGTGATTAAAACACAGAAAACACAATTTGTGAATGGAAGAGAAAACTTGATCCCATCCTCGTTTTTCACAAAAGCCTTGAAAAAACCGCATCGTTTCACGTGTAAATGCAATCTAGCGCGTGTCCCCCATAACTGGGAAGCTTGTGGACAGGAAAAGTACAAAATCATAGACAGGAAAGCTTGTAGACAGGAAAAGTACAAAATCATAAAAAAATATAAAACAGACGTCAAGTGCAAAAACGTTTCTGCTTCCTGAAATCATCATTTAGACGAAACCTTGAAAACCGCATTTCATGAGATTAGAAGCAATTGATTGGTTTGATAGGATGAAAACAATTTTCATATGAAGAAATAGTTTGGAATATCCGTTGATGCTATATATATATATATAATATATGCCTGGGTAGTAATGACGTAGTTTAAACCATTAGCATTCCATCTTTTCCTGAATGGTTTAGAGCTTTTCTATAGTGTAAAAAAGTTCCGTTTGAATCGGTGTGTCTTACATGCGATTAATATTCCTGTTGAAGAACAGTTTAGAACTGAGCTATCCACTTTAAATAAAGATCTGAGAGCAACACAATTTAAACAGCAGGAGTTCAGTAATAACGAGTGGCGATTGCCAAATGTGGGTCCAATAGAACCCACGTAGACTTTTTTTCTGTGGAAATGAACACCGCATCCCACATCTAGGAAGGATTTTTTTAAAACTCAGAGCTACTGTGGTGACACAGCGAGATTCAGATGCACCAAAATCTACGACGAGAACGTGGCATGAAAACTGCTACTTATACAGTGAGCAGACCAGAAATAATTTGTTTTACGTACGGCATTGACTTTGTTTATCAAAGAGTCTATAATTTCCATCCGTGCTTGGAAACTGTGGAAATGATAGCAGTATTACTTCAATCGCGCTCGCGTCGCAAATTTGGTGAATCTTAAACTCCCTAAATGCATTTTCACAGGCAATTTCCCGGCTCTCAAATTATCGTTCCATGTTATCGCGATTTGAAATGATTGAAATTGTTTGCGGCATCCATCAAACTGTACGGTTCACAATCAATAAAGCAATTTAACAAACAGCAACATTCTCTGAACATCAAACACAATGTGTATTGTACTACAAGATCAACTTTTTTTATTTGGCATATCATGTTAAAGCATTCATAATTTTGGGGAGGAACTCACTATGACACGGCTAGTTTTGATATCGTGACCACGCGAATACGATATAGTGTAAACAGTCTCCAACCAATAAGTTTCCCACGGCTGAGACCAGTCATGCAGAGGATTAGTTATGCGCTCACATACCTACGATTGTCTGCAGATGTTAAAAGTCTTTTTATTAGAAAAATTTCCATTTTACATCTTAAAGGTTTTCGACTTCGACTTTCAACTCCAGTCAAAAAAATTTACTACGTGGTATAAACAAAGATATTTATGCAAGGACGTTTTATTTAAACAGTTTATCTTGACGCAACGTATAGAAAACTTTAATAGAATATTGACAAAATTTACTAAACAATAAATGCGATAAGCGTGAAGTATAAAGCCATTAAAATTACACGACTTTAGGGCTGTTTTTCACTGTCGCGTTCCTGCGTAGTTTAGAACCTTCTAAGTTGTTAAATAATCAATTTTTTGCCAGAAAAAAGACATACTAAATCTTCAACAGAACTCAACCCTATGCACGTATTCAATCGTAGATTTTATGAAAGTATCATTTAAATTATTTTAAACGTTTACGTGCGTGTACAAAGAGCGACAGTGGAAAGCAGTCCTTATTATGAACCCAGGGCCGTGCATGTTCATTGGAAACTCTACTTTGCAGTGCGAGGATTGATATTACAGTTTGCTGTGAGACAAAAGAGCCTACGTCCTATAAATCGGACTTCAAATACTGCAGTTCATCTCATCCTACAAATATTTTTGTCCACTTAAAACAATTTACATTATTTTACACAATATAATTCTAGCATACCAAATACGCTTTTCCTCGCGGGCTGGCATATTTCCGTCCATATTCATTCACTGGTAATTATGGATTTGCATGGCATAATATTTAAATATAAATAGATATTTTTCAAATAGCGCTTTCATTTTTAATTTTATACTATATTTACAATATAAAAGTAGTTTCGAGATTTATTTATTATCGGGATTCGTTATCTGTCATATAGTCAGTCAAGATTGATGGCGTGTGCTGCATTCTGTCCACGCATTCCTCCGACATTGTAAAATGCAAACTATACAAGGAGATGTTTTTAAACACTTTAGATTAATCAGGAAGCAACGCCAGGAAACAGGTTATATAACAGGTAGTTCTGGAGGTCTAGTGCGTCTTACACGAAAACGAGGCTAGTTAGGTAATAATGGCATTTCACAAGTCATTAAATAAAGTGTAAATTTTGAAAATACTAATAATAATAACGAAAGGTGAGGTTCCAGTGTTTTTATAGGTCAGTGCAAGCATCAGATCTTAAGAAAGATCTTAGCTTGTTCCTTATGTGAGAAACTCACCGATTCAGCGGGAAGAGTAAATAAGTTGATATCACAGCCTAAATGAACGGAAAGATGATATCATTCAAAGAGAATATTCTGACAGTTTAACCACGTTTTATGCTCATACGTACCGAGATCAGGAAGAACAGGCGAGGGACTGCCCATAGGGTATAGGTCTGCCGGGTGATATATAGTTTGGCTTGAAACAGCCGGGTGACGTGTGAGGACTGGTATCCTAAGAAAGGCAAGAAGATCAAAATCAGTCCACAGAAGAGAGAGGTCTTGACTCCACCTCAGAAGAGAGTACTAGTTTTAGGCTGATTGTTCTTAAGTCTGGGTGCACTAATATTGCATCAGGCAGAAATCTTACTGACCAGACTTTCATTAGGTTTTTTAATAAGTGTCAAAATCATTTCGTGAATTCACCGGACGTTTAAATAAAGAACCTAGACACTCAAGAGTCCCTCAAGAGATTCCTAAAAAATCTGGCAGTCAGCCCAGAACAAGGAGTGAAACAAAGGATTACGTTTGGATCATGGGCGACGTTTTATGATTCTCCTCTTCTTCCTCTTCCTCGTCACTGCTGAGAGTGAGGTCTATGACTGGAGGATCTTGCTTGCTTTTAGCTTCTAAATCAACAAAAAATAAGTGAGTTATCCCGATAACGTTGCGAAGCATAGTTTTCATCGCACGAAGGATGTGGCTACGGTTGTATTTCTTACTGTCTTCTTCCTCGATCAGTTTTGGTTTCTCCACTTTCACTTTAGGTGATGTTATGACGGTCATTTTGGCAGCAAGATCTGAAGAGAAATAAAATTTTAAAAAACTGTTTGAAATACGGAATACAGGAACGGTCAGGAAGCGTCAACTATATCACCTGTTGTGCCAATTGACTCCCACGAACCATCCTCGAAGAAAACTATGTCGTTGTTTTGTGTTGACATCTCGAGAATTTCCATGAACAATCTGCAAAACACACAAGAAAGTTTAATTTCTGCCTGGAAAAATACATTCCGTCATTGGAGAGCATCTTATAATAGTCGTATAATAAAACATCCGTGACTTTTCAAAGTAAAATTCAACTTATTTTATTATCACTTTGTGATCATCATGACCATCAAATGGCCATCACGTCGTACCCATCTATGATCAAGTCGTTAAATCTAGCTTCTTGATCGCATACAGGACAAATCCATCTACTTTTTCTTTCATTCATTTGTAGGTAGAGTGCGGCGTCAAAGCACTGAAGATGATTACAATTCTTTGATCTATATCACAACAAAACGCTCTTTTAATGGCTGAAATCGTACATTGCTAGCTACAAAATATCAAAATGAAGTGCAATCAGACTAGAACCAACCTGCAAGGTAGCGTCATTCGCGTCTTGCCGAGCTGAAGGTGATAAAACAAACATATAAGTTTAAAAATATAGACGTTCTTCGGTTAAAATATTTATTTTGACAGAATGCAGACTGATACTTACTGGACAGAGTAATGAGCATCTTAAACTGGTTGTAGCAACTTCACTGTCAGGATCTTGGGTGAGCTTCTCTTTTACTACGGAATAGAAAAGCTTGTTTTTGAAGCCCACATTTGGCTCTTGACAAGACTTTGGGTTTGAGGAAGTAAAAAATCAATACAAGTGATTCATACACAACTGCTCAAAATGCTGTTTGCTTCACTTACTCAGCGCTCTGGAGTGGTCGGGATTCCGTCTGCCTCTGATCTTTAGTCTTTGTATCAGGCAACTGGATGTAACTCTTCTAACAAGATGCACGGATACCACAAACCTCTGGTGGAAAATAATAATTTTCTCTGTCAGAAAACAGCAATCAACCATTTGTAAATACAATTAAGTACATGTTTTAAATCATTAGCCTTCATATAGAAAACTATAGTGTCCAATGCGAATGGTGGATCTTTGGAATCACCCACAAGATGTACTGATTAGTATAAGAAAGCCATGAACAGAGGACACAGTCAAGGTTTCTATGATTAACCGACCTGTAATGGATCTGGCTCCCAAGTTATATGAAGGTGATTGGGAATTGTCGAAGATAACCGACAATATGAGGTTATATCCACTGGTCGTCCACACTTCTTATGCTCCCCTTTATTATCACGTGGTATGAAACCCTGAAGGAACGAAAAACATGTTCTCGTACACATAGCAATAGACACTTTGAGGCTTTCGTTTACGGGATGGTTTTCATTGCTCGAGAACAATTTCAAGAGGTGTCTCTAACACTCAAAACTATATTTTAAGGCCAGTTCCAACAGGCTGTTTATTTGGGCATTACTTGATCATTCAAAACTTATTCACTCTTAAATAATTTCACATCAAAAAAAGAAAACTGCACCCAAATAAAAATAAATACCTTTTTCCATCACACAAACAACTTAAAAAAGCACATAAAAATTATAAATTTTTTCTTACAGGCAATCCACACATTTTTCCATTCACTTTTAAAGTTGCTGAATGAGGATAGAGATCATCTTGCTCACAACTTGTCTCAAGTAAACAAAATCTGCAAATATGTTGTTAGACATAATTCAATGATATATATGTACAGTAATACTCTGCACTTTCCTAGGAAATTTATGGTTTCTATGCGTACCTTAACTGTATTTGAACATTGAATTCACTATTAGACATTGGCCTGGTGTCTCTAAAGAAAGATTGGAAACTCACTGTAAAAATGGCGTGTGAAATGGAATCAGTTTTGCGGTCATATTGTGAAACGTTTGCCACTTACTTTGAACTGACAATTTCGTTCACCTGTTGAGGTGATAGATGAAATAAAATGTAGGAATCCTGATATCTTGAATGTTTGCCAGTGGGCACTATGAAACAGATACATGTATATATTTAATGATGCTCAACCATTTCAATATCAACTCTGATATTCATGACATAAAAATCATTTGATTTTTTTGGCGATGTTAGAGATTCTTTGAAGCTCTGTTAAACAGTAATAGAGTTCAGGACATCTATACATGATACCAGATATTGCCTTCTTCAGTGAATTTGGCTAATCAAAATGCATTGAGCTTAGAAATGCCAAATTCAAGGAATCTACAAAAACTTACCAAGAGAATGGGGCCTGACAAGAACATCCCGAAAATCGTAAAACGGCAAAGGCCGTAATTTGACATCTGGGAGAACAGGCAGTGAAGTGGATGATGATGGTTGAACAGATCCCTGGGAAGAGATTGTTGACATACTATGACTTGATTCACCCATTGAATACCCTGATGAACCGTAATTATTCTGTCTCTGCATATAAGGTGCCACATACATTCGCCGAGGGTACCTATTACCATACAGTTCACGGATTTTGCTTCGAACTTTGGGTCCTGGATCAGATTTAAGCATTTCTAATGCTCTACCCATTAAGTGGTGTTTTCTACCGGTCTTTGAACGATTTGCATAGCCTAATAACTCTTGAAGTTCGGCCACACGAAAAGATTTGACCATATGCTATAATACAAAACAATTTTGTAAGTAAAAGCCGAATAACTGCCGAGGTTTATTGAGAACAATAAAGCACGTATTTTGACAAAAATGGCGGTCGGAATGACTGGTCATTCAATGTGATTTCTAATGATTTTCCTAACGAAAATGAATAGGAGAATAAATCATTATACAATGAAAGATATACTGAATGCTTACCCTAATCTCGACAAACTCTTCAGACATTTCTAAATAATCTTTTAAAGAAAAACGTCAAAATTTTGCTGATTCTGAACAAAACTCGTAAAATTCAAAGAAATTTATGAAATTTGAATATTCTCTACCACAATGCTTTGCAGTCGTTGTTTTTCGCTAATTTACTTCCGGTATGCATATTAATGAGATGCTAATGAATATTAATGAGGAATTATTACGCAATTTATGCGAAATCACTGCTGGACAGTGAAGAACCCGAAAGATTGTGCTTTCAAAGTATGCAAATTTCACTAACTTTCACAATAATCAATTATTCAAGCGGTGTCATCTTGTTAGCAGAATAACCTCATGCTAATTTGCCCGACACTTCATTTCTAATTCAAAACATGCATCCAGTCGAAAAATCAAATCTTTACGCTATATTTTGTCAGAAACAGCTTGCCTTTTTCGCGTAAAACAATGTTAGAAGCATGATGCATACTTTCGCATTTTAACATGCGAAAAATCTTTCCAATTTCCAATGATCGTTTGAATTTTTAACCGAAAGAGCAAACATTCAAAGGTATATTTCTCCAAAACATTATTCAGTTTCTTCATTACAAATTTATGAACCGCTCTCACTCATTGCCAAAATCTGAGCCGACAGATAAACAATGAAATGACTGATTGGACTATTCGAAATACGGTATATTTCATTAGCACGTTTGTTCCTATGTTTTTGCATTCATAGCGGTTCACTTCACGGCTTAAATCTGCGTTAAATGTTGCCTTATCGTGTATACTGTAAAATACAGTTGAGGCCTTGTACAAACAAAGCAAGAAGGTGGGTTATGCATTTAGTTTATCAAGATGAAGCAACCCAATTTTCGAAATCTTTGAGGTGTTATCACGATACCTAACGGTCTTGCGGTTAACGACCGGCGTAATGAGTAGATAACACAGTAGGACGCTTTCATCTCACTTCAATCGTGAATGATTTCTCTTTGTACTATACGAGACAAGATTAATCCTTTAAAGTGAATTCATTATGGAAGGCAGGAACACTCGAAGGTACATCAACCCACAGCTCTTGCAAGGATTCCACTCATATTTACAGAGGAACGCTTTTAGACGTTTGCACATGAAGTTACCTTTGTGGATGTACAAAACATTTGTGTTTTTGTGGATTAAATTACCGGGAAATTTATCCGACTGGCTCTACGCAGACATCGATTTCTTCCTTGCTTCGATGGGGAGCGAAAGTAATCTCCCTTTCTGGCCTGAAAATCTTGAAAAACCAGCCAATTTTGGTTTGATAATTTTAGGAAAGATCGAAGGGAAATTCCATGACATTTACATGGAAGGAAGGCTCGCTGGAACGTATTACAAATACACGGTTCAGTTTATTTTTTTGCGCATACCAGAGGGTAGAGTTGGTAGGCAAAACACGACAAACAAGTTGTTACAAGAGTACGAAGAATATTTGTCTAGCAGAGAATTCAAACTGTTCTGCAAGGAAGTGTTCCAAGATACTTTTAAGAATGTACAAGAGTCGGCCCCAGGGAATACTGCTGCACTTGGTCTCAGTGCCACGGCTTCAACTTTTGGCCATGCAACCGCTGGGTTTGCGTTTACGTTAGCCGTGGACGCAATTATCACGATTCGCGCGTTGTCCCGCGCGAGAAAATTACGGAAGGCTGGTGAGATTTCTGAGGTGGAATTCAGGGAAACAGTGAAACGGAAAGTGCGCCAGACTAGCTGTCAACTTGTAGCCGTAAGCACGGGCTCTATGATTGGTCAGTTCTTCATCCCTGTGCCTGTTGTAGGAGCTATGATTGGTGGATTCGTTGGCGGCTTGATTGGTACTAGTGTAAGCAAAGGAATAGACAAAGTCGAAGAGGTTCACGCGCTTAAAACGAAACCAAGTAAAAATTTCACAAGAAAGCATTCAAAGGTTTTGAACTCCGAGGTCACGAAGAAAGACAGCCTTGCAGACCACTCTACTAAAGGCTTGGTTGATTTTGCCAAGAAACTTGTGAAAACGTCTGATGAACATCTTTCTCAAATTTCTTCAACCTTATCAAGAAAGCTCTCAACTGCGCTATCAAGAGAGCAGAACATTACTAAGGAAACTTGAGTTGAGCATTCGAGGAACTCGAATAGCTTCAAGAAAGCTAATAAAATTATATAAAAGTTGATCATTAATGTTGATAATGTTTAGATTTCACTACAAATTCAAACCTCGTTCTTTTTTATTCTTCCTCCTTTCTCAGAAAACCTAAAGACGACATAATATTCGCCTTTACTTTCAAGTTGAAATTTTTATCATTTAGTTCGACAAAAGTTGTCATCATTAATCACAGTTTATCAATGAATAAGTTCGCCGCAGAAATGGAGATTTGATATTTCTATTATTATCGTGCGTCTCATTTAAAAACAAATGAATAAAAGGTCTTTTAAAAGTTGACCTGCCTTATTATCAATTTCTTAACTAATTGATCTTATAGCAGACAGTGATATGAATATATAGTTGATCATTAGATATATTTTGGCAGTCAGCATCAGTTCACGATTTTCGTGTTAAAACTAATTAAACCATATTTATAAAGGAGAGGATTTCAATTGTCATTCTATTTCTGTATTTAAACTCAATTTTAGGTTCAAACATTGCGAGGAAGCAGTTTAAATAATGATAATTTTGAAGACAAATAGTTGAAGACATTTTAATTGCTTTCTATTTTAAACATGAAGACTTGCATGATACAGAGCTTGGTTTGCCTCTATGACTACACGAAGCTTTGTAAACACTGAAAACATTATATAGTTGAATTTCACAATACGATACAACCGAAAGTAAGTTATAAGTCTGGTTGTCTACATTGAAGAAAATACTGATGAATCTGTGAAAATATCATCTATATGTGTGAGTGCTTTGACAAAATCAGATAGGTTTGGTCTTGGATGCATTTGGTAAAGAGACGCTATGCAGAAGCAGAACACGATCTTTCTCTAAATTAGCTTATGTTCTATATACACAACAATGTCCTCTTGAATTCTCTTTTCTACCTAAAACAATGAGAAACATCTCTGAAAGTCATAATAAAAAACTGAAAAAGTGAAAACATTGGCGTTTTTTATTCCAGAGTTACAAGTTTTTGCCTATGCATGGTTCGACTTCAATTATCATTTAGATTGCCCGCACTGCATGCATGTATATCATTTATAGTACATATAGTCAATATGATATACTTTTCCTGGGTTTTTCGGCAGTTTACCTGCAATATCTAACAAGCCCGGATATCTCTAAAATAATACATCAGAACGATATATCAGGAAACCTATATGATTTAAGATAATGCCGAATTGAGTATATTACCGTTATTGAACGTGGGTGACCGCGGCGGGTTAATTCACTGACATGCATGCATCTGATAAATCGCTTGTTAACCGAATAAAAAATATCAGTTGGCCATTGGCATTGTCGAGATGAGGTATAGCCGTTGGTGGGTATAAGGTTCAAACATAATTCAAATGAATTCATTCGTTGCCTAATAACGGAGTCTGGGCGTTTCAAACAATCATTTGATAACCTTGGTACGCATTTAGGTTTCATAAAATTTTGTTTGAACAGATTGAACTTCATTTTAGAAGTTTATAATAACGTTTTGGTTTCTAGTTTACTCATTTTTGTTTAACAAAGAAGCTGTTTATTCAGCTACACCGCACAGGTTTACTTTTAATCTATAAATTCACGCGGGAGTTTTAGTAAAGTTCACTACAGCTTTTCTGTTTGATTCCCATGCAAGATAGCAGCTCTGAAGAAAAGAATTGATAATGTATTTTAAATTGTGCTCAGTCGTTTTATTGGTGTGCATCTTTGGTGCGAATGCACGAAAGTTGGAGTTCCAGAATTGTGGTACGTATTTTAAGCTAGATCTAGAGATAGTGAATCAAAACAAACGTCTAAACATTTGTCAACTTCTCCATCAGATAGCAGCGCACCAATTCAAATCAAACAGGTGAATCTGAAAAGTTCCTATCCCATTCAAATCAAGCCAGGAGCAGTTCTTGCAGCCAGCGGTTCATATTCTAACAGTTATAAAGCCACACCTGAAACAGTTTTTCAAATCAGAAATATTAAGGTGGAGAGGAAGATCTTATGGGGGTACACCTCTGTTACCGGTCTTATTTCCAAACACATGTAAGTTATAAAGTTATATAAACGGCAAGGTTTCTGGTTACTCTTTTATCGAATCAGCTCAAATTTACGACTCGAAAGCCGATTTTTGCATCGTGCCAGGGTTAATACAAATCTTTACATCAATATTTTTAAGCGCTTATTTACAAAGTTGAATATCTTAATTTTTCCATAAATATTTTCTGGACCGTCAAAAGCCATATTTTGCTGAATACACCAAAAAAACGCAGTAAAGTATAATTTTTGATATAATTTATCTGTAACTTTACCAACTCCTATCATAAAATTTTTTAGCCCAAAGTCAGTGAAATGCTCCGACATACAGAAACTGTCACCTATACCAATATGTCCAGGGAAGACAGGGAGTTTTCATTTTGATGAAAAACTCGTAATTCCAAGAACTTTGAACGTTAACGGTGCTCTTGGATTTTTCGGGAGTGTAAGTGTGCAATGGTGCCTGGCTAGAGTGCCATACAGTTCACAAATATTGTACCTGATTTTTTTGTCATAATTTACAGAGCTTATAAAGGTGTCTCATATGAAAATATTTTCTATTTCCAGGGGAAATACCGATTGACGGTAGATGTAAGAGATAGCTCAGGAAGACGCATCGTTTGTATCAAAAATGCAGTTGCAGAAATAAAATTGTAATCATACATGAAACAATCATAAAACATTAAAAGAATGAATGAAATATAAAAGCAGCATTGTTTATTTTTCTCATTTAAATAACGCGTAACTCATTTGTAACTGATCTAGTCACTAAGAATGACAAAACCTGCCAAAAGCGATTGCGAGATTCCTGCATATGAATGATAATGTAATCTTAAGCGTGCATGGATAGCACAGTAAACAGACATGGGCACGGGACGTAGCTTCGACACCTCCCTCCCTCCCCGGAAGACGAGTAAAGTAGAGAATTCTTTACAAATGCTCCAGATTAGGTCTTACAAGTATATAGATCCGTTTTATTTTCAACCATGAACGTGCACCGTTTTCTAACAATTCACCTTTGAAAATACACGACAAATTGATGATAGAGCAAGCGTTACATTAGATCACAATTTTTCAGTGATATGTTTCTCCTAGTTTGGACAAAAACCCATACGACAGTTTATTGTAGAATACTGAACACGCCAGATATCCTGCGCTATAATTTAGTCTTTTGAACACGAATAAGCAAGAAACTTCATAGCAAAAATTGTGACACAGTGAAAGTGCTGAACGTTCTATCTGAATTCTGGTTTTAGCTCGCAACTGATTCATCTTTCCTTCAGTCTTCGTCGAAACGTGCTCTTCTTTAAGATATCCATTATATTCTCCCTATTCACAAAGGTCTCCTCCTGCTTACGTTTTCTACTCTTTCTCTTATATTCTCTCTCGTACTGCTGGGAGGACAGGTGAGGAGAGTTTAAAAGTTCGTCAGGCAATTTGACACCGCGCTGCTGTACCGTTTCAACGAGGTCTAAAAAAACACCTTTGTTCGTGTTGTTAATAAAGGTTATCGCGAGACCATTAGAGCCCAGTCTTCCAGCTCGACCAATTTGATGAATATACTCATCAATACTCGATGGCATGTCGAAGATTATCACCTGTCGTGGATGAAAGAATACCGTTAGTCACCAGTCCTTCTATCACCAATCCTCTAGACCGTGCTGACATCATCAGTATCACAGGTCACACAATCCTCGGGTATGGTAATAATACCATGTTTAGTAAATCCTAGGTAGCCACCCTGCCCCCCAAAGACTTACTTGTTTGACACAGCGCAGGTCCAGACCCCGACCCAGAACCCCTGTACATACGAGCACATCATATTCTCCAGAAAGAAATGCTGTTAAAATTCTTGTCCGTTCACTTTGCACTTTTTCACCGTGCATGGAAGTGCAACGAACGTTGCAGGTCTGAAAAAGAAATATTTTACAATTGATGCATTCAAGACAAATACTCTTTCTCACGATAAAAAATAGCTGATATTTTAGGGCCACTAAACTTGTTTAGACAATTATAACAATATGAAAAGCAGTATTTTAGCACTAGTAGGGACTAGCTGAATAATTTTACCCTGAAAAAAAAATATTTCATTTACTCCACCTCTTGAATGGCGTCAGACAACATATCCGACCCAAGACGTGAATCTACAAATACCAAAATAGGTGGAGTGAAATATTTTGAATCTTTAAGCAGAGCGAAGAGTCTTTTCTTTTTAGATTTGTCTTCCACCCAGATGATGACTTGTTTCACATCCATATTAGGAGTGCTGGGTGGACCCACTGAAATCCAGACTGGATTCATTAGCAGTGTTGATGAAATTCTTTCCACAGATGGTGGGATTGTCGCTGAGAATAGAAGTGTTTGTCTGTCAGTTGGAATGTTTTCTAGGATTGATTTTATCTAAAAATCACAGTTGAAGAAGTAATATAAGCTTGGAGCTATTAGTAGTTTGCAGATGGGGTTCAGTTGTAAATGGCGAGTTTGCAGAGTTCGAAAAAGGGGTTCAGTTGAATGGAGACTTGAAATATTCTACCACAAACCTACCTGATTTTCAAATCCCATTTGCATGAGAACATCCACCTCGTCAATAATTAACATTTGAATTTCAGAGAAATCCAAATCGGCTTTGTTTAAAATTTCCACAAGCCTTCCAGGTGTGGCAAACACAATTTGCACTCCTTGTTGTAACCTGTATATTTGATTTGGCATCGGCATTCCCCCCACAACCAACGCGGTTCTCATGTTAGGTAGTTCTGCCATTAGTTCTTTGGCCTGATTTTCAATCTGCATACAAAGTTCTCTTGTTGGGGCAAGAACCAGGCCCATAGGTGCTGAGGACTTCCATCTTGAAGCTATATAAATAGATCATTATAACACTTTATAAAAAAACACTTTATAAAAAAACTATGCAACAAAGAATGAATTTACCAGGATGATTGAACTATCTCTACATCCTGGGCCGAGGATATAAGAACAACCGTAAGAACAGTGAATTTATGCAAATATACCTACCAGTGTTATGGTGAATTTTAGTGATTATTGGCACCAGAAATGCAGCAGTTTTGCCTGAGCCAGTCTGAGCACACGCTAACAAATCACATCCACACAATGCAATTGGAATGACTTGCATTTGAACTGGTGTTGGTGTAAGATACCCAGACTTCTTCAAATTCTGTAAAAGTTGTTCATTTAAACCACATTGAGAAAACTCCAAGATTGGTCTTTCATTATTATCACCCCTGATGCTTATCTCCATGCGATTTCTGAGTTCTTGAACTTGTTGGTTTGTAAGCGAGGCAATTTGTGGGTGAATGTTATACTTGTATGCTTTATTCTGTTTTGATTCAAATCTGTCTTCTCTTATATTACTCCCCAAGCTTGTTTTATTGTAGTTCTCTCCTGTTTTCGCTGCATTATGTACTGAACCAAATATTTTCGACCCATCTCCTTGCTGTCTTCCAGTTGCCTGACTTTTGTGTATATTTTTCGCCTTACATTCTTTACTACAAACGTCTTGCTCGGTTTGGTCGCAAATAAACTCACCATATCTACCACAAACAACACAAACCGGCTCATCCTCCTTGGGCCATCGCTGGTTCTTGCTGAAATATACAATATCTGAAGTTTCTTCCAAAACATTAACATTTCCTTCATTCTTCTGGCTACAGTCTACAGTCTTCTCCAATGTTTGATCTAAATTTCTGTCTTTAATATCACTTTGATCGGCCTTCGAAAAAGCTGAACAAGAAGCCTGAGTATCAACTGACTTGATTTGAACATTTCGTTGTTTTGATTGCAAAGTTTGTTTAGTTTTAGACAGTTTATGAATAACAGATCTTGGAACGAAGTCGGCCATCTTTGAATTTGTCCAAATAGAGGAGGCGCTGAGAAACTTTCACTCACTAAACTGGACTGTGAACTGGATAACCGGACCTGGAACTTTTAGGCCAAATTTTAAACTCGCGTTTTCGTCTTGTCGCATACAATTCAAACAATAGATACTAAGATGATAAACCTCATTAAGCTTCATTATCGTCGCATTATCTCTCGTTCAAGTTGCGTTCGACGCGACCAAAATGCGACGTACAGGGTGTCCCAAAAAAAAAGCAACCACTTAAATATGCAGAACATTAATACAGCTCTAAAGCGCAATAGATAAGCACCTCTGGGAATTGAAAATGGCTCTTAATCCTTCATTTACAATGCTAAAAGTCATTTTAGCTGAACTATGGTGCAAACCCGAACAATATTAATATTCTTGCATATTTAAGTGGTTGCGTTTTTTTTGGGACACCCTGTATAACCGCGCACTGAAATCTGCCGAACCATTTCAAAACAATAGTTAATCAATTGAGATGTCCGGCATTACCTATTGTTGTTGGATTATAATGAGAAGCATGACGTTAAAAACAGGCTTTACTGTTAAGTATTATTACCCATGCATACAGTCATTTGTTCGTTCGAATGTTTTTCAGGCTATATAAGGTGACTAAATTCGATCCAAAAGTCATACTTGATCCAGGAAGAATCACAAGAAGTCATGTCGGGGTAAAGTTGGAAGAACCTTGCTGAGGTATATGAAAGAATATCTGTCAATTTGATCTTTGCTTTTGGCTTTGCAAATGAATTAATCGCCGTGTTGATTTGAATAGCCAGAAGACATTCTTGCTGATTTTCACTGCTATATCTTGTATATTTCGATTGAAAATACGAAATGCATGTGAGCTGTTAACTTGACATTGTTTTTTCTTTCTTCAACTCAGGATGAACTTCGGCGGCGAAAGATGAGGAAGGCGAAACACAAACGCTTGCTCGCAGCGAATAATAGGTATTGTTATATTGATTTATCAAAATCTGAATATGAGCTGAGTTCTTTCAACATGTTATTATAGTTCAAAGTTCGGAACCAAGATATCATAGAAACCAAGTCCCTTTAGCTAGGCTTTTCTTTTTCTAGAAAGAATCGTCGGAGTGGAAAGATGTTGGACCTGCCTTGGGACATAATGCACGCAAATACAAAACTCGATTTCGATGATGTGCATGAGTAATATATGCATAAGTAAAATATGCATGAGATTTGGCTTTTGGCTGAGATATGCTGAACACTCTTCTGTTTACCTCCTTGATTTTCAACTTTTTCGGATTGCGGTTTTTGTGCATGAAGTCTGGTCGTGTCAAGCGCATGCGGAGTAAATACAAGTGATTTGGGGCCCCATCACTTGTATTTTCTCCATCTTGAACGACAATAGTCCGGAACAAAAATATCGCTCACAGAGCGCCTAAAACATAAAAATGCACGAGAAATTGTATTTCCAGAAGGAGATAATAGTCGAGTGTTTTGGTTTTCTCGGGAGCATGAAGAAAACGATGAATATTTCCTGCAAAACTTGCATGACAATTTTGTATTCGCGTGCGCAATGCGAAGGCCTTGGACGAGTGGCGTTGGAGATGTCGAAGGTCAAAAATCGGGTTTTGAGTGATCATTTTATCTTGAATGCTTTATACTTAAGTTGATATTTGTGAATTGGAAATTAATATCATATTTTTGTGATAAAGGATCGTCGCAGGATCAGATGATGAACTGTCGCCGCAGGATCAGATGATGAAGGATCGCCGCAGGATCAGATGATGAAGGATCGTCGCAGGATCAGATGACGAAGGATCGCCGCAGGATCAGATGATGAACTGTCGCCGCAGGATCAGATGATAAAAGATCGTCGCAGGATCAGATGATCAGACGGGTGTAAAAGCAGAAGCTGGTTGAGGTATATACTATATTGTATACTGATTAGAGTAATGCATGATTATTGCATGTGCATGCTGCATGGCATTGGATCCTCCTGGTGGTCTAACCTAGTATATTCACACATCAAGTGACATTTCACCCTTTTCCGACAATGCATGATGACAAGAAATTTCTCACAGCTCTATTGCATGAGGGCGTTTTTCGAGTTTTTTCGATAAAAAAATTCCTAGTTTTGTCACTTGTGTGAATACGCATGAATTCCAACGACTTAGCGGCTGCGAAAAGATGCATGATGGCTTCAAAGCGTTCAAAAGAAACTAACAAAATGCAATTTGCATTGCATTGGCGACGCGCACGCAGCGAGAAAATATCGAATTCGTATTGGCCTAATTTTAGATCAATACGAAGGTAATCGCGAGTAACTTATATGATTATATAAGTTCTCTGTCCAGCCTATTAAAATGCGACCGTTTCGAAAGACGTTCGTCAGTGGCATCAAAAATTATCAGTTTACCCTTTCAACACTTAAATTCGAATTACTGATGTTTGAAATGAAGAAAAAAAAAGACTGATGTTTAGACAACAACACTCTTCTGAATTAGATGATATATTACAGTTTCATGATAACTACACTGGATTAATGGGGGGACCCATGGGTTTGAGTTTAAGTCAATATTGTTCACTACCCTCTTGCATAAAGAGCTGTCTAAAGATTCTTTGCATTTTGACACACTTACTATGTTGTTTAATTTTTTACACGCCCCAACGTCGAGATGCTGTTGAAGAAGAACAACTCAAGTGTTTGTAATGAAGCAAAGAAGCAAGTGAAGTTCGGTACCGCTGTTTGCCAAAGGTAGTTATGAAGGTGAGGAACATTATTTCATTATAGCCATAATGAGTAAATTGCATGTTCAGCCCTATTAGGTGCATGTCTTAATTGAAGAGTGTTGTCTACTACATCAGTTTCAAATAAAAAAGCATGCCAAGCATTTCGTTCCAAAACAAAGCATGATCATACAATGCATGAGAATTTGAATAAATGAAATAATTTTTCTTGCCACTGTCGGACAAAGCGCAGTTTGAATAAAATTTGTAAAAGCCTGCTGTTTGCAATTGCCGATTGCGCGCTGCGCACGTTAGACCACCACCTGGATCCAATTGAAGGTTCAAGAATTGCATGACCATTCCTTGTGTTCGGTTCGGATGAGCGGAACTGAAACGGTGAACCATAGGGAAAAACATTGTCAATGAAAAACCAGAATAACCGTCATTTTAGGCGATTTCTAAATAAAAATACCAAATTCGGACCGCCAGTCAAATAAAAGCATTTTCTGAATATTTTCTAAATAAAAATACCAAATTCGGAACGCCGGTCAGGTAACCTAAAATTCAGGTTACCTTGGAGGGTTTTTCTCCGGGCACTCCGGTTTCCCTCCTTTTCGTTTGGCTTTAGAAAACAGTGTCCAGGTTTGGGGCCAAACGCGTTTGGCCTCTGGGTCCAATTCCCAGAACACTGTCGTATAAAAAGAATTGAACATGTTTAATCCGGGTCTGACAGAACGAGATTGGCAAGCCGAACATTGACATTGTGCCTTGCGGCAGCATTTCTACCTACGTGTAACCTAGTTTTGTCAGGATTTTAATATTTATCTAATAGTTATCTTCGGATTATGCTCGTGGTATTGCTCGTAATATGTCGTATATTACGACCCCGACCCGAATGTCAATGCCCGAATGTTCCAAGATTTCAGCCTGTTCGTGGGCTGTGGTTTCTCAAAAACTAAAATGGCTGACAAAGTTATATAAAAACTTAAAATTTTATAAAATAGACGAGGTTTCTCACATTTTAGCAGTTATTTTCGACTGCAATTATGCCCAAGAAATTCCAGGGCACAAACACGAAGGCCGAAGCGGCCAGAGCGCGAAAGAGCGAGGCTAAAAATGCAGAAAAGGTGCGAAAAGACAAGGAAACAGAAGATAAATATTGGGAAAGCTGGGAGTCTGGGGATAGAAACGAAAGCAGAAAAAAAGAACGGAAAGTTGGTGGTTTTTAATGTCTTCAAAATATGTCTCAAAGTATAACTGTTTAAAATTAAAGTGCACCTTTTTTGTCTTTTATTTCAATAGGAAGACAAGGAAAAGAAGAGGTTAGAACAGTTGGAGAAGAAACGTTTAGCAAAAGAACTTCTTGAAGCAGAAGAATCAAAACTGAAAGGAAAGACGGCAACTCAAGCAAAAGTCACCAGGTCTGAAATTGCGACTTTGCAAGAGAGAGAGGCAGAAAAACGCAAAACCGCAGCAGCGAATAAAAATGTAACAGTTGACGATTCCCCGCTGGAAGAGAATGTCAACCAACTGATTGCTGAAAATCTAGCAACAGAAGGTGGCGTGGAAGCTAGAAATGTTGAAGAAGCCATCTCAGTTCTTGCTGTAGATGATAAACAGGAGTCTCATCCAGAAAGAAGAATGAAGGCCGCATTTGCCAAGTTTGAAGAGGAACGACTACCAGTGTTAAAAGCAGAGAACCCAAATATGAGATTGTCACAAATCAAACAATTGCTTCGAAAAGAATGGTTAAAATCACCGGATAACCCCCTTAATCAAAATTTTGTGGCATATAATAAAAAATGAGGTTATATTGTTCAAATGCAATTTAAATAAAATTATTTAATAAGATGAAAAATTACTAATGAAGTGGGATGAGAAATCTTACAGACTCATCAAGACTAATATTTGTTAATGTGTTTTCATCACATTTACAAACTTTTACAGTTCTAAATCTTTTTCATCACTGATTTAACTGACCACATACATTTTGTGGTTCATTTTTGTTTTGTTTCTTTTTCATGATATCAACAATTGTTTGTCCTGATCCTGTTGAACCAAACACACAGTCCAGTCTTTCGTTTTTATCCCAGACAATTTCATCCATGTACTTGAAATACTGAATACGATGGCGCGGAATTGCTAGGACAGTTGGATCAAGTGAGGTTACATCTTCCCAATCAAAAGAATTAAATTCATTTTCTATAATACCAAGAAAACGATCCAGATATCCTACTGTGAAGTGTTCTGGGTTTAATTTTTCATCCCACTGGATACGATTTATAACATCAGTTGCTGTTTTCATTCGTGGTTTCTTTCCTGGTTTCTCAGTTTCTACAACTTTGTATTTCTGTTTTTGAGGTTTTCTTTTAATGTTGTCCGTTGCATTCTCAGAACTTGTTGTTTCTGTTAAGTCATCTTTCAACATGTCCTCAGCAGGTAAACTCTCATGAAGGTTAAAACATTTGTCTCCAAATCTGCATTTTCCTTTTAGAAAATATTGACAGATAGATTGGCCCAATTCTGACTCCTCCGAATTTGTCGCAATCAGTTCTTCAAATGTTGCAATTTCCCCTCCATGTTCAAATATTTTTTCAGCCTCTTTAAGCAAGCAATTCTCAAAGTCTGCTTTGTTGAAACTGAGCTTTCTATTCATAAGGCATTCCTCCAGATAGTCTAGTCTTTCATTTGAGTCCTCACTGATGACAACAATTTCTGCAAGATTTCTTTGTACGTCATCTAAATAGAGGGATGATATTAATACATTTAAAAATTGAAACATAATCGAACACTGTAAATCAAAATCTAATCTAATTCTCACCTGACATTTCATAATACATAGTGAAACCAAGACTCGATTTTACGTGTGGTATGTTATTGTCTCTGCAGATATCTGTGCTGGTATTTGTAGATCGTTTTGAACTAACTGAACATAGATTTTCGATACACGTCGCCATATTTTAATAATATATCAAGTCGAAATCAAGATCACTACAATTGCTGTCACTCCTGGAAATTTTGTGTCGAATGCGTTCTGGCGTTTTATATAGCTCTTGTACAGTAGATTTCTTGTATATTTCTTTCGATGGTGCAATGAAATAAATAATATTTTTAGAATAATGACAATTTGTAAACAAACTATTAATGTCATTCTCGCGCGTGACGCCCACGAAACGCCACGTGTGTCCCGCGCAGGAGCCACGAAATTCAACGCACGCGCAGTAAGTGTTTCACGTGAAAGCCTCTATTTCTCTCCCAACGTGAACCACTTTTGCTTAGGGTGACGAGAAAAAGAGCTGTAAAAAATATGCTTTCTAGAGGGCTTAGTTCATCGCTTGTTCGCACCTTAGCAAGAACCACACTAAGGGTAAGCTATTGCTTGGTTTAGAGCTCTTTAACGGAAATTTTGCCCCTGGATTTTAAGCAAAATATGTAGACAAATTTAGGGCTTCCTATAGGCCGGTGGGGATATTAAAACTTTTTCTGCTGCACTTATTTGCTTATTTTTTGAGTCTTTCGTATGGTAAAAGTTTGCTAGTGGTTGTAATGTGTTATAAATATAGAGGTATATGATTTCAAAAATATTTTAAAACTACAAAATACATTATAAATGCAAGTGGTGTAGGTACAATAATTGTACAATATACACTTGGTATATTTAAATTGACTATTTTGTGTTACTCCTTTCATACTTCATGTTTTGTGTTGAAGTGTACAAATTTGTTGCTTCATACATACTACAAGTACAATATTAAAAACAAAAAAATGCATATTTATAAAAAAGCTGCCAATATGGCAATGTCCAAGTGCACATGTAACAAAATGATTGTACTTTGCACTTTGCTAGAGCCTTGTGATTTTTTGCCCTAGGGCTGTGTGAACAATGTTAAGCCAGGTATTAGACATCTAACTACGACCAGCAGATGTTTAGCTGGCCCAGGAACTGCCGAAGTTTCCTCAATTCTTGAGGAAAGAATAATTGGTACCGCTACTAAAGCTGAACTTGAGGAAACAGGTCGGGTTTTGTCAATTGGTGATGGTATTGCTCGTGTTTATGGTCTTAATAAAATTCAGGCAGATGAAATGGTGGAGTTCTCTAGTGGTTTGAAGGTGATGTTTTCATGTTTCACCATCAAAATTTTTGTTGAACTAACTTTCTAAGAAATTTGGAAACCCTTGCTAACATGTTATAAATGCTTGGTTCTAGGGTATGGCCCTTAATTTAGAACCTGATAACGTCGGTGTGGTAGTCTTTGGTAATGATAAACTTATCAAGGAAGGTGATGTTGTCAAGCGAACCGGCGCCATTGTAGATGTCCCTGTCGGTGAGGATATCCTAGGCCGTGTTGTAGATGCCCTGGGTAACCCAATTGATGGTAAAGGTCCAATCAACAGTACCGAAAGAGCTCGGGTTGGTGTCAAAGCGCCCGGTATTATCCCTCGTATATCTGTGAGGGATCCTATGCAGACAGGAATTAAGGCTGTGGACAGTTTAGTTCCAATTGGTAGAGGCCAGCGTGAACTGATCATTGGTGATAAACAAACTGGGTTAGTAGATTCAGTTTACTTAATTGTTATATTTTCTCTCGTTAGAGGACTTTCGTTCATCTAATTTAAAAAAAGCTGAAGTTTTTATGTTCTTCTCATATTAGGAAAACTGCCATTGCCATTGATACAATCATAAACCAAAAGAGATTCAATGATGGTGCTAATGAAAGTAGGTCTTGTAATGTCTAATTCTTTAGAGATTCTTGTGTCCTTTGTTTCTTTGAGTACCACTAATACAAGTAACGTTTGCTCCATTTCAGAGGAGAAATTATACTGTGTCTATGTTGCCATTGGTCAGAAGAGAAGTACTGTAGCTCAGATCATGAAGAGATTAGAAAATGCAGGTAATTATGAATGCAATTTATTAAAAGAGATGTAAACAAATTATGTACCTTGGATGTCTAAAATAATTTCTTTTGTAGATGCTTTGAAATATACCATCATTGTCAGTGCAACAGCATCAGATGCTGCACCACTGCAATATTTAGCACCATACTCAGGCTGTGCTATGGGAGAATTCTTCAGAGATAATGGAAAACATGCCTTGATTATTTATGATGATTTATCGAAACAGGTAGGGCGTCCAGCCTGTTGCATTTTGGCCTACAGTAATTCTCAGACATACAAGAAATTAACAAATAATATTGGTATCCTAGGCTGTTGCCTACCGTCAAATGTCTCTACTATTGCGTCGTCCTCCTGGTCGTGAGGCTTACCCTGGTGATGTATTCTACCTGCATTCACGTTTGCTTGAAAGAGCTGCTAAGATGAATGATGATTTTGGAGGTGGATCACTGACTGCATTACCTGTCATTGAAACACAGGTAAAATATTTTTAACCATGTGTAGATGGAAGTTTATCTATTGGCACCATAGCATGGGAAGAATGTTTAACATTTTGTGTTTTTCCCCAAGGCTGGTGATGTATCTTCATACATCCCCACCAACGTTATTTCCATCACAGATGGACAAATTTTCCTGGAGACTGAGCTCTTCTTCAAAGGTATCCGACCTGCCATCAATGTTGGTTTGTCTGTTAGCCGTGTAGGCTCTGCAGCTCAGACCAAGGCTATGAAACAGGTGAGTTGTTTGCTTAAAAAATCTTTTTCCTTTTTAAAAATGAATTTCTGACAAAATGATCTTGGATGCAGACATCTTGAAGTGTAATCTTTCTCCCCCAGGTTGCAGGTACAATGAAATTGGAACTTGCTCAATATCGTGAGGTCGCTGCTTTTGCCCAGTTTGGGTCAGATTTGGATGCATCGACACAAGCTTTGTTGAACCGAGGTGTTCGACTCACAGAACTCTTGAAACAAGGCCAATATGGTAAGATCTTTGCTTGATATATTGTGGACAATTATGACCCTTGGAGATCTTGTTTATATACTATGAATTCCTATTTTAGCTCCTATGGCAATTGAAGAACAAGTTGCGGTTATCTATGCTGGTGTCCGTGGTCATTTGGATAAGGTTGATCCATCTAGAATCACAGATTTTGAAGTGGCTTTCTTAAAACACATCCGAGATACACAGCAAGATCTACTCAAGACGATCAGAGTGGACGGTCAACTCACTCCGGAGAGCGATGAGAAGTTGAAGAAAGTTGTCACAACCTTCTTGCAAACATTTGAATAAGAAAGAACAAATGTGTTTGTCAATTTTTTTGACTTGATTTATCATGTTTTCAACGTGTTTAGCTACCAAGATAATTATTGTATTAAAAACTAACAAATTTTATATGTTTGTGCTAATGCTTTCCACATTTTGTTCACCGTTGAAACCTCAGATTAGACATAGCAAAATGATAAGACAATACTATGTTCTTTAATTTTATTTGCATACAATCTATATACATCTATATTTGTTTCGATATTTCCAATTTGTTTTCATCATATTTCTACATAATATCTTTGACAATTTCATCATGATATGTCCAACCATTGTAATGAAAGTTGGTGAAATTATTACTTCGGATTTATTGCTTATTATGTAGAATTAAATTTGTTGAAAAATCGGTCACCAACTCCCTCTCTGTTGGTCTGTTTGAATCCACCAATAGGGTGTCATTTTAGTGATTATATTGACCAATTGAAAACAAGTATGTCAGTAAACAGGAAGTTGGTTAATATATGTAAATGAATTGGTGCAAAATTTCAATTCTTCCATTGCAATCAAAATGAAGGCAAGTGAAGGAGTTTTGCTTTTTATAAATATCCACTCTATACTGTACAAGCACATCATCTCCTCTGCTGTGTACTTGAATGCCTGATAGGTATTTCCTGATATGGTTCTTCTCCAACCTAAAGACATTTCTGATACTTCAAAAATTGTACTTTTCTAAGCCAGGCAGTTAAGTATAAATTGTTTTAGTTGATTGCCATTTTGAGATTAATGCATTGTTATCATTGAAGGTTTATTTCACCATTAAGATTTAGAACTCACATTTATTGATTGGCCTAATTCATTATTCATCATTCTCAGTCACACTTGAATCATGAGAATTGGCCCAATGTAAAACCAATTCCTCTTGAGTTTGCCAGACATTCATGCATGCAGGACATATAAAACCCTAGATGAATTAATAAAATCATCAACTGTTTTAATAGGATTTAGTTGAAAGGATTAATTTTAAGACTAGTTTGATTTTAGCAACTGAAGATTAGGATTTAAAGGTCTAAATGCAAGTTAAAATAGTTTAGTTTTTTTTAATTTAAATTCCAGAAAATAGGATACACAATTGGCTATGAGACCTAAATCCATGATACCTCAATAGGATCCTGTTCCTGAAGAGTATCTGGCTCATATTCTTTCTCCAAGCTTGTTTCTTGATTGTCCATTGTTTTAGCACTCTCTAGTCTGTGATAAAAATGTTTGAAATATTTATAACAAAACTAGGATGATTCAAAGGTTTATATTTGCATGAATTTTATACCTTTGCAAGCAGGCTTTTGAAGCAATCGCACTTTTCAAACACTCCTTAAATGTAAATAAACCCTCATTAATTAAACTACCAGCTAATGGTAGTTGACTCCAATTGCTAGTAAAATCGTGATATTTGTTGTTAGATGTATATTCTATCTTGATTTGCACCTGGATTATAGTAAAGTGTGGATTCCAGTTGATTGATTTCACAGTTCTAAATCATAGGAAAATATGATTTGTAGTTTCTGAGAATCACAATTTTTGGGGATATATTTTTAACAGGAAACATACTTGAAAGAATAATCAAGATCATAAGTTGCTCCCTGAATATTTGATTGTAGACTTTGCAGTTCAACCTGCAGTAAAAATACATTGATTCATTCATATTGTTCATTTTAAAACCAGCACAATAACAGCTGAAATTAATGATCAATCGTCCACCTTTTTCTCAACAAGCGTAGGAACAGATCTCTTGACATGTTCTTGGATTCTGTAAAGACCCATTGAAGGGTCATTTAACATCAAATGTACGGTTTCTGACATCTTGTCAGTCACTAAAATTACGCAAAGTTGATGGATTACTACAGTATTGTCTACTAGTTTATGTATCTTACGGATTCTTTGAGGAAAACCTAGTTGATCGTGAAAAATTCTCAGGGAATATACTTCAACAATTCACACTCATACCTTTGGCAACTTTAACATCTGTTTCGGAAAGTAAATGAGCCATTGTTTGCATGAAAACCAAAAGAACAGGTGGACTATATATTATAAAACCAAATTGCTTTCCCAAAAAAATTCTCCAAGTAAAGAATACATAAATAAGCGAGAATTTCCACGATTTTTACATTTACAAACAATTTTGATTTTACTTTCTTTTATTCTTATACTAGAGCCCGCGATTCTTGTCATTACTTCATTAATTACTTTGTTTAAGCCTGGTTTTCATATGTCGTAATTCATCGGCGATGGTCTGCGATCTATTGTCGGCGATCAATGAAGTATATAATTTTCTTCGATAAGAAAAGGATTTTATGCATCAATAACCACCGACAATAGTCATCGCCGATGAATTACGATGTATGAAAACCAGGCTTTAAGATTTTAAAATAGGATTTTTTTGTCCCTCTTCTTGTTATGAATTTGCGCAGTGAAAGGAAAAGGAACGTGATTGGTTAGCTGTGCGAGTATCTGATTGGTGCAATTCGTTTCGTTAAACAAAAGTTGGTGTAGTAACACTGATCTATAATATGGTGATGGTCAATCCAGCCAATCCATATCTCCATATTTTTATTAGGCATAGAGTTGTGAAAAACAAAACCCTTACAGGAACAAATGTTAATCTAACGAAACTCCGTCCTCAAACTAAATTCTTTCCTATATCTTGCACTCGACTGAAAGTCAATTTAAATACAACACGGAAGTCTACCGGAAATACGAATGCCTAAGATGTAAACGAAACTCGTAGGTTTTCCAGGAACCTCTTGAGCAGTACAACACTAGCTACTGAAGCGATTTATTGTGCTGTGTTTTCGCTTCAAGGCAAGCAGGCCTTGAAATATATCATAGACTGGTATCATGGCAGGGATTGAACAGCAGAATTTGGATCCGAAGCGGACAGTCGCTGTACTAAACGTCCCTCCTAATCTGAGGAAAAGTGAATTGACGATTCACTTTCAGAAATCAAAATATGGCGGTGGAGATGTCAACGATGTTGTGGTAGACGGAAATATCGCGTTTGTAACGTTTGATTCAGCTAAAGGTGAGTATTTCAGTTTTGTAATAAGGTAATTGGGTTAAGCCGTTCAGGCTTCGAACGCTATATAGACTATAGTATCTGGCGGTCAAGACGGTTACGGCTTTAATTTTTACACTTTAATTTAAGCGCTTTCGTAAACAGGTTGCAAGCTTCCATAATCAGTGAGCTGCAAATGCACCAAATCTACGACGTAGTCGTTATTCCGAACGTTCAGCAACAAGGATAAAAATTATAGACTCCAGTGTGTCAACAAAGTCGTGTGCATGTGAAACAAATTCAAATAGCAAATATCTTTAATGGTTTATATGTCAAGTCCGCAGGATAGATTTAGTGCATCTCAAGTATAATTCCGTTTTGGATATTGTGTAGTATTCTGATTTTGATTATTTTGCTTATGGTTGATTTCTGCAGAACTTGATCATGCATGTGCTGGAAATCTAACAGTACATGACACACTGGTCAGCGTTAAATCGCTGAGTAATTAATTCTAAAGATTTTTCAGGCTTCCTAGTTTTAACTTTCCCTATTCACTATTCAAGAAGCTTGGAACGTAAGATTTCGTATTTTTTAGATGCAACAGGCGTCCTTAATCATCCTGAACAAACTATCGATGACAACAAGGTTCAAATTCAGAAATATAAAACATGGTTGGCAGAGAAGGTTATAAATTTTTATGAAAACGTACTTCAAATTACATCGATTCGCAAAATGATTAAAAAAACGATAGATCCCCAATCATTGTTAGGCACCCTATATATGTAGACTAGAAATAATATTCCAACGTTTCTGCGTATAATAATTTCTCGCAAGAAACAGGAGAAAAGGGTGGCAGACAAGAAAAACGACAATCGCAAAGTGGATGAAGAAAATGGGGTTAAAACAATTTACGTAAGTGGAATCAAAGAAACTACAACAGAAGACTTAATTTGTTTGTTCTTTGAAAACAAAAGAAGAACTGGTGGAGGTGAACTATGTGAAGGCAATCAAGGATACAAGAGAATCTCCCCAACTGTGGCTCGTTTGACGTTTCTTCGCTCCAAAGGTTCGTCCACTAGCTAATATATCCTTCGTGTGTTCCTCTAGATCATTCAATGATTGTCAACTCTAATCTAATTTCATACCGGACTACCCGTTTTCTATATTTGTGTAAGAGATTGTAGCTGTCAGTTTTCGTTTTTTAGCTGTGCAAAATATTCTCCGTGCGGCAAACGAAAAGCCATTTATACTGGACAACAATCCGTTAACAGTGACCACAAAACTGGAACCAACACACGACAAAAGTATTTTGCTTGTAAAGAACCTTAGTCTGTCGACGAGCAAGGAAACACTTAGAGACTTCGTGGAAACAAAGAAAAATACTGATGTCTTGAACGTTGTCCCTGGAAAACATGGCAAAGCTATTGTGATACTAGAAAGTGAAATAGGTATTTGTATACAAGACTGAAATAATTAATTATAATTCCACTCGATTTTAGACCCTTTCAACCCCTATTTACCCTCACTTGCATGACGTCTCAGATTGGGTCTCACTTTCGTTTTAGATGAGGATTCTTCAGATGATGATTGCTCCAACAGTGAAGATCCTTCCAATAGCTTCGAATTAGAAGAGTCTATTATTTCCCTTGAATTTGCTCCTCTAACTAAAAGTATACGAGTCAGCAATATTCCCGAAGAAACAACGTCAGATTCGATCAAATACAAATTTTCAAACCCCAAAATCGGTGGTGGCACAGTGACGGACATTACGCTAGATGAAAACAATGGCGTTGCAAATGTTTACTTTAAGGAATCGTCAGGTATTTAATTCATAGTAAACTTTTATTTACAAAAATAGATATACTTCTTAATTTTTATTCCCATCTATTACAGTTGTGTCTGCTCTTGTGAAAAAGTCACATAAAATTAACGACGTTTCTTTAACCGTTATTCCCTACTACGACGAGTTTGAAGAACTACAAAAAGCTAAAGAAGTAAAAAAGTCCGAGTTCTTTGGTGAATATCACGTTGAACCTCTTGTCATGGACTATATTTTCAACCACCAGGAATTTGAAAGAATGAAGTTCAACTGCAAGTCGATGAAATATGATCAAGAGAAATCAACTTTTCATTTTATCAAAGATTCTGACGATCTTAAAACAGAGTTTCGAAACAACTTAGAAGAGTTTTTACACTCGTTTGTCAAAGAAGAAGTGGGAATCCCCAAAAATGTTTTCAAGAAAGTCAAGGAAACGATTGAAAGCAAACGCGATGAATTTGTCGCTGACGAGGTTGATTTTATCTTCGATAAATCAAATGTTACATTCGTTGGAAAGAAACAGGACATTGCAGAAAAGAAAGAATTCGTTGAAGCGATGATCGATCAGTTCACAGAAGATGCAAATGTTGAAACTGCAGAGATGGTAGTCGAAGAAAAAAATAAATTAAAGTTTTTGAATTTTATTGGTTATTTTGAGCAACTTAAAACAGACTTTCCTGGATTTACAATCCATGGAACAGACAGCCCATCTGGAAAATTATCGCTTGTAGGAAGAGCAGAGATAATGAAGGATATCCAATTAAGAATCCTTCAAGATTTAATGAAGATTTCAGTGGTCGAAGTGTCGTTGAGTGATCGTCAGATTGGTTTCTTGAAGTGGACGGACTGTCAGATTGTTAATGATGAGTTGATTAAATGTGAAGCTATGTTGTTGTTGATTAACGAAGCGAAGATATTTTGTTGGAAGAAAGATAATAAGGTAAGACGTTAACGTTTCCAGATGGATTGAATTATCAATTATATGACGATCATATTTAATAACAGAGCAATTGATGATTATGTGTTTTCATCGCAGGAGAAAAAGCTTTCTGACATCGTGCATTTAAAAGCAACAGAGAAATGTGTTCAAGTCGACGAGGAGACCGCAAAGGTTCTGGCAAAGTCAGGAAAACTACACGAATTGAAGAAAGAAATGTTTGATAAACAGTGGGTGCTGATAGATCAAGAGCTCAATAATCCTTGCAACATTTGGATAGTCTGTGAAAATTCTAAAATGATGAACGCCGAACAAGAGGTAACAAGTGTAACTGACGAAAAGAAAATCTCCAGGGAAACATTTAAACCTATGGATCGAATGAAAGTTCGTTTCCTGTATGAGCATTGCTTTCCTGAGATTAAACAGAAAGAGAGAAGTTTAGAAAAAGAAGGCGTTGTTGTTACAAAAACCAACTCTGATTCGCTCGAAGTAACAGGAACTTCTGCGGGTAGAAAAGAAATGATACTGTTTCTCGATATACTGGCCGGAGATGTTTATTTCAAAGTATGTACTTGCATTTCCGGTATATCAGTTTTTGTGACAATATTCAGGTCGCTTTCTACCAAATAATATAATAATGTTTTTTTAACATTAGGCCCAGCCTCTAAACGAACCAGGCATGAAAAGACAAATGAGTTCAAAAGCAGAAGATGCAATTATCTGTGGAGTTGGGAAGGACTACAAATGCGGTGTTATTGATCAAGCAAGGCGACCAGAAAAAGCCCTCAAAACGCATGAATCCCCTGTGGTAGCAGACTGGATGGTCGCAGCGAATAGCGAAGCAACAGCAGTGAACTTGCCCTATCGTTCCATGCCATCCGTAGATAATAAAGAAAGGATGGTCTCCAGACAAGGAATATCGAAACAAATAAAGGTATTTGTATTGAAGTGGCGGTGCAGGGAGTGTAATTCTTTTTCATAATATGCATCTAGTGAGATTAGTTTATGAGTGAAGAAGGGCCTTAAATTTTAGTTCCTTATTTTGAACCAAGAAGGTAAGGGGTTTTGCACTGATTCATACCTTTTAAACGTATCATTTCATGAAGACAGAAGACGATAGTTGCAAAGTAGATGGAGTTAAAACTATTTACGTGGGTGGAATTAAAGAAACAACTACAAGAGACTCCGTATGCTTGTTCTTTGAAAACAAAAGAAGAACTGGTGGAGGGGAATTATGTGAAGGCAATCAAGGATACAAGAGAATTTCCCCAACTGTGGCTCGTTTGACGTTTCTTTCCTCTAAAGGTTCGTCCACAACATCGTCTCCATCATAGCCCTCTGGATCATTTGTTTATTAGAAACTCTAATCTTAATTTTATATCCTTTTCACTTTTTTGATATTGCAATTGTCAATCTTTAGTTGTCAAAGAGATTCTGCGAAAATCAAACCAAATGCGATTTATGCTGGACGGCAATCTGTTGAGAGTGACGACGGAGTTTGAACCAACACACGACAGAAGTATTTTGCTCGTAAAAAACCTCAATCCATCGACCACCAAGGAAACACTCAAAGACTGCGTGGAGACCATGAAAAATGCCGATGTCTTCAACGTTATTCTTGGAGAGGATGGCAAAGCTATCGTGATACTTAAAAGTGAAATAGGTACTTGAATACTGTACACAAAAAGAATTAAATAAGGCACTTGTTTGAATATATTACGTTTCATAAAACACGAATTTTAGGTGACGATTCTTCACAAGATGAAACCTCTTCAAACAGTGAAAATCTAACCAAGTTAGACGGATCTGAAATTTCTCTGGAATTTGCTCCTTTCACTAAAGGCATACGAGTCAACAATATCCCCCAAAAAACAACGTCAGATTCGATCAAATTCAAATTTTCAAACCCGAACATCGGTGGTGGCACAGTGACAGACATTATGCTAGACAGGAACAATGGTGTCGCTAACGTTTACTTCGAACAAAATTCAGGTATTTCATCGGAAAGGATTTCATTTGTAAACTATTTTGAAAACATGTTTTAGTAAGTCCGTACAGTTTAGTACGATGAAATGATCGCATTCGTGTTGTCTCTATGAAATATGTGTTCTATTCTTATTATAGTTGTTTCTGCTCTTGTGAAAAAGTCACATAAAATTAGCGACGTTTCTTTAACCGTGATTCCGTACTACGACGAGTTTGAAGAACTACAAAAAGCTAAAGAAGTAAAAAAGTCCGAGTTCTCTGGTGATTATCATGTTGAACCTCTTGTCATGGACTATATTTTCAACCACCAGGAATCTGAAAGAATAAAGTTCAACTTCAAGTCGATGAAATATGATCAAGCGAAGTCAACTTTACATTTTACGAAAGATTTTGATGATCCTAAGCTGGCGACAGAATTTCAAAATAAATTGAAAGAGTTTTTACATTTGTTTTCCAAAGAGGAAGTGAAAATTCCGAAAAATATTTTAAACAAAGTCAAGGAAACGATTGAAAGCAAACGCGATGAATTTGACGCTGACGAGGTTGATTTTATCTTTGATAAATCAAATGTTTCATTCGTTGGAAAGAAACAGGACATTGCAGAAAATAAGCAATTCGTTGAAGCGATGATCGATCAGTTCACAGAAGATGCAAATGTTGAAACTGCAGAGATGGTAGTCGAAGAAAAATATAAATTAAAGTTTTTGAATTTCATTGGTTATTTTGAGCAACTTAAAACAGACTTTTCTGGATTTACAATCCATGGAACAGACAGCCCATCTGGAAAATTATCGCTTGTAGGAAGAGCGGAGAAATTGAAGGATATCCAATTAAGAATCCTTCAAGATTTAATGAAGATTTCAGTGATCGAAGTGTCGTTGAGTGATCGTCAGATTGGTTTCTTGAAGTGGACGGATTGTCAGATTGTTAATGATGAGTTACTTAAAGATGACGCCATGTTGTTGTTGACTGATGTCAAAGGCAAGGTCGGGGCTAAGGGCCTACAAGCGAAGATATTTTGTTGGAAGAAAGATAATAAGGTAAGACGTTAACTAGCCGATCAGGGCCGTTGGACCATGACTGTGTTTCTACTTTATATACCGTAGGAGCAATCGTATTCAAAGAAATCATTTGGACAATATTGAAATATGCAGTCCCCTTTCCCAAAAAATGCAGCTTTTACGGCCCTGATGACGATCATATTTAGTAACAGAGCAATTAATGATTATGTGTTTTCGTCGCAGGAGAAAAAGCTTTCTGACATCGTGCATTTAAAAACAACAGAGAAATGTGTTAAAATCGACGAGGAGACCGCAAAGGTTCTGGCAAAGTCAGGAAAACTACAAGAATTGAAGAGAGAAATGTTTGAAAAACAGGAGGTGCTGATAGAGCAGGAGATCAATAATCCTTGCAACATTTGGATAATCTGTGAAAATTCTAAGATGACCAACGCTGAACAAGAGCTAGCAAGTGTAACTGATCAAAAGAAAATCTCCAGGGAAACGTTTGAGCCTATGGATCGAATGAAACGTCGTCGGGTTAAGAAAACGTAGATATAATAATAGTCCGTGTGTTATAAATCTACGCAACAAACGACTACGTACAACTGATAACTTCCATCGTCTCATCGTACTTCCATTGGGACTTAGTCCCATCACATGCTATAAATGCATATTGACGTGATGACGTGCACATGGTCACAACAAAAATCAAGACAGTTCACATATACTCTTTTGAACTTTTGAGTAGTATAGTTTCGAATAGTTTTTACATTTGGATATATAGTGTAATTCCATATTTTAGCTCAATATTTTATTTTAACTTTCTTTGGTAAAGTTTATTTTGAAAGTGAAAAGCTAGACACAGCGGGTGACCAAATTACATGCAAATATGCAAAGTCTCCTCTCAAATATAACTGGGAAATTTTAATCACAAGTCTACATGTTTTGCTCTTTGAATTTCCCTTACAAACTGTACAACTCTCTTGGCTAGGGTCAGTAAGATATTTGCAAATGGCCTGATATTGTAAAATGTAAAAATGCTTTCAAAATACGACACGGAAGTCTGCCGGAAATACGAGTATTAATAAAGCTCCAAGAATTGCACAGGTTTTCCAGGAACCCTCTCATAGGTTGAGCAATACAACGGTATATCGAAGCAAATTATTGTGTTGCAGTTTCGTTTTGAGGCGAGCTAGCCTTGAAATAGTTTGTGTACAACACTATGGCAGGGATTTCACAGCCAAGTGTTGATCCTAAGCGGACTGTTGTTGTGTTAAATGTCCCTTCAAATATTGGCGAGGAGGATCTCACAATTCACTTTCAGAAAGCAAAACATGGCGGTGGAGATGTCGATGAGGTTGTGGTAAACGAAAATGTAGCGTTTGTTACTTTTGATTCGGCCGAAGGTTTGTGTCAGTTTTTGAAATATTTGTCGTAGAAGTGTGATACTTGGGTTGAGGCAAGAGAATATTTGCCAACTAAAGCACTTTCACTTTTAAAGCACTATAGTTAAAGATGTTCAGTATGGACAACTGCAATGATTTTATTTTCTAGCACAGTCTGTTGTAGTTAGCCGTCTACAATCGCTAACGCGATGGTAAAATATAACGCACAGTAGCTCTTGCAGTGGTGAAATCGCAGTAGGGCCTGTCATGCGGCAATATCCAGACAACCGTATATTGCTCTGAGAAAATCCAGTGCTGTGTAAAATTGCAAGTCTTCTCTACCACCCTCTTACTGCGTTAAGCACAATTTTATTTCAGTTCCTGTTAATTTATGGTATAATTCAGAAGATAAATACGGTAGTGATAGACAACTCCAGACTGTTCACAGACTGTTAAAATCATTCATTGCTTAATTCTGTGTTTATTATTGTAAATATATTTTCGTGTATTTAGATGCAGAAGGCGTCCTTAGAATTCCTCAACAAACCATCGAAGGAAGCGAGATTCATATTCAGAATTATGAAACATGGTTGGCAGAAAAGAAGGTGAATACAGAAGGTCAGTTTACAGAAGATGCAAATGTTGAAACTACAGAGAAAATCTCCAGGGTAACGTTTGAGCCTATGGATCGAATGCGGAATGTTCGTTCCTTCGAGTATTGGTCCTCCTATATTAAAGAGAATGAGAGAAGATTGAAAAAAGAACGGGCTGCTGTTACCAAAACCGACTCTGATTCGCTCCAAGCAGGAAATATATATAGAAAGGAAATTATACTATTTTACATCAGTATAACCATCGCTAAGATCATCATTATAGTTTACTTGGTAAAGAACAAACGAAACAATCACGATATACGTTATAAATCTCCTATTCGCCTCCCCAAAATGTAGTTAACTGTCTAGTGAAATATGATTGGCTAACTTAGTGAGACGATATATATTCTCCACCAAACGAAATTTCCTGGTCGAAAGCCAACAAACCTTACGAAATAAATCGAACAACAAAATCACAGAACAAATTTAATTCAACAGCAAAACCCAATAATAAATTTATCCCAACGTCATAAAAAGCAAATTTTTTTAAGCTCAAAAACAATTAACCTTGATCGGTAGTCATGACATAGGTCGGTGATAATCGGGTGGCATGTAAATCACTTGTCACCCTCGGTCGGAGTATGAATTTTAACCCTGTTGTTATTTATGTTTCACTAGTTCCAGACACCTGGGATAACTCACTAACTGAAGGCGTGTTTCACAAAGTCAAATTGTCGACCGGCAGTAAAGAATACGTGGATATCAAAACTGCCTTCAGAAAAACTGCTTCTAATGCAATTGTCTGCATCGAAAGAATACAAAACAGAGAAATTTATGAGCTGTACAACGTAAAACGTAAAGCAATGATGAAGAAATTTGGAAACAATTTCCCCGGCAAAGAGTTGATGCTGTTTCATGGCACGTCTCCAGAAAACATTAGTAAAATTAATTCTGGTGGATTAAACAGGAGTTATGCTGGGATGCATGGTTAGATTTGCTTTGTTGCTGCTGTTTATATCAGTTTGTTTCTTGTATTCTCGTGTTTATTAAGTATTTTTTTGTTTTTCGTAGCTACCGCATATGGTAGAGGTGTGTACTTTGCCAGAGACGCCAGTTACTATTGTCTAAAAAATTTCTCGCCCCCAGACTCCCAGGGACTTCGTTACATGTATTACGCGAAAGTTCTGGTCGGAGATTACACAACTGGGGACCCGAGTATGATTATAGCTCCTCTCAAGAACACACTGGATCCATACGAAACCTTTGACTCAGTGGTGGACAACCCTGCAAACCCGAGCATTTATGTTATGTTTCAAGATTACGAATATTATACTGAGTATCTTATCACGTTCAAAAGATATTAATTTTAAGTTATAGAATCTTACGACACTAACGAAAGAACTGACTTATAGGCCTATAAGGTGGACTGTCAAATGAACTTGCAGGTACATTCATAATTACATAGACAACTATCACCTTTAGTTTCATTATATGACTTATAGTGCACGACGCAACAGCGACGGACAGGATGATGGGTGTATAGTGTGTATATGGTTACGAGCTAGAGGAGAAAGTTAGTTGGATTGTAATATTATAAAGTTATGCATGCGCAGTGATCGTGATTAAAACGTGGATATAATAATAGTCCGTGTGTTATAAATCTACGCAACAAACGACTACGTACAACTGATAACTTCCATCGTCTCATCGTACTTCCATTGGGACTTAGTCCTATCACATGCTATAAATGCATATTGACGTGATGACGTGCACATGGTCACAACAAAAATCAAGACAGTTCACATATACTCTTTTGAAGTTTTGAGTAGTATAGTTTTGAATAGTTTAAAATTTGGATATATAGTGTAATTCCATATTTTAGCTCAATATTTTAATTTTAACTTTCTTTGGTAAAGTTTATTTTGAAAGTGAAAAGCTAGACACAGCGGGTGACCAAATTACATGCAAATATGCAAAGTCTCCTCTCAAATATAACTGGGAAATTTTAATCACAAGTCTACACGTTTTGCTCTTTGAATTTCCTTTACAAACTTTACAGCTCTCTTGGCTAGGGTCAGTAAGATATTTGCAAATGGCCTGATATTGTAAAGTGTAAAAATGCTTTCAAAATACGACACGGAAGTCTGCCGGAAATACGAATGTCTGAGTATAAATAAAGCTCCAAGAATTGCATAGGTTTTCCAGGAACCCCTCATAGGTTGAGTAATACAACACTATCGAAGCAAATTATTGTGTTGCAGTTTCGTTTTGAGGCGAGCTAGCCTTGAAATAGTTTGTGTACAATACTATGGCAGGGATTTCACAGCCAAGTGTTGATCCTAAGCGAACTGTTGTTGTGTTAAATGTCCCTTCAAATATTGGCGAGGAAGATCTCACAATTCACTTTCAGAAAGCAAAACATGGCGGTGGAGATGTCGATGAGGTTGTGGTAAACGAAAATGTAGCGTTTGTTACTTTTGATTCAGCAGAAGGTTTGTGTCAGTTTTTGAAATATTTGTCGTAGAAGTGTGATACTTTGGTTGAGGCAAGAGAATATTTGCCGACTAAAGCACTTTCACTTTTAAAGCACTATAGTTAAAGATGTTCAGTATGGACAACTGCAATGATTTTATTTTCTAGCACAGTCTGTTGTAGTTAGCCGTGTACAATCGCTAACGCGATGGTAAAATATATTAACGCACAGTAGCTCTTGCAGTGGTGAAATCGCAGTATGGCCTATCATGCGGCAATATCCAGACAACCGGATGTTCAGTGCCCTAAGAAAATCCACTGCTGTGTAAATTTGCAAGTCTTCTCTACCACCCTAGCTCTTACTGCGTTAAGCACAATTTTATTTCAGTTCCTGTTAATTTATGGTATAATTCAGAAGATAAATACGGTAGTGATGGCAACTCCAAAGTGTTCGCAAACTGCAGACTGTTAAAATCATTCATTGCTTAATTCTGTGTTTATTATTGTAAATATATTTTCGTGTATTTAGATGCAAAAGGCGTCCTTAGGATTCCTCAACAAACCATACAAGATAGCGAGATTCATATTCAGAATTATGAAACATGGTTGACAGAAAAGAAGGTAAATATTGTTACTAACTTACTGTTAAACTTTTGAAAAAAATTCCCCCTCCCCCCTTTAGTTGGCAAGACCGAACTGTACCCCACTCCGGAAGCAATATTATGGCAACTTTTTCTCATGATTATTCTTGACAGAAACGGGAGGATGAAGCAGCTGAGAACAATGGAGTTAAAACTATTTACGTGGGTGGAATTAAAGAAACAACTACAAAAGACTCCGTATGCTTGTTCTTTGAAAACAAAAGAAGAACTGGTGGAGGGGAATTATGTGAAGGCAATCAAGGGTACAAGAGAATTTCCCCAACTGTGGCTCGTTTGACGTTTCTTTCCTCTAAAGGTTCGTCCACAACATCGTCTCCATCATAGCCCTCTGCATCATTTGTTTATTAGAAACTCTAATCTTAATTTATATCCTTTTCACTTTTTTGATATTGCAATTGTCAATCTTTAGTTGTCAAAGAGATACTCCGAAGATCAAACCAAAAGGGACTTATACTGGATGGCAATCCATTGAGAGTGACGACGGAGTTTGAACCAACACACGACAGAAGTATTTTGCTCGTAAAAAACCTCAATCCATCGACGACCAAGGAAACACTCAAGGACTGCGTGGAGACCATGAAAAATGCCGATGTCTTCAACGTTATTCTTGGAGAGGATGGCAAAGCTATCGTGATACTTAAAAGTGAAATAGGTACTTGAATACTGTACACAAAAAGAATTAAATAAGGCACTTGTTTGAATATATTACGTTTCATAAAACACGAATTTTAGGTGACGATTCTTCAGAAGATGAAACCTCTTCAAACAGTGAAAATCTAACCAAGTTAGACGGATCTGAAATTTCTCTGGAATTTGCTCCTTTCACTAAAGGCATACGAGTCAACAATATCCCACAAAAAACAACGCCAGATTCGATCAAATTCAAATTTTCAAACCCGAACATCGGTGGTGGCACAGTGACAGACATTATGCTAGACAGGAACAATGGTGTCGCTAACGTTTACTTCGAACAAAATTCAGGTATTTCATCGGAAAGGATTTCATTTGTAAACTATTTTGAAAACATGTTTTAGTAAGTCCGTACAGTTTAGTACGATGAAATGATCGCATTCGTGTTGTCTCTATGAAATATGTGTTCTATTCTTATTATAGTTGTTTCTGCTCTTGTGAAAAAGTCACATAAAATTAGCGACGTTTCTTTAACCGTGATTCCGTACTACGACGAGTTTGAAGAACTACAAAAAGCTAAAGAAGTAAAAAAGTCCGAGTTCTCTGGTGATTATCACGTTGAACCTCTTGTCATGGACTATATTTTCAACCACCAGGATTCTGAAAGAATAAAGTTCAACTTCAAGTCGATGAAATATGATGAAGCGAAGTCAACTTTACATTTTACGAAAGATTTTGATGATTCTAAGCTGGCGACAGAATTTCAAAATAAATTGAAAGAGTTTTTACATTTGTTTTCCAAAGAGGAAGTGAAAATTCCGAAAAATATTTTAAACAAAGTCAAGGAAACGATTGAAAGCAAACGCGATGAATTTGATGCTGACGAGGTTGATTTTATCTTTGATAAATCAAATGTTTCATTCGTTGGAAAGAAACAGGACATTGCAGAAAAGAAACAACTCGTTGAAGCGATGATCGATCAGTTCACAGAAGATGCAAATGTTGAAACTGCAGAGATGGCAGTCGAAGAAAAATATAAATTAAAGTTTTTGAATTTCATTGGTTATTTTGAGCAACTTAAAACAGACTTTCCTGGATTTACAATCCATGGAACAGACAGCCTATCTGGAAAATTATCGCTTGTAGGAAGAGCAGAGAAATTGAAGGATATCCAATTAAGAATCCTTCAAGATTTAATGAAGATTTCAGTGATCGAAGTGTCGTTGAGTGATCGTCAGATTGGTTTCTTGAATTGGACGGACTGTCAGATTGTTAATGATGAGTTACTTAAAGATGACGCCATGTTGTTGTTGACTGATGTCAAAGGCAAGGTCGGGGCAAAAGGCCTACAAGCGAAGATATTTTGTTGGAAGAAAGATAATAAGGTAAGACGTTAACTAGCCGATCAGGGCCGTTGCTGGACCGCTTAATTTGGAAGTGTATATTCACGATTCATGTATTCTTTATTGCAAATATGCAGCCAACTTTCCCAAAGGCCTGATGACGATCATATTTAGTAACAGAGAAATTAATGATTATGTGTTTTCATCCCAGGAAAAAAAGCTTTCTGACATCGTGCATTTAAAAACAACGGAGAAATGTGTTAAAGTCGACGAGGAGACAGCAAAGGTTCTGGCAAAGTCAGGAAAACTACAAGAATTGAAAAATGAAAAGTTTGAAAAACAGGAGGTGCTGATAGACCAGGAGCTCAATAATCCTTGCAACATTTGGATAGTCTGTGAAAATTCTAAGATGACGAACGCCGAACAAGAGCTAACAAGTTTAACTGATGAAAAGAAAATCTCCAGCCAAACATTTAAACCTATGGATCGAATGAAAGTTCGTTTCCTGGATGAGCATTGCCTTTCTGAGATTAAACAGGAAGAGAGAAGTTTGGAAAAAGAAGGCGTTGTTGTTAAAAAAACCGACTCTGATTCGCTCGAAGTAACAGGAACTCCTGCGGGTCGAAAGCAGATGATACTGTTTCTCGAAAAACAGGCTGGAAACATTGATTGCAAAGTAGGTGCTTCCATATGAAAACATTAAGTGAAGTTTTAGGTTTTCCCCTCAAGTAACAAAAACATTCTGTGTTCACAACAGGCATATCCTCTCAACGAACCAGGTATGAAAAAACAAATGAATTCAGAGACAACAGACGCCATTATCTCTAGAGTTGAGAGGGACTACAGGTGTGTTATTGAACGAGAAAGCCAGTCAGAGGAGGCTGACGTGAAGCTTGAAGAAGCACCTGTGGTAGCAGACGGGATGGTCGCAGGAGCTAGTGCAGCTGGTGGTGCAACAACAATGGCGCTTCCCTATCGTTTAATGTCTTTTGTCAATGACAAGGAAGTGAAGATGGTCTCGGGAGAAAGAATATCGATCGTTGTTGGTGACTTAGCACAGCAAAAGGTGTCATTAAATTGTGAATGACTTATTTTTCTTGCACTGAAGAGCCATCTTTACAAATATAGTTGTTTTTGTTTACAATGTGTTTTACAGTTTGATCTCTTTTCTTTTTAAGGTCGACGTAATTGTAAATACAACCAATGATAAAGTAGATTTAACTGCGAACCCTTGTGGCAAGGCTTTACTTAAGGTGGCTGGTAACGGACTGTCGACGGAATGTCAGAAGATTGGAAGTCTACAGGCGGGAGAAATGGCGTCAACTGGACCAGCAAAGCTTAACTGTAAAAGCGTGTTTCATGTTCGTTCATCTCACTATGAGAACGGGAAAGGTGTTGGGGTAATGAATCAAACAAAATTTGAGCCAATTGAGAACAGAATTTGCGGACATTAAATCTAATTTTTTTTCTTTAGACGCTTCGTGATATCATCAAGAGATGTTTGGATAAAATGGAAAAAGACAAATTAACATCCATAGCGATACCAGCCATTGGTACAGGAAATTTAAAGTTCCCCCGCCCAGAAGTCGCGAAAATCTTTTTCGAAGAAGTGACAGGCTACTTCACTCTGCATCCTAATTCAGGGATCAACGACGTTCGTTTTGTGGCGTACAATAAAGACAAAGCAACTGTGGATGCATTTCTAGGTTTGTAAATAATCTGAATCCTAACAGAAATATAAAGTTTATTTATATTTCTCTACACATGTGCATTTGTTTTTTCATAGCTGCCGTTCAAGAAATCAAGACCTCGATTCTTTCCTCTCCCGCTAAACCCATGCCAGTTCCAAGACGTCTTAAAACGCCTTCAGTGAAAGATAAACCAACACACGTACCAGCTGGTCTAAGCAGTGTCACTGCCGGTGAAAAACCAGACGGAACATTGGAGTTCTCTTTCGGAAGTAAAAATCTCGCAGTTGAAATTGTTTGCGCTGACATCAGCAAAGAAACGACAGACCTCATCATGCACGTGACCAACGAAGAATTCTCCTTCCAGGGAGGGGTGGGTAAAGCACTGATACGAGCAGGGGGTGATAACATCGTTCAAGAAGCCAAGGCTCTGGGGAAACCAGCCCTCTTTTCCACGCAGTACACAAAAGCGGGAAAGTTAGCTGTCAACCAAATCGCACACGTGATCGGGACAGGCCAGCCTTCCCAAACAGAGCTGAAAAAATGTCTTGATAATTTTTTCAACGATGTTTCAAAGAAAAATATCGCCAAAATCTCGTTCTCTGCTATCGGAGCAGGCGCCATGGGGTTCACTGAGAGTCAGTCCGCTGAATTGATCTTTGATAATTTGTCCTGGATTTCCGAGTCAAAGGACAGTAATTTGAGTTTAGTTCGTATTGTGATTTTCGATAAACCAAAGTTTATAAAATTCAAAGATGCAGCCAAAGCCTATTTTGCTTCTGGTGGCGCCACTGGTTCGAAAGCTGAACCAGTGAAATCATCGTTTGCTCCAAAAACGCGTTTTAACGTCTTCGGTCGTTCGAAGAAATTCCTAAAGCCCACAGGAGGGAAAGACGGAGGTGTGTCAATCAAGATCTACTCCGATGACCGTGGGAAGCTTGACAAGGCCTGGGGTGAATTGAAAAAAAAAATGAACGAAAATATCCAGGAGCGACTGGTGAATGATGATGTCATCAAGAAGTTTACTGATGGCCATGTGGAGAAGTTGCGGGAATTGGAACGGAATTTGGACGTGAAAATCAAAGTGGAAGCAAGCAAGGGAAAGATAACCATCAAAGGTCATATTTCAGATGTCTCAACCGTCCAAGAAGAGATCCATAAATTGTTAAAAGAAATCAACGAAAAAGAAGACAATGGTAAATATTATATGATAATTACTGAATAACTATTAAATGCATTTGCAAAGCTTCATGCTTTATTCAGTTCAATACAATAGCCACATCATTATCAACGTTATCGCATATTTTATAAGGAATGAATTTCTAGTCTTCGGGCAGATCATAGGGAAATATAGTTTGTAGACGTTTGCCTCTTAATTATTATGCCAATGGCACGATAAACTATTATTCTATCAAATTCATTGTCTTACTAGTTCCAGACACCTGGGATAACTCACCAGATGAAGGCGTGTTTCACAAAGTCAAATTGTCGACCGGTAATAAAGAATACAAGGACATTGAAACTGCCTTCAGAAAAACTGCTCCTAATCCAATCGTCTGCATCGAAAGAATACAAAATAGAAAAATTTATGAGCTGTACAACGTGAAACGCAAAGCAATGATGAAGAAATTTGGAAACAATTTCCCTGGCAAAGAATTGATGCTGTTTCATGGCACGTCTGCAGAAAATATTAGTAAAATTAATTCTGGTGGATTAAACAGGAGTTATGCTGGGATGCATGGTTAGAGTTGCTTTGTTGACGTTGTTTATATCTGTTTGTTTCTAGTATTCTCGTGTTGTAATACTTTTTTTTCTTACGTAGCCATTGCTTGTGGTAGAGGCGTGTACTTTGCCAGAGACGCCAGTTATTCCTGCAATAGGACCTACTCACCCCCAGACTCCCAAGGACTTCGTTACATGTATTACGCGAAAGTTCTGGTCGGAGATTACACAACTGGGGACCCGAGTATGATAGTTGCTCCTCCCAAAAATACACTGGATCCAAACGAGACCTTTGACTCAGTGGTGGACAATCCGGCAAACCCAAGCATGTATATTCTGTTTCAAGATTATGAATATTATACTGAGTATCTCATCACGTTCAGATAACTTCACTGCATTTTAATAATCAATTCATGTAAGTAATTTATCCTACGACAAGGCAAAGTATAGGATCAAGTAGTCCAAATGTCAAAATAGATTCAAAGGAACATTTATAATTGTAATCGTATAGCCGTTGAGAATTCATGAAACTGAAAGCCTTGAACTATATATATTAATTTGAAATTGGTTTAATAAAGTTATGATATAATATACATGCATCATCTTCTGTCCCAAAGAACGTGCACAACAAACGTTACAACAAAAATCAATACTTCACACATATGTTTTTGAAGATATTTAATGAATTTATTGTTTCTTATTCAACTTCGATACAGATTTTTCCATATTTCAACTCGTCTCTTTGATAAGGTTTATCTTACAACATTCGTTTTAGTATAAAACTAAATAATAGATTATGATGTAATACGAGTCTAGATAGATAGATAGAAGTATATCTAGATGTATATCTTTCCATAATATGTACAATTAATTGGAATATATAACGTTAACGATATAGAGTTTCAAAAGTAATAGTGACACACAGTCAGGTTTAGAAGTATAAAACGAGGTGGTGGTCAACCCGAAATTATTAGAGTGAAAAAATAACGTTATTTTCAAAACATTTGCTGCAATCTGCTACCTCAATACCACAATAAAGCGGAGTCTCTTTCTACGGAATTCATCGAATTTTAAGTGGATTTATTCTTCCACATTTTGGACTATTTTGAAAGTGAAAAGCTAAAGCATCATTGAAAAGCAAATACAACAAAATCATTATTATTAAGAGGCAAATATTTTTGAAGGTGCTTTGGACAAAGAGAAAACCATGGAGGAAAACCGGCGACTGATAAATATTAACACAATCAAATTATTTGACGTTTCGTTGCTGGCATTGGATCACGAACAACACAAAATTCTCCGGCCGTTACCCACAAAAAAGTCGCAATTTTAGTTCATTAATCCAAATCCATGAAAATGAAAGTTCATCCGATAAATTGTTGCTTTTAGAAACAGCCGAGAGAACCAAAGATGTCAATATGACGGATCCTGAAAGATCTTGTTGCAATCAAAGAAATCCAAGTCAAGCTGAGCGATCGTCAAAAAGATTTTCTGCAAAGGACTTGTTGTGAAATAGTGAATAGTGATTTAAAAGTAGAAGACGTCATGCTGATGTTGATTCCTGTTGAAGGCGCTGTGGGAGCCTGGTGGCTTGGAAGTAAAAATTCTTTCTTTGAAGAAATATGATAAGAATGAGGTATAGAACAAATTTCTATTTGTGAAATGATACAGCCTACTCGCTATAGTCGGTTGACAATAAATCTTTATATTATGTTGTTTATATTATGATATTTATATTATGTTGTTTATATTATGATATTTATATTATGTTGTTTATATTATGATATTTATATTATGTTGTTTATATTATGTTTTTAATATTATGTTTTTTCATATTATGTCTTTTATATTATTTTTTTTTTATATTATATTATGTTTTTTTGAAGGTTTTTGGGAATTTGAAGGTTTGCAAATTGCTGCACATGGTTGCTGAGTAAAAGGAGTGAATGTAATTGATAACAATCGAATCGTTCATAAACAAATATTTACAAAATTTGTGAAAAAAACAATAACAAAGATATAGAAAAGAATGAAATGAAAAGTAAATTCATGCAACTTCAGGATGATAAGATCAGAACGGAGATTTCCATTCCGCTACTTCAGGAAGAAAGAAATGAGATGAGGCATGAAATTCAGCAACGTCGGGACAGTATCGACCAGATGAATGAAATTCAGCAACACCAGAGCCAAAAGAATGAGATGAGTAATCAAAACAGCGTCTTCAGGAAGGAAGAAATGAGATGAGCCATGAAAATCAGCAACTTCGAAGACATATCGACAATATGACATCAGACGGTACGTCTAGGGTTGAAGAAGGTGCCGTAGTGGTTTCAACTAATGTACTCGGACGAGGGGCTTATGGCACTGTATACAAGGGAAACTTTCATGGATCCAAAGTAGCGGTTAAAGAATACTACGAAGTTCTTATATCTCCTTATAACTTGCAAATTCTCCAACGTGAAGTATATATCGCATCGCAGTGTCACCCGGAGGAAGGACTACGTACGACTCAGTCATGTACAAATTTGAAAATGCTAGAGCAACGCACGACTCAGTCATGTACAAATTTGAAAATGCTAGAGCAACGCACGACTCAGTCATGTACAAATTTGAAAATGCTAGAGCAACGCACGACTCAGTCATGTACAAATTTGAAAATGCTAGAGCAAGAGGCAGCGAGGTTGAGAGAGTTGAACTGGACCTGGAAAAGAAAATAGCATTGGTTGAGTTCAAAGATCCAAGTGGTAAGATGGCCGGATAGATTGCTCGTTCGCTATTTGTGGAGACTGAAAGTCTGTAGTATTTGAATTGTGTGTGAATAGTTTCTAAAGTATAAGGCCTGGGTTATCATAGTTCAGAAATATAACAATTTTTACCGATAGTCACTTAGGACTGGGTATTGCATTTCAAGTTCGGATTTAAATGTACATTGAATGTTAGTGTTTGTTTAGGGGAAAGAAGGCAGAAACATATCATTGTGTCCTTTTTCTCAAGTTCGCACTTTCCACAAAACCACAACAACAATCATTATGGGCGATCACATAATATCCATTCCAATAACAGCCGCGACTCAGGTTGACCCGAAGTGGATTGTATATCTCGTGCTTGGATAAGCGTAACATCAGCCAGACAGTGTCTTTTAAACGTATACCTTACTTTTCTAGTTATAAACAACGTTCTTTCCATACCACAAACTTTGGACAATACGGTTCTAACCGTGGAACGCTATCTTCCAAGCCTTAGTTTAAAAGAAAGAAATAAAACAGAACTGAGAGTAAAACTGCAAAAGGCTGTCCTACGCTATCTCTCGGGTTACGGCAAAACTATCTTGCAAGGCTTGCGATTGGAAACGAACTTAACGAAGATAGAGATTGGAAAAGAAGAATTGGTGCTGTTGGGTGAGAAGTCAGCAGTCGAGAGTTGTTGTACGAGAATACAAGATCTTACAAAAGGTTTGTAATGTATTTTCTTTGGCACAGGATGTACTATCTTGTTTGATAGTTTGTTTAATCAGTCAACAGCATATTTGTATTTGCTTGTTATTTGGAAAACTCTCAATGTGAACCTTATAAATATATACGACTTTCGTTTCAGATCTAAAGGTAGAGAAGATGGATTACGGAACACCGGAAACAGCGTCGAGTATAAAAGAAATGGCGTACATGGCAATTGAGAGCATTGAAAGAAAACATCGATGTGGAATTGCAGTCACAGTCAACGACCAGCCAGAAAGACTGGACCAGGAGGACACTTTCCCACAGATTTCGGTGGAAGTTGTAAAAGGCAATATATATTATGTTTTTAATATTATGTTTTTTTATATTATGTCTTTTATATTATGTTTTTTATATTATATTATTTATGTTATGTTTTTTATATTATGTTTTTTATATTATATTATTTATGTTATGTTTTTTATATTGTTTTTTATATTATATTGTTTATGTTATGTTTTTTATATTATGTTTTTTATATTATATTATGTTTTTTTGAAGGTTTTGGGGAATTTGAAGGTTTGCAAATTGCTGCACATGGTTATAAAGGCGCCCACCGACAAATCCATGATTGAAAATGCAGTTACAAGGTGTTTAAACGACGCTGACATGTACGGCTTCACCTCGTTGTCGTTACCTGCGGTCGGAACCGGTCACTTGCAGAGAGATGGCAATCAATCCGCCGAGATTTTATACCACTGCATTAAGGAATATTGGAAAAGAGATGACAAGTCCTTGAAGCTCATTCGCATTGTTAATTTTAAAAGAAAACGTTTTCGAGGAATTCAAAACTTTCGCACGCAAAGATCCGGGCGCAGAGTCATCGAAAGGTAACAAAAAGATGTTAATACTGTCTTTTCGTAGATGCATGCATGTGGAAAAAATCAACCGCACTGGTTTTAACAGATCTTATTCGGTGAAAATCACGAGTAATTTAGGTTCTTTTAAAGCGCGCGGAATAGACGAAAAATCTGAATTAACAAGACAAAAATTTCGCGACAACGGAAATGAAATAGTCGGTTGACAATAAATCTTTATATTATGTTTTTTATATTATGATATTTATATTATGTTTTTTTATATTATGTTTTTTACATTATGTTTTTTATATTATATGTTTTTTTGAGGGTTTGCAAATTGCTGCACATGGTTGCTGAGTGAAAGGAGGGAATGTAGTTGATAACAATCGAATCGTTTATAAACATTACTAATTTGAATTTCTAATGCTTATACAATGGATACATGGAATTCTTTCCATTTCAGAGTTCGAAATATTCGTCAGGCAGATATGCGTTCATACGATCCAATTTTGTCGGATCCAATTCATCAGTTCTGGCGTATGGATGTAGTCTGCTGTTGATAATGCCGTTCTGCGTTAACTTTAAGCTGATTTGCTGCCCATATATGGACATTGCAAGTCAACAAACGCGGAAAAGCGATGCCAATGAATATAGAATGGAAGTCTGGATCGATATGCTTATGTCGACCGTATAAACACCGTTCAGAAGCATTCAAAACCGTTCAAAATCTCAATGGCAAGGAAGTTGGTGGAAAAAATATTCTTGTCAGACTGGCTTGCAATGAAGACGAACGTTACGATCTTGCAAGAAACCAGCGCTTTTGACGACCTATCAGAACCCCCTATCGTGTTTGCGTCAAAAATATATCAAGCCGTGCAAGGTGGATGGAATTGAAGCAACTATTGTCGTTGGCGGGAAAAGTAACGTATGTTAAAATACACGAGCGTGTTACAGGGGAAGGAATTGCAGAATTTGCAACCAGGAAGGATATGGACGGTCATTATATCAAATTCTCGATAAGTTTCATTTTGCCGTTAACGCCCTCTTAATATATTACTGAAATGTCTATACAACAATAAAACGCTCAAATTGTTCTCATTTGAGGAGAGCAGGATAAACCATGGCAGTAATTATGCCAGCAAGTTGCAACATCTTGTTAAAATTAAGTTAAACACTATAATGGCAACTTTGTAAACAATCATACCTAATTATTGCTCTCTTTCAACCAAGCTTTTCACTTTCAAATATCGGAAATGCATTTTCTAATGATTCATTACTAATCTCTTCACGTCTAAACATGGTCATAAAGTGTGTATCGAACGAACAAGCCTACAACTTTTTATTGCTCTTAACTTAAAATTTTTGTGGTTTTTTTGAACTATTCGGTGAAAATCACGAGTAATTTAGGTTCTTTTAAACCGTGCGGAATAGACGAAAAATCTGAATTAACAAGACAAAAATTTCGCGACAACGGATATGAAACAGCGTCATTTCTTCACTCTAATAAGGGAGGGTTGACCAGAAATTTTGCTGCACATGATAATACTGTGCGCAACGCATGATAATACTGTGCGCAACTCATGATAATACTGTGCGCAACGCATGATAATACTGTGCGCAACACATGATAATACTGTGCGCAACGCATGATAATACTGTGCGCAACACATGACTGTGATATTACTGTGCGCATATTGTGCGCACTTTTTTTCAACAACGAATTGATGTATTATTTGGTATAGTGTTATCTCGCGTTACTTATTACTAAAAACATATCCGACCCCTTTTATCACAACGTGTTCTTCCCTCGCCCCGATCCTACCTTTCTGCAGTAGTAAGCTGAGGTTATATCCGGTTATATCAGGTTACATCAGGTTACATCCGGTTATATCATGTTACATCAGGTTACATCCGGTTATATCAGGTTATATCCGGTTATATCAGGTTATATCAGGTTACATCAGGTTACATCAGGTTACATCAGGTTACATCAGGTTATTTCTTGATACCTAAAAAACGGTATCCCTTCATTAAAACTATGGGACTATGTCCTGTGCGGCCACCTTTTGCCAAATTGTAAATATTTTATTTCTGCAATAAAGTGATTAGAAAGCCGGAAAGAAAGAAAGAAACTATATATATTATACGCTACATAAAGTCGAATTACATAGCATTACATAACACAGGGGGAAAAATTGAAAAGAAAACAATTTAAGAACATATTCAGGTATTAAGAAGATTCTAAAAAATGTCAATATTTAGTCATTTACCTTCATTGTGCGCCGCGGTTTCACGATTCATTCAAACAAAGCCGCTCTCAACATCATTTCGACCGTCATCTTCTAAGTAAAGGTCGGCTTCATCGAGCTTAGAAATACTAGATGGAAAAAAACAATTTCATATGAGTCAGTTTATCACGTTGAGTAGAAGTACGTTTTAAGCGCTATAAGTATAACTTATAAGTGATTTTAAATGTTTGAATACTTTCATAGTTTCATACCTGTATGCATTGCGGCATCGGTGTTTTTTGAAACGAAGCCCTCAGGTTCTCGAGTTCAAGTTTGTTTAAAGTATTTTTGAGAGGAAATCCATCAATTTCCAGATCGATCAGCGACTTTAATCGCCAAATGGAATTCATCACAATTTGACTTCGCTGTCTGGCATCTTTTTTCGATGTCAATTACTTTCAGGAAAACTGAATTTGTCGTTCCCGTCATTGCTTTGTCGGCGACTCCTCGTAGGTGTCGTTAGTTTGTTGGCCAAGGATTGCAGTAATTAGGTAGTGACTTCATGGTATGATTAATGATTGTTACAACAACAATATACAGATCTTTTCGCCCAAATGCGGTCGTTTACTGATTTGCAATATAAAAGTATTTAAATCGTTGATACGACGATGTAGTTCGCTCTTCTTCTTGTCGAATCGTTTCTTTGACTCAAAATTGTTCTGCAAAAGGTAGATCGATACGGCTTAGCTATTTTGAAACGCTTTGATCGTCTGTCCACGTGGTTTGCATGCTAACAGCTCAGTTTTATCACAATTAATAGAATATACCTAGGTGCATAGTTCAAGATATCATAGAAGAAGATGAGACCCTTTACACCTCTAGAATTTACCTACATCGAGTGAAGTGCCAAAAATCATAATTGATTAACCCTCACCTATTCTCGGCATTACCATTCTATACACATTAACCACGCTTGATTTTGTCAGCTACCTCTGTAGCTCAGTGGCAGGAGCATTGCACCAGGATCGCAAAAGCGTAGGTTCGATTCCTGCCGAAGGACCGATAGTTGAATCATTTTCCCATCAACCTTTCCTGGCTTAAATTTGAAGTGTGTATAGTTCCACTCGAAGTGTGTATAATTTCACTCGAAGATACACCCAGACCTTTTAAACGCCTGTTTTAACCTGGTTTATACTTGTTCCATATTTGTCAAGTGTCTATTGTATTTTGAACAAAACGGCAAACAAATAAACCAATAGTAAGGTCTGAATTAACATGTTATTCAAAGGAACTAAGCCAAGCCATTGTTATTGGTTAGTTGGGCAAAAATACAATAGACATGTGACGGATAAGGAACCGTTTTTTGCATAAGATAAATATGCATAATATATAAATTTGCATAATAAATAACGAGTTGTTGCGGTAACTTACTGTAAAGCAGATTTTGTACGGAAAGCGAATATTGCTTTTTGCATCTTAAAAAACCTTTTTCTCTTTGTTGCCCATAATACAACGGGCTTTTCAAAATGGCTTCAATTTGATATAAAGGGTCTACTTTCAGCCTGAAAAACCTGCATATATCACGCCATTGTTGATCACGCCCAAAATCTACATCTTACAATCCAGCGGTCGTGACATAAAGACATGCGCAGTAGTAGATTTAGTGAAAAATGGACGAACGCGTGTTGGGATAAAAAACGAACTTTTGAAAGTATGCATTGAAATATTGCAATTTCGGGAGAATATCTAGGCGAAATTTATCTTTTTTGGTAGTACATTTGGAAGATATGTCGTATAGGGTGTATTTCGGTCGTTTACCAGAGAGTTTGAGTCAAGATGAGTTTGAAAAACTCCTTGCTGAACACGGCAAAGCGAGGAATATAGAATGGAAATCAGGGTATGCATATGTGGACTATAAACACAGTTCTGATGCGTCCAAAACTGTTCTGAATCTTAATGGCAAAGAGGTGGGTGGAAATAATATCTTGGTAGAACTTGCTCAGAATGGTGCTGGTGGGGGTTATGCTGTCTCTGGGTCATTTGCCCCTCGTCCCTTTGTAAAACCCCCATTACCCCGACCTATCAGAACTCCCCATCGTGTCCGCATTGAGAACTTGTCAAGCCGTGCGAAGTGGATGGAGTTGAAGGAGCTGTTATCATTAGCAGGGGAAGTGACTTTTGCCGACACACACAAGCGTGTTACAGGCGAAGGAATCGTTGAGTTTGCAACTAGAAAGGATATGGACGAAGCAATTAAGACCTTTCATAACACATCATTTTATGGTAAAACTATAAAACTATATGATGAGTCGCCTAGAAGCAGATCAAGATCACCTTCAGACAAAAAAAGTCGCTCACATTCAAGGCATCGTTCAACAGAAAAGAAAAGACATAGTCATTCAAGATCCACATCACCTCGGCGTAAATCAACCTCCTCTAGACGTCGTTCACGCTCACCACGAAGAAAATCAAGAAGATCTCATTCAAGGGACAGAAATAGGTCACCCAAGAGAAGAGGTTCAAGATCTAGGACTCCAAAACGTAATTCTCATAAAAAGTCTAAACGCCATTCATCCCCTTATTCGAAGTCCCCCAGACGAAACAAACATAAACGCAGCAGGTCGAGTTCACATTCAAATTCTGACAATAACAATGACTCAAAAAGAAAATCAAGAACTAAGGGAAAGAAAAAACACTCATCTGATACTTCATGTAGTGATAGTTCAGATAGTGATTAAACAATGTGATTTTATCGCATGAAATCATGAAAACTAAATATTGTTTTATGCTGGAATGAGGCTGGAATTCAGTAAATGAAAACTATTGCAGCCTTATTTTTGTGTTCTGTCACAGTGTATGATACAGATATTTTGTGGGCTTTTACTAATTTTGACAGTGTGTATTTTTATATAGTTAGTTTTCCCTTTCATAATTATTTACAACTTTCTCCACAAAGCACAAAGAAAGTTTCAAAACAAAGTTTCTGCGAGCTATAGTTCTATATTTGTTTTAAAATTGTTCTTATGCATTTGTTCATTGAGACATTGTTTTCAAAATACTATTTATGGAGGTCTTAAGATCTGCTTCGGTCATTTTCAATTTTGCCTCCAAGACCGTTTGCATTGTTGTAATACTTTCATACACAACCCTGAATGCTTCTCTGTAACTGTCTTTAATTGAATTATAAGATTTTTCCAATGATGTTTTTTGTTTCATTTCTAAATCATCAAGTCTTCTTGTGAGGTCTTCGTAATGTGTGTTGCCTGCTGCTTTTACCTCAAGCAAATTCTCATAGAGGCCAGAAAATGTTCCATCAATTCCCTCCCTCCATGCCTCCTGGTTTTCAACAAATTGATCAAAACGAAGTCTAAAGCTTGCAAGGGTCTTTGAATATTCGTGTAATTCAAGTCTCAAGTTATTTCCATCTGATCTCTCCTTTTCTTTTCCTTGCTTCTCATTCCATTTCTCTGCAACCTCAACACTCCGCTCTAGATTGGCAAATTTTGAATCTTGTTCAACTTTGAGTAGCTGAATTTTTCTCTCATATTCTAAGCTAGTCTTTTCAAGCCTAGTGACTAAACTCTGAACATCTTTAGAGCATTTTTCAAGCTTTTCTTTAATGTATCCTTGGCTTCTTTTGACATCAGACACTTCACCAGACAGTTTGTTCAAGTCTCCTGATAGTTTAATGGTGTTTAAATCCGCAAGAGTAAGCCTGTTCCAAACGTCCCCTATCCCAGAGACCTGATGCATTTCAAGATTTTTTAGAGCAACGTTTTGTGAATGTGCATTACTTTCCTCAGATTTTACAGCATTCTCCAAAGCTACCATATCCTTGCTTATTCCTTGCACATTTACCATTAATCTCCTCACAAGTTCTTCCAATGCAGTTCTCTCCTGTCTTTCGACCTCTAAAGCTCTTTCAGTGCGATCTAGCCTTTCTAGAATATACTTATTCAAGTCTTCATTTTGATCTTTCGACGTGGATGGACCAAAGCTAGCAGTCTCGGCTCTTTCATTGCTACCCTGTCGAGATCCTTTATACTTTTGATCGGCATTTATACGAGGAAATACGACCGATTTTGATTGTCGTGAACTACCACGTAATGAATTGGTATCCATAGAAGCGATTTTAGAAAACGACGGTAAATTTTATTCTGAAGATTGTGTATTTTTGTACATTTGTAAACAAAGCCAGTTGCCAACCAAGACCAATTATAAAACCATCGTATGTTTCGTAGGTGAAAATGCACGTATTTTTACCATCCAACTAGTAATCCGTATTATTTGACTATCTGTGCTTTTCCGAGTATAGTTTTTTGAGCTAATATCTTGTCATTTTCCCCAAAAACCATCGTATAAAAAATCTATAAAATTTTCGAAAGAGAAGGTCGAAAGGTCAATCCAATTAAGCTCCCGTTAGATGAAGTAACGTGCGCGACATTTCCGGTATTTTGGCGGCCAAAAATCACCAGATTTATGTATTTTCATTCTCGATTTCTCATAAAACCTTTAGCTTTGAATTCCTTAAATTTTTCAGGCTAATTAGAAAAAGCGTAGGAGAAGAATTGCGGGCATCCATTAGTTTTTATCTCCGTTTTGTTACGAATGTTCCAGTCCACATCAAATCTATTTAATAAAAGCATGCGTCTACTTTTGAAAGTGAAACATCGACAAACAAGGAAATATCGTTTAGGGAATCCTGTTTAATTGCTAAATCGTACTCGCTTTGCATTGAAAACTCATTAAAATGATAGTTTATTGATTGAGAAGACTGGATTATTCTGCGCAAACATTTGGAACGAATTTTTCATTCGAAATGTTCTAATTATTCCAAGTTCATTTCCGGTCACGTGTGCTTCCGATTCCTGCAGGAGGGGAGGTGTAACCACAGTTTTGATCGTACTATGATTTATTTATTTTCTTCGAATTTCCCTCCGATTTTACACAAAAGAAACGAGTTTTAGGACTGCCTATCGCAGCGAGCTTTAGGAAGAATCCTTGTGGTGTTTGGATCTGTCGAAACTGGGACGCAATGTCGAATAATAATGATATAATATACTGTGAAGATAGACATGTTATGCACGAGAACGGTATGGAATATAGTACACTTCATCGTTAATATACCAGCTATGATTTACCGCATTAACTCCTAAATCTTTGGTCATCTAGATGAGGATTTTCCCGAACGTGTCTCGGGAAACGAGATGGACGAACAACGAAAACAGCAAATGGCATATCAGTACTTGTGTCATCTCGAAGAAGCCAAAACGTAAGTTGCTTATAAAAATATACTTGGTATATTTTAAGAATGCGTAAAAGTATGGCTATTTGTGTTTACATTTAGATGGATGGAAGCCTGTTTGAAAGATGAATTACCCCCGACAACCGAGCTTGAAGAGGCTTTACGAACAGGAGTGATCGTAGCGCGTTTGGGCAACTTCTTCGCATCAGACGTTGTGCCTGTGAGGAAAATATACGATCGAGAATTAAAGCGATTCCAGGTGAGAAAATGTGTTTGAGATATTTTAAACTTGGCTTCTCTCACACAAAGCTGTGCGGTTTATTTTTCTGATCAATAATTTACACTTGAAGTTCAATGGAATTTATGTTGATTTTTCTGTTCAGGCGCGTGGATTACATTTCAAGCACACCGACAATTTTATGTACTTCGTACGTGCGATGGAAAAAGTCGGCCTCCCGAAGGTATTTGAAATATTTTTAATCTACTTCGCGCACGAAATGATATCACGACCTTTATTGTCAAGACTAGACGAGATCGTTCAATTTGCGCAACAAGTTGATTGAAGACTTCTTATAATAATGAAATGAGGAAACGGCATCATGATTTAATTTTACCATATATATATAGAATTCCACAAGATATCCTGTGTTTATTTAGTACTTATGTCTTTGTTTTCATAATAATAATGACTTTATATTATTGAAATATTACATCCTAGTTTAATACTAATATCAAATGTTAGGAAATGTTGCAACATATTCTAATTGGACCTTTTATATGTAGGCTGCTTCTTTGATGTGTATAATTAAGTAATTTCATGTAATTATAATCATATATATATGGAGTATAGAAAAGTCCTCTTTGAGCCAAAAGGGAAGTTCCTTGTAGTTCATAGCTGGTGCAATATTTATTGGGGAAAAATCTACCCTGACCCCATATTTACAGTATAAATTCAGGGTCTTCCTCTTGTCTAGGGATACAAATCTAACTGGTTACCATCCTACAACCCGTATCAATAGATCAGATAGTCATTTGTTTCGCATATTAATAACAAACTTTTAAAAAAAGTTGTGAAGATTTATCTTTAAGCTATAGCTAAGCTCTCTTGGGGTCATATAATATCCAATTATTCACATAGTTGGTCTGTAGTATTGTGGATGAACTGCTGTAATGTTAAGGAAATGTTCCCCATATTGTTTTGCTCCAGAAAGCCCAGACTGTTTTATTTGAGAGCAATGTTGTTGATAACTATAATGTATACAATATGCTTTACCGTATTCATTTTGTTCTGTAGCTTTTCTATCCTGAAACCACAGATCTTTATGATAAAAAGAACATGCCAAAAGTCATTTATTGTATACATGCATTAAGGTGGTGGGGTTTTTTGCAAGATACCCTTAACAAATCGTAAGCTTCTAGAAGAAAGGTTTTATTGTGTTTTTGTCTAGTTTATATCTCTTCAAACTTGGTTTGGCTCCACAGATGCAAGATCTTTATGGCAAAGTTAAATTTACAGGTATTGAATCTGATAATTTGCCCATAAATTTCCACTAAACCCATTACAATACTTCACTATTGAATCCTTCACCATTGTCTACCGTTGTCTAGTTTTGAAAAAATTCTAAGACATTAAGTACAGGTTAACCTTAAGGTTATTGTCATCGAAGTTGATCCTTGATGTTCATCAACTTTACTATTGTAGAGGAGGAGATTAGTGCAATGAGAAAAGAGCTGGAAAAATATGGTATTCAAATGCCAGCATTTAGCAAGATTGGAGGAATCTTGGAGAGTGAGGTTTGCCAATTTTGTTGTTTTAATACCAACCTTTTCTCAGCTACATGTTTTCATCATTTTCATTTTATACTTCATTTAGATGCCAGTGGATGAAGCTGCTTGTAAGTTTGCTGTTTATAGTAAAATGTTGAAATATAAAACTGTAGAGTGTCATGTTTGAGATTGCCTTTCTTTGTTATGTCTAAAAAGGAAATGCTTGTAGAAAATGGGCTTTCTGGAAGGAAAAGCCTTTCTAGATAAGAAATGAATGTTTTCTTCAAAACAATACATCATTTTGGAACACTTTGTCTTCATATGAAAGATTATACTTCCTGAGCTGATCTAGTCCAGCATTTCTTTCAAGATTCCTTTTTAACTGTGTATATATATTTCTGTATCTTTTAGTACATGCTGCTGTTATTGTGATTAATGAAGCCATAGATCATGGTGATGCTAAAGAAACATTTCAAGCATTGAAGAACCCCAATGCTCATCTGAATGACCTTAATGCCGACAACACAGATGAATATCAGGATCTGTTGTACAAAGCAAAAGGATCAAAATGTCAAACATCTTTGCTCAAGGTTAATATGAAGCTGTAATTTCCTAACTAATCATTTTTCTATTTATTAACTAAAGATATTATTTCAATTAGTCCCCTGGAAGTGAAGATGTTTATGATAAAATGTTGACACAATCTGAAATACAAGGAAATATTGCAATGGCAAATGAAATTGTCCGTAAAAGAGAGCTGGATAACGCTGGTATGTGGCTTGTTTTTAGAGTTTTGCAATTGTGACGCAGTCTGCTGTACATGTTGCATGCATTTTATAGTTTCAGAAATTAATGCTGCAGTTGATAATGGAGATCTCAGCAGACTACTAAAAGCTTTATTGAATGATAAAGCAAAATTAAGTAGAGTAATTTCCGAAAATGGTGATTGGTATCAACAGACACTCTCTGAAGTCAAGCAAGGAAAAGTAAGTACACAAATATAACTTGCAAATGATTTACTTGTTTCTTGAAATTCAGCCAAATATGCTGCAGTTCTTAGAAATCTTTGTTTATTATGAATGATGAGGAATATTTACTTTTTTCTCATTCTCAGGCAGGTGTACCATTAACTCATGCTGAAATTCAAGAGGGGATAGCAAATGCCAACACAATTGGGGAACAATTTAAGACACGTAAGTTTAAGCAGTCTCTCTGAATTGGCTTATCAAATTTAAACAAGTCATGGTGTAGACTGAAGCGTTACTGTACCTCAAGAAGGTTTTCCAGCCTACAGGAGGCTGGGGTTTGATAAAAACAAATGTTTTTTAGTGGAAACAATAATGAAGTCTTTAAACAAAGCATTGGAGGAGGGGAACGTTGATGAATGTCATGGACTGTTGATGAAACCTGAGGCGTTGTTGCCGACAGTTGTTAACCGCAGTGCGTATCTTTATTACAATGAACTAAACAAAGAGAAAAAGAAAAAACAACAGGTCAGTGTTTTGATGCTTTGGTTGGTATCTTTGAGTACAATCGCAGTGATTGCACAACAACGATATTTAATATCAAAGACTACGAAATTTATCGAGAAGGTTTTCTTTCAGACTGGTCATTCCTCCAATCTGACGCACGGTGAAGTGACAGAGCATGTTAAAGGTAAGCTTGAGATTGTTGCAGGAGATAATGTACGTCTTCACTTGATGTGAAGATACGTTGTTTGGTAGAGTCGATTTGGTAAGAGAAATTATAATCGTGAAGGCCGTCTGCACACCATCCATTATGTCTTTGAATATTTTTTACTGATTTTTTGCTGGATTGCAGTTTTAACAGCCATCGCCTGTATAAATCAAGCCATTGAACAAGGTAACGCATCTGAACTGTGGAAATGTCTCATACACGAATCCGCTAATCTTCAAAATGTCGAAGATGACTCTGTGAACAGATATCTGGAACAACTGATCGCTGTAAAGAAAGAAAAAGGACAGGTTTGTGTGCCCTAGACTGATTATTTTATTTGATCCGTTTTACCATCACATAAACTGCTCTTCCTAGAGATCAACTAAGGATCATGAACGATCTTCTCCCATTGATCCAGTGTTTATTGCAGAAGGATGCCTAAACTAAACCAACCTTTCTCATATATAATGATTGTAGTTCATCTGTTTTTAACTGTTGAACGTTTGTAAGGCTTCAAGCAAGGGTTTGGAGAACGCTAAAGGGATTTGTGTGAAATATTCCCACTTCTATTTCCAGGATTGTGGTCAGGGAAAAGATGACTTGAATCAAGTGGAACTACAGCTTTGCATCGATTACGTGAATACGGAGGTTGGAGAGGAGCATGCGTGTAAGTGCGTTGTTTTGTGATACCTATATCAACATATGTTCCCAAATGTTGGGAAAAAATTACAGTAAATTATATCAACATATGTTCCCAAATGTTGGGAAAAGTACATTAATATATTTTGGTCAACATCCAAAAGATTTGACACGTCGTAGTGCAGGAAAAACGTATCTCAATTGTAGATATACTTTTTGCTCAAAGATTTAGGCATGAAAAGAAATCATTATTATTATTATTTTTATAATGATGATTTTCTCGTCTTGGTGACTGCTACGTCATCGTTTGCTCGTGAAATCCACCATAAAATTGATTCGCAAGGAAAACCCTAGAAAAGTGATTCGATATTTTCATCCAGCTTCAAATCAATAGATAGAGATCTCAATTGTATAATAATGAGTAGTGTTTCAGCGAATGTTTTTTATCAATGGCGGAATTTTGGGCATTGCGTGTAAAAAGATAAATTATTAGATGTCCTCATAAATTATAAACGAAGGGAATTGTAAATACTGCAAAGTTGATGAAAGGGCCTTTGCTTGTAAACGAATCAATTTTTAATTTATTCCACATATGAGATATCTCCCAGTTCTTCAGTAAAATCTCGGTATAAAAGATTTCCACTTAAACACATCAAAAAATATTATTTTCAACGTAAAAATTTTGATGTTTTTTAGACAAAGCTTAGCTGTTTCAAAACAACATGTTTTCGCTAGATATTTGTTTCTATATGCTTTCGTGTCAAGGATGAAATGTTTACGTTGCTTCCAGCTAATTAATTATTGAAACAACAATTTGCAGGTGTTTTAATACGTGATATAACAACATGAGCTCATAAAAGGTCGCTTAATTTCACTGTATTAAAGTTTGAAATCGAATTTAAGCTTCACTTTTTCTAAAATGCTATAGTTGGTTGCCATTCAAATGTTCGTATAGTTGCATGCCGGAAAAGTGCGCGTGGTATTTTCTTGTGCAATCAACTTTAGGCACAATATTTGTTAAACGACGTGCTGTAGTTATGACAAGATCATTTTTAATCATCATGGCTCAAATTTATGCTTGTCTGTTTAAGTTTGCTCTGCGTTTTTTGCTATGGCAACCGGTCAGGTGTATCTATGCGTGTTAACACAATCCTTACACGCGAAAAATCATTAAGTTTGTATTTAAACGAGTAACGCGTTCAGCTACACGGAGCTTGCTTAATAGGAGATGAAAACAGACAATTTTCAACAGCTGTGAAATGCTGTTAGCGTCGTAGTATTTGTCACGTTTTTTATGCCGAATTGAAAATATTACATAGAGTGTTTTATAAAACAAAACAACTAAAAACACTAAGCCAGCCAGTGAAGTTCAAGAAAGCTTTTCGAGTATGGATAGGGCAGAGAAAAAAGAGGAAATCGTTGTTGGTTGTATTCGACATATAGAAGATGATGAATACGAAGAATCAGTTGTGTCCTCGGAAGAACAGTTTGTTCCCGCCATTGAGAACGAAAGCGACGAAGATTATGATACGGATTTAGAGGAAGAAACGAAACACGTTAAAAGGTATGACCTTTCAGGGAAGCAGGTGTACCTTGAAGTTTGCAAAGATCTAAATATCGTTCCGTGTTCGCCATTTTTACGACAAGTTGAGATAGAAGATGTTAACATCAGTCATTATAACGTCGGACCCGTTGGCTGCGAGGCGATTGCGGTTGCATTAATGAAGAATACAAACGTATTATCTCTTAATCTTTCTGATAATGCGATTGGAGGCGAAGGTGCCGTTTATATCGGGAAGTTATTGACAGAGAACTGTTATATATCTGCGTTGGATGTATCGCAGAATGCTTTGGGAACACAAGGTGCTTATGCCCTTTGCGAGATGTTAAGAGATAACACGGATTTGGTTGAGCTTAACGCCGCTTCCAATGATTTCAAGGAAAAGGATTTTGAGCCGTTTGTCGAAGCGCTAAGGGAAAACTTTACTTTGAAGATCTTAAACCTAAGTGGAAATTCATTTGACTCTCTGGCGGGAATGCTGATGGGGCCCGCGATCCGTGATAATGTTGGTCTTGAAGTACTCGATTTAAGCTGGAACAACATCCGTAGTCGAGGTGCCGAGATGCTAGGAGATGCACTAAGAGAGAACTGCTCCTTGAAGGTGCTCGATCTTTCCTGGAATGGTTTTGGCGATGAAGGTGCGAAATCATTGTGCGAAGCTTTGATGGTCAATGATACATTGGAAGAGCTGGATCTGACGAGCAACAGATTAACAATCCGTGGAGCGAAGGAGATCGTGAGGATGCTTTCTGCTAATACTTCTCTTCAAGTTCTGAGGTTAGGGAAGAATACATTCCGATGGAATATGGCGTTGGATATAGTGAAGGCAGCTGTGGCGAACGAAGAAGGACAAGCACGGGAGTTCTATTTTGATGATATGCCGGTAATTGCGGAGTTTGAGGACGCTCTTCAGGAGATCATGGCTTCGTGCCCGGATTTGATGGTTCAGTGTGGGACGAAATTGAGAGGAAAAGATAGAGCGAAGAGAGGAAAGAAGAAAAGGGTATGTTTTGTTTGAAATATTTTATCTTCACTTTAAGGTAGCTCTCATTCAAGAACATGTACCACCTCAGCATGATCTAACCATGCTTAACTCAGTCAAATGAGAGAAAACACAGGAGAGACTTAACTCTACTCACACGAGTTCTGTACAACATCAGATCACTTTAAGGTAGCTCTCTGCATGTACTATCTCTGCATGATCTAACCATGCTTAACTCAGTCAAATGAGAGAGAACACAGGAGAGACTAACTCTACTGACACAAGTTCTGTACAACATCAGATCACTTTAAGGTAGCTCTCTGCATGTACTGTCTCTGCATGATCTAACCATGCTTAACTCAGCGTCTTCGTAACAAACTAATCAATATGTTCTTCGTTCCCAGGACTTGCTCAACCTGCTTCTTGAATACATTGAGATGCGTGGTATGCGCATGATCGATATGTTTAAATTGATGGACAGGGACAATAACAATCGCGTCACTCATGACGAAATCATCGCCGGTCTGAAGCGAACCGGCCTTCCGATGACTAACGACGAAATCCGACGACTGATTACGTTAATGGACCGAAACGATGACGGAGCGATAAGTTACCGAGAGTTTTTAGCGTTACGAAAGAAAAAGGTTTTTAACGATTTTCACGCTCGCAGCAAGAAGATAAAAACGAACGATGCTGTTTTAAAACGAAAAATCAGTTACCTGAAGAAATAGTGGAGGAAATATCTTTACCTGTTTACAATCTTTCCGCTTAGATCAGTCTAATACCTCCCAGTAATATTTAGGAAAGAACATTAGTTACTGGTTGAAATTTGTTGATTTTGTTTAATAATATATTTGTAAATATTTAAATAAACATCTGAGTATTTGATTTCATGTAATTTTTGTAATCTTTCATGAAATTCAATACAAGGAAATGATGAAGGTAGTTCTCGTATATGATCCCATCGACTGCGCGCGGAGGTTGCAAATGTCGTGTTGAAAATATTTCATATGTTCATTCAGTTTCATAACCTTTTGTAGTAATTACCGCTGTGCAGGCGATCAACAGGACCATTGAAGAAGATAATCCAGCCTCTACCCTGACGTCATTGCAACAACAGTCCGCCAAACTTAATAACATTCTTCCTGAGAACGCCCTTCTTTATCAAGCTTTACTGTACGCGGAGAAACAGGAAAAAAAGAAGGTATAAACAACCCCCTACCCCCCCCTACCCCTTCTAAGATTCGTCTTCGTTACAAGAGAAAAAAATACACTAAACATAATTTATTTTGAAAAACCATATCATTCCTAATCTGTGCTTCCCGCCAGCCCAAAAAAGATCACTCCTTTAGATCTAAAAACATAATCTTTTATCGTTGCTACCGGCGGAAATTTTTTTGAATCGTCGTAGGAGTTTTCTAAGAATAAACCGGTAAATACTTTTACGATAAAACGATTTCTAATAATTTAAAATACATTAATTTGTTTAAACATTTAATATTTATTATAGAGAGTAAGGAAAGCGCGAAAGGTAAACGTGAAAATAATATAAGTTTATTAAACTTAACTCTGATAAAAGATTACTAGTTTAAATCCATAAAAATTGAGCTAAACTTTTAAGTGTGCTTTAACCTAATGTTGATCGAGATAAAACGTAATATGTAAAGCGTCTTAAAATATTGTAATATGTATTTCTTGTATGTTGAAATGCAGCGTAATTTTGTGCTTGCTTTGTGTAGAAAACCAACGATCCATCCGCCGAACTGTGGCATGATGAAATTCAAAGGATTATTGATAAATGCAATATTTATTCAATGGAGGCTAATAAACGTAAGTAATTATATACAGATCAGTGTCGACCGCGCATTACTGGTGTCAATATTGGGGCGTAATGCTTTTATTTCTCTACCTTTTGCTATGTCGTTGAAATTGAGTGATTAAAGTATGTCGTTTTTAGTTGCGGCTGGTGTGACTCAGATCAACCAGTCTTTGGAGTCTGGTAATGAACAAAGCACGGTCGAAGCTCTGGAGAATGCTGACGTGGGACTGCGGGGCGTGACCCGGGAGTGTCAGGCAGCATATCATTCAAGATTGAAGGAAACCAAGGATAACAAAGGACAGCAAGGTACGCTTTGTTTATATTGGGGGATAAAGAGGAATGACATCAGTTTGCGATGGCAGGAGTTCTGTGTACATTGCTCTACCACTCGGAGAGAGAGTATATCACACAAATTCTGAGTCATTTAGTTTAATTTTTCGTGTTTCTTTCATCTTAGCTGGTCCTTGGTTGGAGCAGAAGATTCCTCAGGGATTTCTTTATTACTACAATACAACAACACAAGAATCAAGTTGGTCAAAACCTGCTGAATTCACCGATAACTCTGGATTACTTACTAAGGAAGAAATCCAGGTAAATTACAGACAAACGTCATATAGGATATCTCTATGTAACTGTTCCTCTCTGAGATCAAGTACGGATCTCAATAAGATGCAATTATTATAACTTTTTTGGGTTTTACATACAGACGGTTGTATCCAACGAGACTGCTAAACATGGCCGACAAGTTTACCTTCAAGCCAATGAACCGTCGATAGTAAGACTTCAATCTCACTGGAGAGGATATTTAGCCAAGAAAACTTTCAACGAAAGAAAACAATTTATGACGAAACAACTCCCAGCTATTATTAAGATACAAGTAAGATTGAATTTTCTGTCCTGGATCTTCTTCTTCAAACTCCGTATTTAACTGGCTAGTTCAATGTATTTGTACGATATTTCAAGCAGTTATTCAGCAGCAACATCCTGGGTACTTCGATATCTTTTTCAAAAACCTTACTTCATGTTTCAGGCCAATTTAAAAAGATGGATACAACGCAGAAAATATAAAGAAAGATTGGAGGTTCTTCATAACAACGACGATTCCGTTGTCAAGGTTTGTGAAATATTTGTACGTCCTCGAGCGTGTTGCTCTCTTGTGGTTTTAGCTTTACATTTTAATTATTTAGATTCAATCGTGGACCAGAATGCATTTGGCAAGGAGTAAATACATGAAGAGAAAACAACTTTACGAAGATAACGTAAGATGTTGTCGTTTTGTCTGTAGTTGTTTTTGTAAAACTGTCGTGTCTTTTATATTTAAAGTGGAGATGATTGAGATTTAGTTCGTTTTTGCTTTTGATTCTTCTTTTCAGTTGCCATCAATCATCAAGATACAAGCATTCATGAGGGCAAATCTCGCGCAACACGATTACCGTGCTTTGTGTAAGTCTTGTAATTTGTGATATCTTCCACATTTCACCTTGACACAAACGCCAGGAGTTTGTTGTCGCTTTCCAAAGAATCTCAATCGATTTGATGTTGTTTTTTACAGTGAGTTCTCAAGATCCGCCGATCAAGATTGTGCGTAAATTTCTTCATCTTTTGGATCAAAGTGATATGGACTTTGCTGAGGAAATCGGTCAGTTTATTTTGAATATTCTATTCTATATTCTATTCTAAAAATGCCGGATAATTTACCGGACAATCCAGTCATTTTAAACCGTGCAGTAATTGTGACTGTAGGGTGACATTGAATATAGCTACTGGATGTCAGGATCATTCCATATTTTATTTATGAACGCGCTGTTCTACCACATTTCTTTCAGAACTTCAAAAACTTAAAGCACAAGTTGTTACAGAAATTCGTTCAAACCAAAACCTCGAGTATAATTTGCACGGTATGGACATCAAAATTGGCTTGTTAGTCAGAAACAAGATTACCTTGCAGGTATGTTTGCTATTATAGCTTTGCCGCCTAAAATGACTGCGTGTTTGGTTGCAATGAAAGAATTTATCGTTTTTTCCTCTGAAGGATGTTATACTTCACAACAAGAAAATAAGCAAAAAAGATCAGGATCTTCAATCGCTGGCTACATCAAATACAAAAGGAATAAGATCCCTGAGTAAAGAAAGCCAGGAGAAACTCGAAGCTTATCAAAATCTTTTTTATCTTCTGCAAACTAATCCCGTGTACTTAGCAAAACTTATCTTCGAAATGCCACAGAGCAGATCAACGAACTTTATGGAATCCGTCATTTTGACCTTGTATAATTACGCTTCAAATACTCGCGAGGAATATCTTCTTCTTAAACTGTTTGAAACTGCGTTAAGGGAGGAAATCTTGTATGTTGAAAACGCTGATAAACTTATTTTACTTCATTCTCTGATAGCTCTCTTAGTTGTTCTTCCCAGAGACTGTTACTACAAGAAGAAACCTGAACTAAGCTTTTTTCACGCTAAAGAAAGTCCTGTACTTTTGCCCCGAGAATTCTCAACCTGAATTGTTTAATACAGTCAAACTTTAATACAGTCTTTCTTCTATTTCGTACATTCTTTGTCGCTAAAGTTCGTTAATATTTTCCCGCTAGTTCAAAAATCGACAGCATTCAGGAAATAGTGACAGGAAACCCAACTGTAATCAAAATGGTGGTCGGATTTAACAGGTGAGAAAGTGAAGAACCACCCATGCAATTACAAGTCCCTTGAGTTTGAGAATGGCATTTATCTCGCGTCCCTGCATACGACAGTAATCTTTTCTTTTCCTGTGCTCAGAGGAACGCGAAACCAAGGTTCTTTGAGAGAATTACTACAGCCTCTGGTGCAAACCGTTCTCGATGACTCAACTCTGAACACATCCACGAATCCTGTGGAAATTTATAAAAACTGGATCAACCAACAGGAATCCGAGACTGGACAAGCAACGTAGGTGAACTAGGTTAACCCTGCGAGTATAGGAACCGCTATTCTCTGCTACTTCACCTGAGTGTATGGTGCTCTTTTCCAGGAAACTACCGTACGATGTAGATCCAGAACAGGCGCTAGAGCATCCCGAAGTTCGAAGTAAAGTGGAAGCAGCCATTAGCAGATTGACGGCAGCAACTGACAGATTCCTGCAGAGTATCACCGCCAGTGTTGACAAGATACCGTAAGAATTTGTGTTTTTTTAGTATTGTTGAAACTGCTGGTGATATTTATACAGTTTTTAGAAATAGACCTCTAAGTTTATCCAGTGTAAAAACAGAATTTTTGTCTTGAATAGCTCTATTAGTTCTAAACTGTTCTTCCTAGAGGTCCAGTAAGGATCATCTCTTATTGATACAGTGTTACCACAGGAGGAAACCAGAGCTCTATCACTTCTGTGCTTTTCTTTCTATCCTATCTTACCATTCAATTCTATGTCTGTAGTTATGGTATTCGATATTTGGCGATGACATTACGGACGTGTCTGGCGGAGAAATTCCCCAAAGCAGGAGAAGAAGAAATATTACGAGTACGAACTTCGATAACTTAAATAATATTAATATCTTTGATGTTTTAAATAGCTGCAACGTGCCTGAGATGATTTTCACTGCATTTTAAATATCATTTTTAAGGTTGTTGGCAATCTTATTTACTATCGTTACATGAATCCTGCAATTGTTGCTCCAGATGCTTTTGACATTGTTGACGTCGCTGTTGATAAAGGATTAACGGTTGAACAGGTATAGAATGACTTTTACAACCGAATTCCAGTGAAAACTTCAACAACAGTAGTCTGTCGTGATATTCAAACCTTTGAGAACTAAATCATTTCAACTTCTCTCCATAAAGAGGCGAAATCTCGGTTCGATATCAAAATTGCTTCAAGATGCCGCCTCGAATAAAAAGGTATTTCGTTTGAACCGATGAATTATCTTTTTTTTAAAAAAAATTCAACCTCACTATTTCTTATTCTTTAGTTTGGTGGTGAAAGTGCTCATTTGAATGCGCTGAACCCGTATTTAGAGAAAGCTCATCAGAGATTTTTGTAAGTAGATTACTTGATTCACAAATGGCTGATTCATTGTTTTCAAGCAAGCTTTTTTTCGCTTTCAGGAAATTCTTTACAGCTGCGTCAAAAGTCGAACAACCAGAGAATAAGTTCAATATTGACGAATACAGTGACGTGGTTATGTTGACGAAGCCTGTGATCTATATCTCGATAAAGGAAATTTGCGATACTCATAAATTACTGTTGGATCATCGCGAAACAATTGCACCTGACAGTAATGACCCCTTGCAAGAATTATTAGATGACGTCGGAGATCATCCTGATGTGAAAGAATTGCTTGGTAATAGGATGGTTTATTTTTAGTTGAAATACCTAAAGAACCAAATAAACTTCGCTCATATTTATTGTTAACTGAATCAGATTTTTAAACTATTTATTTTTTATCGAAAGAGTCGCCTGTCTTTGATCTAAAGGAGGAAACCTGAACAAAACTAACTTTAGTTCGACTTATATGCACTGTAAGCTAAAGTATTTTTTAAACACTACTTCATATAGGCAATGTTGAAGTGGCTGAAGGACAGACAGAGGAGGATGCTTTGCGTGATCAGGAAAAAACCGAAATATCGCTCACATTGTCCAATAAATTTGAAGTCCCTGATGACGACGATTCTGATCTACGTGCTCTCTTCGTAAGGTGAGACCACTGATCTCAATTGATCACTGAACATAACTGAGACTCGGTTTTTGCTGTCGGAACAAGTCAAAATTTGTCAGTGTTTAAAAGGCAGTGAAGATTTTTAATTTGAACGACGAGAGTAAATTGAATTAAAACTTTCAAAATAATAAGCAATTGCTATCAATCGTTGCTTTATAACAGCAAGCAGCGATATCGTGACTAGTGAACTCGGTAACGTGTCAATGACCTATTGGAATTGATTTACCCATCAATGAACTCATAAATCACTCGGTTACAATGAAATTAAACCTTTTTCATGAATTATTATCACACGGAGCCGAAGGTCAAATTTCGGTAGTCAACATAGATGATCGATTGTGTTGGCCGTCACGACGAGTTTCGCTGACGAAATCTTTTTTTCTTCAGAACAAAGCATCTTATTGTTGACGTGATTCGAGTTCAGGCGGGCGATACTTTAACAGAAATATTGGAAACACCAGCGACGGAAGAACAGGTAAAAATTTGTTTGTTAATTTAGTTAATCACTTACAAGCAATTGAATTCAAACTGACACCTCGAATTTGCCGTCATAACTGCTCGTCTAGACAACCATTGACCATTTAAGCACTGTCGTCACTTCTTAGAATTTCTTGAAGAGTTTCTTAAATTCCTGTCTGCCGCTCACTGCCCGCAGGATATCAGAAAGCTATGTTTAGCTCATGAGCATAGCCATGTAGAGTTTTTTTTTGTTTGTTTTTTAGGAAAAAGAGCACATGGCTTGGATGAAACAGAGGGAAAAGAAAGATTCAAAACAAGGCGACAAAATAAAAAAATCTGCTTCCATTCACGGGGATTCAAAGTAGAGCATCTTTGTGTGTTTTTCTTCATGTTTTGAATTGGCAATTTATTTTTCATTTTCTGTCAAATCTTTTACAGCTTACCAATTGAGGGAATAAAACGAAAGATTATACGAAATCTTCGTGTTCTGGAAAACCAGAATCTTGTATCAGCAAAGAATAATTATCAGGATATTGTCAACGCAATTGCTAGGGTAAAAATAATTTTCATGACTGTTAGGAACTGAATTAATTCATCTTTCATCTCGGCAATAAATTCCGTTGTGTAAATTAAGTTTTGGCTGATTTCTATCTTCGAAGAGTGACTCGAAGCTTTCCCATGAAACTGTGAGGTTTTTTAAAAGTACTAAAGCAATAACGGAACTATGTAGCTAGACCAGATATGCCGATACACTCTGAGTAAAGTTAATATAGTTAACACACTTCCCGCTCTTTTCTGTTATTCATGCAGGACATACGAAATCAAAGAAGATACAGGATGCGACGTAAACAAGAGCTTAGGAAACTGGAAACGACTTTGGAACGACTGAAAACAAAAGCGACTTTCTATGAGGAACAACAGGATTATTACAATCGATATATTGAGACGTGCTTAGACAATCTCGCTGGGAAAGAGTCAATGTATGTTGTTAGACAAATTCTGAGCAAACGAGCGTAGTTCTCGGATATTTTCAAAAGATAATTTCAAAGGGATTCCAAGAAGGAAATAGTTCTTGAATAAGTTTCAACTTCTGTTTGAAAACGTCACTATGTAAGGCACGCACATTAGCCTCCTACGCACCTCTTCTTTGTATAATTCCTATAAGGTCTCCCCAATCACTTCAATTCACACAACCATGACGTAGGTAGCGATTGTTATGTTGTAAAGCTTACGGTTTGACGTAACAACCTCTCACAGTCGTTGTACGTATTCATGATATTGACTGAGATGTATTTTTTCTGGTCTTCAAGATCCCAACGTAAGGAAAAGAGAAAGCAAGAAGTATTTAAAACTTCAGTGAAGTACAGCGCTCAGAAATTGGCGGAGAAAGGTGTTGTTCTTGAGATCGAAGGACTGCCGAAGAATCAGTAGGTTTTATTGATAACGTTACGATAATTGAATGCAATTGTGTCGAACACTTCAACCTTTTGAATGAAGGAAGACAGTTCTTTCACGGAGCTTCTTCCTTCACGGGCTTCATTAAGTTGTTGCACAAACTATGGAAGCCTTTTTCTTTCACTTCTTTGTTCATCGTGTTTATCTTTTAAAATTTTTGTAACGTTTCCCCCACTTTTCAGGTTAAAGAATGCTTCGTTTGAAATAACTCCAGCTGACTCAGGAGTATTTGAAGTCTCCGCGAAATTTATGGGAATCCCTATGGAAAAAGTGGAGGTTGTCTTTCAGGTGAACAAAAATTGATCCCTACTGAACTTTTAGCAGGAACGAAATGTATAGTTAGTTTAGTTTAGGTTTCCTCCTGGATCAACAAGAGATGATTCTTACTGGAGCTCTAGGAAGAACAATGTAGCACTGATAGAGTTATCTAGTATAAATAGATAGAGCTATCTAGTATCTTCATATCCATTTAAAGTGGAACAATTTTCTTTCGTTTCAGGATTTACTTCAACTTCAATTTGAAGGTGTTGCAGTTATGAAAATGTTTGGTAAAGCTAAAGTCAACGTAAATCTACTCATTCATTTATTGAATAAGAAATTCTATGGTAAAACTTGATTAAAGCGTTCTAACACGAAATTAACTTAGAATTTTTATAAAGAAACGGTATACGTTATTTAATAACTTCACATTAGTCACCTTGATATCTGCACTTCGTAATATATAGCCTTCTCTCCATTTGTTCATTGCTTCCTCGACAAGTGGCGGATGTAAAAGAGTGTCGTTGTTTCTATAGCGATCAGTAAAGACTAACATGTTTATTACCAGACAAGATAATCTCAGACTATTTTCCATCGACCACATGTCAGTGTAGCGCCGGTAACGACCACGTGAAGAGTAGGATTATGTAGTAAGGTAAAGAACTGAACGGCTTAAGAATTGTTGTCTAGTGATTGTAATTAAGTGTTTTTGTTGAAGAGAGGAAGGCCAGTATTTTCTGTTTTGAATAAAAATTGTAATGGGTATCCCAGGATATTGAAGATAAGGGTATATATGCGTCCGAGCATTTTAATCTTCTAAAGTTTGCCCATTAAAAATATGACAAGTTAATTATAGTATATTTATCTTGGAAGCATTTCTTCTTTTGTGGTCGATATTTGCATATAGTGCACAGTATATTAGATACACTATTTGAATAGTAAGTGCTTCAACTAATTTGAGATAAACTATCCTTGCGGTTTTAATACGGTTGTCCGTACGTAAGTACTGTGTTTGTATTATGGGTTGTAAACAAATCCTCATAAAATGATTTATTCATGACATTGCATGGAGGAATTGAGATGGAAGTCGGTTGACAATGCATTAAATTGTTATCATCCCAAATCAGTGAAGTTTCACCAAAACGTTTCAGTTTGCCTCGCTTGTAAAAATTGTTATTTTTTGAATATATTTTATGGCGTATATAACACGCGTCATGGTTTGATAAAAACTGCAATAACTTTAACGTACTTCCCCGTTTTTAAATATTAATACTTTAGGAACCGGAACTTTATCATCCGGTTTTCGTACCAACATAGACGTAGAAATGTGTCTCAAGAATTTCGTGGGATTGTTTCAGTGACGTCATACGCTGGTCTTACGTCACGGTAGTACCAATCTTGACGAATTTTGGTTTTTGTTGTAAACAATTGTACCAAACGTATGGTTCTTTCGGCTTTGTCTACATCACGAGTTTCTGAATCTCACGTCATTGTAGGGTTTTTTTAATTTAATTTGCATCAGCTAATACGTAGCATTTGCGTATGAAAATCCTGCAGAGAACTGCACGAAGCATTGTAGTAAAACTGAAACCTCTTTTGTCAACTCTAGTAGATGACAGGAACCAGATGGCCACTTCAGTTTCAAAGCGCAATGTTATGCCTTATCTTGTGAATGATCCGGGCATAGAAATTCACCATTTTTGATTTACGCTATTGGTGTTCAATGGTGATGTATTAAAATCACCTTTTTTCACAAGCCATATTCAATTTATCCTCAGTATATCACCCGTAGTTATAGGTCGGCATTCTCACGATGTAAACAATGCCATATTCGACTGATATTTGGTTGCGAGAGGAAGATGCATTATCGTGTTTTATAGCGAGAAATATACTTTGTGAACTTAATAGGATTTATGTCATTTACAAGAGTGTTCAGTTTATCCTACGTGTGTAGTTCTCTACCGAATATGGTGCCATGGCTGGCATCAGAACTACGATGAAATCTAAAAGATCTTTCGTTTCATTTTCTTGTTGTTTTGTTTCCTTTCCTACGGCAGTTGCGCCATATAAACCTTTTTTGTTTCCGACAAGCGCAGGAAGCCAGTATTGTGTGCGATTGTTGTGTAAATCGTTTGCTATAAACGGTAATGTTATCTGTATAAAGCCAGTACGTTATAACCGTTGTTTCAATCACAAAACCGTTGTTTCGATCGCATTTTTTTATTGCTAATTATTTTTAGATTTTTCTGTTTATTTAGAATTGTTAAAATTGCGCTAGTCATGATCATTGCGGTCGGTTATTTTAATCATGCAAATATTTAGTTTTTTTACAAATGTAATGTAAACATAGCCTTTCCCTTAATTTCAAATTTCAACTGCATAGAGATGTTGCTAATAGATTATTAGAACGCATTTTTAATTCATTAGAATTTAGAACAATCATGAAAATGTCGCAAATTAATTTGTGGAGTCTATTTATATTACTGTTTAAAATATATACAAGCGCATATAATAAGAATATTCTCGGACAGTAATAGGAGTATTTAAGCTAGTTCCGATAATCTCTTTGCCAAAAAAATATTTCACGGGTTAAATTAAATAAATTGAGAAAAATAAAGTATTTTTGTCGAATGTTATTTCTTTTTCCAAGGCCCGTTCTGATTGGTTCGCACCAGACCCCCCGGCGCTCCTGGGCTGCAATGTTGCTATTACGGCGAAAGAACTTCTAAAGTGTACATCGAAGTGTTTTGAAAATGGCTGCGAACAATCCTCGAAAATTCGAGGAGAAAATTGCTCAGCATAAGCTGAGACAAGCTCAAGAAACGAAGGAATTCGAGAAGATTATGGAAGAAATGTCTTTCGTCAACGTGAGTGGCGTTTTTCTGCGTGTTATGGTCGGTAGAATGATTTCAACCGACTCGTTTTGTTATCTATCTATTTAGGCGAAGGCACATATTAACCAAAGGCAAACTCGTGGAAGATACGGCGGCTCTTTGCCCGATTTTAACTTAGCTCAGAGTCAAAGTGCCAGACACGTAAGTAGGAGAGAACCTGTGTTTATTTGTTCGTGTTTTAACACAGCTAATACATGCAGTTCATGTCCATCTTTACACATGCCGAATAATTCGCCTTTGCAGGAAAATATCAATGATTTAGCAGTGAGACAGAATATGGATATCCAACAGCCGATTAAAGACCGACCATACCATCCTAGAAATAGACTTATGACTTCAAATCGACGGCATAATATATCCTTTTTTCGTGAATAATAATAGACCTTTTTGTACTGTATATTTTATAGTTGGGCGCAATTTCACACACACGTCAGGACCTCAGTCATGAATGACTGATTTATTGAACGCAACACACTGCTGTTTTAATCGTATTTGCTTCCCTCGCTCGTGATGGTGATTCTTGATATAAAAATACAACGGAAAGCCCCTAAGATATATCCACTAGATCATCTTTAAAAGCTTGTATTATAATCGAAGGAAATTTCATCAGAGGATAGCGTAAAGTCGAGTGACAGACGATATGAAGCGCTATACACGATATTGGGGGAATTTAAGTCTTCTCGTGCAGTTTTGATGGACTTAATATTTGTCACGCCAAGTAAACCTACAAATACTTAACTCGATCATCCTCATGCAACATTTACACGCGTTTAGAGCAATTTTATGTCATTATTCAATGTGTTTTTCTTAACGTTTTTCACATGGATACGGCAGCGCCTTATCATCATTTCAGTCCATATTTATCGCCACCTCAAATGGATGCGAACTGGCGAAGGTTTGTTGCAATTTATTTCTCGACTTCGCAAGATATTTTAACGTTAGTGTTCTCTGATTAATTTTTCCGGAATTACACGGGACTTTCAAAGAATAGGAGTCGTTTTATCTTCTGTTCATTTATGTGGCCCCGTGTTCTTTTAATTATCCTGTAAAATACTATGAAATACACCCTAGAATTTGATTTTGTCTGTTGCATTGCTTCCCTCCTCAATCTGTTGAAGAATGCAGCAATTTGAGCTTTTTCTAGGACGGCAAAATTTGAGTGTTAATCAAGTTAGTGTTTTTGTAAACGTTAAACTGATCATATATTCGCATCAAACCATTTCCATGTGTTGTTATGTATTTCGATTTTACAAGAGTGCAAGTTATTCATAATTAATGGCACAAAAGGATGCGTTATTGCCGTTTAAACCTAAAGTATGTCTTCTTAGTTATCTATTTCTTACATTTCGATTCAAAATCAACGCGTTTTTACTTCGATATTGTGTTCTAAGATGGTGAATTAGACATTGTTTGTTTAGCGTGACCAAGTGTGTACTGTATAATGCTATTAAAATGTTATTTATAGTATGCTAGCGTTATTTTACGGGCTGTACGTTTATAACACTTTTTATTTCAAATTGAACCACTTGATTCAGAAGTAAAATTGCCATTTCGTTTCACAGTTTAGTTGGACATGGACAAAATGATATATCCTACAAAGATATGGATGATTACATTGCTTTTTCCTGTCAGCTGTTGTGTTTATGCAAAGCGATCTGCTTGAATTGCAATGCCCCAGGCCTTTTTGTTGGTTAAAACTGTGGATGTAGCCCTCTACCTGTATTCTGCAAGGCTGCAGATTATTTGCAAATGTTGAACTCAATGACAAGTGTCAGATATGTCCTCAGCTGCATGTCATCCCCCAATAACTATCAATTACAAAAAATGCTTATTTTTGTGGTAAATACCCACAGAAATATTTCGTTGCATACCTAAAAAAGTAGCCTTTGATTGTATCTAAAGATGAACTTCTTTGACCAACATATTGCAGTTTTGCATTCAGTTTTATGAGAAAGCAACCGTAGATGTTATAGGGTAGCTCAGCCACTTAACATTAGTCAACAATTAGACATGTTTCAAAATTAAGTCGAGTCTCTTCCTGGAAAATATTATATTGTGAACACCCCTTCTTAAATCCAGCTCTTTGATATTACATCTGTTTCATCTGACTGCATCATTTTAATAATGTTTTTCTTATGATCTGTTGTTCCAGGACAAGTTCAGATTCATCAATCTATCATAACTTGACAAATCCAAATGGTGAGTTCTATGTCAATAAATTATAATGATGTTATTATGTACAGTGGCTGTATAAGTGTATAGGAATAGTGGTATTTTGTTTGATAATGTGTTAATATTTTGTAGGTAATAGAAAGATGAGTACATCACCTGATAGCACAAGAGAGGTAAGTGTTCAATCATTAATTTTGCCACAGTCTATTTGGAGTATACTGCAATGAAGTTGTCAGGACTTAATACAATGTATTCCTAGATAGATATGTTTAATAAAACTAATAAACATCCATACTTTGGTCAGGATTTAATTTCTGCAAGTTTGTGGATTGCTAGATGGTATATTAGTAAAGGTAATTGTGAATAATTTTTCTTTAGGTTGGCAGTTTCCTTGCTCCCAAAGATAATGAAATTGAAGAAATGAAGTAAGGAAATTATATTAGTGCCTATATCTCATTACATCATAACAGAGTCACATGAGTTCTATTTGAATATTGCTTATCACTATGGCATAAAGCTGGTCTGCAGTTATCTGCAGCTTACTGTTGTAAGAAAGAACATGGGAAACACACCAATGACTTCAGGAAAAGTTTCCCGATTATTGAGTACAAATTCCTGAAGTATCATCAACTGAATTCTGCCTGATCGGAGGGTGAAACCCCTGTGTTTTCAACCCATATATCATCAATATATCATCTATCATTCTTTTGTCTAGATTTGATATTCCCAACAACAGTCAACAGCAACAATCATTCAACTATTCCTCCACTAACAATGGCTCATTGCCTGACCTTTCCAACCTTCACATTCCCTCGCCGTTGTCTGTGTCAATCGATCAGGATGACCAGCAGCAACAACCGTACAATCAACAGAACTTTTCCTCTGGTAATTCTGGCAATGTTTTTATGAATAGACAACCACGAAGAAACACAACTGGATCCAGCTGCAAACGTCAGGTCTACCGTCACCACCCCCCGACCAACCTGGATCATCTCCACATGCCCGGGGGTGGCTTCATGTTTCAGTCACCATCTGGCACTGCTGGTGATCCCACTTCACCAACCGTTGCACCAATGTACCAAGCACCAATGTCACCGCTTGCCAATGGCCCGGGATACTTGCAATACCCAGGGCAATTAGGCAGCGGAAGTCTTCAGCAACAGCTGGAGCAAATGGCGACCATTGCAGAGAATATGAAGCCAGTTAGTGCCACTACTAACGGTCAAATGGGTCCAGGTGTACCCCCTCAGTCACCAAACACGTTCCTAAACATGCTAACGACGAACCCAACTGCGATGGAAAACGTCCGTCAAAGGTTTCAGGATTATTTTGGCCCAGTGGAAAGCAGCGAACAGAACAGTTTAGCTGCAGACATTGGAAATGCTATTAGCATCAGTGGCGGTATCGACGCTGGTATGCAAGGTTATCCAGGAATGGAACCGAATGCAGGAGAGTTCGGACCAGGACTCTCGTTAGAGCCACTTGATCTACAAGATATTCGAGTTTTGACGGGGGAATCCGAAGATGTCGCAAAACCAGAGGTTGAAAGACAGTTTCGACTTGAGGGCAACCAACAGCAGGTATGGTGGTTTTATTTGAGGCATATGAACGATGATCCGATTACGCTTCTTGCAATGAACTTCATTCTCGTAAAACTCTACGCTACAACCTGCGTTAAACTGTTTGAAAACATTTCCTAAATGTTCTCTTTCATTCATCTCTTTTTACAGCTCATGCGTTGAACACATCTATGGCTAAACTCTGTACATTTAGAGCATGTGATGCCACAACTAGAGCATGATGGTACAAATATAGAGATGATAGCTGTCACTGATTTGTTTACAAGGGTTAGTATCACGGCCCACTACTTTCTCGGTTTCTTCAAAAAGAACCAGCTTTGATCAATGATGTTTGTATCAGCCTTGGTGAGGTCATATCTTGTGATATCATCATTCATGATGTCATATCCTATGACGTCTTAAAGTTACGTCAGTCTGATGATGTCATCCGTTGGCGCGAGTTTTGGTGACGCGGAACGTTGAAATAGAGATTTTTTAAGATAGAGTTTTAATGCATAGTAAATGGGTTGCTATGACCACAGAGTATGACAATTTTTCGTAGACATATAAATGTGTTAAATAATTGATATTACCGGTGCTTATAATTATGTATAATATGGTTGCTGATAGTTACGGCCAATTAAGAGTTAATTAGGTCCAGTGTAGCAAATTACTCAAGAATTCCCCAGACATCAGTGGAAGCGATTCTTAAATACAAAAGACCTTCAGAACTCACGATGCCTAAAATATAAATGCATATGAAGTTGACTATTTCACTGCACACCACAACGTTTTTACTCAACTAACTTTCTGCAAAGTTTTAAATTGAATCAATGCTATCAGAGCTGTGGTGTTTTAGGTAGTGCTGAGTTGCGAAGGTCTTTGGTAACTAAGTCTTACTCCAGTCGTTCATATCAGTTACGATTCCACTGCAATTTCATTCTAAAATTTTGATCCAATTGACATTGCTCGACCTTGAGAAGTATACTCCACAAGGGTATTAATAACTTGATTATTGACTATACTATATCTACGTTACTGTCGTGGGTTTTCAGAGAAGCCTCGAGCACCTGAAAAATATAAGATTTAGTCCAAAAGATCCACGCTAGTTTTCCGTATGCCTTTGAATTTCAGACAGGGAACTTCAGGGGGGTAAAACACCGAAGTTTTTATTTTTCAGGTCGCCCACACAAAACGTAGCCAGTTACTAAACGCTAGGAACGTGCCTTACGGACTTGATCACCCTGAGGGTACTCTAACTTTGATATTTCAACCATGATAACCTAATCTAATTCCTGCCTGTCAGGCCTTTTGGATTAAGTTATCGTGGTTCGGAGGTCCTTTTGAGATCCTCCATGTTGAGACGCTTTGCTATACTGGATGGATATATTGCATGAAAAGAAAGAACTGCAAATATACTGGGTTAGTTGTTGATATTACACATACACCATGTACGATAAAATAAATATATGCTAGTAACATTTCCACGATGTTTTTGTTTATGCCCGGGGTGATATACTGAACTGATATACATTCGTCAAATGGACCCCTTTCTCGTGCGCAAAAAATCCTCTATTCTTGTTTTAGTTGTAAAATCTGGCACTTAAGAAATCCTTGATGCCTTCAGGGTAACTAAACTAGAGTTTCCTTGAGAACAGAGCTTGTCGGCTAAGAATAAAGCCAATTACTATGTGGGCGAGCGATCCTTAGGGGATTTGTTTTCACCAAAGCAGAGTTCCCCTGTTTGTAACGACCATATTATATATAGAGGGTTCGCAGTCCTTGTAAGGCGCACGCAATCATGATCTGTGCCAATGGCTTCGTTAGTGCTCCAGCTGGTCCAATATAACCAAAACATGACATGAAATGAACATTATACAACACTTGTCACAAGAAAAGAATTGATTGTTCTTTGTAGCATGCTATGTTTAATCTATGACGAATTCAAAGTCGATTCTTCCTGAACAGTGGAAAGATAGTTGTTCCAAATGGCTGCATTAGACTGAATTGACAGTTAAAAGTCTCCTAATCACTTATATAGTCCTTGCTGTTCAGCATTGTGCCAAACGATCTACAACACCGCAGCCTTACTTTGCCAGTAGTTCTTAGCGCTTTTATCATCTCGCATTCCTCAAAATCATCAGTGCTAGGTCTCCGTCAACGTTGCACCAATTTCAACGACAATTGTTGAAAACTGCCACAAAACGATATCCTTTTGTGTTTAACGACGTTGCAATTAAATCTTCCTCATGGCAGAAACAATGGGCTAATTTTGTATTTTCCTCGGTGACTAAAGGCAGTATAGTGTTCCCATGGTAGGAAAGAGGAGTACATTGTTTTGTCTAGGAATTTCAACACCTGGATTAACGATATTGCTTTCTCGTGGCGTTATTTCATCATTTCGTGGGAAGTTGTCGTGCTTGGCTGAATTTTAAAGAGCACATCAAATGAAAGAGTTTGGTTATAGCTATGACTAGTCTTTGGATTGATGGGTTCGTGTTTAGTAGATAATGTGAATCTTTAATCGGATTTATTTACTTCTTCATCAGTTAACATCCTTGAAGCCAACCATCTGACATATCTATAACTCTCTGTAATTACAGCAAGAATATCAAGCTGAAACAGTTTAAAAGGTAAAAGGATTATTGCGAAACTTATTGGTTTCGATTATGCTCAGTGCATGTCTTCGATAAGTTTACTCGGTTGATTTTGAATAAACCGTTGCTTCCTTTCCTAAAGATTCTACAGACGGCGAATAAACGAACAGTTTCAAATAATCTTTGGCGATTGGTGAGTGAAATTAAAGTTATAAACGACGTAGAAAAAAATGACGTTACTTGTGTATATTTCTAAATTGAAACAGTTCGTAGGAGTTCAATAAACTCTTTGATGCGTCTCCCGAGAAATGAAAGCTTTCATTATCTTTGTGGTGTTAGTATCATGATTAAGGTGGTTGTAGTGTACTGTATGGTAGTGTAAGAATAGCTTATAAGGTTTTGTTACAACATAGTTTGAATGTAGTATCGATCGATGATTTAGGCGGTTAGGCATTGTTCTGATCTCACGTGCCAATATCCGAATGATTTCAAAATTGCTACAACTGTTGACATCCGTAACGACTTGATATATTTTTGGAAGACATGTATGTCACATGTGTCGCAATATATCTCTCAAGCTATAGACATGACGTTGGTAGCTATCACGCTTACCTACATTAACAAAATCCCAGACGATCTGAGCCAGAAGGGCGGTATCGCATTTGGCAGCAGTCCTGGGAACAGTTCCTTTGCAATTTCAAACTCCTGGGTGAACGTCCTTCATGTTCGTTTGATTAAAGATTCATGAAGATATAAGTGTATTGCTCGCTCAAGACAAGCAGAGACAGCTCCCCCTGTGTCTCTAAGTTCTAACTTACATCGTCATTTCTTGACATCAGGTCGACAATCAGAATATATCACACTCCATACGAGATGCCCCTTCCCCCAAGAAACCGTCCCTCCAAACCCAACCCAACCCCACCCAATTCTCCTTAAAATGCCTTCAATTAGGCATGCGCTGAGCTGCATTTATGCCGAGTTCAATGATAGATTATGAGTCTTTTGTAGAAATGAAAGCAACGCTTCTTGATAACGCAGACCGATTAAAACTTTCTTTGTTATAATATTGATTTTATTCATTTGGCAAACAGCTGTTTCTTTGCATAGCCAGAGGGGGTCAGCGGCTAGCATCACTTGAGTTGTGATAGGAGTTATGATATAGTTGTCTTATGACTAAAAGGATTTCTGTATAGTGTTGTTCAGCCACCGAGTCAGAGTCTTTGCTCCATGGTTTTAGTTAGGAGAAACAGTGAAATTCTCTAGTGTGTAGTTGTTGACAAGATAAGCCGCTTCAAAAAAGGAAACTACGGAGATACCAAAATATCTTCATGCAATTAATTTCACGTTATATCAGTATTAATGTCGATTTTATAATGTATGTAATTTATTTCTGTCTTATATTTTCTATATTTAGTTCGGAAAATCTTTTCTTAATCCAGATAAATCGATTTCCTCTAACAAAAATGCACGGCATATGAGCTCCTTGTAAATTCATTCTACTCGATATAAATAAAGCTTATGTTAGCATGCAAGCACAGTTAGTCAGTTCGCGTTGACGCTAAAGTTTATTGATAACACAAATCAGTATTTAAAATCTAGTTTCGGGAAAGCAATAAAGCATGGACAATATATAAGGAATATATAAGGATAATTATATAACCAAACACTGGCTTTTCTATAAGTTTTTTTCATTTATTCTACCGGTATTATTTGTTTTGTGCGTGGGGTAAACGGCTCAAGTGGTTCAACGGTTGTCGAGAGCTAAGGGACGATATTAGAGTATTTAATGATTTTACAAGGATGAAAACTAAACGTTATCGTTCTAATGGCTCTTAATATTATTGCCACTTTATGTTGGATTACATGACTTGAATCCCTGTCGTGGTTTTAATTCACGAGTGCATCTCCACGCTCAATATGATGTGTGTTTTTTTGCAAATGCACTATGCTAAACGTTTGTACGTCAGAGACACGACACATGCATGCAGACTGCATAAGCTATAAAAGGCGCTGCATGACAACGTATAATCCTTGCTCACTTTTTCCTCCCCTAAAATACTGCATTAAATGATACAATATCTTGCAAATTTTCTATTGTGTTGCCCAGCTTCAATACTCTTAATGTGTAGGTCACGTTTGGACATATCTCTCGTATCACGCAAGCAACTGCCACGCAATTGATACGCGTTTCCTTGGTAATCAAAGGTGTCAAAAATCTGTACTTAACATATTTTGTTCAATAATGGACGTAAAATCCCAAACTCTGCTATCAAGCAGAAGTTTTTTACATGACTACTTGAGCCTCCTGGATTTCTGGAAAGAACAGCTAAGCCTAAGGTTCATACAGAATTAATAAGACGAGTATTAAATAATAATTCAGTAAAGTTAGTTTACGTTTAGGTTTCCTCCTGTAGTAACACTGGATCAATAAGATATGATCCTAACTGGACCTCTAGGAAGAACAGTTTAGTACTGATAGAGCTATCCAGTATAAATAAAGTTAGTTTAGTTTAAGTTTCCTCCTGTAGTAACACTGGATCAATAAGAGATGATCCTTACTGGACCTTTCGGAAGAACAGTTTAGAACTGATAGAGCTATCCAGTATAAATAAAGTTAGTTTAGTTTAGGTTTCCTTCTGCAGTAAAACTGAGTCAATAATTTTGAAATTATTTTTACCATGGACGGACCTTTAGACAGGACATTTTAGACTGATAAAGGTTGTAAGGCTAAAGTACTCATATTAGTGCTGGATATAAGAGGAAACTTTTTGTCGCTATTTAGTATGAGTATAGATAACTGAGTTCTGGGAAGGCGAAGATAAATGAATCCTTGATATAGGTGTACCCTGGAGAACTTTTCAAGGTCATATCGCTGGCGTCCAAGGTTACCGACAATCCATTCCATTTTCTACGACAAGTGCCCATATTATTAACACAATTACGTCTGTACGCATCTTATTTGGTACTCGTCTCTCATTGGTCGTTGCTGGACAGCTGTAGTTACTCTATGCAAAATCTTAGCCAATCGGATGAAAGGAATAACGTCCTGCTCTCCCTCTCTCTTTGTTTACTGTAGTTAAAGCGAAATAGAACTGCGTTTGAGAACGATTTATCCACGGAACAGCAACAATTAGGAGATGAAATTATTTCAAAACGTTTCCGATGGAAAATAGATTATGGAAGTGGAACTAAAGTCACACGGGTATGCTTGTATTTCAAGTTATTTTGTTAGCACGACTTTAAAACGGCGATCAAAAACCATATTTCAAATCTTGTATTTTTGCATGCTATAGACGGTTTGCAAACTTGACTTGCACACGTCTTGCGCGACGATTTAGCAACAATTGCGCAACGGATGAATATCCAGTTGAAGCAGCATGGTTTGAAATAAGATGTTGCTGCAAAATAGATCAATTTCGTGTGTCTTGGTGTAGTTTCATTTTTAGCAAAACTTAAATAGATCTTGTGCAAAATCTTGGCCCCATTATGCATATACGCTCATATGCACCTGTAACTAGAGTTTCTTATGTAAACTAATATATATAGCTCATTCAAGATTTTATCATTTTTTCTCCGTTTAGTTTCACGAAAGTTTTGCTATGTCGAAAGCGATGCAATCATTGCTTGAAAATCATTCGGTTCTTCGGTCTGCGCTGTCGAAATTGTCGGTAGGTTTTTGCGGGAGTGTTTGTTTGTGAATTTTAGCTGTTGATCTTTCGAACTGATATTAGTCTGCGGTCGCTTCAACTAATTCGAAGTATGGAATAATTGAGCGAAGACTGGTGCTTCTGTTTTACGCGTAACTTTGTTAATATTTTGTAGAATAAAATGCCACAAAAGCTGTTCCCTAACAACGTCTCAAAATTGCTACCCCTGTTCTTCAAGGCGTAAGTAGTATACCCAATGTTATGCCACACGAAAAGAGTTGCAATTAAAAATTTATACATGTGCATATAGTCTATAATTTGCCCAGGATTTTCAGCAAAGCGTGCGAAAAAAAAAGGCTCGGTGAAAAAATTGAACTCGGGCTCTTGCCCATCTTCAAGATACAATTCTATGAAAATGTATTGTTTACTTGTATATAAACGACAAAACATAACGGTTATATCAATAGGGTTCATGACAATCTGATCAATTAAACGCTTATAGCGGACAGCTAAGCTGCGAATTTGTCACGATGTAAGAAGAGCTCCAACAACCGATAATTCAATTGTACCCTTTCTTAAATCTTAAGACAAAACCGGGTAAAGGTGTTTGCATCTATAAACCTAAAATGACAGGGATTGCATGCAAAGCAAAGTAGCCCAAACTTTACGTACGAGGAAGGAAAAATCTAGAAGTTTGAAATTGATATGTTTTCACTTCGGATACAGCTTGACTTTTTTTTTTTACTAAAAATATCTATTGTTGTAAAGCTAACACTGCTCCCTTGTACGTAATTAGATTTTTCAAGATATTTTAAAGTACTAGTGTCTTTTGTATATCCGCAATATCGCCAGCTCATTTATCCCACGTTAACAAACTAGCGAGTTTCTAATTAAAAGTTAGTTGTGCTAACGCTTGCTTGTATAAAGTGGAGACGTCCAGTGGAGTACTCATGTCCTGGGAAATGCACCTGACCCAAGTATATATTCTTTCCCTGAAGGAAAGGTGAAGTGGACCTCTGTCTAGTAAACCCGACGCTCGGGTCTCTCTCTGTAATCCCTTCTAGTACCTCTGGTATCCCTTTGTTATCCTACCCCATCTGCTATCTCATTGCTTCAAGTTTCCAGACGATTCTTAACTCAACATGATTTTTTTCACTCTCAGACACGCGGAAATCCAAGTCATCCTTTCTGAAACGAAGTTTTGGAGGCGTGAAAAACGAACGCAGACTCAATGAACAAAATATGGACGCTATGCGAGTCGTGCCCACGTTGAAATGGAAATTTGGACCACAGCATGCATACTCTGTTAAAAACATGCGAGATTCCTCGCGTTTGAACACTGGAAATGCGAATCTAATTCAATCCCCGATCAATTTGACGAACTATGTGTGTGGAAGAGAATTTCATATATCTGCCGAGGATGTTTGCGCCTCTTATGATAATTTAGAACAAAGTTGGCAAAGATCGGTTCTAAATCGTTCACGACTTCTATACAATTCCACTCAAGGCTCAAGCCTTCATCCTCAATCAGCGCTTTCATCTGGGTACTCATCTGTCAACCAATCATGTGCTTCTTCAGCAGGCACTGGATCGCAGCGAAGTCGGTCGCCAACTCCGGATCAGTTTGAAACGTTGAGAGAGGAATGCGGTCTCCGGGGGAGGTTTGGATCCCAGGTTCAAGTCGGTTATAACGAAGAGAGAGGGGAAGAGCTTTTGGTCTGTGGAGGAGGGGACAGACATCCCTCTAACTCACCTGTGAGAGGTATGCTTTACCCCATTCCTGAACCAACTTCAAGCAGATTCGTGTACGTTTCAACTTGATATCAGGCGTCTCTTCAAACTGAGATGTAAAGGCGAACTCATACGTTTCTATGTTTCCAGGAAGTCCGGTTTTCTTTCTGGAAAGTGACGATGAGTCTTCCGGAGAGTGGGATGGAAATGAACGACTTGAAAGGTAAATTACAACAAATCCGAACCGGTTATTTTGAAATCATCGACAATCGATCATTCGATGTTATTCTTCATTGTATGTCAAAAGTTAGCAGCTCTCTTGAAACTGTCAAATCTCGAGGACCATCTGCTAGAACGCTAAATTGTTTATCACAGCTTGAGGTGCAGTCCGACTGCAGTCTTAAATTTTATACTGAAATTCTCGCGACACAGGGTTCGTGCATGCAAGACTCTGCATGATCCCAATAACTGTGCAACCAAGTTAATTGTTGCTTATTTTTTTCAGCTTGAAAATAAGACCTGGTTTAAAAGTAAGTTAAGATTCAAACTTAATATATCTTAAAGTAAAATCAAAACATCGTTTTTTCTTACAATTTTTTCACGTCAATATCATGGGAACGTTTCTCAATTTAGAAATCCCTTAAAGACCTTGAGATACGATTCTCAGATTTAGAAATCGATACAAAAGTTGGCGTGGGACCAAATGGACCTGTTTATAGGTAGCTACAGCGTGTACGATTTGAGATTTTTGTTTATATGCTGTGGAATCGGTTAATTCTTCCTCATTTTCATTCCTCAGAGGTCGTTGGCATGGCGACGTCATGATCCACACGCGAAGAGCTTCGCAAAGAGAGGAGGTTGAAGAATTTAGGAAAGAGGTAATTCCTGTATCCGCTAGTCAATGGGATTATCAATTGGATCTTCGTCATTCAATGGTTTATTTATCTTTCGAAGAATTAAGTTTTTCTTTTTCTTTGTTAAGATCTTCCTCTTGAGTATGATAAGACACGAAAATGTTATGTTATTCATGGGAGCCTGTCTTGAGCCACCAAATCTTGCTGTAGTTGTAAGGTTAGTTTATGAAATTGTTTCTTTATTTTAACCTGGGAATGCTGAACTTTCTATAAATCCTCTTTCTTAGTTTGAGAAAGTGTCTTTCAATTCACAATCATCTTCACTGCCAAGAATCACGATGGTCAATGGCGACACGATTGAACATTATGTTGCAGGTTGCCCAGGTATGGCTTCATTCCTTTCCAAGTTTAGGAGGACTGTGAGCAAGAAGATGTTAGTTCAATCTATTTAGTTAAAAAGAGACTCAGAACAATGCATGAGAACAGACGCAGAAAAACAGGGGCCAATCATTTGACCTGCGTTTTTTCTTCTTTAAGGGAATGAGTTATCTCCATGCAAAATGCATCACTGTGCCGTGTCTACGAACTATGAACATTTTCCTTGAGTCAAAAGTGAAACTTTGCATCAACGATTACACTTGCTTACACCATCAAGTAAAGAGGTAATTCATTGTAATTTCAATTATATAAATCATTGCTTATTGCTGTTATACATTGCAACGGTAACAAACATTCTAAAGTGTTTTCTTTTCCTAAAACCGTTCAGGGAAGGCTACAGTAGCGTGCCTCAGGGTCATCTCACGTATCTCGCTCCAGAAGTCATTTCAAAGGTGAACGTTGATCTTGTGTCAGGTCGTATCATGGATACCACAATTAGGACGAGAAAAATGGACATATACGCTTATGGGTAGGTATATATGAACTACCAGCCTACTAAGTACAGCCTTACGGGCGATTTTGCTGAAAGGTTTATGAATTCTATAGAGATTCACTTGCTTTTTATAATCTAGCACCGTAATGTACGAGATTCTGACGGATAAATGGCCCTTTGCAAATCTTTGTCCTGAGACAGTTATTTGGATGATTGGAAAAGGTCTTCCTCACTCGTTATCAAAAGTGAAAGGTCCGGATTCTGTAAAGGTGATTATCTGTAAACAAAAGTAAACCTAGCTAGTAATGCGTTCAGTGTTCATCAGGAAAAACATCCACTTAATGATTGCTGATGTATTTAGGATTTGATCAAGACTTGCTGGTCACATGACCCCATTCAAAGACCAGGCTTTGTTCATATAACTCATGTTTTGAAGCAGAGAAATGTACGTATTTGAACAGTAACCGTTAAATTGTTCATAAAGCTTTCTCAACCCAAAAAATCGGATACTTAAAGTCATATGGGAAGTATTAACAATAGAATTAGCCTAAAGGCCATTTACACTACGCGTTTTGTCGTTTGCTATTCGTACTCTGGCGTATGTGAACGTATGAACACACGTATAAATGTGACACTTTAAATTCTAACCTGAACAAAATTGATTGAAGATTGTGGCATAGGAACTCTTTTGCATTCAACTTCTTGTGTAGGCTAAATAGGCCTTAACTAAGACACTCCGGCAAGATTACGAAAATATCCATGTCCTCTAATTTCTTTTGCAGTTACCCCCGAGTTGTATCTCTCGTCGACACAGCATTTCAGAGCCAGAGAATATGCAATATCATTGTCCCATGAAAAGAATCTAATTTAAAAGTATATAGTATTTATTAAGATGTATAAAATAGATGAATTTAGGTAGTGGTGAATATTGGCGGAAATGGTTTATGCTTCGGGAGTCAATTTGCTTATTAGATGAGATGGTATATTTTATTTATACAGTAGTTTGAATGTATAAAGTAATAAAATAGTTTAGAATTTCAGCTTTTTTAACTTATCGTAGCTCTAAGAGATGAATAATTTTGTAGTTGTGAATTTCTAGCAATTTAATTTATTAGTTTGAAAATTTGATGTACATATTTTAGGGTGGGGAATTTCTGTAAAATGGTATTATCAGCACTAGATACGAAGGGGCAATTTAATTTGTACAAAATTATGGAAAAAATAAAGGCTAAGGGTTACGTATTCTGTGTTTCTCCGTGTCACAGTTCCAGAAAGGAGCATCTCTTATTGATCAAGTGTTATTACAGGAGGAAACCTAAACTATCTGTTCTGAACTTTTCTTCCTAGAGGTTTAGTAAGGATCATCTCTTAATGATCCAGCGTTACTATAAGAGGAAATCTAAACTAAATTAACTTTATTTATACTGGATAGTTCTATCAGTTCTAAACTGTTCTTTCCTAGAGCCAGTAAGGATCATCTCTTATTGATCCAGTGTTACTATTTTATTGACACTTGATAGCTCTATCAGTTCTAAACTGTTCTTCCCAGATGTCTTTCAAGGATCGTCTCTTACGTGTAATAATAACTCAATGTTACTCTGTAGAAAACCAATTGTAACAATTTTGCAACAACAAGACTCCCAGAGGAGTGGATCGAGCTTTGTCAGCAAAATAAATATTCCATTATGGCGGCTGCTCAATGGAGTGGAAGGTCATTCATTTCACGGCCCACTTTTCGACTATTTTCAAACCTTCAGTCGTCTCCTTATATTCCCAAGCCTTCATACAAACCACTAAAATATTGCTGTGTTCAAAGAAGAGGAATCACACAGAATAGATCGTATTTATATGGAGTTGTGCACAATTGTAAATCGAGTTTAAAACATTTAAATACTCAAAATGTGATTAAATACACGTGGTATGTATAAATTTATCTGTATTTGGATATTTCCATTAAAACGGACAAGGCTCGATGCCTCGATCCTCAATGCATGGATCTTCTTTGTTGTTGTCCAAAAGGACTTCAGATCTAATCTTGAACTATGTTAATTCACAGCTCGTCAACGTTGCTCGCGAACGATGCTGTTAGACAGAGTTTACTGCCCAGGACATTTTTCAAAGGTTTTAGGAAGAATAATTCAAAAACGGAAACAAGGTGAGAGTGCAATCCTGAGACAATGTACACAAATAATCCAGTCGTGATATCAAACAATTTCATGATTTGTTTTTCCTCCAGTTCATCTAGTACAGGGTCATCAGGTGATGATGGTGAAAATGATGATGGAGATGATGGTGAAGATGTGATTATTGAGGATAAAGTTGGTGATACAAACACCAGCCCAGAGTATGGTGCTATTGCTCCAGTCATGGTACCTGAGGTCTTCCCTAGAGTACCATTGCTCTGTGTTCATCGAAACCCGGTTTTCCCAAGATTTGTCAAAATGTTAGAGGTTTGATATGTCTCTCATAACCAACTTTCCAGAACAAACCATTTACATTACATTCATAGTACAATTTTGCACTAATACCTTAGTTAGTACAAATATAGTACACTGTATTCAGAAAGTTATGTACACTAACTGTATTATCAAAGTACTGTGTATGTGCTTCATAGATTACTGACAAACGAATAATGGATTTGATAAGAAGAAAGTGCAAAATGAATCAACCATATGCTGGTACATTTCTAAAGAAAGATGACAAGTAAGAAAAGTTCATTCCTCTTTCAAATATACCATATATTTCAATAGAACTGACACACAATGTTCGTCTTGGTTTTATTTAATTTACAGTGATGAAGCTGAGGTGGTAATGAGTCTGGATGAGATTTATAAAGTCGGAACATTTGTACAGATCACTGAACTTCATGACACAGGAGACAGAATAAGAATGATTATATTAGGACACAGAAGGTAAGTAAATTTTATGCAATTAGGAGTAATGATGTGTTGATTATGTTTTTGAGATAAGTGGAGCTGGGGAGCTATGAATCCCTTCTGAAATTTCAGCATACCAAAGCTGGATTCAGGTTTAGGCAGGGATGATGAAATACCCCCAATGAGCAACATTAATGATAATCTACTGCACCCCAACAGGATTGCAATAACGGACATTATCACAGATGAAAGTGAGGCAGATGAAACAGTTCGAATGGAAAAACAGGGCGAATTTGAACATCTTGAACAAGCACAAGAAGAAACAGCAACTTCCAGTGAACAACTGGAAGAAAACAAAGATACGAAAACTGAGAGCAACGATTCTCAAAATATTCAAATGGTCCATGTTGAAAATATTCTTCATGCCCCATTTAAACTTACACAAGAAGTGAAAGCTGTTGCAGCGGAGGTCATCAAGACCATTCGAGACATTATAGCATTAAACCAACTCTACAAGGAGTCTTTGGCACAGCTTATTGAAGCAGGGAAGAAGGTGGTTGATAATCCAACACACCTTGCTGATTTTGGTATGATTTTGATGATATTTTACTACAATAATGATCCTTATAAGTTGACTAGGACTCTATGAAAAACTCTCTTAGTAACAATCTTAAAAATCTCTTAGTAACTCAGTCTGTGTACGTTTCTTTACTGCTAAAATATTACATCAAAGTTTGTCAATACGACAGCTGACATGATGTCCACCCTCACCAGTTGTGTCTCTTGTTCAAGGTGCTGCGTTAACAAGTGCTGACTCAAATTTATTGCAAGAAATTTTGGAAGAAACTGAGGTCCCGGTGAGGTTGAGAAAAACGCTGGAACTTCTGAAGAAAGAGTATGCTATGTGTATGTTACAGCAAAAAATCGGCAAAGAGGTATGTATGTAATTGCGTTCATATAAAATACGATACAATTCCAACCTTGCAAGTCAAGAGAATATACTGTATCTTAGGAAAGAGACTTTGTGATGAGGATCCTTGCTTGCGATACTGTACTGTTATATTATTCATCGATTTTACCATTTGCAAATTTTTTTTCTTCTCGACCAGGTGGAAGAAAGGGTGAATAAAATACAACGCAAATACCTTCTGACCGAGCAACTCAAAGTTATCAAAAGGGAACTCGGTCTTGAGAAGGACGATAAAGACGCCGTTGCTGAGAAATTCCGAGAAAGGTTGAAAGATCGAGAAATTCCTGAACACGTGAAAGAAGTCATTGAGGAAGAACTCAGTAAGCTTGGATTTCTCGAGGCTAACGCGTCAGAATTTAAGTGAGTTCACGAAAGTTATTGATCCGGTGTTACTATACAGCTAGGAGGAAGCTTTTGTTGAATGGATTTTCAATTCTGAATATCCTTTTCCAGTGTATCTCGGAATTATCTCGACTGGTTGACAAGTCTTCCTTGGGGAATGTTTAGCGAAGAAAATTTCGATCTAAAGCGAGCCAGAGAGATTTTAGATGAAGACCATTATGGATTGACTGACATCAAGGAAAGAATATTGGTAATTTTTTTTGATTTCTTGATTTCATGTCGTTCGTCCTGGCTTTCAAAATATAAAACAAACGTGATGTTTCTTACAGGAATTTATTGCTGTGAGTCAATTGAATGGTTCTGTTCAAGGAAAAATATTATGCTTCACCGGACCTCCAGGTATAACACACGATGCAATATTGAAGTAGACTGTGTTTCGTTTAAATTGACAGGATAGAATTTATTTTCTTTGTTTTTAGGTGTTGGGAAAACAAGCGTGGCCAAATCCATCGCAAGAGCCCTGCAGCGGGAGGTATAAAGAAATTCCTCCTGGTTTAACGACGTTTTCCCAAGCAAGCGACATTTGAGATTTGTTGTTGTTGTTTTTTAGTATTTCAGATTCAGTGTTGGTGGTATGACAGACGTCGCGGAGATAAAGGGACACAGGTTGGTTAACACAACAAATTCCTGTTTTAGTTCTCACAAGAATGTGGCTCTTTTCATAAGCATGAGCCAACGCTCATGTTGCTTTATTTATATTTTAGACGAACTTACATCGGTGCGATGCCTGGGAAGATTATTCAGTGCCTGAAGAAAGTGAAGACTGAAAACCCGCTCGTTCTCATTGACGAGGTTAGAAGAGATGCAATAAAATTAAATTTGAATTTTTTCATTTGAAATCATAGATCAAGTTTTTACACGAACTAAGAAGTTACAACCTATGCATTCCACACAGGAGTCGTTGTCTATAGGTGTGCTTTGTTTGTTTTAGATTGATAAGGTAGGTCGGGGTGTCCAGGGAGACCCAGCGTCGGCCCTGCTGGAGTTGCTAGATCCGGAACAAAATTCAGGATTCCTCGATCATTACCTTGACGTACCGGTTGATCTGTCGAAGGTGAGGGTCTGGTTATAATATAATATGTTTACATGCAAAGTCATTCAACAATATTCTGTTGTATTCAGGTGTTGTTCATCTGCACAGCAAATGTTGTCGATACAATTCCTGGTCCTTTGAGAGACAGAATGGAAATAATTCCTGTTTCTGGCTATGTCGAAGATGAAAAGAAAGCAATAGCACAGGTGATGAAAGAATTGGGTTTTTTGTACGTAAAATATGTTTTTATAGGTTCAAGAAAGCTAGGTCTGGCAAGACTCAAGCTAGTGGCCTGTTTTTAAGGAGTATTTTACTATTAACTCAGCTATATGTACGTCCTTCGTTGAAGGCGTGTGATACTGTAACTGCTTTTATTTTTGCTTTCAAGGTCTGCTTTTCATTTTGTAGAAATACTTGATCCCGATGGCGCGGGAAACGTCTGGAGTTAAAGATTTGGATGTAAATATATCGGACGAAGCTCTCGCGACATTGATTAAATCTTATTGCCGGGAGAGCGGGGTGAGAAACCTACAGAAACATATCGATAAGGTAAATTGCAGCGTATATTTAAGAAATTCCCTTCATGTGTAACAATTTTAGGTAGAAAATAATGAAATATAGTTGATCCCCAAGGCATACAATGTGTGTACTTTTAGATATACCGCAAAGGTGCTTTCAAAATTGTCAATGATAACTCGTCCAGGATCTTGGTTGACACGGCCGACTTACATGGCTACGTTGGTAATCCAGTTTTCAACACTGAACGTATATATGACGTCACACCTCCTGGGGTTGTCATGGGATTAGCTTGGACAGCTATGGGTATGTATAGATAGTACACAGTAACGGTAGTTGTTGTGTGAAATGATTATGTGAGTTTTTTTCGCAGGCGGTTCGACGCTGTATATTGAAACGTCGTTGACGGAAGCGATCAATAAAAAAGATGAGGAGAAGAATTCACCTTCGCTGGACCTCACTGGACAACTCGGTGATGTCATGAGAGAAAGTGCCAAAATATCCTACACATTTAGCAAGGTGGGTCCCTGTCAGACACAGAAGGAAAATTCAAACGCAAACTGTTCTTCCTAGAGGTCCAGTAAGGATCATCTCTTATTGATCCAGTGTTACTACAGGAGGAAACCTAAACTAAACTAACTTTATTTATACTGGATAGCTCTATCAGTTCTAAACTGTTCTTCCTAGAGGTCCAGTAAGGATCATCTCTTATTGATCCAGTGTTACTACAGGAGGAAACCTAAACTAGACAAACTTTATTTATACTGGATAGCTCTATCAGTTCTAAACTGTTCTTCCTAGAGATCCAGTAAGGATCATCTCTTTTTATCCAGTGTTACTACAGGAGGAAACCTAAACTAGACAAACTTTATTTATACTGGATAGCTCTATCAGTTCTAAACTGTTCTTCCTAGAGGTCCAGTAAGGATCATCTCTTTTTATCCAGTGTTACTACAGGAGGAAACCTAAACTAGACAAACTTTATTTATACTGGATAGCTCTATCAGTTCTAAACTGTTCTTCCTAGAGGTCCAGTAAACTCATATTTATTTAATTCAGGGTTTTATTTCAAAACATTTTCCGGATAACAAGTTCTTCCAACAAGCTTCTATGCATCTTCATGTGCCTGAAGGCGCCACACCCAAAGACGGCCCGTCCGCAGGCTGTACAATAATTACGGCGTTACTGTCTCTGGCGCTCGATACACCCGTACGACAAAACGTTGCGATGACCGGGGAAGTGTCCCTTACTGGAAAAGTGAGTAAACCCGTATACCTCATGGAATCATTGATGATAACACGTAAACAATACACATTATCAGATGTCTTATGGTTGTTGATACAATGGAACAATCATTCATTTTCTCTAGGTCCTCCCTGTGGGCGGAATCAAGGAAAAAACGATAGCGGTGAGTTACGCATGAGAAAAGAAATATTTGATCAACTGTAAGAGTTGGTGAAACGAAGAATTTTCTAACTCTTGATTTCTCGTCCCAGGCAAAACGGTCTAGTGTAGACTGCATAATACTACCGGAAGGTAATCGCAAAGATTTTGATGAATTACAAGATTTCATAAAAGAAGGACTTGAAGTTCACTTTGTTGGTGATTATAGAGACTTGTTTCAAATCGTCTTTCCAAGTCATGCTTTATAGTGTAGTATCTATACACCTCTCCTGATAACAGTTCTCGATAGTAAGCTTGCCTCATGAACAAGGCCTGTTAAAGTGGCTCTACGCACGGCACGGTATCATTTTCGGTCGATTCTGAATTTCTGTATCAATGTCCTAAGGTTTCGAATCTTAGTTTACACGATCGATGGAAAACGATTTCCAATTTATGTAAATTTACCGCAGTTTCTACATTTAAGTGAGTTTTATAGTTGTTTCCTATCTGAAAACAGAAGTGAAAGCGCTATGCGAAAACGATGTCGTGTCCAATATCGTGAACATCATTCCCTTGGCATGTGATTCATCTGAAGCTGTCCCAGATGACAATATCTTAAGACACTGATCATAATTATGTGTGACTAACGACCAAATGATTTTATTTGCAAAACTACTGAGTTTATACTCTATTGAAAAAGTTACACGAACAATTTTAATGCTTTATACTATAAACAATCGATATGAACATATACAATATTTGAAGAGATGATGGAAAAGGGCGGAATACATGATTTAGGTAACTGTTGTTGTCTTCTAGGAATGCAAATTTAGTAGCGTTTGAACCGCACAGTGAGAGTGGTAAAATATTAGGTTACGAGGAACTATTATTGTATTTTTTCACGTTTCCAGCAAACAGATGTCGCCCAGCACTTGCTTCGCGATAAATTAGTTTGACCTTTCTAAAAAGTCGCATTTTAGCCAAAGATTAAACCTTCGTCTTCAGGAAGTGCCGCGACAAAAGGTTTCAACAAAAAAATCAAATTTGCATTTTCTCTGGAATAAGAAAGATTTGTTGAAGAAGTGAACCGTGGCGTGTCGCCTAAGAAACGATTGTCGGGTGAATATTTGCTAAAGAAAACAGGCTTGAAGTAAATATTAGCCGCATTATAAATACCTCAGACATGATTTGCATGACATCGTGTTCCGGTCACTTGATGTCATACGATATACACTTTCGATTACTGAAGAATTTGACGACGTAGCTTAGATGTAGCATGGCGTAATTCGAAAGTACAGCCTGTATTTGTTAAAGAAATCGTAAGAAGTTAAAGTATAGGAGTTAAGTGCTTGCTGGTTGAAATTTGCACAAAGAAATATGGATTAATCTTTTGCTGCTGTTATACAACACGTCGACAAGTTCACAAATCATATTTGTGTCGATTTTGAGTTAATATTGTTGTGACGTTTAGGGGAAATTTCATGAAGTAGGATTCGTGACTAACTGGCGGTTTGTTTTGTCTGTGAAACAACCAACTCTGGCCAAGAAGTCCAGTAAATATTTGGCACAGTTAATCTCCGTGTACAATAATAAACATGGAGGACGATTACGGAATAGAAGAGGATGAGAACGCGCGTTTGTTGGGCGATCTTGGCTCAGGTATTATTAAATTGCATATACGATTCCTATTTGTGAAGAAGCATATAATATTCCTTACTATTCCTCGCTATAAACTGACGAGATTCATCATCATAATGTCGGCATGATTTAGAAAACTCACGAATTTCAGTTATAGAATCGTTTTGAGCTTGCTGATCGATATACATACAATCTCTAGACGATACTTCCGTGTTTTGTATGCAGTGATAACGGATAGGAGTTAGTTTCTTAGGTGCAGATGTAATATTGGTAATATCAGATGCAATATGGGTAAGGTTAGATGATGGTAATTGTAGTGGTGATTACAATTATGTGGTATTTAATAAGGGTGGTGATATGAAAGTGACACTATACTAATACTGCCTTATATTGATCCTCAATTGCCAATATATTTAGTGAGAAAAATCTGACGAAATTAATATTCTCTGTTTCACACAGATTGGGTCGGCGGTATGGATCCTGCGCCATTATTCGCCCATGTGGAGTTCTTGAACCTTGAAAAGGATCAAATATTCGAGAAGGTTCAATGCAGAGTTGGCGGTCACGCAAGGCAGATTCTGGAAAATGCAGTGATACAGATGAAGGCTACCTTTAGTAATGCACAGCTCTGCCAAATTGTCGGTTGCGTTAGGCGAGAAGAAGAGGCTGCTAGAATAGTCGGCGACGGCAATGATTATCTTTTGATGAAGAATGAGGGCGAGCAGATGAACCTTGCGGATAATTTCATTGATCCTGAGCATGGCCCAATTCCTATACCAGAAGTTATTAACGGTCAAGAATGTAAAACTGTAAGTAAAAACCTTCAGCTTTTCTGGTCGGATTCGTTCAGGGACACCGGAAGCAATTCAGGGCAGTGGGACAGTTTCATTTTACTGTGTGTAGCTCGAACGCAAATTATACGCCCAGACTTGCTGATCCATTGTATCAACATCAAGGACGCGTCTTCTCAATTGTGAATACCACAGATAGTTCAGACACAAGCCACTGTAGTTGCACTGTGAAATATTACAGGCCAACTCGTTTGAGAGGTGTTTCCGTATGTATAGAGCCAAAGCATAAATAGAAACCGCTTTTGTAGAAAGAACAATACCTGAAATAAACGTTTCAGTCCTTGACGTCTAACGTTCCATCCCTATTTTAGGTTTTCACCGTGGACATAAACTAATGACTCTTCATTTCTTAATCAGCTCCGTTTCTTCGTTGATCTCGGCAAGGTTTACAGCAGTCAAAATTTTCCAATATTTAAACTGGTTAGGACGGACACAGCCGTGAGAAATCGTTTTCAACTAAGGATCCAACTTCAGTTTGCAGACCGAGAACCATCTGAATGGTTTGAAAGTCCTGTATTTCGATGCCGAACCAGACGAAATCCAACTAAACCACCTCCTTTTATGGAGATTGGTAAGCTTTGTATTCAGGAGAAATATGAAATGCATGCAATCTTCAAAGAATTACTTACAAATAGTCTTTCAACTCTTTTTCTTGCATTTCTATTTCAGAAACTTCAGAGCCTCCTCCAAGTAAGTAAAAACGAATATTTTAAACATACAAATAAACAGAAAACATCAGTTTATTCACCAATATTTTTTGTACAACAGAAGTATCATATGCTGTAGTGCAATGCAAATTCGAGGCATTTGTTCTTGTCAATATACGTCGTTTTAGTTCAGCTAATTGTCAGTTTTTTAATTCTTTTGACAAACCTGAACTGATTGAGTTTCCTTCTGTCTAGTGGTAACCGACAATGTGATAACAAACTCCCTCACAGCCAGAACAGCGAAAATCGACGACCTTGTTTTCGGCTCTGCCGCCAGTTCAAATGCTGATATTGCATACCATCTAAAACTTAAAGATGATGAGCTTGGCGCGGAACTTCAAGAAGGCGATGTGGTAGGGTTTTTCACTGATGACGATTGTGGTGAGACGTATGTGAAGTTACTCAGTAGCAAGGACTGTGACACCGCTGTTCATGCCGGAGTTGTCAGTCGTTCTTATTATTTATCTGCGAATAAAACGCCTGAGGATGGTTAGTTTGTATTTTTTTAACGTTACACTACTCTGAACTGTTTTTTTCCCGAGAGATCCAGGAAACCTAAACTAAACTAACTTTATTTATACTGGATTGCTCTATCAGTTATAAACTGTTCTTCCTAGAGGTCCAGTAAGGATCATCTCTTATTGATCTAGTGTTACTACAGGAGGAAACCTAAACTAAACTAACTTTATTTATACTGGATAGCTCTATCAGTTCTAAACTGTTCTTCCTAGAGGTCCAGTAAGGATAATCTCTTATTGATCCAGTGTTACTACAGGAGGAAACCTAAACTAAACTAACTTTATTTATACTGGATAGCTCTATCAGTTCTTAACTGTTCTTTTAGTAGAGATCCAGTGAGGATCATCTCTTATTGATCCAGTGTTACTACAAAAGGAAACCTAACCTAAGGTAACATACAAAAGGCATAATAATGATCTAAACTCTTATATTTCTCTTCTTTCTTCTGAAGGTAAGACAGACACAGTGTGTGTCGTGGGAATAGTCAACGTTAAAGTTATTGGAAGTGTGGAAAATGGCGAACGAGTTTACGCTTCAATTGATCGTCCCGGAAAAGCGATACCACAATCACATCTTCCAGTTGGGAGCTTTCTGAGAAAGAAACACGTTCTTCTTGGAATGTCTATGGAGCGAAAATACCCGAAATCGTTTGAGGAGGAACATTTGGTAAAGTGCTTTGTTTGTATTGTTCTGGACATCGGACGACAAGATGTTTTGAAAGAAGTGGAAAGTATCTACGAAATATCTGAAAAATCGACACAAGAACAAATAAAGTTTGCTTCCAAAAAAGCGTGGCGACGTAAGTAAATATGCAAAAATGGATAAAACTATCCAGTATAAATAAAGTTAGTTTAGTTTTATGAGTAAGAGATGATATCATAATAGTAATCTTTTTCTTTTTCAGGGCTGAAGTGTTGTTTTCTCACGACTGCCATTTTTGTAATACTGCTGGCATTTTTCCTCTACCAGGTCTTTGTACCGGGTTCGATGTTCCGGTACTGGCTTTGCAGTAGGGGCCGTATCACCGGAGACCTGCGAGTTAGTGTTACTCCTTACAGAGCAATTACTGAGGTAGGTTCCTTCTGAGAATACATGGAGATCAGAGGCTGCGAAACCGGGGGGTCAGAAGTGGGGTACGCCCACATTCTGTCCAAAAGGAAAATGTTTCCGTTTTGAAAGTAAAAGTGACTTTTTTTGAAGTGATTTTTTTTCAAAGATGAAATTACTCCTCCTGATTTCCACCTGATAAACTAAACCTGTTTCTCTTCACCCAGATAATTGATGTTCATGGAATTCGTTTCACCTACGCAAGACTCAAAGAGAAGGTGTCTGACGACTTTAACAGGAATCATAACAGAGGTATAATATACCTGAATTATTGTTCTCATTACGACTTCTTCATCATAAACCCTCCAGCAATATCTCTGCCTTACAGCCGGCGAAGATTTCTACTACTTTCTCAATCTGGACAGATGTGCCTATTACGGTGACGTAGGGCCAGTTCGTGATTACTCATCCGGGACATACAAGTCGATAGGCGGGGGCAAAGTCCTGAGTACTAACTTCAACTGCAGCACGGTTTACTGGTATGGGCATCACCCGAACGACACGAAGCCTGTTTCCACGTGGCATCCTTATATCTCTGCCCAGGACCTGAGATGCACGCCAAAACCACCCTATTAATAACAGCCAAAACAAACAAGTCCTTCACAGCATGATTGATATCAAGGAAATGAGATCAATTCCACTCTCTCCCAGAGGAACGGGAGACGAACAAAATATGACTGTAATATATAAGAATTGCGATAGTTTAGTGCCACGTGGAAAGCTGGTGCTGTATCTGCCATAACTGCATATGTTCTTATCGAAGTTGTGCCGTAAATAGTATAGAATTCCACTTACGGAGCCAAACAAGTAGAAATACAGTAAGTCTGCATGTACATCTATCACAATCAAACTGGTTCTTCTTGGCTAGTGACTTCCGGTACTCTTGTTAACCAAGTTTCGTTAAATCATTACATAAAGTTCTCAGGTAAAATGGGTAAAACAATGAGAGACTGTGGCTCAACTGCACATGCTTAACTAATACCTGCTGTTGTATAATGTAGAGCTGCAAGTTACTTAACTAAAATATTGGACTCTACATATACTCTGACTATATGTATGTATATATATATATATATGCATGCATTGATGATCGCAACGATAGCACCATAGAATTTGAATGCATTCTTATACAATATAATTGAAAGTGCTTTCCAAATAGGCTTATAAATCGTGCTCAAAAACACACTCTTGTATAAAATTGCTTATATTAAAGAAAAATGCTTTCGCGTCTATCTATTTGACTATAAAAGATCTCAAGGCTCATCAGGCGGCCATAAAGAAGTTCTTTTGTGTAAATTGAATTGAAATTTGAAAAGCCGGTTTTTTGAAAATGGATATGTTGTAATTTCAGACATAAGGGCTGGCATATGGAACAAGATGAGTTCGTATCTCTATATTTGAGCATCTGCAAGGACACAACCAATAGTGAATTATTATGAAAGATATTTGATATATAATGTCAATGATGACGAGTATTGTTGATGTAGGACTCGAAGCCGAAGGGAATTCCCCTGCATTTTCTGTTGTTGACAACATCGCATCGTTTCGTTTTAATTTGCGTCTAAGAAATCGTTTATACTTTGTCAGGAACTTACCAGAGAGTTAGAATATACAAAGGTAGTCTTTACTGAAATTAAAAACGATATTTCTTTTGCGAAGTCTTTCGTAATTTATTTCATTGTGACGGCGCGTGAATTAGATATTCCATTATTATCCCAGTTTATACCCGTCAACGGGAATTATAATATCCAACCTAAGCAAAAAGATAGAAGAGGATTCTTCAACATTCTACTGATCAAAAAAGTGAGGATTTATATGGAAGTGTCAGACGAGAAAGAATCATCGTCGAGGGAAACTTTACTACAACAGGAGGGTGGACTCGATTCTGTTATTGACGAGCTGGGTGAGTTTGAAACGAAAGTATAGGCTATAGCATGCATGATGTTATATGATGATGCATTTATACTTCCGTGTGTCTGAATAAACCTAGCATCTTAAGAAATAATATCCTTGCTGCGTACCGTTTCTTCAGTTATGTAACTCGTCAGAGTTGACTTGCGAATTGTGGTAGACGCTATTTTTCTAGTATAAATGCGTCTGTCTTGCTGTAAACACCAGAGGCAAAAAGAAAGGTCGTGTTGTCAGCAATTTCAATTGCAATTTAATTTGCTGTCTCCAAAATGTTAACGTGAATAGCATGAAAAACACAAGACTGACCAAAAGATAAGTCGAATGCATTTATTTTATTAATAAATACAGCCCAAAACACAAAATATCAAGCGAAACGTTTAGCTACTGGTGCTCAATACAAAGTAAATAAAGACCTTTGAGAGAATCTCAATTTGCAACTGGATTTCTCGATCTTAATATTAGAGATCGTGAAGAAATTTTATCATGTATTTGCACCACTAGCTCGAAGTTCTATTTTATTATTTCGTTCAAAAAGCATCATTTCTAATTTGCTTTCTTAGTCATGCACACGTAGTCGACATTCATATCTGCGTACTTGAAATTATTAGGGGAACAGGAATTCCCCTTTAAATGATTGGATCATCAAAATGATCAAATTCACTCTAAACTAAAACCACCATTTTTCTCATGAATCAGAGCAGTCGGAATCGAAACGAAATATTTACTTCGTAACTATAATATGAAAGAAGATATATAGTTGTATTACTAAGTTTAATTTTATACCTTTTCGTGCATCAGAGAACGAGAATATTGAACATTCTGCTGTCCAAGTGTTAAAGATTAATCTCAGAGACGAATACTTGAAAATTCAGAAAAAAAAGGTGGCAGGATCTCAGCAGAGAATTGAAGATGGGATCGTTTACTTCACTGTATTTTCCCTGATGCAGATCATGAAGGTTCGAACCTTCGTACAGAGGTTGTCGGATTTCGCGGAAGATGTCGTTTATAACCGACCGAAGAACGGTAATAAAATTTGTATTCCTAGAAAATTAGTTTGGTAACTATATAGCTATGTTGTTTTGTGGTGGAATACTGCTCGTTATTATATCAACAAATTCCTATTAAATAGTGGTGAAGAAAAATGAAAATTCTTCCAAATTTAAACGGATGACTTGTCGTTCCTAAATTTATAATTTTATTACCATGACAACTGTCTCCTTTTAGGATGGTTTGAACTGTATACGAGAAACGTGAGGCAAACAATGGCCACATACGACTACATGGCGGACTTGGACAGCGTTTACCAAAGCGTCGAAGGCAACAATGTTTACAGTCTGTTTAAGAACAAAGGCAGTTGTGTGAAAAACACTTACGTCTTTTTTGTTATGGTCGAGCTCGTTGATCAAACTACCGAAGAATTTTGTTGGACGTTTCAACTGAAAACTAAGCCTGTTTTAAGAAATGCAAAGAGCCTGAGGGATCATGGTCTGTAGGCGCTGATCCGCCCGTAGGTGAGTCGATAGTTAGATAGTTATAGTTGTGAATAAGTAGAATAACACATGAAATACCGTTAATATTCATTTAGTACTCTTGTTGATAAATATTATTTTTATTCATCTCTATAGTGACGGGTGGAAGGTGCGTGCTTCGTCATTTGACTTAATGGGACTTCACCAATCACATGAGCTAACCGATTCAACATAGCTAGATCACCAGTTATAAATATAAATCATAGAAAATTAAAAAAAAATAAACTGCTTATGAAGCACAAGTTATTTTGAGGGGACACTGGTTTATCTTGGCTCTGGTTATATATAAATGTAAGGAATCTACTTTACAATATGGCTTGATAATATGATGCTGACATTATCAATTTAACTAAAGGTGTCTAATCTGAGTGTACAAACTTTGTACATGTAATTACTTTGCTTACGGAGGAAAATTTTTAAAATAAACTGCAATATCAGTTTTTGTTGTTATTATGTAGTTCAAAGTTTGAAGTTCAAACTACGAGTATCTCAAGAATCTACTGAAGGTTTCACGTGCAGCTAAACGTTGTCATTCTATACTACACAGGCGTAATTTGAAACTTGTGTTGCGCGCAAATGTAAATTAGTTTCTAATTGGTCGAGTTCAAATTTAAACATGTTTACATTCAAACGCCGGTTCCCGTCTTCGTTTCAAAAGACATTAACAGCAGCATTTGAATTTGCATCATGATTGCCTAAACAACTATACGTAAAGTATTCTGTACTCTGTGGTATCCTGCTATCCTTCGTCTTGCGTGGAGGAATATTTTATATTTCGATCGTAGTATTTAAAAGTGTCAATGCGACGTTGCACCTGAGATTTTAAATTGTTCACAGCAACCGATGGCATTTTCTTATCGAGGCGTGAACATGGACGTTTATGTTGCTAAAATTATCGCGATTACTCTCTCAGTTCTCGTGGCTTTGGTGGTCCTATTTATGTTCGTCTACAGATATATCATCAGGAAAAGGTCCGAACAACAGTCAAAAAAAGTGAACAAGCCTAAGGGAAAGGAGAAAATATCCCGATATCGACCAGCTCCTTTACGGTTAGACGAAGTTCGTTACCATCGAGTACCATCCCAGTTCACTCCGTTGGTTATCACACCAACCACCCCGAATCAGTTCACTATTCCACCATCAAGACAATACCTAGAAGATGGTAGATCAGGGTCGTTGGTCCTCCCACCAACCCCTGATCATACCAAGGGTAATTTATCACCCAGCACAAGGCCAGGGGGCCTGCTGGGTCCGCCAAAGCTCTTGCGAGCCTTGTCTGAAGGATGCCATCCCTCCGCCTTTAAATCAGATCATGTTCCACCCCATGGAAAAATCGAGTGTTTCTTAAAACACGAAGAAGAAAGTAATCGTCTATTTGTCCAGGTGAAGATCATTTTATTTTACTATTGATTGACAAAATAATTACCAGCGTTCATTTGTATCGCACTTGACACCCTTCAGGCTATGAGATGATTAATTTAAATATCCTCAAAAATTTTGAGCTTTCTTCTCATTCAACTTGTAGTATATACGACGTGTGTGCAACACTCGTTTATATCATGCATATCCGATCATAGCTTATTAACTTGAAGTCTTTTTTATCAAATGACAGATACTGGGTAAAAAAGGTCATTCCCTGAGTTGGATGACAGGAATCAGCAACCCATACATACGTGTCACGTTGATTTCCAGTCGTGAATGCGAAACAGCTCTTCGTTCTTGTTCCAAGAATCTGAACCTTCCATCTAACCCGAGTTGTAACCTGGATTGCATTGAAGACGTGAACTTGCGCGATTGCCTATTGAAGTTCGTGGTGCTTGATTTTGATCGTTTTTCGCGAAGCGAGTTCGTCGCTGAGGTGCTGGTTCCATTGGGAGATCTAGGTGACCTGCGTGAGGGGGTAACGATATGTAAAGAGCTGATGTTACAACAGAAGGTTATGGTAAGTTTGGGTATGTGGTAGTCTTGTATACAGGACCATAGGTTATCAAGAAGTTATTTCATTTTCTCATCTATCCAATCATAGCTTGCCCCGAGAGGATCTCTCCTGATCTCCCTGTGCAACCAGTCTATGGCTCAACAACTTCAAGTGATCATCCTGAAGGCTGATGGAATACCGTCAAAGAGCAGCGTATCTTTGGCGGGATCTGGTAAAGTAACGAATTAAACAACTCTAGATCGCATTACAGCCAGCTCGTACAGCCATTTTGTGCACAAATTATGACTTTTTAAATGCGTTTTGAGAACGGGCAATTATTGTATTTGCGTCTTTTCGTATAGTGGAACACTGTCGTTAGTTTCAAGAATGAAAATATAATTTTTTTATGTATTTCTAGATCTGTGTGTTAAAACAACATTAGAGACATCGGAAGCGTGCTACAGACGGAAGACAAAAGCCTGTCGGAAAAACAATAGCTATATCTTCAACGAGAAACTGGTGTTTGAAGTGGACAGCGAGGCACTCGCGAATGCAACGCTGACGTTTGAGGTATCACGTGGTGACTCGAAGCTACGATACGAGACCAAAATTGGTGTGATAAAACTGGGACTGGACTCTAGTCAGGCGCTGGAAATGCGTCACTGGGATGAAATGCTTTCGACGCCACAAAAACAGATCGCAGAATGGCATCAACTGCGTCGATTTTGACGACATAAATCATAGCCGCACCCTAAGTAAATTTCAATCGCCCAGCTATCCATGATTATGATATTTTTTCGGTCAAAAATACTTAGAAAGTATTCGAAATAAATTTCCTATATCGCTGATTTGCAACTTGTAAAACAAACTTATGCTGGATAACTACTGCAGTGTTGTATAAAGTCATCTTTGTAACAATTTTAGAGACGTTTTTGCAGCCGTTCTTTTTATCGAAGTCTCGTCATTCATCAACAATGTCTCGACATTCTTATCAACATGCGAAGCGGGTGTAGCATGAATGAAAATAATTGTTTATTATTGCAAATATTTCAATATTTTTTATTTTTTTTAACTTCTTCGGTATTTTAACGGCGATCGTATTGTGTATTTGCTTCAATTTGATGGAGAAGATATCCACAGGATGACTCTAGTCAATTATGTCTCCTCGTTCGCGACTTTAAGTAATATTTTCTTTTTTTCCTCAGGAATGTAAGTATTATGACTGTCTATGAATGGAAGATCCAAGTCAATGTTTGCAAGTTCATTTGAGTACTTCTGAGAAATTACATCGATGCTTATACTGATGCGTATGCTGAATTTTTCAAATAAGGAGCAATATACTGTTTGTGTGTTGGTTGTTGGAATATCAGCATCAAGTGTTAAATAAAAAAAATAAATGGTACCCCATGTGAACCACAGAATTCCATGTATTCATCAGAGCAGACCAGGCTGATCTGCACTGCTACAGTTCCCTCAATTGGGTTTTGATTTATAATCTCTGCCATATGTGTAGACCTTTAGCATTCTGTCACTGATTATGGTATAAACTTTTACACCAATGTTGTGTCTCTATGAATTATCAAGACAATATCTTTTCCTTTAGTTTAACTTGTCGAAAAATTATCAGAAACAACAGCACTGAAAATGTTTCACATCTACCATTCTTGATCACATCATTTAGGTGAGTAATATAATAGGAATTTCAACCAAAAATGCAGATACATTTAGTAATCGAGGCATATTACTTTCAATTCAATTCAAATTCAATTCTAGCTGCTTCATGTGGATTATGTATGGCATAACAAAACGTGACTCAACCATTGTGTTTGTAAATACAATTGGAATGATTTTACAAAGCCTGTACTTAATATGTCATTTTATTTATTCCAAGGTGAGATCATCATGTTAATTGATTATGCCAATCATTGAAATTGATTGCTTCCCGCAACTTCCTATTTCATTTTTTTTCAGACAGAGCCAGTGTTCAAACACACATGTTATATTTTGTTGCTGACATTTACTTTGCTGAGTTATTTTAAACTCTATATCCCAACGGAAGATGAATCACTCCAGAGCATGGGCATGACTTGCGTGATTATTACAGTCATCATGTTTGGTTCCCCGCTGGTCGCTCTTGTAAGTGAGGCTCATCAAACAGTGATATGAATGCAATTCTGTGAAGAGCATTACATCAACTTTATTTACATAGAATAGCTCTATCAATTCTAATTTCTTGGAAACTAATATAGAACAACTACCATGTTTAAAAACCATTTATTTTATGTTTTAGGCCAATATTTTTAGATCTAGAAGCACAGAGTCACTGTCATTTCCACTGTGTGTCATGACTGTGGTGAATTCGTCTTTATGGATGTCGTATGGATATTTAATAAACGATATCTTTGTTATAGTAAGTACATAGGTCAGAATGTGGCCAAATATGGCATTCATTATAAACCACAGCAGATCGTTCAAAGTTGGGTTTTCTCATCTGTCAACACTTGGCGAGTCTTCAGATTTTAAACTTCCTTTATTTTTCAGACGCCAAATTTTCTTGGTCTGCTTTTGGGACTGGTTCAAGTCGCGTTGTTCTGTGTCTTCCCGTCAAGCGCAAAACCTATCATCGTCTCCTTGTAAAACTAAAACTTCCTTGAGACATGCAACAATCTTCCCTAGAAATACCATTTCAAAGAACGTGGGCACCAGAATTCCGCAACGGGACATTATACACTTTCCCTTTAACAATAATCGATCAACCAAATTTCACTTTATACAATATATTAGGATTATTACCGCTTCAGGTAATCATTGGAAAAAGTTATAAAGAGATATTTTTACTATAGTATGGCATGTTCCCAATAATTTCATCAATGCCCGGATACTGTACCGTGAAATAAGGAAACTGTAATCTAATTGCAGTCTTTGGTAGATTGGTATTAGATATACTATCAATTTAACCAAACCACACTTTAATTTTGGCAAGTGCATTGAAAGTAGAAATCTAGAACTACCTAGCTTCGTTACCGACAAATTCCATCCTAGGAAATCGCTTTATTGAAATTGTCTTAAAGCTCAATTACGTCATGAGCAGGATAGCCGATAGTCTTGGATAATAATCATGAGACAAATCACATCTTTACACGTTAGCAATAGGTCAGTGGTTAATGCAACAAGATGCGCCCAAAAGATCAAAGATATCTTCATCCGATTCAGATAATCATCCTGTATTTTTAAACCTGAAGCCATTCTTATTATGGTAATCAGATATCCATTTCTGACCTTTTGTGCAATTGTTCTAACCCCGCTTCAGAGCATTTCATCAAGTGAAAATTAGGCAATTTTTACATCATTATTTTCTCGCTGCCTGTCGTGTTGCCTCATAACATCCCTCAGGGTATGGTAGAACAATAGCACGGCAAATATTTATATTCTTCATCCTCTAGCCACACGGTGGAACGTGGCCAAATTTGCGGCCTAATGCATGTTAGTTTTGAAATCTTCAGTGTTTGCACTCATGAGAAATTAGTGATTCGAGATTCGACCTGGATGTGAAATATTAATAAAGCTGTCTGCTTTGAGGTCAAGTAGTAGCTTTTTTAAGCTACTTGCGAGAAAATTTGGGAGGTCTTTTATATAATTGCTCGGAATATAGGTTCTGCATGGATATGTATGTATATATATAGGATATGTAATACTTCACAAAATATGCAAACAGCATCGTCTTTTAATAACCTCATCAAACGCGGTGGAAAATCTGAATCATTCTGAGCTAATTCAACTTTGGGTAAGTCGGCCACGTCATCCACACATTCGGTGTTTGGTGACTTGGATAACTTGACTAGGATCAAGTCGTTTCAAGCGGCTCATTTATAAATGCTTGCAGCAAGAATAAGCTTCTGTCATCACCCCGGGTCGAGTATCGAGTTACCTTCCTTTAATGCTGTGAATATCTTCTTTAAATAATCGGAACGTCCTATTGCTTTGTCATTCTCTCATAATTCGACCCAGTGGCTCATGTTCTCGCGTGGGTGGAAGACTGCATCATTTTAAAAGGTATGTGTTGTAACGTAATCATAACTAGTCCACAACCTGCATAGCTTGTGCGTAGCGTATGCTAATCCTCAATATTTGCCCACGAATTTTGCGCACTTTATTCGAAAGCGTGTCTCAAACTTCAACCTGGCATTTCTCCAACATCAGAGTCTTGGTCAAAATAGAAACCTTTATCAACCTGGAATTTGCAGGAATTGCGTGCATTTTGGACAAATGATATTTTTTGCTTGGAGGCTACACCTGGTCATATAAACACAAAAACTCATTCCTTGCATTAAACAAATTTAGAATGAAGTCTCTATTAGAGAAAATTTAAAAAATACGTTCTTTAGTTACACTTTTTTTACCCTAGAGGTTGGCTTTCTCACAGCTAACATTTCACCTTAAATATGCTTCAAACATCAGGTTTTGTTCTCTAATTTTTTGATATACTCTCAGCTGTGTTGTTGCGAAGATAAAATTTTCTGGACTTCCTCGAGACCGGGTGATACGATGCCAAAATCTGATGGTCAATTTTGGATTGATCTCCTTCAAGCTTCCTGTGACCTTAAACCAGCCGGACGAAGTTCATTGGAAGATGATACGATCCCGTTGGCTAGCTACCTAAAGCCAAAATGTGAGTGCCTATTAAACTTTATACACGCGGCTTTCACATGATAACTCTGTAGGTTGTGAAATGGTCAATGGTCTGCCTCTACTGAAAAGCTTCAGAATTGACCTTCGTCCGTTGTTTCTACTGGACCAAACAATCCAGTAATTATTGATGTTTTTTAATGCTCCCAGTTTAAACCTACGGTGAATCGAAACAAACTATATATGCAAATAACAATAGCAACCTGCCAACCTAGATGTATCTTACCGAGCCAGTACAGGAAGAAACCGTTCAGCCTTAAGGCTACGAGTTTTTAACTCATTATATAATCTGTTATCTCTTTGTCTGGCCATCTTATAAACAAACCGCAATCAACTTCCAGAATGGGATAATTATTGAGTTCATGAGAAAACACATGTAGGGTTTCAACAACTTCCTGGAGAAAACCTGAAACATGAAACTGCTACACGTCCTGTCTTTGTAACCGGATGTTTTGTGTGTCTGAATTGTGCCTATATTTGGATATCCTTCTGAAGCTCATTCTGAAACGATTTCATGTGTAGAATCCACGAATATAATCTGAACTTTAATCTTAAACCTGACTTACTGAACCTGATTAACCCTAAACGATTAAATTAAGGAATAAATTTGTAGGCCCAGGAGATAAGATTACAGTTACTGTAGTGCTCCAGGAATAAATTATAATGAATTTCTCATTTCAGTTGACCTCTTTGAGGAGCTAACTTTTCGGCCATTGAAAAACACCGTTGAATTCCTGAACATGAAGAAATGCTACGAGAAAGTTCAGAAACGTCAGGACGGAAAATCGACGCAAAGGCCTATGGACTGCAATATACGCATGCTCGCGAAATTTGATCCTACCTGGAGGGGACGAGATATCGATGTTTATGTCCAGCGGCATCCAGATAGCGCGAAGCTTTGCGGTGACTTCAATGGGAGAGTTAAATTGGAAGTCAAAGTTGGAGAGAAAAAAGGAAGTTCGGTATGGCGAAATATTTCACTTTTTACTGTCGTTTGTGAATTAAGTGTTTTCCTGGATTGTTCCTGCTTGTTTAAAATGTAATGTAATTGTAATGTGCATGTTTTTCATGTAATGTTAATGTGATTTCTTTTTTCCAGGTTTTATTTTCAGTTGATCTGGACAGCGTGTACCAAGGAAACTTAAACATTCCTATTTACAAGCTTTCTACAGTTGATCCATTGCGAAGAAATAGATTTATTTTGATTATTCGCTTGACGTCAACAGATTCTCAAGATGAAGATCAATATTTCACCAGCCCTGCATTCCTGATCCGCAGTCGTAGAGTATCGAAGGTGAACAACGTGGAGACGAGGCCAAAGGAAGAGAAGAAAGAGTCTTAAGAAGAAGATGAAGAAGAGAATGGTGGACATGAACCAAAAATTTAAGTTAATGCTTTTTATTGTAAATATAATTCAGAGATAGCTATGTTTACTATATTTAAGTTAGCCTCAGTGAGGACATTATGTCATATTATTTCCTGGCAACTTTATCAGTTAATTCACATCCTTGGCAATGGTAGTTAGTAGAGAGGGTGTAAATAGATATATTTCTTAAACCATGGCTGTCTCTGTGTGGCCTGCGTCTCAATACGTCTGCACCCAGGCTATCTCTATGACTTTGTGTTGCGAATGCATTCTCGTTCTCAGGTTGCACAGAAGGAACACTCGGCCTCTTCTCGTGATCTCGTAACCTCGTGCTCAAATGACACATGGCGGACAATTTGAATTTTGCTATACATCATAACGAACAGTATTACAGTCATCGCAGACAGTTTAGAATGGCTTTCTCATTTAGGAAAGATGTTATCTTTTTTACAACAAGGTGAGCTCATAGAAACACCAGAACATTGATGTATATTTTCGGTAGATTTATACACGGTGAGAAGTTCATTACTGTGCGTATAAAACGAATTAGGGAGCGGAAGAATTGCCTTAGAAAGGAAGTTTGAAGCGCTGTACGCTTATATGTAACCTCATCTTTGTACGTGCAAAATAAACGGCTTGCATTATGCGCTTATACAAGTCAGAATAAAGGCTAAATACAATTTATTTCACTAAATATCTGTGATCGTCAATGTTGAGACCAATGCTGGTTCAAAAGTCGCGCTTCAATAAGCCAAATATGGTATTTGCATATAAAACAATGCATACTGGTGATTAACTGCATGGTGGTAGGTGATAAATCACCGAGGAACCCATTGTTTCATTCAGTAATCGTACAAGTCGACAATTCCTGTGACTTATCTCGTTCGCGGAGACAGGATTGTGAACCTTATGGTGTCAAGTTTCATCGCATGTCGCAAACCTGAAGTTGTGGAAGGGAAACAAATTGATTTGATTTCTTGTCGCGGCCGATAAAAACGATCATTTTGACTTGTTGCATCGTGTGGTCTTTTCTTTTTACACGTCACGGGGAAATAATGAATTTTATCAATTTCATGACCTCATATGCCCGTGGCCTGTTTGGGTGAAGTTAAACAACATTTAATCCACTCCACTTATCACAATTTATTCATATTAAATTCATATTCACAATAGCATGGAAATTTATAATGTTATTTTCATTATCCTTGTTAAATTAAACACTGTCTTCAAACGGCTGTGTGGACAACATTTCTAAATTTACATTTCATAAATTCTGCCGCATTTTGCTTTGGGAAAATCTATGATTAATCTCTTGTTCAATAAATACTTATACTTAATTATATATGAGGTATGCCTTTAAACACACCATAGTTTAGTAACTATCTACAATAACCTAATATGTATACTTTGATTCTCAGTTTCTCTGAATCTATTCTTAATATTTAATTTCTACTTAAATACACAAGAAAACTAGTTTGAAAGATAACACACTCTTAGACAACTGACTCGGCACAAAAACGCAAGCACAGGAAACATGAATAAATCATATACAATGAGTCTATCAAGTTAACCAATGAAGAGTTGCATTTGTTTCAAACGCAATGCAATCTAAATGAACGTGTGCGTTATCTTTCTGAGTTCGTTTTGCATGCGTATTTGTTCAGTCTCGAGTTAAAAGCGGTTTTATCTGTCTCTAGGATTAAACTACAGGATTGATCTTGTTGGAGTGCCCAATGTTAGTTTCGAAGGATTTCCCGTTCTTAAACAATGCTTTCTCAAATTAAAGATTGGTTTCTATTTAGTCGTATCAATTGCGAGACCATGTTCTGTTACCGGCTGAAGGTGCTTACCGGACTGGTCAGTTAAATAAAAATCTCTGTCGTCGAGGAAAGATTTGAATGAAGATTTTGAAAACTTGCATGAAACTGGCCAAACTAATTTTTAAAATGGGCAAAAACGGACCCATAACCGCGATCTAAATGCCAAAAACCTACAATTTGGCCGTACATACATCCTGGTAACAGTAAGCACCCCAGATTTCAATGTCTAATATCTAACATGTATGTTTTTACCGATAACTAAATCCAGTTGTATGTTCGAAAGCCTTCCTTCGTAATTGCGCTATACTTGTACCACGCCAATATTCCCCCCCGTTGGGAATATTACACTGGAGGTCTTGTAGAGTTGGTGAAGAAGAGATGGGCATATCCCGGGAGGCGTACCCTGCTTGATAAGCAACCTGGGGGGATTGACTGAGCTGTTGATTTAAACCACTTAAAGTGTTTCGCTGTTGATAGGATTGTTGGAGTATATCGTGATTTGATTGGTTGAAATGCGTGGACGGAAGAGAGGTCGTCGCCATGGTTGGAACTCCAGATGGGGCTACTGAAGGCCATCTGTGGTCGTTATGGTATGTACATAGGGGATCTAGGGGGTTAGGGTTGTAACTCTGCGCAAGATGAGAGGGTAGAATTGGAGCTGGGGGTCGGAGAACTGACGTAGTCTTCTTGCGTTTTTTCCATTTTGCGCGACGATTTTGAAACCAAACCTGAAAAGAGATTCAGATATTTTTGTTAATTTAAGTCGTGCGGAAATTCTAACTACACTAGCCTCGTCTTCAACCTGATTTGCTTCTAGTGAATTAAAGTTCTCAGTTTTTCAAAACGGTAATTTCCTGAAAGAGGAAATGTCTGTGTGAACTCCCGTCGGTTATAAAACTCGAGTTATGGGAATAATTACCGGCAAAAGCTGTAATTTTTTTCTGACGTGTGGGTGAAAATAAGCTCATTATTTCCTCATGCCGGTCACAGGTGTAAAATTCAGTCATTTTTTTCTTCTCTGCGGGGGAAATTTAATAGTATGTGGTGTATCATGTCTAATTCATAAGCGTTTGCTGCTCAGGTGTAAGTCCTGCCAATTACTGACTTAGTATGAAAACTTGATGTATTCTTTGCCTATTCTTGAGACATGCGTAGCCAAACCTACGCTAAACTATCCTCGCTATCAAAATACTAGTGAATATTAGTTCGATGAAGGATTATTTGTAGGATTGCATGTCGTTTTAGAGTTTCTACACCTTTGCTTTAGCCATTAGGTAAACATTTAAAACAAAGAAACGAATGTTGAATGCTGTGAGTGTGAGGCTAGGGCTTGTTTATATTCACTCCTTTTACTCGGAGCTTGTTCCACAGAAATTGAAATTCTGACTGATAATACATCACTGAAACTTTTACATTTTCTTGTATATTCTTCGCTAAAAAATGGACTAAATTTACCGAAATATCAACTTTGTGATTATTGTGAATGTATTGGCTAATTAATCTGCTCCATTGTGTCTAATCTTCCTTCCTGATAGCCATAAGGTTAGCACATTATTCCGCAAATGATTTTGATTAGCAATAAGACTCGCTTAGAAATATTCTCCAAGTACATATACGTACAAACAGCGTTCGAAATACGCACATGAAAGGTATGGCTGTACGAGAAAGGTATAGCTGTATTATTTCCATTGATTGTCTCTAGGCTTCAAATCTTATAATTTCTACAACGAATGCTTACAAAATCCTTTACTACTTTCGACAGTTACAGAGAGCCTTAATTAATTGTAAACTCTCGTTGAAAGATGCCCTAATAACGTTATATCACATTATCCTGTCCTGTGTATTGTCTACTTTCCTTGTGGCCTGTGAAAAACCTTCATCTAATAAATTGTTGCCGTCAAAACATTGGATTAATTTAGTTTTCAGCGCAAAAAAACGAACGCGGCGAATCGTTTGTGGTCTTCTTAAATTAAGTTGGTTTTTCATAACGAGAAAGGCGTTTTTAATTTCACATATTGCTGTTTGAAAATATCGAATGGTTTCATTAAAACGACAGTAAACATTTATATCAATTTTTACCGATTTATATTTACCGTCGGGGCGACGCAAAGGCAATGTATTGTTTTAGTAGCATCTGGCTTGTTTTGTTACGAAGGGAATCATATTTTGTTCCCGCAGGCAGACCGCTGTGACGAACAAAGGCAGGCAACTATGTCTGGTTTAGTTTCGCACAAGTTAACTTTGTGTTCGCCTTCAGACCGCATGATGTTTCAAACATTAATATCCCGAATACTTGAGTAGGACTATGAACGTCTGTAACAATGATATGATTTTCAAACATTGTTTACTTTTCATATCAGTTTGGTAAACCTTTCCAGCCGCGTAGCACGGTTGAATCGAAATTACTTTCAGTCATTCCCTTTGAAGCTGCAGCCGATGCCGCCTTTTCTGTGTACAGACGTTTCTCGTGCGTTTTAGTTTGTCTAACACACGCTTGCCGGGCTAAGTAATGAGCTCCCTTTGCAATCGTTCTGATAACCTCAGTATAGATTATTATATCGATCTTTACTTTGAATGAGTTCCGTGTCTCTCTGTCAAAAAATTTAAAAACTTAACTATTAAAGCATACAGATATCTTTCTATATTAGTTAAATCTCTTATTCAAACATCTTAGTTATAATATATAAGATTAAGAAGACATTTTATCATATTAGTATACAATATATGTTTCAAGATAAGTTTGTTCAAAGATATTTCTTTATGTATGCTTCTTTCCCGACCCCGGGAACCCAGCAAAGCCATCTTCATGCAACGCGTGCGATCTAGTCCTGGGTACCAGACTCGCGTCAAAGAAATCTCCTGGGTTCGAGTTATCTTATGAAATTCTTCTCACCCACTGATCTTAATGCAAGTGGATAGATACGTTCGCCAGATGAATTAAGATTACATATTAACAGATCGTTTAAGCCACTAAAAGCTGGCTCCACATTTAATACAGCTTCATTAAATTTTGCGAGACTAAACAGATTCCATGATAATAGTATATTGAGTTTTTGTATTTCTTTTAACTCCCATAATTGGAGACTATATGTTTCAATTATGTCGATAGCATAACCCGGCCTCGTATAGTATATTAAGTTATATTATCTCAGATAATTATATTTCTGTATTTACCAATTTATTATGCTTTTGAACTTAATTATATTATGTCTAAATTTTATAACTATTTAAGATATAATAAGATATAGTTCCCGTCATTTTGGTCTATCGTATGAACCGTCAACTGTACTTAAATCAAGAGGCATATAATGTGCATTAAAATTTTGACATCTTTCTTATCACTTCGACAATATATCTTAAGTGGTTTTTGTGCTGGAATATTGTCAATTGACTAACATATTGTGCTTTTTAATTAAAACGTCTTTAGTTTTACCGAATAAACTATAGCTTAATATGAAATGCTTAATGTTGTTTTTATTGTCAAATAATAATTATGCTATCTTTGCCTTGGATATCAATTTTCATCAAAGGTTATTAAAAAGATAAATTTTTGTCGATGGTGCATGTCATTTATCATAGTTTTATTACCTTTGTCCAAGCGAGAGGTTCTCTAAATTTTCAAAAATCTATTTCAGCTAGGATAATTACCTTGAAGTTCGACATTAGTTCATGCAATGATTCTGGTCTGTAGCTAGTGTGCCTTGCTTATAAAAATATCTTGAAAAATAATTTAAAAGGTGTCATTAAAACTTTATACCGTTATTGTTGTGTTTGCATAAGATAGATATCCAATTTATGACAATGTCATCTGATATGCTTATATATCACTACGCGATTGAATTTATTTGGAGGGGAAGGGAAACATTTAATTTAAAATGAACTTCTAATAATCCTAGCATTAAGACATCGTTTAAGGGATATTGTTTTGCAATAACTAGTCACGAAAATGTTTTATACCACCTCGAAGACATTGCATCGGAACTTAGTCGTTTAAGTTTGTGTGTTTTCAGTTCTTTGAATGTTTAACTAGTTGGTCGGTAAATTTCTATTAAGAATAATCTAGAAACAGGTTAAGGCAGAGTTTATTGTCTGTTTCATTGTAAATATATATATAGGACTCAGAATGATAGATATATTGTCTGTATGTCTTTAATAAACAACGTCCAGACAGGAACAAATATTTCAAACCGCAGTATTCTTTCAAATGCACCATTACAGCGCTAAGATGATATATTTAACCTTTCTTTCCTTGCCGGAACTTATTTATAGGCCATATTTGTTTTTGATGATTTATCGTCGTCAATTGTAATCAGAAACATGCAGTTTAAACTCTAAATGAAATAAAAACTCTGGAGGAATTTCTCTAAGGACAACATGAACTTTATTCATCCGCACTCCTGCATGAGAAATTAATTTTTGTATTCTAGCAAACATCTTGCAACAGTGTTTTTTTATGTCCTTGTATGTTTAAGGGTTTAACCACGCCCATATTTTACTATACTAACATGAATATCTCATATAAGCAATATCTGAACTGCTCAGATATTATACAAAACGATATAACAAAATTCCGTCAAGAACATATTTAAAAATGAACTGAGATATAGGATTGAACTTTGTCGTAAAAAAAAAAATTCCTCAACAATATAACTGAAATATAGTATTACTCTATAGTTTGTGTTAACACACGCTCAATGATCCGGTGGGCAAAACCATGCAATGGGCTACATCACTTTCTTAGACTGGTGAAGATATATTTTTGTTGTAATAAAGCAACGTTTTCTTCACTCCAGCAGCCACAAACCATATCTTATTCCATGTTACGGTTCTCGGACAATGGGCCGAAAGTTTCGTGGTCAATTTAATTTTTAATGGCCTATAGAAATTTCAAAGTTGCACTTAATCACTCGACAATCATGAACAAGCTTGGGTTTTTAGCGTGTGTGTAATAAGAACAGGGCAGCATTAAGACAGAGTCGCACATCGGCATTCATAACCTAATCTAGACAGTGTAGCATAGAGTCGTTCTGCCCACTTTTCATATTTTTTCCATTAGGAACCATGCAAAAATCATCAGCGTTGGCTCAATGATTTAGAAAATATATCATCAAGTTCAGAAAATAATTTTAGCCTATCCCGGAAGTCTTTAGAATGGCATTAATGCTTTGTCAAACTTTCTTCTCAAGTCAGGCAACTGTAATATATTTGAAGGAAAGAATCGACAATTTTTTTTTTGATGCACTAAACTAGCTCCCGATGTATAATAATCCTATTATGCTAGATTACATGCAAGTGCAGAATGAATGTCTTTCATGTATGTATAAATATGCAATATCCATGCTGTGTTGCCGTTATGTAATATTCTATCACAGCGTTAGTTCAATAACACATCCAAAAGATTTGAATTTAGTCAGTATAATAAAAATGTTTAGTGTTGTCATGTTTGCTTAGTTACCCGTCGTCATCGCGAGGTCAAAAGCCTGCCGACAACCGGGTAATTTGACCACATTTAGTTCTTTCAAATCGTTCCTTCTGTGATATTGAACGTGAATCAAGCCGGCTATCGTTTTCACGTCAAATTACGTGTCCATAATATCATTTGACGCAGATTAGCAGAGAATTTCGTTGAATGGCGCACTAGCGCTCGCACCGACAAAGCAGGATTCGGGCGTTATTAGTTGTTCCTTTCGTCTACGGCTCCGTAGCCAGGGCTTATTAAACTTTCAGAAGTTACGTACCGACTCTTGTGTTAGGAAAGTCAAAACAAATATCGCGGTCTTTGAGACTTTACCGCCAAAACTACGAACAGAATATGATTTTGTTATGTGTTATTTTCAAACCGTTATTGCATGCACTTATTGAGTTGAATAATAGTTTCGTGTTTAAGTGATGATTTTTATAAAATTTTATTCTGCTCTTGTGCGTAAATGAAATACAGTACATTTTGTTGAAATTATTTGCATGAGATGAGGTGTGTTCTAGGAGCAGTTTAACGCAACAATACCTTTGGAGTGAGAATTGAAGTTTTATTAATGATCGACGCACAGCAGTATGACGCGGGAAGCTGCGATTCTTGCAAGAATCCTCATGCATGTCGAACTAACAAATTCGCACGCGAACTGAGAAATACTGACACAAGTTATAGTGAGAAAATTATGTCATAGGTGACAAAATAATAAACGACAGTTCCCTAATACACATATTTCATCGTTGTCACGCTATTGCACAGCATAGGTGAATGAAAAATCTCAATACAACATTGCTCTTCCTAGTGGTCCAGTCTGTCTGTAAGAGGCATTCCTTCGTCAGAAAGAGCACGCACTCATGTTTTAGCTGGGTTTTTTTTGGAAGCAAGCCATCATTCACATGATGCACCCAACAAACACGATTGTTCGTGATGTTTTTGTAACGTGTCAAATTTAACGAGTTATAACAACATAGTTGACAGCCATGTTTGTTGGGCTATGAGCAACATTGTTACAGCTAGTCAATCCTCTTTTTTTCACCAGAAAACAACTGAAGTGATTTCACGAAGAACTTTCGTTGCAAGTAACTTGTGCTATATAGACCTATCACAATTTGGGTGCGCCCTTTGGCAGAGGAAGATTTCTCGCGAATTCATCATCATGTACTTACAAATATAACAATAACGCAAAGGTTTTTGCTTATATTTATAACTTTAACAAAATCCTCCCTCAAGTTAGAAAACGCTGAGACGGAAATTAACGCTTGATGAGATATCTTTGTGCTCGTAATCTAAGTTTTGTTTGGCTCAGAATGACTCTCCAATCAAGCAATTACTGCAAGGAAACACTGAATTGCATGAAATGAGCTTCAAAATTAGAAAATGATCAAATCTTTAGGCCATTTCGCACGACAGACATTATCGAATGTGCGTGTGTCGGCAGCTCACTGAAAACAAATTTGGTTTTTAATAAAACACAGCAAACAAAAGCGGGAAAAAGCAATTGCAAAGAGTAAAGCGACGGAACCCTGCTGAGGCGTGTTTAGTCCGCCTTTGATTTTTAAACGCAGTTTCGTCCGATGATAATTCTGCGTGGAAGTGATGTGTCGTGGTTTGAAGCACAAAACCAAAGGATGTTTGATTATAACGCGAGCTATTCTCTTGCTCGTAGTCAACAAATGTATCGTATTATTTCCATAGGTTTTTAAGCATTCAGAGTTTATTAAATACGCCGAATATAAGTTACATACAACCAGAATTTAGGCACAGAAAGTAACTGTACATAATTCTCTAGGATTTAAAATTTACAATATCAAAGATCCCCTGTAAGTCTTCAGTAAAGCGTGTTCACCAGGCAAATCTTTCACTTCAAGGATCATGTATTGGCCCTTAACCTATGCGCTGCATGAGTTTCCCATATACAAAAATTTAAACAGTCCATATTTTCAAAATATTACCACTTTTTCACAGTAATATATCTCGTAATATAGAAATATATTGAAATGTTTTTGTTAAGAGGAACGCCAAAACTCTTTGGTTTTGACTAATTTGGAATTAAACGAATAATTTCCATCTTCGCGAGGATTCTGTACTCTCTAGGTTTCATAAAAATTTCATGTTTGATGTTTTATAGGCAAATATTCAGTGTAAATGCTTCGGTTTCCGCAAGTTCTATGTTTTCAAGACCTCCAAAAAAGTAAAATTTGCTTGAATGAATTGTTCAACGTGTATGTGTCTTCCTATGAATGTCATTTCTCATTATGCAGTTTTGACAAATTAACGGATATAGTGGTCGAAGCGTTCTCAACTGTTATATCTTGTTAGAAATATTTCCCGTGCCATAAAGTTTATACGAAGGTGCGCATTACGTTTGAAGTGGTAGTAAATTAATTCAAATGTGCTCAGGTGTTAGAGCAATTCTAAAGCGATTGGGAGTAAAAATCCTGAGCCATCGCGAGGAGCCTCGGCCAATTACTAATCACTTAAAATGTCTTGTTCAATTCAATGATTACAACAAGCTTATATTACAATAATACACTCTCCCTGACGAATTTGACTGACAAGCTTGTCAAATTAAAGTTAATGCTCGATTTTGGTTAAAACTTAGCTCTTTTTGATAGTAACTTCGAGGATACATCACGTAACATAGAAGTATAGTTGAAGGTAAACGCGTTTCTATGTGAGGGAAAGAGACAGCCACAGCTTCAACCGAATTCTATAGCACTCAACTCAAATTAGGCCGCTTGCATTTTTTTAGACATTGGTTTGAAACAAGAGGTTTCAAAAGCAGGCTAATATAAATAAATAGGTTTGGTAAGTTTAGCAGACTTGGTCTTAGCATTAGCTGTGAACTTTTTCCTAACGAAATCGTAATATCTGTTTTGAAACTATATCGTGACACAATACTTCGCAACTATAGAGTATACAGCATCCCAAGTATGTATTAAACTAATAAAGACGTGCATTCGTTTCTTGTTATTTCACGTGGGAAATCTTTACGAGTATTTGAAGAGTGATTTAAGTCGTACAATACGAGAAGTCTGAGAAGAACAAAACGACAATTTGTCATATAGAAAATTTTTAAATTAAAACTTTTTATGCGAATGTAATAGGCCGAGTGATAAATGGATAGTTTGCTCTCCCGTGACAAGGACGAATTGATACAGCTTTTAAGGTGCCCGTCGCGTCTATTCATAGAGAGCAATACAAGCTTTTTGCAACAACCATATGATGTAGTATTATTGTGAAATGAGAATACAAACTTTCATGTTGAATGTTCTAATCTACGTCGTTTCCGGGCAAATGATATTTATAGCGTGTTATGTTTGAACTAACGTATAGATAACTTTTAGTTTCATCGACATAAAATTAAGAAAACCTGCTAAATTTGTTCATGAGAGTCGAGTTTGCAACTCAGTACAAACGCAGGAGTTCCAAATGAAATAATTTGCGAATGGGTGTGGAAAGTATCCAAAGCTGGGCTGTGCAGCGATTCTCAGATGGGCCGGTCATGAACGGGGAGTTATCGTGGTTAAAGAAATAGTTTCAAACATAGTTTGGCAACTAAGAATAATACAACTGGGTTTATAAACAGAGGAATTAGAGCAATGACAACAAGACTTGTTGACTCGTGTTGCAAGGAAACTGACGTATATATTCTACTGTTGATAACTTGAGTGACAAATTCTCAACATCTGACTACACAAGTATGGGAATATTTTGGCGACTCGAGGTAGTGAATCATTAGCATTACTAGGGTCAAGGAATACTTCCCAATTCAACAGACTAATTTTGATGTAGGAGATAGTTTTTTATGACCAGACACCGTGGTATGTTAGCGATACATAGTATTATGTACAGTGACTAACCTGGACTCTAGATTCTGTCAGACCAATACGCGCTGCGAGGTCTTCCCTCATGAAGACATCTGGGTAGTGGGTTCGTGAGAAACATCTCTCAAGCTCATTAAGCTGTGTCGGAGTAAACCGAGTTCGATGTCGCTTCTGCTTCGAGAGTTGGGACTCCGACTTCGCGTCATCTTCGTCGACGACTACAGTATCGCTTGTTCTCTTGATCTCTGTCGGTGAGACTTTTCCATCAGGCGATTTGCCATTATCTTAACAACAAGTGAAGGTATTAAATTAACACAGTATGCCGTAGCAATATCATTAGGACACTGAATTCTCAACCCTTCACACTAATGGGCAAAATTACTCAGAGTTATCAAGAAAATGAGCATTTGTTTAAGCTGAACGCGGTACACTAGCTCAGAGTAAAAGGGTTCTAATGACCGACATATACTAACCATGGTTTGCTATCAAACCAGTTATATTGTGTTCTAAACTTGGGACAAGATCAAGTAAAGATGGCTCGCTGTTTAAGGAATTTCCATCTAGATCGTCTCGAGACATGAGCGTAGTTCCCGAGTCCATGACTTAATCTTGTGATCCGGCTCAAAGTTTCGGCTTCTCTTTGTAGGCGGGTTATTATATGCGAATTAATATGTCGCGACACGCGCAGCCAATCACCGCTCACCGTCGTCTCGCTTCTAATAAAACTATTTCAGGTGTCCTTGGCGCAAGCGAGTGAAACGCATGAAAGCAAATCACGTCAGATTAATATTTAATAGTGATAATTGACGCTGTGAACGTTATAAATGATTTGCTATTAATGTCTCTCTCATCTCTCATTTACTGCATACGAGATATCTCCGTAGTATACTCAGGAAGACACAGCATAAAACAAACAATTTAAGTGCATTTTTATTTTGTTATTTTATACCTGCTGTCCTCTTTTAACTTATCCATAAACCTGTTTAGCCCAGCATACCTTTGAACTATAATATCATTTCGGCGAAGATTTGTAACAGCTTTTGGGCTTTTTTATAATGCTTCTAACTGCATTTATTTTGGCTCATTGTTGCTATCTTAATGTGAAGAACAATTCTCCCAGATTCATTGTTTGTAACAAGACAGTTTCCCAATTCTATTTCTGACGAAAATTGGCTTATACAATTATCACCAACTGAAGTTTTCTATTTTATATTGTTGCTTGACATTTACTGTGCTGTGGTTGCACTACAAAAGTTTCATTGAATTGATGTGCTTGTCTATTACTGGAATTTCTTTTTTTTTTCATTTGTGTTTTTTGCCATATTTGTTTACTGTTGAAGTGCTCGTATTTTTTTCATATTACTTCTTTCTTGGTTCTAATCAGATACTCTGATACGTTAACTTACAAGCATCATGAAAAGGTTTAGGTTTCAAAAGCAATGTAAACTACAAGCATTTTGGGTGTAAAACATAAGAAGGGTACTTCGTGTTTGCATTCTCCACAAAGTGATTTGTTGTTGGCAAGCTTGCAATGTATTTAAATGCAATAGAATATCAATGACCAATTCCAAGACAACAAACTTCGTTTGTTTGTCAGACAAGAGAATGTTTTTCAAAATTGCTTTGCCATATCCCAGCAAGCTATCGTAGGCATTATTCCGATTAATAAAATATTAATTACTAATTAGAACTATATCTTTAGTCCTACAGTTCCTGCATAGCTTTTAACTGTGAGCCAATCTAGGGGTTAAATATCCTTGTAGCCAGGGTTACTCAAATACTTTCCAGCCGATTTTCAAACTGTTATTTTGACTGAATCGACTTTGAAAAATGGGCGTTCCTTCAAATATGTTTTATATCTCAGCTGAGAGCTAACTTCATGTTAAAGATGTTCAGGATAATAAAATTACAAAATTTAAAAAAATTCAACTGTATCTTAGAATGCACAGGGACAATTTTACTGTGTTTGAGAGAGATCGATAAGAGTAAACGATATTAACCTTAAGACATTTGGCAAGCTCGAATGAGGAGACACCTTACATTACTCTTTGTACAAAACACCTTCAATTGTTAATTGGCCAAGCGTTAAAATTATTTCTGAATTTCGTAGTGCGATTCTTCAAACAATTTGAAAACAATTGCGATCAGTGTTGTGCCTTGAACGAAAGTCCTGATGAGAAGGCTATTAGAAAAAGTCTATTAGAAAAATCATTCATGACGTTTGCGTGAACGCGTTTAATTTTGTATTCAGTAACTTTTACTAGAGAATTGTTTGAGATCAGACATCTGCAGGTTGTTACAATGCACAATGCAACGAAGACAGAAACATAATCCTGCACATGTCTTTATGTAGTCGACTCTCATATCTTGTTTAAAATCTACGCAACACCGTATTTTAGAAATTGGCGTTACATTGCGAGTAATTGTCTCTTTGAAATTACTCTTCAACTTTTGAACGCTTGCCAGTGTTAGAACACTCACAAAACTAAGATGCATTAACGAGTTAGCCAGAGCAATTGTTTTCTACACTATCAACTAATTGCACTTCTTTCATTTTGTTCCTTCAGCATTGTTATGCAATCTACGCGAAATTTGGTTTATTAAAGTAACACCGCAAACCATCTACTCTTATGTTTGTGCAGTATTTGTGATTCGATATCAATGTGGCCCGTTGCAAAGGCGTTTTTGTCATCAAGTTGTGATACTATAGTAACTCTCCATCTTCCTGAGGCTCACTCATTTAAAGCACGATATCGATTTTGAAACAAAACCCCCAAGCATGCATGTATATATGCAAGACGTGAACGAGTGTATACCTTTCTAGATGGATCTTAAATACAGGATTCTGTTTAATGCTATGAGGCAAATTACCAGGAAATTGTTCTTAATTTGCAGAAAAAAATGCACAATGATAATCACAAGCCTTTGCGAGAAATTATAGGGGCGCAACTATGTCTGAAGCGTGTCTTGCGGAACTTGCATGCAGAAGATAAAATGCTAGCTTTTATACAGGATTCCCGGACTAGTATTCATCTACAATGGAGCAGAGAGTAGCTTCAGTACTATACCGAAGGAAGCTGGTCTCAGTCTAGTGAAATCTTCATGAAAGTATTCAGATTGTATGAGAGTTTCTGAGTATACTTGCTTGCCGAATATTACCGAATAAGGAGATCATTTTTCTTCAGTTTTAGCGTCCAAAGTGACCGAGAAGCTTTCAACGCGTGAGGTGATACCATGCAATGAAAGTGAAGGAGTACCCCCTTATTTAGTCTCGTTTACAGATGTTTTTGTATCTATAACGAAACCATATTTGCCAACGTAAGTCAAACTTATGTTTGGAGTCAAGACGACGTTTAGAAATTCCTCTCCCACATTTGTTCCTTTATCGGTGTTCGGTCACTACAAACGTTGTTACAAGACCCGAAGTGTGCATCTTACAACAGAATTACGACGGTGAAACAAACTCGATCTTTTTGTTTGTGTGTCCACTCGAAAATTACCCTGAGTTTCGCTTCCAATTGTTGATCAAAAGTAAACATTCTGAAACAATATAGAGGCCAAAACGGGCCTTAATCAACATAACGTTTTATTTGGAGTGTGGAAATTGACCAATCGCGGACGGGAAACGATATTAAACTCTCTCAAACACCACATGAAACAGACCGCGCGGTACATTTGAAGGGAACTTTCCAAGGCGAGCCGAACGCACTTTTGAATAGGGACTTATTCCTGTATGCAGCTGCTTGCAGTTTACCGAAAAATGTCGATGAATTAATAAAAAGCCTACTTAATCTAACTAAAGCTACGAAGCAAATTTGATTGATTAATTTCGTCCGTGAAAATGTACTATCTTACCCTTGAGTACTTTGTGTTGGGCGATCGCTAGTTAATAGTGGAATAATGTCACGCAGGTTATTGGAACGAAATGCCTATGAAATATTTCATATAATGAAGGTAATAAGCGCGAATCATTTGAGTTTGTTTTGCCTCAAAAACCGGCGAGGAAACTCAGACACGAAAACTTTTTTAAACTCTTGTCATGATACTTAGGTACCCGGCGTCATGTAATAATCTCGCTTAGTACCCGCGGCATGACTGTCACTAGGGTGTTACGAGACATTATATAATACAAACTTACCTTCAATCATCGTAAAGTAATTTCTCTCTCGATTGAGATCCTCTACCGGTGTGTGTAATTCGCGCATTTGGTCTGCGAATGTTTGAAAGTTTGTGTGTTGTTCAAGATCACTGTCTTCCGCGGACAATGAGTCGCATGATCGGCGAAGCATTGTTTATATATAGCTTAAATGCAAATATAAATAGGCCGTCCGAGACACGCTTTCCAGGGGCAATATAGAATACAACAGAGTAGGGAATAATGCCCGTCAATACAGTGGCCCCGACGCGGGTAAACGCGAGGCAAATAACACACACCGCGCGCGCAATTTTTTTAATTAAGACAAGATTTAATTAAAAAGTTGCGCAGGGACAACTTTTTTACCCAAACCTTCTTTGTCATGACGCCTAGTTCAAAGAGATGAATACTTCAATTAGTATGTTGTATGGTTCTGAGCAAGAAGGATCGCTCGTTCCATGCATGTTTGCATCGCGATTAAGCAATATTTCACGTAGATTAATTTGAAAAAATGAGTTGAACACGGTTTCACACAATACTCAAGCGTGTTAACTTAAAATTAGTATTCATCAAAAGTTTTTATTAAAGGTTCATGCTGGGCACGTCTAAGAGACGTGTTGTATTCAGAAGAAGGGTTCTTACAATAGATTGCCTGCATTTTCAATTTCACCACGCATTTGGGAATTTCACAAGGCCGATACATCAACGTTTCTTTTTCGAGAAGAAGTTCTGCGTGCGTAATAATATTATATTTCTCAAGTATTTTGACACTTTATTTACAGAAAGCACAATTGGTTTTACAACGAGACCGACTATGTTTACACTCTCCTCACAAGGTCGTGTAATTTTAAAACCTTGCCGTTCAATTTTTGACAGCAAAACTAAGACAAAGTTCTAATACATTGAGATTAATCGTCCAAATGAAATACTAGCCAATAACACCTGACATTAATTGCTCTTAATCGAAATTTGTGAGTGTTCAACAAGCTATTAAGCCATTATCATATTGACTTTGCACTCGAGATGTTAGTTTACGGATAAGATCGCCTCTAAAACGCTTCGTAGATTCCTGAATTAACTTCATGCTTCCTGTTTTGCGATGAGACACGATAAAAATATTAAATCTTCATCAGGTGCACGCGAAATGCTTAAAAACGCATTTAATACGTTGGGTAATTATCTGATTAATTGATTGACAAGTTGAAGCAAGTTTGAGAATGATTTGCGATTATTTCCCAACAAGTTTGCTTGCCTTTTGACTCGGGGTTAATTGAAAATTCTGCAATTCTTCTCGACGGTAAACAGGCATTCAAACAATTACCGTTTCTCTCAAAAGCCAGTGGACTGTTTCCCATTAAATTGAGCAGAATTTAACGAGAAATTAAGCAAATTATTTGGCCACCATTATTCATGCTCGCGACAAAGTGCACAAGATTAATTTGCTCTGTTTCTGTGCGTCCTTCATGAACGATTATATACGCAGCTCTCTCAACGCTGGCTGAATGCAATTCTGCATGGAGTATAGCTGGGGCATGAATTATGTTCTGAAATGCTACAAACTTTTCATATAGCGCCATTATGATATTATACCGTACCTAAAGGCTAGAAATTCTTTGTGTTTCCAACTTCTTCAGTAAAGATCATCTCTTGCCGCTTAAAACCTGAAATAAACTAACTGTATTTATACCAGACATGCTTTACCAGTTTCTTTACTAGTCTCTTTTTGGTCCAGTGTTATTACAGGAAGAAACTAAACTAGCAGGATATAATGTTAGCTCTATCAGTACTATAACCGTTCTTCCTAGAGGTCCATGCAGTAAGGGTCATTTCTGATCCAGTAAAACTAACTCCATTATACTGGCGAGCTTTATGATTTCTAAACTGTTCTTCCCACAATCCAGTACATCTTTAAGTGATCCAATTTTACAAATACGAAAAGCCTAAACTTATAACATTCAGTATAAAATTCGATCAGTTTTTCAGTTGGACGTTTACATGTTTTTACAAGACCCTAAGAAATCTTAGTCTTCGAAAGAAATAAAAGATCTCTCTCTTTTGTTTACTCAACCATACAACTATATTAGACTTACTCTCAATTTTTGTCACTGTTGAGATGCATTGCTTTGAATATATTAAATTTAAATCTGATCTTGTCAAGAATTTTCAGCAACTGTGCATAGCAGCTCGGGGATCTAACAAAACGAGCTTATATATACACAAGCCTGATAATTTTTCGTTTATTGAATGAACACGGTTAATAAATTCGATCATGAGATGGAATAGATTTTAAAAACATTTCTGTAACAAGCATGAAACTTGATCTCTCGCAGTTGATTTTAAGTAATGGATCACGATGCGTGTAAATGAATAAGGAAATGTGGAGTAATTTATACTCATGATTTTTCTCCGTGTGAGAATTATTTCTGAGCTGTTCTCTTTAGAGGGTACATTATACTCAAACTAACTTTATTTATACTTGATAGCTCCATCCGTTTTAAACTATAATTCTTCCTAGAAGTCCAGTAGGGATAATTTCATATTGATTCTGTTCCACAATCCAGCATAACTATGGCTCCACAACTCTTTTAGTTCTAAACTAAAAGCAGTAAGGAACGTCTCCTATATTAAACTATTGTCTATAGAAGACCTGATAATATTGCAGTATTTAGTCTATTTTTGAATTTCCATTAAAACACTGAGCTAATATAGGACGAGAGGAAATGATAAAGTTATCTATCTCTTTATCTTGACTAGGTTTTCTCTTATAGTATATCTACAATAGACGAGAACGTTATAAGAATTGGGTCATATGAATTGGTTTAGATGAATTAGGTCAGAGTTTCCATATATTTTGGTATTCAGTCTTACTTAACTCGCATTTTTCTTCATATGCAGACCGAGACTTTTTAAACTGACGTGAATTTGGAGAGTTTTCTTCACCTGCACCAATTTACTGCGCAAATTTGTATTTATAAATTATATTAAAGCTCATTACCCTCGTTCAGGAAAAACCTAATATTGCTCATTTACCCAATAAACTGGCTGATGAATTCTGCCATTTCACAAGAGCGAGTGTCCATCACATAAATTGTTCGAATCCGCAAAGAAAATTAGTCTCAATCCTCGTGTCATAACAGTCCCAGTAGGCAACAGGGCAGAGGCTGATATTTGGAGAGGGTTGTCACCGCTCCTGAAAGAATTGTTCTATGAGTTATTTTTCATTCTCACTTAGGCAAGTAAGAGCTGGGAGGACAAATAAGCTGAACTTACATTTTTTATACTGGATAGCTCTATCAGATCTAAACTGCTCTTCCTAGAGGTCCAGTAAGGATAATCTCTTATTGATCCAGTGTTACTACAGGAGGAAGCCTAAACTAAAACTTTATTTATACTGGATAACTCTATCACTTGTAAACCGCAGATCATTTCTATCAGTTCTAAACCGTCCTACTATAGGAGGACTAAACTAAACTTATTCTTTAAGTTCTTCTCTACAAGAGCGTTAGTGGAAAACACACTACACATGCATTAAAAACATATTTAGATGGCGTAGGTACGGTACAATTATGGTCTGATGAACTCCATAGAAACCATGGTTCACACACAAAGGACAAACGTGTTTCGTCCTACTCAACAAAAACCACACAACGTGCTGAAAACAAAAAAAAATAACCCAGGAACTCGCAACGTCAAAACAATGAAATTTTTAGACTTTCCAATGCAAGAGTATAGAGTTAACATTGTATTAAATGTACTGGTATTGTTGTAGTGTAAGCGAATTCAATCTTACGAATTTGCAAGCAACTGCTTTTCTTTCAGTTGAGTCATTACGATATTCGTGTGAAATGTTTCTATTGTCATATTCTGTTGTTGAAGGCCTTAGAATGGATCATATTTTAGATTCTGTTTTCAATGACAATAAATGTGACTTCAAATTTTTTCTTAACTCGCAAACAAATCACGAACACAAATATTTTGACCAAAATTTTCATATCACTTGACCGAAACAATGGATGTACATAATTTGTGTTTGAAAGAATGGTTTAGAGAGTTAGTGAACCCGGAAATCAATTAGGAACCTTCTAATTAATTAAATAGAAACAAGATTGCATTGTTCTTCTGTAGAGTTTAGACTCTTGACGAGCGCCTAATTTGTACCAGGTGATTTTTGTCGTAAGATTCGCGAGATTTTGATAAGGATTTTTTCTTGGCCCAGGTTTGGAATTGAAAACGACAAGCTTGATTCATGAAAATACTTCGTGCTGTTGCACGAGTTTTTTTGTTAAATACAATGATTTGAATAAATCGTAGCAATCTTTAAAGCACTAAGTGCAACCAGCCTAATGTAACATTGATAAAGGCAAGAGGATATTGTTGAAAAGCGTCGACGCTGTAAGGGGCTAATGTTATTTGTTTCTTCTAATGGCTTCGAACCAGTGCAAATCACTATAATTGAAACATGAACCTTTTAAAATATATTCTCGCGCGACACATAGCCACGCGGAGAAGAAAGGTTTTCAGGTGTTTCGCATTTCTGAAAAGCCATTTCACAAGAACTTAGGTCGTGGGCGAGAAGATCTGAGTCTTGTTGATAACGATGCTGCACTAATTTGAAGCAGATGGGTCTCAGTTGCAGGATTCACAACTCACACGGAGGGAAACGATACGCTTAAAGGACAAAATGATATGCTAAAGATTATAGAAAAGAGATAATATACTTATTTAGATCATTTTCGAGAACTGTGCTTTGTATCGTACGCACTTCGTTTTAAAAGTCTAGCTAGTATACTATCATTCCTGTAGACCTCGTCTTAGATCACATGTGCAACTATCACTTTGTATGAGCACGAGACTCCATTTTCTCGCATCTTAAAATGCAAGATCTGTTTCAACTAAAAGAAAAAACTAAACAAAGAGCCCCACGTGCCTTAAATGCAACGCGCCAAGTTCCTGCTGTTTTCTGTGTTTTAAAAGTTTTTAACACAAAGCACAGCGAGCCATTTAACGTGCCTAAATCCACTAAAGTCATCAAAGTGAAGCATTTAAACTCTGTGTAACGAATGTTCGTAAACGCCATTAACTAAAGTGAGTGACAAATACGTAGCCTGCAAGACTCAGGTGGCCCGCAGGCATGGCAGGCTAGCGGATATATATAGCTTTGAAAGACACGATTTTTTTTTCGTGAAGACACTGGTACTGATACATATACCTAACTGTATGAATGTTTTTTTATTAATCCGTCTGGTCACCGCAGTGAACGTAATTATAATCTTAATGAACAGCACATATACTGAACACTTCTAGCAATGCGTCTCAGTCTTTTAGCGGTCGTATGTTCTCGTTTGACGAAAAAATGCTTTATGATTAAATGCACTGAAATGTGAGTCGTTTGAAGTAAATTAAGAAGTAATGGATTGTTAAAGTCTACATTTTGGAACGTTACAAATTAATTGCACAAAAATTACATGCTTTAAGTCTAACATTGTATAACAATTGTTTTCCGAACAATTTATTGTTTGTGATATTAGTGGGACGAATTAAATTAGGAAACTTTTTAATTCGTAATTTTGTTGTATATAATAGTGTTGTATGTGGTGGTAGCTTTCATGGGGAACGAGGCTTCTTTTTCATTGCTATCTGGTTCAATATTTTTTAAGTTGACCAACATCTGCTATGTTGTTATAAACCCTCTTATTGCAGATAAAATTACCCATTTTCGGAGGATGCAAAAAAGCCGAAAGCCTTAAAATTTTAATTAAAAGGTCGAATTATGTGCGCAAGGCCTTTGTCCCGGCCTCCGTAAAGACTGGCCGAGATTAAGACGTCGGTAAAGGGATTAACACAGCGTTTCTTTGCCAAACATTGGGGCAATCTTTTGAATAATATTAATATTTCAACTCTTGTTTTCATGGCCTCTTAACAGCAGCACCTGTGGTTGAAGTATAAAGCGCAGAATTGATTTACGGTATCGCTGAACAAAACCTGCAAACAGGATTATAAAATATTGCTTTAGAAGAAACGAGCTCGGCTAAATATAGAAATTGGGTGTTTGTTTGACACAAACATTGACTTAGGGGTAGTGGTACCGAATTAAACCAGGTCACCTATTCGCAGGTTAGACGTGTGAATTTTGAAAGCCCAATAAATAAGACTACGGGTATATTTAGGGGGGATCTCAGTAGTTAAATAATAAAATATTATTATAGTCTGTTTCACTAAGCAAAACGTCTAAAACTCGACGATAAGAGAGGTTTTTTGAGTTGTTTTCTTGGCATTAATTCAGTTGCATCTAAAGTTCCTTCCATCATTTCGCTTTCTCCACCTTTGGTCGCCAGGAGATTTATCTTGAATTGTGATTGACAGTTCTCGGGCTGAAAGCACTAACGAGAATGCAGAGTTGACTGTCTGAATGTCTTTGTTGCTGTTTTACTGCTGTAAGGTTGATCAAAATGCTGATCTAATAAAACAAATGTTTGATGTTTATGAATGATCTCTGGTATTGTTTAATTCAGAGACTCAGTCATGCAGAGACTGGGGAGAGTACTCAGGGGTAAATTAAGGTGGTTTTCAGTCGATATAAATTTTTATATCCGTTCCATATATGTTTAATAACAGTGTTTTTTGTATGTAAAAGAAAAATTCGGAAAGCATGCCGAAAAAAAAATATTTGGGAAAGATTGTAAAAACACCCAAAAAGAGATCATCCAGCCTATGCCACAATCTAACCTGGTTATACAACCGGCTGCAATATACCAACATAGTTACAACTACGAAAGGTGCAAGGACAGTTGCTATAGGAAGAACTCCCCCCCATAACTCACATCTTAACGGCCGTCTAAGGGGGAGATGCACTACGGCCCCCAGACCATGATGTATGTGCACCTAACCGTTACGTCTCAGTGAGAAACAGAGTATGCATCGCCACAAGCCTAGCGTCATAGACGAATCAGCTACAGTGGCTAGCCCTGAGAGCGAAGATAAATTTAACGTATTTAAGCTTTTCCTGGTCTCGGGGGGCGGTCCTTAACAAGTATATGCATAGAAAACGACTAATAAGGCACACGCTTGGAAATAACAAGATTTAAACGACTGAACGTTTTTTAAGTATTTTTAGCGAGGAATTTTAGTGTTTTGATATTCTTTTAGTGTTTTGAAACAATCCTTGTTGGTTTTTAACGTCAAAATAATCGTCATTCTCTAAAAGAAACTCAATATAAATGACTGAACGGCTTAGTTTGCTAAAATGTCTTGTTAATTTTGTGTTTAGTATAGCCGCTTGATTCGCCGGTACACTTTGGGCCTAAATTGTATGTATTTATTTCACAAGTTTTTATTGTTTATCTTCGCTGATTCTGTTCTATTTTCGGGGAATATTTAAGTCCGATCTTTCTTTATTTCTTTTACTAACCATCCATGATATGACGGTGTTGGTTTTGGTTGGATCCCTCCCTGGCCTGGCCTCCCCTCCCAGCCTCCCCTTTCAAAGGAAAAGTGCTGACTCAGTTGTCCCAATTCAAGATGGCGGACAAAGTGCAATTCCATCTTCCAACAGCTAGTGTTAAGAATTGAAGTTGTCGTTTTGTGGAATATTTGAGCAAGAACCGACTTGATGCAGCCTTTAAACAAAGAACTGGTTTCTATGATGCTTGCGTGCTGAGCAAGAGATCAAGTGTCCACAATGTTTGTATAAGTGGTATGACGGTCTTGGTTAATTGTCTTGACGAGCCTTCATTAAGCGGAGAGATGTTGAAAAGCAGCCCCGTGCGCTGATGTTAAGTTTGGCTAACTCTGGCTTCAGTGTATAATACCTGCGTGGTCCGATTCATTGCGGCGAGGAATAGAATGGTCGCAGTAGGTTTGTCCACTTTCTCTACAAGTGCCGTCCCACACCTTGAAGTTATGTATTTGAAATTAAATCAAAGTTGGATTTTATATGCAATAAATTGGGAATAACAATTGAATGTGCTCTTAAAACGGCCATAAATATCCCGTGTTTCTTGTTGTTGAATGAAAATTTAGCTACAGAATAATTCAGGCTGATTCATCAAGAGTATGGTCTATCATTGGGATATAACCTGGATTACCATACTGCACTGGTATACTCAACAATGGTGGAGTCTTCGTTCAAACTATCTCATGGATCAGTATTAATGAATAAACTAAGTCCACAATTAGTAGAAAATCTTGAGTTGTTTTCAATCTCAGACATTTTGAAATATGAATTTGAAAACTCGCAGGGAAAGCCAGGGGATTTATCCAGACTTTTGATCGACAGTTCTCAGGCTGAAGGCACTAACGAGAATGCAGAGTTGACTGTCTGAATGTCTTTGTTGCTGTTTTACTGCTGTAAGGTTGATGAAGATGTTTGATGTTTATGAATGATTTCTGGTATTTTATTATTGTTTAATTCAGAAACTAAGCCATGCAGAGACTGGGGAGAGTATTCAGGGGTTAATTAAGGTGGTTTTTAGTCGATATGAATTTTTTTTCGAACCATATCCGTTCCATATATGTTTAATAACAGTATTTTTTTGTATGTAAAACAAAAATTTGGAAAGCGTGCCAAAAAAAAAATTTGGGGAAAAACACCCAAAAGAGATCATCCAGCCTATGCCACAATCTAACCTGGTTATACAACCGGCTGCAATATTCAGCATAGTTACAACTACGAAAGGTGCAAGGCGGTTGCTATAGGAAGAACTCCCCCCCATAACTCACATCTTAACGGCCGTCTAAGGGGGAGATGCACTACGGCCCCCAGACCATGATGTATGTGCACCTAACCGTTACGTCTCAGTGAGAAACAGAGTATGCATCGCCACAAGCCTAGCGTCATAGACGAATCAGCTACAGTGGCTAGCCCTGAGAGCGAAGATAAATTTAACGTATTTAAGCTTTTCCTGGTCTCGGGGGGGCGGTCCTTAACAAGTATATGCATAGAAAACGACTAATAAGGCACACGCTTGGAAATAACAAGATTTACACGACTGAACGTTTTTTAAGTATTTTTAGCGAGAAATTTTAGTGTTTTGATATTCTTTTAGTGTTTTGAAACAATCCTTGTTGGTTTTTAACGTCAAAATAACCGTCATTCTCGAAAGGAAACTCAATATAAATGACTGAACGGCTTAGTTTGCTAAAATGTTTTGTTAATTTTGTCCGCTTGATTCGGCGGTACAATTTGGGCCTAAATTGTATGTATTTATTTCACAAGTTTTTATTTTTTATCTTCGTTGATTCTGTTCTGTTTTTCTATTTTTGTTCTTTATTTCTTTTACTGACTATCCATGATATGACGGGTTGGAAATGGCACATTCGACCATGGTTGTGTTGAGGAACCGCCGGAAAACGGCATATTCGACCATAGTCGAGTCGGCCGAAAAATTGCGCATTCAACGATCTGATTAAACTATCTCAAGGATCAGTATTAATAAATAAACCAAGTCCACAATTAGTAGAAAATCTTGAGTTGTTTTCAATGCCAGATATTTTGAAATATGAATTTGAAAAGTTGCAGAGAAAGCCAGCCATTGGGGAAATAGATAAGCACTTCTTTTCTTTTCCCAGAGCCGGCTCATATGCCATAAGTATAATCAAATTTTTTCATGGCTCTAGTTTGCCATTTACATCTCCCACTTTTATATAGTTCAACCGAGATTACGAAAGTGCTGATAAGTACAAAAGCGACAAACAGTCCAATGAACATGTACAGCGATACATTTTCATTATGTAACCGGACGTTCCTCTCTCGAAGTCTGGTACCCATCGATGAGGTCAATGTTCCTGTATGATTGTTCCGAGGATTTGGAAACCCGGTTAGGGTCAAATGTTCAGGCATTATTGTAGTATGTATGTATTTCTTGAGGGTGTCATTTTTTAAGATTGGAAACATGATTGACTTGAGGTTTCAGTATTGTTCCTTTGTGAGCATTTCTCTCGGGTTTCCTATACAAAAATACATCGTTCAAATACAGTCTTATTACCCAGAGATAACAGTTTAAAACTGAAAAAAACTAGTTTAGTTTAGGTTTCCTCCTGTAGTAACACTGGATCAATAAGAGATGATCCTTACTGGACCTCTAGGAAGAACAGTTTAGAACTGAAAAAAACTAGTTTGGGTTAGGTTTCCTCCTGTAGTAACACTGGATCAATAAGAGATGATCCTTACTGGACCTCTAGGAAGAACAGTTTAGAACTGAAAAAAACTAGTTTGGGTTAGGTTTCCTCCTGTAGTAACACTGGATCAATAAGAGATGATTCTTTCTGGACCTTTTGGAAGAACGAGTCAGCGCCATTCAGTATAAAAAAATTCATTTCAATTGAACAAGATCATTATATTTTTAGACTGGTCGTTGAATAATTCGTGATCGTATATAAGATCATATACATCAAAACAAAAGTTCAAACTAAGGTTTCATGCAAAATGTATAAATGAGATTCATCCAAGACGTTTAAAATGCATTTGCCTGCAAGTAACTTTGTATTCAATTATTTTTACCGGATTTATTTCAAACATAACATTAAAAGAGCTAGTATATAATATTTTAAAATTCAATACATATACATCTCTATAGTTGACAAAGAAATATTTTTAGCTATTATGTACAGTTTTCAATCATCTGTCATTACTAACAATCTTTTCTATCCACAAACCTTTATAATGCTAGAGAATACCGGACTTCCAAAACAGACGATTTTACTAAAATCTTTGTTAGAATATTGTTGACTTGTAAAATTTGTTTTGACCAAAAATCACTGATGGTTTCATAAATAATTAAGTGATGTCGGGCAGGTAAATTTAACAATAGAAATAAGCAGGTTCCTCTCAGCCCAGCTAACTTCGTCTGATTTTGGATTTAGTTAAACGTACACGCCAGCAGACGATGATGAATCTCTGAACGTTTGCATTTAATCTTCAACAGAACGAAAGAAAGAAAGAACAAGCTCTATTTACAGCTTAAAATCCTGAAATGAAATGGCGATATGTGATAAATGTTCATCATTATCTGATGAATGTACGTCGTTATCAGACAAAACGCAGAATATTGCACTAAAAACATTGAGTAGTTTAGATACATGAAATGCAGCACGTTTCGCTCCGTACTGTGTAAAACACTCGTGTCAATCACTTCCCACACGACACTTCTTGTATCTCACAAGTAGCGAGTTTATGAATCACCAAATCTATGACACCGGACGTGAAACGAGAAGAGCTAGCCGTAGTATCAGGAACCCAGTTTCATGTCATAAATTTGGTGCAAGTTAAACTCACTACTTCCTTGTGCTACTGGATCACATTTTAGAAATCGTAGCTCAGAGAATTTTTTCGCAAGAAATTCATAACTAACCAAGTTCAAGGCTGAGTTCTTCTCTTAAGCTCGCTAGCTCAGCCTTTTGGATTTGGTTGTTCTGTCAAAACTCCTCGATACTTGGCGTTAAAAAAAATGAAGTAATGAACGTCCTTTGGATAATCCAGGTTTAAATTTAATTAGCTTTGCTACGTGCAAGGATTTTTCAATATCCTCTATACTGAATATCTTCCGTGTCCATGTCATTCTTTGCTGAAATGATTATTGTAACAACTCTTGACTTGAGTGTTTGTTTTTTGTCGAGGTTTTGCATCCTTTCTTTTTTTAGCATATCTCTGAATGATTCCTCAGAGTATTATGAGGCGCTATAGGAGCGTGGCTTTCGTGGGTTTGGGGACAGTTTTCGACTTCTGATTAAGAAAGGTTCACTCTTGAATTGTGCTGCACTGTTGTCCTCGAAGATTAAGTTGACGTGAATCACGAAACGGTTCTTTCTCAACCTATCAGTCGTACTGAGTTGATAAAACTTCTTTCCTAATGATGTCATGTAGACGGCATCCAAATTTACTGAGAAATATTGCTAAATAAAGAAAAGATGGTTAAATAAGTCGAGAAAATAAGTTATCCTATGGAAGAAATCATTCCTATCCTTGTTAACAGTTGGTTCTTCTGAAATAACAAGACGTGACATTAAGTTCCTTCTGAAATAACAAGACGTAATCCTTACTTTTACTGTCGGCTGTTTAATAAGACTGATTGATCTAGCGTCAGAATGTAGTTAAGTTAGTATAATTACCATGTTGGGCAAAGTTTTTTCGATGGTTACGGGTAACTCTACTGTACTTTGAAATCCCTTGATCTCAGCAAATCTTCGGACCCAGACTTGTACGTTGCTCGGTATTGAGGAGAAATTGGCAACCATGTGTATTCGACAGTCGACCAGTCGTTGTTCTGAGGTCCCCCTCCGTCTCACCTGCGCTTTCTCATAAAGGTCTTTGAGGTCGATAAAGTGAACCCCGGCCGATTCTGCCTCTGGAGGAGGGGGGGAGAACATAGGTTGGGGTAACGGCTCCGGCTTGAACTCTTGGATTGTATATTGGGGGGTCTGTGGTGGGAGAGGCGTGGGTGTAGGTGGCGGTGTTGCAAGTGGAGGTGTTGCGGGGTCTGGGAAGAGAATGCTCTCTAATCGTATCGGAGGGAAGAGGGATGTGGGTGATTCACATGGGGAGGGGCTTCTTGGGTAGATTTGGGGAAAGAACTGCTGTGGTGAGGTGGGAGAGGGTATAGTTTCCACTGGACTTGGACATTGTTCAGACTCTGGAAGAGAACGGAAATTTTGTTTTTAATTCTATATCCGATTATGAACGTGTCAGATAAGTATGCTGTAATCTGCATTAAGAACTTTCCGCTTACAGACAAAGCCACCGCAGGGTTTAAATGGAGGAAAATATTTCCTCGTTCGATATAGACCAATATTTGTTGTAGCATGACAACTAAATGATATTGGCTCGTTCGTTTTCAAGTGATTCTTAACATTGTGGGTGTTTCAATCAATTTCCTACAACCACCGTGTGAAACAACGAGTCTATCCTGTCGAGAAGTATTTCAATATTGGATGCACTAAGTTGAAATTGAAGGGGATTTCTATTTGTGGAGATTATGAGACTAGCGTTATAATCAAACGGATTTTATTCGCATTATACTGACCCGTCGTTTCAGTTAACTTTTGACGCTCGTAGTTCTGGAAGTTATTACATAATGTTTTACTTAATCATGGCGTCAAAGTTCCGTTCCTATATTTAATTTAACTTAGAGTTATTGTCCTGCTGGGCACTCTGAATTGAATTATTTTACAATCTTTAAAAAAGAAATGATGATGAGGAATATTAATGAATGTTTTCTTAATTCAACCAGGAAGTAATGCAGTCTTTCTCGCGTGTCAGGAACTCCAGCAATTTACCAGTATGAAAAAGCGAAAGCATGCATTTAACACGATGTTTTCGACAACGGATCGTACCTGTGCTGTTTAGGTTCTTGCAAAATGAGCGTGACATTGCTATGTTTACATATGGAAGTCATATCACAAACCATTTGATTTTTATTAAAATTAACTCAAGTGGCTTCTTACGTCTTTTTGGGGAATCAAGTGCAGCTATTGAAATAGACAAAGCACTAATTTGATCTTTCTCATGCATGTCTGTTTAAAATGATGACATTCTGCGCGTATGATTGACTTGTTTATAGTTAGCTACCAAAACGATGCATCGGGACTTGTTTTACCAGTGGAATTATATTTTGGCAAGATGGATTGTGAGGGAGGTAAATGAGAGGAAAACTCTCCCACGACAGCCTGCCATATTTCATATCTTCAGGCTTGGTACCTGGCTCTTACCGTGAATAATTTAGGGCTGTATATTCTTAATGCAAATACCGATCTTCTCGTGTCAAGCCCCTGAAACTGCCCCCAAAAGACATGTATGGATTCGTTAGCTTGCCAAGTCCGCATCTACCAGACTGTTTAGAATTCTGTTTTGAATATCGACAATAATTGTTGTAAATAACACAATCATGCACTATAAGCCGAAAGTTTATAATTTTCAATCTACCTCCTGCTATTTGCTTTCACTTTGTGATTGCGGTATCTATAGAAATCTTACCCCAATTATGATTGATATTACAATGAAAATACATTATGTCAGGTGCCCTTGTATGGCTTTTGACCGATTCTTCCGTTTGAGCCTGTATCATGAAATCAATGATAAAGTTATTCCTCGGAAAATGATACCCATGGAAAGGCAACCATTGTTTATTTTTCCCGGTCGCCAGTAGCCCATGGTCAATACACTGGTCACTTCTCTTTCTGGCAACCAGTTGATGATTTTTTTATTCAAATCATTCTTTCATGATTTCGCGCAGTTGGCAGAAGGAAAACCTCAACCGCTCTATAATTAATAACCCTAATTAGGAAAACAAAAACGTGCATTGGTGACATTTTTAAACATTCAACTATCTACAAACGAAAGTATTTTTATGCAATTATGTCCTCGAAATGTAAAATTGATCACACAGTAATCTCAATGATCATATGATTGATGGCGATAAAGCAAGGCCTGTTTTTTGTCAAGCAGTGTCTTATTCGTGCCAGGTTAACAATTTCTCCAACTTCCTACCCGGAAAACCAAAGTGATACGAGCGTTCAGATCCTGGTAGGCTTTTAAGATTTGTATTCGAATGGCCAAGTGTTGATTTATCATTTGTTGCGCGTTGCGTTGTCTCATTTTTCTCTCGTGACTCGGTTCCGAGCAATTGCTAAAATTGGTGTGATCATGACAGACGGGGTGTCGCAACGCAATCGATTCCAAGCATGAATAATAAAACCGGTAAATGGCCGTGCGTTTAAACCTATGTTCCCACATAATTGACAAACGCTCCCCTGATGAGAATGTCGGGAATTGATTTTAAAAACTTCAAATGTCGCCTCAGTCTTATTCGCGTTGGTGTGAAGGCGCTGTACAATCGAGAGCCGTATCCACTCTCTATTCGAGCATATTCTTGCGATCCAGGCTGGTCTTCACCTGAATACAGCGCTTTTCCGCTCTAAATTACCTCTAGTTTATACCTTTCAATATATACTCCCCCGTGCTTTCGGGTACATTTTTACCCCTTTGCCCCTTCGATCCCTGATCTCTCCCACCCTTCGATCCTTGACCCCACCTCTCCCCTAAGGATCACCACGTCTCGTGAAGTAACCGCGCACAATGCTGATATGAACTTGGCTAGATTTCAACCACGATGAAATAACGATTACTAATAAGGTTTTAAATACAAGACTTAAATCACTTGTAAACCGTTTATGACCGAGAAATGTATATAACCCACAAGATGCTAACGGACCCCGCACCTCGCTACACGCAACACCTGGAAGCGAGACTCACCTTTTTCGTAAATAAAATAATGTGACAGCGGTACGTCGCTTTCGTCCTCAGAGAGAAACCCTTCTGTCTCGTCGATGTAACTCTGACTTGACAATTTCAAAAAAGTCTCGAATAAAAACAGCTCATCTTCGACGCTTAATAATTCCTCCATTTTCCTGCGAATATTTGTAAACGCGCGTTAGAGAATAATGGACATCTTCCAAAGCGTTTAGAAAGAATCGTGTGAATTATTCAAACAAAACCTGCTTCACCTTCGTCCTATATCCTTCAGTAAATTTTGGAGCGATTTACGCAGATTTGTTGATAGTCAAAATGCACTACTCTTTACCGTAGTCAGGCCTCACTTGGAATGAGAGAAAAAGCCCACGCATATATCTCATATACGAAGACCTCTACCATTTCCTGTTCAATTTCAACTGGCCAATTTCCTGACCATAATTCCTTTCGATGCGCTTCGACGCTCCAGTTCTTGTATGAACACGAAAAAACGCGAATTGAGAATGTAAACAATTTTAATAAAAGCCACGCTTTGCAAAATATCTCCGCTCGTTTCCAAGATCTTTGATCACTTTTAATATAGGCACTGCAATGCCGCATCCTTTGTGAATCTGCAAAGGTGAATCTCTTTCCGCGATGAGACAGCTAATCGGATAAATTTTGCAACCTGTGCATTGCAGTTTAAGTGATTTACATATGCCATTGTCTATGGATCTTAACACCGCGACATTTTAAAGCCTGACTCAAATGAACTAATCTTTCAGGTTACATTTTGTCTGTCCAATTTCATTCAGTTGGGTCACCGTCGTAATGTTGCAATTTGGGGGATATTGGATCCTGGAGGCTGAGAGCTATTTCTTCCAGTTTCGTTTTCTATGGAATGCATGCATTGGCTATTTGTGAGGGAAAATAATCTGGCACTTGATATCGGTTCTTTAAACTCACCTCCCAAGATGCATTTCAATCGCGTGCATTTCAAATCAAAGTGCAAATATATCATAACGCCGGCGTTATTGCTTTGGTCAACAAGATCTTTTTTGGCGTTCAGTGTTTGGCATTGTTCCATTGCGTAGTGAGGTATTCGGGTTTAGATCGTCTAGTATAAACCCCGTCGACAATTGAACGAAATATCAAGTAGCAAGATTAAAGCCGTCTTGGTTCTTTTCAAATCAATTCTTAATTTTCAAGACTGCTTTATTCTTAGAATGTCACTTTTTTATAACCTGTATAACATTTTCTAGAAGACGACAAATTATATCGGACCGACCACCGCAAGGCTACTCAAATCTTCAATGTTTCGTTCGGTATATTCGCATGCTTGACCTAACCTGTCGCTGACAGGAAACCAGGAAACCTTTCTGTGGCCGTGGAAAATCACCCGTGATTTGAACCAGCATGGCTGGTTATATACAGACAGGACCTGCTTCGATGACTATTTGCCAATTACACGTACGGACCTCGTTTGAAACAGATCTAGAGAGGAATGTATTGACATTCTGAAATTCGTCTAGAATGATTTCATGAATATTTTAAATGAATTGTCTGCTCATTATTACCCAAATATTTTACATAGAAGTTAAAATTTCGTCTAATCAACTGTAATTTAAATGTTGAAGTGTAGTAGTTATTTCTAGATAATTTTAGCCTGAGTTCACGTGATCTACAGGAGTCATTCTGCAATGATTCATGAAACCAGATATATTCCAGTACTCGCTCATTCCAGAATCAGGATAAACATTGTATGATAATATTGGTCAACACAGATTTGATATCTGGATATGCCCAGACAAGACATCAATCGATTATAACATTAGCATTGTCTGTCAAGCCAGAAATCTGTTATCAGAAAAAAAAGCTCAATTGAAAAACACCTGGACTCATATAATAGCAATAGCTTGTTTTCATACAGATTTTAAACGGTATTGCGCAAGATGATCTCTGGCCAATTGTCAAGAGCTTGGCTCAGTTGACTGTTTTGAGTATCTGAGTATTTGAAAAACAACACATGACTTTGTCATTGTTGAGCATTAGCCTTCCAGGCCAATTGCATGTATAATGTCTTTCGATAAACTGATTCAAATCCAGTTAAAACCAGAACAAAACCTTATAAGACTTATGTATTTGGAAATTGTGTTTAGACAAATGATCTATGAGAGTTGACTGTCCACTCTTGCTAGTCTTTACGGTTTATAGATTTATGAGCAACTATGTGTCCGCCGACAACTGCGTTTTAAGTTATGACCCCTACCGATTGTCAGGAATTTTTGAACTTTTTAACATTTTCTAACAGTGAATGGTTGATCACTGCTGGTAATTACGTATTATCGTAGTTCAGTTTAGCTAGAAGCTAGTATATCAGTTCATCATTGATCGAATAACTAGGACGGAAAACGAGTAGAGCGAATGTGTAGTGAATTGCATAATCTCGACGAAATCTTACGATTCATCTTGTTCAGTTGTTTAACATTTTTATCTTAATCCGGAAACGTCAAGTGGTATACTGTTATGGCGACAATTGTAATTAACGCTAATTAAATATCAAAAAATATGTCGGTTCCACAATGCATGTAGCACGTTTTAGAAGTCAGTAAAAATATGCTCAGAATTTGTTAAGACATGCACTGTTTATTTGCACAAAACAGGAATACAATTCTGCCAACTCGGCATGAGGAAATGTATGAAAAATTTATGGCAGGCTGTAGCTTTTGCTGATGAAATTCTTGGCACCTCAGGTCTGGTGGTCATCACCAGAGATCTGGTTCCACAATTTGTTTGTACTGTATCAGTATCGTTTACAATATTATACTAAAAAGTTGGCATCTATCGTTCCAAACCTGCGAGCAGACTCGAGTTGCGGTGTGGTGTGGTGATAACCTGCCTTAGAATGCAGGCTGTTATGCAAATCCAGGGTCTGGGGTAACCATAACACTCGCTATAAATATCAACTGTAGTGTTGGGACACAAAGCCATTCATGAATAGTTTTGACATCAATAACAATGAAATGTAAACAGAGGAACACAACAGTACGACTTCCTTCAGCTGCTTTTAGAGCTAAGAGGTTTGGTAAACATCCATTGTGTTGGAAAAATTTGAAGTAATACATGCTAATAACTTTTAGTGAAAACGCTGAGATTAGGAGTTCTCTGTATATTCAACGATGAAAAATTGCACTAGCATTACAACAACATCATTATTTGCAGTAAATTAGCATGTAATTAGCACTTGCAAGTAACCAAGTTTGCAAGTAGATTACCAGTGCAAGTCAAAACCTTGAGTTAGGCTTTTTTAAAGTCATCATACTTGACCGCATGAGGTCACATTGTAAATTAAGAGAGGCTGGCTGTCTCCACACTCTAGACAAAACAGGTTTATCATTACGTCTGCATGCAGCCGCTTAAACGACGGTAAAGTAAAGTTGTCTCGGATCGTGTCATGAGCCACCTTTAAGTAAAGGAAAGTTTAACCCAGTAGTTAACAAAATTGTCGTCGCTTTCTTAAAACGTGCTTTATGCTTATTGCTATCATGTCCCACTGTGCGGTTCCTCAAACTGGAGTGTTCGGTGGACTGAAGCTTTAGTGAATAATTCCCAAATACTGAGGAAGATGATTTTCCTTAAATTAGAGTTTATCATTCTCAATCTCAGTGCACTGACAATACCCTGCTTTTATCACACTCAAAATCCATTTACTTTCAGAGTCATTTTGAGCAACAAAATTTAAGCTCGTTCGCCATGAACACTTCACAAATTCGGTCGTTTCAATGAAATATTTAGTTCCATCCTTTGCAGGCATATGTATTATAAATGCCCATTTCTTTCATAGCTCCGGTTCTGTTGCTATCTGTCACATTCTTCTCTGCATTTCTTGTCAATCTTTCGACAATAGCTTCCACTTCAGCCGCTGTCTTCTTACCCTTCATTGAATTCATTCGCTCCACCCTTTCATGTCCAGAACTGTCGCGCAACTTTTCTTTCTTCGCTTGCCAATCTTTTTGATAGAGCCTGTTTATAACTTCCTTAATTTGCCTTCCGGACAGCTTTTGGTGGCCAAGTAAATTATGAGGATTCCGTTCTTTTGGATGTGTTATCGTTCCCCAGGGCTTACGGATTTTTGAAGAGGAATACATTGCGAATTTCCTATGCTGAGGATGGTGAAGGTACCAGACCAAGAACGGGGACTTTCGTCTTTAAACAGATCGTCTTGAACAACGCTTCTTTAATGATCTGTTGCCAACGGTTTTAACTACGGTTTAATGACTCATTATAGATATAATCCATAAAATGTTGTATTTCTATCGTATTTAAAATACCGTTTTGCTGTTGAAAACTTTGCTCAAGATAACACACAATAAAATACTAGTTCCTGATGACAAGTAGACTACAAGAGTCGATAGATACAAGAAACGATAAATTAACTTTATTGTATAAAAATTTCTTTCAAATAGCGGTGATTTTCGGATTCCACCATTTTCATATCACCTTTGTACCAACAAAGCGGTTTCTATGACAATTGTATGTTTTGCTTTTAGATTATGAATACATTTTGACAATATTCTCAAATGCACGTAGATTAAAGCCAATGGGGATTAAATATTTAGCGATTATTATAAAAATTGACGCCAATTTAACCTTGAGCTGACGCCGATATTAACAAAATTCATTCAGCACCAAGTCATGGACTGAAAACTGACGTCAATCCAACATAATGATAAATAAACAATGTCAATATAATCAACGAACCAATAATTTTATAGTTTCATATTTCCACAAGTGACCTTGCGTTAGAAAGGTTTATGTCATGCGTTTGGTTGCTAACCTGGTAAAGGAGACTGTCTTATTAAATTTGGTTGATATTCAGAGTTTTAAATACGTTTTATATGGCTGGTAATCCTTGGGGAACAATGGAGAAGACACGTTTACAATTGGGACATCAAGAATTAGGCTCTGGTGCAATCGAAGAAATGGTCAATCGTTTAAGTTCGCCGAAAAAATACGCCGAAAGTTCTACAAAGACGACACGCTGTACGGAAAGGAGACCAAGGCTAACGAAAGAACAAACAGATGCATTGCTTGAGAGGATAGCAAATAAAGAGAGTAACAGATCTAAAACTCCAGACACTAGACGAGTTTGTCAACACAAGAAACTTTTAGGAGCCGTGCTCAATTCATATGCTTGGAATGGATTGAATTATCCGGCTATTTTGTGTGGAGAAGACAGTCCGTAATCTTTCAATCTGGGAATAATGTTATCCGTCTAAAATCTTGTGAATTGCAGAAGAATTTGATGTTAAAAATTATAACCCAGATTGTATTCAGACGTAGGTCAACTTAGGTCATAGGGATAACACAGTATATTGGAAACATCAGACACAACACTACAAAGTAGACATTGATTTTATACAAGAATTGCTTTCTTTAAACAAAATTTCAAACTACAAAATATAGCAAATTCTAAGTTATTTTGTTCACAACAGCAGAGCTTAAAGAATCGAGTTGTGTTGTCCAGCGATCGAGCGCCGTAAACCTGTTGAAAGAAAGAAGTATTATAGTCCAGTTACTTGTAAGTAATACAGATTAGATCGTTAAGTTTAAACGAAGAAGGCAATCTAACCGTGCAGTCTCCTGTGATGTTTTGTCGAGTTCCAGAAGTTGGTTAACTTGGTCTATTTTACCCGGTATGGTGCTAGAAATCAGAATTATCTCATTTCATAGAAATAATATTTCAGGCAAGACTTTATTTATACTGATAATGGTTGCACAGTTCAACACTATTTGCTCCGTATGCTCGCGCTCGCTTTGAAGAAGAAATATATTGTTTTACAGTACCTATCCAGGATACACGATACAAGTAAACTTTCCACTTCCTCCGGAGGTATATTTAGTTCCTGAAAGATTTCAAGGAAAGCTTTGTTTTGAAACGTTTCTCATGAGTAACATTGCAGTGAAGTCGAAAATGATTAAATTACCTTTGAGATAAAAGGAATATGTATTCTAGTATAAGGCCTACGAAAAAAACACTTTTTTATTATTAAGTTGATAAAATTGAAGCCGGGGAATATATGAGTGTCTCATCTTTGATGAACACAGCTTACTTTATTAGCTTTATTAGAACTTGCGTTCTTATATTTCGCAGTAAATCTGAAAGTCGAAAACAACGTGATATTAGTGAAATATTCCTAGAAATTTCGAAAGAAATCTTTAAGGCGACAAACTGGAAAACCTTCGATATGTTCCCGGATGAATTGATCATCCATAATATTCTTTCTAAAATTACAGAAAACATATTTGTGAGAAGGAGACTCTTAGGTCTTAATTCTGTTGAATAACTTCATTCCTGACCTGTTCGTTCTTAATATCTTTTCAAATTCATTAATATCGTTATTCTGATAGGCACTGAAACAAATAAAGAATGCTGTAGCTACAGAACGATAATTTTTTTGATATAATGGAATAATGGATAGAAATAGAGAGAATATAATGGAATAATGGATAGAAATAGAGAGAATGGGATGTGGAAATTATCAGATACCTGACTAAGTTGGTCATTGCCAGGATTTCTGGATCATTCTTATATGGTTTTGCCTGGAATGACATTGTAAAGTTAAGAAAGAAGCTTCAATCAATTTATATGATATCATACAATAGTAAAAATCACAAAACGGGTATCACCTCTTGTGAATCAAAAGGGTTTATGCCAGATTTCATTAGCATGTTTGCAAGAACAAGATATTTCAAACACGTCGTTCTCCTGGAAATGTACATTAAATTGATCATGACTTAGCTTTCTACAGAAACTCGTCATTTTCTACTACGAAGTTGGAAATCGTACTCTCTACTAGCGTTTAATGTACCTGGGGCTTCCAGATTCGTCGTAATTTTTGAAAGCTTCGAAAAAGTCTGTGTGTGCTTGGTCGTAGTCAGCCTCTCGTAGATGCATCTTTCCTCCGCATTCTGCAACCGTCGGGATTTTGAAAGATTTTGAAGTTAACGAGAGAAATTCGGCCAAACGTTTTAACAATAAAACATATTTTATCCGAACACTTGCCTCGTATGACTCCCATTATCAAAGGGTGAGGAATTGCTGATTTAATTTGAAGTGAGTTTTTATACAAGGCCTGCAAGAAAGATGGGTGAATAATTTTCTGTTTATCAAAACGAACAAATTGGAAGTTTCAAAGGCAGGTTGCATCTTCTTACTTTTAATTTCTTGTTATTTTTCTGCCATAAAAGAAACAAAATGATGAGATTAGAGAGCATTTGTTTGAGAGTAACTTGCAGCTTTCTTAAATTCAAGTATCAGAATTACTATGATATTAATTGAGTTTAGACTTTCTTCACCTGTGCTGTGTACATTTGAATTTCCAAAGCATAAATCTCCAGCAATTGTGTCCCTTTTTTCAAGTCATCATCACCTTCATCAGTCTAAAACAGAAAATTCAATATTTTTGCATCTATCAAAGAGATGAAAAAACATTCACATCCTTTTTTGTACCTGACATGATTGATGAAGTTGCTTCAGGATTTTAGATAATTTTGCAAATTCTTCTCTGTCATAATAAAGTTTTCCAAGCTGAAGAAATTGGAAAGTTGTTAGAATATATGTAAATGCAATGATATCAGTAAAAGCATGGGATTTACTTTTGTATTAGTTTTGAACCAAAGTCTATCATTTTTCGCATCCTTTAAAGCCTCCAAAGTTGTTTCATAGAAATCCTGTAATAACTCCATCTAAAATCAAAGACATTTTTCGGTAAGCTAGCACACAGTCGTTTTTTGTTGAAAAATCATAGTATATACTGAATGTGAACACCTGTTTTGAAGTTGAAATGTAGTCCAGAATAGAATTGATTGACTTTTCTGAGTAATTTCTAGTTACCGCACTCTGTATGTTGAAAAGAAATTATAGCATGGAAATATTTAATAATGATGATTATACTGCCAGCGTTGGTGATAACATTAATAGTCATGATAAGAAGAGTTATACCTTGATATAAGTAAGGAGTTGTTTGTATTGTTGCATCATTTCTGAATAGTTACCCTGATAACATGGAAGATATTTTTCAGTGTCAGAGAGAGTAAAATTACATTAAACTTGGTTTGTTAATGTGTTTTAATGTGCATACAATTTTAAAATTTATCTTTGTCATTTGTTTTAAAGCTTTGAATCCCCACTCTCCTTTGTCTTCTTCCAATTCCATGACCTTTGAAAGGAAATCATCAGTTTAAAAACAACCGAATTAATGAACAATCAATATAGAGCCAGGTTTGATACCTTCTGAAAACTCTCTAAAGCACCTTTCGGGTCATTTTCTTTCATTGCCTTTGAGTTGTAATATTGGTTCTCCAGATCAACATCTGGTTCAGAGTTAGTGTCTTCCTCATATTCCTAAAAACAGTTTTGAAAATTGATCATTGGATCAACATGAAAGTAGCTAGAATGGTCTGAGCTCTGCTGGCCATGCATGGTAGGCTCTGATCTATGACATGTTTCTTGGCAGAGATATGAATTGTATGTTTTCGAAATGATGTATTATATTGCAACAAGATGAACACTGCACTAGCCAGGGAAATAAGCAATATTTTAAGATTGATAGGTACAACTGTACCATCACAGAAATACTTGGTACTGGGGATTACGAAGAGACAGGATATATACAAAACACTTTGACGCAGAGGCTAATACCCTTCTTTAGGTAGTTTGTAAGTGTAAAAAGCACAGTTTCATAATTCCAAATACATCTGAAACTACACTATGCACTGAATTCAGAGCTATATAGTATATACCCTCTCTGGATGGTTCTTCAATGTTTACAGTCGACTATTAAATATGCAACGACCTAAATTTCTCATATATAATCCACTTCAGTTTGTACAACATAATTCAACCTTGTCAATAGCATATCGTTAGGAAATAAACGACGAGCACAGCTGTATACGTGTAAAATTTCAAATGCAATTTTCAAATCTTGACAGTTAGGGTTCATCAGACTCTATAATTTGCAAATCAAAAGCCTTTACCAAATCATAATCATCGTCTTCGTCACACATAAAATCATCGTCCATATCCGACATCTTGCAAACTGGTTAATTCACAGATCATCAATAAAAAAACAGCGAAATACTTGTATTGGAAGAAAAAAACACTCGATAAACTAAAAACTTAGTAATTTTAAGTTGAAATGTGTTTATATATTTAGATCAGTGACAGCGAGGTGTTCGACCACCTGATTCGCATCTTGACGCTGCGCAAAAATATATTCTTTAAATTTTTGTTTTATCTCTTCATTTCACAATTCCGAATGTCAGAAGTTTTTTAAAGACGCTCCTAATGTATAAGAATGACAAGGGGAATGATGTTTTTTTGGCTTTATAATTCATATTTTTTATTTTGAATTTTTTTCGGATGAGTAATCGTCGAAAATTTCTACGGTAAACAGCCGACATGCGCCAATCGGGTGACAGGAAAACAACAAACATGGCCGATCACTTGGTCAACGATACTTGCTACACGGCACTTTTAGGTGTAGCTGACGTCTACTTAAGATCAGATCCGCCAAGGATTAGAGAGTGCATACATTGCTTGGAAGCTACATTTTGCTATAAGCTGCCTCCACACTCCGAGGCTCACGTCAGAGTTCAACTTGGGAGCATTTATTTGAAATATACTGAGAATATTGACTTGGCCAGATCACATTTCGAGAGATCGGTATGTAATTCATTGATATTGAGATGGTTTGTTTCACCCCTCGTCACTCTTTAAAGATAAATCATATGCTTGCAGAGTTGCAGGAACGTGTAGTGTTATCTCGATGTTTTTTCCGTATAAATATGTGTGCAGAAATGTGTTAACAATGGCATATTATTGTGAAGTAATATAAAGTCTCTTTATTCCCAAAATTAATCTTTCCATTCTTTACCGAAGAATGAACAAATAAGTGCAAGAAATTTCCTGATTTTTTTCTTTTGATAGTGTTGTGAATCATTAAGTTAATTCAGTTTGATTCATAAGTGTTCTCAGCTGAATACTGATTATTCATAACCTATTAACTTGTTTACAACAATTCCAAGAAAAAAATATCACCTATGGGCATTGCTAAAGTAGGAACAAACATTTATGATTCAAACAGAATCACTGACCACTGTCTCTCATGTGCTCCATATGGAAAGAATTCAATAGGAAAGTTAAAATTGGTCCATAAGTAAAAATCAGAATTGGACTGATTCTTGGCAGGTAGTTCGAGCCAGATTGTGAAATCATTAATAAAGACTCTGAAGAAGTTTTGAATAACACAATGAAACTTTAACATTCAGAACGGACGTCAGAACGAGCTTTCAAATATTTAGAAAAGTTTTGCATGTGAAATTTACCGTGACATCAATTAACATAGATGCTAAGCGATTAAACAGTGGCTATAAGTATTAAAAAAACCCGTGTTTTTATTCATTTATCGTTTTTTCCCACGCGCTAGTCATTTGAAGTGAAGGTTTTCCCACGAGCGACGTTCTCTCGCACGAAGAAGTTCTTTTCCCACGAAAAACGTTCTTTTTCAATAGAAACGTTCCTTTTCCACGGAAAACGTTCTTTTCACACGCCGAAAGTTCTAATTGATTTCTTCCCACGCTTGATACATTTTATTTGCAACAATTCTTTTTGTTACACTTTAGAACAATTTTGATACATTTTAGAATGTTTTATCGTATATTGTTACTTTATTCTGTTCTAAAGAATAAATATTATTTTAGAGCGTAAAGGGGAACATTTCGCGACGTCTTTAAGCTTGCGCGCAGTGTTTTTTTCTATTCTTTTTCGTTGCCTGATGAAAATGGTAAATATGTTTGGCTACAGTGGGTTTGTCACTGTAATGTACGTTGGTTATTTTGGTTAATTAAACGTACTAAATTTATCTAAATTTGACATTTTAGGTTTCACTTCTAGAATCTGTATCCTTTCTCATCAATGATTAAAAGTACAATCAAAGTAGTCTTAGAAGACATCTAGTCGCGTAATAATTCTCAATTTTTTTTGTCAGTTGAGCTCTTTTTCCATAACCTAATTTAATAGCTTGGTCCAGGTTCTGAAGAATTGCTATGCCAAGCAGTTACTCAACTTAAAGAACTCTATAAAATCCAGGTACGTGACGTGATTTTTAAAGAGTTCATTCATCTTCACGTCATTTAAATTGAAATACGTTATCGTTTCAGAATGAACCTCAATCATCCATTCCATACCTTCAGCTGGCTTTGAAAGCAACGCAAAAGTTGAACTGTCTTCATTTGTACTTCGAAACTTTGTTTGAGCTTGCTGTAAGTTGAGATAATCTGATGGTAACCCTTACAGGAGAGTCACGATTAGAACGAGAGTCATCGTTCTCGTCATCGTACAAACGTCGCATCTGAGCGCAATGATATTTGATCTTGTGTTACTGTTACTTGCTGCGTTGTACAGTAGGTGTTGAACTATCACGAATTTCTTTGTAAACAGGAAATCTATGCATCGTGCAACGATGTTCCAGAAGCTATCAAACATCTTACGATTGGAGAACAATTTTCGCAGCAAAACGGATCAGAATACATGAGGTAAAATGATCTCAATATTTCCTCGTCCTCATTCTCCAAATTTCCACAAATAATTTCATTGTCTTTGTATTTAGATGTCTGTTTATACTGAGCAAAGTTCTGGTAAGTAAGTCGACGATCACGTCCATCATCTTGTCTCCGACTAAACAAATGAGAAACTCAGTTTCATTTGTTTTTCAGTATCTACTTGTCGCACAAGATTACAACCAGGCGACGATGATGTTAGGGAGCTTTGGTACATATTTGGAGTTGTGGCGTGGCCCACACTTACTGGTCGAACACGTCAGAATATTTTATCTCTCCTTGCGAACATGGCTTGGTATTGCCTCTGGTCAGGTATGTTCGCTATCTGTTCTTTTTCTGAAGAAAATCTTCGACTGAGTACAGGCTCTATACTTCTTGAAAAATCTTGAAATTGTACATGATATGTTCAGATGATAGGAAGTACTGTATTTTGTCTCTTACAGCCAAAGACGACGAGAGCTGACATAAAACAACTGCAACATTCTATTCAAGTTGTCACATCCCTCGAGCCAATTGATGGTAATTATTTCTTTTACAGAGTATATCTCGATTTAAACTTGCAGTATACGTAAGATATACCAACACTAATTTTTGTTACAGGAGCCAAAATCCCGGAGTATGAAAGATTTCAATGGTTGCCTGTAGATCATCTCTGCATTATTGTATATTTGGTAGGTTCTTTATGATTTCACCCATACAAACTCATCCAGTGCCTATCATCAGGATATATACTGGTATATTTTTGCTCTGATAACTTTATACCATACATATCATCGCCTTTTCATTAGCTGACTGTGGTCCATTGTATGCAAACGGGTCATGTTGGAAAATCTCTGAAATACAGTGAGAAAGCATTAGAAAAGATTTCTTCTCTAAAAGGTACAACTTTACGAATTCAAAAAAAAACTAAAAGTCAGGTAATGGCTGCATTGATGGCTTTGGTCATTGGATGTCTTTTTGATCTTACTTTTTTCATTTAGAAAAACAACCAACCCATTTGCTATCCGTTTTTGAACTTCTGTTATTGGAGAACGTGATCGTGTCACATGTTATTGAGGGTCAGTCTAACCACGCTATCAAACAGGTAGATATCAGAACGAAACTGAAGCCTAATGATCTATTGTAATTACAACGATATATTCTAATTAACGTGACACACTCTAATTAACAAGATAGGTATACTTTTTAACTGAAGCATTCTTATTGTTACATTTAAGGTGGCTAACGCCTTTCGTGCTTGCAGTCCAAGGCTTATGAATTCCCACAATTCAATGCTGCACACACTTCTGGTATTTTCTCGTTCTAATTATACTTTAAATGTATTCAGTAAGTTAGAATAATTCGAATTTAACGCATATCATTCTAATTTCAACCAAGGGCTTATACTCCATGTCCATGAACCAAATGGAATTTGCTGAATTTCAATTCAGAGTTGCCCTGAGGGTGAGTTACAGACTGTATATGATGCGTCACAGTTCCTATAAGTTTCATTACTCAATATTAAAGTTTGTTCCACTGCAATTTCCAGGCTTGTCGTAATCCCGAACAATACTCGTTAATCGCTCTGAATCTGTGCGTCGTTTACATCAGGATGGGAGAATCACGAAAGGCGAAGGTGGGTGAACGTTTTATTCCAAAAGTAAACAAAGGTTTTAATATTTGTTTGAATGTCTCCAATCCTATGTTTTCAGCTTGAAGAGTTGATACAAAATTTCTCAAATCCTAAAAGAGCTTCTTTAAGGTACGTCGAGGCAATTGCAGCGTAATCTATTGTTAAAATATTTTGATCTTCTTTTATGGTAACCTACTGTACAAACCTACAACATTAATTTGTGTGTGTATATTTTTGGAAAATATATAGGTCGAGCATTATGATGGCAAGCTATCATTACATTATGGGACTAAAGTCTTTCTTTGAGGCGAAGTACCAAGACGCGAGGTATGATCCACTTAACTGTCATTATTATCGTTCTAGACTGTACGTTCATCCACTCTGGAGACGTTTATCATTCACGACTGAAGCCCAACACTCCTTCCTCTCATTCCAGGCGCTACTTACGAGAAACACTCAAGATCTCAAACCCCGAGGAATCTCACAGATTAACAGCCTGTGCGTTGATTTTGCTGGGGCACACCTTTCTTAAGAATGGAAATATCAAGGTCAGAGCTGACTTCACTGCTCTTTATTCTTACTGCATGTGTGATGCTCAAAGATGATTTCTGTCTACAGGAAGCTTTGGAGATGGTGAGACCCGGTATGCAGATGGCAGAGAAGATGCCGGATGCCTACATTCAATTGTGGGGTGCTTCTCTTCTTCGAGGTAAACATATATAACCTCTGATTTTCTAGTATATCTTCGGATATTTCTATATATCCTCTGACTCTTCCCAGTATACATGTTCTGACTTACCAAACACTGTGCTAATAGAGGGCAACTAATCGTATTTTTAAGATCTATACCGACACGTAGGGGACCATACCAACGAATCTGGTGCATTTCAAATCCACAGTGGTTACACAAAGAAACTGCTCAGTAGTAAGAAATATTTTGTGATATCGTGTGATAAATGAATATACTGTCATATAATACTGAGTCTTGTGCAAAATACAAGCTATATACTATATACTTTTGTATCTTATGGGAGTTCATTTTCCCCAGAGAAAAATGTCAGTTAGCGTAACTTTCCTAGAACAATATGTATCATTTCTACTAATTTGTCTAATTCTCAGGTCATGGTGAGGCTATTCAAAGTAAAGAACATAAACTTATTGAAGTAAGTGTTGTGAATTGAGGTATCCAAAATGAATTTATGCCTGAGATGTTCTTAAACGAATACCTCAAACATTGACGTCCATTTTAGATCATGATTTTTCAAACATTGTGATCCAGTTTAAGATATATTTAACAATAATCTGTTGTGTTTTGTCAGTCTGAACTACCTGAAAGAAATTTCGTGGAATATTCTACAATAGTCCACCGGTTAAACTAAGTTTTTTTTATCACCATTGTATTGTCTTCTAGTGGCACAAAGGACTACCGAACGTTCCACCACAGGAGGGAACGTCAAAAGCTACTAGTGAACACCAGCCTATGCAGGTACCCTCAACAAGCATGTTGCAACAAACGTAGAAAATCCGGTGGGCAAAATATAATCCATGGCACGGATTTGCTGTGTATGACAGGTTTTAAAGTCGTTAGGTTTTCTGGTCTCCTAGAAAAGCTACATCTGTTAGGTTTAAAAAGGGGTTGGCCTGTTTGATTTCAAACGGCGTTTCATCTTAGCTTGATAGCCAAGTGTAACGGACAGAAAATGGAAAATTCGCTTCTAAATAACAGCACGTTGCTGAACGTTTAGTGAATGGCGTATTATGTCAGAGGTGCTCAGGTGATAAGCTGTTGAGTTTAATCTGGTTAAAACCAAACAATAAACAATGTTCTTTTTATCATATAAGGGAATGAATTGATACATATTTTTAGCCTGAAGCAGTAGAACATTCACTAGTTAGCTAGTTGCTTAAATGGTTATTTTCTGAGGAGATATTTTATCGTTGGGTTTTACATGATGGTAGAATTTTTAACCGAATGTCCGTTTTTATATATGTATACTGGAAAAGTAATAGAGTTGGCCTGTGATCATGTTCGATAAAAAGATCAAATATTTGTACAACAGATAAAATGAACTGAAATGTACAGAAGCCTAGAAATTAAAATGGCAGAAGACAGATGCGATTCGAAGTGTTTAAATGTGTATGTCATTATCCATGTAATGTTCTAATATGCACTAAGCACATTAATTTGTTACATCATCGAGTGATAATTAAGATTTTCTCGATGCAGCTGATAAAGACGAGTCGCTGGTAAATGTACACAGTTTGAATTGCACATAACGTGTGATATTTTACGTGTGATATTAATTCCAGAGAGGTTCTTTGAGAGAAAACTAACCCAGCAACTTCCTTTGTTACTGTTACAGTTGGAAAAAGCACAAGGATTACGTTACAATATTGCACAGCTAGTGCATTATGTGATATTTATTGTAGCCACATAATAATTGCCACATTCCATTTCCGGATTTTAAATCATGTGACTTCATCTCATTTTACATATTAGAAGTTACAAAGTGATTGCATCACTTGATTGTCATTTCAATACGTTTTTGGGGTATTCTTCATAGAACTACTGAAAAGTGATTCCATGAAATTCGTTGAAAGTCGTCTTGATCAATAAAAACTGATCACAAATGATCTTGATTTGTGATCAGTTTTTCAGAAACAAATGAAGGATTCATGACTAAACAATTGGCCCAAGTTAGCTTTGGTAGTATCTTCACAGAGAACTGCAATAGTTCTGGGGAACTAATATACCATAGTTTCAGTTTGTGGTTTCAAATTAGGTGAACCATGGGGTACGTTTTAAATAGAGTGAAAGATGCAGACATGAAGGTTGGGTGGGTAATAATCTTGCAAACGTGTAGCTGGGGGTTTTTTAGGGTGTGATATTCTGCAACAGGTTACTGGTTGTGGTGAAGTACCATGGTAATGATTCAAATAACCCTATTGGTTGCTTGTGACTGTGGTCCAGATAATCAAAGTTGCTCCAAAGACACGCGGAGGCGGGCAACGGTCTTATTGACAAATACCGATTGTATTGTGTCCATCTGCCAATGGGAGTGATGCCATTGGGTGACGTCATCACTGTAGGAGTGATACCACCTGTCTAGGTCCGGTTTAAACCGGTTTGTTATCAAACTTGTCAATCAAATCGGGAACGAGCCGTTGCTATGGCGACGGCAATGTTCGGCCTCAGTCGTCTCGAATATGATTGGTTCACGCGAGAATGCACCCCCAAATATGGTCATGGTCGGGTACGGACGGAGCATGAAAGAAACAAGGGTTTGCAAGAAGGAACGTTCGTCCTTTGATCCCACCCTCGGCAAGGGACTTTGTTTCAACTTTGCCTTCCTCACAACCCTTCGTCGACAACAAATTCGCAAGAAAACCGGTTAAAGGAACCGCGTGGGTTCAAAATAGAGGTAAGACGACATAGTTGCTTCGTCCCTTCGACTTTGGATGCAATCAGAACTTCTTAAACCGGTTGTTGTTTTATCAAAATTAAACAGTATTTTTAATATTCATTGAATGGCTTCGCTATTTCGATTACACAATGGCCGCGGGAAGGCATCTTGAATTGAACTTGGCCTCTTATTGGTTTATGCCGTATACTCTTTGATTTGCTCGTCGTTAAAACATCGCTTACGCGTTTATCTTTTAGACATTGAACAGAAGTGTTTTAATAAAGCCCTGATTGAGACTGATTTCAAGACATAACAGGGACAGTGTGTGAGATCGAGGACACCGTACCCTGGCGTCGTACGTCACTCGTACCGTCCGACCCTGACGTGTCAAAACCTCAAATATTCAATCCATACAGCAATCTAAGGTACCGAATCTACATCTTTTACATCTAGTTCAGCTTCATTTCATAAATCATCCAAAAAATTAGCGAGATAAACAAATTTTCCTGCGATTTTAGCAGATGTAATTGTCTTGAAATTGCCGCCATGTTAGGCAAGATGGCGTCGGCAGCATGGTCGAAGATTTTTCTTTAAACGCATGTCATGATTATCAAAAAGATAAACAAACTCTTTCCACTCGCATTTCTTCCAAAAATACATCAAATCGTGCTTTATCGTCCAGTTTTGAAGCGAGATATGTTTAAAGTAAACACGTAATTTGTTGTAATAGAACTAAGCCAATTATAAAAATTATACAATGTCCTAGGCATCAGATCAAGATGTCGACAGAAGCTTCGGAAGTTGGTAAAAGAAAAAGGGAAATTGCTGATGGGGAATCATCTGAGGAGACATTGAGTGAAAAGAAAGCAAATAGTAATGTTACAATAGATGAAAAAACTGAGTAAGTGTTTCTATGTAGTGAGATGTCTCACCTTCTTAGAAGGGAATTGTTGATTGTGAATCACATCAAACCCTAACTCAACCTAATGTCAGGTTTGCTTACTCTTCTATTGACAAAGAGCAAGTATATTTGATATTTGAGGCCTGGTTTCCATATAATACTGATCTTGTGTTGGCTCATTGTTAGTGATTACAAACACAATGAGTTTTATTCTTAATCGATTATGACAATAGAACCCCACCATACAGCACTATATGGAAACCTGGTTGTGCTATACCTTTTGAGTTTCTCACTATCTCTAGGGTAACTAGTAACCCTCCTCAGTAACCAGTTAAAATACTTATTTACAATTATGGTATGTGTAGGTTTTTCACTCGGTAATTTCAGTTGCGCTTTCTGGGCTGTGATAGTGAATTTCTGCATTTCAAACACTGTACCATAACACAGAGGGTGTGAACTTGACTAATGTATTTCTAGGTCAAAAGATGAGAGTGTAAAAGCTCCATCACCTAAGCGATCAAAAGAATCTGGCTCAGAGAGTGAAACTGATTGCATTTCTCAAGAGGATCTTCTTGCCCAACTTGGGCTAAACTCTGTCAAAAAACTACAAACAGTTGAACCAGACCCAAACAGAGTGATCCATCCTGAACCACCAAAGCAATCCATCCTTGATCTCCTAAAACAGCCTTTTTCAAAGAAAGTAATGGCTTCCACTGCCCAACCAGACAAGGAGAAGCCTTTGAGCAATGGCAGCTTCCCAGAGGCACCCGAAGATGTGGAGAATATTAAAAGCAAGGAAAAGCTGATCCTTCGCTTGCAAAACAATTTACGGAATGAAGAAGCAAAGCTGATGTTGTTGAGAAAATTGTACACTTGTCAAAATGAAAAAGTACAAAAGGATACGAATCCAATCAGAACTATGGCTGTATCGCTTGGAACAACCACTCAAGCTGCGACAAGTACAACCGCAAATCAGCGAAAGACAGCGCTGGCTGGTTCAAGCCAGAAACCACAGCAGCAGTCGCAGCAGTTTAAGACTCAAAAAAATATGCAAAAATTTCAGCAGAAACCAAAGCACCTGCCACCAGTCCTGGTTCAAAAACCATCAAATGTTCCGGCAGTCCAACCTCGTGTGGTGTTTCTGAGCCAGCCACGTGGACCCTCAGGACCACAGCCTGTCATCATTGCACCAAAACTTCTGCCAGCCTCTGATGGTAAACGTGACAACCATCAAATGAAGGTCCAAATGGTCAGCCCCTCTGCTAGTAAAACAAGCAGCAAAACCAACCAACAATCTGGATTCACCCACAAACCTACATCTTCAAAACACCTAGTTCATATAGACAATAGTCGACCAGCTGAAAATGGCCTTACGAAATCGGTGAAGAAAATGCGCAGTCATCAATCTGCAGAGCAATCTCATGCAGAGGCCAAAATGGCGCTTCGTAAACAACTAGAAAAAACACTTCTTGAAATACCTCTTCCTAAACCACCTGTCCAGGATTGGAATTTTGTCCCTAGTGTGAACACACAAGATTTCACCATACTTATTGGTCTCGAGGGCGTCGTGAATCATATTATCGAGTCCCAGACTATGTCCTCGAAGGCAGCTAAGAATGTCGTCTCTCCTAAATTCTGTTCGCAATGTGATACTGACTTTACGCCGGGTTGGAGAGTTAACGCGAAAGACGCGGCTGGCGCGAACGAGGGCACGTTGTGTGAATCGTGTTACACGCAAAAGATTAAAAAGACTTTGAAAACCGAACACACAACGCGATTGAAAGACGCTTTTATGAAAGCATTGAAACAAGAACAGGAGGTTGAAAAGAAGTTTCAATTATCTGGGGTGTCCGTATCGACCGTTGGCAAAACAAGCGCCACGGTTAAACCTCAGGCGGTCCGCGTCTCCTCCACCCACCAGCCCATTCACGCTTCTCCGGCGCGTATTGTCTACCACCCCGTACACCCCATACCTCAGCCCCAGGTGTACCAACCTCATCACTCTATAGTTCATCAGCTACAGCAGCAACAGTTGCAACAACAACACCAAGAAATCGACGGTCCACATCGTCAGGAGTCCGCGAGATACTTCGCCTATGTTGGCCAGCCGACGCCAAAACAGAGACATAACTACACTTCGGATAACGACAGGCAGAGAGAATATTTACTAGACATGATTCCCTCTGGACACTCCTCGAGAAGTTATCGCATATAAAATGGCAAGAGACTTATAACATAATAATAAATAAAAATAAAAACATAGTATTATATCTATGCCATGCACTTTTCCAATAATTTTCTCAGGAATGCGCGGTTTTGAACCAAAACTTCCAAACCTAAATCAATGTCGTCTTGAAATTGAGTGTTAAAGTTTAGTGTGGACATAATATGCCGCCTGCGACAATTATTTGGACTCGAACTAAACAAAGCTTTATCGGCAAATTATAAAGTAAATATACATTGTACTTTTTGTAATATAATATAATTTATATTCTCTAAATTTATGCTATTTATGTTGACAAAATAGCCTTGCATTACATGGTTTGATGATGATTCTGGTAGTTTGCGTTGTAACTTCGGCAGTGGTAGTGTGTTCATTGTTTTAACTGAAAAGATATTTCAAAACGTGGTGACCCAGTGCAGGTAGTATTCTACAATAAACTGTCGTGGCTTGTGTCTGAACTACCTGAAAGATCTTTCAAAACGTGGTGACCAGTGCAGGTAGTATTCTACAATAAACTGTCGTGGTTTGTGTCTGAACTACCTGAGGAAGATATCTCAAACGTGGTGGTCTAGTGTAGGTAGTATTCTACAATAAGCTGTTGTGGTTTGTGTCTGAACTACCTGAAAAAGATATCTCAAATGTGGTGCTTCGTTGCAAGTCAAAATATCATTGCTTCATTTCCAGTTATACATGCATATATTTTATTGAAATTTTTGAATATATTGGACATTTATCACAAACATGTCGCCATGCAATTGATCTTGTATGTCCTGTTCTAAATCTTGCGTTGGTTAATAATTTATCCAAGAAGGCAATACACTCGGTATAGAATACACAATGGTATAAAAAATTAAACCAAATGCATTGTATATTGTATAGATTTCTTGCTATATATATTTATATATGTTCATCTCTTCTTGACAACAAGTTTATATCACTTGTAGATCTCGATTTGAAAACTTTCTGCTCGTTCATTCACAACCTATTCCACCTAGAATAGAAAGAAATAACGCCCATTGCCTCAAAATCCCTCTGGAAGAACACACCAGTTCATACCACGCAATGACCTCTGATAATTTAAGCATGGATCACAAACTTAAACTCGTACTATTCCAACTTACTAGTCGAGACATTTCAGATCCAATGCTGTCCAGATGACGTGATGCTGATTAAAGGAAAACATCCCCAAACGTCCACCACGGTATAAATCAGCGTAGAGCTCGGGGGAACTGATAATTTTGTCACTTCCTTTGTATACGTCCACTCTCGCCTTTTTACGTGAATTCAAGCGCACAATGAACTTGTAAGCTGTACGGTGTTCCCAAACCTGCTTCTTGGGATCCTCCCACAAAATTTTAGTCTGCAAAAAAGAGCATTGGAGAACACTTTGAGGAACAGCGAGAAATAAATCTGGGCTATGGCCGGGTTGCATTCAAGGTATGTTGCCTAAGTGTGACTTCATCGTGTTAGAAGAGTTATTTTGGTCCATTTTAACCGAATTTCTTCTCGAAGTTTCTACCTAAGGGGCAATGGCCGTCGTCAGAAATGTTTGCATGAAATCTCATATTAACTTTTCATATGAAGACTCTTAAGTCGAAACATCCAGAAGCGTACGTTGTCGTCTATTTTAGACAGTTACAGCACATTTGATGCGAAGGTATTGTTAGACAGGCTGTATCTAGGATTATATTGAAAGGTTCTTTCAAAGGAATGCGTCCAGAATGAACTTACCTGTCGGGATACGCTTTGCGAGTTTTTAAGAGCGTCAAATAGATCTCGAGAAGGTCCTGTGGACGATTTGACTTCCTGAAAAAAGAAAGAAAGCAATTTCCGGTGGTGAACAAGATTATGACATTCAATTTGTGATCTATTTGCCCTCGCGTACCTTGATAACAAAGCCGGCACCAGGCAGAGATTTCTGCCACATGACGATGTAGAAAATCTTTGCGCTTTGGAATCCAAAGATGATGCCCACGGTGCCATCGCCATCACTATTCACATAGATCGTGCCGTTAAACTCTGCTGATTCAAATGCACGGTTGCCTGGAGATGAAAGATAACAGATGATTGTCCAGAAAGATCTCTGGTCGTATCACTGTTGAATTGATTAGTTTGGGAAGGTAAAACTGGAAAGTATGAACCAAAATTCATGAAAATAGATAAACGCTCACCAATAAAGATGGAGTCGCCGTTATCTACTCCCTTGGTAACTTGTCTACCATCATTATCAACCTTCCAAGCTGCTGTGTTGATTGTGGACTCCCCACCAGGACGGAACACGATATGATCTGTAAAGTCCAGAGCGGTCATCGTGGCATCGTGTGGACAAGCGTCATTTTTATCCTTCACTCTGTCTCCGTCATAATCGTGTTTACATTCTTCACCTCGACCGTGAGCTACGGTAGAGATTCACACAAGAATGATCAATTGAAAGATATTCAATATAACCAGAGAGAAGACGTTTCAACGTCGTCAAACAACAATAGAAACGTTTCTTGTCTATCAGTTTAGGCAGGTGTTATACCCCATTGAATGCGAAGTTGAAACTTGAAAGATATTCAGTTTAAATCCTGCATGGTATGAACAGTTTTGAATGAGACTATCGTGTAAAATGTAAACAGTAATCAGAGTGAAACTTACCAGCAGAGAGTTTTTGATAGCTATTTGAAATGAGAGGACAGTTGTCATGGATATCAATCAGGTAATCATTGTCGTCATTATTATCGCATGTGTTGCCTGGAAAAGAGTGAATATTACTGAAAGAAACTTTTTGTGTATCAGCTGTGACCTGCGTCTCCTAAAGTTGGGATCATCTTTCCGTATGGTTGAATGATTTACCTTCCCTGTCTTTGTCATTATCTAACTGAGCAGCATTTGCATTGTAAGGACAGTTATCCAGAGAATCCTGTACGCCATCTCTGTCCCTAAACACAGCAAGAAACAGCAATCCTTTAAGATGTACTTGGTTTCCAAATTCCAATAAATGTACCAAAAGGAGAAGAGTCTAGTTTGAACCCACCTATCTCTGTCATTATCACAGTCGTCTCCTACAAAATCGTGGTCAGTGTCTTCCTAGGAGTGGAAAGTACTTGATACTTAATTCATTGTTGATGTTGGCAAATATTTTGCTCTGAAGATTATTACCTGTCGAGGATTATACACTTCTGGACAGTTATCGCAAACATCCCCGATACCATCTCCGTCCTCGTCACGTTGGTCTGAATTTCGAGTTACAGGGCAATTATCACGTCTGTTTATAACACCTGAAGGAGATTTAGCCATTTAGGAGACAAGAATAATTCAGTAGCATGAGTCGAGCTACAAGTGTGCTTGTACAATACGTTGTGATGTTCATGACATAACAAGCTAACCATCGTTATCCATATCTGTATCACAAGCGTCTCCCTGACCCACGCCATCATGATCCAATTGATCCTCATTTACCACGGTAGGGCAGTTGTCACAGGCATCGCCGTGAGAATCGCTGTCAGAGGCCCTTTGGTCAGCGTTGACTACTTTAGGGCAGTTGTCCTGAAATCAGATCAAAGAAAGTCGTATATATTTAACACAAGGGAAACTGCCAGATCTTCCTTCAATGGTAGATTGGCTACGGGTCATAAACACACGTAAACTGTTGCTCCGATGACTAAGGTGGAAAAAGAGAAAAGACTAAAATATGGCCTGGTATAAGTTAAATTTTGACAAAGGTTGATCTTACTCTTTCATTAGGTACACCGTCTCCATCCATATCGTTATCACAGGCATCACCTGCACCATCCTTGTCGAGATCGCTTTGATCTGGGTTGGGGAAGTCTTTACAGTTATCCTTTAAAAAATACGATCATTATTGAGTATATGTCAGTAAATCTATGAGCTCATGCGTTTTCGTTCACAGCTTTGAGAAATTCTTGCGTTGTCTTTTTATAACAAAGGAGAGTCATTTGCTAGTGACTGCTGTCGAACGCCGTCCAATTTTGTTGGATCCGATTCACTTCTGACGTATGGAATGTAGTCTATTATTGATAAAGCAGTATTGCATTGACTTAAGTTGATTTGTTGCCCTTATAAGTGAGTTGCTTCCGACAAAATTGGATCGTGTGAACAGACCTCAACAGCGTACCTTCGTGCATTGAGGTCCAGTACACGCAAGAGCGTAGTCTGGAACACCATCCAGGTCAGAATCCCTGCCACAATAAAGACCATCTCCGGTGTACCCAACTTTGCACTAGGACACAGAGTAACATAAATTGTGAATTTGTGATAGTTGGTTTAACAAGAAGAATAACTCTTCTCACACAATAATCGAGCTCACTCATTGGACATGTCATTGAGCTAAAATAATGGGGCATATATGAAGTATCAGCGCCGTTACAAAATGGCGGATTTTTTGAATGTAACAAACTGGGCATTTAAATTTTCGAACCTTTTAAGATCCAAACAGAACGAGATAATACATGGTGATTTACGCCAAAATATCAATAATTTGCAATCATTGTAAGCGATAAAATGTATTCGTATTTAAATCCAAAAGATAAAGATCAAAAGACTATTTATTCCGTTGTATTTGGGCCGGCTGCTTCATCTTGGTCTTATCTCAAATTTAAGGTTGGTATTCACAATAATTTCCGTTAGAAATAGTGCTCAAGTAATTGTTTATGAAGTAATATTGCTTCTATTGAAAGTAATTAGAACAAAATGTCGTGATACAATGGGATTGGGGTAATAACTAGAAAGGGTATAAAGTTGATCGTTTATGGTCGCTTGTAATAATGATATCAAATGGTGATCTTTTGGTAGTGGTTATATCTTATAATTTTGTGTAATATCACAGTTAATACAGATTCAATATAAAAAAATGCTATAAAATGAAACTCACTGAGCACTCAAACGATCGTCCATGGTGTTTGCTGATGCACAGCGCATTTTTATCACAAGGATTTGTTTCCGCGGCTCCTGAACAGTATATTTTTCTTTCACAATTCACATACGGGTTGCCGTAATATCCCTCTTCGCACTCGCCACACTTATAACTTCCCAAAGTGTTCATGCAATCAGAGAAACGTGCGCAGGTATTTGGGATTGAGCATTCGTCAATATCAACGCAGACCTAAACACGAGGAGCAAAGATTCTTATCAAAATTGTACTATGCAGTAGTAATTGTTTTGCCTGCTTTCTTGTTTTCAATCAACCAGTCTCTGCATCTTTCCCTAACCGTTCCTTCGCCCAGGCCTCACCGCGTACCTGTTTTTTCATCGCATGTTCCTTTCCATTCCCCATGACTGCTCCCCCCCGGTAACCAACAGGACATGGTCCGCATTTGTAACCCTCCGGGAAGTTCGTACATTTTACGCCATTGAAACAGGGATTGTGTTTGCACTGCAAGAACGAAAATATCTGAGCGTGATAGCGTTAAATTTCATTGGAAAACTGCTGTTCTCTCACAAACCTCGTCTAATTCAGTACAGTTCACTCCGTCTCCTTCCAAACCCATTGGACAATTCCCACATCGGTACCCTGGGGTGTGGTCGGGAGTATCGATGCATAACACGCCTGGATAGCATGGCCTTAGGTTACATGAAGTCACTAGGAAAATATATGTTGTTCACGAAATTAGTATTTTATATCTGTGAATTGTATAATATGTCCATTCAGACACAAACCACGACAGTTTATTGTAGAATACTACCTAACACTGGACTACCACGTTTAAGATATCTTTCTCAGGTAGTTCAGACAGTAAAAGCTAGGAAGTAATGCTAAACACACCTCTTCTGTCAGCATAGTGGAAATTCTCAATCATTCGACGGAGATATTTCGTCTCTTCAACTTGATTACTTAGAATGATTTCAAGTTGAGAAACGTGAGAGGCCATTCCTCGCAAGGGACCATTGATGCTGTTTATATCCACTTCTTGTGGATCCGTTGCAATAGAGACTTAATAGAAACAAATTTAGAAATATAATTTCATCCCATTTACACCATGTAAAGTGTGTGTGTTTCTATGTTTTTTCTCACCATTCTCGGTCACAGGAGGAGAATATTGCTTGCGTCTTGTTCCTTTCAAATTTGAACAAACTGTTTGATCAGTTAGCTTCTCAATATCGCGGTTGAAGACGAACTTGAGATTTTGTAGACTTCCCTTGAGAATAAAATAAATTAGGATGATTATTATTACGCGTGCTGTTCGCTTATACACCATTAGGCAAAACTCGTTGTTGAGCTTTTGAGAACTTGCTTTTGAGTGCGTTGGTTATTTTCTTTGAAGTTTTGTTATTGGTGTTATTAAATATAGTTGTTAATTGCTTGTGGTTTACACCATGTAATTTATTACAATTTCTAAGCTTTCGTTGATTATTCTCAAAAGTCCAACGACTATGTTTCGTCAGATGACGTGAGCAAACAGCTAGCACCGAGTTTCGCGCGAAAATGACAAATCTCGTTTGTACAAGTTCTAAGTGGTTCTCGTAGGCACTGCTAAAGCTCTCCTAAATCTCAGTCATACCTTCCAAGGTCTCTCAAATCCCCCTCTACGGCCTCGTGATCTCTGTGCAAGCCAGATATTTGATGACGTTGGTTTCTTATTGACAAATGGTATCAATATATTGTAGTTACTCTTCAATGCTTTTTCATCCTGCTTTGCGCAATCAACATACACCGATGCAACTGGACTCTGTGATTTTTTGACACCCTGAACGTGGACAACTAGCTTGTGCCAATCTTCGTCGTAAAGGGGTCCTATGTTGTCAAATTGGACCTCGTAGGATCTTCTGTGGATCATGTAGAGCATAGTCAAACGGCAACTGTCGTCATTGCACATGATCCAAATACCCAAAAGAGGCTGAGCTATAAGAGGAGTATAGATGTTCAAAATTACTACCACAATTTCGTTTGGGTGAAATTGATTTTTCACTCACTGTATATTGTCTCAATCCACAATAAAGCGCACTCCTGGTTGTTTTGAATTTTAACATTTGCTGTCACGGTGAAACCTGCGTAAATCTTCGCTTGTTTTCCTATCTCGCTGGGCAGTTTCCCTTTCTTCATCAAGTCCTGTTTCACGTCGCCAAACTCAAACGCTCTTCCCTCGTATTGCAGTCCTGTTGTTTCCTGAATATTCTCCATGCCTTCGTTTATCTCAAAGTCATCCAGCAAATTTATTTCTTTCAGTTTGAAAACAGAATAAAGCATCTTTAATTTTTATTGTCTCTCTTCAACATCAATGGTAGCATTAGAAGATGTACCACGGTGTCCATAACGGGTTGTATGCATGCGTAGACGTTTACTGAAGTCAATGCAGATAATTACGTACCTACTGCTTTGCAGGAAAGCAACATGGCTGCCGTAATGAGTGTTTGTACGGTGCTTGCGAACATCTAAAAGAAGAAATGTGTAGAATATATACAATGAAATAACGAAAGGGTGGTTCATACATCACAGTGAGGCTTATATCAAATTCCGCTGTGCCAAAAACAAGTGCAGATGATTCATCTCTTGTGCTTTTTATTACAGAATGTGAAAAACCTTGTAATGGTGTGTAAGAAGAGGTGGAATTCAGGTGACCAAAATCCTACGTGACGATGATTTAAGCCATCAGGTATTATCAGTTTTGACGACTAATTAGGCCTAACAATTTGTTTTTAGAAAAACTCCTTAATTTTTTAACTTCTGGACTTAACCAGAAATCGTATTCGTGACTACAACTCCCTCGTGTATGAACCTGAGGATCAATCTTTGTTTCAATGGTCGATTTTTTCTTTCATACAACTGGCTGTTGAAACAAATGAAAAAGTTCATTGTTCATTTTTCATCGTGTTTACAATCGTGTTTTCATCGTGTTTTACAATCTGTAAAGCCAATATAACACTTCCTAACCAACTCATCGCCCCGGACGTCCGTTGTTTCCAACTTGAAAACAACTTTTTAGCGAACTTTCATTGAATTTACGTGTTCGTGATTTCTCAACCACTTCACATAAAAATGCTTGAAGTATATGGAAGTCAATGTCTGACGTATTTCCTTCGCATGCAATCTATTTTTATTTCATGTGTATACAAGCATGTCGGAATGAGCTAGTTTGATTCATCTCTTTCAGTTTTAGCTAAAGTGGGAATAATTAAGTGAAGTACATGATTGTATAATTTGTTGTGGACAAAACCACGCTTTACATTATAAACATTTCCAAGCAAAACTATAAATATCTCACATACTGTGCCATTCTGATGAGATTTCAGATAGTTTTGATCCAAATTGAAAGAAGCTGTCGACACTAAACCTGCATGTTTAGGATACTTTTTTTTGATGCTGCAACCACAAATCGCGACAGTACTCATGGTACTGAATACTAATGCACTGAACCAAACATTTGTGGTATCATTTCCGGGTTGTTCAGCAGAATACTACCTATATAGCTTCGTGCGCTGGCCAGGACTACCCCGGCTTTCGAGATATATTTCTTCAAGCTTAAGATAAAGTTGTTTACTTTTTCATATTTCAAAAATGGTTCAGCCCATTCGGTCAATACTCACCGTTCAACATAAAATATAAATGCAAACTAGTCACGATGCAAACACAGTAGAGAATTATATTTGATTATTTTTCAAATGAATTCAATATTTCATTATCGCTCCCGGATTCTCTTTAATCTTTATTTACTTTCCGTCGCGTCTTTCAATAAAAAAGTGAAAAATTAGAGTTTGAATCAAAGGTGTAGGTATCTATATCTATACATAGTATATCTGTTTTGATATGCTGTTCTGGATTAAAATGCAATTAAACCAGGAGGGAAGTATACAAAAAATCAGCAACATTATTTCATGAACTAGACTATATATACGGCATAGTATTTCAAAAACTCAAATGTGATGATTCGCGTGAAGACCCTTGTATGAGATTAATTGGATTGATGATATTAGCGCTATTTCTATAGACCACGCGTCTACGACCGATATTAGATACAAGTTAACAATATTTAGGATGCAGGAGGTAATATATATCATCACATTCCTCAATATCATTCAGCAAACCCCTGTGAGTCCACTTTTTAGACAGCCGTATACGCGTGTAGAAATTACCATTCCAATTGTAATGCTGTTTTACCTAGAATTTTCCAATGAGCTCGGTATAATCAAATAGGTATACTATAATATACTTACTTGTGATCAAATAGAACTATTTTGTTATCACTGAAGACTGGTTGCGATGCTGAAGGTACAAATTTCTGGTACATGAATTTTGCAAAACTTGTGTGAGTGAAGTAGACTCTTTATTATCTCACACGCTTTGCATATTTAAATACATGTTTGTTCGTCTTTGTTTTCAAACACCGACATACCAAAACAAGTATATTGGATCCTTGTGCTCAGAGATTCCCTGATCATATACGTCGTATGCCTTATTGGTTTCATCCAACTTATATTAACTGGTTGTTGTTAAGTGACGAATTCATGGCGAGTTTTTTTTTTAAATTTTCACGGAGATTTAAAAGAAGGGGTTATCTTGAATGTGTTGCAATTATAATGAACCTAGTAACAAAGAATGTTGGGAAATTGCAACACGTAAACTAAGTTCATAATCGGAACATTAATATCATTAGAAGTAAACAATTTTATTATGTTTACACTAGCTCGCATGTTAAAAACTTTCAAAGATACTCCAAAATAGTAAGAAATGGTCTTTTAAAATGGAATAAATTCAACTGATCGCAGAAGATTTAGTTCAGTTTTTAAATGGTAATTGATTGTTTGAGATCACAATATATATGTGATGTATATCTGTTGCAACCGTTACAATTCAGTAGGGATGAGGTGGTCTGGTTTTTCTTCATATATACCTAGCTTTGTGTAGAAGGCTCTCGTTTTATTTAAGGCTGGATTCTATACGTTTTATGCTACCGTATGTCTGTCACGTGTTTTAGGGTAAAATGAACGTAGATTTAAAGTGAGTTTGATGTGTACATGTATAGATTAGAACGCACAATGGTAGATTAGAAAAGTTAATAGCAAACCTTTTAAAGCTTCTTGCTGAAGTTTTACTTTAGATCGCAACCGCTATATAGAGCTCTTTCTGTGTCTCTTTTTCACCAAAATCTGCAGACTTTAATTTGACTTCGTGCAATGGTCGAAAGAAGCGGCAATCGAGTCTAGTACGACGAGACTGCACCGTTCTGTTTGTGAATACCTTGCTAGAATCTAGTCTGCGTTTTATGTGAGATCCTTTGCGTGACCAGAATGCAATCGTACCGTTGCTTACCGAAGTGTTTAACCATTAATTACACTTAGATAACATCACAAAGACACAATGACGATGTATGAAGCATTAACAGCATTTCAAATATTTTTGTTCCCTCTCTGTGGGAGGGGTTTATTGTGTGACTGACGTTCTTGAGCTTCTACTATACGCTTTTCATACCCTCTTGCCTAGTTTTATGGAAGTGCATTGAACCCCTCAATTATATTTCTTTAAATTTTTCTGAGTTTATTCAGATTCAGTTGCTTTCCTATTTTCACATTTGAGCGAAGACATGTGTATTGGTCGGCAGAAAACAACATTTAGTAGCACAGATTTAAACTCTTTTTCTTCTCAGTTGTCGCAAACGATTTGGAAGAACCGCATGACAACTTGCTTAATTACATTAAATGATTAGTTTCAAAGAAAGGCTTAGACCTGTGAAACAATCCCCAAATCGCTGTACAGACTCGTGAAAATGCTTGTGCAATTTTTCGATATTGTTTGAATAATTCGTATGCTCATGCATGGATGACTACTTAAGACATCCTCCCGACAAAACTTCATATTTTTATTTATTTTTAAAACTTGAACTAAATATAATTCTTTGATGATAATACAGCCATGTTGTTTCCATCGATCTCGCAAAGAGCATCCATGAAACTTGTTCCAATATCGCTGCAGTTCTGGCACCAAAAATTTGTCTTTCCGCCAAAAAATATCGTGATACTCTAAGGTCAAGCCGTAGACTCGAATCAAGAATCGAGACTTGTTGAGCACTCCAATTATATTGCTTCTCCGGTCAAGAGCAACATTAAAAAAATAAACATCTCTATTAGTTTTTAAAAACAATATATTCGGTTGCAGAGGCTTAAAATATGTATTCAATGTTGTATCTAAAGGTTAAACTGTTCTCCTGTCAAGAAACACTCTTCTCTGGCTAAAAATGGTTTATTTTTTCGGTGTCCTTCACTCGACTTAAATGCCTGAGCAATATATTTAAAAGTGATTTTATCGGTTTAGTACAAGTTTACTTGCTTGAGGCAAGTTTACTTGTTTCAAGACTGGCTAAATGTGTCTAAAATTGTTGTAACTATAACCCCTGGTGAGAGTAATTTAGTAGATCAAAGTGGATAGGGTGGGAACCATGTGTTGACGATATGCTTTCGGCTCCATACATTAGACAATGTCGTTTTGTATAAACTATACAACGTGCATGCGACGACTGACGAGTCATATCTTTAAATAACTCGGGTGTGGAGGAAGCTGACTGATGTTGTCGGTTCTACAGCAAAAACTACAACAAAAATAGTTCAGTAAATAAAAGTTCCAAAATAAACACTAACAATATTGTAAAGTACACAATCCACTCTCGTTGGCTTATAGGCTAAGAGGTTTATCTGTCTAGGTTGATAATGCCGATTTCGGCAAAGTTTTGCTTCGTTGGGGATTGTGTGGTTTGACAATATGAAATATTTTAAATGATGGTTATATTGATGCTTTAGACATTTTGACGAAAAAAAGCACTTCCAACATCTCCTGCTGTCTTTAATGACAGTTTTAACGGAAAAGTGTTGGGCAATTAAGTTTTTCTCGAATATTCCAATCATTGGATCATTGGATTATTCCTAAAAGCTTACAACATCGAAAACACGCTTTCTACGATGACGATCCTTCAGCATGGCCAAGCTAGAGATATATTCTCTTTCATATTGTACTTGCTTATCGTCGTATTTTGACATTTGAAAGTTCGCAGTGAAATTTGTGCTTGGGGAAATATCATGCAACGAATTGATTCTTTCGACAAACAAAGACCTCGTCTAATTCGCGAGGATTAAACAGCTTAAAACCTTGGACAAAAACTCGGTGTTTTTAATCGTGCTACGTTTGAAAATCAAAAGGTTTCGGTTGTTTCGCGTGTGATAGATAAGAGAGCAGCCTTTTAGGATTAGAGAAAAGAGTCATTGTTGGTCAGTGGTGTAAACAAAGGAGCGGAAACACACCAAGACAACTATTAGGGCACCCCATGGGATGGAACTAAGCTAACCTTGCCAAATTCATATCATTCCATATTTTATTATCATTATCAAACTACCATTTTTGTTTATTTGACTATAAATCTTTATTTATTGACGTGAAAGGTACTTGCACGAAACACTATGCCTTGATACGTTATGTAACGCTCTCCATGTATAGCTTTTAGTTGCTGGTGTAAAAATAGTAAAAATATCGTTGCTGAATAATGAGATATTGCATGCTTCTGATGATAAGTTGAATGACCTATTAAAAACTGCCAAAACCCAACTATCGCGGCTTACTGCATTATATTTATAATTCATTTAGCTGTGCATTTTATTTTCAATGTTTGAGTTTCCAATAGAAATAGTTTTCTGAAAATACCGAAGTAAAGTACCTAAAATTTACAACCGAAGAGCTTCGTGACTCTACAATGTTTTGACTGCATCTCATTCTATCGTTCAGGGAGGCTCAAGCTTGTCATGAAAGATAAGAAGGTTGTGTGTTTTTTCCTTGCTAAGGACATAAATGGCCAGAGAAAGTTGCTTGTCTTCGAGCATGTAAGTGAAAAAGTACATTTTTCCCACATGCATGCGTGACACACCACGTGAATGAATTCGTCGCCTCTGTTTGCTGTGCAGTTGCTGAATTCTATGTCCCCAATTTGAGACCATCAAGGGGACGATCGAATATAGAAAATATAACGTATTCTTTTCCAGCTATTGTAGCTTAAACGAGTTGCTTACAAGACCCAGAAGATTAAATTCACACCCAATTACACATATTCATTCCAACGCCTCCATATAAACGTATTTACAAAACTGTAATTTTCAAATATACTTAAACTGCCAAATACGGTCAGGGTTCGCATAAATTTACGCACCTCACGATGTGTATAAATTTAGACGTTTTACTACGTCATCAGGTCAGCGTATTTCGCATGATCGGGGCGCGTATACGCAACTCTGACTGCCCTTGATTCGGTTGCACGTATGATGTGTCTAAATATGGATTATTATGACGTGTATTTTGATATAAAGCATGGCGGTGAGAGGCTATCTTCCTTTTTAGTAATCCCTGCACAAACAAAGTTCAATTTTCAAACTTTAATAACAAGACGACACTGTGGCAGATTATATAAATTTCGAGTGAAATATCTTCCGCTGAAGTCTGAAATGTTCCCAGTGGAAACAAACGCTAGCTGATCACTTCGCAAAGCTCTAACATCGCGAATTTGGTGTCTAAAAGTGTCACGGTTTTTAAAATATTACTGAATAAACAATAGCGGGATTAACTGATGTTTGAACTTCATAAATGAATGTGTGTGCTTATTTTAATACACCGACTTTGTCATAAAGGTTTATGATTAACACCGTTCGACTGATTGACAGATGTAATTTATCATTCATGAATAAGGCTTTCAAATTGTATGTATACCACGGGGTTTTTTTGAGATCTTTTTGACCAAGTTCCCTCGTGCATTCGAAAGATTGCTTTTCTTGCACTAGGCTATTCTACAGCAATATCAGTGCTTCTTTGTTGATATGAGTGATTGAATAATATGAGTTGAGACTAGGGATTGTTCTTGTTCAGCATGGTAGGATATTCCAGGAGAATCTTCTGAAAATCTTGTGAATATGACGTTTTGAATGTGAGTGCACTGGAAAGATAAGTGGAGTTGTCTTCTGTGATTGCTCGTGGTTGGATAGCTAGATGATGTTGATTTGGTTGATGATTCCTTGGCTGAAAGGCATGATCTACGTTTTTCCTAAAAACCTCCCATGAGTTAAGCAATTGTTAGATCATGTGGTATTCTAAATGGTTTAATATAAGCGGTGCATTCAAAATGACCTGACACATTTTTATGTTTGCTATTTGACGCCAACTCGTAAGGAAGGTAAATTCCATAATTGATGAATATTTCTTACACGTGCATCGTCTTCAAAGGTTCTAGCGTTTTTCTTTTTTCATAATTGATTTCCTCAACCTTAAGTAACTCTGGTTAACCTTTTTTGATATATTTAAATCACACGCAAGTATGCTCAATACCCTCTTCAATATTTGTTTCTCGTCAAAAAACAAACCTTTGGACACTTTTCCTGTATTTCCCCACTCTTTTTTTACATGAATGTAAGGCTTTAGTTCTATAATTTGCATTTTCATTGTATTCTTTTCATTTAATGCAGTTTTTTTTCATTCCAAAATACAGATTTTGTTTCATCTCTTACCGCAAAATTTAACAGTAAATCTATAATATATCGTGCCTAAAATATTGCCCAAACTATATGCATATCATAATGGATTGCCATAATCTCTATTTTAACGAATTTGAGTTTCAGCACAATAAATAAAATAATCTTTCATTAATTTCATAACACCAACTATATATATATATATATATTGTGGTTTCTTTCAAACGTCAATATTTCCCAGACTTGAAGTCTTTCTCGATACGCTTCAGTCAAAAGGTTTGAGGATTTCTATGAAATAGTTTTCATGATATGAATTAATAATTCTAAGCTCAGCAAGGTTGAGATGAACATGGCGCAATGCACGCAGGTTCTCATGATAAGTTCTCATAGCCGTAGTGTTTAGATCCTTCCGGCCAACATGAGATGTATCTTCCGCCCTCGAGCGAAACTGTTACAACCCATTTTCACGATGTTTGTACGTCCATCAATTCTGATACGGTATTTGTTGACGAATTCAAAGTAACGGATATTAATCAAATGAACGAAAGCTAATCAAGGCTTGAGAGCATGGCGTTGCTTACAGGGATTTACACAAACCAACATATAAATTTAGATAGCGTTTAATTGCCTGTTGACATTAACAGTATTACATTCAAAAGCCATAAAAATATATACATCTTTCATAATAGAGCAATTGCAAAGTCGTTTCTTTTCAGTAATTTTTGACATGTTTAAACATGCGTTGAGTAACTTGAGTTTGATTTTTGAAAAAATCACAGAACGTGAAATTTTTGAGAGTCCTCATCGCTTTTATGAGGGGCAAATGTCATTCTGGATATTTCATTACTGTCAGACAATTACTTCGGCACAAAAAGAATTCTAATTAAGCGTTAATGCATTCGTAACACATCTGGTTCGTTCACATCGTTTTTACGGCGTCTATTACATTTCCTATTCGGATAAGTGAAACACAAAAGACTTTAAAATCTCATTCACTGCAAGCCACAAATTTCGCCTGCCACTCACATCCTGCTGGACAATACGATTTTGTATCCTAACGAAGCATTCTTCTCTCGTGAATTTCGAGCGAGTTCAAACTTCAAGTTGACTCAGGATTTGTTTGGTTTAGAATCTTCCCGACTTGTTAAAAAGCTGTTAAGAAATATATCAATTTATTGGTTTTGTTTCAAACGCAGCTGTTCCTGGCTTTCAATAAAGATTGAAATATAATTATTTGTTAGCTGAGGCAATCCATGTTTTTAATTTCCAATTGCTCTACTGATAACGAATGTGGATCCTCTGGGCGACTGACGGGCGTTGGATAATCGATTTCCAATCTAAAATGGCTAGAAATGGAGAGATCATTTCGTATTTTAGCCAATATCGTAACGAAGTGGGATTTCTCTGTAGATTGATTATGTAAATTCGACGCGTCTTCGTGCAATTTCATTAATACCCCTATAAAATGCTCGTTTTGCATAAAACGTACTATGAAAATGAAATATTGGGTTCGACTCAACTGCCCCCGTGATGAAAAAGGTTTTTCGCGAGTTTTTAACTCGCATTGCATTCTGCTATCTCAGATTGTATTCACTTTATAACATACAGTTTTAACAAATCCCACGATTTGTAATAAGATAAAGTGCCATTAACAGGAATGTTTTGAATTTTTAATAAGCACAACACTCGCCTCTCTAAAAAATGCTAAACCACCTTCTGTGGTTTATCAAAAAGCGAAGACACAATTGACAAATCAATTGCTCCTTTTTCGCTGAGGGGAAAATCTGAACAGGTTCTCACTGAAATCATTTCGACTATTGATTAAACCCAACTAATTCCTGAATTTCAACAATGAGGATGTGGACTTTCCATGTATTTCTTGTCCAACTTCTAAACGATATGTACAGAGAGTATCATTATAAAATGTACATCATCGTTTTCAGTAATTTATACACACACAGGATAGTTCCTTCCCTGTTTTAAATTGCTTTGTCTTCAGTTAGAGAGCAAAATACTGTGTATTCACGTTTAGATTATCCGAAGATAAATAAGGATAGCTTTTAGGTAGAACACTGATTCATACTCTATCTTATATATAATGGAGATAAGTAAACAAGTGTGTTTTTGTTGGATTAGTGTGCTAGAGGAATATGATTTCTCGAAAGAAATCAGGTGATTGATCGGGAATCTATGAATAAAATCATTTTTAGGTTGTGAAGAATGAAAATAGTATCATATGTCGCGCGTGCGTCAATTCCCAGATCCATATCTGTTCAGAAGGGTTGAGTTGTATAACAGGGTTAATAAAAACAAGATCCGAACAGCGATTAGAGAGACCTTCCGGTGTGAATATGCGTGTCAGGGTCGTCCACATGCATCTATTACTCAAATGTTGTTATTAAATTATTGTTTTCGAATTGATTGGATCGCTTACGAGAGGTGCGAATGAATTGATCCCGATTAATTATTTGCTCTAGTTTTGTATTGCCCGCTCAAGTGCCATTTTTCTGCGCGTGTGCAAAAGCGTGTGGAAAGCGCAACACTGTGTCAATAGTCGTACAGCTGTTGATTTGTCTTGTCATCAATTTGCTTTCTTGTTGTGCGGTCTCTGTTTAATGAGATTGCTCATCCTGTTTAATCGCGAACAAACGAAGTTAGTCAGCTTATAATAACGAACGTTCCCACACAGCAAGAGCAGAGGACATCGTCTCTACGACCTGACTCATTCCAATTTTTCACTCCACGCCTCAAGATCTTCATTAAACGAAAGTGCTTCCACAAGTTAACGAAGGTAACATTTACTTTTAAAATACCGTTTTTTTCCCTATGTATTTTAATTCAGTCCGAAAGTAGTAGCTATTTCCTGATGCCACAGTTTTCAATTTATATTTTTTTGAAATCTTTTAATCATCGAGGTGCAATATAGTTATACAAAATGTCGTGGTCTGTGTCTGGTTTAGGACACCCGAAAACGATTTAAAATCTGGTTTGAACTGCCTGAATAAGCCTACTTTAAGATATTGTTTTTAAAAAGGGAGGGCCGATTTTTTTTAACCTGCGGTTTCAAATAATACGAATTTTATTATTTCATTTTTGTTGGGGAAAACGTCGAATAAAATATCATAAAGTGAATGCTGATTTTGATTTTATCAGACTTGGACAATTCTTGAGAATTTCACTTACTCGAACTTGCTTGTTAGATTTTTAAATTACAATTTATCTGTACGAAATTTTGCGAGGCTGCCAAACGCTATTCTATTCAATTGTGTATAGAAGAGAAAATGAGCTTATTTTTTATCAAGCAATCGAGTTTAGAGAATTCATTTTAGGATGTAAATCGTTTGAAGGTTTTGAGAATCTCAATGCTCACTATATATGCTAGTTTTAATACAGATATAAATTATATCCAATTCAAAGCTTTTGCTCCTTTAAAAACGTTTCAGATATTTTTAATAGCGAATCTAAATCCTTTCTCGTTTGATCATTGAACAGAATGGCGAGCATGGATTATGGATCTCTTGATTATCGTCCTCTGCCTGAATATCCGACACCTTTTTATCCGCGTTTTAAAAGCGGTTCTCGAGCAGATCACCAGCTGCCTGCACGTTGTCATGTTATTTACCCAGGTCTTTCTGCATTCAAACAACCATCTTCACAGGTATGAATTCAGTTCACGTTCAGTTGCCAAACCTTGTCTTGAGAAGGTTTCGCTTGTGGAGAAGGAAAACTAAACCGTTGTTTATTGAGAACATCAATTTAGAAAAGATCCTTTATCTTCTTTGAATTTCTCAATCCTAACTTGTTTTTCTCTATATTTTCCAGGTTAGAACATTGTTACCTTATCCTAAATATTCTCCATATTATCCCTTGATTGGCGCAGTTCTTGATGGCGAACCTTCAGCTTTTAGATCCGCTCATAAACCTACAGGAAAATCTGCATTTGAACCAACACAAACTGGTCATGCAACAAACCAGCTCTTTTTCAATGGTAGGTTGTCAAAATCATGGTAAATTCTAGAAAAAAATCGTTACATCTTCCATCTCTGTTGAATATTATCAGATCTATGAAATGGCTTAACATTATGACAGCAATACACCTAACGTTTTCATAATATTTAGAGACTAAATATTTTCTCAATTACATTTTTAGATCGTCGTGTTTGTACGTGCAATTGTACATTACCATCCCAACGTTCATCCACCAAGCACCCTGTGTGTACCCCAGAGTACTACAGCTGGCTCATCCCGTCCGACAGATACTCTCACTCGTCCGACGACCTTCCGATCGGTTTCCGTTTATCATCGCTCTCCACTCGTCCCTATCCGATACTCTCCCGACGACTCGACGAAAGCGACAAGCGACCAGCTCCGAAGCGTTTCCAGTGTCCTCATTGTGAGAAATCATTCGGCAAGTCCTCGCATCTTCGCGACCATATCCGAACACACACCGGAGATCGTCCGTACAGGTGCGAATACTGCGATAAAGCATTCACTCAATATTCGAACTTGCGTACCCATACGAGAATTCATACCGGGGAAAGGCCATATCGCTGCACACATTGCAGTAAAAGTTTCACTCAAGCGGTGACTTTACGAAGCCATACGAGAACTCACCTCGGGGAAAAGACCTACAACTGTAAACAGTGTCCCAAATCGTTTGCCTGCTTTTCGGGTTTAAAGGGCCACATTCGGGTGCATGAAGGCTCGCAAGAGTCAAGCTGTGATACAGACCGTAAACTAAATATTAAACAAGAGGTTACGGAAGATGACGTCTGAATCATGAAGGCGATGAAGTCTGAATAATGAAGGCGATGAAGTCAAATAATAACTGAGATTATTTGTTAATATTTCCAACAAGAACTGTAAATAGTTGTACACTTTTGTGAATAAATCCTATTTAAATAAACGTTTCTATATCTATTCTTATTTCGTGCAATTGCAGTTCAACAACTTATTGCACTTTTCTTCTCGATAATAGTCATAATATTTCAGGAGGAAGCCGATGTCTCCAGAGTGTTTCTTACTGGGGCTTTGTAAAGTTAACGAAATAAATGGTTCCCAATGAACCATCGTAGAATCCCAGCTGAAGATGGTTTAATGTGTCAGTCCATGTTATTCATAATTTGCCTGTTATCTCCCATAACTCATGTGTTTCCTTGCAAATGTCACCTCTCATCCCACAGTATCCGATAATGTTCTTTTAATACTTGCCCTGGGTACGTCTTTCTTTATCCAATTATACGATCTTTTTAGGTGGGCTTGCGAGACAATTATGACAAATGAAAAGTAAAACTAACTTAAATATACTATTCTCCTATACTGTTCCGTTTCCAGTTGAAGGAACCAAAACTCAACGATCCCCATTTGTAGACAGACAGTAGACTGAATCTAAGTTATCTAACCATAGATAACCGATGTCGTGGATTCATCCACAGTAATTTCTGTATGGGTAAATCGATACGCGCTGTGAAATTTGAAACGAGGGATATAATTTTAGAGCATGATATAATCCGTCTTCTCATCTTATTTTGATAGGCGAGGCGAAAGGTTCAAAACGCCTACTTTTCTGGCCCATTTTTTATTCTTGTTGACTTGGGTAAGTAATGCAATCATGAGGTTTGGAAAAATTTTCCAATGATTTTTTAATGGGCTCATTTTTGAACGCATAAATCAACTATACTATTTGTCTAATTTGTTCAAATCGTTCCTGAAGCATCGGACGTCTATTAACTATATCACTTTTTGTTTATTTTACCGTCATATGAACAGATATTATTGTAGAATCTCTTGTTGATCGTCTCGGAAGCACTGCCTGGGAATTCCTGATATTCCACGGTGAGTTCAAGATAAAATATTCCTTTCTATCGAATGGATATATATTCGTAGCTCTTTGCAGCCAGTACTACCCATGGCCTTGTTTAATAAGCCAGTAATTAACTCCTGACGGGATTGTTAAGCAAACTAAACGAGATAGCTTTTCAATGTGTGAGATATTTATGCATATTTGCAATGCAGATAACAGTGAAATAAATAGTGATAAAAACAGGATATTTTTGGTAAATTAATTTACGTTGTGAAAGTAGTGCTTCTTCTTGGCCAATCAGATTTATTGCAGCCGAAATTTCTAGTCGGATTAGACATTTTTACGCACCTGTAGCCATTGAGGCAGCAGTTTCCTGTCGCCACCGCTGCATGGCGCTTCTCACAAGAATCAATCTTTGAAATATTTTAACAAAACAGAAAAACACAGACCACATTGTGTGGCTGTTTGTTTTGCCTTAATTTCCTATCCAGATGCAATTGAATGATCGTAAATTACTCCTAAAAAAAGGACTCCGTTTTCTCAAACCCTTTTTTTGTCTAAAATCTACACAATTACATCGCCGTCCTAAAATGGATGCGCTATGGTCGTGGGAATGTCTGATACGGGTGTTTACAAGACATATAATCATGTTGTTATAATTAAACAGTTCTGATATCGGTGATACGAATGATGAGAGAGCCTCAGGGTTCTGCCCACGACTTGTTTTGAAAAAACCAAATCAATTATCGTTTTCTCAGTCATGTATATATACTTCACTACGTAGAAATTACACCTGGGAAAACTCCTGCACTTGCTTTATCTTATTTATGACGAGATTTATCTCTGGTTATTCTTTTATACCTCGTAGGGAAAACCAGATACTCATTGTCATAATACATAAGTGCATTTCGTTGTTGGAGAAAATCGCCTTTTTTATCGATCACACATAACTGATGATTGCAGACAGTTGATCTAGAACATCCTTCAATTAATTTGAACCAGGCCTCAGCGATCTTTAAATTTCGCAGTTAACAATATCAGGAACATCCCATCTCAATCTATAATCCATTCTGGGCCTTTTATTTCTATATCGATCGAGCACAAAAGTTAGAAACGTGCGATATTTTCACGCACACGGTTGCAACAACCTTCTGCAATACCAGTGTTGGGGGAGTTTAGCCCAAACCGTGTACAGGTGTTCCCCAGCCAGACCAGACGATAAATAATCCAGTAGTCACGTCATCACGACAGATTACAACCGCAGGGGTTACGTAAACATTAGCTATAGGTAGGAATTGTCTTGACAAATGACAATCAAGGAAAATATTTATTGAAGAAGGCATATATTTTAAACGTAACCTTTTAAACCTTTTAAACCTCTTAAAGTATTGAATAACGTTTTCATTACAATGTTTGCTATTCTTTGAAAGTGTATTAATTGACTTATGAAAACTGGATATCATATAGTTTTTTAAAAAACAATGTCAAACATTTTGCATCGGTGTTAGTTTGTTTCGCGGGCGACCAAGGGACCGAATTAACATTTATTCCGCGATAATTTGGCGTCGATGTGCTCTGATATGCCTGTATGTTGACACATCTTTTGCGTATGAAGTAATGAACTGGCTGGAATGAGTTCTGAATTCTTTCCTGTCAGACTAGTTGTTGACAAGGCTTCATGTCAGGGCTGGGTCGCATATTATGCAAATGTTGCTCGTACCGCAAGTGTGTATCATTGTGAGCGCAGCGTATGAGATTAAACTAAGGTAGGGGCATTCAGGTTACATTGGGCTGGCTAGAAAGATGCTTTTGAATAGATATACCTTGTTTGTGTCATGAAATCAAGAAGATATGGACAATTTAATTACCTGTACATCTGGTGGATGGTGTTTGACTCTCCTTGTAGATTTCACTTAAGTCTGAGTGTCTGACCTAATTTTTAATATTGAGGGCATTTGTTGCCTTTTTAGGTGTTGCAAAGGAATGATAAAATGTCGGCTTTCTGGGTCATAAAGGCAGTAGGCTAAGCTGCATGTAACGTTTACACAACAGCACATTGCGTGAATCATTATACGTTTTAATCTGCCTGAAAAGTGCCGCCTTGCTTGGCTTAAGGTGACCATGTTCTCATTTTATAAGTATCATTAACGAGTCATTAAATCGCGTGTGGTTTAAAGCGCCCTTTCTCTTCAAGAAGCAGCGTTTTTCGTCAGTTTTGTTATATACGAAGTGGTCAGTTGAGGACGATGTGCTTTGTTTGGTTAAATAAGTATCGATCGTTAACTGTTTTTCATAATATTTTTCTAGATCATAAAGATTTGGTGTGAGATGTTACGATTTGCTCTCAAACTGTCGGTTTTGCTGACAATTTTCACATGTCAGGCTTATGGTGAGTTCAATAACGTTTCCTGGTGTTCTTAACCTCCCCAGCGTCAAAGATCGCTTCCAGTTGGTCCCGTTAAAGTAACTTTTAATGTCTAGAGTTACAACAGGAAGAAAGCCAGGGTATTTGGGTAGACTTGCGTTATCTAACAGAGACGGATATCAAGGAGTTATGATCAGACATCTGCGTATCAAGGAACTAAACAAACCTCAATCACTGTGGCGAAAGACACATGTACTGTCAACTGTGTTTATTATAGATTTGGACTTTAAGCAATCTTCACACGAAATTATGTTCAAACATCTGCATATTGTAGAAACTGAACCTCAATCACAGAGGTGATGATGATGACACACGAGTTATGTGTGTTTGTAACAATGAAACCACAACCATATTCTCGTAATTTTGCATGCTTGAGTAAATTAGCTTATTTGTACATCACGTGAAACGAACCGAAAGCTTTGCAGTATAAAATACTTGCGTGGTGTACCTACAAGCTAATTTACCTAAACTACAACCAGTCCTCGCACCGAATTATGATCAGATAACTAAATCAAAGCTAGCAGAAGTGATAGGTATGTAACCACAGTATATTTTCTCATCAGAAATCAGTCTTCTGACGACACTACTGGATGACCCAGGGGAATTTAACGTCGAACTGGACAGCGGAGTAAATCATCGTTCAGATGCCTTCAAATTCACCTCCCACGTTACAAAACTCCCATTACCGTTTGAAATAGCGACAAAAATCATCACGAATATGGACGCCCACGACGCTTTTATTCTTGTGGTGAATCTAAAGATTGATCCATACAACCATGGAACCCTGTTCTCTGCAAGTGGAAACACAAAGGAAGTTTTGCTTGATGTTTGGGTTAAAAGTGGCGTCAATCCTGCCGTTGGGATACGATATCTGCCGATCAACTCGTCTCAGGCTGAGATAATAAGTTTTGGCCCTGTCCGTGATTTCAGACTGAGACGATGGAATAAAGTTGTGGTTCATGTCTATAGGTATTGAATGTAATTCAATCAGCGTCTGTTTAGAACTGATAGAGCTATCTAGTAGAAATAAAGTTAGTTTAGTTTAGGTTTCCTCCTGTAGTAACACTGGATCAATAAGAGATGGTCCTTACTAGACCTCTAGGAAGAACAGTTTAGAACTGATAGAGTTATCCAGTATAAATAAAGTTATTTTAGTTTAGGTTTCCTCCAGCAGTAACACTGGATCAATAAGAGATCTTCTTCGTTTTGTGTCTTCAGAATTGGGGTTTTTCAATCAGTTGTGGATGTTTACGTGAATTGCGAAAAAATTGGACGACGGATAACGAGGAGTGTTTTGGATTTATTTGCCTACAAGAAACAATTCCGTCCAAACAACGTGGAGTTCCGCATCGCACAGAAAGGATATGGACGAACTGTACACTCACGATACATGGTGAGTTTAGTTCAAATATTTATACTCAAACCTTAAGTAACGATTAAAAACAGAGTACTGCTAATGTCGCAGGATCTTATAAACTAGTCAACTATTTCTCAAAGGGTTCCATGCAGGATTTGAGACTGGTTTTTAAGAGAGATGTCGACACATTTGTTGCCAAAGATGTGTGTCGAATTCCGTTTGATGCAAAGAATGAGTTCATACTGTCATATCATCGAGCATTAGGTACGTTACATGCCTGATCCTAATTCACATCCTTTCGTCCTATGATGTACATCTTTATCCCATCTTTACCACAGCTGAACCTGTCCGTGCTGAGTATGGTGGCCGTGGGGAAGCCACAAGTGAACTAGTGAATATGATCAAAGATCTACGTTATGATCTGACTGTCCAGGTAAAGTAAGTCTGATGCTGAGAACTCTAAAATGAACATTTAGTTCTCATAATCTTTTTGTTCATACACAAGACTGCTGAAATAAAATACGTGAGAGAGCTGGTTGAGGGATGCGAACTTTGCAGAGGTAAAAAAACTCCAACGATAATGTATTGGGTTCATTCTGCTGTGTTTAAATCCAAAATATCTCTGAAATAGACTGAAATAAACATTAAACTTTTAGTCACTGATTTCTGCGCGATGAAGCCATGCTTTCCCGGCGTTCATTGCTTCAACGCTCCCAAATCTAAAGACGGTTTTTACTGTGGTAACTGTCCGTTTGGTAGCCATGGTGATGGAATACATTGCGAAGATATTGACGAGGTGAGTTCTGCTGCTGGCCTCAGTAGGTAGACTGGAGTGCCAGTCTATGTCACTGCTGTGAAATTCCAGTATTCCAGGTCTCGCTCCCCAAATAGCCTGGATAGTTTCTGGATGTATTTTTATCGACATCTTTTTCTAACGTTTTTTTCCCTCAGTGTTATTACAATCCGTGCTCAGTTCTATCCAAATGTATCAACAAAAACCCTGGTTACACCTGCGATGCCTGTCCTTTTGGATACACTGGTTCTATCCCGACTGGCATCGGAGTCACGCACGCTGCAACGACAAAACAGGTACGATGATGAAGGTTTCTTCAGGAAGCAAGGAAGAGCGACGTTGTTCAGATTCGACTACCTGCACGTCCTTTCGCTGACCTGCCGCTCTCGTGATTGGTTAACTCAGTAGAATTATGACATTTGATTGGTTTATGTTCTCTCAAAGTTGTGATAGTGTAAGTCGACAAGGAACCGTCTTTTTTTTCAACATAGATTTGTGCTGATGTCGACGAATGTGAGATCAACAATGGCGGATGTGACAAGCTTGTGGAATGCAAAAACACTCCGGTACCTGTACAAAAACACTCCTGCACTGTACAATACAAAGAGTTTGTTTTTAATAAATACATCTTAACGTTAAGTGAGCGCTTTCTAGTAATTCTAGGTGCTCAGGAAATGAAGACAGACTTGTTTATGGGCCCCGTTCTTGCCGGCATTTAAATGCTGCCAAAACAATAATTTTGATCATTCTTCTTTCCCATCAGGGCAGTTTTGAATGCGGACCATGTCCGTCAGGATACGAAGGTGACCCGAAGATTGAGTGTCGCTTTAAACAGTATTGTGATCCTGATAACCCGAAGAGTAACCCATGTAATATGTATGGTAAATGCATCCCGTTGAATGATGGAAAAGAGTACAGATGTGAGGTAAGTGTGTTCGCGGCACTGACCTCAAAATCACGCAACTGAAGTCGTTGAAACACCAGATTCTTATATTGTAGTGCCGTATTGGTTTTGCTGGAAATGGCGCGAGTTGTGGCTATGATAGGGACTCCGATGGATATCCTGATAAAGCCCTCGACTGTAAGGATAAGAACTGTTTAAAGGTAGGAAATTCTTCTCTATGAAGATGGTAATGACCCAGACTCTCGCATACAGCAAAGATGATGCATATACGAAGTACATTTATTCCGTTTTCATTGAAGGATAACTGTCCTTACAAATCAAATCCGGACCAGAAAGATCAAGATGACGACGGCGTTGGAGATGTCTGCGATAGGGATGTTGACAATGACAGAATAGAGAATGAGAAGGTAACTGTTACAGTACATAATATGAAGTACCTATCGGAGTTCTGCTCCTCATTTTATCCAAACGGATCTTTGGATCTAGAAAGGGTAGTTAACTGATTCTTGTTGTCCTAATCACAGGATAACTGTCCATGGAAGTCGAACAAAGACCAGCGCGACTACGACAGTGATGGTATTGGTAACCTGTGTGATAATTGTCCTGCTGTAAAGAACCCAACTCAAGAGGATTTTGATGAAGATGGCGAAGGGGATGAATGTGATGAGGACAGCGATGGTGATGGTATGAATAAAAGCTTCTTTAGTTTGTTTTTTAAACCTACTCTGAAGATGTGTCTTTTACGGCTCTTTTACGTACGTTTTGCTGGCTCTAAGTTTCCTGGTAGTTCAACATCATAACTCTGTGTCTCTAGGGCACAATAACGACAACGATAACTGTCCTCTGCTCTCCAACGCCGATCAAAAGGACACGGATAACGACGGCAAAGGAGACGTGTGCGATAATTGTCCATTCGCAAGCAATCCTCGCCAAGTATGATACTGAAATTATTCGTAGTCAAATTCACCATGATTACGAGCTTTAGTTAATAGCTATATTACTATTTATCTTTCCCAGACTGATAGAGACAGTGATTTGCTTGGTGATGTTTGTGATACCAATGTTGACGGAGATCTTGATGGTATTGAAGACACAGTTGATAACTGTCCTCTTGTTAGTAATCCTGAGCAAAGAGATGCCGATGATGATGGAGTGGGTATGTTTATATGTAACTAAATAACTCCCCAATCTTCTAAAGTAGGAATTCTAAACTAAGCTAACTTTATAGATATTGGATAGCTTTCAGACAGGTCTGAACTGTTCGTCTTAGAGGTCCAGTAAGGATCATCTCTTATTGATCCAGTGTTACTACAGAAGGAAACCTAAACTAAACTAACTTTATTGACTTTATTTATACTGGATAGCTCTATCGGTTCTAAACTGTTCTTCCTAGAGGTCCAGTAAGGATCATCTCTTATTGATCCAGTGTTACTACAGGAGGAAACCTAAACTAAACTAACTTTATTTATACTGGATAGCTCTATCAGTTCCAAAGTGAAGTTTGATTGTCTTGTTTTACAGGCGACATCTGCGATGAAGACGATGATAATGATGCAATTTATGATAGTTTAGATAACTGTCCGTTGGTAGCAAACAAAGACCAGAATGATACTGATGGTAAGATTAATTTTAGATGACATACAAAAAGCAAGAACGTGTTTATCAAAGTTTTGAAGCATTGATGTGCTGAGAACATTAAATAAATATTCTTCTTCTTCAGACTCTGGTATAGGGGACGTCTGTAAAGGAGACTGGGACGGAGATGGAGTCCCGGATACATATGACGCAAGCAAATACAACAACAAGATAACATTCACCGACTTCAGAAATTTACAGAATGCAGATCTTGCTGCAAGCGAAAAAGTTCAGGGTGTTCCTGTATGGGTTGTTAGAAAAAAGGTAATTCTTAACTCTTAATCAACATGGCCGGGATGATCCTTTACTAATCCATTCCAGGTAATTCTTCTTCAATGTGAATGTTTCACTATACTTCAGGGCACTGAGGTAAAACAGACTGCAAATAGTGATCCTGAAGTTGCCGTAGGTATGAAATGTAATATTTCCTCGTATAAGGTCATTTAAGAAGTTTAAGACTGGTTTGATTGACCTTCACCTGGATAAAGTTTTAGATTCGAGTTGAAATTCGACTTGGAATTGATCAGTGACTCAGAGTTCTCAAGTATTTCTCTGTTTTCAGGAAAACACAGATTTGCCGGAGTAGATTTCAATGGCACAATGTACGTAGAAGCAAAACACGACGACGATTTTATTGGTTTTGTCTTCAGTTATCAAGATAGTTCCTCATTCTATGCTGTGACTTGGAAGAAAACTGAACAGGTCTACTGGATAGAAGATCCCTTCAGAGCTGTTGGCATTTCTGGACTTCAACTGAAGGTAACAAGGAAGCAGGAAAGTTCTGATTTAAAAGTCACGAATGTCGAATCTGAAATTGTGTTGTTTTAGAAAGTAAAATCAATTACGGGTCCAGGAATCCGTTTGCGGAACGCTCTCTGGCACGGGGGAAGCACGGAAAACGAGGTAAATCTTCATTCTTAGAACCAACGAGTTTTTTAAAGAACAGTGTAATGAGATGAGATGAGCGACTAAAAAGATTTCGTTGTGATCAGGTTGAGTTGTTGTGGTCGGACATTAAACAAGTTGGATGGGAGTCAAATGTTAAATATCATTGGCGTTTAATCCACCGACCTCAGCAAGGAGTAATCAGGTCTGTAAATTTGCGACGAAGTTATTGTGCTTTGCACTAAATAGAAGCTGGTGGTTGGGACAAATAGTACCATTGAAACTTTTCCCCTTTGCAGATTAAAAGTCTTCAAAGGCAGAAGAGAGTTTGTAGACACCGGTTATATTCACGATAACACGCTGGCTGGCGGAAGAATGGGCTTGTACGTGTTTTCTCAAGCTGGTGTCGTGTGGTCTGATTTATCTTATCGAGCGAATGGTAAGCATTTTCTCTGTCAATTTTGTATTCAACTGTCGTTCTTGTGAAGGGGTATCTCGGAATATGATTCAACCAGACATTGCTTGTTGTCTGAGTGTTTTTCTGTATGAAAACATTGGATTAATAAAAGATGATCGTCAGTCCTTGCTAGGAAGAACAGTTTAGAGTTATTCAGGACAAATAAGGTCGTAAAGTTTTATACAAAAATCCTGTTTATAGACGAACCTGAGGATGATGAGAACACGGACACCAATGACAGGTTGTATCAAGGTAGAGGAAAATGAACAAATCCAGAACTTCGGGCAGGAATGTTGAAAACATTGCAACTGGCCCGTGAAACTGACTGGACTTTTGGATTGGAATCAGTGTATTCTTGCATGATAGACGTAACCTTGCATACGAAAGAAGGACTCTTCTCATAACTTGACGACGAAACTATTCATCACCTGCACGTCATATACACATGTAGGGATTAAATGAGAATAAATATCATGTACATAACAGAATAATGAAAGGTTATTACATATCTTAAACCGAGTTAGTTTAAAAGTTCTCGAAGGTAGCGTTCCAGTTTTTTCAGTTCAGTGTTTCCATCCAAGATGGCAGACGAAACATCGATAATTCCGTTACGTTCGTTTGGAGAGGATGTATTTCGCGACGGTGTGCGCAATTTTGATCATACTTTAGAAATGAACTTCCAAGTTTGGCTAGTTTCTATTCTTTTTGTGATCGGAAGCGCTGATGATTGATTTTGTTTTAAGTTAAGCGTATTTCCAACACGTGTGTTGCTCACTTGCTGTCTGTTATCTTCGTTGCCTTTTATTTGCTGGACATTTGACATCTATACTAATACTGTCACATCTGAAGAACATAATGGAGGAGAGGAATACAGCAGGTACGATAGATATTGAGTAGTTTTGCAAAACAAAACACCATGAAACAGAAATACTAGTATAAAAAACCCTTGCTAATTGTGGTGTAAACTTGTTTAGGATTAGATGTGAATGCTCTTGTCAGAGAAAATCAAGTTTTGTCAGAGAATTTGTCCAAGTGTTTGGTGAGTTGTGGGTATTCATTGATTCATAAATGGGTGTTTAAAGAAGTTGCAAAACTTGGAGAGTTGGAGACGCTGTGTCAGAGGATTGTTGGTCATTCACAAGTGTCATGTTTCTGTTTTGTCATTTTCAGGAGGAAAAGAATTTTGTATGGTCTTTGTGGAAGAAATTACAGACAGAAAAACCTGATCTTTCATCTGTTGTGAGCCTTGTTATGGCAAGGTAATCATCCTTCAATATCATTGTACATGTCACAAATAATTGGGTAGGAGGGGGGAGATTATAAGTGGGTGGGGGGGAATAGGAGTGGGAAAGGAAAAGAATTGGGGGCAAAGTGTTGAATGAGGATGAGGCTAGGAAGATAAAAAAGTCTGGACATCAATTTTGGAGCTGATATTAAACACTATTTAGAGAAAAAGAGAAGACTGAAGTTAGAGATGAAAAAGTCCTTAAGATTCTTGAAACAAAAGATCTACAAATACAACAGTTGGAAAGAGTAAGCCAGCTTATTTTAGTTTATTTTACCATTCACCTCAATGATCTCATATATAATGAATGTTGTTCCCTGAAATATAGGATAAAATAGTACTTTTTGATGATCTGAAAGTTAAAGAAGATGATCTTCAAGGCTATAGTCTTAGGTAGGTACTTCCAGCTCTGAGAGACCTGGATGCATTAATGCCATTACTTAATCCAAGGTTGTTTAATGGGAACTGTTTCCACTTTAGGCTACATGATCTTCTTATTGACAAGGCTGAACTACAGGAAAACATGGAATCCATGAAAACTAAATATGAAGAGAATATAAGGTCACTGGTTGAGGAAAATGGCTATTTATCTGAAGTGGTTGGTTATATCTTGTGTATCAGATCTGGTGAAATTTTATGAAATATTATCTGATAATTCAACAATTTTCTAGGTCCGTGCAAGACAAATGGAACTAGAAAATGATAAAAATACTTACAAAACAAAAATTGATGATGTTGATAAGAAAGACAAGGTATTGTTGTTGATAAAGAGAGATAAAGGTATATTGTCAGCTTTGATAGCAGCTGTTTCCAAATGACTCAACTAACTGGAATGATTTACTCTTTTGTAGAACTTAATGATGTTGTCAAAGATTTGGAACGCAGACTGGATAAATTGAATGAAGAGAAAATTGTAAATGCAGATATGGCTGAAGAGAATGAAGATCTGAAAAACCAACTAAATGTGAGTAAAGAGGCTGTTGAACAGCTTGGACCTTATAACAAGGTGGACAACTATTTCTTTGCATTAATTTTATGTAATGACATTTAATTTAAGGTACTTTTAATTTAGGGTCTTCAAGAACAGTTGAAAAGCCTAAAACAAGAGGTTAGTTTTTGGTCCCTGTATATCCAGGAATGAACCTGAAGGTACCATAGTTGTCCTGATTGAGGTTACATACTGTAATGCAAAATTCATTCTTTATCAACCAGGTCAACAATGTTTACATGTTCTCCAAAAGGAGAGCCCAGGTAAGATCACATTCAAAGAAATAAGTTTCCAATGTCTCATGTTGCAGCACCAGGATGGAATGACGACGTTACGACTCAGAGAACAGCAGCTACAACAGCACTCCAGTTTGAATCAAGAGCATAAAGATCTCCTGGGTGAAAAAGATAATATGATACAGGCATTAAGGTAGACGTTTCTTTTCACTGAAGTTTCTAAATTTAACCAACATTTAATTAAATAAACTTTAACTCTTGTGCAGGCAAGAAATGAGTGAGTTGAAATTAGTTCATGAACAGTGTGGAATTTATGCAAAGGAGCAATCCACTTTGATACAAAATCTGCAATCCTTGCAGGATCAAACACAGACAGGTATAGATAACTGGTGTGAGAAGTTTTGAGTAAAAAGTATGTTGACTAAAAACAAAAACAAATAACATTGTCAATTTGATCTTTTTGTAGTAATCAAAGCGCAAGAAGAGAAATTCAAGTCTGAGGTTATTGACCTTAAAGAGGTAATAAACAGAATTCAAAATAATTCAATTGAAGTTTATTCACTCAACTCTGTTTGTTGTGAACTCATATTTAGCAACTAAAAGATTCAATCAAACTACGGGAATCTTTGCAAGCGGATATTGAGCAGTCAAAATTGCAGGTTTGTTATCCAAGTTAGATTACGAATCTTGTTGAAGGAACATAAATAAAAGGCGCTAAGCGATACAATGACCCAAACTGTAAGCTTAAATCAATATTTAACAGGAATGTGAAGAGTGTATCACTCTCAAAGACGAATTGCAGACAGTTAAAGATCACAATAACGTGTTGTTGGAAAAGACACAAGAAAAGAACCGGTACAGCATTTATAAATCATATTCACAAATTTCCATCGAATTGCATTTCGCTAATACGCCGATATAATGCAATCATTTGAATTTTCTATTGTTATTTCGTTTTTCAGACGTATCTCATCTCTTGAAAAGACTTTGGTTGCCAAAGATAATGAACAAACCGTAAGATATTGTAGTTCATATGTTCTTGCTCGCCGAATCTAATCTTCATCATTGAATTGTAAGTAATTCTTTTGTCCAGGGAAATTCTCCGTCAGGAACTCTGGAAAGAAAGATTCAGTCAGCGGAGCAGAAGATTTTTGATCTTCAAAAAGTTCTGGAGTTTAAGGTACAGGTTTAAGGAGCAAAACGAATTGCAACTCTATGAAATGGCACAAATAAAGCCATTGAATTATCATAAAACGTGTGTTGCAGCGGATTGTGTTATTAAGAACTTTTTTCTGCTTGTTTTTCCAGCAAAACGAACTGGATTCTCTCAACGCGGCTCATTCAAACCGTTTACTACGCTACAAGAATCTTCAGCATGAACATAAAATTGTTCTCAAGCAGTTGAAGACCTTCGAAATTTCCAGGTAAACAGTCGTCCATAATCACTCTTTCTGAGACGAATCGACTGCAGCTACTGTATTCTGAGGGAAATCTTGCCTTGAAGCTGGTGATTTCGTGTGTGTACTTTTCTCTCAACTTTTTCATTTTTTTAAGCGACAACGAAGCACAAAATCATGTCGAGGATACGTCGATTCCTCGAGCCTCGCCTCGTTCCTTGCAAAACGAAAACAGCGATTCGGTTTGGAATGAACTGCAGCATTTTAAGACCGAATACGAGACTCTTCGTAATGAACGGTTAGTTATCATCACACCATTTGTGATTTTCAAACGTTTATCAACTCTAGGTACCCCACTCATAGATGTGAAGGCTCGTGTCCTCGCATTGTAAACACTGTTGTTCATGTAAAAATAATTTTTTCAAAAATTTCAGCGACTCGATTATGGAAGAGATCGACTCTAGACGCGTTGAACATGCTAATGATGTCACAACGATCCAGGAACTGCGCATGTGCCTTGAAGACGAGAAACGAGGTATAACCCGGTACTTTTTGGGATAGGGTTAGGATATTATAAGTACATGTAGCTGCTTCCTGACAACTTGCCGTGTTCGGTATATTGTTCAATCTAAATATGTTATTATCTACAAGGACTAGTGGAGCAGATCAGAGCGAATAATGTTCATGAAACTGAGGAATTAAAGAAAACAAGTGAACAATTGAAGAATGACAAGAATGAACTCAAGTTTCAGGTTAGATTCGGTTTATTTGTGAACTTCTGAATCTTTGGTGTCTGCAGATCACTCCAGCGTCTTCCTCTGACCTTGTTTTTGTTTAAGATTGAGAGTTTGAGGAAGAATTGGAGTGGCGCTAATGATGACAATGAATCGCTGACGAAAAGACTTGGGTATTGAAACTTTTTGATCATATTGCAGTAAAAGTAAAATATAATGAATTCGCAAAAATGTTTTGGGTCTTACCTGAGCTGGGGTTTGTTTGATAGATTACTCACCCGAGAGATCACAGGTTCAGGGTGTTTATTTTAACCTTGATGCCTTTTTCCTTCAGAGAACAAGAGCTGTTAGTGGAGCGATTAGCTGGGGAAATAGCGAAATACAAGAAGGAATTGAAAATTATGAAAAGTGAAAGAAAGAAAAGAAAGGAAAACGACGAAAGAAAGGTTTTGCTACAGGAAAAAACAACTTCAGCGGTTGGACGAAAGAAATCAATACAATTTGAAAAACAGGTAAGCAAGATCTTCGAGTTTTATTTCAATGCTCTTCCTTCGTGGATAATAACACAAGCCCGTGATATTCATTGTTATGATTCCTTTACCAGACACAAACTGATTCTTCATTCAAACATCAACAACACAAAACTACGAAAAAACTAATTCAAGACAACTCTTCTTTTCAACACAACCATCGCGATGCTCAAACATCGCCTATCAGAACATTTGCCGAGTTGAGTAATTCTGTCGAGCCTACGTCACATGGCGATCCTACGACGAGAGTTAGCGACCTCTCGGCGACTCATGACGAGAGTATTACCAAGGATGGCGACGAGATGCTGGATCCTCGTGACCAAAGTGCCCGATCGGCATTTGAAACGCCGGCAAAGAGATCTCGCATGAGGACGAAAAGTCCGGCACACAGAGAGTCTAAAAGTATGCGACAGAGAGTTTTGAGCCTCACGCAACAAGTGGCTGCATTAAAATCGGCAAAAGATTCTCTTGCAAAATCCCTGACTGAACAAAAGTTTTCAAATGAAAAGCTACAGCATGATTTGAACTTATCTCAACAAAGAGCAAAAGTTTCCAGACAGACAGTGGAGGTATAAAATGTTTCCCGCTTGCGATAGCAGACCAGACGAAGTTCTTGTAATTTCAATGATGTTTCTTGCTTTCTGACAGCGTTTGAGCAAAGAGTTGGATGACAGTCATCGCCAGAATCAAACGTTGCTGAAGGCTTCTAAAGATTATAAAATACCATCTTATCCAACTGAGAAACATCTTGAGGATAGACTGAAGGTTTGTTTCTCACGTTGTTGTTGTGGACGGCGCTTTATACTAGAAACCACAAATTAAGATTTCGCCCACCACGAATGAGATAAGCTTCTTTCAGAACCTCTGATACAGTCTATGGTGGTACATAATTGCATTTTTTGCTGTTTTGCAGCTGTCTGCCAACGAGTGTTCTCGCCTGTCCCACGAGCTCAAGTCAGCGAGAAAAACGAACGAGGAACTACAAGAAAAATTGAAGTCGCTTCAAGAAAAGTACTGTGAATATGATACAGAACTTTATGAGCAAAGATTTTACTTCATGTACACGTCGTTACATACGCTTGCCTTTCCTTTGCTCTGTTAAGCTTTGCTCTGTTAAGCTTCTTCATTTTAATCCATTATACAATACATGCAGTATGTAAATAGCGCTGAAATAAGTTCATATTGTTTACCTCCTCGTAGGAATTCCAGAAACGAGCATATTTTGAACCAGAAGAAAGTGTTTGTCGATGAAATGCGATCAAGATTGAAAGCAACTCTCTCGAATCTTGAGACAACTCAGGAAGGTTTGGTAAGAAAAATACATAGAAATTCTGGTTGTCAACTTTCAACTTAAATGTCAACAAAGTGTCTCAAACATTTTTGTAGCAAAAGGCGGAGGAAAGGAATCGTCAAATGACCGAGAATGAAAATCAACGAAAAAATCAGGTGATGAAGTTTGTCATTAAATCTTTTTACTCTGATGTAGTTCTGACTGAGGTGTTATTACGATTCCTCTGCTAGATGGATTTCTTGAAAAGTCGCCTGGAAACTGAAATAAAGGAAAAGAAAGAGATCGACAAACTTTATTCACAAAGTCAAGAGGAAATCAAGAGAAAGGCGAAGCTGCTGACGCGGGCTCAGGCATTACGTCACGAGGCAGAAATGGCGGTAAATGAAATGGAGGAGGCGGCAAAGACACAGTTACATAATCTGGCCAATCAGAGTCAAGTTACACTTGGTGCTATTGAGCAGCGCCTCAATGAATCAAGGCGAAAACTTGGTGAATTTCAAATCTTTGTTAGGGTACGTTTGGTCAGCTCTTTGATGGGGTTCTATAACGGCACGTATACCAGTGATTATAAAGAAAGAAAAACAACAAATATTCTTATAGCTTCTGTTTATTCATCTTTAGACGTTAACACACAAACTTACTGACCGAGTAAAAAACAAGAGATCGGAAATAAAGCAGATAAACTTTCAGAAATTCGAAGACGAGAAACAAACAGCGTCTATGGTTCAAGCATGCGAGCTTGCCAGTTCGATTCTTAACATGTCTAAATTAGATATCAATGAGTTTCTTGATGTCAGTGTACATGAGGTACTTGTCTTGTTTTGTATTTGCAAATATGTACAGTTTTGAATTAAAAAAAAACTATTGAGGTTGGCATTCAACTGCTTGTCTTTATTTTAGAATGAAGACAGTCTAGTGCAGGATCAAATACACGAATGGAGAACACACGTTGAAGAAATACTTTCAAATGAGGTGAGTTATAGCCATCATCGTTATTTTAAGTTAATGCATGCAATGGTCACTACAATAATTGACCACACAAGAAGAAAGCTCTTTCTCTCTGCATGCACTACCATGGCCCTGAATCAAGTCAATCTACCTCTTATAGCTGGACGAAATTTTGTTTATAAGAATATGATAAACACCTCTCTCCATTTCATTTAGGGATCCTTTGCGACATCTTTGGCACAGTTTTTCATAGAAATTGTTGAAAATCTTGTCGTGTTAGAGAAAAGAATTGATGGTGGGCAGATTTAAACATTCATTGTAGGTGTAATATATTGTAGATATTTGTATATACGAAGTCGAGGTTGCACAGCTATAGTTTATAGTGCACTGACCTTATAGGAACAAGTGGGAGTATTTGATATACAATCGCATACGCGCATGGGACTTCACATTCCAGGGCAGGTTTTTTAACGTATGTTTACTCTTTTTTAATGCCGGCAAATATTCAAACAATGCGAGATCTATATCGTGTTTTTTTCATCCATCAAAATTATCACCTTTAGTGATGCAGCAGATTATGAGAAATGAGAAATATTATACACAAATTCAGCACTTAACTTTAAGTTTATCCCTCCAAAAATAACAACATTGCATGTAATCGTTTTATGGAAATATGCAAATGATGCCAACATCTTGACGGGTTGACCTTTGCCAGATTATCATGATATATCACTGACGATGTGCATATAAAATATAGTATTACATTCGACGACAGTCAAAACAAATTTCGCCATCATAAAATCGTCGCAATGTCGTGGATTGCCTTCGATTACGTGAAATATCCACCACGCAATTTAAACCTTGGCCATCAAAGGCTATCTCAAGAGGAAATTGATGAAGTTGTGAACAGGTTAAGCGCTGTTAAAGAGAGGACGAGAGTTGGTGATGAACGAACTCGGCAATCGTCCAGTTCTACAAAGCAACGTAGATCTGATATCAACGAGCCTTGGTCGAGGAAATCAGAAAAACTAGAGCAAGACGATATTGATTCACTTGTTGATCGCTTGTCGAAGGAGACGATGAAGAGAAGTGATGAAGTTAAGAATGAAAAAACGATCGTAACTTCGTATGCTTGGTGTGATGGCAGACTACTTCATTTTAATCCAAAACCTTTGGATGGCACATGGCATTAACCACGATTTGGTGGCGTTTAGTATAACTGTGATGGTAGATTTTGATTGGAGATTTAGAACTCGTATGTGTTGAACTCTCAAGCCACAGTGGGTGCTACTCCCGCTTACATGCAAACACAACTCAGAAAAACGTCGATAATATATTTTAAGATACAACTCAATTCTGTACAAATATATTACTATGAGATCTGATCAAGCTCTGTTTTTACAAGAATAACAATATATTTATCTATGTTTTTCAATGTTCCTCAATTTTTCTTCGTATTTCTTGGATTTCTTTCTCTTTTTGTGACGTCTCCTCGTTCCATTGTTTATTTCTTGCGATCGTCTCCTGTAACTGTTTTCTCGTCCACATCAATTGAGCCTGATTCTTCTTCTGCAACGAAAATCAACCTTTTTCTGAGCTAACACAGTTTTCATACTTGACTACTGTGATATTCAAAGCAATACCTGCAATTGTTCGACATCTTTCCTTAATTTTCCCTGTCTTTCCTTCTCATCTGAGATCTTCAGCAAGAGACACATAACGCTATTAATTAGCCAAATCTCATCAGCAAAAATCATTTCAACAAACCTACCTGAAATCTTCCTTTCAAATAATCTTTCATTTCACTTATTGATTCATCCAGTGTGAATATCTCTGCCATCAAAATCTCCTTCGTTTCCCCAGACAAAAATCGTGGAATATCATTGGATTCATGTAGATGTTTTCCTTCAAAAACATATATGAAAGACTTGAAAGAGATATAATATATCTAGCCACGATATTACTCGAAGTTTAGAGCTCTCGTTTAATACCTACTTTCTATATTTAACATCTCATAATGTTTCATCGTGTTTGTTATGTTGACATTCAAAGCCTCGGTGCTCTCAGCCAACTCAGAGAGATGCTTAAATCTCGACATTTTCTCTTCATATATTGCATAGTTACTACATAAAAGTAGGAAGACAGATTATGCTGTGAAAATTGATAATTATTTTACTTAAATGTTACTAGTGAATTGTCGCAGTTTTCTGCAACAATTTTCGACCGTTAAAAAGAAAGACAGACCATTTTTCTTTTCCTGAATCGCTCTCTTCGCGGGAGATTTCTCCTTTTAGCTTTTCTGTTCTGCAAACTAAAGTGTTGATGTCTCTTTGTAAGCCTTCGCAATTTCTCTGGCAGGCATCGATATCATCTTGAAGTAAGTTTGACTTTCGTAGAACTGTTTGTACGTGTTTTTCTGCTGCAGCTCTCCAACGTAAAACTATAACATAGTTTCTCGAGTTATTTTCATTTGTTGTATTTTTCGTTACAAAAAACATTTTTCTTCTACATACCTTCGCGATGTTCAGCCTATATGAATAAAAAACAAACGTAACATGGTATTTTTATTTGCTTTTTTTAGAAAACCTGGCAATATATTTCCAATCACCTGAAGTTTTTCTAAAAACTCAATTCTTTTTTCGAGTCTCAAAACTTGACTTTTCTGTGCGACAGCGACCTCGCCAGCAAGCGCAGGCAGACTTGAAGTGTTTTGAACCAATTCTGCACGTTGTGGTGTCGTTGTGCTTTCAATCTGGATAACCCTGGTTGGTTTTGGAGGACTAGATAGGTTAAAAATGCCTTCACCCAAAACTATCGCCTCGCTGTCCGCCATCTTGCTTTTTTTACCAGTCCATTTATAATGATTTATTGGAGTTATTTTATTTCAGCCAATCAAATGCTAGAACTGGCTCTGTTAGCCAATCAAATTGATCTATTTAAAAAACTCTGGCAAAAATATATTTTTTCTATTCATACAAATTCTTAGCAATATCAACATAATTTCTGCAAATATTCATTCTACATTTCGCAAAACAGCGTTTATTTCATCCACGTAATTCCACTTTTGATTGTGAGCTGCCCACATCTAAACCCGTCATGTTTACACACAGCTGTTGTCGTTCGTGTGTCGTTCTGGATCTAGTCCTAATCCTTCGTTCTTTTGGTTGTAGTTTTTGAAGCAATTGCTTTGTTTTTTCAAGTTCTTGTCTCAATTCTTGGTTCTCAACGTGCAGTGTTGTGACCTGCTGGGATAGTTGAATAACTAGTTGATTACGTGGAGTGCATGGGTTATCCTCATCGCTATCATTTGGTCTTGTTTCGCCACTATTTTCGTCCGAGTTTCCTCCTGCCTGAAGCCGTAAACGATCTGAAAAAATATTTACAAGACCAGTGAATACATAGAGTCCAACTGGTTATTTCTGCGCGATTGTACCAACGTGTTTTATTGCATTTAGACTCTGTTGATTGACGGTAATTCTCGCAAGTACTATGCAGTTATCTGATTGTAATTTCACCTCAGAAGTAACACCAGAGGCAAATTCTATTGCATAATTTCAAAAGGTACCTTCTAAGGCTTCGTTCGTTTCCATCAACTTCCTGTTTTCGTCTTTTAATGCGAACACTTTTAATGCATAATCTTGCTTGGATTTTGCGTGGGTTTCTTGAAGCCTGCGTATTTTCTTCTGTAACTGTCGTATCTTAACAGTAAGTCAAATAAATTATCCACGATCCTTGTGACTTTCTCAGGTTGATGTTGAAAACGTTCATGAAACTGACGGGCACAATTCACTTACTTTCATTCTTGACTCTTCGCCAACACGATTCAGTTCTTCCTCTACGCTTGCCATATGCTGGAAACATTTTTAAAATTTAATCAACGTTACGTGTAAATGGTACTGTATAAAAAGCAACTTTCCTGCAAATAATATACCTGCGTTTTTGCCTTGTGTGATTCACTGCGTTGCTCTGTTTCCAGATCGTTATTTCGAAGTTTAAGAACTTCATTCTCTGTTGCAAGTGACAAGATTTCTGCTTCTTTTTCATTACACTAAAACAACAGGCATTTTATATATAAAAAATATTAGGATATCCATATACAGAATATGTTTTGAGCTTACCATTCTCTCGAAGTATTCAGCGCTGTCATTTATTGAAATCCTAGCGTTCTCCAGTCTCTCATTTTCTGCCTTTGATCTTTGAAGTTCTTTTTCTGCTTTCTAATGAAAATATTAATTAAGAATTGTTAGGAAAGGTTTAAGTATAGAACATTGAAAATATTGTTTAAAAATATAGCAAATATATGAAACCTTCAAGCATTCTTTCAAATAATCGATATTATCACATTGTAGGGTTGGTTCAGGTTGGTGAAGGTTCAATTGACACATATCACCATCGTTCAGCACTCTAGAAATAAACTCACAATTATTTAATAATGTGATGAATCGAACAATACAAAACTATTCATAATTTTCAATTTATACCGTTTGCTTTCAGTGTTTGCGGCCGATGTAATATGTACTTCTTTAACCAGACTCTTCCTGGAACCTCTACGCAAAAAATTCATCCTTCAAATGCACATTTTACAGCAAAAAAAGACAATTATTTACATCTTCGATTTTCGAAGGTTTTGACGGCCATATTGTTTACCTGGCGTTTCTATGGAAACCATACGTCAGTGGTCTTGAAATATTGATTACTTCATGTAGCGATTGTGTAGTGTGTACATTGAAATGACTTAATTCAACATGGTGGTCTTGTCAGAAGTTTCCAAATTTATTGCATGGAGAAAATAACGAGAAATATGACAGATGAAAAACCTTGTGTCGAGATCAAAGAAGATTTCCTCCATGCAAAGCATGTGAAGTTCTTTATAAGATGTTTAAATGTGCTTCCATCTTCATATTCCTCACTGGATACAACGAGGTGAAATTTAAAATTTATGTATTAAATCATTTAAATGAACATTTTTTCACTTTGATAGTAAAATGTTCGGGTTTATCTGGATACACGATCGAGTAGATCAACCATACACTAGTTTTTCCAACCCATTAACTGGTAGAACGCTCTCAATGTTCATCTAGATTGACCATTGCTTTCTTTGCAATTTCTGGCCTGGACATTTTGAATGCATTGGATGTAATTGCGGATGATAAATCAAATTACATTGACTGGATATATTCTCTTCAAATTCTCTCGGGAAAAGGTTAGTATGAATCGGAATAACTCTATTACATTACTCCAGTTATTGCAATTACCTTGTCTTTTTGAGACCTTATCTCACCCAGGAGGAAATGTGAACAATTGTGGATTTAAAGGGTCGTCAACACTACATCTAAAGGTATGTATTCATAGTTCATTGTTGTTTAAACTCGAATGTCTAAACTGGTTAAAAATTGGATATTTTTCATCGCTCTAGGGATACGAAGACTTTGAGAGTCCATTTGATAGTGGTCATATAGCTATGACTTATGTTGCTCTAGCGAGCCTGCTAATATTAGGAGATGATTTGTCAAGAGTTGATAAGAAATCTGTTGTTGAAAGTCTGAAACATTTGCAACTTAATGACGGCAGGTATTACTAGCAAATACATACTTAAAGTGGATTATAACTAAATATAAATCCTCTTTTCGGGTACTTTATGTTGAAGATGATTTGACTGCTGTTAAAGTGGTTAAAAATAATCAAATTGTTTGCTTTTAGTTTCTGTGCAACAGCAGACGGTAGTGAAAATGACATGAGGTTCATTTTCTGTGCATGCAGCATCAGTTACATGTTGAATGATTGGAGTGGAGTTGATGCTGATGGAGCTGTGAAATACATTCAGGATAGTTTGGTAAGAATATCTTCACATTGGGAATTCCTTGTAAAGAATTATCTCCTAGATACAGACTGTTCAACTCCATATCATTCACCATTAAGATGCTACATTTTTGTTGGTTGAAATAATGGTCTTCAAAATAATTTTCAGGCATACGAACATGGATTTGCGCAAGGTCCTTTTTTGGAGGCTGTTGGTAGGTATTCCACTGATTCACCTGTTTATGATTACCACAAATGTATATCTAACCTCTTTGATATTCAATACATTAGGTGGTTCTTCATATTGTGCTTTGGCTGCATTAGTTTTGATGGGTCGTCTAGAAACAGCTTTCTCTCCTGACCAGTTGGATAAGATTAAAAAATGGTGCATATTTCGACAAAAATCAGGCTTCCACGGTCGTCCTAATAAACCTGTAGATACTTGCTACTCCTTCTGGGTCGGTGCTTCTTTGAAGGTAAGCTGCTTTTTACAGTAATATCACTACTGGTGAACTGCACTTAATTATTATATCTAATATTTCATGTCAACAACCCAGCTTTTAGGCTGTTATAATTTCGTGAACAGCAAGAGCAATCGAGAGTTTTTAATGTCAACTCAGGCCCAAGCTGTGGGGGGATTTAGTAAATGGCCTGATGGTCACCCAGGTATGTTTACTTGAGTTTACTTCACAGGCTTCAGACGACTGAAACCACTGTTCAAGAAGTATTTTCTTGTTTTTTTGTCCAGCAAGGTCTTCAGGTTTGCTTTTTTGTTTTCAGATGCACTTCACTCGTACTTTGGGGCATGTGGTTTAGCATTGATGGATGAACCAGGTTTACAAGCGGTGTATGCCCCCCTTAACATCAGTCAACGAGCAGCCAATCATTTACATCGATTACATATGACGTCATTAACTTAAGATCAAATTATGACACTCTAACTACAACGCGATTCTGCGGGGTTTGCTGGAAGAAAAGCATGAAAAATATCGCCTTTAGTGTCTAACCTTTCAGTTTTATTTATTTCACGCCAACACGATATTTACCATGAAAAGATTTCGATTTTTCAAACAAATTTAAAGGTGCATTCGAGCAAGTGCTATTATTTTGCAATCAAATACACACGCTGAAAAATAGCTACGGCCAATGCTGTCGTTCAGCTTCTGTAATTTACTTTTATTCAAATTAATTCCACGTATAACTTTGCATCCAGCGAGTAAATGCAAGCTGTTAATCATCATCAAACAACAAGCAATAAACCTGCTAGTTTTAGCGAGAAAGAGAGACAAGGTATACATACAGTGAATCTATTGTAAAATCAAATGGTTATACTATCGATTACATCATTGTAATGTTGATAAATAAATAGAATTTTAAACCAATCATAAAATTAAATTTTTCTCAATCAATTTTTGAACTGTCTTGTGTGTTTCAAAGTCATCAGTTTGCATAGATGATAATCAATTTTTTTGATATATATTACATCAATCTTGTTAAGCGAATACTAATCAAATTGTTCAAGTTGATCTCTATAATTCAGAACTGGATATAACTTCTTTTGAACGTATCTTCTTCTGAGGAATATTTTTTCTTTGATACCAGTTGCTAACTCATCGCAATTACTAGAGTCCTTTACAACACAATCGATGTATTTATGGATATGTATCTTAAGGTATTCCATCGGACTCGTTCCTTGACTTAACACCTGTGTTGAGAAATAGGATGGACGTTTGTCTAGAAAACCTGGACTTGAAGGTTTTCAGGAAGCGGCTCATTCACGAAGGAACTTCAGTTCAAACATGGTGAATGATTTAGGTTCAATGGCTCATCAGGAACTACAATGAACGAGCGTGACTGAACAGGTCTTGAAACATTGAATTAGCTTACCTGAAAGTGAAAGTCTTTTTCACTAAACGTTTTCCCTGCTTCTTCCAATTTTTGTTTTGTGAGATTGCGTAAGTTCATTATCTCCAACTGTCCAATCATATATGTAACTGCCTGGCCAGGGTTACTCTGATACCTCGTCACGTCTTTGGTTGCTTTATCCGATCTGTCCCACGCAAATTCAGCGAAGTATTTAAGAGCTTTCTGCCTTTTCATTCCTTTGAAACATGAAAATATACAGATGGAAACTCATTCATTCATCTCAGTCAAAAAAATTATAACCAGTTTTACCTGTGTAATGCAAGCCCGTATCTACAATCAACCTAATGGCTCTCCATATCTGCCACTTTAACATGCCGTATTTTTGTAGTGCATTATTTTCGTAGGTGTCTGTTTCCAAAGCAAGCAGAGGATATTCTGCGTACAGAGCCCATCCTTCAGAAAACGATGGGTAGTGCACAGCAGAGTTAAGCCAGGATATTACATCTTGACAATCATCATTAAAATTCTCTGCATTTCCTTGAAGCTGGAACAAATGTAATGGCGTGATTCGGATATTCTGATATGCATCTATATAAACTTCTGATGCATCTATAAAAACTCCTTACAGCAGACTAAGAGTAGTTGTGTCAGAGTTATAGCAAAATATAATTCTAGATGTGAATTTTTTGTTGCAGAAATGCTGAGGCAGGGGCTTCGCGAGTTTGAAATACCTCCGTTTCCAAAGCAGATTTCCACCGGAGGAAATCATCCTTAGAACCGGGCAAAAGCTTTCCTCTCCAATCAGATCCTAACAGTCATTTTGTTGAATGGAAATCAGTGATGTTGTTAGCGTGAAAATGATTGTATTTTGTACCTGTGTGTGGTGCCCAGGCCTTCCTTCATGACCAGCCACAGAGAACGCGTTGTATTTCGGTCCCAGGTTATCCATGAAGAATGGTAATCTATACCGACATGGGTACTCGCAGGAATGCCCAGCAAGCACAAAACTATGCGATGCTATCTTCGGGTTGAAATTTGGCACAACCTTTAGAGGGCAATTCGGGGTTGTTCGTTTCTCGTCAGTAAAGTGGAACATATCGATCGTCTTTGGTTCCAGAAAACTCAAGATTTCTACAGTAAGGATTAATATAACCTTTGCTTAGTAACGACTACAGAAGAGTAATATCATTAACTCTAAAATATAGTTTCTTTTACCTCTTACAAATGCTGACCATTTTTTGAAAGCCTCGTATCGCTGCGGACAGTAGATTTTGGCTTTTTTCAAGCTCGTACATTTTGAGAATGCGAATTCATTTGATTCGTTGTTGGGAAAACGTGCGTCGTTGAAAAAACTTGATCTATCATCTAAAATATTCTTGAAATTTTTCATGGCTTCCTGGTCAAATCTGCCTGTCATGTTCTCAGCCAGCTTTACAGCTTCACGATAAAGTATTTTCAATTTCTGTTTACCCAGTTCATGGATTTGTTCAGGAGTGATATCTTCAGACGTGGTGAAATAATACAACGTACTTTCGTATGATTTCTTCCCATCTAGCTTTTCACTAAATGGTAGTTTTTGCAAGGTTTTGTTTGATGTCTTGCTACCGTTGATGTAAATATATTTCAAAGGCAAGTTAGCCAGACCGCTCGATACGCTGCTATTCACACAATATACTCGATATTCGTGTTTTAAAAAATGGAACAGCTCAACCAAAGGTCTCCCAAAGTACTCGACTAATGTAGCGTTTACAGTATCTTCTATTTCTTCACCAAAGTTTTTAAACCACTTTTGTCTGTCGTCTTGATTTAGAGATTTATAATATGTCGCCCTACGAAGATCTTTGGTAAACTTTTCTTGCAGTATTCCTAAAAGACATTGTCAAGTTTTGTGAGCAATTGGTATGAATACGACTATCAATCGCACGAATAATTTGGCTCTGTTTTTACCACAGCTATTGAGTTCAAATAAATGACGCCTAATGAAAATTTTCGTCTGTAAAACACGGGAAAAATGAAGGTTCTTCGAGTGTTTAGAACTGATGGAACCTATCGTGCATTCTTTCTTTTTTGACACTCTATTCTCTATACTTGTTTGTGTATTCAATATGGAAATACTAACCTCTCTTGCCCAAAGTTGAAACTTTTTGGAACTTATTGAGCAAGGAATAGTATCCAACATCACACTGCTCCACTGACCGTAGCATTCCTGCTGCTATTCCGTATTTCATGTTGGATATATATTGTTCAATCAAAGGTTTGTGAGCACGCAGTTGCTCTATAATGTAAACGAGGTCCTCGTATCTGCTCGGCTGCCATGACCAAGCCTTTGTATTAAAATGGTAATACAAATCATCCCCAATCTTGCAAATGGATTCAGTACAGAAACGACTTGGACCCATCATCCAATCACCTTTAAAAAAACGCCCGAAATTACACCAACTATATATTAATCTGAATGTGAAGAAAATACCTCGAACACGTACTGAGGGACGAATATTTTGCACTTTTTGTAAGAGTATAATAAGTGGGGTTATCTTTTTAAACTTAGTTATGACAAGTCTCGTTTCTCAATGAAACCAAATACATGCTATCATCGAGACGGCCAGACTATTGCCAGGAGGTAGACTCATTTCAATACCTCAAAAGTATCTCCCGCCTTGTTAAATCTCGGGTTACTGGAATCATTCATGATGAAAACACCCTTCGGGGTTTTTAAGAATATGATCTCTCCAGCACTCACAGGGCTAGAAGATTAGTTCAATGAGCACGTCAAATCATCGTAAGAGCTCTCAGGAATAAACCAAACAAAACCCAAACAAAAGACCAGACAATGAAAACAAAGGACCAGTGTGATAAAGGAGTTTGTTTATTCGTTCAGCTAGTCTACAAACTCTTCTCGTACCTTGGGACCTTGTAAAACCTACCTAAAAATCTTAATTGTGCATGTAATAATATTTTATTTGTTCAACTATGTAAATTTATTCACTTCGTCTACTACCTTCGTCGACATAGCGAAGTTTATTGGCTCAAAAGTTTTGACTGGGATTTCTGGCTAAAACACCAGAATATAAAAGTAAAACTAAGCAAATAGATTTGTTCTGACTTCTGGATATGAAGTTAACCGTTGGTTCTTTAAATGTGAGGAAAATTAATCGCTCGGAAGATTCATCTTGAAATCACGTTCGACGGCGTGTTCCTCGGCGTGTTCAACAATAGAAAGGTTAGTAAAGTGTTTGTTTGCGTCAACTTGTCTTAACTTATGAACTACAAACGCGTAACGTTACATTGTGTTTTGAAATTCATTTTATTTCGAATATTTTGTTGGAATTTGGGGTTCAGATTGGGTGGTTTATTACGAGTTTTTCACAAATACTTCAACATAGTTCACACATCACCATATTTGCTGACATGAAATAATGGTCCTTGACGGTCCTATCGAATTATCATGTTTCGTTCGACATTGGCTGTCAATTCACTGAGTATCTTATTATAGATGATGTGTATAACGAAAATAACAATATGCTAAAAATATAGTTCATTCAGTGATGCATTCATAAAATATGAAGAAAAATTTAATGTATTCACCGGTCATATGTACCCTGCGGGCACGCGAGTCACAGGAAGACAATACAAGCTCGTAGAACCACGCCTTTGCAAAGCTGTCGCATACTTTTACCGGTTAATTAAGTCGGATTATAAGGCAGGGACATATAAAAAAGAGCTAAATGCAAGAGGCTTACTCCAAAACACATCACTCGAGACCAAAAAGGGTTGTTTTCCTTCTAAGACGTCAGCGTGAAGAGCATAGTTGACGTCTTTGAACATGTTAGCAAATCAACACTTTTTTTTCTTTTGATGCCCTTAAACCACAACATATCACAAGTGGTTGAATAATGAAACGTGAAAGATAAGCAAAGGTTTTAGTGGTGTTCGTATTTGTATTCTAGTGCTTGTATTTATCAAAACAAGTCTTGAATAGAATAGAACTTCTTCTTCTGCACAAACCATGTACTAAATCTCTCTCAGAACTTCTGCTAAGTCTTGTTGGTGAAACACTTATCAAACATTCCTCAGATGAACGAGATTCTTATCATTCTTTGGTTAATTTGTTGTCTACGTTTGTTGCTAATAATAAAAAATAATTTCTTCATCATTGGCTGCACGTGTGCTATGCCTCATGACCCTTCACTTAGTAAAGTGTTGAAAATTGTGATGCATTTTAGCAACAGTTGCAAATCTGAGTGTCATATGGTAGTGAACTTGAGAATCTTTGACAATCGATTTCAATCAAACTTTAATTAATGATATTGTCTTCACTTGATCCCATATCCGAATAGGTCAGACATCATCCAACAATGTACATCTTTATTTCAATGATTGCTATGGATATCTTCATATCTGACACACATAATGCATGTTTGTATGTACTGGTTGAGACTTGATATTATTATTTCACCTCGATCCTTTTTAATCGTCTACAAATTGTGCGAAAGCATTAGCATAATCTGCGTTGTCCTGGAGAATATCCGAACACCCGCTATGTTTTAAAATCAACTTTTATTTATTTTTGTTAATGATGTCCGGTTTATTGCAAATGATCTCCTGTGATCTTCACAAGACACTAATAAGTTATAGCTGGCAAAATAATTTCTTTGGCACACACAGGCAGGTTCTAGAATACTTGGTGGCCAAAGCTGTTTTAAGGCGCAGAAGAGAACCATTTTAATTTTTAAAATATCACAAAAGGTTTGCCATTTTGCTTCTTGTACATAGCAACTGAGTCATGGCGTAAACTTGTGTACCAAATTTAGATCCATCTAAATGATTTATTATATTTGGTTTTTGTCGAATGAACATGCTCGCCTCAAACGCCAGGGTAACTTGATACACATTGTTTTATCATGAGGAATTTGCACAGGCTAACTCTACAAAGATTTAGCTTTTTTTCCCGGCAAAAAAACACCAAGACGAGAAGATCGATAAGAGATATATAGAAGGTAATCACTAAGAATCTGGTGTGTCAGCCAAACTGACTATAGCGTGTTGAATGTCTACCTAAGAGAAACAAAAGAAAATTCCCTACATCTATAATTGATATTTATTAGTATTTTAGCAAGTTAAGCAATCTAATCCGGCTCTGTTTATACTTTGAGGATGGCCGCTGTCGTTATTAGGAATAAGCTTTTAAACTGTATTCTTATTCAACAACGATTGTTTATTTTGAATAAGCCTCGAGGAGAAAAACATGTTTAGATTCCGGATTGCTTGTGAGGAATGTCAAGTTTATTTTTTCACAATATTTCGGATAACAGCCCCTGATTACGTGGAATTCATTACTATGGTAATGTATCTGTAAACGAATTTTGTCGAAAGGAACTCTTCGAAATGCAGAAGATTTTACTTTAGAAATAAACTGAACTAAATAGGCAAGAAGCTTGCTTGTTTATTTTACTTAATCTTCTTAATGTATGCGAGGTCATGGAAAGCTGATTATTCTGACTAGTACATGATCGGTTTACCAAAATCCAAGGACAATCGATTAACATACGCCTGATGTTGCTCCAGTTGAACGCGAGAAAACGCGATGCGTGCGATAAATATGACCACGATTAATTCCAATTAAACGAAAGTGATAAATTTTCGAGGCCATTTATTTTTAGAACCTTTGATAATTACATTTTGGTGATTATGTAATTTAGAGATAAAAATGGATTACCACGAGAGGAAGACTTTTTAAATCTACGTATGAAGTCTAATTAACTCATGACCAAAATAAAAGACTTTTAAGATGTTTCAATGGTTGCAGTAATTCAAAAAGTTACACCGTTTGAAACTTTTGACTTGTTTTAGATGATCATTTCCATCTTTGTCAATCATCGTGGGGAGAGAATTGATTGGTCTTAGATCATCGAGACTCGAAAGCAACACATATTGTGTAAAGAACTAAATTGGTCCAGTAATTTCACATAATTTCTTTGCTAAACATAATTTCTTTTCTAATTTTTACAATTTCTCAAAGTATCAATCGATAAACGATATTATAAACTGTACTTACCAGCATAATAATTCTCTCCATATGGTTGACCAAAACCACTCTTCAAGAAGTGCAACAGTTGAATCAAGGATTTCAATTCTCGTGGTTTGAGGTTGGCTTCTTTGGTTTCATTTCGCAATTTCAAGACATCGTTGTACAGTTCTTTTGATCTATCGGTTCTGTACTTCAGAGCGGCTGGCGAACAATTGTACGGGCGAAAAGCCTTGAGATCATCGCCTTCAGCAAGCATGTGCCAAATCACCCTATTTGGATACAATGAATAATACTCGTCCATTACGTATTCCAGAGTTTCGTAGAGGTCAATGCGCAATGATTCGATACTCGCATCACATCGTCCACTCTGTGACTGAGGTATTTGTGGTCCTTCAGTTGCTGGATCAGTCCGAGGCTCAGTTGTGGTGCGACCATTTTCTACGTCGTCGTTTTCGCATTTCTTGAAGGAGATCGCTCCAGCAATGATGAGACCTGTTCCCAAAATACATAAACAAACTCCAAACGATATAAAAATGGCGATGTAACGTGTCGATTTCATCCTGTTTGATGTAGTCAGTGTTTCAACGTGTTTCAAGAGAATAACGAACGATGTATGGTGATGAGTCAAAATATACGAGGTTATCATTCAACGATACGTCATCTTAAGTTCTCATCCCTTTTTAATATGACTTAAGAATTTACTCATGCGATCAGATGTGTTGACATTCTCGTGTATGTCTCGGGATTATTGCTCGCAAATTATAAAGAAAAGTAATCATAAAGTTATGAGCACTTGTAAGGAAAGACGAGTATGGCAACCGTTGAGAATACGACTTAAACTCCGCAAGCCTGTTGAGAATAATCAGTAAGTTGAATGAAATACACTACTGTGTTTCTCAACTTTGTCTGACTAATTCTCACAATATAAGACCATGGCAAACAGAGTTTGAATTCGAGCCATCATTTTGCGGTTTGTCGATCAATATGGAGACTAACCTTCCGAACATCATTTCACACGCATGCGTAGATACAAACGAGGCGGCAAGCAAGCAGCCAATATATTATACATTCATCTTTTTTGAATAACTTCATACGTGTATTATACAGCGCGTGTATTTTTGGTATCTTTACTCAAGCTGGTTGAATTTACCAGAGATATACAACAATTAAGACTGATATAACAGTTTATTTCATGAAATTCAATTTCAATCTGCATTCAAAATATCGATTTTTATTATTCTTCTCTTGTTATTTTTCAACTTTACAGACGCGGTTTTTAATCTGCTTGAGTTCCATCATCGCGGTAGACTATCCATTATTTATACCTTACATTTAATTAAATAAAAATGAGTGAAAACATTTAAGAATTAAAACACTATAAATTATAATCAATGAACAACTGACGAAGTCCTTCAACCGCCTCAAGTAGGAACCTTACCATGCACTGCATATAGTGCAGCACCGACTTCTCTCAAACATCGATACCCTATTTTGGTATGTTTTACAAGCGCTATGACGCACAGATAATGCGTATAGCCTGGGAAAATTATCTTTAATTCAGTTCATATGGAGTAGTCACGTTCTCGCCTCCATTTTTTTTCGACGAAAGAGCTCATTTTTCTCCCGTCACGTCAAGAGGCGTATTTGTCTAGTCTTGAAGTAGGTCTTAAACTTGGCATCCCCGCAGGAAAACAATTAATATTCTGTGTCTGAAGTGGTTTCATTTGGTTAACCAGATCTCAATGCATCAACAATCGGCTTAAAGGCTGAATATATTTGCTTCTCTTTCAATATATAATGTGTATATGTGTTCCTAACATAATATATACTAATAATATCTTTCTACGTTGAACATTTGGTTCATATCAAATTCTGATCTACTAGAGTCATGACTTTTCTGCACCAGTTTTGATAGTGTGGTCTTTGAATACTGACAATCTTCGTTGTTTTTCTGACAATTGACGTATTTTTCAACTTGTCCCTTGATGTAGTGCAACGGAACTGAGCCGTGACGTAATAACTCGTAATGGAAGTCCCGTATGCTGAATTTCTCCGCCAGTTCATCGCGCATGTATTTTTGAAGATCTAGGATTGTCAGCTGACCAATCTTGTACGACGAAGCTTGACCTATACCGTAGTACATAAAAAATCTTTCTGATAAGCCAGTTTATATGAATGCTAGACAGCTGTATTCACTGTATACTATTCTTTAAACCAGATGAAACCAATTTTAGGGTGATTCAAAAAACACTATCCGGTTGACCCAACATATATTGATGACTGGAATAGCGTACCTGGAACGCTTTGGTAGCGGGTAACCTCTTTCTCCATGACGTCACTTGTGTCCCACATATATTTACGAAATAAGTCCAATGCTTCGTCTCGTTTCATTTTTTTATAATGAAATCCGGCATCGACAACCAAACGTAGTGCTCGCAATATCTAGTAAATGTACAATATGCTGCTGGTAAAACAAGTCTCAACATCGTCAACTCTCGTAAACTTGCAAAAATGGGAAAAGAATGAACGAATAGATTTAATCGTTGCATGGAGATAATGGCAACAAAGGATTGTCAGGTGAAGGTTGACACGTTTATATATGCATGATTTGAGAAGAGTTGACAGGCGAGAAATAGTCACGATTGTTTCAATATTATCAAACTTGAATATCGCATCGAATTTACATTAAGTTCCCATTCTCACATACTTGCCCCTTCAGCATCCCATATCGACTTAACGGTTGGTTTGTGTAGGCGTCAGTATATTCAGCAACTAACGGATATTCTGCGTATAGACCCCATCCTTCCGTGAATGCGCCGTACTTTGACAACATAATTTTATCCAGCCATCCCATCTCGTTCACCGGGCAACTGTTTTGAAAGTTTTCAAAATATCCTTGGCGCTAAAATTTATGTATTTGAAATATGTATTGTGCATATAACGTCTTGAAACAATTCAGATAATCAGGAAATAAACAATTAATAAAATGGGGAGAGTTCGTATCTGCAGAAGAGGGATTTGATGAAGAATTTCCGGATTGACTCAAAAAAGGTGTTTATCCTAAATAATAATGCAATTACTATTCAGGACGATTTTCCTGTCTTCGTTAAATGAAATCAATCCGAGATAATAAATAACATATGGCTTCCGTCTTTGGTGATCTCATGCGTCGTGTTGCGACTTCCGTTGTGGGAGGTAGTTCTGCCCACGATGGGGAATATCTCACCTGCGTGTGGTGTCCAGGTCTACCCTCATGAGCATTAATTGTCATTCCCAAATAGCGAGGACCGTAGTCGTCGTTGAAAAATGGCAGTTTTATGAACGCAGGTCCTGTGCATCCTGAGCTGTAGAAATAACTGGCTGCGGCAATCGAGGGATTGAAATTTGGGACTAATTGTATTGGACAGTTTGGAGTCGTGCGCTTCAAACCAGTGAAGTGAAAAAGATTGCACGTCTTTGGATCCAGTTGGCTTAGCAACTAAAAATTGAAAATTGAAAAGCTGATATTGAGTCGATAATGTTGGGCGTGTCGTCATGAGATTTCACTGCATATATAGTGCAAATTGAAGCAATATTAAAAGTGATACACATGTCAGCAATTACCCTTGCTTCCTCGTCAAACCAGAGTTGTAGTGCTTCCCATCGCTTTGGACAAAACCTCCTCGCACTATCCGCATTTCTGCAGTTCTTCCTGGCTGTCTCGAATGATTCATTTTTTGGAAAGCTTTGTTCATTGTAGTACTGACTTCTGTTTGTTAGTAGAGATTTGAAATCTTCTATAACGTAGCTTTCGTTCGTATGACCCGTAACGTTCTTTGCCAGCTCAAGAATCTGTGAAATAGTATGAGATATACTATCGGTGAACTGAAAGATATATTTGAATACTCGTAAACAAAACAGCAGCCAAGAAAGCGTACTTGAGAATACAATATATTAACATGCTTCCAACCAAGAGCATGCACTTCGTCTGCTGTCAAGTTTGTCGTGGTATACGATGCCAAAAGATTTTCATACGCCTTTCTTCCGTCAAGTTTTTCTCCCGAGGGAAGATACGGATGAGTCGGAGTCTCGGTCTTTGATCCATTAAAATAGATATACGAAAGTGGCAAGTTAGCCAAGCCACTCGATACACTTGATGGAACACAGTTCAATATGTTTTCGTGCTCCAAAAACCTACAGCAAATGCATTTAGAAATGTTTTTTGAACAAGCAGACGTTTTCATTTTCAATATAGCTTTCCGGTCAGACTTATAATGGCCCTAATCTTTAAATATGTACATGTTATACCTTAACATTTCTTCCAATGGTTTCCCAATCAACTCTACAAGAAAGTCTTTTATCGATTCATTGACGTTTTTCCCGTACGTTTTAAACCATTTTTCTTTCGTTTCTTCGTGAAGGTCTTCGTAATAGGCTGGAATCAACATCAAATGAACAAACCATTCTTGTAGAATGCCTTAAAATAAAAATACAATCAACTCGTTTCGTTTATTTTTATATATGGTTGTCATAAATGTTACAGAAAGAACTTGTGGACCGCTGCTGTTGACGAAAAATGTTGACACTTTCAAATGATATTACAATTTAATTGTCACGATTTTTTAATCTGTTTCAACTATACAAAATTCCCTGGTATGCCTAGTTTCCCAGTTTTTCTAGTAAGATAACTGCCTTGAATTTCTGTTTGTTCAAGTAATCTCACAAAATCCATTCAAATTAGCTCAGCAAAGATAATATTACATGCAATTCTTACCAGTCGCGTTGCGATGTGCGATATTAATAAATCTTTCCTTAATGGCGTCCAGACCTGCTAAGCAAGCTTCAACTGATCGAACCATTCCACTCCTTGCCCCATATCGAATATTTTCTATATACTGACGTATTGTACGGTTGTAAAATGCGAGCGCGTTACGAACTTCCAAAATATCCTCAACGGTTTTTGGTCTAAAGTGCATGGCGCCTGTGCTCAAGACTTGGCCAGAAAAATGTCGGCACATGTAGTCCGTACACATAATATCAGGCCCCAGTAGCCATAAACCGCTGTAGTAATCGCTGCCAGGCTGGGCAAAGTTGTGGTTAAGAAAGTGCTCAAGTTCTGCAATGCTCTTTAGTTCCCGTGGTGTTAGCTTATGTGTGTTGATTTGTAATGATTTAAACTGTTTATACAAGCTCCTTGCGGAGTCTGTACAATTCTTAATGCTGCTAGGTTTAAGGAATTCTTCTCGTGGCGTGAGACGGGACACACTCAGCGTGGAGAAAGGGCTAACTTTACTGTAGGTTCGTCTTGCATTTGCGAATAGATCTATCAATCCTGATCTCTCACCCTCGTCAGAGCGTCCGCAGAGGTCAAGGGTACTTGTTGAGCTTTCTCCGCTTTTCTCACATCGCTTGTGTAGTATGAAAACAATCCCAGTGGTGAATAACGTTAGCGAAACAACCAGAATGACTCCAGCAGCGGCGATAACAACGCGTCGTCGTTTTTGTAACATTTTCCAAACGCCATTAACCATCTTTGATCATAAATACCGGCAGTTGGTATAATAAGAGGCCACAATAATCACGAAGTTATGCACACAATACATTACTTTAGTTCATTGTCTAGCAACGATGAGGTATTCTATGGCTTGTTAATGTTATGAAGTCATTTGTTTGCTTAGAGTAAGAATGTTATTGTATACAACAGCCTCACAATGTTTTCCGTTTGACTTTCAACGCTCAATATGTTGTATTGCGCACATGTATATGGCTTAACCACTTGGGTATATAGGATTAGCTGACGTGAACATTGAAATATTTGGATTATGAATGAAAAAAATGAGTTTGCTCGTTCATGAAATCTCTAGGAAGAACAGTTTAAAACCGATATGGACCACAGTTATCCAGTGTAAATATAAGTTTAGTTGAGAGTACCTCCTGTAGTGGCATTGCGTCAATAAGAAATGATACTAACCAGACCTCAGAAATAACAGTTTATTGTTTATAGAACTGATAGAATATGCAGTTTAAATCTGATTATCAGTAGGTTTAACAGTTACATGCAAAGCATGTTAAACAGTCAGAGGCCTGTTGGTATAAATGATTTGCAAATCAGTGTCACCAAATCATTTAAATACATACAAGAGAATACGCTAAAACCAATTAAAATGCGACTTCTCACTCCAAACTATTTATTTTCACAAGAAAAAGCTAAAAATCTACATAACTACCATGTCTATTTCTACGTGTTTCGCTGTACATGCATACTGTGCATTCAACGGGCAATAATACTGAGTTCTGGGGCCGGTTGTATGAAAGCCGGATAGCGCTATCCACCGGATAGTGATTTTTTCAATCGCTTTAAAATCGCCCATTGTTGGGTATAACTTTGATTAAATCTTAGTTTTCCTAAATTGAGGATCCTCTTTAACAAAATTTGGCTACAAAGCTGAAATTTTATAGCTATTCAAGCATTTTTAGAAGGGTTGAAAAAATCACTATCCGGTGGATAGCGCTATCCGGCTTTCATACAACCGGCTCCAGGTTCTTTATTCTTAGGTGGTCTATTAAATATATGTATACATATATGTCTCAGGCTGACACAAGAAGTAATATGGGCAAGCCTCAAACAAGCACTTGTCAGAAATATCAATCGAACCACTGATGATATTGATTTTTCTATAACAATTTGAAGAAGCTATGCGAATATTTACAAATATGTAGAACATCTTGCACAAAACCTCTAGTTTTTTATGCATGCAGTGTTTTATAATATAGGCTAAAATTCCCAAACAAAACTTATGTATAACGTTGACGGCGAAGATAAGGTAACGAGGGTTTTGCGGGCCGCCCAGCTACCCGCTTCCTAATTTCGTCAGGCGGAGTTGGCATTTCTGGCGGGGAAAAGATGTAGTTGCATTTCCCCCCATCACCATTCTCAGGGTGAAATTTACATTGAGCATACTTTTTGATGTGTGTTGTCAAATACGACAGAGGTGACGAGCCCTGGGATAGCAGTTGATAGTGAAACTCTTTCAAACTGAACTTCTTCTTCAGTTTACTCTTTGCTTTATTGCGAAGTTGTGTGATCCACAGTTGCCCTATTGTGTACGCTGTGGCCTGGCCATAAACGCTTTGATAACGGGTGACTTCTTTCCGAGCGATGTCTGTGACGTCCCAAGCATATTTGTCGAAGAGATCCAGCGCAGCTGCTCGAGTCAGACTCTTTGTATGAATGCCCGTGTCAACCACTAGTCGTAGTGCTCGCCAGATCTGGAAAGTGAAGTCAAGATTACTCTATAGTTTTCCCTTGACATTTCTAAACTGTTCTTCCTAGAGGTCCAGTAAGGATCATCTCTTTTTTATCCAGTGTCACTACAGGAGGAAACCTAAACTAAACTAACTTTATATATACTGGATAGCTCTATCAGTTCTAAACTGTTCTTCCTAGAGATCCAGTAAGGATCATCTCTTATTGATCCAGCGTTACTAATGGTGGAACACTCTTTCATTTTTAAACCGTAACCAGTTGTATATGACGTCTAGCGTCTAGCAAGGAACTAATACTTAGGACGAACCTGCCACTTCAACATGCCGTATTTCTGCATCAAGTTATGATCGTAAATATCCGTCTCGGAAACCAAAGGACTCTCCGCATAAAGTGCCCAGCCTTCAACAAATGCTGTGTGATATGTTATTGAGTGTAACCAACTTATGCTGTCGTCACAGTTGTCTGCAAAATGTTCAATGTTTCCTTGCACCTGCATGTATGAGAAAGACCGTTTGCATTATGGTTTAGCTTAAATAACGATCTTATCCAGGCCTGTCTGTCCGTGAAGGTCGCGGTTTTGATGGCGGATGTAGGTAGAAATTATTGATGGTAGATCGATGGTCCTGAAGATGAAGTTGGTGTGGTGGAAGGGGTGGTTATAATAGTGATGGTTGGTGATGGTATCGATAGTGCTGTAGATAAAGTGGTGTGATAGTTCAGATGATTGATGGTAGTGATGGTGCCCTAAATGAAGCTAGTGTGACGGATGGTCGGTTCGTATGATTATTGGTAGAGATACTGCCGATGATTTATGATATCAATGATTATGAAGAATGGCTGGTATGATTATTGGTAGAGATACTGTCGATGATTGATGATATCAATGATTATGATGTTAATCGCAAAAACTTGATGATGCAATGGTAATTAACGAATGTGCTTTTTATTCTTTACCTGTGTGTGGTGCCCAGGTCTTGCTTCGTGAGCATTCACAGACCATTCAGAGAATTTTGGTCCAGCGTTGTTTAAAAAGAAGGGAAGATTATACGCTGCACCTTCCGTACATTTGTAGTCACTTTCGATGTAACTTTGAGCGCCACTTGACGGGTTCAGGTCAGGGTGTAACTCTACAGGACAGTTGGGTGTTGTGTGCTTTTTACCAGTGAAGTAGAACATGTTTATTGTTTTAGAGTCGATAAGTGACATTGCCTAGAATGAAAAAACAAATTAAAATGATAAAATTACAATTATAGATGATTTTTACTGGACCTCTAGGAAGAACAGTTTAGAACTGATAGAGCTATCCAGTATAAATAAAGTTAGTTTAGTTTAGGTTTCCTCCTGTAGTAACACTGGATCAATAAGAGATGATCCTTACTGGACCTCTAGGAAGAACAGTTTAGAACTGATAGAGCTATCCAGTATAAATAAAGTTAATTTAGTTTAGGTTTCCTCCTGTAGTAACACTGGATCAATAAGAGATGATCCTTACTAGACCTCTAGGAAGAACAGTTTAGAACTGACAGAGCTATCCAGTATAAATAAGGTTAGTTTACCATCCTCGCGTCTGCCCACCACTTCTCTGCGGCCTCCCATCTTTTTGGGCAATATTTTTTTGCGCCTTCAATGTTGCTGCATTTCTTGTGAGCTTCTTCATTTGATTCGTTTTTAGGAAACGGTTCTTCATTGTAATAATTTGAACTTTTGTTGAGCATTTTTCGGAATTCTCTGACCGCTTCAGTATCATTGGATAAACCAGTTAAATTTCTCGCGATTTCAAGAACCTTTAAAGCAATTTAAAGCTTTTAAAAACATTCATTGAATAGCTTTATATAGATTAGAAAACTACGGACGATGTTCACATCCATTTTAGCGTTCTTGCTGAATTGCTAGTTAAGAAGAAGACAGTTGAAGTAAATTTAAATTATGTCTTCGCTCTGTACTGAAACTTGTCACAATAACCAAACTCGGTAGAAACTCTCAGAGTCGTGCCTGAAACTAAACCAGTTTTATACCTGAGGATAAAGACGTTCAACCTGTTCATATCCCAAGTCATAAATTCTATCTGCAGTCAAATCAGTTGTCGTGAAGTAAGACAGCATCATCTCGTAAGTCTTACTGCAATTTATGGCCTCCCCAAAAGGTAGAGTCTTGTTCGTTCTTTGTGATGTTTGCACTCCATCCAGAAAAACGTAGTTCTGAGGCAGATCACTAAGACCGTTAGGGACTGACGACGGGACACAATGGCGGATATGATCGTTTTGTAAATAGCTGAAATTTGAAAATATTTAGTTGAGATCATTTCTAAGGTGTCCCGCGACTGATAAAGTTTAGTTTATTGATGATACTTACTTCAACAAGTCAACTACTGGTTTGCCGATGAGTTCGATGAAATATTTGTTGACTGTTTCACGGACATGCTCGTCATTCTTGAAAAACCATTCTGTGTCTTCTTTTTCTGTGATGTTTGAAAGAAACTCGGGCACAACAACGAATCCCATGAACCAACTCTCAAGGACGGCTAAAATTGATGCAGTCTGTGATTACTGTGAAACTCTATCAAAATCAAATTGTTCCTCCTAGTTCACTAAATATCATCTCCTATTATTGATCCACTGGAAAATCTAAACTGTTCTTCATAGAAATCCAGTGAGGATCATCTCTTCTTGATCCAGTCAGTTGCTACAGAAGGAAACCTAAACTAAACTAACTTTATTTATACTGACTGGATAGTTCTATCAGTTCTAAACTCTTCAGCACGAAGATCATACCTTTTTCTCCACGAAGAGAGATATTCAAATATCGTTGTTTCACAGCATCTATACCCGCCTTACAATCTTCGACGGAACGTATCATACCACGCTGAACTCCCTCCTTCATATTGTTTATGTATTGATAAACAGCATCTGCATGTTCTTGTAACTTATCTCTGTAATTTTAGAAAACAATTGGTTAACGTATCTCTATTACACCTCCCCCCACCGCCCATATTAACTGAATAGTCCCTCCCCCCCAGAATAGCCCCTCTTCTCTTTAAGAGTCCGTTTTGAGGTGACAAAATAACCCCAGTTATAGCCTGATGGGAAAAATTGCATACAAAAGTTTAGTACTCTTAAACTATTAATAAAGAGAGTATATAGGATTAATATATTCTATTGCTTTTAGTAAAGACTAAAGTGTCATCGAACTATATTATGCATATATTTCCATCTTGATGTACAGCTTGCATACTAAATTGAAACATTTTTGCACACCCAGAACGAATGACAGTACACGACGCGGTGTCCACTAAAATATTGGATATTAGCTAAGTGTGGGACAAGAGACTATGAAAGCGAGTTTCATATTAGGGAGAATTAATTATATAGTAAAGGCGAAACAAAACAGCTGCCTTATATTAAATGCTAATTTTTAAACATGTTGTTTGGACAGCGTTCGGATATGAAACGTGTATATTTCTAGATGGATTTTGTCAAAAGTACTTTCGCAGAATTGTAGCTGGATCTTACATGCAGCTAGTATTTACAACGTAGAATCGATTTGTTTCAAAGCGCGGATAAATTGATTACAACTTACAAGCACAATAAATTAATACGAAAATTGAATCATGAATAATCTAAAAGATAACAAAGGAATCGTCCACTAAATTTAACCATTTAACAATTGTGAGTAGTTTCAGCATTTATATACACCTGCATTTCAAAGAACTGCATATCTAGAATATTCTGAAGTTGGTTTTGCAACGTTTGTGAAAAGGATTTTTTGCAAAGAACAGCTTGAAATCTCTTTACAGCAGGTGGCTGACAACAAGGATTATGTCGGTATTTTCCCATTCGTTTTAGATTATGTTTTTCTTCTCAAATGAAACTGTTCATGTTGATTTGAAATAAGATAGCCTTGTTAGGTAGAGATATTCTAAATAACTTTAAAATCGATATTTTCAATTGATATAACTGTCTTGCGTGTGGTCTGTATCTTATGTCGGGAATATGTCGTGTTTAAAGAGATGGTTTTATCAAAAGCTTTGTTTTACTTAAACTCGCATTCACATTTGCCTGTTAATGGACGCATGTCGTGCACGCAGCATGCTCTGTGCATTAGCCAAGGAACAATGATTAAAAGTGCATTATAGTCGCTAACAGCGGGGAAATATGGGCTGTGTTTGTGCTTGAAATGACACCAGGAAGATCAAAGTGCAGCATCGTTTAACATTTTGATCGCGTTAATGGGCAATTAAGCATAACGGTTGAACCGAAAAAATCATCACGCGCAAAATATGATAAATTCCGGTGAATCTGGAGGACATTTCCCGCCAATCACTCTGTAGACATTGCACACTGAACCCTTTGCCATAGATAACGTTGGATCTATTTTTATTTTAAGGGCGATCATGCCTCATCCATTAAGCAATCCTCGACAGCGTTAACTGCTATTACACTCCCCGTCGTTCTGAAGAAAACTAAACGCTTAATCCCTTTGAGTTCATTATCTGCAAGACAAGCAACTCTTTCTGTTTTAACGATGCCAAATAGATAAGGAATATAAGCCTAATTTGTGGTGGTTCTCTGGTATCAAGATTATCCACCCGATAATAAAATTGTCAACAATGGCATGTTCTCGATACGGAAATTTATATGGGAGCATTACGCCTCTTTTTATTTCACCGGGAATAACACGCCCACCTATTGTAACACTTGTATACACATGATATACAAAACTTGAACATGATTCGGTGGTTCTGAAAAGATGTTAATAATTTGCAATCCATCAATATGGCATACAGATGTTTTTCAATTTAATACCGAAGTTTAAGAAAATTAATCCCATGTTTCCATGACATTTCGTTAATCAGAGCAGTCAAAGTGATAATGAAGCATTTCAATAGAATATTAAAATCACATTAAACGTGGGAGTTTTGTTGAAGATATAGTATTCCAAATGAGCCACCATAGACTGTGACAACTATACTGTTTACCAACAAAAAAAAACTCAAGTGCGGGGAGTGTTATAAAAAAAGTTATAACGCTCCGTTTCTGAACTTCCTGAAACAGATATCTCAAACGTGGTGGTCCAGTATATATAGTATTCTACAATAAGCTGTCTTGGTTTATGTCTATCTAGATCTGCCTGAAAGGATATCTCAAACGTGGTGGTCCACTAGACGTGATTGCCAAGTTTCTAGCCTGGCCAAAGCCAAAAACCGGATCTTATTCTTTGAGACGTTTAATAATCCTCTAATCTTTGTTCCCCAGAGTTCTAATCCAGAATTAACTTCATGATGGGGTCTCATATGAAATCTACTGAAATTATTTCGAAAAATCACCTCAAATATATGGAGGTCCTGTATAGAAAGTATTTCAATTTTATATTTTGGTTTGTGCTTGATTGACCGATTAAAAAAGTTGGAAAGCCTTTGAGTCAAGGCTTGTCGTTATCTACCGTGAAACGACTAAGTAATGACGGACCTAATTTGTTCAAAATGTGAAGGGTACTTTTTTATTTTGAAGTACCTCAAACACAAACCGCGACGACCTAAAATCATCATTAACATATTTTAACACGAAATTCTGCCTGTGCTGAACTGACGTTTTGCATTGAGTTATGTAATTTTGAATGAGTTGAGGCTAAGTGGCTGTTTCATTCCTGCCTCCATCAGCCCATGCGAGTTTCAAATACTTCAATGGCGACATTATGGCTCGCAAACATTTGTAACAAAATATACGTGAGAACTATCTGATTTGATGAAAAATATCTTTCCTTCACTTTCGATTCATATCAGAGTATAAGGGATTTATATTTTCTAGACCTTTTTTTAAGAGGAACATGTTTTATATCAAACTTTAGGAAATGGACTATGGCAAAATTAACAATTCTTGTCAAAAATAATAAGATATTGGAAGCTTTCCAAAATTTCTTATCAGCAAATTTCTGGCACATAGGAATCAGTTTTGTTAATTGGCCGTGTGTTATGTATCACAGACGTACGCATTGAAGATTTGCGATACAATCTGAATTTCTCCGCTAATAAGCGCACTGCTGCTAGCGCATATTCTGCGCAATTCTTATCCTTTAATTAATAACAACAACTTGAAATATTTACACGTCAATCCGAAGAATGCGTCTTAGCAATAAAAACAAATCAGTTGAAATGCAGTGTTTCGCGCGCAGCTTATTTTGAAGGGGGTTCCATCTTCTTATTCGGCTCATGCATCCTTCAGTAACATGACAAATTTAGCTGCGCAACTCTCTCGTTGTTGGAAAAATACAGAACAAGACAATTTAACAAGAGAACATTGGTCAGAAAATCGTGACTCAGGTTTTATATATTCTTGTTGAAGAACCTTTAATAATTTCATTTTCATAACATTCCTAGTGTGCTCTTAAATGTTTATATTGCTATCACTCGATCTCCCAAACAACTTGTAATTTAAAAATATTCATTTCCATCCATCTTCCTCTTAACTCAAGAATGTGGACTTCAATTTTTTAGTTTGCATTAGAATCTATACGGTAATACATATAGCCCTAATGGACCCCAAACAATTGATTGGTCTCGTAAAAACAATCATGGAGAGATATTTCAATGAGCTGCCCTCGACATGCTGATTTTCACAGCCTAAAATAAAACTATGCTGCGACCATTGTTATTAAAATACGTTAAAACTACAATCACTCTTCGTACAGAAAACAAGGACAATGATTTTTCAGCAATTTCCTCTTCTCAATTTACCACAAATACTGTCTACCCGCTAACGTGTTCACACCTCACTATTACAATTATGGCACCATTAACACTTCATTGGAATGCAAATTAAAATCAATATTTACATTCGGCTGCTTGTGATCAAATATATTCATGACCTAACTCGACATGGATTGCGCATGTACAAGAATCATTTTACTAGCGCGCAGCTGTGTTAAACTTTCAGAATTTGAAGGAAACCAATTTTTTCATGATGTCGCATGTAATGGTGCAACATATGTTGAAATCGCCGTTCGGGTGATTTTATAACAGTTGCATAGAGATAGTCGCTGGTCACGACATCGCAATCTCTTACGCAGAAATGTTCTTGCATGTATTTTATCAAGCACCCCGCATCTGATACGTCTGCTTTGGCAATTTTATCGTTGGAAACAAGATCCATTAATTGATCATGCTGATAGCTGGATGGTTGCACACACAAATCATATTGCGTCGCCTGTTAAAAAACTATCGCGAACAAACAATCATCTACTAATTTAATCTCACCAAACACAGCACGTTTATAATATCTTTGTGTTCCGAGTTATGGTAACAGCGAGTCAATAACAGATGATCGCTCTAGTCTCTCCTGAAGAATTTCTAACAAGAACGCTAACGATCTAGTGAACGACATAGAAATGACTATACCTATTCTGTATGAATAATTTCAGTTTAGTGTTTTGTTATTAAGAGTGTGTTGGTTATGCATGGAGGTTTCTTGTTGGAATATAGCCCCAGAAAAACTATCAACGGCTCAATTGGGGGATCTAAAAACGCATTTGTTAAACCTGATAACTGTGCAACAATATAATACACATTTAGTGTCCAACTCTCGTGAATTTCGTGAAAGCAAATGAATTAAACAGCAATGAAAGAGACATGGAAGCGTGCATAAGCTATGTTATGGGAAACGCTATTGATTGCACGACAGGCGAGAAGATGTCTAAATTGTAAGGACCACTTGTAATTTTAGAAAGTTCAATATACACTGTAATAACTGTATTACTCAGCTTGCGCGAACAACATGATATCACATCCAAAATTTGCTATGTTTGCTTGCGTCACCTGTGATTTCATTCACGAGATTCTATTTTACTTTTTTAAAGCACGATTCGTATGTATGACACACACACAGCTGACCGTTGCAATACGAGACGCCTTCCAGCGCATCCACGCAGATCTCATAATATAAACAAACTTGATAACGCTCGCGTTATATTACGTTGGAAAGACGAGTTGACACAAATTAGAAAATTATTTGTGCAACGCTGAACCAATAATTCAACGAAATATAAAGGACGAAAGAGTTGTAAATTAATGTATAGTTAGGAGAAATAAATGAGCTTTTTCTAAGATTTGACGCACTGTCGTGAACAGAATATAATGGTCTCCACACAAGTACAATATCCACTCTTACTGCCCATACAGCTTGCATCGACAACATGAAAGGTTTCGGGGTCTGCAAATGCACTCCTTAGGTGGTTGATTAACGGCGTGAGCAGAGAATGTATGTGGTATTTTTTCATAATACCACAAGATTATCGTCATTTAAACTTTGGTAGTTAATTCAAGCTTAATGTGGAATATAATAAAGCAGCTAAGCGAGAGCTTAAAATGTGTAAAATGAAGATAATACCTTAGTTCATCCAATCCTTTTAGCCCATTAGGTTTGTAATAGTCCAAATGATAAAATATATCTTTGCCCATGTCACATACAGGTTGCCAGCAGAAATGATTCGGTCCCATCATCCAATCTCCCGCGTAATAATTCATATCATACGGCTGTCCGAATGTATGCTTTAGATAATGTTTGGCTTGAATAAGAGCCTTCAGCTCACGGGGTTTCAAAGCGTCATTATTAATGTTTATAGCGTTCAACTTTCGCAATAGGTCCAGCGATGCTTCTGTGATTTTCTTTAAGTTGGAAGGTTTGGGATTGAAAGGTTTGTACTTTCTTTTCAAAACGCTCAACTCGGCGCCCTCAGGAAGGTCTGATATCGCAGGATCATGGTAGGATTGATGAGGATGCAACCTGAAGAATTCTTCTTTTATTTCTTTCAAGAATGTATCGAATCCTGCTCGTTTTGCCTCTTCAGAAAACCCGCAATATTTCCAGTTTTCTTGTTTAGGTTCTGCGCATTCATTTTTATTCGCAATTGAGACGATAATGAGAGATATTCCAACGACTACAAGTATCATTGAGACGATGAACAAGACGACGATGGTGAGACTACACGTCGCCCGCGCTTGCTTGGATGCACCCATAATGGAGTACTGACTTGGTCGCTTCTCTCTGTGGTTTACCATCTCAGCTAGCTCGCTCTCTTTGCATGAATGCTTCCCATTCATTGCCATACCTCTCACTTATCTTTATATAACTTTGATCAGATCAAAACGAAAACTAACTTGTCAACAATATGCACTTCAGATACGCACTCACTGCTCTAATCCGTCCGCTTTGTGGTGAAATAAATCCCCTTTGATATACGCTCAGTCATATGAGTAAGCTCTTCCCTTTTTTACGTTTATCAGTCAAGGAATCTTCTAAGTATGACACTCAACACAAGCCTATTCTTCAACTTCCGTTGTCGGTAACAAACAAGTCAAGCGCGAGTTCGCATTGATTGCGATTTCGCATCAAGTCTCTAATCACTTTGACAGGGAATAGCGAGATATTGTGGGAAGCTGTCACATATTGAGAGATGACTTTATTTGCTCTGGACAATCAACGCAAGCGGTACTGCAACGTCTTGTGGTGCAGCGCATTAGTAAACACTACATGTTTCATTAAGCTAGCTTTGTTGCCTTGCAAGAGATCCATCGGTCACTCCAAGACCCCTGCTTGTTTTAAAACGTTATTTCAAGACCTTTCTCAGTCGGCCTGCTGGCAAGTTTTGCCAAACAGCGCGTATTTTATCGCCCTACTTAATTTCACGTTATTTTTCCACCCATGTTTTTTATTTATCATCGCCTGTTTTAAAACACAGTGGACGCACTGAAACAATGATCGCTATACTTTGTGATTTATACCAATATATTGCTGCCTCGCTAAATATATTTCATGTTGTTGTTTTTGGCAACAATTTGATTCTGTTATTTCAGCTTGAATAAGTCACCTTATACACGATATAAGTGCAGATTCCATGCGCTTGAGAGCAGTTTGAACAAGTTAGTTTCTACCTATGCAGTTCACTCAAGAAAGGTCATTCGCAAAATCGCGAAGGGATTGTTCGTGACAACTGTTGGTTTTTTAAATTGTCGATGATTGATATCTGGCTCATATTTTCTCTTTAGGGACAGAATGGTGAAAAAATGTAATGTTCAAGAAGGCTTGAGAGTTGCAAATCCAGCTTAAAAAATTATTTTGATAACAAAAAAGGCATAAGATGACGACTTCTTCTATTTCGTTTGTTTCATCAAAATCCTGAGCCATTCCGTGCGGTTTTAATATTTAGGAATTTTTATCATTATCATACAGAAGTAATTTAATATTCTGGTCTCATGTAACTTATTTTCGACAAATTTTCTTGTAATTTTCTTGCAGTTTTTCGGACATTTCTGCTATTGGGATAACCGCAGCACTTTTCTTATCTTGTAATTTCACTTTTAAATTAAGGAGTAGCTTTTTAATTTGCATTAAATTGATTTTCCTTTGCATTACGTCACAAACTTGTAGTGGTGTTATGTTATATCATTGAGAAAATGGTTGAAAACATCGATTTTCAAGCTATATAAGGCCATACAATTCATCTTGAATTGATAACCAATATCTCTTCAAGTTCATCATATATGCCCGTAGGCAACAGGAATATGTGTGTCAAATATTTTCGTATCTTATCGTACATAAGTTTGATATTTTGATTGTGTTTATAATCCAGTGTAAATAATTCATTTGCACTGTATATAAGTATAACTACTGGTCGTTCTTTCCAGCACTCCAGTGAGAATCATTGATTTCATTATTTCGATGGTACAGCTCGAGAGCAAACCAGCATTGCCATTGGTAGAGCTTTTGCCGGAAGATCGCCAGGCGCTAGCCATGCATCGAGTTTGAAGATGCATGTTACGTATACACCCACTTCTGAACTTGAAATGTTTTCACCGTGTCCTTTAATTTCCCTCCTTTTTAATTATTATACTCTGAGACTAACCATGAACTGGCCTGCAGCTAAGCAAGTTATTGCCTGGCGGTGTTGGGAATTGGGATATCTCGGTACTGCCTGCCTTGAGCTAATATAAATTCAATTACATGCTCGCGTGACTTGATGTAAACGCGAATTTCCTGTCTTTTGACAAACAAATGAGTTACAAATGGGCTTAATGAAAACCTAAATCTTTCCGGATACGCATTTAGTAAACTAACATTGCTTCTCTTCTTGATAGGAAGACGCGATCCCAGTTCGTTAAACTCTTCGCAAATTTATCTTTATTGGTAGAAATAGTAGGATTTTTCGGCTGGAACCTGCCAACTAAACTCAAACCGCACGCATGTAGTTTCTGCCATCGATTCGTCGAACACTAATAATGACCTCAGACATGAAATTCTCAGCACCTTTTGACATGATAACGCAAAACGGAAAACCTAAGCTTAAAGAGTTTAAGACGAATTATTTCATCTATAAAGGTCATCACGTGTTATTTGGGTAGAATTCTTTCATGTAGATTTTATATCACCTTGAATGTGCTATGGAATTCTGAGAAAGTTATAAAAAAACTTGGTTTCTTCAAGTGCTGGCTGGCAAATGACTAAAAACTCTCATTGCGTGATTTGCAGACGAAAAACGAGATCTTGACAGATGTCTGTAGCAGTTCAAATAAATATATCAAAATTATTTGGATCTAGACATTCAGGACTTTCCTATGATTGCGAAGTGGTGACCATATTTAAGAGATCTGTGGAAAGAAGTCGGCTAGCTTCATTACTACATCGTAAATCATTTCTGACGTCAAGTATCGTGTTTGCTGTTATAATCCTGTTATACGCTAAAAATTCTCCGGGGCGAATGATCTTGTCCAAAACAAACTACTTGTAATAAATGAAATCTCGTTTCTTCTCTCTAATTAATGTTCCCATAAAAAACACGGGAGGTCTGAGTACTCAAGGCGCAAAAATTCAGAATTGTCGTAAAAACTAATATAGGAAGAGAAAAATCCGAGAAATTTACCCTCAAAAAAAACACCAGACAATTTACGCTGCATATACGTCATCTTTCACTGAGTTTCACTTCAATTTTTACTTTCAAAAGTTCTCCTGACAATTTACCATTGGACAACGGAAAACGATACAAAACGGGAGGTTAGCTCTTAAAAGTAATTAACATAAATACCGCTCGATTTTCTATCATATATTCAAGGGTCACTGTATAAGGTTTCTTCTTTACTATGTGGTAAACAATATTTTTGCATAATCCATAAACTACGTTTTAGCTTGCTAAATATCTATATGAACAGCAATGAAAATAACTGTTAAATAGATTTTTACTTTTACTGAATACATCGATTAATATTCTGACTGACTTCCCCGACGAGAAACAATTATAACAATTCATAATAAAGCCATGTCTTCACGAGTTTTTTTTCTATCAGATCTATAAATAATAATTTTGACTTAATCTTTTGACAAGGTAAAAACGTTGACGGACAAAAGCAATCTGCTTGTTCAAGTGCTGTAATATATACGCGTGAAACTGCTATGTGCTATGTGTTATAGTCAATTACGAATTACAGTTAATCTAATACTCTTACAGTATAATTACGGATGCTTTGACCAACTTTCGTGGTTCAATTGTATTTCATTTATATACGATAAATAGGTCTTTCTTGTTGTTGCGAAATTCCTTTTGACTTAAAAGATTAATTTCTTGAGAAGACGAGCAGAATTATGGATAGAATTAAGTCACCAACTTCAGCAAACGTAATCACTGATAAACCAACCCAGAGCCCTAACTGGCCGCCGATATCTGACAGGAGACTGGTGAGCTAGACGTAAATAAACAGGCAGTCAATTCAGTACAAAACAAGGAGAAAAACCCTGAGATTAAGATCTTTAAAATCAAGGGGTTTAAGATGAAAATCACCGGATTATTCTTCGCACTAATTTTTTTTAATTATTATCGGCATGTTAGATATAACACTCTATGTCAATCAGCCAAGATTTGGTTGATAAACTGGATGTTGCTTGTAGCAAAAGGCCCGTAGTCATCCCTATCCACACTTATCTGCCCTCCCTCATCCCGCTTCCCCCATCTCAAACCTATCCTCAAAGGAGAAACTTACGGTGTACGAGAACTCCTGATGAATACGAACCAAATTGAGCTCCTCAAAGTAGATTTTTATCCGAAGAAAATCCTGCCTGAATGAAAAAACGCACGTTAAAGTGTCATGTCTGTTATCCGATTTATGAAGACATACTGTATCTTTAGCCTGTACATCCTTCATCGTTGCAGTAATTCGTTTTCAATTATAATCAAAACTCGATGTATTTTTCTTTTCTCTTCAACTTACTTAAATAGTTTCTCAGTCTTAGTCGCATTCCGACGCTTTGTAGAGGTGTTTAAGCTTTCACGCTGATCTTTCTGTAGTTAAAGTACGATAAGTCATGATTAGTTGACTTGGATGAACACATTTGTTCAATTTCTTGCGTGTGAATATTTGAAAAGCTGCAGTACAAACCATGAATTGGGCAGATAATTGGGCTTCTGATATGGTAGTGCGATACGATACTGATCTATTGGAAAGAAGTATTGAAAAGATATGCTCATCTATATTGCTATCATAAATTATCGATTTTTGAGGAGTTTGCTGTGTTCGACTGAAGTTATAGGCGGAGATTGATAGCAACAAACTAAGAGCTTGCTCAGATTGTGAATGCAAAACCAAACCCATTATTTGTTTTGCTATTTATTTAAAAAATTTAAAGAAGCTGCATCAAGTAGTCATATGTACTCGTCTTCATATCAATGGCGTCAGTAAGGCAATATATTCAATGCATGGCGTCAATAAGTTATATTGACCCTTTCACGTCATCTTGCTAATATGAATGTGAATATTCTATTTTTGGGTAACGATTGAGGTGGGAGGTTCACGAGCACTTGGCTGTTAACCAATAAAAAAGAGGCATTTTTATTGAATGACAATGATATTGCTTATACCTGCATCTCTGAGGGCATCTTTTTATGCAACCGTACTCATCCTTTCTATATTTTGTCTCCACATTTACGATACATTCATCTGAAATGCATATATGGAATATACGATTAATACAAATCTTAGGATTAGAAAATATCTTGATAAAAATAATGAACTTACTTTCAGTTGTGTTTGAGCAAGCTTTTCCATTCCTGGCATATCTGGCATCACTGCAGTTGCATTCTTTAATTTGCTGTTCAACTAAGCAAGTATCAAGACAACTCTGGAGAACGAAAGAGTTTAATTCAGTCGTCGATTGAATGATGCAATACAGCTAGAGTACAGACGTTGTGACCAGAGCCGTCTTGGCTGGTTGAAATGCACGCGATCCTACACCAAGATGACCCTCAATGATCCAGAAATATCTACCTGAATGGTATATGCAAGCGAAGCATCTTCGTTGTAAATGCTGTCAAAAATTTCGGTGTCCTCAACACAGGACCTATTACTGTACCTGTCGACTCTTTCAATGACCTCCTGAAAAAAAAAAGAACCTAAACTATTAGTGGGCGTCTTCTACACTGTTTATCCTTGCGATAAACACATCAAAAAACGTATCAAGAATTCACAGAATTTCACAACCTTTCTTAGAGCAATGGCCGTAGCAGTTCCGGGAGAGACTGCGGTTCCTTCTTGGAAAGGAAATGGATGTTGTTTACCATTTATTATTACCACTTTCACTCCAGCTTCTTCTGTTAATTGCCGGATGTATTGTGCTTGCTCGATAAACAAATCAATTGTGAGCCCTGCGAAAGAAATTGATTGTCTTCATGCATATCTTTGGTGGCGCTGTTTACATTATAATGGCAGTCAGGATTAAGAAATGGAAAAACCAACCATATTTCGGGCCAGCTTTGGTCGTCGTTAGTGGCGTTACTGTATTATTCCCCTCAGACAAACCAAAATTAAACGTATAGCAGTTTCCATATTTCCAATTCCAGGTATTTCTCCAGTAGTTCTTAAAATAGCTTAAAAAAAATCCATAACTTTCAAAAGGGTCATTTCAAAAATAGTATTATTGGGAGACGCCGACTTATCACTAATTCTTCGCAAATCATTGTGCGTCAGCGTGTTGATTGTCTTGTACCCAAATGGAACGCTAACAAAGATCATTCTGTAATTCGATTCCATCTTATCTCATGGCAAAATTACAAATCGGAATAAATTCAAACATGCAGTGAACTACATTAAGAAATGACACACGTACGCAGGGTGACGCCAAAGGATGAAAACATCAAAATTACCTTGACTTTGAGTTACACTGAATACCCATCCAGCGACAGCTTGAAACAAGATCTTCAAATTGATGGCCAGCCTTTTTCAAATCTTTTTCTGAATATTTCACACTGGCAGCCAGCATTGCATTCTCGAGGATATCCTTACTTGAAACTTGATTCGTTTTTGAAAAATTCATTCCACCTGCCGGAAGAGTCATTCCGCTCCTTCTTTTCATTTTTTGAAAGAAAAGGTTCTCTTCATCAACGTTCGCCCGGTCACTCTTCTTGTTGTTGATGATTTTGTTCAGCCCTGGAAGATTTTGTAAAGCATCTTTGCGGAATTTGTTCAAATTGCAGATAGTGACGGATGGAAAAGTCATATCCTGGAAAGTAAAAAAGAAAAAATTAGGCTGTTTACTTAATTAATCTTTGGCACAAGTGCTTGCTAACTAATTTTGCTCACACTAGCTAGGCTAGTTCTATCAGTTTAAAACTGATTTCACTAGCTAACCAGTTAGTTGAGAAAGGTTGGCTTCAGTTGTTCTGTGCTTTGAAAGCTTTTTTTCTACGGTGAATGGTCATTTCGAGGCTTCGAGTGTTGGCCACTACTGCATGCTTGCGTTTCTGTCGCAAAAACCCCTTCAATTCGAGTTATTCGAGTACTCACCGTCTCGAAAGACACTTCGACATAGGTGGAAGTCGGTTTGTCAAAGTATGTCTTTATCGCTATATAACTGAGATATATCATTGCACCATAACAAACCACACACAGTAAGACCCAAATTAAACGAATAAGAAGTGGTTTTGACGAAAAGACTTTGTTAATTCCGCCAGCGCTCGACTCTTGTGAAAACTCCTTTAAGAGTTGTTGATATTTTCCTGGCTTGCGTTTTACTGAATCACTTGAAGTCATGTTGTGTTCGCTGTCTTTGGTGCTATCAAACGACTCCACTCTGTTGTCTCTAAGATTTTAAATAGGAATATTTAAAAATGATTATATCCTTTCAAAATATCCCTTCCTATCGCAGAGATTAGCTTCGATCGGTGTCCGGTTTCTATGATTTCATGCAAGACCACAAGTCATGCATGCTATAGGTATTTCTGCACGCGAGGTGCTTTAATCAAGTTTTTTTTAAATTAATGCTTCAAAATCTTACTCCTGGTTCATATGTGACCTTAATTCATATATTATCGGCTCGTCGCACATCACCAATTTTGGGTCACAAAAAGCTAGCTGCAAGTTTCTTTGCCATAATATGGTGAACTATTACCTTACGATGGACGATGGGATATATCTTTGAAAACTACATTTCTACGTTTACTTTTTCTCTTAATTCCAGTCAAAATTTTAGCAAAATAAAACTGTGCTAATTAAGACAGAATACAAACCAAACTCTACTTCCCTGTAAATCCCTGAATGCAACCCACCTTTTAGAGAATTGCATTTTCATTTCCTCAGCGTTTGGCATCTGGTTTTCTTATCTTTCTTCTTAAGTTCCTTTAGGCACGAATTTAATCAGTGTCCGGGCTAAAGCTGATGTTTTAATGTTGACTTGATATATTTGCCATTGTCACCAACAAATTATTCATGATATTGCTTCAGTAATGGCGTTTTTTATTACTTTTTTTCGCCTTTTTATAAAAGGATAACGGGTTTGAACAGCTGCTGGTGAATAAATATATCTTTGAATCCTTAAGACGCGTCTTTAATTTCTTCATAAACTTGAGTTAAACTTGAGTATTTTTGTGCGACTAAAATGTTCGTACAACTTAATGGAAAAGTTTGAAATGAATTTACTTTATTAAAAATATATTTATTAAAAAGACTAAAAATATATGTTGGCATGTGGGTATGTTAAATACTATTTAATAAAAATATGTATATTATATTAATGTTAAAACCAAGGGTAATTTGGTGCGTGGAGTGAAAACCTAAAATCTGTGGGACATGTTGTTTTGAAAGCGAAGAATGTTTTCGTTCCGGTTTCAAAGCGATAATGAATGCTTCTTGCCGCACAAATTTGTTTTATTTTCAAATTTTGAAAGCTTATAAAAAACATTGATTCATGCTTAATTAAATTTTTTTCTAATAAACAGCGTCCAGCAAGCTATGAAGTTCTTTTTTATTAGGTCCATTTTTTAACAAGTGCAGAAAGCCGTTGATGTTGCGCATACAAGAGGAGGGAACACCGCGGTTTAAAAACATTGCAGGCCAGCCTATAGCTCTTTACAACTAGAAGCTGCATTTAGATTGGGTGCGCTACAGCCACTGACCTATATTAGATCTAAAAATCAGTTTAGTGGCTACAGGCCAGAGTTTGTTTTACACGCAATCTTTTCAAATGAAATTGATCGGGCGCAATACTTAGAAAATCGGGCCCAGTCCTTAAGATGCTCTGGGAAAGGTCTGAACATATATTGAGTGTTCCGTTTAAAAACTGTCCGTTACCATACTTGTCTTCAACCGTATCACACAGTTATTAACCCTTGGGTATAGAACCGTACAACAGAAAAATACAAATAGAAATAATATCATTGAAATGTTTCGCAATCGGAATTTCGGAAAATGGCAAATACGACCATGGTCATATTCGTCGGAAAATGGCAAATACGACCATGGTCATATTCGTCGGAAAATGGCAAATACGACCATGGTCATATTCGCCGGAAAATGGCAAATACGACCATGGTCATATTCGCCGGAAAATGGCAAATACGACCATGGTCATATTCGTCTGAAAATGGCAAATACGACCATGGTCATATTCGCCGGAAAATGGCAAATACGACCATGGTCATATTCGTCTGAAAATGGCAAATACGACCATGGATCCAACAAAATTGGATCGTGGGAACAGACCTTTAGATTGGGTGCGCTACAGCCCAGAATTTATTTTATACGCAATCTTTTTAAATGAAATTGATCGGGCGCAATACTTAGAAAGACTAAAAAAATGGTACAGTCCTTGAGGTGCTCTGGAAAAGTCTGAACATATATTGAGTGTTCCGTTTAAAAACAGGCCGTTTACATACTTGTCTTCGCTTCTTAATTTCTTCAGACGCAAATCAAAATTAAAATGTTATAAAAAAGTAATTGCGTTATTTCATTGAATAAATACATATATAAGAATATTGTAGTTAAATACTTGCTGTTTATTTGGCATATTCCACCACCAAGATGGCTTATGAAAGGATGCATGCGTAAATATTTACATTAAATTATGCGAAATCACAAATCTTCGTTTGTGTCGCCTGCGAACCCGATCCATGATTATTAAAAATAGCGAGCGCATGTGCCTCAGTGTCTTATTAGAATATTCACAGAATAATGCATGCAACTGAGCAGTCAGAAAAATTTAGAAAATACGAACTAACGTCCCTTAAAAGACAGATAGAAAACAGAAAGCTTTTGCTTTCGATCGATAAACTGATCAGTTTTTGTCATTCATCACGCGGGGAAGTCTTGAGCAGAGCCTAACAGCTAAAAAGGCATCCATCTCTTCTCTAGTGTCCGTGTTTTTCGTGCATTTGTAATCGAAATCTAAAGTTTATCATATTTAAAAATTCATCCCTCACAGCTTTGATTCGTAGATTTTTTGTCCGCAATTTTCTCGTATTTCAACAATCTTTTTCCCAACTTTTGCAGTAAACTGTTTAATCGCACCAGGCTCTTTCTTCTCGTCCTTCTGCTCTTCTCGTCTTCGCAAGCTCTGGAGACTTGGATTATTAATTAAAGTCACAGCGAGAAACCAGCGGATTTTTGCCCTTCGTGGTGGCGCTTTATTTACATTTTCTATATCAGTTTCATTCGTCTCATCTTCAAACTCATCTGTTCTTTCTATGGCTTCCCGCATGACGCGGTTGAACGTAAAAAGGACTGGGTTGGCATGCGTGTGCTCCAAGAATAGATAGCCAATGTATGTCTTGTAGCCTGTGGGAATATGTCGATATTCTTCAGTGTTTAAATTTTAATAAATATTTAAAATGCAAGTCAGTGCTTCACTGCTCTAGCTCAAAGGTAATGCTACCGTGTAGGTAGTAACTGTCGTGGTTTGTGTCTGAACTACCTGAGAAAGATGTCTCAAACGTGGTGGTCCAATGTGGGTAGTATTCTACAATAAGCTGTCGTGGTTTGTGTCTGAACTACCTGAGAAAGTTATCTCAAACGTTGTGGTTCAGTGTAGGTATTATTCTACAATGAGCTGTCGCGGTTTGTGTCTGAACTACCTGAGAAAGATATCTCAAACGTGGTGGCTCAGTGTAGGTAGTATTCTACAATAAGCTGTCGTGGTTTGTGTCTGAACTACCTGAGAAAGATATCTCAAACGTGGTGGTTCAGTGTAGGTAGTATTCTACAATAAGCTGTCGTGGTTTGTGTCTGAACTACCTGAGAAAGATATCTCATATAAAAATTAGTACAGCCCATATCACGGTAACATTGTGAAACATACCTGGATCAAACAATTCCCAGTCCCTTGGCAAGGCGCTCTTCTGTAGTCTCGGGAGGAACAACGCTCCCAGAAAAATGGCGTAAAATATTCGGATGAGACACGAAAAAAGACCGACAAATATATTGAGAAAGTAGAGAAAATACGACACGATGTGGAAAAGACGCCTGAAAGAAAGATATAAAAACATTTTAGGATTGCTATCTTTGTGGCTCACCAGCAGATGCGATGTCGGCTTGAAGACATACGTACCTGTTGTTCAGTGCTAGCATTGCGCCGTAATCTCGCAGGAAAACATACTTTGCCAGTAGTCTTTGTGTTATTATTGTGATCAACGTGATCAGTATCGTCGGCCTATTGATGGTAATCAAGTCTTGAATAAGTGAACTTGAAGAAAAGAATCATGTTTGAACAATTTGTAAATGAAGATTTGTCAAAATACCCACCATAAGTTTACCAGAAGTGAAGGAATAATCGCATCCTTGAATGATCCCCAAGTCAACGGCCAAATAAACCCCAAGGCGATTACAGTTAATATTAGAAATATAGCTAAATGAGTTAAAACAAAACCTAAAAAGAAATAAATGTGAATTCAGGTTAAGTTTGGGTTGCTCAGCTTGGAAAATCTAGTTCTCATGTGTCGTACGTGGACAGTTGATGATCACAAAGTCATGAAAACTAAGCATAAGAACTTGGGATACAGTAGAATACAATACCTATGGTCTATAGATATAGAAAACAAATCAATATGATAAGGTTTGATTTCAAATATTTCGTTGTATACAAGCAAGGCTGACATAAAACAATTTTGAATCCTCAATCCTCATCTCACGTAAGACTTGAGATCGTGATAACAAAATAAATACATACTCCATATAATATATCCTGTTTGATAACCAGCAAACTTGAAACTTGACACCTGAAATATACCATACAAGAATTAGATCGCTGCTAAGATAATGCGAGGTATAGGATTATGAAAAGACCCACCATAGTGGTTAAAGGATCCTGATTGTCCATGTTGTAAGGAAGGAAACTCCTGTCTCCTCTCTGTAGACGAAGAATGTGACCACGATACCAGGACAACATGTTTCCCATCATTGCTAAGTCTTTGATACCTGCCACTGCTATTGCAACTAACCAACAAGCTAGAAAATATATTATCGTGTTATAATTTAACGAATCATAAGGATGCAATCGAAGAAGATGGGCATCAAATGATGCAATGGAAGAAGATGGAAGTGGAAATGATAGACTTTGTGTTCATCCTAGCGGCAATATTTTTTATAAAATTGCAGAAGAAAGAAATGAAATCAGAATTAGGTCAAGCAGACTAAAGTCAAACAGACTCACTGATAGTAACATGAAAACCTTCTTTCACTCTGGACCAATTTATTCCGGTTGGGCTTACGGATATGGTATCGACTGCCTCAAATTCATCTACCACTAAATCTATAGCAATCTTTAGGTATCGACTTAGAATCGCATAAGAAACAGCAACCTGAAAAAGTTAGACAATTATGGTGGGTATGAATGTTTAACGATCTAGCTAAGGGCTGAGGAGGGAGTGGGATGGAATCTACAAACACAAATGTACTCAGACTTTCCTCTTGGTCCCCAAAGACAACCTGGACAAGTCAGATTTGTTATTTATTTGAATGATGTATAATTACCATATATAGACAAGCACAGCCGGTAACATAAATGCAGACAATTCTTGTTGAATATTTGAAATCTATACAAAAGACAATGAAGGTAGTCATCGCCTGATAGTTGTTAGATCTTTGGCTGAATGAGTTCGCAATTCATTGCCTGTTGTACCTGGCCTCCAGTGATAAACATTTGCACTAATTTTTTGTTTCAAGCTGTTAATATCAATCATGGTACCGTTGCTAAAAAGACGATAATATGATCAATTTCATCGGCGTTTGCAAAGAAATTTACCACTGTCTAGTATCAGAAGAATGGCTTTACCTTTTCGGAACAGGTTTTAGTAGTTTCTTCACGTAGTGATACTTGTAATTCTCTTTCCATTCATGTTTGGACTAAAGTGGAGAGCATAGTATTGTTTAAACGCTAAATTTCTAGAAATCTTCCCTTGAACATATTCAATATTCAACTTACCACGACCATACCACGTCTTTTACTGATTAGGCATCGTATTAAAACACGGATGAAGGACAGGAGTAATAAGCCGTGACATAATATAGATGTGGCCTGCAGCAATACCGACTCCAAAACTGTGTACTAAAAATTACGATCAAAGACATTGTACTTCATTGTATTTTAGTCCAGGTGAAAGTATATAGATACGTTTGAATGTAATCCGATTGCATGCAATTATTTTAATCAGATGAAGGGAAACGTAATCCGTTGTAAAATAACACTATCCGTTGTAAGAGAACTTAATCTTTTGAGATAACATCATGTAATCCAATTTGTGGTTAGTTAATGATAATTGTCAAGTATTTTTTCGAAGCAACTGGGTTACTAGAGCCACAGTGTCGACGTGAAAATACAGCAGTCGCTTATAAAGAATTTTCTCTAAATCTCGCGTTTAGGATGCACTCAGGCAGATGTTTTTTTTCAATTTTTTACACTTAAGGGAAGTGTGTTCTATTATCCGTCCTACGTCATCCTGACATGCGCAATGTGTACTTTTACCCTCACCGTAGCGTTAGGTTCGTTGACGCAGTCGATTATTTGAAACAAATACGCCAGAAACCTTAAGAAAGAGAAAATTGAAATTTTCATTAACATGCTTCATAACGTGGGACTTGGCGTAAATAATCGTCTATAAGCTTAATGTCGTATAAAAATACGTGTTTTTGAAAAGAGCTTTTGTGGAAATTGTGCGAAATTGATTTTTTTTTGTGAATGTAATCCCTGCACTCGCCCAGCTCTCTGGATTAGTTATCATCCAGTAATACACCTACCATATGGTTGAATATATCGTCCCCATAATAGCTCCAAGCAACCGCTGGTGTGTTGAGATGCAAGCGAAAAACGGATAGTAACTCACACCAATGACAAACGCAGCAAGAATTCTTAAAAGTGCTAAAGAAATTGAGGAATGTCTTGAGATTATTTACTTCTATCGAGGCTTGGCATTTGCTGGCTATAATGGCCGGAGTGGAAAAGCTGATAGTTTTATTTACTTATTTTCACGAATTTCCGCTTCGGACACTTTTGATTTCCCATCAAAAACTGACCCTACAACATTTACTCTTTCCTACGCTCCGTGTTCACTCTTAGAATATTTTGCCAGCTAGATAAAGTATGATGTACAGTGACAATATCTCAGCTTCGTCTTTACCAAATTGCCTCACAATTCACAAAGGAAGACGACAGTCGTCTCTAGTAGTTGACACTGATTAGTCCAGGTGGTCCAGTCCAGTCCAGTCCAGTCCTCACCTTTAACATACCCCTCCGTGTTTTCTTGTTCTTCGTGAACGCTTTCTCCCAACACAGCGGAAAAGTCATTGTTGAGAAGAACTTGGACAATACGTGACGCTGTCGCGGCAAATGCAAATGAGAAAGTGAATCTATCTTCGTAACTATCCAACAAGTTCACTGGGCTAAACAAAAGAGATGCAGCTACTTTATACTCCACGATTGGCCAACTGGCGCTGTGGCACAGGACAGACTTACAGTTACCCTTGCCTATGTTCCCACTGGGATATAGTATGACCTGTCTGTTGCACGGACAGAAGGGACGGTCTTAACCTTCACTAGTGTACATATTTGTGAAATGAAATGCGATTGTTCAGTGAAATAGTGAAATATGGTAGGAAATGGTTTCATCTTTCATAACACATACATTGCTAGACCTGGTCGTCCATTACAACAGCCTTTCCGCCATAATCTCGTGTTTACAAACGATAAAATGATCATAATAATTATCTGAAGAGAAAAATGAAAGAGACGGATTAAGGAAAAGGTAATATAACAGAAACTTTATAGTATTGTACTTACTGCAGGAATGAAAGCAGTTATGATCAGGTTATTGCTGTCCAATCTTCCGCCACATAGAGACGACGAATTCCTAAAAACGAATTGAAGTACAGAGTTCAGCAAAAAGATGGTATGCAAGCCTTCCCACGCGTGTGGAGGGGACACGTGTGGTGATTTTTTTGTTTAATTAATTGAAAATGACAACTCCCTAGTGACGGATTGCGCAAGGCAATCAATGGTCCTGACTACGACTTGTTCTGGAGTAATTCAAAAACAATCGATCGTATCAGCATGGGTGAAAATGATATCGACTGAAGAATCTGAAAAACTGGTTAAAAACAATTATTTAACATGTAACTTTACACATCTTTTTAATCACAACTACAATCACTTTCTCCTATAAATATCGAAAGACTTTTCACATAACTTGTTTCGTTTTGTTTGTCTGAAGTACTGATAATATACATGAATCAAATTAAGTTGTGATAATATTAATCAAAATAAAGTTGTGAAGCTTTGTGATTTGAAAGGACTGAAGACTGTATGGGAAGTATTTGAAATACTTTGTTCTTGTTTTCAACAGCAGTTAAATTGAAAATAGTTGTTGCCGTAATGACGTCCCATTTCCTGAGTATGCCCCACTTGAAATGCAAATATTATATCATTATCTTTCAAAGGGTCTTGATTTCGAGTGGAATTATACACACTTCAAATTCAAGCTATAGGAACAGTTGAAATGCATCACTGTAATAATTGCCAAGTCATCATGGGCAGTTAAAATACAGTTCTTCATCCCGAGTAAAGATTTCTGTATTTAAAAGGGATTTTAAAACAAACTATTGAACGACTTCAAACTGTAGGCTAGTGTTTAAACAACATGCGTGTCATATACGTATTTCAAATTTAAATCACAAAGGTAATGCTTCTGCAAACACTAGACTGAATTTGCGAAGGTTTTTACCGATCATATATTGCCGATCGTCTCCCTATCAATTAGCGTCTTAGTTGGTGAATGGCATTGGCAATCTAATCTTTTTTTTACGACAATATGCACGTCAATGAGGAAATAGTTGACAAATAAATAAGTAACCATGTTGCATTGAAAGAACGTCTTTGTGGGATCTTAATAAAACCGAAATTCGCGATACTATGCATGGATGTGCATGTGCCGAAAAAGTACAGCTTCAAACGAACGAAAGAGTCAGCTTTTCCACAGTTTAACTATATATATACTCCGTATTATACTCGGATTTAAGTTATTTAATTACACTAGAATTAGCAATTTCGTTGCCAGCCGGTGTAATATAAGACAAGCTACAAGTTAAATCATGTCCGGTGGGAGACTAAAAAGCACTTTGTCATTTGGATGCTGGATTTAGATGCTAGCGTCATACAATATGGGCTTTCACGATTTACTGAAACACTGTGACTGATAATGACGGAATAAATCATTTTAATCACTTGGAAATGAGACGATTATAGGTTCGATGAAACATTATAAAATAAAAGCAGATTTTGCAGCAATACAAAATTCTCACAGCTATCTAACCTTTGCACTGTGCTTATAGATATATCTAGTTGTATGGCTGGGCCTAAGCATCTATAGATAAAAGTATGACAATTTCCCATCGAACGAAGTCCGTCACCTATTAAGGAGAGACCTCAGAAATAGAGGATATTTAAGCTCTAAAAAGTACTTAAATAAAAAAAGTTTGCCTAGACTAAGAATAAACATTGAAATACAAAATATTGCTTAAGCGTTGACATATCGACTTACGTCGTCGTATTCTGCTGGTCTTCTTTGCCATGCCAGGAATTAAGAAAGTCGTAAACGCCTTGTATGTGCTGTGCGCTCTCGTAGACACTGAATATGGTTTCATTTATATATTCTGCAGACAGCCCAGTTCTGTTTGCCAATAGTGCGAGTAGACTCTCATTTGCTAATACATTTGTTATAAGCTCTGAATTTGTTATGTTTACCGGTAAAGATAAATTAGTTTGGCTGGATCTTACCGCGTAGGTTATATCAATGAAATCTTCAATCAGTTCCATGTTATATGAATATGAAATATTTCACACAGTCATCACATGGTTACAAAGTTGAAATGTTGTTTCGTGCTAAAACCATCAGGTCTCTTCGAAACATTTACATTTGTATTAGGAATTAAAATATGCAAATCAAGCAACAATTAAACATAACATTGCAATATACCGCTGTTACCTCGGCTGTGACGCGACTAAAACTGTACAGAATTCCGCCGGAAGACTGGGCAAAACACAATACAGGAGAGGAAGATAGTGGTTGAATACCTTTGACAGTAATCCAAATTTTGACAACGCTAAAATCTCTGTGCAATATATAATTTATTTCCTGGATTACACACACATTTATAACCGTGCTGAAACTATTCTTTAAGTATTCTAATCGCCCCATATTAAGTCTAAGATACTAGTTTTTCGATAGAACTTGCTCAAACTTAGGATTACCCGTTGCAAATTTTCAACTGCAGTTACCACAGGAATTCGACAGAGGAAATTAACCGGACTTTAGTGCTGTTTCTCTAGTTTTATTTTCCTTGTAAAACAGAATAGTCAAGTTCACTTGTTGATAGCGAGGAGCTCTTTATGCCAACTATGATAATTTGAGCTCGCTGAATTGATGTCGTAGGTGTATTTTGCTCCGGCCAATGACCAAGGGCAGTAACAGCGCCAAAACATGCCCTTGCCATCTTTTTGACCACCAAACCTCGCAAGCAGTTCACCTGGGCAGGCCGAGTTGGGATGATGACTATTACACCATTTTGTTCTCTTACCCAGAACCGTAAAGCCTGTAGAAGAAAGGATAGATATGTTGAGTTGTGTACGGGTAATTCTCAAAAGTTGTCACCTAATTTTTTCTAAAGTTTAACAGACCTGAAGATCTCATTTCTCGTAATTCTCAAATGTCAAACAAGCCAGACAATATTAGCTACTTTCTAGTCATCTTTCCCAGAGCTATGTTTAGTTTGATATTTGGTGATTCTGTGTTCCGTTATATTTTTTCCCTACCTGGGATATATACTGCCGTATTCCATGCGACTTTAGTCCCTGGTAGATACTTTGCTAAGCTGCCCCAAGACACTATATTTCCGTGTATATTAAAGCCACCAGCGGACATGGGGTAGAAGCTCGTAGTCGTTATTTCATAGTTCCCAGACATTAAGTTGTGTCAGAAGTGCACTATCGGCTCCCAAACCAAGGATGAAACTTTTTCCCGCAGGTAATTCGGTCACGAGCTTCGTATCTTTGAAACTATCGCCTCTTTTATATCCATCATAAAATAAACTCACCGAACCTTCTCCTCCATTCCATTGTATGCACAGGAAATGCCAACTGCTACAGGACACAGATCTAAGGAAAGTATAAGGCAACAAGGATAAACTTTCAGAGGTGTCCTCAGGAGCGTGGTGGGCCAAATAATCGCACATTTTCAACTATAGTTTCATAAACTAAGAATAACAAAAGATTTCTATTTGGACAACCTTTTTGAGTGCTGACTGCATGAATATGACAGCGAGATCACTTGGTTTGCCATGGGTTTGTTATTTTACAATACCGTTGTTCAGAGTTCATCTACTTACGTTTCTCCAGAATAGCTGTTAAGAGTGAAGGATAATTTGGCTCTTGAAATGTAGCGAAAGCTGAACGTATTAGTCGTATCATAGGCAAAGAATTGTGTGGCTCCTGTCCCACCATCTTTGACCCACAAACAGCTGGTTAGAAACGTCATTGGTTTAGTTGGTCCTGGATAATTCACCTGGCTTGATAGTGGTAGGGTAATCTCGTAGTTCAACCCTTCACCTGTAAAGATTTTTAGATAGTATTAGCATTATAGTGGCGGTCTAATCCTGTCAGGAATGACTGCCTGTGATAACCAAGGTCGAATCAACCTGGCTAGACGCATATTATGTTGTCAGGCGTACCTGAAAAAGACGCGTTTGATGGACGAATGACCCTTAGATGTGAAACAAAGTCTTTTACTTTAAACCAAGCGATCAAATCACCTTCTTTCGAACCAGGACTTTTAGCAATCAACTCAATTTCGCTGCCATTTTTCGCCTCGCTCCATAAATTCACTCGACTTACATTTCCGACCAATGTGTAGTTTACGTTCTCGTGGGTAACTTTCCCAATGTTGAGATTCCCGCCGGAGGGTATTTTTCTACCTTTCAAAACATTCCTGTGTGCCCATAGGACGCCATCGATTAGTAGCATCCATTCGCCTGTGCCACCGGTCCACGTGAAGCCCACGTGATGCCAATAACCGTCACTTATAGGAATGGTTGAAGTTCTAATAAAATATTACAGAAAAGATAGGATCACTTCTTAAAAAAGGATAATGCAATGGCCAATGGTATTAATCGTTTCCTCAATTCTTGGCCACCCAACTTTGCACTGGAAGAAGAACCATCTTTGCAGCCATTTTCAACTTTTCCTAGAGTACTTACCCTATTGAATTACCAAACAGGTTTCCGGAAAAGCTTTTAATTGACCGGTTTCTGCTTGAATTGTCCGCGAAGAAGGCGAGAGCAATCGTTTCGTTTAAGTTTTGGAAAGTATACGACATCAAAGGATATACAGTAAACCCTGGATTAAATTTGATCCACGCAGTGAATGTAAACTCGTCGAAATCCACGTTGATTCTACCCAGATCAATAGGGCTTCTTTCAGGAGTGTCGGGGAAAACGATGTCATAGTCGTCTGAACAAACGGAAAAGGACTTTGGTTCATATTTACGAAGCTGTCAATGATGATAATTGTTGGCAAGAGCAGACTTTCCAGCCTTTTACAAGACCAAGGGGAATGTTTATAAAAGATACTATTACCTTTTTCATATTGGCAATATTTTCCATAATAATTGTCTTTGCATTTGCATTTGAAACCCTCCGGCTCACAACTGTCCGCTAAGCATTGCCCAGCGCTATTGCACGAGTTGTCTTTGACACATTTTGGCTGGAATGGAAACATACATTTACTTTATACGTACTACGAATTGCTACGAAAATACCACACAGAATCATCCCAAATTCCCCTAGATTATTCACTCGATTAGCAGTCGTGTTATTAGCTAATAGTCGTGGCTTAACCTTCAAAATATTCCGCAGTTCACACGACGGTTTTGTAGTGATAAACGCCTTTCTCATTATTCCAGTCATTCTACATGCATATATTCATTTAAACCGGACACCTTTTTCGATTTTAAGCCCTTTTTCTCAAAAACATAAGTTGTTTATTGATGCCAGTGTTACTACAAAAGAAAACTAAAAAACTCCTCAATCCAGAAAAAAAAATTTCATTTGAAAATTTCTCATCGCATCCAAGGTTAAAAAAGAACTTGTCAACAACCTGTCAATAGTTTTTAATGAACATGCACAAATAGCTTTTTAATTAAGTGTATCTTATTCAATATTTATTTAAAACATGCCCACCGATTCAATTATCTGTAACGTGTAGAAACTCCACTTCTCATCAGCAGCATTCTTCTCAGATATTTTCAAATACTCTGGTTTGCCTTGTGTTACTTGACAGTTGATTCCTTCATGAATGCCAACTCTATGCTTAAAGACTTCACAAGAGTTTTCAGCGCGACATAGTTGTGCACATTCCAAAACAGAACTTACAAAAACTTGCTTTGTGATGTTCACGTCCACGGTTTCTGTAAGACACGGTGAATACAAATGAAAACATTTCAGCCTTTTTGCCCATCAACTGTGGTTCAATAATTCGGCGAAAAATTTACAAAAAAATTCTCGGAGATACAACCTAAGCTGGGCGTTTCTCAGAAAATGGGAAGAGACTGAACTTGATGGAACGAAGCTTCTTAGATCAAAACTGGTCGACGAGCTTCTTTCATCCTTTTACAACTGGTTGCATGGCGGATCACATTTGATTGCAATGTTTTGCAATCAGGAATACCCCTTGGGGACACAACCTTGTATCTATGACTGTTTATGAGTGACTGTTTACGGGTGGCCTCCTATCATTATGCTAAGCAAATGAAGTGCCGGAGAACTGAAAACGTCGTTCGTGCGCGAAAGTAACAACGCTTTCACTTTGAAACTGAATGTGTATATATACAACAGTTTACTGTCCTTTCCTTTTTAGAGGCATTTGCATAGCTGATGATAAAATTAATTGAATGTACAAGTGCATGTCCTAATATTGCATGTAACCTAGCTGCCTAATAACTTTCCTTTGAAAAATTAACTGCGATTGGTTTACAGTGATATGCTTATTAATACTGTTAGCCTAACATTGTATTGTTTTTAAATAAAGAAGATATAAATATGAAATAATTTATGCTAAGAATTCTCAGTTTTTAAAATTGGATTTCAATAATAGTTAATACTATGTCTATGAGTGGCACAAGACAATTTCATGCAGAAGCATCATTAATTGCATTATTTGGGATGGATAATCATCAAAAACATCCTGCAAGGGTGGCTTAATTATTAAATAGCATCTCTAGTAAAATACGGCTTAGTTGTCAGTCATGACAAATATAGTTCTCGCTCTTTAATCCTTTGATTAAACTTGAGACTTGAGACTGAATACAGATAAACCTTCAATAAAATATCATGTTCACAATACTGGACTAATTTAATCAAAAAGTTTCTCTTTTTATTTACACTGGAAGTCGGACTGAGTTTGACACTCAGTTGCAGAACAAACTGATTTACGATCCGAGAAAAACCCGGTAAAGTTTACAACCTGTAAAAGATAAATTTCTAACATCTTCCAAATTTTCTCATCTCTGTATGAAGAGGCCCGTGCTTACCCGTGCTTTTCTTGAAAATTCCTTGTCGACAAAATGGATCCTGTCGCAATGCACTTGATCTGCTCTTTAAAACCACAAGTAATATACCCAGGATTAAGAAAACCCATTCTGATTTTTCACACCTCTGAGACATTCTGTATTCGATAGTAGGAGAAAAAACCTGTTCAACACATTCAGGTGTCAAGCAGTGAACGAGCGTCTTGTAAATGGTAAAAATGAAACATGTCACTGCATGAGATACATTATTAAGCATTAAATATTCAAGAAAGATCCACCCAGTTTCAATAATTACAACCTGTCGAAGAAAAAATTGATGCACAACAGAAATTGCCAATCATCTGTTAAGTGGATTATGGGCTTAGTTCTACCGTTTTTTACACTTTTAAAATTGTGCTGTAATTTTAATAATCTTTGAAATCTGCTAAAAATTTGCTTCGGAATCTACTCAAAAGTTACTCCCAAGTTTCAAAGAGTTGCTAGTTTTGCACAAGGTAGGGATTGCTCCAACTCGTTGTAAAAAGTTTGGGACAAGCCCTTTAACAACTTTTAGCAAGTCTGAGGGCATTATCAGACTTGTTATTACGATGCAACACAAGATGATATCACAAACTGAGGAAGAACATATCTTTAGTTTGTGATACAACGTTCGTTTCGCGCCACGATGCCGAATCCAGTAGCCGCCGTAGGCGTGCCAGGGGGGGAGAGCCGTACTCAAATCTGAAGCTCTCTAATATCACAGTGTTACTATATAGCTCAGTGAGGCAGATCCAAAAACAAAATGGCCGTCAAGTTTCTTAGTTTAGTTAAGACATAAGATGATCTTTTACATATTTGTTCCAAAAAATGGATATCATTTTGTTTTGTTGCTTATAGATGGACGTTTATGATGTTGCGTGAATTCGTGTTTATTCTCATATATCTTTCTCTTTGTGGCTTATGTGAGGAAGCCGTTGGAAAACATGATAAAAATATACTGAAGACTTTTGGTGGTCCCACGTTAATAATTGTTATTGTTTTTTGTGTTCTGGTAAGAATTGCTTCGTTTTAAACGTATATTTGCAAAGATTTGCTTTTGCAGCGATAACCCAGACAACACGAGTGGCGTAACTTACGTTCTTTTTGCAGGCTGGGTTGATTTTAGTTCTGCTTGTTAAAAGACAATTGCTGAGGGTTTTATTGTTATCTAAGAGAGGTGCACATACAGCTGTTGCATCTGGAGCTCCTCGAGTAAGTTGATGTGGTTGAAGTCAAACATGGAAAGCCTGATGTTACATGAAGTTTGATTGGCTGAAGGTACAAAACTAACCAACCAATCAAACTTCATTGTGTAAGATCAGGCTCTCTCGCATTTCACATCATTATGAGAAAGGTCTCATGAACATCCTATGAAGCAGGTCAAAGCATTGTATGTCATGAACATGTATTTTCAGAAACTTGCAAATGAAATCGAAGCAAGTATTTGCCGGGTTGAAAGAATGAAAATTGAACCTAGAACTTTGGCTGAGAATATCCAACAGTTACATAATGAAGAGACAAGATTACAGAGCATTACACGTAAGGCTCTCAATGTCATATCATTTATGTTTAAAAAACATGTTTAAATGAATGATTGAACTATGTTTTAGGTCCTGAATCGGTACATCATTTGTACAACTTGAGATATCGTTTTAAAGCAATTGATTCAATGACCTGCTTTGGTATGTTATTTGGTAAAAGAGCTATTGTGACCATCATCCATTTTCCTGGTTGATTAGTTACCAAGTTCATTGATTTTTATTTTGTCTGTCACCAGATGACTTGCTATGCAGCATTGATGTGGAATATTGCCGGAAAAGTCACCAGACGGTTCGTGACCATTTTTTATCCCTGCAGAAGCCACCAAGGGCACCTTTGGTAGGCTCTGAAGAGATTTGTGAAAAAGTTGTCCAACTTTATGAACATGCAAGATTTGGCAAAAAAGTAATCAAATCATTTTGTATTTTCTGAATTTGAATACCCAGGATCTGAATGAGAATTACAAGTCTTTTTTCTTCTTTCACAAAGGCATTTGGCCAACATGAATATCAGCAAATAATGAAATATATTGAAGATCTAAAAACAAAGTAGGTATTCCTCTCAAAATCCATTTATCAGCATAATGAAACACACAGCAAATATTGGTCTCTTACTCTCTTTCATGTGGAAGTACCCATGGCTTTTTAAAGCCTGTGGCTAGGAATGATGTGATTTCTCATAATCTAATTTAGATTACGTCAAAAGGTTGTAATCCCAGGTACACTAGTGTCGTCTGACAATGCAACATCCAGTAAAGATGTTCAACACTCTTCAAAAGGTCCAATTCGGCGGACACAGCGAAGCAAACCTACTGCAGTCTTTTACACTTCTGTCGAAAAGTCTAGTGGTACTATAAAAGTGTAACATATATTAAAAAAGTAGATAATTATATACAGTATAAAGATTTGATGAAATATCTTGGGTGGCTGTGTCGTATTCCTGTTCCACTTCGTTGCTGGTAACATGACGTATTAAGCATTTTACAAGATGGTGGAGCCGAAGAAGAAATCTTCGACAATGACTGGTGTTTATTATTTTGAAGAAATAGACAGGATTTTCAATGATAATACTGAAATGTAAGTGTTGATATAAGTGCACTTGAAAGTCTGTTTGAAAAGCTGAAAGTTCTTTTTTTGTATTAGTTTGTATGGCACGGTAACTCCCGAGTTTTGCAGTAAGTAATTCCTATCCTTTTCAGTGAAGAATTTGATATTATTCCTGCAATGAGACCGGAAAGTAAGAGTTGCTGCCCTTATGTTCTTGATGAAAATAAACTTGGAATCTTTTCTTGGTGTGTGAAAGATCTATTCTGTTATGTTTATCGTCAGTTAATGGAAAAGAAACGATGGAAATGTATTGAAAGAACGGAAGAAGGTGAAGAAAAAGTATAAATAAAGTTAGTTTAGTTTAGGTTTCCTCCTGTAGTAAAACTGGATCTAAAAAATTTAATATGGTTTCAGGTGTTTATATAATGAAATTGAGTCGGATTGCACTGCTTCTACATGCAGAGGATTATACAATATGGAACTTACGGTAAAGTCAAGATTTGCAATGAAAGTAGTTCCCTGTGGAAACAGGAAAAAACTTTTATTCTTTTTAAATTTTAGGAAGTGCTGTATAACAAAGCAGATAGAAAAACAGGCGAAGATGGAATTGGACTTTAGTGCCTTGGTTTTGAGAAAACATCCACGAAGTGCGGAGACATTCTCTCACAGGTATAATATATTATACAGTCCATGAGCATTTATGTTGTGTACATGAGGATGGTTTGGGAAATGCTTTTTGACATCAAAGATGATGTAAGAATGGCTAAACTCAGCAAGTAACCTGCATTAATTACCCCAGCATCTCTTATGCTATCCACATGTTATATATCAATATATCATTCACATGCTGACATGCTCATTCATTATTCTTGTTTTTAACACTGTCTATACTGTCATCTCTACAGGCTGATAGCATGCTTTCAGTACACCAAATTTCCACAATATCATCTTTTGAAAGGAGTCTTAATTTTTTTGTCGTTGTTTAGTGCAGACGTTGGCTCATAAACCTACTACAAAGGCTGCAAGAAAAGTTGTTGAAAACACCACAATTTTGCCAGCAGGAATTAGAATTGTCTCTGCTGTGCGCTGATAGATATCGTGATAATTATATTACCTGGGATCACAGGTGCTGGGTGGTTGAAAACTTTATGTTGGACAAGATAACATGGTTTGAAGAAGAGTTAAACTCTACGAAAAACTGGTTATGGTCTCATGTGTCAGACAACTGTGTTTATCATTTTCGCGAACAACTGTTAAAGAAGCTTGCAGCTTTCTGGTAAGTGATTTTTGTCTTTGGTACTATAAGAGTTCAGATAGCTGCAAAGTAAGGTAACATAAACTATCTTTTTAGCTCATTGGAAAAGATGAGAGAACTTTTGTTGGCAGAATTCAAATTAACAGATGAAATTATAAACCATTATGCTGTGTTTGAGACAGTTTGGTATCACAGGTAGTCCCCTTTGTGGTTAAAATGTGGGAAGGGATTGGAATAAATAGAACTAATGAAGACAGATTTGTTGATTTAAAAACTCTTTTTCTACTAGGCAATTCATTATAAGCTTCTGGTCAACTAAATTTCAACTTTGTCATTCCTGCCTTATCACCTGGGGAAATACTGGAGATCAAATGTCAGACAAATTTAAACTCCTAAAAGATTCGGAAAATAAACTAAATAGTATGAGCTGCCAATCTTGCGGACATTTGGATAAAAATGATGTAATATCTATTACAAATGAGATGAAATTTTGTCGACAGATAATCTTACAAAATAATGACCATTCACCCAAGCTCATTCGTCAGTCAGCACTTGCAAAGTCTCATGTTACATGGATGCGTTTTTTTGTAAGAAAATATTACAAGAATCTTCAGAATAATGTTTTATTAACGATTGTATGTATGACTATTATTTTCACAATATGGTAATATATAAGTCAATTTTTACCAAATCACTCTGGCATTCACTTCTAAGGAAATTCCCTGAGAAAAGTTTGACTCTATCAAGGGGAAGGAGTTAATATATTCTTGTGTGTCATATATTCAAATGTGTCTCAGCTTATTGAAAGCATCTTTCCCACCCCTGACCCCCACAGACTGAAAAGTATGCATATTTAAATTGTGAGACAAGAAGTCAAGAATTCTCCAGAGTGTGTCATGTTTTTCCAGGCTTGGGGTGATTTGTAGGCGGGTGGAATGGCGGGTGGAAGGTGGGCGATAGGTGGGCGGGACAATGGACTATGCAAACCAATGAACTGGGGCAAACTGAAACTGGGCAAACAGTCAAGAGTGGTATTAGCACAAAACGTGTACATTTCAAGCTCGAAATTTGACTCGTAGTACTTTAAAATAAACAACACATAAAATGGCAGAAACTGCGGAGGTTACTGCGACAGTTTCCGTCTCAGATGTGTTAATAGACAGCAAGTCGGATTCGAAAGAAATTAACAATGATCCGGCAAAAGAAAATGGCTCCAAACCAGTCGCTTCAAGTTCGAGCGAAGGCGAATTCTTAGCTCCAGCCGAGGAATACTGGACAACCGATGCTGATGGTGCAGTTAAAATACGTGTAGGAACTACTGAACATGATAACACTACGCCAATAACAGTTTATGACTTGTTTAAACGCACTGCGGAGAAAGCTGGAGATTGCGTAGCTTTGGCAGTGAAACGTAATGATCAGTGGCAGAAATGGACGTATTCTCAGTACATGGCTGATATAAGAACCGCTGCCAAAGGTTTTATCAAGGTAAATTATCTTATTTTGTTTATTGAGTATTTGTGTATATTTCGAGTATTCGTGAGGGGAAAATGCGTTTTTAAATTGTCTTAAAAATGCCACTTGTATTATAGAAAGAATTCTTGTTCATGAAATATTTTGGTGCTTGTAGCTTTGTATTAAAAATTATAATATCCTGAAAGCTTTTCCGCATTTAACCCTTGAAATATTTAAAAAAATATTCAAAATATGGGATCTCACAGTTGGGATATGCAGTATTCGTTGATGTGAAAAATATATTTTGTTATATACGTAGCTGCTGATACTATTACAATGTGTCAATTTGCATTTGAATAGGGTAAAAAATACTGCGTAAAATATTGAATCTTATGTGTAGAAAATTATCCGATTGTGATAATACCTATCATGTCTGAAATTTGCGTTTCCTGGATGACTAGGATATGTCTCGACATAATATTGGTAGGGGGAAAGTAAAAATCTATAATTGGCAGTGCATGCTAATTTATTTTCATCTTCAATGTATCAAATTCACTAGATTTTTGTTTAGCAAGCCTGAAAATGCTTGGTTTTCTATTACAATTCATTCTTAGAAATGATTTTAGAAGTTTATTGAAGGTCATTCCATGAAATCCCAGACATGCTTAATATATTGAGTATATATGACCTATATATGATATAGTGGCAATTGCATTCCTCACACCATGTGGCCTGCTGACCCATGTGATTATCATGTGAACACTTTCAACTTTTATTGTTGTAAGGTCTTTGTTGAATGATATTATATCTTTTTTTTATGCAAGAGTTCAAAGTCAATCTCATATTGCATAACAAAAATGTTTGCGATCTTAGCTTGTCTATGCAAGCCTGAGAACTCCATTGGGTGGTCCAATTACAGTAATGAACTTGAACAGCCTTTAAATGCGTACCATACAGCTTTTTTGCTCATACAATTGCAACTAAACGAAAAAATGATGTGATGAAGTTATATATGCTAGTATATATTTTTCAGCTTTGATGTGAAGTAATTCCCTTTGTAATACAAGCAATTATGGAAATTTAATGTTTAAAGACTTGAAAAAACATGCATTCTTAATAAGCTATCAAAATTAGTCAATCCCAGCAGTTGTCAAAAATGGCATGCCACAAAACCATATATTGTATAAATAAGCCATTAATTTTTGCATACCAAATTATGTTTTGCCTGCCATCAAAACACCTAAATTGAAAGTTCACCACAAAATGTCTAGAAAATTTCTCCTACCTAATCATGCATCATGCAATCTTTAGTCAGGCAAAAGTTAGGTCAAATATAACCTACTGCTCTCAAATACATAATTCTTTTATTCATCTTAATTGGAAATTTTTATAGCTTGGTTTGGAAAGCTTTAATGGTGTATCTATAATTGGCTTTAATTCACCAGAATGGCTTATTTCAGATGTTGCTGCAATTTTTGCAAGGTATATGGTACTATGGTATAAATATATTGTGTGATGAAGCTATGCAATATAGTTATAACCACAGCTTAATTCAAAAGGGCAACGTAATAACTATGGTACTCTGAAAATGTATCAGATCTTGAAAGTCTCTTTAAAGTCTCAATCTTTTCTTCATCCAGTTTCATCCAGGTGCATATGCATTTGACTCTAAATAGAAAGTCCCTTACGTTGCATAGGAGTTGAGTGAATTAGTGACAATCCCCACATATGTCATTCAATGCAATTGATGCTAAAAACCTTTCTTTTGTTAGAGGTTTGGCTGTTGGCATTTACACAACAAACTCTCCCGAGGCCTGTAAATATGTGATAGAGGATTCCAATAGCAGTATTGTCGTTGTGGAGAATAAAATACAACTTGATAAAATTTTAAAGGTATTTAGGAAGAAATGCATCTCTTTTCACTCCTGTTTTAATGAAAGTGATACCCACTTTCAGCTCCTGAGAGAAATTACAGTATGTTAAAGTGAAATGCTGGCCATCAAAACATCACTGACATTTCCTTCCTTGATCTAGATTTGGGATGAGTTGCCAAATCTTAAGGCTGTTATTCAGTACACTGGTGAATTGGAGGACAAATCCAAACCTAATGTTTATACGGTATGAACGATGCTTATATTAATGGAGTCTGAAATGCCTCCAGCCTGAAATGTTTTGACGATTTTAAGGCACAAGGGGGGAGGAGCATTCATACGAAATTGTATCATATTTGCACTAACCACAGAGCCAATGCATACAATGTCAATGAAGAATCTTGTTTTTTAATCTAGTGGAAAGATTTTATGGAATTAGGAAAGTCCTGTGATGACACTGAGTTAGATGCAAGAATTGGTTCTCTGAAAGCAAACCAATGTTGCACTTTGGTCTATACTGTAAGTTTCAGTCCAACATATAGAATTGTGATGTGGTCACATCAGCTAGGAGTGGTCTGGTAGTGCATGAAGGGATGTACACTCAATAATTTATACATTCTGTTTTAGTCAGGCACAACAGGCAATCCCAAAGGGGTAATGCTATCTCATGACAATGTAAGTACTAAATTGCTTGAATGTCCATCCAGAGAAAATAGAAAGATCAGTTGCGGTCTAGAAGAAGCACCCACTGAGCCATTATCATACTGGACTATCGTACAATGTAACTTACTATACTACTGTAATATTTTCAGGTTGTCTACACGAGTGGGGTGTCAGTTAAATTTATGAACATGGAGTATAAAAATGAATGCACCATCAGTTTTCTTCCGTTGAGTCACATTGCTGCCCAGGTTAGAAATTATAGAAACAAATTATCTTCAATCCCAGCTTAGTTGTAATAGATATAATAAATAAGATGGTATAATGAATTTTGTTGCAGTTGATGGATATTTACATGGCACAACATTGTGCTGGAACTTTATGGTTTGCTAAGCCTGATGCATTAAAGGTAACATCTTTGAAATCTGACTTCCATATTTTTTTGAAAGTTAATCAAAATCTTGCGTTTTTTGTTCGGTGTTCAAGGGAAGTCTTGGCGAGACTTTGAAAGAAGTGAGACCAACTTTGGTGATGGCAGTTCCAAGGTTTGAACGTTAATTCGACCTGAGTATTGCGGTTGTTACGCGTGCATTTATTGAAAGCCTGAACGTTTTGAATTCTTTATGGTAGAGTTTGGGAGAAGATTATGGAGAAATTACAGACAATTGGTCGAAGTACGACGGGCATGAAAAAGAAAATCTCAACTTGGGCAAAAGGCGTTGGTCTTCGGGGAAATATGAATTTAGAACAAGGGTGAGATATTTGCGTTTTGGTGCTGGACTAAACAGCTTGAAACCGGTCGTTTCCCTCCTTAAACCTCCCCCATTGTAGCCTGAGATCTATTAATCTATGTCTTTTTTGTAATTAGAGCTTCGGTACCGTTTGGATGGACTGTTGCAAACGCTTTGGTGTTTAAGAAGGTAGGGAAAACTATGACACAATCTCCAATGTCGCATAGTCAACCAGAGTTATCGATACAGGGCAATGGAAATCAGCCTAATAGATGAACTAAATACGTCTTATTTTCAACCAGGTTAGAGCAGCTCTTGGTCTTGACCGCTGTCGACATTTAGCAACGGGCGCAGCCCCAATCACCATGGAAACACTGCGCTATTACCAAAGTCTCAATATACCGCTATATGAGCTGTATGGTATGAGTGAGTGCTCAGGACCGATGACTGTCGGGAAGGCTAGGAGAAATCTCACAGGCGCGTGTGGAGCAGCGGTTGATGGACTTCAAATGAAGATTCATGAACCGGACCAAGATGGAAATGGGGAGGTACAGTATGGTACAATGTGGTACAATACGATACAACGTGTTACAATATGGTACAACGTGGTACAACTTGGTACACAAATATGGTACAACGTGGTACAATGTAATACAATATGGTACAACCTGGTACAATATAATACAATATGGTACAACGTGGTACAATATGGTACAACGTGCCGTACAGCGTTGTTCAGTCTGTACCAGAGCACTTAATTTTCCCCTTTTCCATTGAAACGAGTCGATAAGTTACGAAAGTTTGAATCATGGCGCCTGCCATTCTTGCGTTTATAGTGAGAATTTATAGCCATTCACTCGTTTGCATCCATGAAAAGACGAAAGTCGCAAGGGTAAACATGGACTTTACCACAATCAAGTTACTTTATGTTCATTCACTTAGATATGCATGTTAGGCCGCCATGTTTTCATGGGTTATTTGAATAACGAGGAAAAGACAAAAGAAACGATGGATAGTGATGGATACTTACATTCTGGTGACATTGGCAAGATAGACAAGGTTTGGATACAATTCAAAGTATGTAATATCGTGATCTTTCGTTTCTCGTTTAATTTTATTTCTTGTCTTGCTCAGAATGGATTCCTGTTTATCACTGGCAGAATAAAAGGTGATGATTATGACTAACTTATGGTAGTTTACTTTCCTGTGGCAATTTTGGTCAAGTAAGACGTAATTCTTACTAACAGTTGCCTTATTTATAATTTCGTGCTGTAGAAACAGTGAAATCCCAGCGCTGTAGCGTTCCGGCACAAGTAATGTTGACTTGTAATAAACTAGCGAAATTATTTTTATTCCAGAAATAATCATTACGGCTGGAGGTGAGAACATTGCTCCAGTTCCAATAGAAGATCAGTTGAAAGTTGAAGTCCCAATCATCAGCAATGCGATGTTGATCGGTGATAAAAGAAAGTTCCTGTCTTGTCTTTTAACCATCAAGGTACATTGCAATCCCTGAATTGATAAAGCAGACTGCTTTGGCTTTAGTTCATTTGCAGCCCCGACACGTACTATCACTAGAGTATAAAACACCTGTCAGAAATGAATTTGATGGCAGAGTGAAGTGAAAACATAGCTTCTTTTTCTTCGTTCAGAGCGAGATGAATTTGGAAACTGGTGAACCATTGAACGACCTCACAGAACTCGCAAGAGATTACTGTAAACAACATGGCGTAGAAATTAAAACTGTCTCAGAATTTTTGGAAAAGAATGATGAAAAAATTATGAAGTCAATTCAAGATGGAATAGATCGTTACAATGAAAAAGCTACATCTCGAGCGCAAAAGGTATGGTGGCACTCTTCCCCCTTTGTTGAAATTTCTCAGAGGAAGGAATTTCAGATTTATTACATCATTCAAGTATAAGTATACGTTATTTAACAAGAACGATTAGTTCCAAACAGATCTCACAAAAACCTTGTTGTTTTTCAGATTCAAAAATGGTGCATTCTTGAACATGATTTTTCCGTTCCTGGTGGCGAACTAGGTAGGTTCTGCTTATTCACTTTACCTTTTAATTGATTATTTAAATTATTCTTAATTGAATTACCGACATTAATTAGCTGCAATTTGTGACAATTACAACTCCTTTCCAATCAGTTCGACCGTTAACATGAGACGAGCAATAGGTCGTGAATTATTCTTAATTAAATTACCAAAATTAATTAGCCGACAATTGCGTCAATTACAACTCTCTTTTATTCAGGTCCAACCATGAAAATGAGGCGACCTATTATTGCAAAAATGTATGCGAGCAAAATCGATGCCTTCTACAGCTAGAAACCTCATGAAACTCAACACAAAGACAGCCCGGTATTCCCTGCATATTATACGTAAGCAGTGTTCAACTAAAATAGACTTTCACCTTAAACTCATATTTTATATTATATCAATTTAGAATAGAAGAATTTTTGATTTCCCACGGAGATTACCACGGGCCAAAGTGGCCTCCATGACCGTAGTAAAATTTTTGATAAATTAAAATATAAATAAGTGTCGGGGTATAATCGCCCGCTTGTATAAAACTCTTGGCATGTTTTCCTTCCAATGTTTTATATTTATCTCATAGACTACTCTAAAATAATATTTAGTCGATAATTGACCACTTTCGTTTGTGTACTTGTGGTCATGTTGTGTAAACATCCGGTTTACGACCGTAGTTCCGCATGAAAACCTGAATACTTGATTAAAGATCCTTCTATTCCCTCAATTGGCTTGGCAAATAGATGAAGCGCAAACATATGCTAAGACCACGTTTACACAGTACACGGTACCTGGTTTCTATTGGAACAGGTCAAATTTTGTGGATAATAAAAAGCAGTGAATATTTTCAATGTCAGAGACCAGAATAATACACGAAATCTATCCTATGCATTTGCAACCAATCGTTGCTCCAAAACGTCAAACGACCAAGCTGCTTTGGTCCTCCGCATAAACGAAGAAACTAATAGATGTCACTTGATCTCCCCCCCTCTACCCTCCCCCAAGAATAAAATTCAGCAGTTTCAACACCGTTTGAGGATTCAATCTTGTTATCGATGCGAAACGTTTCAGGAAGGCTCAGTGGCATCTGGTTTTGCCATTTTGGTTTTCTTATCTTATTCAATGGTGAGACAGGCAAAGGGAGATTGTGTGGATAATATCTTAATCCGTATATATATTCCGTATACAAAGATAAGTAGGGAATAAACCTATTTTTTAAATCGGTTCACAATAGCTATAATCTTCGTGGGACACATATAGACACATTCGTCCACGTAAACAAAGTTCAGGTATTAATAATACTAGGAAACACTGCATGTCCTCACTCTTCCTAAGAAGAGATGGACATATGTGGTTGAGGTGATTGAGGTTATCCAATCTTGATCAGAATTATCCTAGAATTACCCCAGAAATCGTTTGACATATCTCCTCATGACCATAAGAATCGCGCTCGCTATTTTAGTAAAAACTCAGATGAACCGCCCGCGCTAAATCAGTTTTAAAACAAAATCATTCACCGATTCTTAGATACCGTGAAATCAGTAACGGAAATTTCGTGCAACGACATCATATTGACGTAAACGATGTTCTTATCGTTGATCAGCAATAAATATCTTATCAGAAATGATGTCCAGCAATACTTCGTCCCACATTTTTATCTTGAGACTACTTTCTATTTCCAAACAGATTTTAAATTAAATCTATTAAAGACTGTCCCCGTGGCAACAGAGACAAAGAACAGGTGCATTTTGGGGCGCGACACCCTTAATAGAGGCCACATTATAAAACAACAAATATGCTATGAATATAATCGTTCTTGACTGTTTTATTGAATTTCGCGTTTTTGCTGTTTCAATATTTATACGTTGGGCAGTGCAAACAGTAAAAAAACGTTTCAGAAGGAATGAATGTATTATTTTTGCAAATTTCCCATCTGCGCGTGAGCACAAAGGCCCCCGTTGGGACATATGGCGGTATCAATTTCCTAATTTGGTGTCACATGACATACAAATGTTAATTTCACAACTGATGAATTCTTATTTTGAGAGCTAAGTGCGCATCGCGAGATTATTAGGCGATCTGATGTGCCTAACCAGTCCAATATTAGGCTCTTTAGACAGCGGAAGAGCTGTTTTGTGTCCTGCTTTGGTGTGGCGCCCAATGCGTTTCTTTCTCACGCTTTTGTAAAGAAATTTATGTTCCAATCGAACGCCTCACATTCTCGTCGTGTTTCGTGTGTCATTTATGTTGATTGCGGCTCAACTACGGATGATTTGAAGTGCTATCAGACTCGAATTTAACAAATAAGAAGTCTTATACGTAAAGTGGGAAACGAGGTGGGAAGTATGTCGTTTACTTTGTATAGTTTAGTCTGCCTATTTGGGCCACCCGCTCTGCATTTTACTGTCATTATAATGTACATATCTTTGCCGTGGAATAACAAACTCCCCCTTGCTGTTCGCTGATGTTTACTGATATTTCCTGATTAACACGCAGCCGTTTACTTTAGGAGTTGCTTAATACAACATGGCCGAATCTGGTAACTTTAGTTCAAAGCATTTCGCAATTCAGGCGCAGAAGAAAATATTGGGAAAATTGGCAAGCAAGAATGTGGCTAAAGTCTTTGTGGACGACACGACAAGCGGCTTATTCGACAACCTTTATACGGTCGCCAAGCGAGATACAGGGAATAAGAAAGAAGCTGAGAAGTTGCTCAAAGACCTGATCAAAATAGCAGTAAAGATTGGTGTGTTATACAGAAATAAGCAGTTCAGCGAGGCTGATATGAAAGCGGCAGAAGCATTTCGAAACCAATTCAAAACGACAGCCATGACTATAGTGAGTTTCCACGAGGTTGATTTTACATATGACCGCCAGTTCTTGACAAATTCACTATGCGAGGCGAAGAAATCTTTACATTCTCTGATCGATAGTCATCTTACGCAGAAATCACACGGCCGAGTCGATCATGTTTTTGACTATTTCTCGAACGGGGAGCTATTAGATAAACTGTTCCAGACAGACTCTTTTAAAGACGTACGTGGTGAAATAGCAGATGGACTTAATAATTTAATGGAACATGGGGATTTGTAACGACAATTTAAATCTAGATTTTAAAATAACTGTACCTATACGAAATTTCAATATTCCTTATAAAACCCTGAGGGACATTGCTGTTCGTTTGGCCGCTGTTGCAACACTTAAATACAGACAAAATATTACTAAGAAATATTCACAATTAGCATACAAACTGTGGGCAAATATTCAAATTTCATTTGCCTCTGTTTCATTAAAGTCTGGCGAGCAAGTATATATATTTTAACTTCAGTACGAAGACAAAAATGAAATCGTATTATTTCGAGATCTTTAAAAGGAATTAGAGTTTTAAAAGCGAAAGGCTCGCAAAAAGAGCTTTAAGGTCATATCAGTATTGTACATAAAGAGAGATAAAGAGGCTGATCAGTAAAATTTAAAAGTATAATGTAGTATATATAATCTTAGACCATATGGCAAATAATGTGCCGACTCTTAATTGATGCTTTAAATTTGTTCTAAAATTTTCGTTTTCGTTTTAATGGCATAAAGATTTATTCTAAAAACGTATTAATTTGTCATATTTTCTATGGCGTTCGCGTGTGTATGATAAATCACTTTGTCGCTTCTAAACATACTCAGATAAACTACAGTTTCCTGAAGAGGTGTTAATTGTTCCTTGAAAATTCAAAGGTGATGAATACCATTTATAATGCTATTATAGATTTTGGACAACTTTCAGTTCTCACGCGAGCTCCCGTCAACTTTTGTTACATTTTGTTTGGAAGCTTTTGTAACTGCCTGATATTTTGATATTTTTTGCTTTCGATTATCTCGAGTATTTATTGTAATGTATATTGGCCTTACGCAAAACTAATCCCTGAAGTTTATAATCCTTTAATCGCCAAGAACAAATGCTTTAATGTGCGATTTCATAGTCCACTATGCGCCTTCAAGTTTCAATTTCCTTATCCGCAACAGGTTTTATACAAGTCAAGTTTACACAAGGTGTTTACACAAAGCACGATTCAGGCATCATATCTGCGGCAGCACACAATGCATGTTTACACTTGCGGTTTAACTTCTCCTATTCGGCCATTTTGATGTGCTTTCCAAACAAAAAATTCATTTTGCGCAAGTATTTTATCATTTGTCAATCAGCAGTTCAGTTCATTGGTCAATGGTCACTGTATTGAAAATGAAAAACACAAACACGCGCCTGCATTTCCATTTTTTTCTGTATGATTCTCTTTTTGATTGACACAAACGAGTGCAAATAATATTTTAGTAAGATTATAGTTGGAATTATAGTCCACACAAGTCACAACCTCTGAAGTCTGGACTTTCATAAACACTAAACAGCAGCCATTTTGATACCAAGTGGTATACTAAAATGAAGTATCTCCAACCATACCATTTCAGCGCAGGCTCAAGTTGTCAAAATAAAGGACTAAAAATTTGTGGTTTTTTTAATACAATTTCTCCAAATTATTTTACAATAGTTTTCAAACTAAATCATGTCAAATAAGAACAAATTAAGCCGTGATTCATCCAGAAACACGGTTAAAGGAAACGATCACCCTGTTATGGAAGGCGGTTCAAATCTGCCAAGGCACGCTCAAAATTTTGACCTGGGTCTTGCTATGACTGTCTCAATTAGAAAGGACGATATTGAAAAAATTATGTCCATCCAGAATAAAAGGTTCGTATTTTAGTTTATTTATGAATAAATGTGAGCTCTGCCTTGCCACTGATTTAGAATAAAGAATGACTGTGCCTGTATTTCTGTATTTGGTGATCTATTTAAAACTATTAAATGATCAACATTACTTTTTGTAGCATCAAAAACTTTGCAAGAACCAACGAACTGCTTGGAAAGTTTAATGACTTCTCATCATCAAAGTATGATGTCTTACAACACATGTTTCTTCAACATACACGACTTTTGGTTGATCTTAAGAAAGACTTGACAAATGTCTTCTTAAGGATAAGGTATGACTGCATTTTACATTGGATGGTTTAGGAAGACATAAGTAAAACTTGAAATACTTCATTCATTCATTTTAGACGTCTCAAGGTAAGACTACAGAGACAATATCCTGAGTCCTTTGAAGGTGAGTGTTAAGACATAATTTGGCTGAAGTTTCGTTTCAATGGGGTTTCATCTTTTCTATGATACGTAATTGTAGTTTTGACGCATTTTAAATTTTCTTAAATAGCAACGTTTAATCTGCGAAAAGATCTTGAAGATCGTTTGGAAAAAGAAGAGGCAAGTGAACCAACTTATGGTACCAGTTCAAAAGAAAGAACTAAGAATAAGAAAGGGAAAAGCAAAACTAAGAATAATGAAAAAGAAAAAGACGAAGAGGAGAAAGGTATGAGTAAAACACAAAATAAAAACTCTGAGTTGGTTGATAGCAAAATTGTTGAGGGAAATGATGGTTTGAGCTCAAAAATTAAGGGTCCAGATGTTGATAATGATCAGGTTCAAATGCAAGACACTGTATTGCTTAACAATGCAGATAAAATCAGTGATTCAAAGCCTGATCATGGAAAAATACCTAAGACAAAATCAATTAAGAGAGAATTGTGTGCAATGGATAAAACACAATTTCCTGCAAATGTGGAAACCTGTGTTACAAGTGATATGATTGAATGTGAAGAAAGAGACAAAGATGAAACGTCTGGTACTGACGTTTGCACAAATGTGAAAGTAAATGAGAATGTAAGTGAGTGTCCTTGTGGGATTGAAGATAATGAAGATGGGATAAAGAGGGTAACTGAGGAATACAGGGATCATCAGAGGACCAATGACAAACCAGTCCAACAGGACTCAAATGACACTTCTTTTACTGGAGTGAAAGACTGTGATGAGGCATCAGATGTTGATAATGGGGATACTCATGTGATAGAAAAGGATCCTGAAGGGACTGTGAGGAATTCAAGCAATGCTGAAGATTGTGGGGATGTTAATGATGATTCCTGAAATCCGATAAGATTCGGATATTATGTTGAATGAAACTTTTAGGCGAGTTGTGGCAAAACATTCGCCAGTCATGTAATAGCATACGTAAATCCTTTTTTTAATTGACAAAATACATAAAAATTAATTGACGAATTATGAAACCCATTAAAATTAATTGCAAACATTGCATATTACTTAGGAACTAAATTCAAAATTTAAATATTTTTATTGAATTGGCTTACAATGCGTCTATATACAACATCATTTATATTGTTGCCTAATGCATATTTCTCTAAAGATAAATTGATTTTTCTACAAAAAAATATCCTATTCAACGATGAACGAATGTCGTCCGGTTTGATTCGTTCATTTCTCGCTTTTTTTCACAATAATTTACTGCTGTTTTCAAATCCTGCGGGATTGAGGGTCCTTCTTTCTGACTTTATTTTGACGCCTTTTTCTGTTCCTTCAACATTTTCCTATATCGAACTATTTCAATGTCGACCAAAGGATCGTTCTCCACTCTCGCTAGACATCGTTCACCCAGCAATTCCACCTCAACCTCTTGACCTTTCTCGCACAGCTCTATGGGAAGCAATGCGTATGCAACACTTCTTCTAACCTGCCAACCAAAACATCCTGAGGTCGTCACGCCAACAACCTGGAGAAAAAATGTTTTTAGTTCAATCCTGGGCTCATTCCTTCATATTCCAACATCGCCCCCCCCTGCTGGTGCTTCAATACAGGATAATACAGGATAGAAAATATCTCAACCTTTCCGTTATGCCAGACGGTTTCATCTCCCTCTGGGTCAACATCCGTTGTATCCACGGTCAAACAAACACATTTTCTTGTCAAACCTTCCTTTTCGATCTGCTTCAATGCTTCCTTCCCAATAAATTCTGTTGGCTGGAAAGATGTTAAATACATTTAGTTGAGATCTCCTAACGTAATGCAGTATATGTTTCATGTTGCTAACCTTGTCTAGTTTAATAAAGAAACCAAGACCGACTTCGAAAGGATTCGTGTCCATATTCATCTAAATAGAGAGGAACTATAGTGTTACTCCACCAATAACTACCATGAATTATATAATTAGAATATCGATTATATAATTAGAATATCAATTAGGGATGAATTATTCGATATGATTGTATCAATTACCTCGCTCCCCCATGCACGAAATCCTTTTTCAACTCTCATACTAGTCATGGCGTATGTACCAAAGTCTCCTATGCCATATTCCTCACCAGCCTTCATAAGGGCGTCATACAAAGCTTCTAACTGATCCATTTGACAGTACAGCTCCCAGCCCAACTCCCCTGGGGCAAGAAGATTGTATATTGTATTGTATAAATACCTCCAGTACCACCGAACGAAAAGCTCGACAAAAAAAATGGTTCTTACTGGATACACCAGGAATATAGTTTGGAAGTAGACCTTGGACCCTTGGTAGTCTAAATAAGGTTAGTAAAGTTTCAAACATTCAGTAATTCAGATTGTACCTGTGTATGACAATCGTAACGCCTTCACTTGAATACCAGCAATATCAATGTCTTTGACTGTTAGAAACTTGAATTTTCCATGGCTCATGTCCGTGTCGGTGAGTTTACTTAAGACTTCTCTAGAGCGAGGGCCTGCGATACCCAGAGTTCCAATATCATCCGTGACGTTGGTAATCGTAACATCTGTGTATTGGCGGGCGTGGTCGTTCAACCATCTGGAAGTTAGGACAGATTGACGTGGGATGCAAGGTTGAGATGATATGGACACGTAATAAGAAGAGATGAAGGAGAGCTGGTCAGGGATAATATGAAATGAAGAGATCTGAAGAAGATGTGAGGTGGTATAGACATTGCAGAGAAGATGAGGGAAGCAAGGTTGAGATGATATGGACACGTAATAAGAAGAGATGAAGGAGAGCTGGTCAGAGATATTATGAAATGAAGAGATCTGAAGAAGATGTGAGGTGGTAGACATTGCAGAGAAGATGAGGTGATCGTCAATTCAGCATAGACTCTGCCACTTGGTGTAATCAGATGACTTATGTTCGTTGATCCAACCTGATAACAGAAAAAGACAAGACCTTTCATTCATGAGGACAAAACTTTGCAGAAGCGTACGGACCGATCGTATGGATATGATCTTAACAAACCTTTGGTAATTTATTGGCAACCATATAGTCCAAGAATTCCGTCGCTTGAGAACCAGTGATTTCAAATTTCCCGAAAGGAGTAAGGTCAATCACACCAACTTTGTTCAGAACAAGTTCACATTCTCGTCCAACTGGTTCAAACCAGTTTGTACGTCGGAAACTTGGCTCATATCCGCCCTCACCAGGTTGTGAAAACCAGTTTGGTTGCTCCCAGCCAGCATGGACTCCCATCTCAGCTCCTTTTAAAACCAGTTTCTGTAAAAAAGTTATACTCATGGTAATGACATTGTTACTACACTGGGAGTGTCGCCGTCAAACATGAAACATATCCTTCATCTTTGTACAAGGGTATAAATGATTGATTGATCCTTTCCTTTTATTTACATGCAAGAAATGCTCTTCTTGTTCCACTATTTTTCTCATATGCTTGTCATGCTTGTCTAATATTGCCCTAGACCTCAGGCTCTACCAAACAACTATATCTAATTGTTACTTGAGATAAAAATGTTCTAATATATAATGCCCATACATCATAAATTGGATTAATCCTCATCTCACGACCGTACGGCCGTTCCTCCTTCGGAAAAACTAAGATGTTGTTAAAACCATAGGTTTCACGACATTTTTCATGGACATATTCCTTCGTTGTCCATTTTCCGTATCGTCCAGGGTCGTTATCACTCATTTCATGAAGCGGTTCACCGTGAATCATCCAGTGTGTCAGATATCGTGCAAAACCAGCTTTAGGAAAGAAGAATATTATAGTTAGACGAGTACTGATTTAGTTGAATGTGGGGATCCAGTATAGATGGTATTCTACAGTATGTACATTACCATGAATCAAATGGATGAAAAATATATCATGCTGATCCAATGGTATAGGATCCAACCGTAACCAATATTAACCAATACAGTAACAATTACATTGGTTACATATATAACCAATACAGTAACCATTATTTAACCTCACAGAACTCAGCTACCATACCAGAGTGAATAATACCATATCCAGATCCTGTTGCTAACCAATAGTTGTAGACTTCATGGGAAGGTCCTAGCAAGCCTACCACATCTGGGGTGTATGTAATAGGACCTGCAACAACACTTGCTATTTCAGCAGTTTTCAACACAGGAATCATGTCCATTGCTGCTTCAATATGTTCACTGAGTCGGTCCAAATCACTCTCAAAAAGTTCTTTGCCAAAGTTTGGAGGCACTCCATCCCACCTAGTCATGAGAAATATATTTAAAATTGTTGGGTTATGATTGCACAACTTGTCTCAGTGTGGTTACAGTAGCTTAGATTTTTCTTATGGGAAAATAAGATTAACTTAATAAGATTATTTTACCAATCATCTTGTAGCCTCATCTTCTCAACTGACTCATAGGGTCCTATTAGGATCCCCTGTCGCTCCTGTCTCCCATAATAACCACCTTCCAAGTCTCTAATGACAGGCAGCTCTTTCTCAAGAGCTTCTACCTCAGGAATGGTGGTTGTAACCATATACTGATGGTGTATTGGACACAGTGGATGTTCCACACCAACCATTTTCCCTATTTCTCGTGACCAGAAACCTGGAAATAATAGATCATCATTGTCTCTGTCAGACAAACAAGGGTTACAAATTAAGAAATGATAGCAATGGCATGCTTAAAAGTATGGAGAATATGGTAGAATCACAGATGGAGATCATGTGATTACAAACTCCATCCCTGAATAACAACTTTGTGATGGCTTGCAGTGAGTTCTGGTCTCCTTACCGGCAGCATTCACAATACGTTTAGCATGAATTGTTCCATGATCAGTTTCAACATCCCACTCTCCATTTTCCCTCTGATTAAGGCCTCTCACTGGAGCTGGCATGTAAAACTCAGCCCCATATTTACGTGCACCAATGGCAAAGGCATGAGAAAGCGAATATGGGTCTACATGTCCATCACCTGAAATACAATTTACATCATTCTAGACTGGTACATGACTTATTTGTATATTATAATGTAAACACAATGGAATAAAAAGTAAGTTATCACCCTCACCTGGATTATACAATGCAGCAAGGATGTTATTCATGTTTAACAATGGATGAAGTTCTGCAATCTTGTCTGGACCAATCAGATATTGCTCTGCTTCCCGGCAACCCTGACGTGCCATTTGATATCTCAGTTCATCCACACGCTGGGGAATACAGGCTAGCCTTAATGTACCTGGATCATGCCATCCAATTTCCTGTTTAAAATAAGAAAATGTGCTTGTGAAGAAGACCAAATGAATGAGATCATTTCTGGCAAATGAAAAGAGGAATCAAAAGCATCAAGGAACAACAATTACCTGTCCTGTTTCTTCCTCAAGTGTTTTAAACAACTGCACGCTGTAGTAATGAACTTTCTTCAGGTTAATACCAGCATTGAATGTTGTTGTTAGACCAGCCTAAATTTTGGAAGGTGTATAACAGGCAAGGCCAGTGAAATGATGGAAGGGGAAGTAGAGGAAAGATACTCAGGATTGGGGCACTGTAAGTGGTGGATGCAAGCCTCAAGAGAGGGTGTTAACCTCCAAAATATGACATGCTTTGGACCCATTATTAGGTGCCACTGCTTTAGTCACAGGGGAACAGACAGTTTGCTTCCATTGTGATCATTCCAGACATCAACTTACTGCATGCCAGGTTGAGCCGGCAGTCAACTCTGTTTTCTCCAGTAATACAACATCTTTCATTCCAGCTTTCGCTAGATGATACGCAATGCTGGTACCCATAATTCCCCCTCCAATAATAACACATTCTGATGTCTCCTTCAATCTCTTGTTTAGTTTTGGAGCCCTTTATCGAGTTATTGAAAAACATTTTAGGCATCCAATACACACAGCATGGTTAAATACCATAAACATTGAACTACCTCAGGATTTCATATAAGATTTTCTTATTCACTTATTGTGGGACATATTTAAATATACTCCACATTGCACATGCACAGTCAAGACGCAAGCACCACAAGCATGGTGACAGAGGATTCTATACATATATTACGGATGTGAGATTTGGTTTGCTAAACACAGCACCATGCATTTTCACAAAACATATGATCTGTGTGGTCATTGTTCATATAACTCAATGTGGATGCATTTCTCGCATTTGCTGGATATGAATGAAAAAGACAGAAACAGAGCAAGAAAAACTTCTTTCCAGGGGGGGGGAGTTGCTCACGGCTGTCTTCATGACTTCATATACTTTCAAATCATTACCACCCCCTGATTAACTTAATTGATATGCCACAATATATGTTTATATATTTGAAAGCAAAAGGCTCGAGTTGCATGACTATTAAAGTTCATAATTTAAGTGATTCGTACAAACCCATTTGTGCTATACGATCGCGTGTCTTTCAATGCAAAACTGTGTCGAAAACTAAGTGCACAAGCGTTTGCATGCGCTGATATTTGTGCTAACGAATTTCCTCCTAAGGAAGGCACCTGCAGCAAAGATCGCCGTATTTTTTGAGGCCATTTTGTGTGGCTTGAAAGATCTTTGTATCGTTCGATTATAACCCCTGGTCACAGATTAATACAGCGGCCGTCTTGCACAATAACAATCAGGTTTGTTTATCTTCGGACCGGAAATTCTTGTTTGACAAGAATGAGCGGTGTGGCTGAGGCGTGGTGTGGATTAGATTAGGATACTCATAGTCAAGGTCAATAAATAATAAGTACATTAGTACTATTGCAAGAGTAAAATCTATAGAGGATGAAAAACTCATGTTATCCTGTTGTTTTATCTTAGTAGTTTGATTTTTGGGCAAATGAATACTTGAAGGCTAACATAGCCAATAATTATTTCTCAAATGAACTTGAAGTTGTGCAATGTGCAAGGAGGATACAAAATGGCCTGATTCTCACAAAACCTGTTTAATTCTACCGATTCTGGTCATTGTTTATTGATGTTGATTGTTCATATCAATTAACTACAGAAGGGTGTATATATATTTCATTGTTTATATCAAGTTTCCTTACGCGCACTTCTGGCTTCTGGCATTGCATTGTAAACGTCTCAAAGATTCAAACTTATGATTACTAATATCTCCTTCCGCGCAATTTTTTGTCAAAAACCATACAATTAAATTAAAATAATAGGCGTGAATATCCGTAAATAGTTGTAAAATTTAGTATGGAATATCCAGATGCGTAATCATGCGTTACAACTTCTACCGACCAGACAAACCTGTTTTGCAAGACTGGTTCCTTGTGTTGTGACCGTGAATTATAAAAGAACGCACAGTATTGCTTCATGTGGTTTCTCTAGCTGTTTTGGGCGACGTTTCTCTGCTGATCTGAGCTACAATTATGTCGGAAAAAGTGAGTATGACATATTTTGTTATCTTGTTTTCACGTAGTGAACGTCTTGTGCCTTTATCTTGCATGTAGCTGATGTAAAACATGAGAGATGTACAAATGTACATATTAGGGCTTAGCATAACCTCGTGTTCTTAAGAAAGATTAGGCAATAGAAGAGACAGCCTAAAAGCTAGAATTTTGCAATCTATTTTATAAAATTATTGTTCAATCGATCTGCCTTTTAAAATGCATGTTAAGGCATTGATTTGTATAAAGGAAATCAATATGTTATGTACGATATTTTTAAAACGACACGTGTAATAAATCCTCAGGTGGGATTTATCTTTTGATTTAGCTGAACTAACACACATGGTATTGCACCTCCTAGTTTTGCTTTGCATCTTTTAGTTCAGCGTTTCTCCTAGTTTTACAGAGCGTCGTCAACAATTTAATTGGCATATATTATAAAAAAGCCCAAGGCTATAGTTGTTTCGAGAATAAAAACCCTGGCTTGCGAGCTTGCTATTTTCAGTATTTTTAATTGCATTTTAACGAAGTGAAATACCAAAAGTCTTTGTATTGAAATATCTTTTCAAGGACGTTATTCTAAAGTTTTTTACAACACATTCGGTTGGGTTGTGTTATGGTTGGACATATAATTTATGCATATGTAGATAAATTATGACACATAACTTATGCATATGTGGATAAATTATACCATAGTATGCATTAAATACGTGTCAACTTGCATAAATTGCTCTCACAATATCTACTTGTATATTGGTATTAACTTTACTTTAATATGGTATATAGATTTCTATGTATTTGTTTTCCAATAACACATGGAAATATTACTTACTTTTCTAGAAAGGTATTCTTGAACGTTTGAATGGAGGTGAGATGGTCATCGGAGATGGTGGTTTTGTGTTCGCATTAGAAAAGAGAGGTTATGTGAAGGCAGGACCATGGACCCCGGAGGCATCTGTTGAGCACCCTGAAGCTGGTATGACTAAATGATACATAGATCGACTTATCAGTCCATAAATATGTTTCTTTAGCTGGATATTAACCATTGTATCTATTGTATAGTGCTTCAGCTACACAGAGAATTCTGTCGTGCTGGTGCTGATATTGCTCAAGCATTCACATTTTATGCCAGCGAGGACAAACTTGAGAATCGTGGCAATGAAGCAGGAAAAATAGGGGTTTGTCAAAAGCTTAAATATGATGTTTTCTTTTTGTATATTTTACTAGTCAAAAAAACACACAAGAAGCTTGCTAATTGTTGGTTTTGTTTCAAAATTTTAGTGTACCTCAGTGAACCAAGCTTCATGTGATCTTGCTAAGCAAGTTTCAAAAGAATTTGGCTGCCTCTGGCTTGGTGGGGTCTGTCAAACTCCAACATACTTGAGTGAAGGAAGCAAAGAAAAAGTCCAGGAAGAATTTCGAAAACAAACCAAGGTTTTTGTTGAGAATAAGGCTGACTTTTTGCTAGCCGAGGTGAGAAACCTTTATGTAATAATCGAGAACTTTCATGTCCACAAAATTTTATCAACTAACAAGTATTGAATTTCTTTCTGTTCATGAAGTATTTTGAGCATGTTGAAGAAGCGGTTTGGGCAGTTGAAGTCCTTAAAGAGACTGGTCTTCCTGTTGCTGCATCTCTATGTATTGGACCGGATGGTGATGTTCATGGTGTACCAACTGGTGAATGTGCTGTGCGTCTAGTCAAAGCTGGTGAGTATTTAGTTTGATACAAGTTAGGTTGTGTATCCTGCAACCTCAATTAGTAGTCCAGTTCACAGGCTAACTTCACATATTTCTCAACCTTGAAACACCATCCTGGATCAAAACTGCTGATAGAAGATCACCCTTCCTTAGCACAAATACCTGAAGAAGATTTAGAATATAACAATGTTTCCTTGCTCTCCAGGTGCGGACATTGTCGGTATCAACTGTCATTTTGATCCCTTCGTATGTCTACAAGCTGTGAAGAAGATGAAGGAGGGTTTAAATGCAGCTGGATTGAAAGCTCATCTCATGGTACAACCACTGGGGTATCACACACCTGACTGTGGCAGGCAGGGCTTCATTGATCTGCCAGAGTTTCCTTTTGGTAATTACCTCCCCATAAAAATCTCTTAGTATATCATCTCTTCTGTCATTAAAATTTCACTTAACTCTTCTTCTGTCATATCAAGTTCCCTCTTATCTCTTCTGTCACCAAGATTCCTGTTCTGTCATCTCTTAATCTTCAACCATCAAGATTTCTGTCCTCTCCTCTTCTGTCATCAAGATATCCGTTCTGTCATTTCTTCTACCATCAAGATTCCAGTCATCTCTTTTTCTGTCACCAAGATTCCTGTTTGGTCATCTCTTAATCTTCAACTATCAAGATTTCTGTCCTCTTCTGTCACCAAGATTCCTGTTCTGTCATCTCTTCTTCTTTCATCACGATTCCTGTCATCATTTCATCTGTTAACAATATTCGCATCATCTCCTCTGTCATATCAAGTTTCCTGTCATCCCTTCTTTCCAGCCCTTGAACCACGTATTCTCACCAGATGGGATATGCACAAATACGCTCGGGAAGCTTACGATCTAGGAGTTCGATACATTGGAGGATGCTGCGGCTTTGAACCGTATCACATTCGTGCCATCTCCCAGGAGGTGAGAAGAACTACCATGACTTCACGTTAGAATTAAAGCTTAAACATCCTGGGAAGTGTTTGAGATTTATGCGTGACAAAAAGGAAATGAATTGCGCTTGTGTTCTAGCTTGCAAAGGAACGCGGTCGAGAGTGCATTGGAGCTGAAAAACACGAAGAATGGGGGACAAGTTTAAGGTATCACACGAAACCTTGGGTTCGAGCAAGGTATGAGAACTGTTTCAGAATTATTTCAATTCTTCAAGCTTTATGCTACAAGATCATTTCTGTCTAATAAAGTTATTCATGTATTCTACTGTGATTTTCTGATAAACTCCTGGTGTTTGTGTGTGAATGTGTTTTAAAATTTGCTCGCTTCTACCCTCCAGAGCTGGACGTGAATATTGGGAAAAACTGGAGCCTGCCACTGGTCGACCCTACTCGAAATCATTGGCTCATCCTGACAACTGGAAGGTGACAAGAGGCCATGAACTTTTACAACAGCACATTGAACCAACCTCGGAGAAGGAACAAACCGATGTGAAGTCTTTCAGAAAAGGATAGACGAAGAAACTATTGAGAACTTTTCTTTGAAGAGTTTTGATAATATGTGTTTTTCAATTTGGGGGTATCTAAAATGCCACTATCATGTAGTAATTTCACTGATATAATCAAATAAAAGTTCTTTCATAAATCGTTTCTCATATATATCGTATTTGACGCTTAAACCTTTTTCAAAACATTGTTGTGTAGCGAGTTGATGTTGAAAGTTGTTTCGTGTAGCATTACCTTAAGAGAAAGTGGGTGCTGCAACAGTTGTTGATCCACGAAGAAATTAAAGAAATAGACGAAGAATATTTTTCCTGTGGGCTATGATTTATAAAATCACTGCATAACTATAAAATAGTTCAAAGTTAACGAAAAAGGTGCGTTCCAATATAACCACGATGTAGCAGATATTCATAGAACTTTCATCAATATTTGTGGTAACCTCGTTCCCAGAGAAACAAGGTTGTAAATTTCTGAAATGTTTTGCCCTCAAGGCTTTTATGGAAACGTCGAGAGGTTTTCGTCTATTTTAGGATGTGATACCCATTTGTTAGCAAAAGGTGTTTCTTTCAGGAAGCAGTAATTTCCTTTTGCGATAAAACGTTTGATAGCAATTTGCTTTTCCAACACTTTTGAGCAATATTGATCGTGAAGAAAGGTATTGTATGTAAATGGTAGGTGCTTGTGTCGTGAAATAGGTGCCAGCTTTGATGTTTGTCGCAGTAAACTGCAAATGTAGGGCGTTTTTACGTTTTGTACCAGTGAAAATGATATAGACCATATAGTTAGTTTTAGTTGATAAAAGTTTTGGACATATCTATATTAATATGATTCTTCAACACCGCTCTTTCACACACATGCAGTTCACAATCCTGTGCAATTAATGGAGTAAGAATTTAGCTCGGTTCGTACGGTATGATAGTGTCAGATAGTGTCAACAGACTCAAGAAGAAATAGCTGAGTTTGTAGTTCATAATAGTCGTCTTTACTCTTTATAGCAGAATGAAAAAGGCTAAAAATAACATCAGCGCAAATTGTTTAATTATGACGTCACTTCCGGTGAAGATTAGTCATGTGATCATGATCCGTCCTCCCGACAAGTCCCAAACAACCTTAGAGAAATAATCCGAAAAAATCCGGCAGTTTCGAGCCGTTTAAAAGCCTCAAAATTGCTTCAAAAAAGCAGCGGCTCATGGATAGCGACGAGGAAGACTTTTCTTACGAGGAGGAAGACGATGAGGGGCAAGACAGCGAGGATTTCAGCGCGGATGTGGACGAAGGTTTCGACTCCACTTACGATATGCCATCTACAGCTATGAACGTAGCTGATGATTTTACTTACGAAGTCTTAACTCCGGACACGATCGTCTCGTATATGAATACCATCATAGACGAAGTCGATGCCGTCTTTCAGGTACGAGCATCACTGTTTAAACTTGCATGGGGTAAAAATTCAAACGCACGAGAAAAAAATGTGTTCATAATCCTGCGAAGAATTTATGCCATTTTCGCAAAAAAATCGATACTTGAAAAATAACATCAGACACCGTGGGTCGTGAAAGTCTAAAATGATCATTTTTGAGGGATTTGTAAAAGAAAATGAAGAGTTTTTACGACTTTCAGGACATAGTTCTAAAATCTTTATTCTGGGTCATTATTTTTTGAAATGTAACAAGCTAGACATATCAACAATCACAGATTAGATAAAGTTGATATTATGCTTGTCAAACTATTAATACTTGCTTATAAAATACGGTTGTGCTTTTGGCAGTTAGTGTAGAAATGATTGAAAACGAAATAAATCCTTTCACTGGATGTTCCAGGAGTCAGGAATGGATAGAATCTACCTGCTTTGTGCATTTCAGCATTTGTGTTTATATGACATTGTGTTTGTGTTGAATGAGCACAATATATTTACTGCCCCTTCCTTAAATTTTGAATAATTTATTAACTTTCCACTCTTATTGAAAGCAAGTTGAAGATGCAAATGTGCTCAACTAGATAAAGCAGAGTATTCCCCTATTATATATCTTGGATATTCTAATCTTCTACAAGGGTATTCACCTCAAAGTTGGTTTTTGTACTATTATGTTACTTCATTTATTCTGATCTTAACTAAATAAATTAAACATATTTTAGTGAGTAGGATGCTAATGGCTTGACATTGTCAATTGTCAAAATACTTGAAGAAATATTACTTTAGCCTTCAAAATTGTTTATGGTGTTAAAATTAATTTAAAAAAGAAGCATTTCCTGTCATAATTATCATCCCTTTGAATTACTCCAATCTATCTACCTCCAGATCATTTCATTTAGTTGCTAACCAATTTCCCACCAGCTTGCGGCATTCATGACACTAGATCTATTTGTTAACAATTGATTCATCTGTTGTGTTTTGTCCAATGAAAGAATCCCCTAGCATTTTTGCGATCAACAACTAAGGCCTTCCACTGTAATAAAAATCTATCAAGATGGCATGCTTTATTTTCGCACAGAAATTTCATTTCTTTTAATTTTCTATGTTTCATGGACAGGTGTCTGTATTGACTTTATATCATTAGTATGCATTATCAACCTGTGTTATTGAAATTTCCTAAAAAATATTGCATATGTAATAAGATTGTACAAATAATAAGCATCCAGTTGTAAGTAGGTTGCTGTACAATTGAAGAAATGATATTGATGTATCAAAAAAATCATAGTAATATTTCAAAAGTAAAAAGAAATTAAATTTGAATATGATATTGTGTATATATATTCCTTGATATTGATCTGTGGTATCAAACATATGTTTCATCCTCCCATTTAGCTTACCCGTCCTGTTGCAAGAATTCTCTTAGGCCATTTTAAATGGGATAAAGAAAAACTACTTGAAAGGTTAGTATTTTTATTATTTTATTTATTTTATAGTACAAGAGGGAACAGTATATACTTTACATAGTGGAAATTTAGATGAACAAAAGATCAGCTTTTGCAATCACTTTTTTTGTAGTGTTTTAATTAAGATTACTAGCTTATTTATATTGCTTATTTAAACCTATTGTTCTCATGACATTTCCAACCACTAGAGCCAGAATATCTTTGCCATTTCTATAATTCTATTGCCGATTCTTTTCTTCAGAATTAACTCAAAAATGTTTCTTTCAAATGTCTAAAATTCCCCTAAAACTTTACCAGTGTTCAAGTGTTGCTCTCTGGAGATAAAGGCATACATTTTTCTTCTGTTGCGACAAATTTACCATTCTTTGTTAAGGTTTTATTGTGGAGATCAAGATAAACTTTTCAAAGAAGCTCACTTGGTGAACCCTTTGGTTCAGTCAACCATGAAGAAAGTACAGAGACTCTCACGGTCAAATTCTGCTTCAACAAGTGCTGCTGTCTGTGATATTTGTCTTCAATCTGCAACAAGTCTTGTAAGTGTTTGTGGTATAGAACAGGGCTCCAGAGATCAAATAGTTAGTAGGCACTTCCTATGATGCTTCCCTGGAACCATCCCTGTCTTTAAATATTTAGTGTTGAGTTGCGTGAATCATGCCTTTAATGAAAAGCCTTTATTTCAGCAATCCTTTCAAGGCCTTGAATGTGGTCATGAGTTTTGTGCACGCTGTTGGAAGGAGTATCTCACATCAAAAATTATGGACGAAAAAAAAGAAGTAAGTTGCCCACCAACCAGTCAAGTGGGGATAAATACATACAACGCAAGCAACCATTTCACTAACCTAATTCTAAATCTTTTCTAGAACATTGCATGCCCAGCTGTAAAATGCGACATATTAGTAAATGAAACATTCGTAGGGTGAGTTTTCTGTTGGCAAAAAAAGTTTCCTTGCTTGGTCTGAAATCCTTCCTTCACTGTGAAAGCAATGTTTGATAAACAAACTCCTGTTCTCTTTGCAGACGAATTTTAAATGATGAAATAGTCAAAAGAAAATATCACCATCTCATAGCAAATAGTTTTGTTGTTGTAAGTTTAATTTACACTGTTTTGTGGAAGCTGTTGTTTTCATATCCTCAACTTGGTCTTTGTATTGGTGATTAAATTTATTTAATTTTTGGTTCCCTTTCTTATTTATCATAGAATAATCGTTTAATAAAATGGTGTCCAGCACCAGATTGTATGAATGCCGTCAAAGCCAGTTATTCTGATGCAAATGCTGTAACTTGTTTATGTGGCCATGAATTTTGGTAAGAAACACGTACATTGTTTCCAAATCCCTTTCACTGTTGTTTCCCAAGAGGTATTACAGTGTTAGTATTTCATTAAACTAAGGCATTTTGGAATTATGTTTTGTAGTTTTGGATGCGCAGAACCAGTTCATGAACCTGTTAATTGTTCAGTAAGTTAAAAAAAAATTTAGAAACTTGATAGTTTTATGAGTTTCTGTATCAACTCTGACACTCTTTGGTGCAAAGGTTGGGATAGTTTTACAATGTTCACTTGCTTGTTCATCTAGTTATTGAAGAGATGGATAAAGAAATGTAATGATGACAGTGAGACTGCAAACTGGATTTCAGCAAATACAAAGGTATGGGAATTGAGAACAAACTAAACCATTCAGTGTCTGTCAGACATCTTAGTACCATTATGATATCTGCATGCATGTAATTGTGTTTTAGGAATGCCCAAAGTGTCAGGTGACAATTGAGAAGAATGGTGGATGTAATCATATGGTTTGTCGAAACAGTAACTGCAAGGTATTGTCTACCAGCATGTTTTATTTCATGAGGAAAACTTGGTGAAATATGTACCAGCATATTTTATTTAATAACAACAAAATCGTTATCATATGTGCGTACTCGACCGTATCTATTTTTTCGTTTCTAGGCTGATTTCTGTTGGGTGTGTCTAGGGGCTTGGGAACCTCATGGTTCCAACTGGTGAGTATTTGGTTCTGCTGTATTTGACGTGTATACGCTGTTGAGATCATGTATGATGGACGATGTTGTATTAATCATGCAGGTATAGTTGCAACCGTTTCGACGAGAAAGACTCGCAGAATGCAAGAGAAGCTCAAAATGTAAGTCACAACAACGCTTGATTTCTCCTACTGCTGCATGACTAGCATCGTATCTCATTCAATTTATAATTCTCTATCTGCTGCAGAAATCGCGGTCGTCCTTAGAAAGATATTTGTTTTACTGCAATCGATACATGAATCACATCCAGAGCGCGAAACTTGAGTGTGAGGTAACGCTTTTAAAACATCATCAAACTTTGTGTATTTCTGCTTCGACGTTGTGTGTGTAGATGAATGTCTTTCAGTCTCAACGAGCCGTACCCAGCGTTCAGTCTCTGTACTGGAATTTGCGAAATGTATTAAAATGTATGTATTAATAATGTTCTTCAGCTCGACGCCAAGGTTACGACGAAGATGAATGAGATGCAAAAACACAATATGTCTTGGATTGAGGTACGATACCTGAAGTTTTGACCGAAATTCCGTCAAGTAAAGGGCACTGATTCGTCTCAATGCTTCAAATCGTTTGGAATTTCAGGTTCAGTTCCTTAAAAAAGCAGTCAACGTTCTCTCAATGTGTCGAAACACGTTGAAATATACCTACGTGTTCGCGTTTTATCTGCAGAAGAACAACCAGACAGTTATATTTGAGGTACTGTGATGTAAGATTTCTCCATGCACAACATGCAGAGTGTATATTGTCGAACTATTAGTTATTCAACTTAGCATTAAATGTGGTATAACAACTGCCTAAAATAGACAAAACACTTCTCGACGTTTCGACCTGAGGGGCTTCGTGAGTTAGTATCATACTAACTCTCCTGTTTATTTTAGGCAGTTGTTATACCACATTTGGTGCTAAGTTGTTAGAATACTCTGCCACGCTGCTCCCTGGTTATATTAGTTGTTCAAATGCATCGTTTCTCTTTTTATTTGACGAGGCAGATATCTTGTATTTATTGTTTAATCTCATCTGGTGGTAGATATGATTTTAGTTCATTTCTTGTTTATTTCAGGACAATCAGAAGGACGTTGAAATGGCAACAGAAACACTCTCGGAGTATCTGGAACGAGACATCAGCTCGGAGAATCTGGGTTGTATTAAGCAGAAGGTTCAAGACAAGTACAGGTATACATATTGTGAACACATGTTAGATGGGGTTATCTGTATACTTTAGTTGTTATTCAGTGCCTGGTTGTTTCATCAGAAGATTATCTTTATTTGAAGATTGTTTTAAACTGGTAACCGTCTCCTTTGAAAAGTTTCATTATCACTATACTGACTATCGACTTTATCTTTTCAGATACTGTGAAATGAGACGAAAGGTGTTACTGGATCACGTCAACGAAGGATACGAGAATGACTTTTGGGAATTTCAGGAGATCCCCTAACGTAGGCTTGTATCAACAAATATCCCTATCGCTGCATGTAGCGATAGATAGAATTCGCGCGTTTCATTTGACACGTTTACACCGCCGTGAGACGTTCAAAAATAGAAAAGAGAAAGGCCCGGCCAACACAGCAGCAAGCAACATGCTGTTAGAAGCGGGAGAAATATGGCGAGGAACAGTCGTGACAGAACGGCAAAGAACTGATTTAGCCTGCAGTCAACAAACATTTGTCCACATTTCGTTAGAAATCCCTGTTGTACAGTTTTGTTTTGTATAAATGTGTATATATATGGATGTAGACTGCGAGGAACTCTGAATTTCCTTGGCTAAAAATGTTTGCTGTCTTCAAAACCAGTTGTAGTTGATTGACAATATAATTTAGAAAATTTCCAAAAACGATTTGCTGTGGTAATTTTAAGACATTTATACGTATTTTTCCTGAAGTATTATATGGCAAATATTTCAGCTGGGCTTGCTGGGCTGCAATATTTTCTGCGGAATATATTTCAGTGTTTTAAAGACAATTGTAATTACAACAGCAATTTCCGCGAGGAAACGGAGCTCTGTAGTAATTTAGAGCTGTTCATTAGTCCCTTCGAAACTCAAATTAATTTAGTAAATTTACCTCATGAATATACAAGCCGGGATTATAAAAGAATTTATAGTGTCAAGCAACGGAAAATGATATATTTTTGGTAAAAATTGAAATTGATTGTCAACAAGTGTCGAGGCAATTTTCGCATCAAAGCTGGGTGTGAAATTTCGATCAGAAACGTGTCTTGGTAATAACTCTATGCTGCTGATTTAATTAGATGAAAAAGAAATTATTTTTTTCGCAAGATACTGGGAGATTAATCTTGCCGCAGTCTCACAACGATAGTAAACTTCAGTCGATACGGATTATCGCAGTGAAGCCGAAGAGTTATTGGATTGAAGGTGATTATTTTGAGATTAATCTTTATTGTGTAGTGTTACATTTTAGCAAGCAGACTGATGGGAACACATGGGTTATAGTAACAATACCACAGTCGCAGAAGAACCGCACGACGCGATTTTAGTCAGTCGATTATTTTCAGTGTGTCAATATATCAATATAAATTTGTTTTTTCACTCGTGCGATAAACATCGGGATGTCCGTCTGTCTTTTATATATATATATATATATTAGCAAGTGAGTTTATTTTCTATACAGTACGCAGCTGACGTAATGCATTAACCTGGTTAGTGCGTGATGATTTATCTTTTGCAACGAAATCATTAATAAAAAATATCATAAAAATCAATTCTGTCATCCTTTAATTCAATCCTCAAACATATTGATTTGTCGTTGTAAATATTTTCAATTCAATTCAATAATTTCGCAGGTGATGTCTAGTCTGAACGTAAATGGAAAACGCTGTGCTGGTGTCTGGCCTAACGATGAAATATCGTACACGAATGCATGTTTCTCGGCTTTCCTCTCCTTTATAACAGTTCCAGGAAACCTGCTGGTCTTCGTCGTCGTTCTAAGAAATCCAAACGGCAAAATGCGCACGCCTTTCAACTGGTTCATTTTAAATCTTGGAATTGCTGATCTTCTGGTGGGGCTAGTCGTGGAACCGTTAGCTGCCGTCGTACACATCCGTGAGGCGTTCGGGTTTCCGTTAAAATATCATGTGTATCTTCAGCCGTTCTACTTCACATCTTGCACAGCGTCTGTCTTCAGTCTGGGCATGCTCACAATCGATCGTTACATTGCCATCACCTCGCCATTACAGTACAGAGCCACCTTAAGCAATAAACGAGCCTTGGTTAGTTCTCTTGTCATTTGGATAATCTCAATCGCTCTGCCCTTCCTTCAAATGAAAATTGGTTTTCTTTGGTACTTCTTCGTGTTCGGAAATGCCGCTGTGTTGGTCACGTTTTTCGTGCTCGTTTTCGCGTTCGTGCGTGTACACCTAACGTTACGTGCTCAAATACGCGAGCTTAGCCAACTACAGGGAAGCACGGAAGAAAATCGTGTCCGCAACAACGCTCTCAAGAATGAAGAAAAGATCACTCGTGTGTTTCTCCTGATGCTGTTGATATTCTGCGTGTGTTACACACCGTCTCTTCTGATGATTTACCTCATGAATTTCTGTACAACATGTTCTTGTCAAAGTATCCATTGGTTTCGAGATTTGTCGTTTGTCTTCGTCGTCCTGAATTCCTGCATGAATCCTTTCATTTATGCCCTCAGGATGCCCAACTTCAGAGAGTCTGTTCGTATCCTGTTCAAGAAAGGTAGATCCCAAACCCCAGCCGTGCGATATCAGGCCACCACGTCATCGAAAGGTACCGCGTCAACCAAATGGACCTCCTCTGAAGTGTCAGCTCCGTCGTCCGCGTCCGTTAAAACTCCGCCAGTTTTAACAACTCCCTCAATGACGTCACATCCAACGATGACGTCACCTCCAAGGATGACGTCATCCACTAATGAGCCCGGCAACTGTCCAATGGCCTGCAATAACCAAGGATTTAGTGAAAACGCTTAAAAAAAGTGATGCGGATAAATTATTTACATAAATATTCCTCTGTTTAACTTCATAATGTATTTATAGTCCTTAAGCTAAAAATAAATGGGTAACTTGTTAAGCTAACTTAGTTGAAACTAGCTTGTTTTTTATATCTATTGCGTGGACCATAATTGTCTTGTAATATCATGAAGAATGACTTAACTATCTTATTAAAAATGAATTAGATCTAGATACCTACGGAGTTGTAATTGATTTGATGAGAACATTGAGCTATTAAAAAAAACACACAAGAACTAAAAACGAGAGGTAATAAGTCGCATACTCCTTTCACACAGGAAATGAGGGGGGATATTGTTTCATAATTAGGCTTTGCCAACGCGATGCGATTTTTACGAATATTTCAGTTTTTAAAATATGCTAATTTTGACAGTGTTGTGATATTCTTGGTAATTACTGAATGATAGCACATTTTGACTGGTCTGGTACCCCTATCTCTCAAAATCTACTTTCAGAATTGAATTTATTTGCTTCTGAAAATGGAAAATTCGTGTCGCGTCCAGTTTGTGTGTGGCCTTAGTGGCCACTGGCCAGACTAAACAAACAAATTCTCTCGTGTTATAAATATTACTTATTTGGATTGCGGTGTTCCCAGGACCTGTTCCTCCTCATGTATTTTTATGATAATTTTAGCCACAGTGACCAGAAGGCACGCGAATAAGGGGATAATTGGAGCGGTCTACTTTGAGAGACCGTACAACGCCAAGTGAAGCCTAGCTCAAGGAATATCCACTAATAAGTCCATTAAGTCAACGTTTCTCTTACAGTTTTCGTAAAGGTAAGTTTAGATTAACAATGCACAGGCTGTGTGCGGTGGATTTCATGAATTCTATTTAGAAAAACTAAAGCTAAGGGCAATAGTCACGTCTTTATATATCTTTCGTTTCCTTTACGACATACGACGCGCTCAGCTGGACGATTCCGCTTTCGTTTTAAAATATGTTCAGAAGATTTGAGGTAAAATAATTGAAGGAGCTTGTAATGTTTGGATAAAACTTCAAGATTTCAGTCTGAAGTTGAGAAAGTCTTCACTGGTTCACTGAATGAAATTTTCATTTTTTCTTCTTTCCAGAAATTGTCTCAGCCGTATTTGGACAAAATTAGTCGATATCTTTTTATGCTCGGGCGGAAACATTTTACTCTCGAGTCGTTTCGGGACGTACATTTTTAAAATCATTATAATTACAGTTGAAATTATACGATGAAGTATTGAGTTGTCGTTTTAAATTTCTCCCGGGTTTGTCTGGTTTATTTTTGCGTGAGCCTTTCGTTCCCGCCTTCTCTGTAAACACCTGGTTGCGAATAATTGTGGCTTTTCAACGCACGAATTCCTTGATCGAATTTTCACTATATATCGTTGTTCACGTGTGAATATTTATTCGTGCAATTTCATTTTTCATGGCGAGTGTCCGGCCTAAATATTGACTAATCGAAAAATCTTTGATTGTCGTTTGCCAATGTTTGTTCCCAATGTTGACAATATGAGGACAACCTTTCATTTTAGCAGATAAATGATTTCTTTCAGAATCTATGATAGTCAGAGAATTATTGTTTATAGATAAATGTTCGTTTTAACACCGAATTGAAGTCGTACATTTTCGCTCTCCATGTCATCTTTAGTGCAGCCAAATTTTGCATTTTTATTACACTCCCAGCGTGAATATTAAATATTGTTTTGTGTACATTTCTCGATTATTCGTTGATATCTAAAACAGCCGAACAAATGATTCACACTCCGAGTATTCGTTTCAGACGCATTCGTTACCTTATTTAACTTATCAATTTAAACTTATTGGATTGATAGCTATGGAAACACGATGGAATATTTCTACTCCTCGATATTGTATAGATACGATTATTTTGACGTTTCTTGCTGGAGAAAAATGATAGATACGGTAGATATTTCTGATGTATTTTTTTAGTTTTCTCAATCAACATGGTGCTGACAACTTGGCAAAGCCTGAATTCTTGGTGAGGATAACGGGATTGTAAGCTAGCTATATGACGTAGAATTATGACTGTTTAATCCTATCTTGCCTGATGCTAATTTTCACCGTTGTCATATATGAATATATACCGGCACGTATATTTAATATTGGAATTTTTTTCCTTCAAAATAAGCAGTTCGTTTGATTGCTCAATATATAGCAATCATATATACTGACCTAGAAAGGAGAACGTTCTTTGAAAATTCACTAAACATACAGCGAGTATTTTTTTAAATATATCTATTTGCCATTACATGCCTCCTGCATCTATATATATAAGATAATTTGAATTAAATATTTATTTCTTGTTGATCAATTTAGATCTTCAAATGCACTCCGACTGGGGTATTTTAGTCAATATAAATTATTTTTTACTTGCTTTTACTTGGACATAGGTAATTGTTAGTTGTCATTGAAACTTCATCATGTTGGAGCATTTCCCTTCTGCGACTTTGTTCATACTCGTTGTTTTTCTTACCGCTGTTGTCTTAGCGAAGAAGAATGGCACAAACGCGACGTAAGATATTAAAAAATATTTGTTTTTAAACAGCGCTTACGCAAGACGCGACGAGCAAATTTGAAATGATGAAGACTTGCGTTCATGTTGAAAACAGTTGAGTCATTTTTAAACTCTCAAGTGAAGCAAGATGATTTTCTTAACACTAGAAAAAATAATGTGTGAGAAAGAAGTGTAACTCCAATGCATAGTTTGTTATAAATGCGCCCAGGGATGTTCACGAATCTTATAATATAGGTTATGGCTTGAATGACACTGAACGCTTCTTTTTATATGCTTTAGAATTTGTCTAAATGAAATAAATTCTATAAAGAAGTTATTTGATTCAGCTGTGTATGATAAAGCAATGCGCCCCTGTGAAAATGGTGAGTTCTACTTTTCAACTAAACTCTGACTGACACTTGAATGTATATTTTCGCTTTTTTAAATCAAGATGATTGTGGTTATTCTGTGGGTATTCCTAAAGTTTGTTTACTTTTTCTTTCTCTTCTACTTTTTAACAGATAAACCAGTTGTTGTCAAAGTTGGAATCTATATTGTGTCGATAAATAGCATTAAAGAATCGGATATGGTAAGTACTTTTGCAAGCTAGGTCGTTTAGCACGCATTTGAAAATCAATAATTACAAAAATCAAAGATATAGTTTTAATGAAAACTTTATGATTAAAATGCATGTGCTTCATTTCAATCTAATCCATTATTAATGAATTTTTATACAAACCCCGTTCAATTGGTTTAGTCGAGTTTCAAAGATAACTGTCATAATACCACAGTGGTTTCTTTCAGTAGTAAATACCTGCATGATCAAGGTCATGTTTTATTGTCAATTTCAGCAGTTTGATATGCAAATGTACTTCCGTCAAACGTGGAGAGACCCAAGGTTATCTTATGCTGGTCTCAATCTCACAAAAAGGGATTACATTGGATTTTCTCCAGGTTTTGTTTGGGAGAGAATCTGGCTTCCAGATGCTTACTTCGAAAACGAAAAAGGAGGAAAGTTTCACACAATTATGAGAGACAATAAATTTCTACGATTGTATCAAGACGGTTCAGTCTTTTATAGCACAAGGTTCGTAGATTAGGGTTATAAATTTGAATTCTTAAAACTATTTATAACTATAGAATTATCCGACCTGTACATAAATAAAGTTAGTTTAGGTTTCCTCCTGTAGTAACAATGGATCAATTTAGAGTTTAGAACTGATAGAGCAATCTAGTGCAACCGAAGTTAGTTTAGTTTAGGTGTCCTCTTCACTTCATAACTCGGCGGGAGTTTCAGTTGTTCTGTTAGTTATTGTAGTTGTTGTTATTTAGATTAACCCTGACGCTATCTTGTCCAATGGAATTCTCCTATTTCCCAATGGATCATCAAAAATGCGAACTGATCATTTTGAGTTGTAAGTCTCGTTGTTTGCATGATATTCACCAAATCAACAATCCATATGCAGACTTTGAATTCTAAAGTCATATTATATTTTGCATTTTATTTTTTGCTCAAGATGGCCACACGACCAAAGATATTATCTACAAATGGCTGACGGACAACGTAGAGACATCAGTGTTCAGAAATGAGTTTGTCATACCACAATTTGATATTGAAAAGATCGACATCTCAAGCAAAATCGCTCAGTATACTGTAGGCATGTGTCGTTCTGTTGACTTCGTTTATATTGGATAGCTCTAGGTCCAGTAAGGATCATCTCTTATTAATCCAGTCAGTTACTACAGGAGGAAACCTAAACTAAACTAACTTTATTTATACTGAATAGCTCTATCAGTTCTAAACTGTTCTTCCTAGAGATCCAGTAAGGATCATCTCTTATTGATCCAGTGTTACTACAGGAGGAAACCTAAACTAAACTAACTTTATTGTTCATGTTGTTCAGGGGACTTCAACGTGCTCAAACTTCATATCTATCTTCATCGTCGCTTGGAGTTCTACCTGACCCATAATTACATTCCAGCAATATTGGTTGTTATCATTTCATGGTTGTCTTTCTTCGTTGATCGTGATTGTGCACCAGCAAGGGTTGGAATGGGCATCACCACTATCCTAACGATGACAACTCTTCTTATTGGCGTTGGTCAACAAGGCCTTCCTGTTGTATCCTATATTAAGGCTTTGGATTGGTATTATATTGGATGTTTTATTTTCGTGTTCGTCGGCCTTTGCGAATACAGTGTTGTGAACTACTTCAGCACGAAACACAGCAGATTTTTGAAAAAACAACAACTTATAGAAGCTGCTAGGAGTATAGAGAAGGTACGTTTACTGCAACGAGTATTTGGCAATGATTTGAGAAATGATATAGTGCAACTACATATTGTGTTTTCATACCTTTATAACACACAAGAATAATCTTATAACGTTTGCAATTCTACCCAGGGAAGAGAGGAAATGCTACCTACAAACTGCTTGGAAAACTATGGTTTTGACTTTGGTACTGCAGACTCGACATTTCCCTCGTCCCACGCCTCTCATGTGTCAGATGAACCCGAAGTAAAACACGAATCACTTGAGAATGGCGTGAGCATGTTGGAGATCAGTGAGACCATCGAGAATTGTTTGAGAATTCTTTATCCTATTTTATTTATCATTTTCAACGTAGTGTACTGGATGGCATTCAAAACATCGTCAATAATGTAAATTCCATTCGGCTACTTCTGCTCTAGCTACGGCCGTTTCAGACATCGAATTGCTCGGATTGAATACAAATGAACCTCAAGAAAAGAAAGCCTTTATTGGGAAAAGGAAAAGTTTACCGCGAAATAGCCTAGACTCAAGATGCTTTGGATAAAATACTGATTCAATTTATAACTGCATTATAACTCCATTGGCACTGGCAAGTAATTGTATGACGTTAGACAAAGTAAAACGCTGGTAATATCCACGCATCGTCTTCTGAATAACGCAAAAGCATTTGACACTTATTAATGAAAATTTCGTGTATAATATTAATATTTTTAAACGAACTCATCAAAAGGTGTTGAGATTTTAATTTTCGCGACGAAATTGAATTTTAATCTTAATGAAAAAATACTTTCGTTGCATTAATCGTCAGTGATGTTATCATGATCAGAGCCGGGGTCAATACTATTGTTAACCCTGAAGAAGAGAAAAAAACTTCGTATTTCCACCTTTCCCTGTAAGCTGCTAGTTTTTTTACAGTGTGGCTGGCTCTCGGTATCTTTTCGTATATAAGTTGCGCTTTGCGAACGCATGAAGTCAATGAGTGAATATTTTTAATCATTTTCATTGTGAGTTGACAAAACCAAATTGTTTAACCAAGTCACTAGCGCACAGCAGGTGCACGGGTCGAAAAATTAGCAAAGTATTATTTACTCTAAATAAAATAGCGTGGGTTTTATTTGTCGTGTCGATGCGCCGTAATGAAATAGAAGATTCTTTGAAGCGTAGCAAATGATTTACATTACAACAGCTGCTTAGAAAAATCATGCGGTGTTTTGTATTGAAGATGACCAGTTGGAGTTTAAGATTGTTTGTAGGCGGCCAGGTAATTAATCTTAACCTGGACTACATTCTTTGGCAAATGAGAAAAGATTTGTTGCGAAGAAAGCCAGTTTTGTGGCGTGAAAATGTCAAGAAACCAAGTAATATATGACAGAAGTCCTCCGTCGTATAATTCTTATAGTGGGCGCAGACCAGAGCCGTAAGTTTTACATTAGTCTATGCGATTGGCTTTTTGTTAACCCTTGTCATCATCGAAGCTTTTATAAACGAGATCTTGCCTTCGTTTGAGCACGACAAGATCGCAGTAACCAGGCCGTTTACCACCATAATGATAGATAGAAACCGTTTAGACGAACCTAAGTTAAACATGAATAATACGACACAAAATATAATCTAGAGATCAACAACCTAAAATTGAAAATACCATGGTGCGCACAATGTCAATATTTCGCTTAATTGATAACGTAATAAACCTCCAAATGAGCCAGGACGTGTTTCACTTAACTAAACCATTATTAATTGAAATATTTAGCTCGCAACTAATTTTACACCCATACATGTTATATGGTCAACCTGTTCTCAGTATTACGTGTAATTTTTCGATTCCTACACGCCGAACTGAACATCAGTGGGTTGCAATAAACTATTTCGAGGTAGATATTGCAGATATTATGGGAAAGAAATAAGTGATACTTGATCGATTTTATTTGATCTTATCAATCCTAAATAGTAAGATTTGACCGTGCGAATCATTGATCTTTATCGAGAAATTGGTCGTACAAATTGTCAGATCTTCTTCGCCTATGTTCCCAAAGATGAATAAGCTCATAAGCTCCGATATTCGAAAGTATTATTAGCGGTCAACCCCTATATTTAGCCTTTCACAACCGAAAAATTTCGTTAATGAGATTTTTCCAGCATGATTCACACTAAAAAAGCCGACAGTCGAAGCCTTACGTGTGTGTGGCATTGGATTAACACTTTCAGATCAAACTTGCATTTTAAATCCATTTAATTCTTGGTGCAATGTGTAACATCATCCTCCTTATTTGGAATTGTACATTAAACAGCTGGTGAGAACATCGTTATGCCCTGGTAATCACTAATGACATTTTCAGAATTTACATACGATCATGATAAGTTTTAAACCGTGTTTAAAGAGTGTAATTACAAGTCAGTGCATGTTATAGAACAGTAACTGGTCAGTTATTGAAGTGTTTCGCCAGGATTCCTTTCATAAACAAGTATCAGAGAGACATGAACTAAAGTTTGGATCTCTACCGAGGCGCAGTGTTCATTACAGGCAGGTAAAGAAGAGAAGAGGGTCGTTTCATGGGAAATATCATTCGTTCAGTGATTCACCGTTGTTGTGCTTGTGCAAACTGAAATGTAAAATGACGTCATGGCAAAACGCAATTATAAGACAGTGAAATCACGTATTCGTGCTCAGCAGGACTGAGACAAAAGCATTTTCTCAATGTGTTTATTTAAAAAAAGAATATACAGTAGTTTACTTAGTTCGCCCTGGTCGTCGTCATCCCCTATATTTCTGACTTATCAATAAAAAGTAAACTTCTGAACAGCGAATACACACTGATGCAGTGTATGTACTGTTCTGCAAAATGAATATTAAGCGTTTGTGGTTTCATCTGATAAACTAAAAATATCTAAACTTTGGCTTTCTAGTGTGTGAATAAGAAGATTTTTGATAAAGAAGTAGATGAAAATCCTGCCTTTGTTAACTGTAAGATTTGCAATGCGTAATGACATGATAAATCTATGAAAATTATCGCTATTAGGAATCGTCATCGAGTAAATATTGTCTAACCACTATGGCATAGTTGTATTCCTGCTATAGAAATAGGATTTTCAATCAAACCATCGGATCAGTGATATTTTAAATAGTTGTATTCATGTTTAAGAAAATAGCATAAGCCAGTCAATGCACGAAAAGAATGCGAGTTTTTTTTACAGCTGTTAAATGTTAAACAGCTGTCTCCAAAAGATCTTGGTTGGTAACTATAAATACAATGATTTTTAGACAATAGTTTATTAAATGGCACAGGGTGATGTTGGTGGCTTCAGTTGGGGCTACGCAGGATCGCTTTTGTAAGCTAATTCTGTACAGTACTACGGTGATCAGAGAGTTGCACCGTCATCGCGAAGACGTAGGTTGATGGAATTTCTGGCGAAGGATCTCTTAGATTTAACGAATTTTTTCAACTGTTTCTAGCTTAAGTTTGAAATCTGTACGGTTTCTGCCCCTGCATGTGGTAGGTTGTTAAGATACATGGGAAATTTCCCGTGAAGTACGATACATCCACACTAAACGTTTCAGATTCTCAGATCAATAGGCTAACAGTCATGCGGCTTGCTCACCCAGCATTTATCAAAGCTTAAATAAAAGCGCCGATAAACTGCACGGGGTCTGAACAGCAACTCTCAACATCTTTCTTGAAATATTTTTGTTCCGTCTTGCAGATACACTTTGTCGCAAAGACCACAACGTATAGGTTTATATAATCCAAGAATGGAGGGAAAAAATGGCATTTCCTCAACGACACCGGGGAAGAAAAAAGAAAGTAAATCTTTCAAAAAACTTGTACACAATTTTATGGGTTACACGTCAGCACACGGCATCGGGCGTCTGGCTGATGCTAAAAACCTGTTCTGGAAAATTTTTTGGTCGCTGGTTTGCATGGGAGCATTATCCATGTTTCTTTATCAGTTTATTGGGTTGTTTAAGCAATTTGTATCCAAACCTGTCACGACGTCGGTCTCAATCACGTTTGAGAAGGTCTGTGTTTCTTTGCAATTTAAATTATTATAAAAGTCAAATATATTTCCCAGCTTATGCGTGCACTAGAAAGCATCGTTTCCTGGCTATATTCAGTTCCTGACAGTGGACAAACCAGGAGACATTGCCTCCTAGCCATGCATGCATGTTTCCTGAGAGTTGATGACCAAACAACGTAGCTTTCTATCCCGATATTTCTTGATGATCAGAGCCATGTTTCTTGACAGTTGCATGGCAAACCAGGAAACACTAGACGAACACCAACCATTATACTGATTTTATCTTTCCAAATCCCTTTCAGCGCCTTCCCTTTCCAGCAGTTACCATTTGTAATCTAAACATGGTTCGAAGGGAAGCAATGCCCCCAGAGTTGGAGAAGTTTCTCAAAAGTAGAGTGGGCTACTCTAAATCTTCGAATGAAACAGAGAGTAAGTTTCAATCTTTCTTGGAGATGTTGAGGAGAGTGCTTTGGTTGTATGAAACTGATTATTGAAGACTCTTCAGAGATCGATATATATGACATTAAGAAGCGTTCTTTTCGTGATAACGTTGGCCAGTTTTCAGTTCAAATATTTTTCATTTAGCGTTGATGATTGAATAAATTAACTTCACATAGATACTGGTGAAAATAGGCGAAGACGTAGCAGTGGAGATTCTGGGGGTCCCCAGACGAACTACAGCAGTACAACTGTGGTACCTACCCCTGGGGATCCCCAGACGAACTACGACAGTACAGCTGTGGTACCTCTCACTGGGGATTCCCAGACGAACTACGACAGTACAGCTGTGGTACCTACCCCTGGGGATCCCCAGACGAACTACGACAGTACAGCTGTGGTACCTACCCCTGGGGATTCCCAGACGAACTACGACAGTACAGCTGTGGTACCTCCCGCTGAGACGGGTAATGATGATGATGACGCCACAAACCCGCAAACCAAAGAAAGTGATCACGATGATGATCTTTATAATAACAATGACGAATACTCGCAATATCGTGAGGACGTCAATGATCATAACTCTGATTATTATGAAGAGAATGAGGACGACGAGTTCCCGGATGAAAAGGAATTAAGCCCGGATGTTAGGTTACGTTACGAAATAGATAATTTAATTGGAACATTGGAAGAAGATGAACTTTATTGGAACGGACATTTATTTGAAGTTTTAATCAAGAATTGTACCTGGAAAGGCGTTGACTGTAAAACTGGGTAGGTATCAGTGGACTGAACACACATACAGTACGCATGACATTTTAAAACTAATGAGGAAATCTTGCATGGAGAACAGACTAGCCTCAAATAACCCGATCGCCCAACTTTAATTTCTTGTTTTGTGTGAAAATATCAACGCTTATTTAACGATGTTTTTATCAGAAATTTAAGCAAATACTGGAGCCAACATTGGAATTACAAATATGGGAATTGCTACACGTTCAATCCCGGGATTAATTTCCACGGCGAGAACATTGGCGTTTTAAAAACAACAAAACCTGGGCCGTCCCAAGGTATGTTTTAGTGCCAAAATTTTTGCCAATTTTATTTACAAATATTGAGTTGTAGTGAGTAGTTTTCTTGCCCTTTTTCTCCAAAAAAATCCACTTGTAAGGTCTCAAGTTGATGATGATAACATTAACACACAAACACAATTATTTTTCACTCGTAAGGTCTCCAGTTGGAAATTGATGTTCAGCAAGATCAATACATAGGACCTCTCTCAGCCGAAGCTGGAGTTCGTGTCTTACTTCATGATCAGGGAGCGATGCCTTTTCCTTTTGAAGAGGGTTTTAGTGTATCAACAGGAATGGCGACATCAGTTGGTATCAGCAAGGTGGGTCAAAATGCACAATTACGCTTTCCGTTAACAGATAAGTATTCTCTCGCCATTTGTCTGCATGTACTTTGAGAAAATTCATTTTCCTTTTAGACGAAAATTGCGAGATTAGATAGGTTCAACAACAAAAGCTGTCTGTCAGCAAATGAACTCCCAATGACTAATATCTACCGACGTCACAAGAACATCACAACTTACTCACAGCAGGTAAAAATACATGTCGTTATGACTGCTATTCAGCAGAGAGAGATTTATATGCACACGAGTGATCTGATTGCAATAAAGCTGGTAGTAGAATATATCTCTGTCTCAGAAGAATGAAACAAGAATTCCTCTCCCTTAGGCCTGTCTAAACTCTTGCCTTGGGTTAAGTCAAAGGATACGATGTAAATGTTCTGAGAATTCTTTTCCGTCAGATAAGCCTCCATGTGACGTGTTTAATCCGGAAACCAGTAAGTTAACTATTGTCGTTTGCAGTAAAAATTATGTATGAAGAACAATGTTGCATTGTTTGGTGTAAAATTCGAGTCATGGATAATGACTGTTACTCTGACTGCTATAGGTAAATGTCTGAAGGTTGTGAAGTATCTTTTCAACAACGATAAGCTGTCATGTCTTGGTGACTGCAGTCAACCGTGCGAGTAAGTACCTTATCATGACAATCATTTGTACATTCTGGATTGCTTCTGATCTTCCAACTTTACAACAGGGAAGAAGTAATTCAGAAGACAATCAGCTCATCTCAATGGCCATCAAAGGCTTATAAGGTAATGGTTGTCTTATGTATCTCCATCATATATGGTTGCTGGACTTTTTCAGTTTCACAGTATAAAAGTTAAATATTTGTTTGAATAACATAGGAATATCGTACTCATCAAAACAAAGACTATAACCCAAGGTATAATGAAAATCATTTGTTTCCAAAGTGACTTTTACTGTGCTTCAAATTTATTGCGTAAATCATTTATAAATATTTCCGTATACCGCGTTACTTTCAGCATCAATATGTTGCAGTTGAACGTGTTTTTTAACGAGCTAAACTATGAAAAAATTGAGGAGCAATTTTCGTATGGGGTGAGTTTTTCTTACGTAGTTACTTTTTCAACCATTCGCCATCATAGTTATTCCTTCCCTTGGTTTAAACTCTTGTCCGGCAAAGGTTTTCATGAGTTAAAAACATTGAATATATTCATGCACGTTAGACCATCAATCTCCTCGCTGATGTTGGCGGACAATTGGGTCTGTGGATTGGAATTTCTGTGATCACAGTTTGTGAACTTATCGAGTTAATTGTGATGTTTTTCACGGTGTGTGTGAAGAAAATTAATGCAGCGAGCGAAGTTCACGAGATACCTGCCTATGGATAAAATATCAGCAGTGACAGTGTGGAATCAATCTTCAGCTTATCATTCAAACAGTACCAAGGTGAAAACACGGATAAATAGATTGTTCAATAAAGTATTTATGCATTTGCGGGATTTAAAAACCCGACATTAGCCAAGGTATTCTTCAAACTATGTTAATCAGTTCAGGTTGTAGTTTTGACAGAAAAAGCTGCCATATCCGGTGCATGTATAATCGATCCACTAGTTGCGAAGGTGGTAAGATCTTCTACTATACAGTAGACTGTAAAATAGGGAAATAAAGCTGTGTAATAGATAATGTATATTTTACCAGCACAATATGGTATCTGTATTTATGGTAAACATTTCATTATTTTCATATTATATCATATAGTGTGCCTACGTTATTTTATTGTATTCAGTTGTACAAACGGCAACATATGCCTTGTGTTTAGATGTATATAGACCTAGGAACGTGAATGACTTGAGAAATATTTGGTTTAATTTACCAAGCAAGCAAGCTCTTCTGTGCGATCATAGGATAATTGTTTTTGCTAAAGTCAGGATGGCGTAGCCTGTGCACATGCAGACGCAACGCTCCCTCCCTAGGGGGAGGCACAGGCTAGGATGGCCAGGAGCTATTATGCATATTTGCGTCACTTGCTACCATTGCTTCGCGCGGTCATCCCGGTAATTTCAAAATTTTTACACTGCAAATTGCAACACAACGTGGCTCTATTAATAAACCTGAATCGAGGATTTTACCTCTAAAAGACACACATTCTCCTTCAAGATAACGAAATACCATAAAGATCTTTTATGAGTATCGTAAACCATCACGAATTACAAAACGTTTGTTGAGTAAACAAGGATTTTGTACTTATAACTTGTTCAGGTAAATTATGTCTGGCAAGAGCTACCATTCGCTCACTGAAATTTTAAATTGTCAATTGTACGTTTTAAATTCCACTCGTATCGCTTTTACCCCGCAATATTCAAAACTCTGAAACACTATATTTCGTTCTTCTCACAGATGAAGAAGACATCAGCCAGGAAGACAGATGTAATCGTGTTTGTAATCAGCCAAATACGAACAACATGCATGCTGGTACGCTCTATATGCTATTATCCAACACCGCTTTAACACGCTTCGTACCAAAGCCAAACGCATTTGTTTCCCTGCATGAGCAACGGATAGGACAAAAAAAAACAATACTCCGAGGTAGGTATCAAACCTTTTGAAGTCAAGAACAGTCCTAGTTTAATATATTGAATTATATCGTACAGAATCCTAAGCGTATTTTAAACGTTGTGCAACCCCATTTGCTGAACGCATTAACCACAATAGATGAGGCATCTCAAATCATTATCTATTGTTTATTATGCCTTCGGCAAATGCGACACACGATTGCATAGTTGGCCGGACAGTTTTAGAAGCTGTTTATACAATTATCACCCGTCGCCCAAGATTCTACAAAGCGTGAGGTATATATTGAGATACGTTTTTAAGAACCAAACAAGGAAATGCTATTGTAGGGATGACACTGTCAGGATTATTTTGTTGGCTTACTCCAAAGGCAGCTCACGCTTGGTTAAATATCAGCTACGCATGATAATGTAAACAGCCAATTAGTGATAAAAAATTTAAATGCAGCCTTGAACCAACGTTCCTAAATGCGCATTTCAGTTAGCATGTAAAGCGTGCAAGTTTCTACCGGAGTTTTATCGACCCTTAATGCTTGTTTAAGCAAATCTAAGTTTATGCCATTTCATCACGGTTGTGTGAGGGTTCATCGTCACCTCTTTCCAATGATTAGCCTCGTTTTCGTAACTGGATCCAGACTCCAAGCGAACCAATCCGACCACATCATTCTTCCCAGTGAAGGTGTAGCGAAGCACAGTAAACTGAAGATGAAATTCGCTCAAAGGGGTTTCCGAATCGGTAGTCACGGGAATATCAAATTTCTCTTCAAACAATGGATTGATCTTGTTGCTTTTCTGTTTCGTGTTTTTCACAAATACAATTTCCTCCTGGTTGCTAAGCTCGATGATAACAAACGGTGCTAAAGTGTGACAAGAAATAAGATCTCAGTCAGAAATTATTGAGATGGACTGTATTTTCTTAACCTCACTTCAGGTAAGAACACGAACTGTTATGTTCTTCAACTAATGTTAAAACCAACTAGAACTTACCTCCAGTTGTTCTTTTGACTGTTCTGGGCAGATCCATACCTCGTACCACGCCAACTTGTAGGATTCCTGTAGTTGCCTGATGACACACTGATACCAGTATTTCCCCTACGAGCTGGATGCAAAAATATTATATTAAACTACTGCAAGAAATATAAAGCGTTTTCTTCAAACTAAAAGATTCTAGTGAAAACTTTCAGGTGAAGTATTTCTGTGGTCTATATTTTGCTGATCTTAACCGGGAGTTCTTCATGAAATCACAATGGCACAGCGTTATCACTATATGAAAATCCATCGCAATTTTAAACGTTCATCTCATTTTATAAATACTAACCTCAGTGACAGAGTGACATAACTTCAACGTGTATGCTTGAGGCTCTACCAGCTGTACACCAGACAATTTCAGGACACTTTTTCCTAATATTTTGTTTCTGATCAAACTGTTCTTACGTTTCAAAGTGAATCTCAACACAGCACGTTGTAAATCCCCGATATCTTTCACCAAATACGAAAATGTTCGTCTCACCAAAGATTTCGTTGCATCGGACCACATTTGCATTTCATTTTTGTAAGGTTTTTCAAACAGATAAAACGTTACTTTGATGTAGGTATCCACCAAACTACGTTCTTCTGGGCTTGTGATATTAACCACGCTTACTTTGAGAAGCCGTTCTTCAGAGCTATAATTCAGAGTCACTTCTAGATTTCCAAGATCAAAAGCTAGGTTTTCTGCGCTGCCGACACTCGACGGACCGCTTTTTACAGCAAGAAGGAGTTGTGACACAGGTTTATCCAAAACCATTGCAGCTGAGTTTCGTCTCATGTTGAAATTGAATTGCTGCGTTTGTCTCAAGGGAGTTGAAGGAAGAGATTTCACTGTTTTGGGACTCAAAGGAGGCTTTCCAGTGACCTTGACTGCTTCGACAGATAACATTTTAGAGCGGTGGTCTACGATGGGGCTGCGTCTCGGAAATTGTGGTCGTTCTGAGAACTCAGGGAAGACAGGTGAGCATCTTCGGCCCTCATTATCGCTGTCATCTTTGCTTCCTCGACGATTTTCTTGAAGAAAATTATAATAAGTTGTTATTTACCTCCACCCAAAGATTGGAATCCTTCATATCTGACATGTACTTACTTCCATGTTTGTAAAAGAGCGACTCCCTCGCCCGCCATATTCCACCTCTCCCCTCAGGCGAGGGACTGTCAATTGTGTAAGATCTACTGCGCATGTCAATCTGAAGGAAAATAAATGAATATTCGCATGTTTTCAAAAAGCTAATTCTACAAACCAGGAGCAGCTCAGGACTGATGCGATTTCATAAGCACAAAAAATCACGATGGAATACACTCGTATATGGATCACCCTAGAGGTGCTGGGCTATATATGGATCAAACTATCGCATCAGTCAGCTAAGTGCTGAATCCGGCTTTGCTAAAACACTCGATTATTCTTATTGTAAAACGCCACAAGGGAACGGGAGATTTTGATCTTTCAGATGTTGCTCTTAGTAGCTAACTGCTGCCTAATTTAGTAACTAGTACATCCCCTCCCCGTTTTCTAACAACTTTTTCCAGCCAATCAGTTTTCGATGACATTCCTGAACCTTCCGCTGTGATTGGTTCCTTCCTGCGGGGTATTGGTACAACGGCTTTGAGAGCAGTTTCGTCTTCTTCACTCGGCTCTCTTTGTCAAAGTGTCTGTGATCACAGCTGAAATTCTCAATAGGTCATTCCCATGTTTTGAGTAATAGCTTGAAATATCTGAGGGAACTAAGCAATGCTGCTGTACTGGGTTATCAGTCTGCTCAGATGTTTGTAAAGCATTCTTTAGATTTCTTATAAAAAGTTCCAATTATGATCATAGAAAGTCTGACAGTGTTTAACCAGGCATTATACTTACTTGTGATATTTTATTAGGATTTTGATAAGTGTGTGTACGAGGTCGCATGTCCTTCTGGGGGATACCCATATGATAATCACCATCACTCTCACTAGATGGTTGTACTGGTACTATTTTGGTCGGCAGACCTCCCTGGACATCAAGACCACCACCCTTATTATCTAAACCATCTGTATCAGTGTTTGTTCCGTCGGTGTCACTGTAACCCAGCAGATACTGAACCAATCGCTCGGCATACGGTTTCTTCTTTCCATCAACGCAAGTTTCAAAGTTTATACTTTGTTTATCTACTGGTGTGTATCTGGTTTCCTTTAGCCTTTTATAATATTTGGAAAGGATAAAAAGAACGGCCAGTAGCAAGACAATAAAACATGATATTGTCGCTGAGAGAATGTATATTGCCCACTTCATGATTTTGTTTGAAGAGTTCTAAGAGAAAAATGAAAGTTATCACTCAGGCTAACGTATCATTACTGTCCTCTTCCAGGACAGGTTTTTTACAACTTGAGTGAATGAAAGCGTCCTGAAATAACGCTGCACGAAACTCTCATGTTTATCTCATATATGACAAATAAATCTATTTATGCTCGGGTTTTTTGTAGGAATTAATCCGCGATGTACGAAAAGCTATCAACATTTTGGATTAGTAAAAGTGCAGTTAGATCAAGCAGCAGATCACACGATAAAGGTAGGATTCCTTGGTATTGCAGAAAACGTTATAACAAATAATATAGTGCAAGAGTGTCTTTCAATATATTTTAATTTGTTATATATAAGTATAACAACAAGTCGTGGGTTAATAAAAGTTTCAAATTTGTAGGAATAAAAGAATTTAAAAAAACTTTCAGTCGAACAAAATCAATATTTTGACCAAACAACTTGTACAGCCTACGCTTATACACAACCTAGAATATTTAAAGATTGGTTTGTGAAGAACTCAAAACTCTTTTGTTTCCCACTCATAATGTAACAGCTCATTGGAACTGACCAATGAGGTTGCTTTTTCTGAGACCCTTTCAAGCATCTAGGCCGCTTTGTTTGGCGAAGCGCAAATCAATAAGTTCAAATATTTATATATATTTAAAAATTCTGCGATATTATAGTTTTATGTCATCGTATAGTGAAATATGTAACTCAATGTCGCTTTTCATAAAGCCTGAAATACGCAAGTCACGTCATGAAAATCAGCTCTAAAATAAACTTTGAGCTTTTATGCATAAACGAGACTAATATCTAATGCTATCTTTTTATTATCAAAAGGCACATAAGATATATTTCAAACTTTATAATGACAAAGAAAGAAACGCCTGCATATAACTTCCAGTGAACAAAGTTTCACAAACCTTCAGCCAATGAATCAATCTCTCTTAACGCTCTCTAAAACAAAGGTTACTGTTCTGTCCTGGTAAAATTGGTAAACCTTCGTCCATTTTCTTTTACAAACTGATGAAAATTTGCGTATTTTAAACGTATTTGTATAAATGATAAGCACAATATAACAAGGTTGTGTCACCGTGTATGTCCCAGCGATGTTTAACCCATATTTGATTTGTGATAGCGCATTAACACTGTTCAAAGGTCTCTGTCAGTTTGCGATGTTAACGTTCGGAAACAGCGGGACAAAGACGTAACAGCTAGGAATATTATAAAGGTATAAAGAAGCTTTATAAACTACTAAATTTGTTTCAAACAAACCCAGGAGTGCCTAAGTCGTAAAACATAACAGTCGTATAAGCCATGGTAACAAATTAAGTTCTTTTTTGGTCTGACTGCATGGAAGGTGACGTGGTGAGTTTAATAAACATCAGTGGCAGTGTGTTTAAAATACCGAAGCGCAACTTGTAGAGCTGTTATCATGCATGGCTGTCTTTACTTCAAAGATTTCCAAAAGATATCAAATGGTTCATCCGAGTCTTTATCGCACATGCATACGCATAAATGTTTAAATGTTCTTAGAAAACCACTGAGATTATGACTTGATCACACATCTCATCTAATATGAATTATTGAGGCTAATGGCAGCCAAGTTAAAAAGTCCACTTGAATCTAATTTCTTGCCGCGAAGATGTCTAAGTAGACATCGTTGGTGGTTTTATTAAATATTTGGAGAATATTTCTTGGATACATGAATTATCATCAATAGCCTCGATTTTATTCTTGCAAAATTGTGCATGGGTGAATAAATATTCGGCACCAACCGTTCAAAATGCACGAATGGCTGCCATAATCCTCATGAATGCTGCGTTTGAAGTTTTTAAACTAATATTACGAAATATTGGAAACGTAATATTCTGTGTAGGGTTTAAACCAAAAGACTTAGCATAGTTCGGAATTTGACACATTTAAAACTCCGACTTCAATTAAAAATAAAAGATTATTTATATTTTGCGTGATACCAAAAGGCCAATATGCTAAAGTTTTGACACAGGATTGCTAAAAAACAATTCAGCAAGAATTGTTTTACTTGTAACTTTTTGTCAACGTTATCATACGAGGGATGATTTCACATTCCAGTTTCATCTATGCATCAGTCAGTGACAAAATTCGAGGATTTTAGAGGCTTACTATTTAGAATTGAGGCAGGCAATCGTCCAGAGTTTGGGGTTTGAGTTTGAGTTCAGAAACATGGGGAATTAATTGATGAGCTTTCCATATGTTTGACTTTCTAAAGATGAAAAATTTGCATATGTTGGAAAATATTTTCCAGCCGAGACATCTGCCTTCAAAGTCTCCATATACAATTATCGTTGACCGTGTGTGCTAAATTATTTACGACAAACGAATCTAGTAATCAGTTTGGCTTGATTATCATAACTTTTGGTCTGTTTTGATCTTTATCGCCGCTTTATCCCTATTTCTGCGTGAAAAGATGTGGTCATCTCGCTATAGGATATTGTTAATTCTTTAAAAATGAAATACGTACACAATTAAACGCAGAAACCAAATGTTGTTGTTGAAAAGCAAGAAAGCTGATTAACTGATCAACGACGTCATATTCAAGACCTATGCATATCTTTGAGGCTTAGTTGCGATGTCTGTATGAAAGTTCAACAAACTGTAAACATGATTCAAAAGCTGAACTAAACCATCTATAACGATATTTTAAATCAGGAAACTTGGTTAGTCCTGAAGATGAACAATTCCCGAGTGTAAATATGCCTCATTTATCGACATTTTTTGATATCGTACAGAGAAAGGAAGATATAAAATACTGGGAAATCGATGCATTTATCGACACTCAGCCATTTCGTTATATGCGGACGAAGTTCCCGCTGAACTACTACAACCAACTGCTGTTGATTTTAGCTCAAGTTGATAAATATTTTCTTGATATCATCTACACCGACTCTGATTTTCTTTTGGCAACTTGGGACGCCAATCGATTTCTTCCTGTTGAAATCAGTGCGACTTCTCAACGCCTTGTTTCCATGGATCATATCTGGGGAAATGACGACGCTGTGAATGAAATTTCAGCACAGCAAATGACACTAACTTCTGAAAGTAATGAAAATGTGGGACAGATCGATTGCTCTTCCGAAGAAAATAAAAGTTGCGAGCAAATGAATATATCAAATGCAGTGATTTTGCTTGGGGGAGTTGAGTGGAAATTGTCGATTGTTGTATATGCAGAAGTTAGGCTTTTTGAATCGGTTTTAAGTAACTGGATCACTTTTCAATTTGTTTTGCTTCCCAGGAAGAGGCCCGAACGCTTTGCTGTGATGGACGAGTTCGTCCTACAGTACGACAAACTTGCAGAGCTTTTAAAATGCGAAGAAAGTGGAAATATCAGAGAGAATGTTATAGAAACTGTTCAAATGGTGACTGGTACAGCAGCGGAGAACACAGCAACGATTGGTATCGAGACTACAGCCACATCGTTAGGTCATGCTGCCGCTGGAGTCGTTCTTGCTGTGTTTGTTGACATCGCCGTGACGGCGAGTATGTTAGCTCGAGCTAAGGTCCGTAAAGACAGAGGAAAGATCACTGAACAGCAATATAAGAGAGAGATACGAGACCGTTTGTTTCAAACCAGTTGTCAGTTTGTCGCGGGTACCACAGGGACCATTGTTGGACAGATTGTAGTACCAGTCCCCGTTGTCGGCGCAGCAATTGGCGGCTTCGTCGGCAGTTTAGTGGGATTAGGTGTGAGCATGGGGGTTTCAAAGATACAAAAGGCGGTAGAAAGAGCTAGAAAACGTAAAGAAATTATGATGATTGAAAACTAGGGCGTCAAAATATCATGCCGGATTATCTGACACGATGAAACACCTCCTGTTAAAAGTGTCAACGTCTCCGAAGTTGATTTCATTTGTGTTCACCAAAATATACCATCAGTCATAACATTTTTTCATTCTGGTTCTGACAGCTGACTTGAGATTTTATTTTAACGATGCTTTTACAACCAGTCCAATAATATTCCCACTTTTTCTTTTAATATCCCCATTAAACTAGAGGTTAATAACTGTTACTTTCTGAGAAGTATAGAATATATAAAATCAAATCAAATTTGTTAAAATACTATAAATCAAATATGAAAAAAAAAATACAATTTCGTTTCATTCTTCAACGGACGAGATTATATCATTGCACGCTATAGCGTCAACCATGCGCCATCTTAAGTTAAAACAATTAAACAATATTTTCCACGAGTTAGATCAAAACAAAACACACAAGGCTGCGACAGCGATCAGGAAGATCACATTCCAACTGAACAAACATTGAGATGAACAAGTCGGACGAGTGTCATTGAGTGAGGAAGTAACAGGTACATGGCTTGGTGTCCCTTTGGGTTCCATCTTCACGCTGGATGACGTCATTGTATCTTCACTTGCGGTCGGCTTCACTTCCGGTTTTGTTGACATCGCATCAGCTGCTGACGTCATGGGCTGGTTCGTTGGTATTTTGCTCTCTGACGCAACCGGCTTCGAGGTCATTTTTACCATTGGTTGTTCAGTTGTCATAGAAACAGGTGATGGTGTAGCAGCGAGGACCAGGGGAGAGGGTGATTTGGGGGCTGGTTTTTGCGTTGTGAATAGGGAGGAGGTGGTAGAAGGGAGAACGTTGACAATAACAGAGGGGGAAGGAGAGGGGGAAGGAGAGGAGGAAGGAGAGGGGGAGGAAGAGGCAACCTTTCGTTCCACTGCCCAATTGCTTACAATACAAAAGCTTGTATTACAGCAACCATATCTGTGACATTCCTCAAAAGGACCGCTGTTTCCACAGTGCTTTTTCTCGTAACAATTCCCAGAATCTTTACAACCTGGAAACAAAGCCGGAAACGAGATCAAAAACTAAAGCATCAACGAAACTTTAACAAAATCAGACAAAACAAAAACATAAACACAGTAAGAACAGACCTCTTTTAACCTTAATTTTTTGGGTATTCGTGTCTAAGATTTCTGCTGTATAACAGACCTGTCCTGCTTTACATGTTGTTTTGTTGCCTCCCGAGAGAGAGCAAACTTCCGTACACCAACACTGCAGTTGGCTGTCAACACCTAGAAATGACAAAAAACACAAAGTTTATTTCTCATCTACCTCAAAAACTCGTTTTGATGAAGGAAAAGATAAATTCAGCGCAACAGAAAGAATCTGAATTTTTTGACCTGAAGGAAACAAGAATGGTTTTTACTAGTATAAGGCTTACTGAATATATTTGCATTAAATATATCAGAGTTTTCTGAACAAGGAAGATCGATACTAACCAATGAAGAGGTAGACCAGGACAACAACACAACCAGTTACTCTTAACACAGACATTTTCTATACAGGAAAAGTACTCTATAAAAAGCAGTGATTAGTTTGCAAGATGGACTGAGAGTTTAACACCAAACAATATAGTAAATCAGTTCAACATTTCGATGAATAAAAAAGTCCTGGTCTTGTCTGGTCTGAGGAAATACGTGACGACGCATGTAAGATGAGGAAAGGTTTTGAATAAGAAACTCAAAGGATGTTAATTAGAGAAATCAAATACGACCAGTTAATTCAGTGATACATAATACATAATCGTAATAATCACAAACATTTTATATAATCCCATTTCCGTGCAGCCTAAAGCTAGGGTATTAACAACAAAAATTTAGTTTATTTAATATAGAAGATCAGGTGAAATTATGTCTAAACTCTTTCACTAGTTTCGCAACCTGCTGTTAGACAGATATGAGCCAAGAGTAAATATATTTTCACAATATTTCCACAATGCTTAGATAAAAACCTTTCATGACCCGTTTGTGTCGTGACAAGTATAGCTATATCTCTGCTCATGGAGGATGGCGAACTGCCAGCTAACTTTGGCCTAAATATTTCGAAAACTAAGCGAGATAAAAAATTGAAAAAATAGATTCATAAATAGCTCTTAGTGTTCTTTAAAAAGTAAATAATGTCATTGGTAAATATTGATCGAAGGAGTTATTAAAATTTAGTAAAAGCTAAACTGAATCGTAAGCCAGATTAGAAAGTTGCGTTTTAGTATATTTATTTAAAACTAGTGATATATTCACATCGATCATAGGTATATATCTCGAGAAAGCGCGTAAGTGAATAATTATCAAAGCTTCTATCAAATAATAAGATAATGTAATGGAAATAAAAATAATCGTATACATGACGCTGATACGAGAGCATAGCCAGGTCGATTAATTCTAGTTCTGCCTGAGTAAAGTATATCAAAACAGTGGTAATATTTCAATTCATCGACTTACTTGAGAAAGATCTTATATTGCCAGCTGTCGACTATCTGAACAGTATAAAACACGCAAGCACAATACAGGTAATGATGCAAGTCGCAATATCAAGCCCAGTCGTAAATTGTCATAATTGCAATTTACTTGCGCGGGCAGCTGTGATATTTCGGGGGTCAAGAGAATGCTCATTCGCACGACTCCATCATCAAGGGTTAATGTGACCCTGCTTAAAAATGTGGTTCTCACACAGTTGTGAGTACTTGTATTTACAAGTGTTCCGGTAAAGGAATTTGTCGATTTCGTATAAAAGGTCAACGCTTTTTAGACCGTTTTAATGCCCTAAAATTGGGGTTTGCTGATGGCAGGGCTGAGGTCTCCGTATAGCGACTTGTCGCGACTGGTCTCAGCTGGTTGGGTTGCGTGTAGATGCATGCATCCTTAAAACTAGTTTTTATTGGTGCATGGTTTTATTGAGTATTTAGTCAGTGATTAAAGTGACCACCAGCCTTTATTGTGTCGACAATTATGCAACACAGCAGTTGCAGGCATTGATACGAAATGGCGCATTTTTGCAACGAAGCACGAAGCTAAGTACATGCAGTGAAGAACCAACTCACTCGGATTACCAAGTCTTCATTTCGAGTTGACAACCTTCTGAAGCAAGTTACTAACCTAATCCTCGGCATGTTTCCACAGCTCTGGCATATACGGTCTCTTAACATAAACAAGCTCAAGGCAGTGTCGTTGGGAAATTTCAGAACGGATTTGCAGCCTGCACTTGACGAAACTGAACAGTCCTTGATTGACGAACATGGGCCAGATATTTTGACGCGCTAAAAACCATGCAAGGTAACTGAAATTGTGAACACTGAGTTTATTGATATGCTTCGATCTCATCGTTATTACAGTCGGTCAAAATTAAGTTTCCCTGCCCTGGAAATGACGTTAGTTCCTATCAACTGATTTGAAAACTGATTAGTTCCTATCAACTGATTTGATTTCGATGAATACCAGCCAGGCATTGCTCTGAGGTCATGCACGTCCAACACATTCAAGATTACCGCGCTAACTAGCTGCAAAAATATGAGAATGTTGAGAGCAAATAAATACGAATCAATACATAGAAAGATAGCTTAACGCCTAAAAATATATTGCTCAACCAATATAATTTGTTTAGAATTTAAATATAACACGTACTGCCTACTTGGTAGTGGCCAAACACTCGAGCAACTCCTGGCATCCAAGGTTGTTGTTTATAGCATGCATTTACAAATATTTGCAAGGATATCACTCTTCCAAGATTTCTAAAATTTATGTTCACCAAAATGTACCACCACTAACAACATTTTATTTTTAACGATGCTTTTACACACAAATTCACCCTTCTGATTGTATTTCCACTTTAGATTGTTACCGTTATTTTCTCGAGAATATAGAACATATAAAGAATATAAAGTCATATTAGAAAATTTTGTTTAAGGAATTTAAATGAAATCTGAAAAAACACATTTTCGTTTCACGGCCCAACAAACTAGATTTACACTTAGCCCCAGCCATGCGCCACCTTAAGTTTAAGTAAACAATATTTTCGACGAGTTAGATCAAAACAAAACACACAAGGCTGCGACAGCGATCAGGAAGATCACATTCCAACTGAACAAACATTGAGATGAACAAGTCGGACGAGTAACAGGTACATCGGTTGGTGTTCTTATGGGTTCCGTCATTACCCTGGATGACGTCATTGTATCTTCACTTGCCGTCGGCTTCACTTCCGGTTTTTTTGACATCGCATCAGCTGCTGACGTCACGGGCTGGTATTTGGTATTTGGTATTTTGCTCTCTGACGCAACCGGCTTCGAGGTCATTTTTACCATTGGTTGCTCAGTTATCATAGAAACACGTGATGGTGTAGAAGCGAGGACCAGGGGAGAGGGTGATTTGGGGGCTGGTTTTTGCGTTGTGGACGGGGAGGGAGTGGTAGAAGGGGGAACGTTGACAATTGCAGAGAGGGAAGGAGAGGAGGAAGAAGAGGGGGAAGAAGAGGCAACCTTTCGTTCCACTGCCCAATTACTTACATCGCAAAGGCTTGTATTACAGCAACCATATCTGTGACATTCCTCAAAAGGACCGCCGTTTCCACAGTGCTTTTTTTCGTAACAATTCCCATGATCTTTACAACCTGGAAACAAAGCCGGACACGAGATCAAAAACTAAAGCATCAACGAAACTTTAACAAAATCAGACAAAACAAAAACATAAACACAGTAAAAACAGACCTCTTTTAACCTTAAGTTTTTGGGTATTCGTGTCCAAGATTTCTGCTGTATAACAGACCTGTCCTGCTTTACATGTTGTTTTGTTGCCTCCCGAGAGAGAGCAAACTTCCGTACACCAACACTGCAGTTGGCTGTCAACACCTAGAAATGACAAAAAACACAAAGTTTATTTGCAATCTAGCTCAAAAGCTCGTTTTGATGAAGGAAAGGATAAATTCAGCGCAACGTTGACAGAAGGAATCTGAATTTTCTGACCTGAAGGAAACAAGAATGGTTTTTACTAGTATAAGGCTTACTGATAAACAATACCGAATATATTTGCATTAAATATATCAGAGTTTTTTGAACAAGGAAGATCGATACTAACCAATGAAGAGGTAGACCAGGACAACAACACAACCAGTTACTCTTAACACAGACATTTTCTATACAGGAAAAATACTCTATAAAAAGGAGTGTTTAGTGTGCAAGATGGACGAAGAGTTTAACACCAAACAATATAGTAAATTTCAACATTTCGATGAATAAGAAAGTCCTGGTCTTGTCTGCTCTGAGGCAGTGCGTGACGACGCATGTAAGATGAGGAAAGGTTTTGAATAAGAAACTCAAAGGATTCGTGAAAGACCACAACACGAGGCATATACTTTGACTCTTCGAGTTCACTTTTCACACAAAAAATATAGCGCGGGAAAATTTTCGGTGATATGTCATGTGAGCCCAGTGTCAACCATTGAACTGATGTCAACCAGGCATGGAACTCAAAAGAACTTTTCTTTGAAAAGAACTTAAAAGAAAGTTCTTTTGAGTTCAATGCAACCAAGTCAGTTCATTTCGGCTTTTTTTTCTCTTGTTTTCCTTTATTTTCATTTATTTCCCCCTTTTTTTTCCCGATTTGAAACGTTCAATCCGCCAAAATTCAACTTCAGTACTTTACTCTTTAGTGAAATATAGACATTAATATCGTCCGATGTTTCAATGTCGGAAATGCAAACTTTAATGTTATGAGTACAAACTTTAATATGGGAATACAAGCTAAGTCATTGTGAATACGAGCTTTAGTGATGAGAAAACTAGCTTTAATGTCGGGAATTCCAACTTTTAAGTTGCGAATACAAACTTTAATGTTCAAAATACGAACATTAATTTTGCGAATCATGCATGACTTTAATGTTGAGAATAGACATATGTATTTTGGCGGAAATATGACGCCATAAATATAAACTAAGACTATTAACTATTTCACATCGACAACAGCTGGGTTGTTAAAAACCCTTGGGTAACTTGAAAATTTTGATGCTAAAGGCCTTTACAGCTAAGGTCGATATTACGAACAAATTTTCACTCCTTTTCCTTGCCCCAGCAAAACAAGATGTCAGTTATTAAACAGCAAGTTTTTTATCACCTTGGCGTGTGAAATGTCTGTCGAGTCTGGTATTAGAACGAATCCTATCAACTCATTAACCTTTCAACATTTCCATGAATAATAGCTGTGCTGCCTGTGCAAGTAAAGTAATATGCACTAGCTATATAGTTACAGCGTTTTCGTGACGAGCAGGGCTGTGAGACGACGCTAGTATAAGTTGGCAAAAATATGAGACACGTCGACGACAATGGCAAGTGAGTAAGTAGCTGGGGCTTTAAATAAGACATTGAAATTTTGTAATTACACACCACAACTATTAGTATAATGAAACAATACATGATTGCACGACTTGACGATTTTTGAAAGTCTCGACTCAATATTTGCTTGGGCAGTTTCAGGATTAAAAGTGCACGCATCAGTATTTTGCAGATTTGTCAAGATAAAAGCACGTATCGGTTGTATACTTAAGATATAACTACGATATGTTAAAATTATTGATATTCTATTGACTTACTTGAAAAAGATCTTGTCTTCGGGGTGTAAAACAACCCGAACAGATGACAATACAAGATTCAATATAAGTTTAGTCTTTCAGCCTTGAAATGGAATTAGCTGATGTAATATATTTACAGGTGTTTAAGAATATATCCTCTCGTAGATATGACATATTCAACACCAATTTGAATGAGAGTGTCTTATAATAGTTGACAAAAACAAGTTGTTTGCACTTTGGGGACATTTTTGACACGTGCTGTGTATGGCCAAAATTTCAAACAATTCCAAGGTTGTTGTTGTAAATATCGCGCAGTTACAAATATTTGTAAGATATCACCACCCTTCCAGACTCTAAAAAACTCATTTATGTTCACCAAAATATACCACCACTAACAACATTTTTGTATCCTCGTTCTGACTTTACTTTCAGATTGATTTTACACACAAATTCAGCCTTCTAATTGTATTTCCACTTTTTTTTAAATACTTAAACTAAAGATTGATAGCGGTTACTTTTTAGGGAGTGTAAAACATATGAAGTCATATTTGACAACTTTTTTAAGGAATTTATCTGAAAAAAAAACATCTGCAATTTCGTTTTACAGTCCAACAAACTAGATTCACGCGAACAGCAACTATTGTGATTGCACGCTAAAGCGCCAGCTGCACCTTAGGTTTAAGTATACAATATTTTCCATGAGTTAGATCAGAACAAAACACACAAGGCTGCGACAGCGATCAGGAAGATCACATTCCAACTGAACAAACATTGAGATGAACAAGTCGGACGATTGTCTTTTTCTTCAATACTGAGTGAGGGAATAACAGGTACATCGCTTGGTGTCCCTTTGGGTTCCATCTTCACGCTGGATAACGTCATTGTATCTTCACTTGCGGTCGGCTTCACTTCCGGTTTTGTTGACATCGCATCAGCTGCTGACGTCATGGGCTGGTTCGTTGGTATTTTGCTCTCTGACGCAACCGGCTCCGAGGTCATTTTTACCATTGGTTGCTCAGTTGTCATAGAAACAGGTGATGGTGTAGCAGCGAAGACCAGGGGAGAGGATGATTTGGGGGCTGGTTTTTGTGTTGTGGATGGGGAGGAGGTGGTAGAAAGGGGAAGGTTGACAATAGCAGAGGGGGAGGGAGAGGGGGAAGGAGAGGGGGAGGGAGAGGGGGAAGGAGAGGGGGAGGAAGAGGCAACCTTTCGTTCCACTGCCCAATTGCTTACATCACAAAGGCTTGTATTACAGCAACCATATCTGTGACATTCCTCAAAAGGACCGCTGTGTCCACAGTGCTTTTTCTCGAAACAATTCCCAGAATCTTTACAACCTGGAAAGAAAGACACGAGATGTTTCTTTTACACATAATAGCTTCTTCATAATATGACATAGTTATGTTCTTTAATTCAAGAACACGAATGTATTCTATAACCCAAATCTTATTCATATTCCTAATATTAGCGAGCTCTATATTTAGCCACGACTCCAAGTTTCGTCATTTTGACTCACTAGTGAGTGCGTGATTTACAAAGATCTAAAAGTTGGTATTTTCTCGTTTTTCTGGAAAAACAGTTGAGAAAAGTGTTGAGAAAACTATTTTTCATGACCGTGGGTTCGATTGTGTGTATTTTTCGATCGTGTAAGTCCTCTATTACCCCTCTATGACCCCGATATACTGAAGACTAACAAATCAACACCATCCATATATATCCACAGATATCACTTGCAACAAATATAATCAAAACAGACCTTTGTATGACCAATCTTTATACAAAACTATTAAGAAAAGTTTAAAAAAATCAAACCTTGGACACGCTTCATTTTTTTTGTATTTGTGTTATAGATTTCTCCTGTGAAGCAGACCTGTCCTGCTGAACATGTTGTGTCGTTTGTTCCAGAGCATACTCCCGTACACCAACACTGCAGTTGACTATCAACACCTAGAAATGAGATTTACACAATTTATTTCTCGTCTACCCTTAATAAAAACTCGCCTTGATTAGGAAAAGGATACATTCAACACATCATTGACAGAAAAAATCTGAATATTTTTCCTCAAGGAAACAAGAAGTAATTTACATTCGCATCATTTTTATTGTCTACTTTACGGTTTCCTGGTAAACAATACTGAATATATCAGCTGCGTAGCTTGTGTTTTCTGAGAAAGGAAGATCGATACTAACCAATGAAGAGATAGACCAGGACAACAACACAACCAGTTACTCTTAACACAGACATCTTTTTTCAACAAAAAAATCTTCGTTGAAAAATAGCGAGTATTGTCGTACAAATGAACTCACACCTAAAGAGGCAAAGAAAAGAATTTTCAAACACAGTTCTCTTTGAAAATCGAATAAAAATTATATCTTAATTGGACGTTCTACTTTTTAAATAACTCCTGGCAGCATTTTACAAAGACAAGACCGTCATTTTTACGTGCAGACTGCACAAGAAGCGACTGTATTTTTTTTTTCGACTTAAAAACACACGTCTAGCGACCGTCATACAACGTGTTTGGTATATTCTTAACTATGATAAACTTTCTTATTTTTATTTGGTCGTTTGCCACCACTGCAAATCGCTGAGAGAGCATTAACAAATAACAATGTCATTATGATTCTGCAAAGCCAAAGGTATAACAGATATATAGTATATATACTTGGCACGTTCTCTCGATATTTGTATACAACGGACTAGCCAGAGAAATGGATGGACGAGCCAGTTCAGCGTGTTTTGGTCGGAAAAGTAAATAATAACATGTCATTTAACGTAACAAATTGATAACAGGAAATAGTGTGCGCAATGCGATATGCCTTGCGGACCAGTAATGTTATATACTCTTTGATTTCTCTACTCCCGCAAAAGACACAATAAACTTGTGGACTGTTTCGAGTGTCTCAGGGCGACAGCTAGCGACCAAAGCATGCGCACTCGAAACCGCTTGAGAGCACAACCGCCATCACAATTGACAAAGCATTCATGTGGAGCATGAATTTCTAAAACTTCTTTATAATAAAGCAGTACATATAAGCTACAGTCATCTTATGCCAACTTGAGAACCGTGAATATTTCAATAGTATGAAGACGTTTTTGTTAATTTAACTGGTATTTCAATACGCGAATATATGACCCCTTCAAAATGACGGTTTGGAAACTTGATATTAATCTAAGTTGTCGATCGTTACAATAAACAGCCGGCTTCCATCTAGTTTTAATGCATGAACAGGAAATGCCGTAAAGAAATTCTTTATAAGAAACAAATTTAACAGCACTTGCTTTGTAACGAATTTGAATAATAACCTCTCTACATTTGGGTGCGACACCAAAGACGAAGGATGAATCCATGTTCCAGTAACGGAGTTGATACGAAACAATATCGTATACAACGCGACATATACCGCCATGATGTTGTTGGGAAAAAGTGCCACAATAGTCAATACCGAAGCATTTTTACTAGACAATAACTCGAAAGAATGATAGTGAAAAGGACCTTCTTTTTGCGTTACTAAAGACACAATGTAAGACGACTAAGATTAATGAGGGAATGAAATTTAGAATATACATCTAAAGACACGAGAACAAAGCCAAGCATGCAAAGGACGCATGCAAGTAAACATCAAGGCATTGGAATAAAACGTTGTCGTTGAGATTATTCAACTAACATAGAAGATATTACTGCCTGTTGAACATGACTTCAGAACAATATATAATGAAAGTTGCAATGCTTGCGAAATTTTTGAGCAAAGCCTAATACGGCAGAAAAACTGCAATGCCAATAGCCCGAACAAAACATCATCAAGATTTGAGATCAGTGCTATATCACACAACGCTTTATCTTTCTCTGAAACTAGAATATATCGAGAATGTTATTGACTTACTTGAAAAGTTTTACCTCGACAGCTGTGAACGACCTGAACTGTGTGCAATACAGAAATGCAGTCACATGCAATACGAGCCGCTACGACCCGCAATATCAGGGCAAGTCTAAATTCCAACCTTAAATGTAGATTGTAATCCTAAAATGGAAATGCTTCATGCTGTGAATATATTTCGTATTCAAATTAGCAGGAAACACTTGATTTCAAATTCACTATTCTTCTTCCCGACTGATTAGGGGCTTTATGGCTTATGCACTGCTGTTTCGTAAGTACAAAAAAAATTTCAAGGAACAAAGGGAGAAGAGGAAAATATCATTTTACAACTTTGAACTTTCTTTGTATCCAACTCAGACGCCACGGTATCCCGAGAAAGAACTGAACTGAATAATATCCAACTCTCTCCCACCACTTAATAAAAAAACTCAAAGTGATTTTCATATTCCAACTGTCTCTAAGTAGGTCGCCCCCTTTCTAAGAGAAAAGAGATTTCCTGAGTAACTAAGGATTAATTTCCTCTGAGGGTAATCAACACGAATTACGTCAGGGCCTCCACAGACTAGGGATTTAGTTGTCGACAACTATTTGTGATCTACAACTGAAAGTTATCGACAAATAAATAAGTTCGATAAAGGATTCCACACACTGGCGCTCAAATACTGATTTAGCAACCGAAATAGTGCGGAGATTAAAAGAAGTCGACAACTAAACCGAAAGTTTTCACACATTAGAAAATGCCAAAATACTGAGGTCGTTGACAACTATCAGTTGTCGACAACTACGGAGTTCCCCTTTTCGAAAAGGGAAACTGCTTAGTTTTCGAAAACTAATAATTTAGAGTTTAGTTGCGGACCACTTACGTGGCAGACTATGTTTTTTCACCCTTTTAGTTTTCGATCACAAATACTTGTCGACAACTAAATCCCTAGTCTGTGGAGGTCCTCAGATTATCATTGATCTTTATAACGACCGAGAGTTTAATATCGCAAATAAAAGATAACCAATTAAATCGAAATAAAAATATTCTTTTTATTACAAGTTTCATTTGTGATTCTCCATTGTTGATCTTATCTAGATCTACGCGAGTTAATCACTTTGTAAGTTTAGATCGTTTAGACGAGAGTTCTGTCTCGTGTTCATGCGAAGTTCTGTTATGTTTTAAATTCGTTTCTTTATCTTCAGAACCTTCAATAATTTCTAATTTTTTAATGTCCTCGCTTTGTTTTTGTTTCAATACTTCCTGCTCTCTCTTTTCTTCCTTGCTCGAGTGAGGCACAGCACCATGCTCAAGTTGAATATCACAGAGCAACTGCAATGGTTTCCTGAGGACCTGCATCCGTGAAAAAAACATCGATAAACTACATGTGATATCTAAATAGCTCATTCAATATCTATACTTCATCCTACAGGTCCAGTAAGAATCATCTCTTATTGATCCAGTGTTACTACAGGAGGAAATCTAAACTAAACTAACTTTATTTATACTGGATAGCTCTATCAGTTCTAAACTGTTCTTTCTAGAGGTCCAGTAAGGATCATCTCTTATTGATCCAGTGTTACTGCAGGAGGAACCTAAACTAAACTTTATTTACAACGGATAACTCTATCAGTTCTAAACCGTTTGTCCTAGAGGTTGAGTAAGGATCATCTTGTATTGACCCAGTGTCACTATGTCACTCACTTCTGTAATTTCATCTTTTCCTTCTAAAATAGACAAGGCAACAGCAATTGCTTCCAAAGTTGATAAACTGTTCCTGGTTGGTTGCGTCCGAATGACATAACGACTTTTTATATTTTCATTCAACTGCACCTGACAAAGACATTAGTGCATGTGTAGTGATTGTCAAATTTTTAAGGCACCTGATATTGGTCAGTTATCAATTGAATCATAGTCAGTTCCTTGGTTAAAAAGGCTGGCATTTTGTTACCTTCCTTGCTTGTTGCAAGGCACTGTTTTGTTTGAATATCTTTTTAGCTTGACGCCATGTGCCATCTGGGACAACCAGGTTGTATTTTTGAGATGCACTTGCTTCCTTGACTAATTTCCTTAAATCTGTTGCTAAAAATCAAATATGTTTACCACATTAAAAAGTAGCATGGCCATCTCCACAGTTCAGTCTTTCTATGCTAATATTTTGATGTTTATTGACAAGGTAAATGAATAAGAAAATAACATTTGCATTGCATTGCATTGCATGACTAAATTATCAGGCTGGTTAGGCCACTGACATTATTTACAAGGAATCTACAGTATTTCTAAACTGAGATATTGTGCATCACAATGAACTAACCACTTGCATCTGGATAAAGTACCAATGTTTCTGGCCGTTTTAAAAGTTGGTGAAGGGCTGGATATTTTTCATGAGAATAGCGTACATCATTGTACACAATGCACTTGTCATTGGGCAGGCAAGCAGATAACAGTGGCACTGTTGTTAAGGTACGGTGTCGCTAAAAATCACGAATATCAATCAGATTCTATCAACTTATGGATTGATCATTGATGTATTTAATAAATGCAAAACCATACTTCCTCTGGGTGTTGTAAGATGTACACTGTTGTGGAAATATTCAAAGGCTTGTCAGGAATAGCTCTGCAAAGGCATACTTTCGTAGGGCGTCTTTATGTAAAGAAAATAAATAAAAGATGTTGTCAACACCAAAATGTTCAATTATGTGTCATGAATCATACTGACTGAAATCCTTTTATATTACGCTGGTAATTGCTGATATCGAAAACTTACTTGCACCGCTCACAGATTGGGCGTTTTGTATGTGTTTTTGGACTAATTTCATTGTCTTTGGCTTGTTGTTCCTCTGTCGAAATTTTGATATTTTTTCCAACTCCTTCGGAAGCCGCCATCTTGAAAGAATCTTGGGTGGTAATTTAGGACTCAGTGGGATACATAATATTTAGGATCCATTGATCTCAAGTTTCAAACTGGATATGACGTCTTCACTACAATAAAACCTTCCGGCATAATACACTTTAGGACGTGACCATCCAACTAATTTCTTTTTTTTTATCCTGAAAGATATAGCCTCATCACCTGTATCGTAGGAAGTTATTTTTCTGCAAATGAATGGTTCTCAAAATCTAGGTAAAGATTTGGGCTCGGTAATTAAACCACCAATGTCCTAGGTTATCCTGTGTTGTCCCGCGCGAGACATTCGAAAATGTTGCATTGGGAAAGTGGAGATTAAATTATACCAAGAATTGCAAAGAATTATGAATGGAATGAAATCGAAAGAGTTTACTGGCGATCAAAGTGTTTTAGGAGAATGTACGATCTTCTAGGATAATGAGATTGCATCAGGTTTTAACAGGTGCTGCGAATACCTCGGAGAATCAAGCTTCCGTTGGCTATGGTTCCGTCGAAGATTACCCCTTTATTGTGAGTAATTTGCACAATTTCCAGTGTTTGTGTCAAACGTTATGTAATTTTCCACAATCACTTGTATTGGTGCTTTTTAAAGATTTTGGGATAGTCCATTATATTAAACTAGCGATTGTGCACGATCTTTAATCTTTATAGTACAAAATCTACAGTAGATCAATAATTATTGATATCTCCTTTAGAACTTTGGCCTGCAGCTAAGCGTGACCTTAGCATGAAAATATCATATGATCGGTATGATATTGCACGCTTAGAATAGCAATTATAAATATCATGATCATGAGGTTCATAGGTTTGCGATCTGCATAATCTCGGTGAAATCTTACCAAAAAAAGGTGTAGTGATGAGTTAGTAGACTTGATATAAGATACAAGTGATGAGTAGCATGCATCTTGCTTAATACTTAGCATCCATTTCACCCCTTTCCTACCTCTTACTTTCACCAGCATCCATATATCAATTGTAACAATTAATCAAAGAATCCATCCATGTTCCTAACTTGCACCAAGATCCATATATCAATTAACAATCGATCAAATAATCCATCCATGTTTTCATTTAGGTGTATAGTTCAGGTTGTGATGTTGTGATCTTAGACAGTAAGTTTCAACGTGTCCAGATTGTAACCAGGCAGTGTGCCGCAAGCAACCATGTTGGACTAATATCATGCTCAGAAACTGAAGGAAAGGTAAGCAAATTTGTTGCACCTTGGCTCTAAAGGCAATGGTTGATCAAGTATGTATTCTGTTAAGTACTGTATATATTTCCAGCTTCTAAACTTGCATGCATTCGTCATTTTTACTGCTGATATAGAGTTGAGATGGATGTGTATGTCTTTTAAATATTTTAGATAGCTGTAGCCTATGAAAACAAGATCAGGATATTTTGTCCAAAAACAACTGAAACTAGCTCTCAAAACAAGGTAAGAAAACAGAGTTTTTGGTTCAGATTGTGTATCTGGGATATAAAGTCTATCCTTTGACCATGCAATAATTCAACTTGTTCTTCTCCACAACACTGCAAAAAATGAAGTCTTGAATGACCCTGGTGGTAATGCTTTTCTGTTTTCATTATAGACCTTACCTTTCCAATGGTTATTGGTTTCCACAGTGACAACAAATTACTCCTTGAATTGCTTATCATGGGACAGAGATGGTTAGTGTACTGTGTGCTAGGGTTTAATGCGTTTATGAACTGACTGAGTGAAAATTTTTGTTGCTAATTATGAGCAAAGTAGAGACTGACCTTCGAAATTGTCTTGTTCAAGGAAAGAGACTCCTAACAGGTGGCAAACTGCTAGAATTATGGATTGAGTCGGATCAAAGTACGGTGGATGACATTATATGGAAGAGCATTTGGAAATGTGAAACACCAACTCCAGTGTACTATATTGAGTTCTCATCTGATGGAGCTTACTTTGCCTCTTGTGGGAAGGTTGGTGCCTAATTCATTAGCCACTTTATTATAATCAAGGAGTTGTTCAAATTAAGTGGAAATGAAATCTTACTTTGTTTATAGAATGATTGCCTCGTCAAAGTTTGGTTTGACATTGATAAAGGTGTGTGAATAAATTGTACACTATATTACACTGTAAGAAGACATTTGTTGTTTACAATTGATATCAAAATGGCCGCTTGTCCGCAACTAACTTAGTACGAAACACTGTATCTTATTGTTGTAGCAACCCACAATTGTAACTGTAATTTTTCTTCAACAGATGACGCAATTGCAACAAGAAATGATGATGATAATGATGATGGAGCGCCATTTTACGACTTCCTGTATATTCCACACCCTCGTCCAGTTACTGGAATATCTTGGAGAAAAACAAGCCCTTTTATGATGCGGTAATTCTAATATTCTCTCTAATTGTGTAAAGATACACCATCATTATTTTTTTTTCATAAAGCATGATTTTCACGACTTTCACGAGTCTCAATAGGAGAAGGGGGGAGTGGTGATTGTGCACTTTATCTTAACTCCCTCCCGTGAGTTAAACCCACGCCTCCAAACAACTCATTGTGATTAAACAAGGCAATGGTTTCCTCCGTTTAGAAACTGCATTGCAAACGTGTTGCTGACGTCGTGTGTGGATAATGTTTGTCGTATATGGTGCGAGACTTTGGAACAGAAATCGATACGGGATTCCTCGGACAGTCTCAGCCCGAGCCACTGCGAGCGACATCGTTTTATACCTAAATCAAAATACATAACCCATGATGTCTCCACATACGATTCCTACGACGTTCAAACCAGCCATCATTTCCACATCGCCGCAAGCATCGATCCTGCCAAAGATATTCCAGTCATGTCCACGGTGACCTATTTCAGCGCTTCAGAGAACCACAGTTCTTTTGTGCTTCATTGGGTCAACAATAAAGAAATGTATATGACCTCAATAGCTAACTTATTGCTAGGATCTCCCAGCGTCACTGTTGAAGCGGAAAACGGAGAAAGCGAAATATCAACTGGAAGTGAAAGCTTGGATGGTAGTGCTTTTATTAATCTCGTAGGAGATGAAGACGGTGACGAATTTGATCAGTTTGATAATGGTAATGTTTAGGAAAGTTGATAACAAATTATTACCTACAATATTTTTTCTGTGTTGTTATGTTTTCGTCCAGAAAAAGCTATGTAGAAAAGACACCAGTTTGACATTCAGACATTCTACAAAGTTTGATGTGCTAGCTCAGTTGATCCCAGTATAAATTTGTTTTTGTGATCTTAAACGTCCTTCTTAATTTTTAGAAATTACAGTACCAATGGCATCCTTTCCTCCAAATGAAAAAATCTTCTTGAAAGACGAGCCTGAAGAACAGAACAACAATCTTTTATCTCAGTTCAACTCACTTCTTCGTGATTGGCAGAACTCTCATGATTCCTTGCTCGCAATCAATCCTGCAGACGGCTCATTGCTCATGTTTGTTGTCGAGTCGCTGGACTGTTCACTAGGCGCAGATTTTAAACAATGCCAGATCAGTTTCTCTTCTTGTATTCCAGACGTATTTCCGTCAGCTGATGCTCACTCTTTGTTACAGAACATCATCTTATATCGTTTACCAGGCAAGCTAAGTATGCAGACTGCTAATCCTGCGGAACAGTATAGTCTTTACACTCACAGTCGGTCAACCAAAGCCTCAGTTTTAGGCCAAACTTCGCCAAGTTTATCCCTGGTTTCTGTCGAAACTGGCGCGCACCCGCCTGTGGCAATGATAACCACGCACAAAGACGGATCTATGAATCAATGGCAGGTTGATTTCGCTGACGACACGGCATTTTCTATGGTCATTTCATTCTCTCATTTAACTCGTTTGTCAGGACATCGTTTCCCGCTGACCGGTATGTTTCCGCATCCGTCCTTGCCACTTTTGTTGTCTGTATCAACGTTCACTGGTAAAAGTAGTGACGAGATGGTTGCAAACGGGGGGACTGGCTCTGATTGCATAGGGAACGGGGGGTGCGAAGACACAAGGAAAAATGAAGATGCAACATCCACTTCGAATGATTTTAGTTTCAGTGAACTTATTCTATGGCAATGTGATAGCGTGTTTCCACTTTCGCAAACGGGAGGGATCATGGAACTCGCAAAACTGACCTCAACTGCGCCGGATGCGTTTGACAAAATTGCTTGGCTGCCGAAACTTTTTATTCACACTCTGTTAACATTCGACAGTTCAGTTGCAGTGTCACCGAGGTCAGTTTCACCTTGTGCTTGTTTTGTTGCCTCCGATGATACTGGCCTGCGGTTCTACCAGGTTGTCTTGGACGGCCAAGCTCTGCTGGATTTCTTATCTGGAAAACAAAACTACAGACGTGGGCTAGAGCGGTTCAATAGTTTTGACAGTGAGGACGGCGAAGGATATCACACGAGTTATCCTGCTGTATCCACTGTGAACCATTTGTTACACTGCATAGTCAGCGATCAATCTGGTCCAAAACCAGGAAGTGTCTTGAAACTTTGCCGTCTCAAAAGCTCGCGAAATGTACTCAAAGATCCATTATTTCTCCACGTATTCTCAGAACATGCGATTGTTGAGGGATGTTTATCCGGTGGGACAAAATGCACTCATGATGATATGTTTGAAGATAATTTTTATCTAGTTGCTCTAGAGAGCAATCAGACTTCCTCTGGTGCTCGGACAATGATTCACATGTGGAGAATCGAGATCACCGCGAGTGATACAGACGATAGTGAATCCACGAGTGATGCTCCGTTTAGCCCGCACGATATCCCACAGGTGTCTTCATTCTCAGACTTTCAGGAGCACCAAGAACACCTTAAATGCGGGATAAGATCACGTAAAGTACTGACGTCATATCTCGATCTTCCCGATGGCGTGTATGTTACTATAGCAACATCATCTGCGAACACGTTATCAACGGTTTCGGAAAACCGAGTATGTTCATTGCCGTTCCTAATTACGACGACATGTTCCGACGGCGTTTTACGATTTTGGTCCTGCGAAGTTCAAGATTCTTCAGACTCGGAGTGGAGTTACACTTGGACCGAGTGCAGTATCAAGAAGCCTGGGCATGGATTTCAGACTTCCGAAACGCCTTTGGGTATTGATGGGATTCCTGTCTCTGTGGATTGTGCCAATACTGGCAGAGTTGCGGTTGTTGTACGCAAAGGTAATCATTAAGTTTGTTACCAGCGCGCACTATTCTCGTTACCAGAGCTTCTTGATTGACAACGCAGTGGAGAAGCTCTGGGAACAAGGATGAGCCAGTGGCATAGACAGACGCCATCAAAGTCTTGAGCTCTTATCTCGTCCAGGACCTCATTCATATGAAAGTCGATGGACTTAACTCATTATATTTGTTGTGAATAGCTTAAATATCAGATTGTCCAAGCTGTTTGTTTTATAAATATCAACCACGTGTTTGCTGTGTTATTTTCAGATGAGATGATAGCAAATGAAACGCAAACCAACTTCAGTGTGGTTGTATGGGAAAGCGAGTCGAGTGGAAACACGGAATGGGTCTTGGAAGACTCATTTCGGATCGACGAATCAGAGAGCAGTTCCGACAATGCTCAACAGGCATGCGCACTCTGGTTTTCATGTGAAAATGGTCTATTTGTGTTGGTGGTCAACATCGGTAGTTTGATCCACCTGTATAGTCAAGAAGGGTCAATAAATCATCGCTATAAAAAGATTACCACAGTTGAGACCAGTAGTGGTGCCACACCCAGTGAACTAGGTAGGCTTTGGTTATACCAGATACAATCAGTGACTAAAGCTTTCCGGAGTTTTGCTATTATTTTTCATACAATTCATTTTAAACAGTGCTTCTCCCCAATCACGTTGTTGAAGTGAAACACTGCCTGTGCAAACCGACACTATTAACACTATTAACACTTCCACTTCTAATTTCCTTTTACCAGGAGTTTTCATTTCATTTGTACGCCGCGGTTTGCTCGTCGTGGGGATTGGTTACGAAGTTCACGTTTACTCCCAGTGGAAGGACGAGAAATCGAGCGATAAAGATCTGCGCTCCGATGCTCTCCGAGGTCCCGGATTATTTAACGAGGTTCTCCGACGGAATCCGACTCTGCCCCAGTACCATCCGAAGTATCTGATGGAATTACTGGACTTTGGGAAATTAAGAAGAGTCCGCGCTATTTTGAATCATTTGGTGAGAAGATTTATGAATGATTTAAAAAGTTTAGGGTCTTATTTGTACGAGTGTTGTAGTTGGCTGGTCCTTTGTGTGAGTCTCATTTCCCCTTGGAAAAACAGCCTTTCCACTGTTTATATCTGGTCATATTTTTGCTGCATTGTATCTTGTGCATTATGTCTGCAGTTACCTTTGTCAGGACTTGTGTTTTGTTCCTAGGTTCGTTGTGTTGCGGGCGAAGAGGCGATACAAGAAGCGTTGCATCACGATGAGGATACATCAAGAAACAGAACAAGAAGTGTTATCAGTACATTGAGTCGAACAACGTCTTTATCAGCGACACCGGTTGATACTCCGGCTAAAACTGGCGAGATGGTTCATCGCCCGAATGTTGACTGTATTCCTCCAATACCAATCTTTGATTTACTCGCGGCTGACAACGATGACAGTGGAAACACTCATAGAGGTACGAATCCTAATAAACATCCGTTGTTGTTTACAGGAGGAAACTTTCTTTAAACTTGTTTTCTTTCATTCTCGACAGACACCACGAATGTGGACACAAACACAACCAGCGAACAACCAGACGAAAATGATTACAGTGAATTGTTTAGCAATTCTTTTAAGAACAGCTTCGAGTCTACGGAAGTTTCCGACCACTTCCCGATCGTTCACAGTTCGAGAGCTCCAATGAGCCCAGTCCATTTTGGTTTAGCGCAAGCTGGGTTACTTTCTGAACATCTCAGCAAGAAACAGCTTCCCGGCCTGACAAGAATTGAACAACTTGAGCTTCAGGCTCTCGCCGATACTCTTGCTACGACCAAAACAGACCTGGAAGAGAGCACGTCGGAAATTAACAGAGGATTGAAGTTTGCACGAAAATGCGATCTAGGTAAACGATGAAACGTTTCCAGACAATATTTGTGCCGTTATTTTATCGATTTTGCTGTCAATAATCATAGATTGGGCACAAAATTTGAGGATGTTAATAAAGTATTGTGTCAACACTTCCTTCATTTTCTATATTTTAATTTTTTTTTTAGCCAAAGATGGAGTCACTGGCTTCATGGGTGGTCCTAGTGGCGGGGGTGGTGGGTATGCTACGACGGGAAGTATAGGAGCAACTGAGGGTAGTGGGGGTGATGCTGTTGATGAATGTGGATTGAGATTCCTATTAGCAATGAGGCATCATACTTGTCTACTGAGGTCCTTACCGCTCCTACCAAGAGCTCAGCTTGAGCGAAAAGGTCTCTCGACCTCCAAGCTTGTGTGGGCATTTCACTCTGAGACACAAGAAGAACTGCTCGCAATGCTTCCTGGGATGATCAGGGGGGAGCCAATCTGGAGTGAATTGAGACAATATGGCGTCGGGTGGTGGATCAAGAGTAACGAAACTTTGAGAAGACTCATTGAAAAGGTTAGTCGTTAGAATGCTCCACGTGCTTATGACTGTCGAGTTCACATTTTTACATCAATCAAATGCCCAGTTATACAACTTTTCTTATCAACTATATTATCAATTTAAGGTGGCTAAGACACAGTTCAATGCGAAACAAGATCCTATGGACTGCTCTCTCTACTACATGGCCATGAGAAAGAAAACTGTGCTTCGAGGATTATTCAGGTGAACACTGTTTCACATCTTTTATGTAGACTTAGTCCATTGCCCGAATGTGGTATTTAGTGCAACGAACGTTAATTAGTTAACCTTCCGTCCTCTCTCTCCCCCCTCTCTCCAGGACCCAAGGTGACACGCGAATGGCGACGTTTTTCGGGAACAATTTCAGCGAAGAAAGATGGCGGAAAGCCGCCTTGAAGAACGCGTATTCTTTATTGAGCAAGCAGCGTTTTGAACACGCCGTTGCATTTTTCCTCCTTGCTGACGCATTGTGGGATGCAGTACGTCTTTGCATCAGTCATCTTAAGGATCTACAACTGGCGTTAGTCATCGCGAGGTTGTACAATACCGATGCTGAAAATGTGATTTATAAACGAGTTCTTAATGAATATGTCTTAGGACAAGAAGAGGGGAATTGTGAGGAAAAACAAGGTGAAATATCCTGATAAACAACTGCATGTACCCGCGTTGCAAGAAAACCTGTTTATTTCATTACTTTGTTTCATTTAGATCCGTTCTTACGCAGCATTGCTTACTGGGTGACGAAGAACTACCACAAGGCATTGCGAACTCTCTTACTAGAGCCAGGCTTTAGCTTTGATGAAATGAAATACAACAAACTTGCCGCGTCAGGCAGTCCTGATATATTCAATTTCTACGTGTATCTCCGAACTCATCCCGTCCTACGACGAACACAGTTCGAGAAACACACGAAAGCGGGAACTCCTCGACTTCGGCGAAAGGTAACCCTAATACTCCGGTGTTTATAGTCATTCAAAGTCAATGTGGTTGTGAGTTATTCGTTGTAACAACTAGATGAAACTCTCGGCACTCTATTAACGCCAGCTCTTGAGAAGAAGCCATTTGTACAGGCTGTGTTTTGATGAACCTTCCCTAGGAAGTTTCCCAAGCTTATTATGTCACTCTGTTGTTTTAGGCTTTTCAAGTTACTCGTCAGCAAAGCGTGAGCGAAGTGGTTATGTTGGCATTACCACCGACAGCGTTTGAACGACGGTTATATTACATGACAGCTCATAATCATTATAATGCTGGATGTCCAGACTTATCATTACAAGTATTGTTGGATCTACCTCCCCCTGAAAGTGATGACAACCGGGTAAGTATCGGGAGGGGGTGTTCGGTTTTCGATGTAGACTCGATACGGGAAAAATTTTATCGAGTAAAAGCTAGTGTTCATTGAAAACATACCTGGAATGTGGTAGTCCAGTGTATGTAGTATTCTACAATCCACTGTTGGTGTTTAAACTATCGGAGAAACGCTCTATCTTAAGCTAATTGAGTTTGTGTCAGTTATATTCTCGTATCTTTTTGTGATATTCAGAAAAGCGACACATTTTCCACCAATGAATCGGAAGAAAATTCTGCGGACAAAAATGAAAACATGATTAACACCGGCAGACTTGATATTGACTGGAGTGAACCTGTTTCATCGAAACTTCAAAATGATGGTCAAAGCAGTTCAGATTTTGATTGGAGTCAGCCTGTCTCCAGTAAACTTAGCGAGAATAAAGAGAAAAGCTCCGATCTTGATTGGTCTCAACCTATTTCAAACAAACTTGGAGGAAGCGGGCAAACTAGCTCAAGTTTTGACTGGTCTCAGCCCGTAGCGAGTTCTCTGAGCGGTTCTCAACAAGCTAGCAACCAACTTGATGATAACTCGTCAAATTCTGGTTTCGATTGGGGTCAACCTGTGTCTGCCGTTTTAGGAGGAACGGGTCTAGGAGATACCTCGTATAAGGCAGAGTTTAATAGTGTAACTGACGATGGTTCTTTGAATTCCGGTAGTGCGTCTGAAGACAAAGAACTTCATTTAAATGACAGTGAAGGACCAAATGAAGGCCTTGATAGCTTGAAAGCTGGTGCTGATGAACCTTTGAATAACGAGGCAATTTCCCAGAGACTCAAATTTAGAGCTTGTCTGAAGCTAGTTGTCGAGGAACTCTGTACATTACCCCATCACTGTGAGATCCATAATAAAGACTTAAGATCAACTTTTACCCAGTGGCTAAAGAAAGAGTTAGACCTTATTCATCGCATCTGTGATTATAAACGAGATGGAGCAAAATCTGGCTCGACAGGACCTTTGAAAGTTAGTACACCGACAGCACTTGAAACAGGTATAAACTGAACTATAATATCTGCATTTTTTCCTCTTTATTTCTCCAGTGGTAGCCAATGCCAGAGAAGTAAAGGGGTGTTCACAAACCTTTCTGTTGTTTTTCAGTGTCTGACGAGTCTTTTAGCGATCTGGTCGCTGAAACGGCAAACGAGAAAAATAATTTCGCCAAAAAAGTTGAGATTTCTGCTCAACATATTGAATGGTTAAAAGAAAATCAGAACTTATTGAATATTTTATTGAATTACTGCACACTACACGGCGCTTGTGGTGGAGATGTTGCAAGTAAGTAGAGATGTTTCATTTCCAAAATATCGGGAGGATTATCCTTTAGCTAAATTTTGGCTGGTAGATCATTCGCTTCTTCTCAACGCATTATAAGGTCGAGTTTTCTCACACAATGCTATGTTTATTTCTTTTCAGCGATGAAAGTTGAACTTCTGATATTGATTCACGAATTGGAGCAACAACGTCATCTCATGTCACCGCTTTACCTTACATCAGCCGGCTCATCAATACCCCCTCTTATCCTTGCTACTATGGTATCCACTTTTTCGCTTGGCGCCAGTCCCTTTACCTACCTCTCGTCCATGACTCAAGATATACTAAAGTATCTCACGAAATTACCAGGCCCTCCCAGTCCATCGCAACCTTTGGAGATGATCTCAGTGTTGCGAAGCATGAGTGCCACTCTGTCGGCGTGTGTTTTTCAAAGTCTAGTTTGTGGTCGAGAGGAAAACGATGGCAGTAAGTCTTACTAAATTACGAGTTCCTAAAATGGGAAATTACCCTCGCTTTAACTCCAGGGAAAACGATTTAAAACGGATGAATCAAATTGTTGGTTATCATTCAAGTCGGCGATACATTGTTTTTCTTATTCCAGGAGAAGCCAGCCCCACATATAATCGCTCCGAAAGCCCTCAACATTTAGGCAGTAGACAAAGGCCTACCTCATCTCCTAACAAATGGCCTGGTGTTCGTCTCTTACGTTCCCTACTTATCACCGAAGCCAAGGATAATGCATTAAAACTCAAGGTTAGTCATTCTTGGCAACTGTACTTAGTAGGGTAGCTCAATCAGTCCGGAACTTTTCCCTTTTGTGAATTATAAAAGTGAGCTAGATATCTAAAAGCATTCTCCCTTATCGTTGAGGCGAAATTAACTCGACTCTTTAAATGTGAAGGTTTTGTTGTGTGAGATATGCGTAGCAATCTACCTGAGCTTACTGGCAATAGCTTGGTGTGAGAATGATCCAAATCAACTATACTACATCATATGCAACAACCTGACCGCTGAGATGTGGGGAATTACCTTCGGTGGCGGGCGCAAGGTGAAGGAGAAAAGACCGCTGAGCCCTGACGACAGTAGACGTCAGTCATCATCGCCATCACCACAAGCGCAAGGTGTCGACTGGGCTGCTAAACGAAGACAATGGAATTTCAAACTGCTGCAAACTCCTACGAAGGTTGTGAATAAACCAGAAAAGAAAGCAAGTGAGAATGAAGAATTTTTACCACCGCAGTTGTCACTAATGGAATATTTCCTACGAAAGGTGAGAATGTTGAACTAAATATGATCATAATTAAAACTAAAAGACTAAATTCCATTGCGGTATTTACGTATGTATGCATGCCAAACAAACTATAAGATTATTTGCAGTTGTGTTGAGAAATGGGTCGAATTCAATTGACTGTTACAGAAACGTTTTTCTTTCAGCCTAAGGAGGATCCAAGAAAATCATTTCATTTCGACTCTGAGGGTTCATTATCGTCAGACTCTGAGGAATCTGATGATGCATTTGAAGATGAAAAAGGAAGAACGATTGTTAAAATGAAAGACAAGAAGATCAAACCTACGGACCATTTGGATCCAAAATCGTTCAGCTGGAAATTGTTAAATTACTCAATTAGTGCTTTGTTATGTCACGATGTTAATCTTTTTCTTGCGGATGTTGGCCTGGAAGTTTCAGGTAAAAAAGTAGAGGTTTTAGTTGCGTGGATGTCCCACTTATTACCTAGCTGTTCATTTAATAATACATTGTACACTCAGCATTGATTGGCTCATCATTTTCTGAAACATATATTTAGATATGCCGACGGTTTCTCCACTTCTTCACTCGGCTGTTAAAATGCTTGATCATTGGAAACAAGTGTTATTCTCAAAGTTAAAGAAATGTGGCCCAGCACCTGCCAACTACATCAGTCTCTACGCAGTTGGTCAAGATGAATACCCAAGAGGGGGACCAACATTAATGAAATATAAAGCACTTATTGATCCAACTAATACACCGTTTAGGTATGATTCAAGTCTACCACTTCCTAAGCGAATGCTTTACACAATTATGAAACCTCGCTCTTTACCTCAGATCCACAAGCGCAGCTGCAAATCCGGTGAAAAGATTATGGCATACACTTGTAATCAAAGAGCAACTACAAAAGATATTTCTTGACTTTGCCTTCGGTGAAAGTTCACACAAATCTGAAAAATCTATTGGTTCAGTGAGTAAAGATGTACATACTGGATGGATTTTCCATGTTTTGTGAGTTTTATGAAAAATGGAGACTGTTTTTTGGCCCTTTAGGTTGATGAAACAGACGGCGAAGAGGAGGACTCCCAATCCAAGGTTCTTTATAAAGATTCCGAAGCGATTAACTCGTTTTGTATTAGCAAGACGAACTCTATGCGGGTTGTTGTGGCTACGATGCGAGATGTTCAAGAACTAGATATTTCTAGCGCGATGGGGATTTCCCGGACGTTTTATGTCGATGAAAACGTGAACTCTGATCCCGAAAACAGGTTGGTTAGCAGCCATAACAAAACAGACAAACAACATTAATGAGTTTGCTGAAAATTTCATATTCTTTCGTACAGCGGTCAGGAGGATTATACAATGATTTACAATGGAGTAGATCCAGGTCAGGCTGGTTTTCTTGGCGCTGGAATGTCCGCACAATCTGGTGTTGGGACATCTGTGGTATGTAAGGTTTTGCTACTGTTTTCCATGGCTTATTATTCTCAATATTTGTACTGACTGATGTTACAACCTATGTTCAGATGTTTAAACGGAATATATCAGGAATAAAAAGGCTGGAAGAGCATCCAAATTTACACTATTGTAAGTTTTCTGTAGTGCAGTGAAATGGTGTATTTCATGGGACTTTAAACTCAATGTTTTGTTTTGATTTATCTTGCCTGTGGTTGTGTTAGATCTTGCTGGTGGCCATGATGGAAGTCTGCGCATTTGGGAGTTTGGGCATGATCGAGAAATTGCCACGTATCGTGAGAGCGGGAAGTATCAACGTGTCACGAAAGTTCATTTTAGCGAGCACGGATGCAAGGTAATCGCATATCATACGATGATAGACTTTAGAAATCGTTATACTACTCTTACTCTCCTTTTACTGCACACAATGACCAGAAGAATTCCATATTTTCTTCGTGTGATAACCGAATGTTAACGATATCTTGCTATACTCAAGAAAAGTTTTATTTCAACTTAGTTTGGTGTGATTGATTTTGGCGGCCAACTCTCGTTGTACCAATGTGTAAATACAGCAAAAACCTCAGCGTTTGCAGTAAGTCTTTGCTTTGCATCCAAACATGATATTTATTTCTATCAATCTTCACTGTTCTTTTTTTTCGGATTTTAGACATTAAAATGTCATAACAAACAAGGAAATGATTTTGCCTTTCTTGGATCAACCAGCCTTCTTGCAACAGCAGGATACTCCAGCGATTTAAAGTAAGAAAATCGTTCAGGATTCATTTCAAATAAACGTATTGTTTCTGATATCAAACTTTAATCTTCAGCAACGTCTGCCTCTGGGACACTCTACTTCCTCGCTCATCCTCACTTGTTCACGGTATTTATATAATTGAACTTTGCATGTACATTTAAAACGACGTAGACGGAGATAGTTTACAAGATCATTTGTTGTTTTTAGGTTTCAACTGTCATGAAACTGGCTCGCTTTGTCTAGTTTATGTTCCTGGTAAAAGGCTCCTGTTATCTGGAGGACGTAGAGGTGGTGTCTGTATCCTTTTGAACATAGACACTTAGACCACATATTTCAATTCTATTACATTCGTTTTCAAGTATAAGTTGACGACATCAAAAGGATTTGTCTTTTTCATTGTGACCAAGGACCAAGTACATTACAAAAGCACAAAATTTCACCTTAACCATCCCACAGGTATATTTGACTTACGTCAACGGCAGTTGATGCAGAAGTTCACTGCGCATGACAGTGACGTCAAGAGTATAGCGGTGGATGAGAGTGAGGAATTCTTCGTGACAGGATCTCTTGATGGTGATATTAAGGTGGGTCACATACGATTATGTGGAATTCGTTCAGTGTTTCAACAGGAAGGAAAAATAAACTAAGCCACCTCTCTGATTGCTTTCTCTACTCGTTTAGGTCTGGAATCTTCTGGCTCATAAGGAACTCTTGTCGTACCCGGGTGAGCACGGGAAGAGCAATTATCAACTTATAAAGTTGGGTACACAGGGGGTACCTCGGGTGTGTCTTCAACCAGGGGGGGAAATGTATTCGTGCGGAGGAGATGGCACCCTGAAATGGCGGCAATTACCCCTGAAAAATTTGACTGTAAATTCACCATTTTAGTAGCCGTAGGTAGAAATTAATTTAAAGATAAATTGAATATGTCGATTGAGATTCTCTTATGCATCAAATGAACGCAAAGAAATTGTTCGGCTTCGAAAATTATTTATGGACAGACAAGATTTTGTGAAGTATTTGAGTGATCTAATCTTGAGAGGAAGTCGAGCATTGGTGAAGATCAAGCAAAGTCATGACGCAAACGATAAGATTTGAAATGACTGAAATCCTCAGAAATGGATGTCTATGGGATTTAGAGGAAGTTCAGTGAAGTAGTGGGTACCCAATGGAGGAACAATAGTTGATGTGACGAAAGGAACATGTTTACTCGTCTCTTCTCTACAACTACGTGCTGTGCGAACAAATAATCGAGCCAATGCAGTTTGAACTCTTATCAAAACAAATTTAATACATGACTAACAATCATTCTCCTTCACCAGCAAATAAAATATAGTTATATACATATTTAATTACAATGCAGAAAGACCTCGCAAACATCCTATTGGTAGCTGTTCGTTTCTGTCACACCAAATTTATAAATGTTATTACATCTTTGTTCGTTTATCGTCATATATTTCTCCAATTCTTGCTAAAACCGATTCGATCATATCCAACGTCAGACACGCAGATTCCAACATTTCCAACTGCTCTTGCAATGAACCTTGTTCGAGTTTACTCCCGTCTGGCGTAGTCACGTTGAACGTTGTTTCGTCAGTAGCTGTTTTCTGAGCTGCAACTCCCTTCTTCCTCTCTTGTTGTTTTTCTTGAATTAAAACACCGATTTTCGCTCTGCTTAATTCAACGATATTTCTCAGCTGCTTCAGATAGGAGTCTTCTAACTTAGGAAAGATTGTATGGATTGTCGTTTTATTCTCGTCATCTCTGATGAGCAGAAATCGAAGTAAATTTAAGCCGGACAAGAGGCCGTTGCAATGTTCAATCACACCAAATTCGGACTGCAAAGCTTTAGATGGTATCTTGAATATGTTTTCCAGAAGAAACGATTCTAAGTAGCCTCCGAGGAACCACGAATCGCCAACGCTGTTTGATAGAGATCTTGCGATTTCGTCCTTGAGGATAAGGATAAGAAGTTCAGCAAAACCAGACTGGATCTCACCTTGGTGTAAAGTTCGTAGAAGTCTGTACCTTCCTCTGGGGTTAAGAAGATTTAAAATGTTCCTGAATCCTTTTGCAGACTCCTGTCGAATTTCGAGATCCTCTGAGTGTATCATAAGATTTCTCATATTGGTAAACAACGCCAAGAATTCTCTATTATCAATGTAGCAGTGATCTAAGGTATTGGTTACTATCAAATTTGAAATGGCTATTAACAGACGAAGCCCTTTGGAGATAACTTTAGCATCGTTAAAACAAAGCAACGCGTTGATGTAGATCATGTTCGTATCCAAAGAGTATTTGCCTGTTGTCACAACTGGAACAAATTCTGCCCCGATTCCTTGAACGTGGGTTAAAAACGAAAGACAACCGATGCCAAGAAAGGAGAGGCCATCTACATCATCATCGGAAGATTCTACGTCTGTTTGAGCTTTACTTTCATGGTGCAAACCATATTCGAACAATCGTTTCAGAGAACCATTTTCTAAAATTCCAAGAAACTTTAGAATGGTTATTGCGAACGTCTCATTTTTCGTAAAATGTTCCTCTTTGTTTTCAGAGCTTACATTGAACTCAAGCAAAGCAAATGGGTGTTCTAATAAAGATATCAAGAACGAAAGAAGCCCGTCTTTTAGTAGTTTTGCATCATCAGACAACTCTTCAAATTTGTTTGGGATTTTTTTAAAAAGTGTACTAACAAATTCCAGCGTATTTTCCAAGATTGCTTCTTGTTCCACCACATCATTCCTGTTTCTTAAACATTTTTGAATTGATCTAAATATACTCAGTAATATATTCGCAACTTTTCCTTTAAGTCTGCTGCATGTTATCGACAATAGATTCGATAACATTACAAGCTTTTCCCAATGTAATTCCTGACTCAATATCTCATTTAGACTAAGACAAATCTCTCTTGGATTGCACGAATTACAGATGAAATAAAGTAATGTTTTATGAGTGTCGGAATTCTCTAACTTTCTACAATTATCTGGTAGGAACTGGAATACCATTTTAGCCAAATCCCAGCCAACAAAACCTAACAGCTCTGCATTATCAGGATCTCGAAGGACCTCAAGTAAAGCTTCTTGATGTCCGTTTTCTAAACACTCCTGGGCAGAAATCAAAAAATGATCTCCGTTGTTTTCAGCAACGAAATGTTTGGCAGCTTCCTGGAGATGACTTTTTGATTCATTGCACAGCGTGGTTTGATCTCGATTTTCCATTTTGATCTATTTCTTCCCTTCGATCATTTCGTTCCTAGTGGGCAGCCATCTTGAAGCTATTTATATCTACTAAATTCAATATCTCAGAAAGTCTTCTGTGAGTTCGGAAACTGTCGTGAAGCGTACGTGAACATAAACAAAACTTTCAATAAAGCAATACATTTGAGATCCTGTGCTTCTAAATCGATCTTCAAACGTATTTTTCACTTTCATTTGTTTCGATATGCTTTGAGCAAGCTTTTGTAATGTCAGGAGATCTGAAAGAAGTTGAAAATATAATTGAAACTGCTGGGAAGCTGGGCTGGACCTCTTTGAATATCAGTAACCATAATTTAACAGTTCTGCCTGGAAGCATCTGCAAACTTAACGACCTGAGGGTGCTATTACTGAATGATAATAGAATTATCATGCCTCCTGGAGAACTTGTCTTGTTAACAAACTTAGAACAATTGTCATTGGATCATAATCAACTAACGATGCTGCCATCCGGATTTTGTGGACTAACGAACCTGAAAGCTCTTTCATTAAGTCATAATAGTCTGGCATTTTTGCCGTCTGAATTTGGAAAGTTGCAGTACCTTACAGAACTATGGATTGTTAACGTCCAATTAATGTCGTTACCTCCTGAAATTTGCTTTTTGGAAAGACTAACGAAGCTTGGTGCTGGAGAAAATTTGCTAACGAGCCTACCAGAAAAGTTCTCAAACCTTAAAGCTTTGAAGTGGCTGAGTTTGGTGAAAAATCAGATCATTGGTTTACCGCATGACTTTCATATGCTTAAGAATTTAACTTATTTAGATCTTAGTTATAACTGTCTACAGTCTATTCCAGCTTGTTTGAAGCAGTCAAATAGCCTTATATATTTGAATTTAAGAAATAATGACATTAGTATAAAACCAAATGAGATGTCCAAGGGCTTTAAAAATTTATACAAATTAGATTTACGGCATACAAAAGTTTTGGAAATGCCAGAAGAAATGGTAAAGTTTGAATTGGTTCTCAAAGGAAATGATCTGGACAATGATGTCATTCAGGAAAATGGAATGAACGAACGAACAAGACTAAAAAAATTTTGAATGTTTTATAGTCAATTACTGAGAGTGTTTTAATATTTTCATAGTTCATATTTATTACATTTATGATATTTATAAGTGACTTAAATTTTGATAAAGTTAGGGTATATATGACTCATAATGTCCCATAAAATGGAAATGTGTAGTTTACAATATGTTTAATTTTATCTAATATCAACTTTTGCTATAATGAAGACTTCAACTCAAGTATTTAAGAAAGTTATAGAAGAGGGTATTAATGCTATTAAATTATAACCCTTGATTGATGACCAATATTAACCGATATTACCCTGTAATGACTTCCTTATATGGTATGACAGTAAACACATGCGCAGTGTTGCTGTAGACACAACAGACAAACGAGAATCCACAAATTCACTGGGGAAAAAACATGTTTTGATTTTTCAATACAGATTTTTACGATCGCTTTGCTGCGATGCTTTATTGCTTTGCCGGAGGCAATGCGTTTGCCTTAAAGCTTTCAAAGCACAAAGGAAATTGGATCGATTGTGGACTGCAATAATTTCAAAATGCGTATGCAAGTTAAGCTAGAAATTGGCCATAAGGCTGCCTGTCGTTTGGAACCAACTCCAGAGGGATTTACACACGACTGGACAATTTTTGTTCGTGGATCGGAAGGGAAAGATATCTCACATTTTGTAGAGAAGGTTATTTTTCATTTGCACGAGAGTTTCCCGAAGCCCAAACGTGGTAAGTGTATTGTTTTGATGTCTGAACTTTAATAAAAGACGCAGGTTTTAATCCATTACATTTAAGACTATCCCCGATAAATAAGTGGATTCAATCTTTATTTACACAAATCAAGTATGGTATTGTGCTTGATATATTTCTCAAATAAATGCAGCATCTCTTTTATTTTCATCTCGTAAGCTCTACTACATACAGTCACGTCAAATTGACATGTATACTTGTGTCTGCTCTTTAGATGATATGCTTGACAAAAAACTCTTTATTCTGTGAAATATTTTAGTCACGATTATTGCCTAGAGTTTGAAAATAACCATTGATATGTTTTAAGATTAAACTGTATCATATTAAATGTGGTCTCTCCTCTTTAAGTGCAATCTAACTTTTAATGTTTTGTAGATAGAACCGAATATCATTGAACTATTTTATCATAACGTATTATCTGTAAATTAATTATTGAACAAAGCTGTATTCAATGTTTAATGATTTGATCAATTTTTGAGTGCCAGTCCAAATTAATTTAATTCTCTTTGCAGCAATAAAGGACCCACCATACAAATTGGATGAGTCTGGCTATGGCAGCTTTGAACTTAAAATTGAAGTTTGTTTTAAAACAAAAGATGAACCAAGGAGAGTGCATTTTACCTATGACCTGTTCCTACCTCTGAGTGGTCTACCTCCTGTCACAAGTGTTCGGACAGAGGCACTGACCTTTACCCATCCCACTGAGGATTTTATGAGGAAGCTGGTGAAAGGGGGAGGTATGCCTATATCCAGTGTGAATGGTACTTTGAGGTAAGGATTTTTTAATAAATCACATCATAGAATTACACCTGGATATACTGTATACACATTTTTACAATCTATTTTGTTTAATGCCAGATAATTTTGTTCATTAGCTAGAAATACTCTAATGCTTAATTTCACTTGTGTATATAATAAGGCAAAGAGAGTTACCGCAATACTAAATTTGTACCATCACAAATTAACGACTTGGCAATGATGTTAGCTAATTTGCAACTTTTCTGACTCTTCAGTAAAATTACTTCTACTACAATTTGTTGTTCTACAATTTAATTCTATGCTGTTATCAGTTTTATTAAGAAACAAAGCTTTATTTGAATGTTGTGATTATGTGAAACCGATATTGTTTAATTAGGACCTAAATAGGAAGATTTTAGTCTTAACTTAGAGGAAAGTTCTAATAAAACCAAGTGAAATGAATTAAGCAAAAGAAAGGTATGTTAAAGTGGTCAAGAATTTCAGTCATTCATCACAATTTTTTTGTTTTTTAAAATGTGAAGTAATGGCGTTAGCAATGGCCATCCTGCACCAAAGGAAGAGATAAAAGAACCTGTTCCGAAGAGCAATTCTAATATGAATGACAATGAAAAATCTAAAAAGATCAAAATTCCTAAATCAAGTGCAAAACCTACTTCTGCTGTAGTAGGAATGAAACGATCACCTCCTTTGCATGAACAGACAATTACTGATGGAGTTCCAAAAAAGAAAAAGAAATCTGATGGGTCCAGCTCAAAAGTAAACACTCACAAGGTGAGGCTGTTAAACCACCAGCGTCACACCTTTGAAGACTGAGTGAAAGACTTAAAAGTAAAATTCAAACCATCTTGCCAAAAGAAGCTTCCGAGAAGGAGAAAAAAAGAGAGCCATCTGTGGATGGCCATCATAAAACTAAGACTTTAAAAGGAAAAGAATCCAAAAGCCATAAATCTGAACATTCTGAAAGCAAAAAACTGGATTCAAGTGAGCATAAAGTAAAAGTCAAGAAGAAATCCGAGAAAGGAGAGAAATTGGAAAAGAAGAAAAGTGGTGAGAAAAAGGACAAAAGTAAATCAAAGAAAGACAAAAAAGTGATTGAAAAAGTGACAATTCGCCGAAGTTCAGGCGACAGTTGGGCAAACGCTGGTGGACTTATGTCAAACCTTGTTGCCAAAAACAAAGCATTGGGAAAACTTCTTAGTGAGATGTCTAGCGATGAGGATGAGGGAGACCTCCCCACGCCATTTAAACATGAACTCTCGCCTGTATCAAAGAACATTCACAAAGAGAAGAGTGACTTCCCTGCCCCATTCAAACATGAACCCCCACCACCCGCTGTAATAAAGTCAAGCCACAAAGAAAAGAGTGATTTACAGACCAATTTAAATCACGAATCTTCATCTCTGCCAAAGAATGCTCACAAGGAACACAGTTCCCATAAGGAACCAAGTACCCACAAGGAACATAGTACCCACCAGGAACACAGTTCCCTGAAGGAACACAGTATTCACCAGGAACACAGTACCCATAAGGATCCAAGTACCCACAAGGAGCACAGTTCCCACAAGGGACAGAGTGCCCACAAGGAACTCAGTTCCCACAAGGAACATATTATCCACAAGGAACACAATTCCCATAAAGAACACCATTCCAAGGACCAAATTGCCCACAAAGAACAAACGTTAAACAAGAATAGTTTAAATAGTTCCAAGAGTATAGAGAACTCTGGTCATATTAGCAGCGAAAATGCGAGTCAAGTTGAAAATAACACTAAGGAAGTGCTTGAATCAGATGAAGCAATACAGACGACTTCAGCTGTGGAAAATGGGTAGGCAATTTGTTTTCTATTCCTTTTAATTTCTTAAACGTCGCGCGTTCTTTCGACTTTCCCTTAAAAAGAAAACTTGATAAATTTTTCGTCAGTTTTTGAGCAGAACGATTGTAAAAGATGGTGTTATAGGCTATTTTTTTGAACGTTTTAAAACGATATCCAGTTCCTAAAAGTTCACGCAATACTTGTTTTCGTTCTCTAGCATTGTAGAGAATAAGAAGAATGATAACGATAGAGTCTCGAAGCAAGAACTGTACGATTTGTACGAACAGATTACGAAATGTGAGGACAGCGAGTTTTTGCAAAAAATCGTCGATGTTATTGAGACCACAGGGCATTTCACCGTCGCAGAAAAAACGTTTGAATTCGACCTCTGTTCTTTGGAGAAAACAACGTTACAAAAATTGCAAAACTGTTTGGGGAAAGGGTAATTTTTTACTTCACGAAAAGTGTATTGTTTTGTGCTTTGCGCAAGTTTTAATGCGGTTTGTTTTCGTGGGCATGATAGATTACCTTTGAGGAAAATGGTGCTTGTTCTGTGTGTGTTTTTTAAAATGTTGTTTCAGAGTATTTTGTATCATATAAATATATAAATATATATATTATTTGTTTAAATTATATTAAACCTGAAGTTATGGATTTCGAGTGTGTGATCTGTATATATCGGTTTTAAAAGGTTTGCGGGAAATTTTAGCGTTTGTTGACTGAAGAGATTTGGATGAAAGACTGACAAGGTTGACAAGGTCAGAGTTGTATGTAAAGCTAATTAAAACCTGGCTGGTTTCATGTCACGTCCGCGTCGTAGACCAGTAGACTGGAGTGTCTGGTGATTACTTTCATCAATTAAAATGATTGCGATGAAGTACAATTTTGTTAGCAAACATAATTTGTTGATGGACTGGGATATGGAGATTCTAAGTATTCCATTTAAACTGGCCAAAAGGGTCACTTGTTTCACTTATCAGAAATCAATCCGGAAGACGCTTCATTTGCGCTTCAGCAAATGTGCGTCATTTGCGTCAAAGTGACATTATTACCATTTGCAAGCGACCGTTCGGCGCAAACGTTTTCACGCGTTTTCTTACGTTTCAAACGTGCACGTTAGGCAAACCAAACATACATGCTGAAACGTATAAACTAATTAGTTTAGACTGTGAGTTGACATTGTTTGACATGTCACGCCCACATGTCCAACAAACGTAAGCGCGCACATTTCTAAATATACTTGCATGTGTTAGTTCTATATTTCCACACATAATCTTCTGTAGCTTTTACATTATGCATGTCAATAAATTTGGTAGATCATACAGCCTTGGTAAATCACTTGATAGTGATTTAAGGCGTCTAATTATTGATGAATGCCTTAAGTCTGGTGGAGATGCAACTGTTGGTTACTTGCCCGTCACTTACGTAGAAATAGCTAGTCGATTCAGTATCTCTGCAAATACAGTTTCCAAAATATGGAAGAATTTTTGCTACCAAGGACGAAAGGTTGATCCATCACCAAAAGGCGGAGATCATTCAAGCAAATTTTCTGAAGGGGATCTCGAACTTCTTGAGGTTCTTAAGCGAGCTCATGGCACAATTCAGCTGAATGAATTATATGCTATACTTGAGGAATTTGGTGATTGTGGTGAAGTTTCGTTGTCATCGATTTCACGAGCAATAAAATCCAGACTTCTGTCCGGAAAACGATATACTCGGAAGCGTATTACCAGCGTAGCCTTTGAGCGCTTTACTGATGAAAATATGATTTATACTCAGCTTTTCATCAACTACCTATCTTCAAAAGATCCGAGAAGGATTAAGTTCTTTGATGAGGCGGGGGTTAAGACGCCGTGCATCGGTACACGTTTATACGGAAATGCGCCGTCCGGGGAACGCTGCGTGGAAATTGTTCGAAAAACAGAATCTCCAAATTTTACTTTAAATTTACTGATTTCAGTCAATGGCCCTGAATATTACAACATTCTGGATGGCCCAACTGACACTGTAAGGTTCTGGGATTTCTTCTGGGAGGCTTCTCAAGCAGCACATGAGATAACTCGACGTCCTGCTCTCGAAGTAGGGGATATCGTTGTGATGGACAATTTAGCTGTCCACCACTACGAAGGCGGCCAAATTCTCGAAGAAGTTTTAGCTGAGATGGGTATCGAGCTATTGTTCACCCCAACATATTCTCCCGATCTTAACCCTATTGAGCTTTGTTTCAATAAAATAAAAACAGAACTTAACGGACGGTTTTCAGCCGACGTTCATCGTAATCTAAAATTAGCTGTTGCAGAAGCGGTCGAAAGAATATCAGCGTTGGATACGAGGAGGTTTTATCGTCATACAGCTTATCTTTTTCCTTTCGTTGGGTGATGCTTACAAACAGTAATACATTGAAACATTTCACACAAAATACTTGTAACATTTAAGTTTCGTATTTTCGTACATTGATATAACAGAATGATTCAGCAATATCATTGCTTTGGTAAAGTTGAATATATCTGTAAAGTTTGACATTGTGTTAATTGTAAATATTACATTTGACCTCACAAAACTTTGATAACTGCATTTAAAATGGTATTTGAGGATTTTGGGGTAGGGTTTTTTTAAGAAATCGTTAGTGGGTGGGCATGAACAAATTGTATTAACTATAAATTGTACTGAAATTGTTAATTGAAAAATAGGGGAGTTTGTAGGGGTCTGGGGGAACACCCGCAGATAATTTCCTGTATTTTTTAGTCTCCGACTTGATTTCCTGCATTTTCGGCGATACTTACTGTTGCACCATCTCGGCGGAGTGAGGTTTGTTGGGGAAGGAGCTTTCGCCCGCCAGTTAAAAAGGCCCTGTTTTCGGGGAAAAACAGTGTCATATAATCAATTTATCGGCACGGCATGGCTAAAATGGGTACTCGTGCTTATTTCATCCATGCCCCACCTTTGTATTGGTAGTCTGAAAACTAATAAAATAAGGTACGGGTGCCAATTTTTGCCGTGCCGTGCCAATAAATTGAATGTAGTGTAAACAGGGCTATGTCAGTTTTCCGCCGCGGGATAAAGGTCACGCGTGGCACGCAACTGACAGTTAAGTAATAAACCTGACTGTCAGCAATAATTGTCGTTATATTTATTACAAACATGATGATATAATTGATAACAAAATAACGTTTTCTAAACTTATGGTTCGAACTTGAAGAGTACACAGTCACAGGTTGCTATAAACAAAATGATCTTGCAAAGCAAATCAAACCTCTCAAACTCGGTAAGTTTTGAAGACAATTACAGTAATAATATGCCGAGAATAAAAGTATAGCAATTATCTATAAAGTATGAAAGTATCAAAGATATTTAGCCTATTCTAAATCTATAGCTAGCACTCTCAAAAATATAATACGAACTAAATATATATTGTTGATCAATGGATCAATGCATGAGTGCAATACAAACGAAAATCGAAATATAAATTCATCAACCGATGGCTTGGATGACCCTCATGAAATGTAAACAAAATTAAAACAAAATGAAAATAATTTACAAACTTTATACTGGTTAGCTATCTGTTCAAGTTTATATCTAGCCTTCAGTAATACATTTACCCGGTATATTTAGTTAGAATAATATGAAAACTTCTACTTATAGTTGCTTCTAAAACTAAATACTATGATAGAACAGTGTCTATGATATAACACAACATACATGATTGAAAAGCTTTCTTACTTGAGACATTTGTCATTTCCAGACGAGAGAAACATTAAATGTAATGCTGCATCCCTGGTCTCTGACTCTGTCGATGTCAGAACTTCTGATGCACTAGGACGTGAAATAGTGTTGGGCGCAGCAGTGGTTTCGGATAAACTTGCAGCAGTACCAGTGTTTCCAGATGAAATTGCAGGATCACTGCTCGCATAAATTACACGACAGGAATCAGATGGATGAAACACTGGCTGTTGAACTGTTGGCGTGTATGGATAGAAATATGGGTTCATATTCCCGTAAGAATAATTTGGAAAATCTTGAAATGTATAACTTGGCGCAGTGTTGTTTAATTGATAAGGTGTCGGAATGGGTTCGGGACAAGCATTTGCTACAGTTGTAAAGAGAGATCGCTGCTCCTGCTGAACTAAAGACTCCTGTTGAACTGAAGAGTCTAATAAGCTTTGTTTCAATACCATGTTGAGCTGCTCTGCTTCTTCTTGAACATTTGATGGCGCGCAACGATGAACAGAACTTGAATGCGAGCTGGACGTAGCTTGGTCGCTGGGATTAGGAAATGAAATCCCTTTTTCTTGCAAAAGAGCTTTGGCCGGATTTGTTCTTTTCAGCGCCCTGGTTCTTTTGGTTTTGACTTGCGACATGCTTGAATTGGCATTGTACTCGTCTCCTGAAACATCTTCTCGTTCTAAGGCGACCTCTAAAATATCCGAAAGTTTGTGCTTTGCAGGTATTCTGCCTTCGAAGTGTTCTTTACAGTGTTTCTCGAGAATATAGACGTGTTTACGCAAAAGTGCCCATTTCTTTATTCCCCCGTCAATATACTGGTTTCCGCTCTCTTTCATAAGGGCCTTTTCAATTTTATTTGACAAACTTTCAGACAGTTTATTCGCTTGTTCTTCCTTTAGACTTAGGTCTTTCTCGAGTTTAGCAATTTCGTCTTTGACTTTTTTTATCGAATTACGAGCCCCGCGAGAGTCTATTTCACCAGGGTGCAATTTTTCTTCACCACAAGCAAAAATAGATAAGCATTTTTCATAGTCACAATGACGTGCAGTATGCCCTAAACGCATGTGACAATTTCGGCATAAGTTACCTTCGGTTGGATTTGATTTAACTCGTAATATTTTCCTTTGCACCTCCTGTTCGTTGCTCTCGAGTTTGTAAAGTTCAGACCTTTTTGCGGCTATGCGATCTTTAACTTTTTTCACATACCTTTGAAAAGGTGTTTCAGCAACAACAGACTGAGCTTCGTCGGAAGAATCGGAAGAATACATTGTTTGTTCTTTTTGGTCGTGCTCAAATAATCTTTTCCTTGCATCGCGAGATACAGCAGGCCGTTTCTCTTGAGGTTTCTCCAGTGGTTTGGTTTCTTTCATCCCCAACGGCGTCCAGGCGTCATCAACACGCAAACACAATCGGACCGTTTCGTAGTCTCCCTGAAGCACTGACTTACATGAACGAACAGCATCCTGTACATCATTTTCTCCAGTAATGGTAACAAATGTACCCTCATCGTCACGATATTGGATTCTCAAGGACTTTGGATCCCGTCCATCTCGATAATAGCTGCCCACCGTGTCCCAAACAATTTCAGACAGCATCGCTAAATCCAAATCTTTCAGACTATTAGATGAGATTGAACTCGTTTTACAACGATCGTAATCACGACCATATATAATTTTTACTTGTACTGACATTTGATTCTGTAAAATCGCAAACGCCTCAATACGAATGTTATGTCTGAAATCTTGCTGGAATGACGCCCTTACGTTTGTTGGACATGTGGGCGTGACATGTCAAACAATGTCAACTCACAGTCTAAACTAATTAGTTTATACGTTTCAGCATGTATGTTTGGTCCGCCTAACGTGCACGTTTGAAACGTAAGAAAACGCGTGAAAACGTTTGCGCCGAACGGTCGCTTGCAAATGGTAATATCCATTCACTTTAATTACTGTGAGTTTTAAGCAAAGGTATATCCTGTTTTCGAATTGTAACTCGCACCCCTTGCGTATTCAAGCGTATTTAACCAGGGTTTTAAAACGAAACATGGGAATTTTAGTTGAAACATTGTTCACCGGAAATCATTGACCTTCAAAAGCGGAAATTGAACTCCAATCGAGCAGATCGGACGTACATTATACTTCCGGGTAATTGGCTGCGCATGCGCAGTTATTCAGTGCTTTGTTGATGATTGCAAGTGGCTTCCGGTAAAGAAGACAAAATTATCATTTTACAGAACCTAGAGTTGAATGAAATCTATCGGGAGGAAAAACTATGGCTTAATCAGGCAACTCTCAAAAAACACCTGGCATCAAAATGGCTGTGTGTTTAGAGAGCAGCTCAAGCTTCAAGATCGTCTCCAAGAATGACCAAAAACCAAATAAATCGCTCTTTCTAGTCAAACTTACAGACTCATGTCTGAAAACACTCGATCAACTACAAAATCCCACGGTAAAGTCGAAGGTTGGTTTCGTGTGTACAGTGCTATTTATTTTTGTCATTTCTACCCCTAAGCCATGTACTTGTTTTAAACTCTGTTTTCCAATTCAACTGATTTGGTTTTGTGTGATTTCAGCTCTCAAAAAACGGTGCGACGAGAAAGCCTTCAATTCAATTCAAGAATAATGGCAAGTCTGGGGTTAGTTTGTTATTACTTTTTGTGTTCATTCTTTTGTCCATACCAGCTTATTAACAAACAACTAACATTGCCCGGGCAATAGTTATATAACCTATCGTTAAAACTGTATGAAATTAAATATATTTTTCAATATTCGTAAAGGCTCTTTCTGTCGTGAGATATTTTGTGAACTTGTGCAACTACGAGATATTTTAAAGCCCATTTAGATTAACGATAAGAACTTGAAATATGAAACAAAAACGTATTTTTACGCTGTATAATTTCATTCTATTTTTGGTTCATCCAACTTGTTCAAAACAAGTCAGGATCAATAAAAATATCGTCAGGTACCTGTACTGCATTCGTATTTCAAGTCTCTCATATGCATCTGGTTCATTTATATAAAGTACCACTGAAACACTTCTCGTATTTACATTTAAATAGATTATTAATCCACACAAAGTACGCTACATATTTATATTCTTTACATCAAGCAATTACTCAAAGTCATCCATCACAAATTATTGATGAAATTTATATTATATGTAGTGTAACCATGCAATTACAGTATATTTTTAGTAATTCTATATAATTTACTTTAAGCATGAATTACATTCATTGAAATGGCTTAAGTTCTGAGCTGAAGTGTCTAACTAAATACTTTTATGAATGAACCAAGTAAAGAGTTGTTTGAATTCTCTTTTACTAGGATATATTGTACAGGATGTATAATATGTATTTACTCTTCTATAATTCAGGAAATATACTCTGTCTGACAAGTTACAAATGACATATTTTCTGTAAAGATAAGAAATATGGCAGCCATTTCTCATTTAGCTTATCAGACATTTGTTTTATTGCATTCAGCTGAAGTGGTTTTATTTGGTGTTAAATTACACAAGCCTATCTCAGTTGTATTTGATTTATTTCAGGGACAAAGTAGGATTTATTCAACTCTGTAAATATGCATACAAATTATAATTTCATTACTTTGATTGACACTTCACAACCCACTGCAAATATTGCATGTAAAACAAGTGCTATTGCTCACACTAGAGGAAAAAATTATTGCCTTAAAATATGCAATGGCTTAATATTGTCAAGATGTTATTCTTGTGATCAATTTTTTAGTCATCATCCATTGGCAAGTCAACATGTCTGACATAAAACAAATCAATTCTAGTTAAGTAAAGAGTGATGCAATATATTACATGATTGTTTTGTTTTTTAGATGTTGTTTATTCCATCCAAAAATGGGGACAACAATGGCACAAAGTTCAACTTCAGCTTTTCCAATTTGTCCGCTATCGATCAGGAGTGTGTTCAGCAAAACAGAGGGGATGGAAATTTAACTTTGCTTGGGAACATCACAGGGAAAATAACTATTGGTGCAAACAATGACAGTTACGAAGCGACGAAGCACAGAGTAGCTGAAGCAAAAAAGGAACGCACTGGGAAAGGGTAGGTTAAAATATTTACTTGATCATTCAGTCGTGCAGATCTGAAATGGCCTGGTTTCTGTTGGTATGTGTTGGTTAACCAATGACGCCATCTGTCTAGCTTGTCATGAAAAGATTTGTTACCAACTTTGTTGGATCTGAACCACTTCTGATGTATTGAATGTAGTTTGTTATTGAGAAAGCATACTGCATTGGTTAAGTTGATTTGCTGACCATATACATTGCAAGTCAACAGAGTATAAAACATCCATCAGAAGTGAATTAGATCTGACAAAATAGGATTGTGTGAACAGACCTTAACAATTTTTATCCAATTTCTCTAGTGCCAAAGTTATTGAGTTGTCCAAAGATGGTGGTAAGCTTGATCTGAAGTATTTTTTTCCAAGAATAAATAAAATTGAAACCTGAACTTCATATTTCAGATGTTTTAATTTCGCTAAAAGATACCACAAATCTTTTTCAGCCATAAAGAAACAGAAACGAATCAATCCAAGACAAAAAATCAACTTCCGGAAAACAAATATCAACAATAAAATTAGTCAAAGTTCCAGCAGTTCATTGAAAGGATTAAGGTTTGTAATTTAAAACATATCTCGTGTGAATTGCCATCTTATGCCCTTCAAATCATTTGTTTTTCTTTTAGGGAAAAGGTGATCCATTTGTTAGCACTCAGACCCTGCAATAAACTTGAACTTAGAATGAAATTAGAAAAAGGTAGATGTTGTATTTTTGTTATTTTATTTCATATTCACCGCTGTGCAATATATCATCTGATTATTTGACATCTTAATCCATAATTTTTTTTAGATGGTGTTAAATTAAAGGATGCTGTTAGTGTTCTGACTAATATATTACAGCAGGTATGATGATTTCAAATCATCTTATAAAAAAACAGCTTATAAATGATGGATATATTGATAAAGTGAACAAGCATTGTTTGCATGGATTGCTAAAGTGTGTTTATTTACACTGATTCGTTCCCTGTTTTAGGTCTCAGCAATGCAGGACAATGTTTATGTTTTAAATAGACATCTTTACTCAGAAATCCAGGTTTGTTTTCCCTCTTGTTGCAATAAGATGCTTTTAGTTCAGTATTAGTTGACCCCAAGAATGTGAACTGAGATATAATCAACTAGATTTTGCTCTCAAATAATGTGTTAGGTTGATACATGGCCTGGGTACACAGATGAGGACAGAGAAACAATTAAAAGGTAAATTTTCAAGCCATTTGGTTTGAAAGCTTACAAAAAGAACGGTGTTGTTCATATGAATGATGTAATCTTGAAATATCAATGCCAAAAATCTCTTTTTTTTAGTAAAATAGTCTCAGAGATGGGATCAAGCGTTGATAGACTGTCCCCAGGACCTTTCTCGTCATCATTATTAGGAAATGTAAGTCATTTAAAAGTCAGTCATGGCTCTTTTTCATAGGACCTCAAACGCGGACAGCTTGATGTACTGGGGCCGGTTGTATAAAAACGCAGTTAACTGTTTACTATAGTTATTCACAGAATTGACCAATCAGAGTTCTGTATTTCTGAGTTAAGTACGATTTAACTACGCAAAATGTAGTTAGGAGTTTTGAGAAACATCATGCAGGCTTTCCGCGTTTGACGACGTCATTATGAGAAAGATCTATTGAAGCTTTTCCTCACACCATCCAGTTCTGACCGAGTTCTCAACACTCAGTGTAAATCTTCTACATCTTCCCCGTTCTAGAATTCAAGCAAACGACCTCTCTCAGGTATGAACAAACCAGGTACAAACCCAGCAGGAAAACGACCCCGTATCGCCCACCAAAACACGTCAAAGAGCGACATAAAACGGCCGCCAGTCGAAACAAACTCTCCGCCGAAACTCACCTCGCAACCTCCCCGACATATCCCATCAAGACGAGCCAGCAGAGAAAAGACAAAAACGAATCCTGAGGCTGTCAAAAAACCCATAAGTAAGTCATGAATTGATACATTTCACCCACACAACTGTTAACTAGGTTTTAAAAAGTCTTTTTTCTGGTTTTCAGACTCGACGAAAACACAAAAAGCTGCAAACGGTTCAGAAAACACTGGCAATGACAGTAACAACAATAACTGTTCCTTCTCGAAAACACAATCACCGACAAATGAAGATTATCTTACGTAAGTGGTGTGATTCCTCCTGGGGTGATACTGGGGTACCAGTAATAAAATCAGTTTAGTTTAGGTAACTAAACTGATAGAACTATCCAGTATAAATAAAGTTAGTTTAGTTTAGGTTTCCTCCTGTAGTAACACTAGATCAAAAAGAGATGATCCTTGCTGGACCTCTAGGAAGAACAGTTTAGAACTGATAGAGCTTTCCAGTAGAAATAAAATTAGTTTAGTTTAGGTTTCCTTCTGTAGTAACACTGGATCAATAAGAGATGATCCTTGCTGGACCTCTAGGAAGAACAGTTTAGAACTGATAGAGCTATCCAGTATAAATAAAGTTATAAAGATTGGATCAATCCATCCAGTGTAAAGCGAAGTATTCAGTGTTTGTACAATCGTGTCGCATGTTAAATTTCCAGGAAATACCCGGAAATCAAGACATACGAACAAAGGTGCTCTTACAAAGAAGACTTTGCAAAAGAATACGATGAATTCAAAGTAACCAAAGAACGTTTGGACCTCGTCACAAAACAATTCAACGAATTAAAAGAACAATTAAAGAAACATCCGGAAGACAGTCGTGCTGCAAAGGTTTGTGCTTTCTGACTTAAAAGACGAGCCATTTTCGTTGGACGAAACTATTTGTGCAAACTGCGGGTCGTATATTAATGAAATGATCTTTGTAGGATCTTCACGACGAAATATTTCAATTATACGAGGAAAAAAAGGTAAGAATATAAGTCGTAGCGATCGATCTAGGCTACTTTTTAAAAACAATCTTTAATACTAGTTATACTATAGCCTCTTAATGGCGCGGGAATGAGTATATGGGAAGAGTCCTGAGTGTGAATTTTAAAGATGTTTTTCCATGTGTTAAATAATTCTTCTATCGTTGTAGGAACGCTGGACAAAAGATCGTCAAAGACTGAATTATTTATTCCCTAAATTAAGTCACATTAAGAAACTTGTCATCCAGTACGATCAAGTGCATTTTGGAGCATCGTGATTTCTTCATGTCAAGAATAATGAATTGTCTTCAAGACCGTCAGTACTTCATGTTGGAAGAACGTTCGTGGAATCGTGAGTACCCGTTGAGTGAGTTCCCGCGTTGAGTGGTTACAATAGCTTTATAACGTTGTGTCGCTTTTCATTCTTGCGAATACTTCATGTTGCCTAGGTTATTGTCATTGTCAGGAGTTAAAAGGTTTCACTTTGAAACGTTAAAACAGGGGAACCTGATTGATTTGTATTTACGCCAAATCTGCCGGATCAATATCTTCTTCGTTGTTGGATGTATTTTATGCCAATATTTCAGAAATCTGATTAGCAGCTACTTAACTCGTTTTATTAGAGTTTTATTTATCGGATTTGATTAGATTTGCTGGTCAATCAGTTTAAAGAGAAATTGATCCGGATTCTGTATTTATAACTGCCGTATTTTTGCATCGAAAATATTCAAATTTTATTTACGAAGTTCGCTAAACCGATTAAAAAAAACTGTAGAATTCAAATTATAATTTTTCGGCTTTAAAAAGTCATATATTAAAGTAATCGCAATTATGTAATTTAAATAAATTTCCAGTTATCTGTAGTCATAAATTCCTTAATATCAAGTAGTGGATGGATGTGAGCAGAACAACACGCCCAAAATATATATTTTGGCAAATTTATTCTACCATGACTTCCTTGCATATATATTTTACAAGTCATGCATAGTCGATTCTTATTTTGTACATTATTTTCTGACCAAACTCAAAGCGTATTCTCACTAGCATTATACGAACTTATTACATCATGGATATTTCTATATCAAAAAAATATGATTCTAATTTGAAACTACAATTAGATTAAACTACAGCTAGAAAAGCAATTACTAGGTAATGACTTTCATTCAGTAATAGTCACCGTTCAGATAGCCTGTGCACAGACCCATATCCGGAAACTTCAGATTGATCGAGATTAACTTGAATGAAATAAAATCCCTGTCATTTATGTTGACGCTTTCAAATCCGCTATGACGTAAACGTCAGTTTGATATAACAATCTCAGATAAAAAGATTAAGAGCATAACAGTGTTCAATTCAAGATTTAAAATGACTTATTTATGATATTAAAAGCAACAAGAAAAGCGAGTAGCAACATGGAAGGAAAATACTGGCAGTGTTCATTGCCAGCAGTTGTGGAGGACGGGGGGATAAAAAGTTTAGTAACTTTTTTAGTTTTTTCGGAGGGGGTGGGTGTTTCCGTGTCTTCAGGATGCGATGACATAGTACCCGGAGGGGTAGATATATTCTGACCAGGGGGAGTGGATGATATATTTGCATTCGGCATAATTGATGATATTTCCTGCTGGGGGGTTGTGGTTGCATTTTTTACAGAAGGTGTTGATGACATGTTTTGGAATGAAGGTGCTGCGGTGGTCGGAGTGGTTCCAGTCTCTTCTGTTGGTTCAATGACGTCTGGATAGAACACGCAGTTGTCAACATAGTCCTCCTGAATTTCCAGGAGTGTTTCCTTCAAGTAGCCCTCATACAGGTTATCAATCACTTTATCAAAACTAAAAACACAAACGCATAATTCTTAAGTCTTGGGGCATTTGATGAATCAATTGTGGTAATCTTAACCGGCAGCTTTTTCTCATACTCAACTCAACAAATCATACAAAACAGCGACGAATATTTCAACGCGGAAAGCTTGTATGAACTTCAAAGGTCGCAACTACATTATATTTGAGTAGGCTCGTTCCTTGGCCCGCGCAGCCTGTTTAGCTTACCAGTCAGAGAGAATTAGTTCACATTCCTCTAAGGTGTATTCAACAATAATTTGTTTCTCGTCTGGGGAACAGTAGAATGGCAAGCAGTATAGCTCGATTATTTTTGAGACGCATTCAGACGAGAACATCTTGCTGCCATTGGAATAAATCGCTGTAGAGAGATTGGAAAAATATCCTGAACGTTCATATTCCACAGAGGATCTGATATACAATTCCAGTTTGTCTTCTGGCATCTAAAAAGTTGAATGAACAATCATTAAGTTGTGATTGAGAGTTGATGAAAGTTATAGCATTCGCGATGAGAGGTATTGCTATGGAAGATCATTTCTTATTCACGTTTGACCAAATTCGGCTCGTATTAGGTGTCAATTATTATGACATGCAATGAATTTTTGCCATTCTAATAGCTAAACAACATTAATCCCACTCTATGCTTGAAGAACTCATGTGGTGTCTGAAGTCTGAAGAGTTAAAAGATTTTCAAATCAAGTGCAACTCATCTTTGAAGAAAAAAAATCCAACATCTCACTCGTCAGCTGTTCTGGCAATCTTCTGAATATCTCGAAATACAAAACTATTTAAAACTATTATCTCTATATTGTGCACAATCCCATTCGTCATGTAAGTAATTTTCTTGAAACATGGCAGAAATACTACAGTAGCCGCATATATGGAGGACTTTGTGAAATGTCAGCGCTCAAAAAGTTTTTAGTGGTTTTTTTAGCGCATGCTCTTGAAAGGTTCTGATAAACAACAGTTGAAGGGATGCTTTACATTTTTGTTTGTCATTAAATTCTTGATACAAAACACATGGGTTTGGACAGTTTTTTGGCTTGTCATATGAAAAATAAATCCAGTCAGAATAGACGAAATGATAGGGCAAGTCTCAGGAAGGGTTGAACCTGGCAGGACATTGGACACTGACAATAGGAAAACAATAGGTCGTGTTTTAATTGGACACGAATTACCATTGGTTTATTACAAGGCGTGATAGGAATCTGAATTTTAATCTTTGTACAAGAGATCTGGAATGCAAGCCTGCAGGCTAATGGTATTCTTCCTGGACTATGGATGGACAACGATGAAATTGCTGAGATAAATAAAATAAATCCCTCTTTGTGCTGAAGTAGTTTAATTGATTTAGGTGACATACTGTTTTTATTCTGAAATATGATATGTTGAAGAACAATTATCACACTATTTTGTTACAAGTCACTGATATTAGCCACAATATAAACAAATAAGTATGTGTATGAATGACGTGATACCATCTTGCCCGCGCGCCGCCTAAATTTACCGTGAAGACGAGAGAATTAACAGGAATGACATATAATTACGATTGAGTTGATTTTCTTTTGTAAGCCAGCCGTCTTTTATCGCATACAAACCGTCAAAAACGAATCAATCAAGTGGCAATTTAAGAGGAAACTGGATGTCGGCGCAAGTTAATTTCTTGAGTTCAGGCTACGTGATCATTGTGATGTAGAACGCAACCCGTTCGTATTTAATTATCTGAGCGCATGCGGAGAAGACGTCGATCCCAAGATACGAATCGACGTGCGTGCGTGTAGTATTTCGACTTTTGAGTAAGAACTTGTGATAGTCAATGCTGTTAATTAAAGCGCCACGCGCACTAAATTAATTAAACCCTACCTTGTACTTCGGTTGTGGACAACTGCCATTGATAGCTTTCGATGGTTTAACACAACGACTTAACGGCTGTAAACCAACTTCGAGGGTTTCGCACGGTGTTTCCAAACTGTCTTGCGGACACTCTCTCCTCGCTTTTATACATGCCTTGCGCGCATCGCCATAACCTTTACTGCCATTTGGATAGCAACGAGGTGTTAATTTCGAACAGTATGTTGTTGTCAATGCTGAAATACACTCTGCGCTAGCGTTCGCCATTCTTGCTTCGTCCAAAGATATGTTTACCATCTCCGTGTCTGTTTCATAGTCAATGGCAAGATCAGGGCTAAGTGAAGTTGCCGGACAAGGCTCTTGGCTTTTGACCATCACGCATCCCAGCCTGTTTGAGCTGACGTAAAATACACCAGGAAAAGATTGCGCGGAATGATTTGAGCTGCTGTTCAAGCCGTTTCCCAAAACCTCAGAAACAAGACAAGTTAAGATTGCCAGAGCGAATACACTGGCGTTGATCGTAGCCATTTTCACGGGAAATCGAGACGAACTATTCTGACCAAGCGCTCTTCCCTAAAACCCGGACAGGAAATACTAATCTGACATCTATTTCACATTGTGTTATTAACACGTTGAATGTTCAGACACGTGGGTCATCTGAGGGTTAATGTCACTTGGACTGAAATGACCACTTTATACTGTAGCAATATCGACACACCCAGCGCCCGGCAGATAATCTCAGATAAATATTAGAGCTCAGGAAATTACTTTCAGCTCAAATATTTTATTTTCTGTTAAGAAACTTGAGAATGAATCGTTTTACAATTTGCGAGGCTGATTTGATGACTGGAAGGTAAATAAATATAAAGATCGACCAGCCGATAAAATATAGTAATAGTTCGTCTATGGGTGCGATGTTTTTCATTTTTAATGCCGCCAAATATGACAGGGGTCGGTTTTCAAAAGCCGGTTAGCTTAACCCTGGGTTAACTGGTTCCGAAGCATATAAACCAAAACAGCGGAGTAAAATTTAACCCAGGGTTGGCGCTAACCTAGCTTTGAACCTGTATGCTGGCTTTGAACCACGCCCCCCCCCAGGATTCGTTAACTTTATCCAGTTTAATGGGTATGCTATACAGCTCAGCGGTGAGTCCAAATCCAATATGGCCGCCAATCCAGAATTTAGCCGATAGCTGGCAATAGCAATAATTAAGCCGAGAGTTCATCCTTTTTATTACTTTATCTTCTTTGAAATGTCTTGTACTCGATTTTCCTATGTGCTGACAAGCTCTTTGCGAGAAATCGTGCCAATTTTTGGCGTCATTTTTGATTTGGATGGTACACTGACTGTTCCAGTTTTAGACTTTTCTATTTTAAGAAAAAGACTAAAACTAAAAGGATTCAACCTCACAGCGAACGACGATATATTAGGTTCCCTGGAGAAGCAAAAGAGTTTATCGGAAAAGACAGAGATGCTACGAATCATAGAGGAATTTGAAGCTGAAGGACGAGAGCGGTTTTCGTTGCAGCCTGGAGTTGACGAGATGCTTGAAACATTTGACAAGAGTGGAATAAAGTTGGCCATCATGACAAGAAACGATCACAGAGCTGTTGAACAGTTTTTAAAACACTTAAAACCCCGTTTTCAAGATGGAAAAGTGTTCAGCCATGTGAGTGAAATAGTTGTTTGGAAAATAGCTGGTATATATTAATTATTAAGTATATATCATTATAGATAGAAGGTAATGTAGAAACTGAATTCAAACTATTATTCAGATCTTAACTAGAGACTTCAAGCCAGTTAAGCCTGACCCTGCTCCGGTGTTGCATATCTGCAAGGAATGGAAGATACAATGTTGCAATACTGTTGTCGTTGGGGATCACTTGCAGGATATAAAGTGTGGCAAGGCTGCTGGGGCAGGTAGGGATAACCATGAATGAGACATGCACCAGTCTATAGTTATCTGTGCTAGTCGTTCCTTTCAATATATATGTTCATTTTCAATATAGTGACAGTTCTTATCAACAATGATTCCAATGCGTCATTCAAAGAGATTGCTGATCACAATGTTAATACTCTGATGGAACTTGTTAATGATTTACAAACAGAACAAGTTATGAAGTCAAGTTAAACATGAAAATTAATAGCAGGCTTTGTCATATAATGTATTCCAATATAATTGGGCATTCTTGGCAATGATAAAAAATAAACAATTGTACAAATATAATTTATTTTGTTTGCATATTTTACAGTACAGACTAAAATTTCGATTGTGAATGGACGCCATCAAATATTCACTTTTCACCAATGGTCTTGTTTTAATGTTACAGAAAAACCAGGCCATTTGGTAAAACATGTAAGGTCTATCCTTTTACGGTACATGTAGCATTTTGTTAGTTTCAAAGTCATAAAAGTCCATGATTCTGCTGACAATTTTTTGCAAGTCTTCTTCTGTTAAATCCGGACAGAATATCTGAAACAAGTACAAATAATGGTCTTCAATAAACATCTAATAAAACTGGATATAACCAATTCTTGTGTCCAGCCATACTTACCTTCCACCACTGTTTTTGTGCAGTTTCGCATGGTATCTTTATTCCAGTGCATGATACGGTGAAGTAGAGAACAGCAACCCCAATTCTTGATGCAGTTTCATCCAAGCAAAGTGTTGTATGAAACGTGTCATTGAGAATGGCCCAGCTCGTTTGTGGTAATTGGGAGACATTCCATGTTTCCTCATTACACCAGTCCTCAAGGCTTTTTAAATAGTGCAACATGTACTGAATAAATAGAAAATCAATGAAAGTCACTTCAGTTGTGTGATTGACATACCACTTAATTGATTGTGCTGATGAATATCTCACTTTATGTGGATTATCCACAGTCACTTGAAATTTCAGAACTCGTAAACACAGAAGTTCACATTTAACAATGCTGTCTCGCAGCTCCCAATATTTCTTGGCAACTTCAATTGGAGGTTTGTGCTTGTTAAGGATACTATGAGAAATATTTATAAGATCCCTCAACTTGCAAGGACTTTCCTCTGCTTTTCCAGCAAGATAAAGAACCGTACATCCTACCACCTGCAAGAAATGCTTTCAAACTTTATGCTCTTTCAATAACGAATAAGACAAATAGCAGGGTGAAGGTGTATCTAGTTTAAACATACATTTAAATCAAAATCATTTGGATCAACTGCCAGGATGAATCTGTGATATAGAATGCAAGCTGAAGCAATTGTCACATCAGGCAAATTCAAGCGATGACCTGAAATAAACCAGACATTTGTCAAACATGGGAGAGTTCAGCATTGGTGGTATATTGTGGCCTAACTGCCCTAGCATGGTTTATCAAAATTGTTTGGTTCTGTGTTGGAAGATAGCCTTTCTCTCAAACTCTCAGAGTCAGTCACTGCATGGTCTGACTTTGTCCAGTTATACATGCAGGTCAGCAAAATCAATATTTTTTGCTAGTTTATGAATTTTCTTTTAATACATGACCTGTTTCTTTGATAAAAAGTGTTATTGTAAAATGCTTTTTCAAGTACTCCACTCTCGTGGAATCCATTCCATAGATAATAAGATAGATAAATTTTTGGGATTCACACAAATCCTAACACCAAGTTTCCATCGGCAGCAGGTACCGCTGTTGGAAATACAGTATGCTCAGAAAATGAAAAGTGCGATAAAATGGCGAATTTCATCACATTCATTTTCTTAAAAATAAATTAAATAATGTCTTTAAACATTCAAAGTAATGTTTTGAAAACATTTTATTACGTTCTGTGAATACAATATACCTCTCTCTCCTTTAATATCAATAAGAACAAACAACTCGCTTTGCTAACTGGAAAAATTGTCATTTAAAAATTCCCTTTTTTTCCAGTAAAAATGAATAAAGCGCGACCATTATCCGTATTTTTTTGTATTAATTTCAAAACGTTTTTACTTGAGTTTATTATCGAAATTCCTGGTGAAATTTTGTTGGATTTTTCGTATTTTATCTTTAAAGTCAACGTTTTAGTTGATATTTTTTGTTAATATGCCTCTCGTTCAAGAAGCTAAGCTCTTGACAAGATTTATTGGACAACGGACTAGAGGATTGTAAGTACTCAAAGAACACTTCTTTGTACACAGTTGATTTTCATATACTTGGTATGATATTTCTTTGTATTTATCTAATTGTATCTTTTAGAGGCTCGACAGCATTGGGCTGGGGAGGTGCAGCTGGTTGTGTTGCACTGTACCTAACTGACTGGAAACTTGTAATGCAATACGTACCTTTTATAAACAAGAAATTTTATCATGAAGTACCAAAATAACGAGCATTAAGGTTCGTATTCAATAGACATTGAATTTAATTGGTAAAGCATTATGTAGTTTCCTAATTTCATCTATTTTGTACTGTATTACAGTTTAAGTAATTTGTTTTTTAACTGTTTCATTCATTTTAACTAGAATCTACTGGGATAAGGTCTCTTTGAAGATGAAGTGATGAAGTACTTGATTATGAAGTGAAGACATAAACATGGCTATTTAATATTTTTGTAATAATGTTTAAATTCTGATGTTATATTCCAAAAATTTATTCAATTAAAACTACCCAAAAATGACTATCAAATGATTTTTTCTGAATATATGTATGTTATATACAACAATTGTGAGTCGATGGACATCAGAATCCATATTTTGATTGTGTCTGTCGTTTCGTTTGTCTGTTGGCAGACCATTGATTGCGAAGTTCCCATTCTTTTTCTTTTGCCTGAAAAAAAAAGGGAATATGAACCAATAGAGAACTTATTCACTCAATTTGCCAAATGGGCAGACTGTGTGATGATTACCTGAAATGCTAAATATGTAATTTGATGTTTTCGTCTTTGTTGAGAAGAAGGAAGGTTGCCTTTCTTCTAAAAGAAAAGTATGCACAAAGAGATCTTAGCAAGGTGTTGGTTTCCAAGCTTTTTACATCTTCAATGTTTTCATCCAATCATCTGCTCATTTATCAACTGGGGAGTGTTTTGTTTCAAAAAGAGCCTTTCAAAATTTCACTGCACCTTGGATTGTGGTTTATAATCAATATCTTCTTTCTGATAATTTGTTTTCCAGTCCTGAGAAGATCCAACTTGATCATCCGCGTTTACATCGATGATATCAATACTCTCCTCACCACGTCCTCTCTTACCAAGAAATCGTTTAAACTACCACAAAAGGAATTTTAACAGGTTACATACTGGATGAATCTATCAGTTCTTTCAATAGAGGTTTGCAAGGGATTGTTTTCTTCCTAAACCAGTGTTCAGGAGAGTCAAACAAATGAATAATCGCAACAAATTCTACTCTACCTGTTCTGGCGTTTCTTGCACCGTTGGTTGGGCATGTGTTTGCAACTCAGCCTCAGGATAGTTTGGTTGTTGGTCAGCCATGTTCTGATTGTATTGTTGTGAGTTGTGCTGATCATAATACGGCTAATAACAATGATTCAACAAGACAACATTCAAGTAATTTGTCAGCAGCTGAAAGACGTTGTTTTGCTATAGATCGGATGCAAAAACGTAAGACATAGACTTACATAATTTGATTCAGGGTAACCGGTATTTTCCGGATTTGTTTGGTAACCAGAATATTGTGAAGAATCACTAGCTCCTTGATACGAATAACCCCAGGCTGCATTATCTGGATAAGAATTTTGATTTTCGAAATAATTTGACTGTGGGTTTGTATCAATAGTTGAAACAAGAGCAGCCTCTGCGGAGGTTTGAATATTTTCCGTGTTTTTAATTTTTTCTTGTGCGCTTTTTGATAAACCGGAGTGTATTGAATATCTATTGTCTGGAGGTGTAGTTGTTGAAGGTAGTAAGTCTTCAGTAGACGTAATGCTGCGTTCTTCTACTTGTTCAGGTTTTACGCTTGAAACGGCATCTAAATAGAAATAAAGTGTAGCTAAACGAGTATCTTGGATACTCCTAGACATTGCATTGGTTTATGAGTTGGCATAAAAATACTATTCATTTCGCTACCAGAGGCAACTTGGCTGGTGGACGCCTCGTTTTGTTCCGAAGTTTCCTTTTCACTCCACGAGAAGAAGCTTTTATTATCATCATCATCACCGCTATCATCGTCGCTGTCATCTTTCTTCGCCTGTGTCTTCTGCTTCTTGACTTGAGGCGATGGTTTTTTGGCTTGTTTTCTACGCAAGCTGTCAGGAATCAAAGGTCTGTTGGATATCTTCGTCACAGGTCTATTGGGGTTATTCTCTTTCACAACCACACTGTGTCTTGGTTTGGGCAAGAGAGAGAATAGCCCCGATGGTTTCTGCTGGTTGTAATAGAATAACAAAGTATTTTACATGAGGCTGTTCATTGATACCAGGGATTAAACTGAGGTGTTTACCTGCGAGGCAACGGCAGGTGTTTCTCCCTTTCTTGTGCAATCCTCGTCGTCAGAATCCGACTAAATATTAAAGTTGAAATAGCATTGTAAATTAAAATCAGTTTTGCAGGAAATATACGGAAAAACAATACTTGAATTTTGTCGTTTATAAATAAAGGAGCTATGCTGGGATTTCTAATTTCCAATGCCTAGTTCGATTTGCGTTGACGCGTAAAGTGCATTGAGTAAAACAGTTTGCAAAACTACTGGAAATATCATACAATATTGCTTTGTAAATGGTTTGTTCTGTAAACCAAAGGACCGTAAGAATGATACATAACGAACTAACGTAGCTAGCTTCATATGTCCCTTGAGGCGATGCAAATTTTGCCACGATCTATCATTATCATGTTGCGATTGCAGAAACAATCAATTTTTTGAAGAATTAATAACAATACTTCAAAATTTGCATCGCCACGCTGGCTACGTCAGGGATTAGGTACACTTTATTAACCCACATTGTCAGTTAATCTGGGCAGAGCGATTTTAACTGTTTGTCCGGCCCGTGCTTTTGGTATTTTAGCAGAACTCTTGGCTGTCCACGATGCCGTAGACATCCACGGCGCTGGCAGGGAAGAAAACAGACTCCCTATTGATTTTGGTTTTGTTTTATCATCGTTAAAACTATCATCTAGCTTGCTTTGTCCAACTGATGCCCTCGTTTCAGTCGTTTGAAAGTTTGTTGCACCAGGTTTGGGTTCTTTGTCCTTAATTTTGTCGGGATTTTTTTTAACTTCAGGCTCACTTATATCCTCTTCTCCACTATCGTCACTATCAGCGTAAGAAACAAGCGACATTTTCCAAGATTTTGAGTAATTTTATAATTTTTTCCCTTTAACTACCGTATTTCTCGGACACCATTTTGAATTTTTATGAATACGTCATGTTATACACGATATCATAGCCTGGCTGAGTGTCGACGCATATAATTTTGATGAGGCTCCACGGGTCTTCTTCTTTTAATCTATTTATTAATGGTAAAGGAACCATGTCGATTATATTGACAGGAAAGTGATCGTTTTAACAGCTATCAATCATGCAAAATCAAGCAATAATTTGGTATTTCGGTGGCAAACTTTCAACAAATCATTCTCTGTAATTTTGAACGAAGCTAATTGATTCAGGTGATGTTTGCTGAGTTCAAACTTCGCATACAACTTACAAGCGCAGCAGTTTTTAATAAATGTTGCCATGTTTAATTAAGAACGCTTATATATAATATTAAGCTCACTATTTTGTTTTTGAAATCGGGAAGATTATTAAAATTTGAAGATATATTAAACAAAGATTGTAATCCTTCCTCAAACACAGACGCGTGAAGGGTGTCAAGGTCTGAAACTGTCAAAGATCAACAATGGAAAAATTGAGCGAATTTTCTAAATGATCATCATTCAATGATGGATAGAAGATTAAGTATGAAGGAGAACGTAATCCGGAAACTGTTGAGGCTGATCGTAAACGGTTAGTTTGTTTTCCATCTTTTCCATCTTTCAGTTTCTACTGCCCGTTTTTTAGTACGGTTGATCACGATGCACAGGATAGATTTTAGTCCAGTTAGCGTAGGGTGCAGTGAGTATATACCACAGGTAACTGAGATCATTAAAATTTATGTAACATTGTGCATTGAGAAGCTTTCATCAATCATTGTTTTTTAAATTTGTTGAAGTCGCTCTGGCAGTCAAAATAGCACGCATGCCTTGATAGCTGACGTATGACACCTGCGCACTCCACTCGCTAGGGAGTGGAAGCAAACGTACGTGTCAGGTTCCTCTGGCTATCAACGCGCACTAAAGTTTTAAGATCATTGATAAAGACCATTGATAAAGACCATTCTATGGAAGAATAGTTTTTTGAGCTTCATGTAAGTAGAAAGAACTGGTTACATATGTCTAATTAACGCTTACGTTAGGAGTTTTCATTTAAAAGATTATCCTTACAAATAACTTGTTTTTTTTTTGCAATGGTTTTGGCCCGTTTTGTATGTTCAATGCATGACTAAAATCTACCTGTCATTTTGCGGAAATTATGTTGATAATAAGCCATACGTAATGACATCGGTAATTAAAATTTTTGTGTGCTCATTGGATACGGTTGACAATTCATTCATACTTATTGATTTGTTAATTTGTTTCGCTCAGTTTGCTTGCGTTTGCATGGTAATGAATATTTGAGCAGCACTGCTCGCTGTGTTTACTAAAGAATAAAGTTATTCTCAAAGACAAAATATCCACAGCAAGTTTCAGAAATGGTTTAAACTGAACAGCAAGCATATTATGCCTTACGTCACCCCGGGTAAGTGTTGCATGGTCTTTTACGATTTTCATGTTTCAAGGCTCGGTTAAAGCTTTTTACTTAATATGAACAATCGCCGAAGTGAAGCTCCCTGATGCAGTATTTGGAAATTAGGCTAAAATATCAAACATAATATAAATAATAACCCCTATAACTCTGCAGTTGACGCCAATCACAACGGCCTGTATATTTTAAAGAATAATTGTGAGGTTCGAGCATGTTTTTTGCCAAATGATACAGCGAGTTAGGAGCATTATGAATATTAATATTCTTTTAGAAATTTTAATTCGCACTGGTATATAATAGGCAATAAAGTGATATGCTTCTAATTGCGTGTTGGCCTGCTGTGATTGAATGGCGAGAAATACCAAATATAACACACCGAGGATTAATTGCTTAGTTTTTTATTGTGATTCGGTCATTAGGAATTCACCGATCAGTGCGCGAGAATTGTGACGCAAGAGTGACTTTGATTATATTGTCTGCACAAAACAATCGTCAAATTGAAATTTCGCACCGACCTTCATGAGTTAAGCAGATACGTGTGTGTTTGATATTTTGTATAAACGAGACTAATCAGTGAAGCTTGTGGATTTGTGTATTTGAAAATCAAGGAAAGAACTTAGTTTTACCAGAAGAGTTTTTAAATAACTCGAAGCTAAAGCCAGGTAATAGCTTATAAACTTAGTCACTGCGATGTTCATAACAACAGGATATCGTTGAGTTTTTCGTGGCCTTTCAATAATGATTTGCTCGACTGGACAGACCTCTAGTAAATACACAAAATAGGTTATTTCCTCTGATATACGCCCTACTCTAGTTTACTGCTTTTTCTGATTCTAATTATGCCTAGTTAACTTGATTAAACTTGTTTTATATCGTATGCATGGTAATGATGTAGAATTACCTGCAGAGAGCCGCCGAGATTACAGCAAAAATCCGCTCTTATGATTACGCTTTCACGGCCTGAACCACAGCCAAACATAAGTCGCATGAAAGAATGTATCCTGTGACAGAACTAAGGAATTCTCACTTTCCTAGCGTCGGGTCAATAGTTAATAAGCTGCTCAGAAATCAGTCAAATCGTCTTATAACATACTAGAGTTCTTAAGTTTAACTACAACACTCAACAGCATGTACGGAATTGCTATTTTGCGTCTGTGATATAAAACATTCAATGAATTCTATCTAATTGATTTTTTTTTCTACTCAAGAGCATGTAAAAAGATTATCAAATCAACCGATACAAGATTTTGTTTATTTAAAATTTAGTGAATTCTGTGGAGATCGACACTGGAATGAATAGAATTCATACGAGTGTCTCTATGGTTACTCAAACATTTGCTCTAAAAATTTACTTTTAAGACATGAATTCTTATGAGATGAATGCTTTGTTTGACTGATTGCAAATTAAAGGAATCCTAAAGTTTGATTTTATCGCTACACTATCGTCGTTAACCGTTAAGACGTTGAATATATGAATTTGCATTGGTTCTGTTGCTTGAATTCCTTGAAAGATGGGTCGTCCATATTACTATAAGTCGATAACCAAACAGTTTTTCCAGAGAAAACGACGTATACGTGTTATCTTTGAAAACCAAATAATGCCGGACACTTCAATTGCCTGGTAATCTTTTATTTTCATAGGATTGCATGATAAATTTTTGATCAGGAAAGACTCGCTCAGTTGCGATGATGCATGTTGCCTAAAATAATCGCGTCGACGTAAACGAAGGGGTTCAGAAATTAAAAATAACTCGTTTGGTTTTTCAGGTGTTTCTTGTGACGTATTGAAACAGCAATTGGTTTGTTTGTGTCCCTAAATAATGTGAAGTAGTTTTATTTTAATAATATGGATCGCTCTGGGTGGCCATAGTTAATAAGACTGAAGTTCATTCAGTATTTCTCCTCAGCCTTTTTTGAATTTTGATTTTTTGATTAAGATTTATCATTGATATTACGGGAAACTAGGGGAATATGTCTGTGACCGTAAACTGTTATTAAAAGATAATAAAATATCGCGACAGTTATATCGACCGGATGCAGTAATCCGCATCCTCTTTTATTCAACGGTTAACAATTTAACATACATCTGAGTGTTTCGTTTCCAAAACAGACCGCCTCGTTGTCCACGCTTTTGGAAAATACGTACTTTTAAATTATGATGCAGACTTTTTCAGTATGCTTAATCAAATCTCCATTATTTGAGAACGTAAATCCGTATATTTATACGTCATGCAAAGCAGGTAACCTCTACTGAACAGCTGCTATACAACACATTCGTAATTATGTTCAAATGAAAAATTTACTGGTGTTGCTAAAACAATAAACAAAGCATCTCGTAGATACAGCCTTCAGACATGCCTATAAGACTGAGGTATATTTTCGGAAACACTTAGTTTCAGATTGCAACTGAAAAGTAGACAGACTGCAGCTACAATTCATCCTATATCCAAGACGTTCTACTTCTTTGAAATGGCCGAGAAGGAATTTATAGGTCAATAAATCTTTAACTTTTTGTATTGTACTGTATTGTATTATACATAATACATACACACGATTACCACTGCATCCGAATGCCATTTTAGTCTTGGCTTAAACGCATTTTTGTTTCTTCATGGTCTTTCTATGTTGCTATATCTGAAGCGAGATGCACAAAGAAAAGCAGTTTAATGTATTTATAACATGATCTCCGTATATTCTATTTTTTATAGTTGAAATGTTCAATAACGGTTTTGAAGCTGACACCAAGAAACCTTCCAAAAAGCCCAGCTCCAGTGAACCGGTGGAAAAAACACCCAAAAACAGTTTCAGAAAACTATTCAAGGAGTTTGCATCTGACACGAGCTTTGGAGGGATTTCAAAAGTCAGTTCATCTGATAGCCATTTACGTCGATTCATTTGGCTCCTGATCTCTACTACATGCTATGGTTTCACCATATATATGTGCTTACAGCTGATTGAGACGTTTTTGAATCGACCAATTAAAACTGAAGTGGACATTGTATATGAAAAGGTGGGTTTAATTGTTCACTTCCCTTTCTATCTTTTATGTAACGTATCACAACTATACTTTCATTGTGCGTCATTTGTGCATCGTTGAGCTCTTGAAGTGTCTTGAAGTGTTATAATTAGAGCATTTTGCAGTTTGATAAAGATTTAAGCCATGGAATTAATCGCGTAGATTTTCAACGCGGTCTTTTCATTTAGAACATCGATTTTCCTTCGGTGACAGTATGCAATCTCAACCAGTACCGTCGATCACGAATTAGGAATGTCTCGTCGATCGACGAGATTATCAGGATGTACTCTGATGCAAAACGAAATAAATCAGACGGTTCTAACTTTGAGAACTCAATCAACAAACAGAAGCGCGCTTTTAAGAAAGAGTTTAATAATGATGTTGATGATGACGATGAAGGCGATATCAGCGATGATAACATTGAAATTGATGAAGATTTCATAATCGAAGAATTGGTTGCCATAAGATCAGCGGACTATGATTTGGAGGATTTAAAGAAAGCTGGTCATCAATTCAATACTATTTTGTCTTGTACGTGGAGAGGATTTAATTGTAAAGAAGGGTAAATGCTTAGTTTGCATTCGGTCGTTCTGTAGTGTGTTTCTAAACGGCCTTAACAAGATGTGGTGATTTAGAGCGAGTGAAATTGTTAAATACGTTTTTATTTTCAGGTATTTCGAGAAATTTTGGGTTCAATCCTGGAATTGGAAGTATGGAAACTGTTTCACATTCAATCCTGGAGCTAAAAAATCCGGCGGACCTCTAACCGTCTTTCGTACAAGCAAACCTGGACCTTATTATGGTACTTACTTCATCCTTACCAATGCTTCACACTTTCCTATTTTTTCACCATCCAGTGACACTTTATAGGCCTCACTCTGGAGATGAATATTGAACAGCAGGAATACGTGAATGAATTGACTGACGAAGCGGGAGCAATCGTCATAATCCATCGTGCGAAACAAATACCATTTCCTTATGACGAAGGAATCACTGTTCCACCAGGATTTTCTTCTTCGATCGCCATCAGAAAGGTATAGATTAGGAACTATTCAATCTGGCCTTTTTATGAGCAATGGTGCTAATCTTCCTCGTATATACTGAGTAGTTCTATGAATTCTTAACTGTTGTTAGTGCAGTGTTTTTAGAAAAGAAATCAGGAAATGCAAATGAAACATAATGAATAAGAAGTTGTCTGATTTATAGCTGATAAAACTATCTCGTATAAATGAACCAACTTCATCTACTTTGGGTATTTGTTGATAACATCTTTATAAATTCTCTTTAGGAGACAATAATAAGAGCTGATCCATTTAAAAATGGCAGCTGTAATCCATCGACTCACCTCTCAACTGACAATATTTACAGTAGTTATTTAAATGGTTCCGCCAGCTTGTACTCAGTCAAGGTAAAAGTAGTAATTACTAACACACGAGTTACTCCTAAATTTGCTTATCGTTGTACGAGTTCGAGGAAATTATCCGGTACTGCAAGAAAAAACTTCATATATTTTTTTCTTCAATTTTTAGGCTTGTATGCAATCGTGTTTGGCTCGGGCTCAGCTTGATAAATGTAAATGCGCTGACCCCAAGTATGCTAATTTTATCGACCGGATATGTGACGAAACAGAACGTAAGAATTGTCGTACAAGTTAAACCGGTTTTCCACTGGCGATTTTTTCACGCGAAAGAAACTTTATTTTATTGGAACAATTTTCCATGTGACAGCCATATCACAGGCCATATATATAGAGAGCTCACTGGGTAACAAGCAAAGTAAAATGTCGCTTTGCGCGAAAATTACCGCTAGTGGAAAACCGGTTTTTATACTGCCTTATCTAATCGCTCCAGAAACGGACACATATTGATATTTTGTCTTTTTTACTGAAGTTGATTGTATGCATAATGTCAGCAATTCCTTCAAGGAAAACAGGCTAGGATGCAACGAGAGATGCCCGCAACCGTGCATGTAAGTTTGACAATATTATTTCATGAGCTGATGTTATGAATTCTCAGGGATAATATTTAATATTTATATGTTTTAATAGTTAATATACAATAGTTTCGTACCACAGCGAGTCAGTTTGACGACTGTATCATTAGTGAACATTACCTCGCATTTGCATGCATGCTTTTCTGAACAACCAACGTATACAAACAAACTTCACCTTAATTCTTCAAAAGATCAAATTGACCACGAATGTGAGAATCTTTGCTCATACACACAGAATAAATGAAGCTTGAAATCATAACATTTGTTTTTCAGTCAACATGGTTTTCGCCACAATTTAGGGATGTCAACACTGACGTCGAATGCAAAGGTGAGAATTATTTTCGTATTAATGAAACTTAACTCATCTCTCTGACGTCTTAAAATGAACTTTAGGTTACATATTCGTTTCTTTTTTCCGCAGGAATCAAAAAAGAAGAAAGATTTTGGCGATAAGAAGGGTCCAGATTTCGACTTTGAGTGAGTATAATCATTGTCTAAGTTTAGCTAACACTGTAATTGTCATATGCAATTTCGTAAATTTAACTTTGTTTTCTATTTTGTCCAGTGAGAACTTCCTGCGAGTTAAAATATTTTATGACGAGTTGAATCTTCAAAAAATTGTCCAGTCCACATACTATGATGTAAGTAAGGCATCTATACGATTCAATTGAACCATCTTTTACTGAATTTCTGTCAATGTTTTTGAAGTTTAATATCTCCTGCTAGCAGCGTGGGATTCTCACTGTATCTACCATGCAGTGTTTCATTTCAATGGTATAATTCTAACTTCTCATTTCCAGTTGTGGACGTTACTGGCTGATATTGGAGGACAACTGGGGTTATGGATTGGTATTTCAATCATATCCATCGCAGAATTTGGTGAACTTTTAGTCTCGCTTTGTATTGTTGCCGGACGAAAATCTCGAACAAGAAAGACGAAAACATCTGAGATTGAATTGCATTAAAGCCATAAAAGGTCTTCAACTGTGGTATCGAGGTAAAAACTAGGTTAGTGAAAATGAAACATTAGGGAATAGTGTATGTAAACCCGCAATTAATGCAACAGAAAATATCCATGCATAATTTCATCTAATCGTATTTGTAATCACAACTGAAACGCTCGGCATGACAGGGAAAGAAAAGGTTCTTGTAGAACCGACCGAGCAATTTTGTAATTATTTGTAATTATTGTAGCTATATATTGCACGACAATTAATGGAATATATCTATACTTGATATGTGCCAGCTTCAGAAATCTACTACATCAAAATGGATGGAATTGCTTAAAGCTATAAGATTGATAATTAGACATGTTAAATTGCAATTTAAGCGACAATAGTTTAGAGTTGTCCGCTCCGTGTTTATGGTAATCACAAGTAGCGTATATACGAAAGACCCTGGGTACGAGGTACGAGAAGACGTTTCCTAAATTATGTCTTTAAATAAATGTTTTCAACAGAGACAAGTCAATGTTTGTTTTGCTTTAAAACTTTCATTCGGTTGGAGTTTGAACGAAGAAGAAACGTATCCTGGTTCAACACAGACCATATCGTGATACTAGATAAGAGAAATTGCAAGACTTTTGTAGTTATCGGACGGTTAAAATACAGCAAGATGTCAGATTGGAAATGAAAGATTTCTTACCTCTTCATCTCCAAAGTCGGACATTTGTTTCGCTTTTTCACTCCACGGATTCCAAATAACTATAACACGAAAATAATGCAGTCAATGTCTCTTCCTCGATCTATATAAACTGATTTTGGAAATACTGACACCCAAAACGATATTCAACCTATACACAGATTCCACATCAGGAGAAATGAATGAAACTTTTCCTACCTGCATCAGGAAAATTTTCCTTTTTTATTTGGATGTTATGATCTCCAGTAAATAGCAAAAGTTCGTTGGAAGTTTGTTTGTAAACACTAGGAACGAGAAATTGGGGCTTAGCGCTGTGCATGAATACGTTCTAGTTCAAACAAACGGAAGCTAAAATTATATACCTGTCAACGTTTCCAGAGATTTGAACATATTTATCTGTTTCTTTGCGTTCTCCACCATTAATCTGAAGTAATGTAAGCGTCGTATGGCGTCAAAAAAAAACATCTTCTAACCGGCAGGATGGCATGAAAATCCTGTCAACCGATAACGAACCTTGTCGATAAAATCACAACCTTGAAGACCTTGTATTTTCACTTTTTCAACATCCACGTTAAAGTACGTGTGCAGAAGAGTCGTGAACTCGAATTCTTTAGAACCTGGAAACGATTATTTCATGAGATTTAGTAAAACCGTCTACAAGAGTGTAATGGATAAAGTGTATATGTATAGCTCAATAACCGACCTGTGTTTTGAATATTTACTTCCATGATAAACTCTCTGTCCTTCAGGATGAGTGTATACCAGAACTTAAAACTAAAATAAGAAATTGAAGCTATTAATTATCGCTAGTCGCTACTGAGTTACAAACGAAATACTTTTGCAAATGTTTAACGGCTTTTCTCAGTGCTTTTAATCAAAATAACTATTGTATGGCATTAGTCAAAGTACTTATAATTCCAAATTTTTCTCAATTCCTCGGTGTCTTCTAAAAGAAGAATAGCTACGATATTTCCATCTTCATCCTTCCATTAAAAAAAGAAGAAAAAAACCGGATTTGTTGATTGAAGACTGGAGTAATCGAGTTTAAATAAAGCAATTGCTGCTATCATTGCTATGCAAAGACAAACTAAATGGCTTTGGTTTTGTTTTTATCCAAGTTCTATCTTTCAAAATAACAATCGTTTGGTTCTGTCTTGAAATTGGAAAGAAAACGGTCGGGAAAAGTTCACCAATTAAGTAATGGCCTGTCTACATGGAGCGAGTTATCCCGGCTAGGCGAGATTAGTCTTTCATTATATGCAGTTTTCACCTCGCCTAGCCGGGATAACTCGCTTCATGTAAACAGGCCCGCCCTAAAAGACCGACATTTATCAATTATTGGACGAGGTCGAGCAAAATATCGTGATTTGTCGGTGGCGAGCAGATCAATTATTTGCCGATGCCGAAGGCAGAGGCAAATAATTGATCTGCGAGCCATCGACAAATCACGATATTTTGCGAGAACCGAGTTCAATAATTGTTTTATCATTCACCACTCAATTTTCAATTCATTCACCACTCAATTTTCAATTTTGAGTTCGTTTTATCGGACAGTTCGGCAAAGCGAGTCGCCATTGTTTATAAAATTGACATTAATGCGCATGCTCAGAGTATTATTTGCAGCTGAGTATTATTTGCACGCAGTTAACTGCAGGTAAATTAACCAATCAAAATTGAGAATACTATAAAGTGAATGATAATACAAATGATTGGGGCTCGGGGGCATAGAGATGGGTCGGGGGTGACTACTTTATAATGCGAGCTTTATGAAGTATCCAAGGAAGAAGCAAAATGGCAGCCTTTAACCAACACGTGGTGAATGGTGAAAAATTATTTTGAAATTGTCAATCAAATACGAAGAATACCAAGTATTGGAACAAATATAGTGTACGTAGAGCTATATCTGTCAACCGAATCGTAAAAACATTGTACGCTTGAAGCCGTATATGCGATGAAATATTGGATTTTGGTGAAACCGTTAAACCAGGTGCAGTGCTGTTTATATGTCACTATTATGCTGTCGATTATTTATACGCTGTTGCTGTTAAACATATAGTAATATCTTGTGGTATTTTTCACCTTTAGTACCCAATAACAGTTAAGAAATCTTCTGCCAGCATCTTTATAAGTTTTAGTCAAACCTAATCACATGATTCTGCAGTGAGTCAGTGACCAGTTGAAACTAGGTAAGTACGTGTTTGATTTTATTAACTAGACCAAAAAGTGTAAAAATCTATAAAACATAACAAACGTTTGCAGATAAAGCATGCCAAGTTTCATGTTTTATTTTTTGTTATACAGAGATTGAATATTAAAAAGGAAGTTAAAAGGACAGCCTTGGATTATAAGAGAATTTCAACCTTGATCTTGAGACTGTTGATTTTAAGGTAGGTTTAGCAGTAAAACTTTGATGAACTATGTCATGAAATAAATCAGTGATATCAGACAATTCATCATACAAAAATGCTTCCCAATTCACACATCCTATTGCAATTTTCATTGATGGAAAATGTGTAATGCCTGTTCTTACCTTTTCGGGCGATTTGTGGACTTTCCAAGTTTCAGTTCTTGCAAAACCATGCTGTGGTCCCAATTCCCATGGACCAAAATTTGCTAATAAATTTTACAAACACAATATACTGTTGTATTCGGCACATCATCACATAAAAACAATCCTGAGGTAATTAAAACCAGTTCTTAGACTTACGAAAGACCACTGGTATTCCACCTCTTATTGCTTTCTTGCCATTGTACACTGCATTCTTACTATAATCAATGTGAAAAGTTTTCTTTCCAAAACATAACAAAAACTGTAATAACAATAGTGCGTCATTTGACTTGGAAGCCTTGCTACATTGGCCAATCACCTTGCATGTTATGGTATTAAGATCAAGGCTCCCAGCCAAGAAATGTATTTGCAATATTATCAGGTTGCATTATCAGGTGAAATAACATTAAAGTGCATAGTAGCAACATAGATCAAACCTGACAAATAACATTTCCCTTCCTCTGCATTTCCATGATGTGACAGTGCCCCCTGTGCAAAGTTCGCATTGATTCAGACCCATGATGAATCCTTCATTTCAACTTTTGTACATTTTATGATTCTTTTGTATAACAATAATTTACATACCATGTAAGCAGACCTCTACTTCACTCGAATCATCTTTTTTGAGATGAATTTTTGGAAGCTCATTTGCCATAGCTTCTGCAACTGATTACCACAGAACTTGATGGATTTTATTCAAAAATCACGCTTCAAATGAGCCTCAAATACGTGGCAATCTAAATTTAAGTACAACTTTTAAGTATCCAGGCAACTATTAGCGTTTGATGTTTGAACATGGAACCGCTTGTTCCTAATTTCCAAACTTTCGTTGAATCGCGCAAATTATATAACTCTGCACGAATATTTGTGTTTTATTTATATACTTTGCAACATTCCATTCCATAATCACATAATGATTAATTAAATTTGCAACGTAAATGTAGCAAAGTGTCGGGTACTTCATTTAATAATAGTTTAAAAGATCGTCATCAGTAATCTGTAGTCAGTCAGATCATATTGTTGTCACTGATAAGAAACGTTTTTATTCAGCTGTAGCACATCCATAGTTGTCTAATACATTGAATAAATATATTTTGTGTTGAATATACAGACATAGAGACAAAGCGTCCCCTTGTCGACCCCTGGGCGAGGAGTTACGATCTCTCTCGAAAAAGTATTCGCGGATTATTCATATTTCACTTGCAAAACCAATAATCATTTACCACGAAATGAACAGGTGAATGTCGGTGAACAAACAAAGAAAAGTCGTATAATTTAAAATTCATAACACGCTGCTTGTTTATGTAAATTATTTCGAACCAGACCGATGAAATACTTGTAAGTTTATTGAAGAAATAGCCTCAAAAAGCTGTGGCCGTCATCAGCTTCAGAGAGCCTGGTTTTCCATTTCAAACCATAGTTATTTGTCTTTGGTTGTTTTATTTTAGTCGAAGTTTTATAATTGTAGTTTCCTGTTATGAAATCTGATATTGCAAGAGAACAGACAGGCTTGTAAACAAAAAAATCACAAGATGAGAGTCATGAGATGTCATACTTGAGGAAGAATAGACGAACATAGAGTAGGAAGTGTGGATCCTATTGCTTTCTCTGACTAGAAGACACGCTTGAACTGATCCATTGCATATGCAAATATTTGATACACGACGAAAGATTCCTCTGTTGTGATATTTACGAAGCCTAAAAGTACTTGACGTCGATTCTTACGTAATTGCAGATTAAAGCAAAATTATAACACGTTTGATTTCTTCTGCGGGAACGTTGCTTTTAAGCAATAACTTCAAGAAGGTCTAATTCGTCGACCGCGTATGTAAATTGCTGTCAATAGTTGTACAATACCTGTTGTGGATCTTGAAAAAACATTGGCTCATCTACGCTTTCAGAAACTACGTATTATCTACTTCCTCTCCATCTCAGACAAAACACATCAAGTATATAACCTGCTCGCGTTATAATGTCAATGAACGAGGAATACGATTATCTGTTTAAGTTATTATTAATAGGCGATTCTGGAGTTGGGAAGTCGTGTATTCTTCTTCGTTTTGCGGATGACACTTTCTCAGAGTCGTACATCAGTACAATCGGGGTAGATTTTAAGATACGAACACTGACGATCAACAACAAGTTAGTTAAATGTCAAATATGGGATAGTGCTGGTCAGGAAAGATTTCGTACTCTAACGACGGCGTATTATCGAAGTGCTCATGGAATTATCCTCGTTTACGATGTCAACGACCGTGAAACATTTTTTCATATCGAAAACTGGCTTCAGGAGGTGTCGCGTTATGCTGCTAGTGATGTGAATAAAGTGCTAGTTGGCAATAAATGCGATATTTTAAACAAGAGAGAGGTCGAATATGAAACTGCTCGTGTTTACGCTGAGAAATTAGGAATATCCTTCACCGAAGCGAGTGCTAAAGATCGTACAAACATTGATAAGATTTTTAATATTATGGCCAGGGAACTTGTCGAGATGTTGGGTGAGAATAGAGCAGAGCTGCCGGTTGAAGAGGACAAGGTGGAGTTGAGCTCTGGAACGGAAGTCTCCAGCAACAATGGTCGATGTTGCGGATTTGGATAAATTTTTAACTCACCCACAATGCGAGGATAAATACAGATATTCTCGTACGATTTTTGCCACGTAACTTGTTTACTTTAGTTTGATTCAGCTTCGTTTATATAATTGGGGTGTTAGGAAACGCCAATTGTTACTTTCAGTTTGATCTGTGACTGGTGACTATGTGGAGTGTTTGATGCTAGTTCAGTTGTTTGATGTTTGATTTAAGATCATTTGAGAATTTTCACAGTGCAAAATTAAGGCTTTGGACAAATATTACGTTTGCAAATTTCTTCAACAGGCTTAACAATGTTGACCTGTGCAAGCTACTATGTCACCAAACAGTGTTCTGGCTGGGTCTATATAGTTTTATCCTTCCTAAATTGCTCAACAAATAATCTCTACGTATTTTTTATTATTTGCATTATTATATACAAGAAATCTAATGTTTACAAAATTAATGTTATTGGTAGTGAGGTAGTCCTTAGACGTACGTGTTCATAATAGTACAATTATTGTGCAAATTCTGTGTGTAAATTGTTACAAATACATGCTAATAATCACAATAAAGAAAAATTAGAATGTATTGATGACTTTTATGTCAAAACATTTTGTCTTTCATAATTGCATTTAGAATATTGAAAACCACAAATATGCACATCAAGTGCTTTCCAATAAAAGACCATTAGACCATCTAGAATTAGAACACTCCTTCTGCTTATCAAGGGCCTATTAACTGTAATTGATATGAAAGGATTATCACAAACCAGAGTTTGAAATAAGTTAGACCCAGATACTGTACAGTACTTGTATAATGTTTCATGGCCTGCTTGGAGTAATGAGGAATATATTTTACATCTTTTCATATGTCACGCTATGTCCACATGTTTTACAGGTCTTTGTCCACGTGTCAGTACCTTCATCATACACCTCTCCACCAGGTTCTCCTTCGCCTGGGAACTCATGGGTGTGATGGGATGAATCTCGCTTCCATGTGCTTGTCCTCACAGCACGACGGAGCTCTGCACACGATTGAAATGAAACACTAGAAACTTTGCTGGACAATATGAGGGCAGGATGAAAGGGGTATAAGGCAGGTTATCAGGGGATATAAAGCTAGATAAAGCTAGAAGCAAAAGATGATTGGTTGAGCCATAGAAGACCTGATAGTTACCTTTCACTTTCTTATCAAACAATTTCTGTTTTTTCTTCTCTTTTGCATTAGCTCGTCTTTCCCTCTCTTCCTCCATCGCCTCTTCATCTCCCCAGATTTCCAAGGATCTTTCAACCACCTTTGGGTTTAAAATAGCATGTATAATTGGGCAAATCATTTGGATATGGTGCAGAGAACATGCTCATTTCTTACCTGACTTTTAAGAAATAGTTTCATATCTCCCCAGGTTGACTTATGAGGATTCTTCTTAACAATGCATTGAAGTATTGGTTCTCTCCTCTCTAGATCACAATCTTTCAATAGGAATTGCTACAAAAAAAATGTTTTAAGGAAAGGTGAAGACAAACCCTTTCATTTGTAATTTCACTCTCAGCTACATGTCTGATTTTCATATGTTGAGTTCTTAGACTTCTCTAGTTTGTACTATGGCTGTCTGATTGGATAATTTTACTCACTGTTTTTGCATCTGTCTTTGTAATTAATGCATGTTTGTCATTATTATCTCTGGAAAATAAGTTGAGTATATCATTTTTGCAGAGTAATTTGGTCACTATGCTAAGAATCCTTCAAAATATTTATTGCAGGAGTTATATAGAAATTGCTGGCTGCTCTAACCAGCAATACTGGATACACATTACAATTTTTTCACCTGCAGCTATCACAAACTGTGACAGAAAAGTTTTTATGTAGGAATGATTCAAGAAACGACTTGCCACATTCAGCACATTTGAGCTGTTCAGCACCAAGTTCAGGACCTGCGTGATATTTCACATTTATAAGTAAATCATTTTATACAAAGGATGCATTGATGCAGTTTTTTTTAACACCTGGTTCAAAGACAACATTTAATTCCTTCTCAGCCTCAATTTGATCGTCAATATCGAGTAAAAAGCCTCCACCAGTATCCAAAGTTCGACTACTGGTAGTCACCCCTAATATAGCTTCACTCCTTTCTTTATTGTTTGAAGCTTTGCTCGCATACGGATGTTTCGCTAGTCGGGCATTTCGAAGCAGTACCGCACGCTGCCTATTGCGTTCAATCCTAGCACGTTGTTGATCTGTTAGAGCTGCTTTTGCCTCTGAATTTTCCATTTATAAAGCATTTATATGACAAGAACGTCCGACATATTTTAGGGAACACTATATGCCGTGTAGCATGAAGTTCCGAGCAAGCAAACTACCTCCACTGAACTGCATTTGACTGGAGTGGACCCTTGCATGATTGCATTACTGTCGTTGACTGCGCGTATAAGTTTGACACTATAGTAATTTATTATCGTTATTTAACCATTAATATAATAGGCAAATATTAACAATTATAATGCAATAAAATTGTGAACAAGCTGCAAGCAAGTGAATAGTTCAACTAATTGTTCTACTCTATGGAACCGCGACCAAATCTTCATTCCTAGTTTCATAAGCCAGGCTTTGCCTTGAAACTTCGTAAGTGCTTTTGGATTCAAACAACGCCTCTTCGCAATAGCATCTCCAGGCCATTCCCTCCCCGTTGATATCGCCTCCTATTCTTGCAAACATAGGGCCGCATTCATTGCTTAATGCAATGTTTTCATCACACCATTTTGACCGTCTGTCCATACGACCGCAGCCTACAAAAAAATTAATAGAATTTGGCGGGGCTACAATCTAGTCGATAAAAATTATCCAAGTCTCTGTCAACTTGCGGTCTTCACGTTTACTCTCCAAATGTACGTAGCAAAATACTGCAGTTTCTAATGTGAATGAATCTCACCTTGGACAAACATTTCAGCATTCGTTATCATCACGAGATCACCGACAATCCAACCAGGTACATTTCTCCACGACAAGAGATCACCATTGATATTCTGACCACCGTTTGCCATGCTCTGAATGCAATCACCTGACATAGCACTTGACCAAATATTCAAACTTGTCAGTTTTCCAACAAATGATCTGTAGTATGAGCCTTGTCTCTTCGTAGCACCGATGACAAACTTTCCTCCTGCCAAAAGTTGACTTGCCATTGTTGCTGTGGAATAATTACCTTGTCGGACTGAGTTGCGGTAGAAATTGATTTTGCTGTTTTTTCGTACGACGCAAAGAAATTGCCAGTGCAGGTTTAAGATGGAGGAGTCTGAAATAGAACTGAAAAAAAGTAGGAGTTTATTTCTTGGCGGTATTGCATGGTTGTAGACTGACGATGTTAGTAATCTCGTGCATGTGCCGATGATAGATGATAGAGATGATGATGGTAGGTGATGGTGGTAGTTGGTGATGGTGTGTGATCATGGTAGTTGGTGATGGTGGATGATAATGGTAGTTGGTTATGGTAGGTGATGATGGTAGTTAGTGATGGTGGATGATGATGGTAATTGTTGATAGTGGGTGATCGTGGTGGGTGATGATGCTTCAGATCACATTTATGAATAAGTTACTTTTTATAATGGCTTCCTTTGACATATACAAACAGATGACACGTCTTGTCAATCCCAAATGAGACTGCAGAACCAATTTCCCCTGGAACATCGTACGAGACTAATATTCCATCATGGAGACTCTTCATCCAGACACATATAGAGAACTGATCAAATGACGCAACCGGGTCACGTGATAACACATAATATTGTTCCTCACTTGATTGATAATCCAGTTCAAAATTCAGACCTTTATCTGAAACAGAGGTTCTCTATTTAGACTTAAGATTTTATTCAGCATTATGTGGGTTTAATGTCACTTAGCCATCTAACATTTAGAACGACTTGAGCACAGCGTATTAAGAAAGCACTTACTTGTGATGTGGCGAGTTGTTGGTTTTACCACTTGTATGTTTCCAACAATATTATCAAATACTTCAGACCATGCTAACATATTCCCTTCTAACCGTTCTCCTAAATTAGCGATGGTTTCTATCCTCTCTCCCGAGAACGCTGTATTCCAAAGGTTCAGATCGTTAATCTGTCCGATGTAGCCTTTAAATTTATCACTGAAACCAGATGCTTTATATTGCTGACCAATTACAAACTTTCCTCCACCTGGGACAAATTTGTTCTTCTTTTTTTTGGTTGTCAACGACTGAGGAGTTCCGTCGATGAAGATGTCCAGTCGACCGTTGATATTGTCCCAAACAACGCTCAGGTGATGCCACGTATTATCGTTGATTGGTGGTAGACTTGTACTGCAAATGCGATCAAAAACGATTTTAAGACTTTTTCTTTTGAGTAGAATCCTAAAAGACTAAAATCTATGGACAGCTTCGAATGATCTCTCCTCATCTTTACCTGCCAAATCAGTTATAAATTGCTGTTTCTAGTTTACCAACTGTCTCCTTAGATATTTTAGAAAAAACGTACCTAAACTTTGTCTGAAGAAGCATAACCTGACCATGGAGTATTCCGCCATTAGGCGTCCCAATATGGAAACCAATGTTGTCTGCAACGTTGTTGTCTGTTTTGTGGGAGAAAAAGTCGTATTTTTTTTCTCCTCTTGAAATCTTAAACCAAGTGCTGAACGTGAACTGGGTTAGATCTGTTGTAATCATATTATCCACCTCAACGTAGGATCGCAATGGTTCTTGGGAGGAGAAGACAAGGTCAAACTCATCTGAAACTGAAAGATAAGATACTTCATGAGTTGATCGTTATGGTCACGACGACGCATTAGTGAATATGATGACAGTCGAAATGACATCATCATCCTACCGTGTATCTTGTTCTCACAATGCTTCCCGTGGTAATTATCTCTACATGTACACACATATCCATCAGGCTCACATGATCTCCCACAACGACCATCATTTAAGCATAGTTGCAACCTTAAGCACTTATCCTTAAACAGAAAAATGTGTTGTCAAACAATGGTTTTGTAGATTGTATGGCCTTCAGAGCACGTTTCAGTTTTTTAGGAGAACGATTATTTATATTTATATCTCAAATTGAATGCATACAATTTATAATATTCTATTCAGTGAAGTATGATTACTTACCAGGCCAATATTGCGTATCTCAAAGGTTTTCCAGGTTTTCTTTTCATCTTGTGTTGGAAACTCGTATTCTCCGGTCGCCGCCTTTGAGATATTGCAGTTGATTTTATCATGAGGATCAGTGCTATAACTGAATATGGTGCAGTTCAGATTCCGCAGACATTTGCTGCCACATTCCAGCCAAGAATTTACATAGTGACTTGAAATTTCGTCTTTAATCAGCGGTTTATCTAAATTCAATAGCATTGGTTAATAAAACGTGGAGTTTCAAATGTCGAGTTAACCAACGCATAAATGCATGAATGATTTGCGGAAATGCATGCTATATTTTTAAAGATAAAATGATCAAGAGGTTCGAAGCTGAGCAGGCATTTTTAAGATAAGCATTTGATCTATTTGGATATTCTTGTAAGCAATTAATTAAATCGATGCAAAGAACAGCATATGTTAAATTTTCTATGGCCAATATCATCTTTTCTTCCGCAGTACAACACTTGATATAAAAGAGATGATCCTTACTGGACCTCTAGGAAGAACACTTTAGAACTGATAGAGCTATCCAGTATAAATAAAGTTAGTTTAGTTTAGGTTTCCTCCTGTAGTAACACTGGATCAAAAAGAGATGATCCTTACTGGACCTCTCGGAAGAACAGTTTAGAACTGATAGAGTTATCCAGTATAAATAAAGTTAGTTTAGTTTAGGTTTCCTTCTGTAGTAACACTGGATCTATAAGAGATGATCCTTACTGGACCTCTCGGAAGAACAGTTTAGAACTGATAGAGCAATCCAGTATAAATAAAGTTAGTTTAGTTTAGGTTTCCTCCTGTAGTAACACTGGATCAATAAGAGATGATCCTTACAGGATCTCTTGGAAGAACAGGGAGAAACAGTTTTGAAGTAGTAGAGTTACACGGTATTATTAATAAAGTTCCAAAAAGAGTTCATTATAGTTGAAAGTGTGTTCAAGAATATTCTTCCAAACACTTTTTTCAATGAGCATACAGTAAAAGTACAGGAAATCTGATCAATTAAAAATTAAAGTATAAGAACCTTAATCACATTACCTTTGCTTACGGCTTTAAAAACGCCTTCTTTAACACAATTATCGGTTTTAGCATCTACAAATATGAAACACGAAGCCAGCAACACAATCATGCAACAGTATGATTCACACAAACCTGAGAACCGCATGTTTTGTATAGAGCAAGTTCGGAGTTATATCGATTCTTATCAAAGATGTTCAACTGATTGTTACTCCACCTGATTGCATGCATTTAGCTGCAATTAATTATTCATTAGATGGATTTTAATCCATGAAGACGCTCAATGGGAGCATGCGTATTACGTAAGCAGCTTTGAACAATACTGAAAAGCATTGCTGATAATTTCTACCCATGCAACTTTTACTTAATTGTCGATATTCGTAAGTTTCGGAAATTCAAAGATGCCTTAATAAGTCGAAAACAAGCGCAGCGTTTAAATTATCAATCTCAATTAAGAAGGCAGGCAAATAAATGCAGCAATACTGAAGATGATTATTGTTTCTTTAAAAATCATTATTGTTTTTTTAAAAATATTTTTTATCCTAGCTTTTTCGAACAGTTAAGAGGACTTGGTTTATTCTTGATAAATTAATTGTTCATTTTTTTAAAGATTTTTTTTAGTCCCATGTATTAAGCATGCAATAAGACATCAACAATTCGATATTATCTTTATTTGAAAGCATGTGGCTATATTCAAAAGGATTTCAATATTTCACTGAAATATTTCTATTAAAATGGAAGTTCTTTTATAGTTTCACCACAAAATAAGTTCATTACGAAAAGCCCCAACAAAATGCGCGTATTACTCTCTTCTAAGATCAATTTGCGTTTTGGATAAAGTAAGTGACTTCTTCTCAGCACGAAAAGATTAAAATTACACAAAATTCCGCCAGGCAAAACGAATGGTTTGATGGCAAACATGCAGGTAGTTTCGTAAAAGATAGGGCTGCTTTAAACTGAATCGTTAAACACGTCAAACAACGAGCTTCGTAGGAAAGTGTCACACGCAATTTGTTTCAAGGCTTTTGAAAAGAAAATACAGTTCTTTTAGGCGTTATGTCGAATTAATATTTAATATAAATACAAATTAAACACTATTTCAACTAAAATGTAATCTAGGAAGTCGACCAATATATCATGATGTTCATCCGTGCAAATTAAAAAATATCTATAATGATTTAGATCAGCCTTTATATGAGTCTCCATCAATTATATAAAGGCATATGAAAAAATGGACATTGCAAAATATTAATAAAAAATTTTGAGAGTTTAATGAACATTTTAAATTATTTGCTAATGTTTATGTTAACATCTCAATGAAATATAAAAGTGATTATCCAAAGTTGTTGCTCTCATATTTACTCCAAGTTTTCGTCAGATAATTTCGTCAAAGAGAAGTGAAAATGATTTTTAAAACGTTCCTCGTTTTGGCAAGTATCTTCTTACAGACTGCAGAAACAAAGGAAGGGGTGTCGTGCCGTCAGAGCTTCTTCAAAAAGCTTGAAAAAGGTGAGGGAAAAATTTTTTCTGAAAGATCCCAGTTGTCTTCGTAAACGAATGTCTTACCTATGATATGAGCCATGGCAATATCTTAGCTTATTTCACTCTCTTGCAAACCAATCTGTATTCAAATGTTCCGATAAATTTATAGTGAGTGGCTGTCTTCGGAAAACTCTTTATTTTTTAAAGGTTTTGGAATCTCAGAAGAAAAACTTTTGGACACTCATGTTGCTTTTTCGTGGTTTGACTGTGTCTTCCTGTGTCTGGAGAGCGAGAAAGTCTGTGTCTTGTTTTCCTACTTGGCTAAAAAAGAAAATAACACAAACTGTCGTTTATATGGGAAGGATTTAGAAGAGGACTCGAATTTAGGCCAAGATTTAGAGAAGAGTTTTGACGATGGCGAGGATTTAGTGGCTCACGTCGATGGGATAAAAGATGAATGGGAAATTTACAAAAAATTTGTCGATACTAAATCGGTAGGTCGTTAATGTACTCTGAACTCACTCCCGGGCAGGAAACACTTCCCAACTAACATTAGATAACAGCCTCCCTTTCAGCTGTTGCCTCGTATCCACTCAATGAATTAAACTCTGGAAGTGCATTTTAATTATTTTTTATTAACACAAACATGCAGTTGAAGCTGATATTCGAATGCAATTACTATTCGCATGATATTAATTCTTTTTTCATAATTGAGGACAAATTGAACATCATCATCGTCGGCGTTGCCTGGAATATTAAAACATACATGCCCATGCATATGCATCAACTGTTTTCCTAAATAAATTGTTTAATGAAGTTTTTTCACTAGAGAGGCCACAGTGCGCCAAGCTAGTTTTATTGCACCTTTTAACGAGTCACTTGCGGGTATTAATCCTCCAGTATATATTTATTTGCAGTAAAACAGTTGCTTTCTGCCAACTGGATGACATATTTGGTTTCCTTAATATTTGTTGTAACACTTGTAATCCCTTTATAGCGGTTGTGTGTGAATCAAGGAGTATGTTTAAATGGTGCTACCTGCGTGACGGATAGCTGTGAATCTGAGGGATACAGATGTGTGTGTGATAAGAAGTATTATGGACAACGGTGCGAAAATGAGCTCAGTGAGTATCAGTGAGTGATTTACTGCAAGAACTGTCCACATCTGAGCTGCTGATATTTGTAAAGATAAACTAAGCATTTAACTTACACTTTAAGATGATTTTGATCTGGTGTTTCCTGGTCAGACGGCGGAAGGCGACGACGAATCCTACATAATGGTCAAGGATGCCGTTCAATCCAATTTCAAAGAATTCACGTTCTCAACTTGGATCAAAACCAGTTTTGGTTTGAAGCGATATCGTCTCTTCACGTACACCTTGGGGGAGAACTCGTTGATTGAGCTGGGTCTTAAGATAAGAACTTCCCCAGGAGAGAATTCACCTCTCGTTCACACGTTTGTCCTTAATGGATCAGATCCTAGTAAAAATATACTTTCACAAACGTACTGTATTTTTATTCATTTTAGACTTTAAAATTCACACTCTGAATTCACTCCTTATAGTTTTGGCGAAGTAAAAATATATGTTCTCCATGCATTCATTGTGTCCTAGGACTTCTTTTCAACCAATCAACGACAATGTTTGGCATCACGTGGCTCTCACGTGGTCCGAGGATGGTGAATGGATGACATTTGTTGATGGTAAACTTCTAACGATACGAAATCATTCTTCCCTTGAAATACCAGGAGGAGGTATGCTGTTAAGTGTTTGATAAAGAAATATGAAATGATCAAGGATTATACTGCTTATATCCTAGAGAATTTTGTACCTCAAAGTCTACTAGTATCCCTCAAAGTCTAATAGTATCCTTTTAACTTTAAAAAGGTGTGATATACATTGGGAAAGCTCCTGGCAAGAGCGTATTCAAGGATGATGATGGATTTGTTGGAGAACTGAGTCGTCTGAATTTTTGGAACCATATGCTCAGCGGTGAAAAGATCGAGCAAATGGCTTTATCGTCAAATAATGATTCTGGAAATATTATCCGTTGGTCCAAACTCCTTGATTCTACTTTTGGTAAAGTTAAGATGATAAAACCATCAACCGCAGTTAACTCAGGTTTGGACTAATAAATATATCTTTTCGTCTGTGCAGTCTGTCTTATTCCTGATATTCACCTTTACTTTCTTTATTTCTTTTTTTGTGCTATTATCATACTGGCTAAGAACCGTAATATTTTAATGCAATTTACGCATTATTATTTTTCATTTCAGAAAAAGAATTAGATTTTCAAATACATTTTCCTGTTAGTAACTCCAGTCTTCGAAGCAGCTTCATTTCCTGGCCTGTCACAAAAGCACTTGATTCGCTCGCAGTCTGTTTCTGGATCAAAATAATATTGTCGACATCTAATAATACTGATGATTTCACCTTTATCTCGCATCATTCAGATGCTGGTGATAAAGATTATTTTGAATATGGTGTTCATTTGCAGAATGAATATCGCTTGTTTGCAGGTATTAATGGGACAAAGATCCGGAGGTAATTGGCCTCGTCTCTACGACTCGTCTCTACTTTTGAAATATTCTGTTTTATGGTATAAACTTAAAAAATTATTAGACCATGCCACAATTGAAATATTTTTCGAGCGTCTCTAAAAAATAATCTTATTTTCTTTGTGTTTAGTTCAGAAAAGGGTGAAACGGGGACAAACGGTGAATGGCATTTCAACTGCATGTCCTGGAATGGGAAATCTGGTGATGTGGTATTCTTTCATGATGGAATTCCACTTGGACATAAGCGTACAGATGGATCATTGCGAGCAGTTTTACCAAGCGTTGGAAATATTTCCTTCGGTTCAAAATGGAAATACAATGGAAGTTTGCGTGTGAATGAACTCACTTACGGCAAAATAGCCTATTTGAATGTGTGGAGTTACACTTTACCTGAACGAGCAGTACTGCTTATGTCCGCAGGGGGTCTAAATATCAATGGTGACGTAATGGCTTGGAAACATGTTCAAAAATGGATTGTGGGATATCTACCTGTAGTCAATAGAACTGTAATCTACTTCCCAGGTTGGTCCGTTATTGAATGATCTATCATTATTACCCCCGGCAATTGTATGTATAAAATGGTAGTTAGCTTTAAACTATAATGATCCAAAACGATAGTGCCCAGAATGATGACAGACAACGTTTATAATGCAATATGCAATAGAACTTTAAAGTGACGTTTTTCATCTCTATTCTATGCCGTAACAACAGAAGGAACTAGTCTAAATGCCATTATTTTTGCAGGTTATTCGGTTCTGAAGCGAAGAACAGAATGGTGCTATAGTCACGTAAATAACGTTAATGCAGCATGTGGTTCTCTCTACGCCCGTCTTGGTAATAATAGAATTTGGAAGAGCATGCAATGGCGTTGTTACTGCGAAAACGTTCTGGTCTGCTCCAAGTTTACTTACAAAATGGAAGTCAAATACAAACATTTGTCGGTGAATGTTGATGATAAATTTATGTATAGTCATCACCGTGATCTCATCAGGATAAACTAAGCTTTATCTTAATTGGTAGTATTTTGGACATGGAGTTAGAACTTAGAACTCATTCGCACAGTCATTTTATCCCTAATTTTGCATAGCTACATAAAGACATTAAATCCACGCATGTTACAAGTTACTCAGAAAATGTTTTCTGTGATACACTTCTTTGCAAATCGCGGATTAATAGACCTTTTCAGCTTGCATGCAAATTTCAGATGTTGTGACCATGCAATAGCCAATAAAACTTAACCATTTCAGACCATATGACTTGAAATAGGTTAGTTTGCTTGCAAGCTGAAAAGGTCTATTGTTGAAAATATCCAAGAGACATCCGCTAAGTTTGGCCGTTGCCCTCTTATATAACGAACTTGGATTTCTAATAAAGAAAATAGGAAGAAATACAGGTCTCATATCTAATAGAAATATATGTCATGCTGTTAAATTGTTTATCACCGTGTTTGTTATCTGCAGATGGAAACATTCACGACATGCACTCACTGTTTTTCGTCATCATTGCAGCTGCCTGACGTTTGTATGATTTAAAGACCTCTTTCCATCGGATCATTGACATTGTCGTCCCAGGTATTATCATTAAGGTTCAATCCAGCTCCCCAGGGGGAGGAAAGGACAATTCCCAAGAAAAAGTCGGCGTTTACGTCAAAGGCAATATAGATAATAGAAGTTCACGTTGAGTTTTAGACCAGTTAAATTATATGTTTGAGCTTTTTTGCATTAGGTTTGACTCTGATATGGAAACTACGACGCTTGGACCGGCCTTATAATTCGTGAATGCGAACTAATTTGTTCCAATATAACCAGGGATCAGCGTGGCAGCGTCTTCAAACAACTTAGCATCAAATGTGGTATAACAACCGCCTAAAATAGACAAAACACTTCTCGACGTTTCGACCTGAGGGCCTTCTTCAGGAGAGTTAGTATGTACTAACTCTTCTGACGAAGGCTCTCAAGTTGAAACGTCGAGAAGTGTTTTGTCTATATTAGGCAGTTGTTATACCACATTTGATGCAAACTAATATGTGCTTTAAAAAATGCTTTGTAATGATGCAATTTACTGATGTAAACATGTGTTGATTGCAGGCATGCGCACCATGACGAGCAGTTCACATTGTTTAATCACACTTTTGTTTCACACTTTTTTAACTGACGTTTGCTCAATGGATCATCATTTCTACTGCACAATCTGGATGTTAACATTTCACTTCATTTCTTATATTTGAACCGCATATATGTTCTATCACAACAGGATATATTATGCATCGCTTCTACACAAAAGTTTACAAGTCGAAAACCAATTAAGCTATATGTAAATTACTTGCATTCACGGCGTGTGGGAACGAAGAAAAGTAAACGCAAACCAAGCGAGGCGAAGCAACGAAGTTTTTTCTTCCTCAAATTTAACTTCCCTTTTTAATGGTTTTTATGTAGTTTCTAGCACATTTAGTTGACCCGGTTGCTTGGAAGGGTGAGAATTTAATTACGATTGCATTACCTGATTCCATGTTTTGTAAAAATGGATTTGTTTTGAAGCAGTGGACGATATCGTCTCTCACCTGAACGCCGCGTAATGCCGGTCATGGAACTTCATCAAACAAAATCAAGGAGCGGTTCATTAAATGCTTCTCGGTAAGTTACCTTATGAAAGATACATATCATTTATTTGAAATGGAAAAGATCAGGTGGAAATTTCTATTCTTTATGTATGCAACTTAGCATCAAAATTAATGTGGTATAACAACTACCTAAATAGACAAAACACTTCTCGACGTTTTGACCTGAGGGCCTTCTTCAGGAGAGTCAACTCTCGCTCTCCTGACGAAGGCCCTCAGGTCGAAACGTGAAGAAGTGTTTTGTCTATTTTAGGTAGTTGTTATACCACATTTGATGCCAAGTTGTTTGAAGACGCTGCTACGCTGCTCTCTGGTTATATTGGATTTTATGTATGCAGTTCGAAGTAATTTGTCCCATGCAGATACAATTGACATCGTCCGTAGTGTTTTAGACACCGCCAAGCTAATGCATTGGAGACAATATTAGAGCAGTTTATGGTCAGATACTATCCAGTGGTGAAGTAATTTTACTAACCAAAATACAGGCTCAACCAAGCCCAACAATAACAGTTTATAAACTACGAAATACACTTTCGAATTGACACGATATATTATTTTTGTCCGACGCTTTCCATTCAGAAATAGAGTTAAAAATCTAGGCTCGGAGAAGGAACGCATGTTTATACTAATTTGAACCAGATTTTTTTTTAAATTTGAAATTGTCGATCATAATGGATTTACATAGATTTCGTTATACATTAAATTGTCCTAACATTTTATTTGCTCGAAGTAAACTAACGAATTTATATCAAATGTCCCTCGGCAGTTATTATTTCCAAACACAGCTGGAAACTATTCTAAATTCCAAGTTAATGAATTGTGCGTCAGTAAGATACCTGTTCAATGTCGATTGCATTTTTTAATGCGCCCCTTGATGACGCCGGACAAATTCTGAGGTGGCAAAAGAAGTCGTGTTTCACATCAAACAAATAAATTTTGAAAAAACCTCGTTAGCTTTTGTCGTTAAATAAATTATCAAACAAGAAAGAGGACGATTCTCCTGGATGATTTAATATAGAGGAGAAGATGTCAATAAGGTTTGCTTTCTAATTGTCACGTTAACAGAAAAATTCCTTGGCTGCGGTCTGGAGAACCAACGAACTGAGTGAGATCTCTGCTGAAAAGTTAAGGAAGGCTAACAATTATCCAGATTGATTGCACTTTTCAGCGTACAGGCTTAAAATTTTGCACCTGCACTTGAACAGCTGAAAATGACAACGATCTGACCTAATATTATTGTATACAGGCTATATACGTAAAATTTATTATCATTTTGCATATACACGCGATGTTTCCAATAATAAATGCTTTTTTACTCGGGTAAAGTCGAGGATAGAGTGCACGTAGCTAGGTGTTAATAGGCATTTCATATAGGATCAATGTTTACGAACAGCAAAGGTAAATTCTTCACTTTTTTAGCAACGTTTTGCATGGGTCATGAGTATAATCAATTTAATATTAAAACAAGCTGATCTTGTATTTAATATCTGTCAACTTCGATTTTTATCGCCGTTAAATTCGTACTTTTTACAGTTATTGTGAGTGTAATCACAGGCAGTACAGTAAATTCATACGCACTAAATCCGCTATTGATTTCTAGTGATGTAGGTCCTTGTTTTCGGAGCATTTATCGCTAGAACTAATGACTTTGAAACAAATTCAGCATCCTTCGATAGGCATAATGCGAAAACAATCTTTAGGTTTTGGGCGGAGTGCTTTCAATCATCTCGCGAATGAAAAGTCTGCATCACTTATTCACCCGACATGAGATATCCTAAACCTGTCATTTACTGACGCGTTTTACCTTAAATTTTCTGATTTCAGACATCTCCCAACATCATATCTTCAAAATGCAAGATTTGAGAAAGAGATCTACCTACCAAATGCTTCGTACTTCAGCAGGAATATGGAGAAAATGAGAGAAGCCGAAGCTCAACAACCGAATGAGTCAAGCGATAAAGAAAATATTCCGAAACTCATTCGAAATTTTCTTGGTTATACCACAGCGCATGGATTTAGTCGCTTGGAAGGTTCCAAAGGATTCTTTTGGAAAATTTTTTGGGCGCTTGTCTGCTTAGGATCTTTTGGGATGTTCGTATTCCAGGTCCATGGCCTCTTTGAACAATGGCTTTCCCGTCCAATAACAACAACTGTTCGTATTACTTTTGAGAAGGTAAGCGATGAGAGATGATCCTTACTGGACCTAAAGAAAGAACAGTTTAGAACTGATAGAGTTATCCAGTATAAATAAAGTTAGTTTAGTTTAGGTTGTATAAAAGATAGTTTATGCCTGGTTGATCTAAAGCCGATATATAGAGTTTAGTTTGTTCAACAATTTTTATGATCATTTTCTAGCAAGTTCCGTTTCCAGCAGTGACGATATGCAATTTAAATATGTTGCGAGCAAACGAAATCCCAAAAGAGCTGAACGAAGAGATGTTAAAGTTGATTGGCTTGTACAACGAATCCTCAGCCACAAGTAAGTGTTTAGTTGATTTTATAGTTGTCGTCGCAGTTCTGACGAGTAGTGAGAGAAGATCGTGCCCGAGCAAGGGAAAGGGTTTATTAGGAAGCATTTGCTGAGATGCACGAAGGTCAGATCAAATTTGTTTGGAGGGAATAATCCTAGTGTCTGGAGAAATCCTTGAAGCACAAGAAACCAACCACATCCGTGCATATTGGAAGTGAAATCAGAGCGGAATGCTCACGGACCCTCGGGTGTTTCACCTGCCCGAAAAATACACCTAAATTATCCTATATATCCTCACCTATATCTTACGAGAAAACCACTGTGATACCCCCAAAATACTCCACCTTTAACAGGTGTAGCTCAATGATAAATTCATTGTACTGATCTCCCATGTTGTTCCCCTACACTGGACTATTCCACAAGGTAATCTTTACTGTGGCTGTTCCATAGATAGCACCAAAGCTCGAAGACGTCGTTCCATCTCAAGTCCTAAATCAAATGGTCCAAATCCAAACACGACTCCATATAAACAATTTCACAAAACAGAGAATACAGATTATTCATCTCGGCGAACCACCCCCGGATCTGGAACAACACAGAATGCTTGGGCGCCGACGTACAAACAGAGCAATGGTTGGTCGCCGACGAATTATCATGGGACCACGTACAGACCAAGTAATTTTTATTACCAAAACGTCGACAAAGAATATCTTCCGAGTGAAAAAGAAGTGAATCCAAATGTTTTGTTCTTGGAAAGATTTACAACCGCTGTAACTAAAGTTTCAACAGACATTCTGATTCCTGCGGGTCACCAGTTCGATGATCTTGTTACAAAATGCACTTGGAGGGGATATGACTGCACGAAATCAAGGTAAGCTAGGTCTATACCTCAGCTATACTTCATACGTGTCTGAGGGAGGGGGGGGGTTGATAGGGACGGCAACGTTTGTGCACTGGTTTCTCGCGTGTGTGAAATGCAAGAATTTAATCCCTGCAAATTGATGAAGAAACGCTTGTGTTTGAATAAATAAGGAAGTTTTTCTGAGCGTGTTTTTAAAATGAAATCATTTGTAAATGTGTCCATCTTTTTTAACTAAGCGATTATACAGACTGGTGGGTTCACAGCTGGCATTACAAGTACGGCAACTGCTACACATTTAATGGAGGAGTGAATCAAAAAGAGAAAGCAATCAGGATCTTAAGTACGAGCAAGCCTGGACCTAGTCAAGGTAATTCAAAGCGTTTTTCTTTCTCCTTTGTTGTTGAGCTTGCGGGATCGATGGTCTGACCACAATTTTAGCTTGAAACATGATTGGTAGAGTGCATCCCGCTTGATTGACATGTTATTACTTCCACTTAACTCCCTCTAGTTCTATAATATCCCAGGAAATTTCCTTGTTAAGATTGTGTACATTGTTTCAAACAGGTCTGTCATTACGTCTGAATATTCAGCAGGAAGAATATTTGAGATACGTGAGCGATGAAGCAGGCGTGCGGGTCATACTTCACGATCAAGGAATGATGCCATTTCCCTATCTTGAAGGCTTTAGTGTCGGTCCTGGGACAGCCACATCAGTGGGGATACAGAAGGTACGTTGAATGTTCTAATTGAACGTTCTAATTGAACATTGTAATTGAACTTTTCAATTGAACATTCTAATTGAACGTTCTAATTGCATTATGAAGAAGCTCTTCACACATCTGCACACTGTTATACTCTATTGATTATTGTTCATCAGACGGTAATTTCAAGAGTGGATCGTTTCAAAAATCACACATGTTGGGAACTCGATGAACTCGACGAAGAAAACATTTACAGAAAGTTTCACAAAATTACCAAGTACACACAGCAGGTTCGTCGCAGTTAACATATTTACGCAATTTTTATTATTTTACTAGGTTTAATACTCTTCTTTTTAGACATGTCACAATTCGTGCGTTGGTAAAACTCAGCTGAAAGAGTGTGGCTGTGCTGAATATTCTTATCCTTCCAATACCTCAGCATGTGACGTGTATAATGCGACAACACGTAAGAAAAGTCTTTCATTTTTTAAGTTTTAACAGATCAGCAGTTAAACTCATGTCTTTTTACTAAATTCTGTTTTCAGTCCTCGGAGTGAGATAATAGGACTAATTAATCTCCTTTTCACAGGGACATGTTTATGGGATATTCATCATAGATTTAACCATGACAAGCTTCCTTGTATGGACGAATGCAGACTTCCTTGTCGGTAAGATTGTAAACTTTCTTGTTGTAAATGATAAAAGAAGCATTGTACTATGAAATGGATAAGAATATAGCAGTGAGGAAATGCAGTTAGCTCCATGTTCGTTCTCGTCTTGTGAGTCTAATGTTTATCGTTCAATTTGACTCGCGTATGTAGTGAAGAAGTCATTCAGAAGACAATCAGCATGTCACAGTGGCCTTCAACACTTTATCAAGTAAGTAATCATTTTTGCGTATATTCCCGTACATTCGCCCATGGTCGAGTATACCGTTTTTCGGTACATTCGATCATGGTCGAGTCTACCTTTTTACCCGAATTTGATTAGTTGTGAACTCACAAAATTTATTCTGTTCTTCCTTTCGTAATATAACCGTTCTTACCTTTTAGACTTACGAGAAGCAAAAGAATACTAATTTTTCATCGTAAGTATATATTTTCAACTGTAATTTGAACGACCAATGAGTATTTAACTCACACGTATCATATTCTACCGTTTAGAGAAAGTTATTTACTCCTGAACATTTTTTACAATGAACTCAATTATCAAAGAATCGAAGAAAATTTTGTTTACGACGTGAGTTCTTGTGAAACTCTTGATCTTCATTGACCATAGCAAAGTTGAGTGCTTGACGTCCTTGCAACCAGAGATGAAACTCTTCATCTTCATTAACCATGGCAAAGTACAGTGCTTGACTTCCTTGCAACCAGGGATGAAACTCTTGCATGTCAACCATTAATTCTTCTTTTTAGGAAATCAACTTGTTAGCTGACATCGGTGGTCAGTTGGGTCTGTGGATTGGAGTTTCAGTAATTACAGTTTTTGAACTTATTGAATTGTTTGCATTGATCTTGACTCGGCTGTGCAGACCAAGGAAAAGCAATGATCGGGTGAATAGCATGGCTTGACAGAGGCTCAAGACAAAGACAAACAAGTAATGTTCATATTTTAATTGTCATTCCATTTTACTGATTACATATTTTGAAAGTCGTGGACTGTCACAATCTCGTGCAAGATGTTGGGACTGTCAAGCATGCAAAACACAAGGAACACAGATTCTACACACGTTTGAAAAAACTATAACTTAACCCGCGGTGATAGTTGCAACTTTTAAGGCAAAGTATCACGATAATCATCGTGGAAAAGGTCAAGTGCGTCAAGAATTTCTGCTGCATTCTCGTCCAAATGACATGCAAACGATCACAAGATGGTGAAGACGCCAATATATTTATACATATGTATTTACAATTAGATTTGATTATTTATTTATAAATGATCAGAAATAAACGCGAGTGAAATTAAGCGATAAACATTAGACTCACAAGAACTTTTATTCTTACTCGTTATTGAAAGTTTTAAATATTGTTTTCTAGCAATGTTTCTTGAAGACAAGCACGCATACAGTAATAGACACATACAGTAAGCAACCGCCGCGCTTAGAAAACAAGTTATGTTTAGTTACGTTATGTTTATGTCAAGTTATGTTATGGCTAGAATCGTATTTCGTGAAGCAACTTTGTCAAATTATACTAGATTCCTGTGACACCAACCTGAAAATAGAATATATTATGCAACATTGGCACCTGCACATCTTCCCCGACGTTATATAATTCAAACCTGCATATGGTAAACATTTACTAATTTTACTCTACATTAACCATTCCGTTGACTATAGAAATTCCTGTTTACCTTTGACAATGCACTTGGGGATACGTGTGATAGAATATCTCTCAGGTTGACACAGACTGGACGTGATGCGACACTGTCGCGTTTTTTTTTTACGCGGTGACAATTCAGTTTAAATGCTTCCAAATTGTTATTATTTCACAAATAGGTCAACAAATGCATTCTAAAATATGCGGAAAACTAAGTTTTTTCGATTTATTCACCTGGCTTTATCAAATATGACATATATAAGGATTTAGACTTTTACGTGCGTGCACGTGCGTATGGAAAACGCAACAGTGGAAAAAAGGCCCTTGATAAACCTGTCTTGGTTACAGGAACCATGATGGGCATTTATATTTTTTAATTTAAGACCTTTTTAACGTTGGTTAAACATGAATCATCATTTCTGCTGCAAAATTATTTGTCAAATCATTTTGCATCAATTCCTATATCGTAACTGCATATATGTGATATATCACAACGTCTATTGCTTCGTCATAAAAGTTTACGTCGTTGAAAACCAGTTAATTAAGCTATATGCAAATTGCTCGTATTCACTGCATGTGGGAACAAAAATATATACGCAGACAAAGCGAAACGAAGTCATTTCTAACGCATTAGTGGTTGGGATGGGTCAGGAATAATTACGATTGCATTACCTGATTCCGTGTTTGCACGATAAAAAGGATTTGTTTTGAAGCAGTGGACAACACCATCTCTCACCTGAACGCCGTAATGCCGGGAATGGAACTTTATCAAACAGAATCAAGGAATGATTCATTAAACGCTTCTCGGTAAGTTACCTTATTCAAAATACATATCATTAGCTTATTTGAGATGGAAAGATCAAGTGGAAATTTCTATTCTTCAGTTTGGAGAATTTGTTACGACTCATAAACTACGGAAATGTAGCGCAGGAATTGACACCATATCTTGGCCTGATAATTTCCATTCAGAAATAGAGTTAATTAAAAATATACATAGCTACATCATGTTTACTCGTCCTAAATTCCGAGAAGGAACTCATGTTTACGTAGAAATTGTCGATCACATTGCACAAAGATTTTTTACACCTGAAGAAGAATTTAATAAATTCTCCTAAAACTTCACTTGTTCGAGGTAAATTAATGCATGAGCTCATGTCAATGTCTCTCGGCAGTTATTATTTCCAAACACAGCTGGAATCTATTCTAAATTCCAGGTTAATGGATTGCACGTCAGTAAGATACCTGTTCAAGGTCGATTGCATTTTTTAATTCGCCCTTTGATGACGCCGGACAAATTTTGAGGTGGCAAAAGAAATCGTGTTTCAAATCAAACAAATAAAATTTGACAAAACTTCGTTAGCTTTTTGTCGTTTAATAAAGGAATTATCAAACGAGAAAGAGACGCCTGAACGATTTAATATAGAGGAGAAGATGTCAAAAAGGTTTGCTTCCTAATTGTCACATTAACAGAAAAATTCCTTGGCTGCGGTCTGGAAAACCAACGCACTGGGGTCTCTGCTGAATAAGTTAAGGAAGGCTAACAAATACATGCATCAAAACTTCTATTGATTTAAATGTGATGTATGTTAGTCTAGATTGTTTTCCGAGCATTTATCGGTAAAACTAATAACTTTGAAACAAATATATCGTCTTTTGATACGCATATATAATAATAATATATAACTTCAGCAGGAATATGGAGAAAATGAGAGAGGCCGAAGCTGAACAACCGAATGAGTCAAGCGATAAAGAAAATATTCCGAAACTCATTCGAAATTTTCTGGGTTATACCACAGCGCATGGATTTAGTCGCTTGGAAGGTTCGAAAGGAATCTTTTGGAAAATTTTTTGGGCGCTTGTCTGCTTAGGATCTTTTGGGATGTTCGTATACCAGGTCCATGGCCTCTTTGAACAATGGCTTTCCCGTCCAATAGCAACAAATGTTCGTATTACTTTTGAGAAGGTAAGCGATGAGAGATGATCCTTACTGGAACTCTAGGAAGAACAGTTTAGACCTGATAGAGTTATCCAGTATAAATAAAGTTAGTTTACTTTAGGTTTCCTCCTGTAGTAACACTGGATCAATAAGAGATGATCCTTACTGGACCTCTAGGAAGAACAGTTTAGAACTGATAGAGTTATCCAGTATAAATAAAGTTAGTTTAGTTTAGGTTGTAGAAAAGATAGTTTATGGCTGATTGATCTAAAGCCGATATATAGAGTTTAGTTTGTTCAACAATTTTTATAATCATTTTCTAGGAAGTTTCGTTTCCAGCAGTGACGATATGCAATTTAAATATGTTGCGAGCAAACAAAATCCCAAAAGAGCTAAAAAAAGAGATGTTAAAGTTGATTGGCGTGTACAACGAATCCTCTGACACAAGTAAGTGTTTAGTTGATTTTTTGTTGAGCGAATCGTAAGCAAGGGAAATGGTTTGTTAGGAAGCATTGCTAAGATGGACGAAGGTCAATAATCTGAATATCTGGTGAAGCACAAGAAACCAACCACACCTTGCATATCTGACATGAAATAATAGCAGAATGGTCACTAACTCTCGGGTGTGGGTCACCCAAAAAATACTCCACCTCTTACAAACTCACATGCAGATGTAGCTCAATGATACATTCAATGTCTTCCATGTTGTTTCGCTACACCTATTCCACAAGGTAATCTTTATTGTGGCTATTTAATAGATAGCACCAAAGCTCGACGACGTCGTTCCATCTCAAGTCCTAAACCAATTGGCTCAACGCTAACCACGACTCCATATAAAACATTTCACAAAACAGAGAATACAGATGGTTATTTACGGCGGCGAACCACCTCAAGATCTGGAACAACACAGAATGTTCGGACGCAGACGAGTCATCGCAGGACTAAGTACAAACGTGATAACCACAGACGCGCCGACGAAGAATATCTTCCTAGTGCAGAAGAAGTGGATCAAAATGTTTTGTTCTTGGAAAGATTTACAGCCGCTGTGACTAAAGTTCCAACAGACATTCTGATTCCTGCGGGTCACCAGCTCGATGATCTTGTTACAAAATGCACTTGGAGGGGATATGATTGCATGAAATCAAGGTAAGCTAGGTCTATACCTCAGCTACTTCATGCGCCCAGTGAAGAAACAGCATTTTACAACGCTTGTTTTTGAAAACACGGAAGATAAATAAGGATTGAAGTTTCTCTCAGCGAGTTTTTAAAATGAAATCATTTGTAAATGTGCCCATCTTTTTTAACCAAGCAATTATACAGACTGGTGGGTTCAGAACTGGCATTATAAATACGGCAACTGCTACACATTTAATGGAGGAGTGAATCAAAATGGGGAAGCAATGAGGACCTTAAGTACGAGCAAGCCTGGACCTAGTCAAGGTAATTCAAAGCGTTTGTCTTTTTTCTTTGTTGTTAAGCTTGCGGGATCGATGGTCTGACCACAATAGTTTGACTTGAAACATGATTGGCAGAGTGCCTCCAGCTTGATTGACATGTAATTACATTCAAAATAACAGCCATTAGTTCTATAATAGCCCAAGAAATGTCATTGTTTCAAAAAGGTCTGTCATTACGTCTGAATATTCAGCAGGAAGAATATTTGAAATACGTGAGCGATGAAGCAGGCGTGCGGGTCATACTTCACGATCAAGGAATGATGCCATTTCCCTATCTTGAAGGCTTTAGTGTCGGTCCTGGGACAGCAACATCAGTGGGGATACAGAAGGTACGTTGAACGTTCTAAACGTTCTAATCGAACGTTCTAATTGGACGTTCTAATTGCATTATAAAGAATCTCTTCACACATTTGTACACTGTTATACTCTATTGATTATTGTTCATCAGACGGTAATTTCAAGAGTGGATCGTTTCAAAAATCACACATGTTGGGAACTCGATGAACTCGACGAAGAAAACATTTACAGAAAGTTTTACAAGATTACCAAGTACACACAGCAGGTTCGTCGCAGTTAACATATTTACGCAATTTTCATTATTTTACTAGGTTTAATACTTTTCTTTTTAGACATGTCACAATTCGTGCGTTGGTAAAACTCAGCTGAAAGAGTGTGGCTGTGCTGAATATTCTTATCCTTCCAATACCTCAGCATGTGACGTGTATAATGCGACAACACGTAAGAAAATCTTTCATCTTTTAAGTTTTAACAGATCAGCAGTTAAACTCACGTCTTTTTACTAAATTATGCTTCCCTCGGTTCTCAGAGTGAGATAATAAGACTAATTAATCTCTTTTTCAAAGAGCAATGTTTATGGGATATTCAAAAAAGATTTAACCGTGACAAGCTTCCTTGTATGGATGAATGCAGACTTCCTTGTCGGTAGGATTGTGAATTTAGAAAACTATTCTTGTTGTAAATGATAAAACTAAGCACTGGACATGTAAAATAGATTTAGCAGTAAGGAAATGCAGTTAGCTTCATGTTCGTTCTCGTCTTGTGAGTCTAATGTTTATCGCTTAATTTGACTCGTGTATGTAGTGAAGAAGTCATTGAGAAAACAATCAGCATGTCACAGTGGCCTTCCACAGCTTATCAAGCGGTAATTCCTTTCGTAATACATATAACCACGTTTTTACCTTTAGACTTACGAGAAGAAAATGAGTTTTTCGTCGTAAGTATATATTTTCAACTGTAATTTGAACGAGCAATGAGTATTTAACTCACACGTATCATATTCTACCGTTTAGAGAAAGTTATTTACTCCTGAACATTTTTTACAATGCACTCAATTATCAAAGAATCGAAGAAAATTTTGTTTACGACGTGAGTTCTTGTGAAACTCTTCATCTTCATTGACCATAGCAAAGTTGAGTGCTTGACTTCCTTGCAACCAGAGATGAAACTCTTGCATGTCAACCATTATTTCTTCTTTTTAGGAAATCAACTTGTTAGCTGACATCGGTGGTCAGTTGGGTCTGTGGATTGGAGTTTCAGTAATTACTGTTTTTGAACTTATTGAATTGTTTGCATTGATCTTGACTCGGCTGTGCAGGCGAAAAAAAGCAATGATCAGGTGAATAGCTTTGCTTGACAGTCGCTGAAGATTCCAAGATTTTATACTCACGACAAAGACAAACAAGTAATGTTCATATTTTAATTATCACTCCATTTAACTTAAATATTATTGAAAGTCGTGGACTGTCACAACCTCGTACAAGGAGATGGGACAGTCAAACATGTAAAGCACAAGGAGCACAGATCCTACACATGTTCGAGAGAGCTCATAACTTAACCCGCGGTGATAGTTGCAACTTTTAAAGCAAAATATCAAGAGAATCATCCTTGATAAGGTCAATTGGACCTGCTACATTCTCGTCAAAATTACATGCAAACAATAGCAAGACACCAATATATTTATACATATATTTACAATTAGATTTGATTATTTATTTATAAATGATTAGAAATACTTTTATTCTCACCCATTATTGGAAGTTTTGATTCATTCAAGCGAGTTTCAGCCAGTGTTAGTATCACACTCGAATTACAAAGGATTTTTAGTTTATTTTCTACACGCGAAAGCTCGATAACTATTGAAATATCTACAAAACTCTCATCGCAGTTCAGTCCTTCTCAGAACTTGCGACTCCCACACTTGATGTCACTACCAGAGCCATAAGGATTCCACCTTACGGGATTTGCTCCGAGGTAATATGCACGGGAACATTCGTTATTAATGGCAAAGATAATGGGTCCGCCTATTGGTGGATCAATCTGAAAGTTGACCGGACCACCATTGTAACATCGATGGAGGTTTAAATAGTAGGAATGACCTACAAAAAAAGATGAAAATATTGTTTTCTAGCAATGTTTCTTGAAGACAGGCTCGCATACAGTAATAGACACATACAGTTAGCAACCGCCGCGCTTAGAAAACAAGTTTTGTTCCCACCTTCTCCTGCAAGTTCAGGTATTTTTGCTACGCCGTGATAGTCCGTGGTCAAAAGTCGTATTTTGTCAAGCAACTTTGTCAAATTATACTGGATTCCTGTGACACCAACCTAAGAATAAAACATATTATGGGACATTTTCACCTGCACATTCTCCCCGGCGTTAATTCGACCCTGCATATGGTCCCGAACCATTTATTCTAGATTAACCATTCTGTTGATAAGAAATTTCTGTTTACCTTTGAGCTCGTTTTTGAGGATACGTATTTAAATTTGGCGTACGATTGAAGGGAACCCTCAAAGCAACTTGCATTGCCATGCTTCGAACACGAGATATTTTTTGCTGAAACGTATCTGTGCCAACCAACTCCCTCAGTAAAGTAATACGCGTCACCACAAACTTCATCAACAGCGAAGACAAGTGGTCCTCTAATGATTGGTTTTTTATCGAGCTGAGTTCCCCCACCAATGCGACATCGTGGTATATTGTAATAGTAATGGACTTCTATAAAAAGTTCCGATCAGTTTGAGCTGTGTTTTAACAATTCAAATCTCTCTTCAAGGGTTATTAAAGCGAGAAAATATCTTACTAGGTGTAGAAGCCATCGTCTCGTTGAGTTTTGTTAACCTGGATCCGAGTTTTGTCTTTTTGACAATGGTTTCAAATGAGAATTCCACACCACTCGCACGGTAGAGCTAAATAAAAACAAGCAAATCGCTTTATTGGAATATTCATTTACCTCAGCTTCAATTTTAGGCATGGATTAATTGGTAAGCCTTCATTATTCCTCTTCAAATTGGTCTAGATCATGATAATACTGATAAAGCTGAAGATGTTCCCCTGGTCGATGTTAATACTGATGATTTTCAGTCATAACTAACCTTGGTGGCTCCAAACGGCAGATAAATAAATGAAGAGTTTGAACCCTCAATCGACCCATCCAAACAATCTGACTCAGTGACTTCTTTCTTATCTTCTTCACGAGCAGAACACTTTAGGTTTCTTGCCGACCTATATTCTTTCCATCCACTGAGGAAGTAATACGCCTTGGTGCATTGTTCATCAATGGCAAAAACCAAAGGTCCCCGAATAAACGGTTTCTTATCAACCTGGACTCCGCCACCAATTTTACACCTGGCAACATTGTAGTAATAACGCACCCCTTGAAGCTTGGTCACTTCTTTTTCAATCCCTGGTTTCTTTTTGATAACTTCAAATTTGAATTCCATTCCATGGGTTGTGTACGGCTATATTGAAAGAGAAATCAGGATTCAAACACAGCAAGTGATTCTTATTGGACCTCTAGGAAGAAGAGCTTTGAACTGATAAAGAGATATCCAACGGTTTAAACGGCATTTTGTTCAGGGTATGATCTCCAAATACGAAGAGATGTATAAGAGATTGTTCTTATTCAACCACTAAAACCATGCTAGGATCAACTGATGCAGTTAGCCGGTACTTAAATCTAAGTTATTTAACTTAATAAGTTGTAAAAAGGCAATTAACCTGTTTAGAATTATATGGTTGAAAAGTAAACGTCGCTTCAGAGGACTTGATTGAGCCTGATGTACAATCCAAAATGGTCTTATCAGTTGTTTCCCTTCCTTCATCTTCCCTGGATGACTTCCCACTCTTTGGGGACGAAAGCTTTGTTTTTGTCGACGATTTTTCTTCATGTACTTCTTTGTAGATGATAAAACAAGCAATGATGATAACCGCAAGAGTTATAATAATTTTCCAGCATAAATCTGAACAAAAGAGAAAGGTTTAGCAAAAAAATCACACCTTTTAAACCGTTGATATAAAGCGGCAGAATGTTTGTTCATAATAAGTCAAGAGAAGTAATACCAACTTACCAGCTGAGAATCTTTTCTTGAATTTTCTCGTTAACAGCGTGTTTGTAGAGTCCGCCTTAGGAAAAGTTGCCATTTCAGGCATCGATATTTCGTCTGATTGTTTGTTCGCCATTTCTATTCAAATGCTATTAAGAATAGAATTAGAAGGTAATAAATTCAAAACACCCTTCACTTGTTTCACATGTATTTCTGTGCCCTGCAAAGCTGGTTAGTTTTGTTTATATAAACATCAATATACCAATATTAATATTCTAACCATAAATACAAAGAACAAGTGCAGTAATTCAGATTTCAAACATATATGATCACCTGAAAATAGACACTATAGAGATATAATGATTTGGCTGCCATATAAATGGTCCTTTATACTTTCTCATAAGGGAAGCGTTACGTTTTCGCTGATGAGAAAGTGGGAAGGCATTACTGGATTTATTATTGGAGGAAGGGCAATACCCGCGGTTATATAAGTGCGGTATTTCGTGCCGGAAAATGGTAACTATAGCTATGTCGATTAAAACAAAAATATGAATCAAAGAAGCGTTTAAATATACGGCCATCTTATAACAACAATAGATTTATATAATATCAGGATTATCAAGCCTTCGTCAATGACAAAAACGTTGCCAGCAATTCATGTTGTATATTTCTTTGTTGGATTACCAAAGACAGTGGCTACTTCAATATAAACGAATATAATACGATCATCATGTATCGAAAGACTGCACTCAGAGACACGACACGTATCACTACTGTAAAAGTGCTGTGAAGAATTTGCTTCCTCAGAGAAAGTTTACAAGTTGGGTGGATGGATGGGAAGATTAAACATTAAGTGACTGAGTGCATGCATTCAAGATTGTGGCGGGGTCAATTTCTTCCACTGGAAGTCTACAAAGAAATCCTTGAAGGTTACATCTGACTTCACAATTTTCCTCAACTTAAAACTCGTCTTGTTTCAATTCGTGAAAGGATGTAGTGTTTCCATGTGAAAGCCAGCGAACCTATATGACCCCGCGATCGTTATTCATTATTCCGAAGCAAATGTTAGAAACACTGCTGTTGGAACGAGCTAGATCGAGTTAATATTCTACCTCGGAACAAATTTCTACTCAATACAATAATTTCATCAAGACATATTTCAATTTCTCAGCATATAGTCTACACGTTTTTCAAAGTCAATTCCTTGGGCTAGGCCTTTCCCAACATAGCCATATCTTTTTTGGAAGACGTCCAAATTAATTGAGAACAGTAAAAATCTTTTTTTTTAACAACATTAAAAGCGATTTGGGGTTTTATAGCAACTTTAATGCGTTCCATTGTGACTATACCTACGACAATGATCTGATTTACGTCCTCAAACACAGGCGTGTAAAGGCATGTTGATTAATTGCATGATATATTCGGGGGATCAAATTGCAATCTCGAGAAGAGCTGTGAAAAATTACGAACCTTAGAATAAGCTAATAATTTGAATTAAATTGATTAGATATATTTCAAGATTTCATTGTAATGATATATTTAAACGTCTTATATATAGTAAAAGGCATTACAAAGGTGTTATTCCAGGATAAAATCAATGCTATTACCACACGTATTTATACTATGTCTATTATTAACGTACAGTAACTACAATTGTTCGTTCCTTGTAGCTTACTAAGAATTATTCACAGATTGCTTTCTGCAGTCGTCAATGCCTCCAGGTTAGAATTTTAAATTCAATTTCGATATATAGACGGTATCTCATACGCACGTGGAGCAAGATTGTAACTTGCATAGTTATGTGTTGATCGGTAATATAGAATATTGGTTTCTTTCCTGCCTTCAATCAATCTTTGCTGCATCGTTTTTAGATGCAATCCTAAACTAACTGAGTACCACTTTTCAGTCCTGAGCCTCAATCCATATTCTGTCACACCCTTGTTATGCGCATCAGGAATGATTCAGTTGAATTGAGTGCAAATTTTGTGCATTTCGTACGCGATTCAGTGGAGATTTCTCTATCCTGTCTGCAAACTGAACCATGAATTTGTTCTTTCTTTGAAATTAAAAATGATGTTCGCAAAAGCCTTATAACGAAACAGTATTTGATTTCACTGAAATTGAGACATCCATGGGATTTTGAGGTATCCAAAACCTTTATATATGGCTATATGATTGGCTGTATTTAATTATTTGCAAATTACAATGCAATATGACTGCCATACCTTAATGTGTTGCTGGGATCTTTCTTCGACGTTTTTTTCGTCGTTTCTCGTCAGATCTTCTGTCCTTTGAACTGAGAATCTTCTTCTTCAAAGCTGGAGCACTTGGTTTGAACAGTTGGAGTGCAGTGTGTGCCTCTTTCTCAAGCACTGACGTTCGCTTTTATAATGCTTGTTGACCTCCAAGCCCTCGCAGCGTGCAACAAGTTGCTGGAAGCATGAAGGAGCAGCAATCATGAATTATTAAATATTTCTTCAAATATACAAAGAAAACAACAGAGGATGCAACATAAACATGACCGCCCAGAACGAAATTTTGGCGCCATAATTTTTGGCTAGAGTCCTGCACCTCAAGTACTCACATGCAAGTTAGGACCAAAATTAAACAAATTGAGAATAGCAGTTGTTCTAATGTGACATAACACGTAGTACTGTTGCTATTAGCATGATTTTGCTGCATTTTTAATGCATCTGGCTCTTGATCGCATTTCCATTGATGGGTCAGTAGCGAGAAAAAACATTCCTAGAATGCTTTTTAAAATTCTTTCGGTTAACATTTCACGAAATGGCATAGTTACCTTTGCCCTATACCAGTATGCCGTCCGTTGCAGACGCAAATTCTGCCAGTAATATACGTATACATATATATGATTGAGTGACACCAGTAATTAGAACATGACCTTAAGTATACGAGTTGCGACATTATGGTACATATTTCAACACGTCTTTAATGAAAATTTACCAGTGAATTTGTAAAGGAAAAGCTTTTAGAATTCTCTATTCTATTTAGAAAAGACATGCATCGTTTTACCTCTGTGTTTTCTGCGTGGAAACGTGTCGATTGATCAATTAGCCTCTCCTGCTTGTCACCCGGAAAGCAGATATACTTTTTCAAGGCTAAGAATTGTAATATAATTACTTTATAGTAGGTCAATACACCGATAACGCCTGCATAATCCAAAGTATTGCTTTTATGAAGATGAAAGAAACTAATTGTTTGTTAAACCTTGCATCAATGAACTGTATATGAACATGGATTATCACTGGCCTGCGTATTGATTTTGGGATATTTTTATCTTTTTATTTCAGTCGTGAAGTTTTACAGGTTTTACAGCATCATTACATATAATAGCATTCAACTTTTCGTGACATTATTATCATCAAATATGGTATTTCATGTTTGTATGTGATTATAGCCGGAGTTTCCATGTCAAAAGTCTCACGGTTCCGTCCTCAATGACAAAGAACCACTTGTTGTCAACGTCCGCCGTGCATGTGCGGTCGAAACAAAAAAATGTCCGTTTTTACCGCAGACTAATGACGAATTACTGATGTTGTGGTTGAGAAATATGTAATACACAATTGAAAATATGCACTTGAGGTTTTGGTGCTCTCGTATAAGATCTGTGACTTAGGCTCGGTTCTGAAATTAGAATATATTAAACCATGTCCATGAATAAGCCAGACAATCTTCACATGCAGAAACTCAAGCCGTGGACTGACCGCTCTAAACTATCATCCAAGTTTCATAATCCTAATAAGGCGCGATCTCTTTTTGGCTTATTTTGGCATAATGCAACATTTATTAAAACTGAGATTTTTTCTTGTAAAATGCTTCAATAGACCATCTTTATCATATAGGACCGTCTTGATCTCCGACTGTTTCAGTCTAATATTACTTTGTTACTTGCTGTTTTTCGCTTATATCACAAGAGGGAAAGAATGTTTGAATGAATATGCCAGTCACTGAGCTCACAGTGTCTGATCGTACCAGCTGTATCTTCTTGCATAACATTTACATCATTCGACCGATCATCACATCTGTACGAAATACCTTTGCAGTCTTATTGCAGACTATGAACAGCTATATTCGCAGCCACGGTGTCTCCCCATACCTACTCTCCCTCTATCCCACCTCATGCCTCTCTAACCACGTGTGAAAGCGCGTTTCAGCAAGTGTAGAGTCACTAGAGTGAAGTTTGGCCAAGGATATCAAATGTTAATTGGATGCCTAAAAATATGCGTTTGTTGCAACAAGCTTCCAGCAAATTCAGTGTTCTTGATTTCAAGTCGGCAAACAGGCATTGATGTGCGATTAGCTATATAGATCTTATATCAACCAGGTGCATATAATAACCTCAGACTCTGAAGCTCAAATTCTGAAAAGAAGATAAATGGACTATTTCAGATCTTAAAACCGAGGCCAGATGACGCATGCATCACTTGAATGCAGATTTTGTTGCATATGATAAGTTCTTAACCTTTGCGTTACTTGTTCAATATGGACCAATATGAGATCATAAATTGTCACGTCTTATGTCGACTAATTGAAGACAAAGTGTCAAGGTAATGCGATCATGTACTTCGGACCCAACGCTATCGACAATGGAGGACCATGCCAATGATGAAACTGCATCATTGCAATGGAATGCAGATTAAATTTTCTCCAAAACGGTATGGTTCCTCGTGCCTGAAATGAAAGATGTGGCGGTTTTATTATAGGATATTATACGTCTTGGACTCCACGTTTCTGAGAATTCATGAAAAAGATATCCCAAATTTCGTAGTTCATTGTGGGGTAGAATGCTCAATGCTACTCTGGAATATTATGTTAGAGATAAATGAGGGATATTAGAGATAAAATGTCGCACAAATAATCTTGAGGATTTTAGCGCTAATCATCTTATAGATAACTCCCGCTTAGCCAATATCTAGTTACAAGACATAGTTATCGCCTGAAGGCTAGACTTCACTATATTATTATACTTAGTAATTGAAAGGGAAACTCCAAACACCCATGTCAGGAGATCTTTACTCTTTGTTGAAGTAGCTTTAGAGTTACTTGGCTGTGACACAGGAGGAGGGATAGTTTACTTTGTATTTTGATATTGGGATATAAATAGAACACTGCGGTATGGAAGCCTATGGTGAGATAATCGTTCATCAACATTGCTATAATCGTAATTAAGTATATCACAAAGAAATTACTCAACTTTCCTGCATGTTTTCATGCGCTTAGTTTTAATTACAGATCTCCACAAGGTACGATTAGTTTACTAATTAAAATGCTTAATTCTTTATCATAACAAAACTTTTCAAACAAAACGCACCATGATTGAAGCCGAATGATAGATGAGAAAACTCACTGGCATTGACCGTCTATTGAGATTAATTATCAGTTTATCACATAAAGCAAAATTGAAAAATATCCGCCATTTCTTTTCATCATTCTGTTTTTTCTGTATGACCGTTGATTGATCATTGTGGCTCAGCGGGCGACCCGAAGCACTTTTTAGCAAAAGGTTCGATATTTTCATCGTTCAGTGTTATTTGGAGATTTAGAGGTGCATTTTCATGTACCCTTTTAGTAACAGTGGTGAGTGGTGGAGAACACGGAAGACCTCTTTATATACCTTCATTTCTGAAGTTCATTTATTTCATCTTACGAGCTCACCTTGAAAAGCAGTGCACGTCTGACCTACCACTTGTAGTTTGCAGGTTTCAACATGTACAAAATACTCTGATTACCTTGAGTGAACTTATTCATCAACCACTGGACAATAAAAAAGCTATAATTATAAGTCTTGCAATGCAATAATATTTGCTTTTAACTACGTGATGAGAGATGCATTTTCAGAGCAGCTTTTTCAGATAACCACTGTAATGTCGTAACAATCTTCTTGACCGGGTTCATAGTTGTGGGACTTTGATAAAGTGAGAAGACAAGCCTCCAAACGCCTTACAACCTGATGTTCTTGGTGATAAAAAATGATAAAGAATCTGTGCGTTTCTCCTGGAACTAAACTGCATTCACTTCTAAAGTTTTACCATCCCAAGGATTCGCATCTTGATAAAACCGGAAAATATGCTAATCGGGTTTAGCCATTTTTTCCGGTGGTGCTCAAATAGAGACCACCAAAGTTAGGTAATTGCCTATGTAACCCAGTTCATCCACATGTTTTTGACATGTGTCAGTAATTGAACTATCTCATGTTTCATGATATATATTCAGATAAAAAGATAGTATTTTTATAAGTATAAAGTTAGTATTGAAACTGATAATCTCAGCAATAATACGTAAAGCGGAAATCCGTAAAATTTGAACTATGGATAAAACTACAGTTTTGTTTTTCTTATATTAAATCACGCGACCTCTGACACGTACTATAGAAAATATAAACCCTGGCTTGCTGGAATTTACTTTCCTAGTAATAAAAAACTCGTCTCTTCCGTTATTACTGTGATCAATAGTTATTTTAAGGACGGATGAACAGGATTTTATGTTTCGCCCAAAATGAATTTGCATTTTCATATACACCCTGATACGTGCGTGATTTGATGCCCAAGCTAAATGATACACTATTTGGTCATATTTATTTTTTAACGATTTCTTTTTACAAGATATACCAGTGCACAACTCAGGTACTATATTATATTCGCTTTAAACCTCAGCATTTATTACCATGGTCTCAATGTGTTGTTTATTCATCGCGCATCAGATATTGACGGTAATGACGTCAGTGCTGACGCGCTTGCATTCTGATTGGTCAGGCGGTTGTAACAGGAACAATATTCCACAAGTCCAATATTTGCCACTTGAGCTTTTTTGAGTAGAATTTACGAAGTTTTATCTTTGGTATTTGGTGTTTCTTATGCTATCACTCAACGATTTTATATATATTATATCATCTTGAGTGATACCCTTGGCCGAAGTTCGCTTTCAGGCATTTCATTTAAAGGTATTTCACACGTTTGTTATTGTGTCTACATCATCCTACTTAGCGTGTATTTGACTGCAGTGCGTATAAAGAACAATCGTCATCGAATACGGTTTAATGGACGTTATTAAACGGGTGACTTTCAGGACATTTGAACTGTTTTTTAAGATCTATTATTGTTGATACGATCAAACGAGGACGTTTGAGAGTTCTGGGCATACGAGAAGCCATCAACGTGAATAGCTCGCTGGCTGAGAGCAAGGGCTACTTAATTACAATAAAAAAAGGTGGCGTACAAGTTCATACTGCATTGTAAGTGATAAACTTGTCGTTATAAACGAAATGGAGGGTTGCTATATTGGGAACGGAGATCGTATGAATTTCAATGGTGTGCCGCAATTTCCAGCTTCTGATCAAACGGTGTGGAATATAGATGAAGGTAAGTGAAATGAATATTGTTATTTGTTTTGTCGGATCATAGATCATGATGACTAGGTTGCGTGACCGAAAGTGATATAATTGTAGCAACATGTTGCAAATTATTATATTGCTTCTAATTAATCAATATGTAGCAATAACGGATACATTTGAAGAAAATATCCAATATGCTTCTATTTCATTTGGTTCAAGTCAACACGTCTGCTTGCTTTTTCAAAATCGAAACAAAACAATTGTGATTTGCGTGTTTCGACTTTTGTGCTTAATTTTGGTTAAATTATTAGTTTTAATTTGTTTGAAAATAATACGGACTATTAACCTTTAATTGTTTGTAAAAATATCTTGCATATTTCAAATCTCAATAATATATTATAGCAAGATGTCTTATTTACATACTTCCCCTTTTCCATTTAGATGCTGTGTTAGATGAGCTGTATGGCATGCTTACTGCGGCAGAAAATAAATCATTTAACACACAACCTATACAAATGCAACAAATGCAAGATCCCAACCTAAAGTCTAACTTAGTAGAGACAAATAAACTTCAACATTTTGATGGATACAAGCCACAATTCCCTTTGACCCCAAACCATGCTGTCTCTATGCCAATTTTACCAACACAAAATCAATCAATTGCATTCAATGAAATCCAAAATACAAATTCTCGCCAGGATTTCTCAGTACCGCAACAACCTTATCAGCCAGTGCCAGGATACACACAGAGCAATAACCTACATAACCAACCACCTTCAAACCTAGCACCTTCGAACCTAGCACCTTCAATCAATATCCCAGCTGTTGAGCCAATTTCCTCCTATGCACCCATCACAGAAGCAACCTTGGTGACGTTCGTAGATTTGAAAACATTCTACGAGAAAGGGCAGTGTCGTCTGCAGGGTAAATCTGAACAACGTCTAGACTATGCTTCGTCATTTGTTAGAATTTATTTAGAAAAACCAGACAATATACAGGTAATGTCAAAGTGTCTCTTCTGCACCATGGCATATTATTAAACCATATTATATGGTACTGTCAAACTCTTGCATCACCATACAATATTGTACTGTACGTGTCAGACAATACCAATAGGATTGTATCATCTTATGTTCCAGGCAAAATCTGTATTTGTGGAGCGTTCACCGGATGCAGCCCACATTCTCAAAGATAATGTTGGACAAGTTACATTGAAAATCTTACCAGACGAAAATGACCATTGGATAAAAGTTAATCTAGATGATGCAGGAAGTGAGGTGTATAAGTTGTCCAAAGTGAAGGGAGAAGAACGAAATCTCTTTAGAATTGGTCTAAAATTATTATTCAAAGATACAAGCAAATCTAAAACCTTCTACAGCGATTCTTTTCAAGTGAAAAGCAAACCAAAGTCAATAGGTTTGAGTGGTTTTTATTTACTTATTTACTTTATCTGCCGACAGCATGCATACCTCTCTGATAATCGGTTTGGACGTATTCTACTGAGTGAAAAACGCCACTGTTTGGTAGACTGTCACCTGTTCAATGAGTACAATACTATTCTCTTTCACCTGTCAGATGGCCTGTGTGATGGGGATGGAGAGAAGCCAATGATAAAAGTTGAACCAGAGCTTAAAAAACGGGCTGTAAAACGTTCAAGAAATGAAGAAGGTAATAGCCTCCTACCACGAAACTGATAGAGAATTTATGACAACTGCAAATTATGTGAGTCGCGCTAATAATGTTTATCTGTCTGCATGAATGTTTTGTAGATACGATGATGTCAAGCCCGCTCAGTATTGGTATGTTTCCATGAAGAAAATTAATATTGTGTATTAAAATGATATCATTATGTGTGGTACAGTAATTCTTCATTAACAATGTTTCAGGTTCTTCAGTTTTTCCCGAAGTGATTACAGATCATCTTGAAGCGGCAACAGCCAACATCAAACAACTTAGGGTCAACCATCCGATACAAACGCCGCGAGGCGATATTGCATATCATTTCAAACTAAAAGGTCATCCTAAAAATCTCAAGTTAGAAGAAGGAGACTTGATTGGATTCTTTGAAAATGCTCATGATGGAAAAAGCGAGATTCGTCGTCTGACTTCAGAGAATGCACGGTATGCTAAGATTGCGGGCGTGATTAGTAGATCAGCCTGGTTGGAGGGAAAAACGCCTGGTGACGATGATAAAGGTGAGACTGAGAGTAAATCCTTTTTGCGATCATTGGGAACAAGAAATAATACAACTAAATCTCTCCAGTGAAGCAAAAAAACTACCCCCACTAAATGTCATCCTTTATCTTATTATGTTAAATGAGTTTTGTGGCTTTCTGAATTTAGAAGTAACAGATGTGGTATGTGTCATCGGAGTTGTGAAAGTCAAAGTGCGTGGACCCGTCGAAAATGGCGAACGTATCTATGCGTCGCTGTCGTCATACCCAGGCGTTGCTATGCCCGAACATGTGATCACCCAAGTGACGTCAGAAGATCTGACCTTGATTGGCCAATCATTGGATTCCGTCAAGGATGATTCTCTGGATAACATTAACCTCGTGTCGTGTTTTGTTTCCATATTATTGAGCATTCAAACGCAACATACTAACAAGGTGCTCAGTGACATGCGCACTGATATGCTGGAAAATGTTGACAGTAAAATTTCCAGAGCAAAGAGAAGTTTGTTACGAGGTGAGTGAAACACATTGTAATAGACCCCTTGGGACGAGAGTGCCTCAGTGAACTGTTCTAAACTGTTCTTCCTAGAGGTCCAGTAAGGATCATCTCTTATTGACCCAGTGTTACTACAGGAGGAAACCTAAACTAAATTAACTTTATTTATGCTGGATAGCTCTATCAGTTCTAAACTGTTCTTCCGAGAGGTCCAGTAAGGCTCATCTCTTATTGATCCAGTGTCACTACAGGAGGAAACCTAAACTAAACTAACTTTATTTCTACTGGATAGCTCTATCAGTTCTAAACTGTTCTTCCTAGAGGTCCAGTAAGGATCATCTCTAATTGATCCAGTAATTAGTGTCATGGTCATTGCACGCAAATTGCAATCAGACAATTGCAAAAGTGAAATAAGATGAAAACACATTCCTCCAATGTTTTCTAAACGTTTGAATGCCTGTTGTGCAGGTTTACGATGGAAATTGTTTGCGTTGGCGATATTCTTGGCTCTACTTGGTGTGCTACTATATCAAGTATTGGCACCATTAACAGCGTTTCGATATTGGCAATGTTCATTGGGCTCAATTTCTGATTCAACATCTTCATTCTCATTTATCACAACGAACTATCAGGTATATCACTGACCTGCACATATCTGGATATTAGTTCATTTATTGCACTAACATACGATGAACTAATAATATACAAATATAGCATTATTGTTGACCTATTATACTTATAGATCCCGAAAGTGAATGGAATTGAATTTCATTTTGATGATCTCATGGACAAGTTAGACGCGAATTATAAAAGAAAAGAAAACGATTCAATTATAGGTAATTGTTTGTAAACGAATTGAAAATCTGAGGCTTTTCTTCATTCTAGATAATCATTTTCATATATTACCTTAGGACACCGCTATTATTTAAATATTGACCGCTGTGCAGCAGGAGGTGTCAAACACGGTGTTCGTGGGCCCGAATTTTATGTGCTTAATAAAGAGTGCGATACTGCGTACTATTATTTTGACATTGGTCATGATAGTCGTTACCGTCGATATGTATCTGGCAGAAATTTTCTATGTTCATTTAACGATGGTTGCTCCAATTGCGATAATGAAAAAGCGTAAGTGAAACACCCATCAATTTAAAATGATTCACAATAACTCGTCTTTATTGTAAATTGTTACATTATCTTTCCCCTAGTTCCCCTAGTAGGAACCAAACCGCGCTTGACATAAATGAAAAAACCTAAGTAAAAAAACATAAATTTAAAATAATTCACAATAAAATAATCTCACCTCACGTCTGAGACACTACGAAACACTTCAGCTTCATCCAGCATTTACAGTGTATGTGTGTAGCCTTACCGTAAATTGTTACATAATTATTATTTATCTCCCCTAGTACAGCATGACTCTCTCTATGACCCAACCAATGGCAATTTTTGTCATAAATGACTCAGCAATGTTTATGATTAAATATTTTATTTAGACTGACATGTACACACTATAAATTTATGGTAAAAAAAGCGATATACCATACGGGAAGTCAGCTGCAAGATCAAATTCAGACGCAAAACCAGACGCAAAATCAGACTCAAAATCAAGTTCTGAATAAGACGCGAAATCAAGTACAAAATAAAAATAAAAAGCAGAATCAAAAACAGAGCAAAGAGGCTAGCTGTCTCAAAGGTTTCACGGAGAAACGAGGGTGCGCCAGCTTTAAATATGTTGCGACATCGACAAAGAAGGAGGTTTCCGTTTATGGCGTCGAAGTAACCATCGAAGAATTAGGAAAGAAATTTGGTAAAACGTTCGAAAAACTTAAACGCGGAGCCATGAAAGGTAAATCCTTATTGATCCAGTGTTATTACAGGAGGAAACCTAAATTAAACTAACCTTATTTACACTGGATAGCTTTATCAGTTCTAAACTGTTCTTCCTAGAGATCCAGTAAGGATCATCTCTTATTGATCCAGTGTTACTACAGGAGGAAACCTAAACTAAACTACCTTATTTACACTGGGTAGCTCTGTCAGTTCTAAACTGTTCTTCCTAGAGGTCCAGTAGGGATCATCTCTTATTAATCCAGTGTTACTACAGGAGGAAACCTAAACTAAACTACCTTATTTACACTGGATAGCTCTGTCAGTTCTAAACTGTTCTTCCTAGAGGTCCAGTAAGGATCATCTCTTATTGATCCAGTGTTACTACAGCAGGAAACCTAAACTTAAACAGTTAAACTTACTTTTTTAAACTGAATGCACTTGTGAAGAACGCTGTTAATTAATTGTGCTTTCTACTGCCTAAATCATTGTCTGAACGTCGTATGTTATTATTTTTCAGTTCGTTATTACTTTAACCTTCGACGGTGTGTGGAGAAAGTTACTAGCGCTGGCCCAACATGTTTCGCTGTCGTTCAGACGTGTGACGAAGCATTTTATTATCATCGCGAAAAATGGAATAAATATAACACGGGTAAAGAGGTCAGTTGCTCGCCGGATTTCTAATTCGTCTTAATTAACGATGTCATTTTGCATCAGCCACAGTGGTATTTCAGTCAAACTATCATCGGAATTAGCGAGGCACTCAGCAAGACTGTTGGCCTGTGTGGACGTTGGTCAAGTCAGTGGTCGTTGGCCATTTTCTTGTTCTTAATAACCATGGGTACGAGGTTTAAAATGTTCCTGTTGAACTAGGCTTAAAAAAGGCAACTTGAAGGCACTTGCAACCATGCACAACAGATCCAAAAAAGGCACTTGCAACCATGCACAACAGATCTTGATGAGATTTTCCGCTCACAGCAATGGCTTTAAAAAAAGTTTTTATTTCTTTCTTATCCCAAGCCACCTCAAATGACCACTATCAGCTGATGATCAGACATCAGAGATACTCACTTAAATCATTCCAACAGTATCACATATACTGTATTGTACATTTCTCATTCAAATGTAACTATAGTCTATAACAGTTTTAAAGAATTCCATTTGTAAATAACATCGATTTTTAGATATTACAGAAAACTTCATGTTCATTCCATTGTTTTGCTATCATATTGCTTTGAACCTAGTGCTAAAGACCTATTAACAGTGGTACATATTTGTGGTATAGCAAACACAACCTGTTTTGACATTTTTCAAATTCTCTCATTCAAAGTCTCCGAAGGACTTGCAAAAGAGACTGGTTGAAGTTATCAAGTGAGCACCACAGGGGTATTTGGCGGTTGTTGGAAACTTAGAATATATTCGTGAATAAAATAGTTATCTTAAGTATCAAGGCATTAGACCACCTCAATTACAGTCGAAAGAAAATTAAGAGAAGATCTTTTTCTAAGTCGCTTTCTCATACATGCTCAAAACCTCAGTTATATCTTCATGCAACAGCACTAAAATTTTCAGCATTAAAAATGTTTTGCAAACTTGGAAAGCATCCACAAAGTATGTTTAGTGTATAATCTTAAAATATTGTGAAAGTGAAAAGATTTCTCAGGATACGCCGAGAAGAAAATGACACTTGAATCGAAGCTCCTTTTGTATTCATTTCAGTTATAATGGCGTTACATAATAACATTGTTGATAGCCGCATTATATTTTGTAATAACTCCTTTGTTTGGTGTTTTGCATTCACCAAATACAGTTCAAAACTTAGTTCACAACATAAATCTAAAGAATAAAGGTAAATATAAATTAATTTTGAGAGGTACGCCGAAAAGATTTTAGGTTTTGAGCGTTTTGCCGCCAAAAAATGGTCATGAAAGTGACGTCATGTCACTCATTTTGATGGACGCACGTGCACTTTGAAGACGAGGTTGAAGGATGAAGGTTCCTTGTGCTCCCCCTACAGAAACTCTAAATTTAGCTCTAATGTGAAATTGTAAGGAGCATGGCTTCATTGTTATGATGGCGTCTAAACGCAAGAGACCCAATGATGAACAAACAGAACAATCAACCAAAATAAACTCCAGCGAAAAGAAAATTCCTTCAGGGTCGATTGTAGAATGCTCTAGTAAAGAAGAACAACAGAAAAGAAGGATTCTACACTGCCCAAAGTGTGACAACCTTGTGTTTCATGATGAGATTAACACACATTTGGATAATGGTTGCATTTCTCTTGAACCAAATCAGGAGTCAGAGCATAGTTCAGAGGGACAAATTGAAAGTTTGACTGGCATAGAAGGAGGTAAAGGTGTGACAGAAGGTACGAGAATGGGGAACACATAGAATTTTACAATTCTAGTTAGCATACGGCTTAGAGACATATACTAACCGCGAGTATTTACTGAAAATCAACCAAATATTATGACTGCTAGTACCTGCATTGCTTTAAAACGAGGATATAAATGTACAATCGTTATATTCATTGTAATATCTTTATATTCATTTCCAGATTGTGCACATAAAGATGTTGAAATAACCCCAGACAATGATGAAGTGAAGTCAGATCAGAATGTTGTTACTACTGGAAACGTGTACAGTAAAGCACATATAAAAGCAGTTAATGCGAACAACCAAGTGCCAAAGCATGAACTCTATTATCTTAATAATTTTCTATTTCCGAAGCAGTGTCGCAAGAGGATAACAAACGTCTTTAAATGGAAGTGAAATTTGGCTGTAAAATGTTTCTATGATCTAAGTGACAAAGCAAAGAAGCTGTATGTGCGTCTATATCATAGAAAGCATACGTGGTTCCGAGAAAATAGCATCAAATATCCGAAAATAAGTGAGAACTCAGTCATCTTCGAAGAATTAAAAGATCTGGTAAATCTCCTCACTATAGTTAATATCTTCTGATTTTAAGGTGAAATCTTACATAAACAAAAAGTAAAATTTGTTTATAATAAATTGTAGGTTTCTACAAACACAAGCCCAGCTTGATGATGGAAGAAAGCTCATCTGCTCCCGCAAAAAATGTCCAAAGGTTAGCAAAATCACAGCACATTACCATCAAAGGAAAAAACAAGAAAAAACTCATGGAAACATTATTACGACGATCAAAAACACAATGTTCTTTGTTCTCTAACAATGGGAATAGAATACAAAAGGAACTTGTCATAAGGTTAGTAAATTGTTCCATGTTACTAGTATCAGATGGTGTGTTAAACTTCAGTTGAATATGATCATATATCATGGTTCTTGTGGCTGTTCTTTAAATATTTATTTTCATTACTTGCAGAGCAAAGTCATTACTAGGTTCATGTGTGAAACTTGATGCTACTATAAGAAATCTCTTCTCAAGAATTGTTCTCCTTTTTACTTTGAACCAGCTAAAGGATGATGACTACAGCTATGGAACAAATCTGTAAGTTTCTTATGGTTGGCAGTGTGCAATGCTCTAGTATTTAAGTTCTTCTATCTTCATTTCTATTGAATTTGGGCAATTATGCAAAAGAGTCCATATGAGAATTTATGCTCAAACTATTCATGATATATCCCTAAGGGTCTTAATTTCGAGTGGAATTATACACACTTCAAATTCAAGCCAGGAACAGTTGAAGGAAATATGAGTTAAATATAGGTCCTCCGGCAGGAATCGAACCAACGCTTTTGTGATGCCTGCATGTGCAATATTGCTCTTGCCACTGAGCTACAGAGGTAGCTGACAAGAGCAAGCATGCTTAAATACTTAATGTGTAGGATGGAATCGATTAGGGTAAATTATGAAGTGAGGTGAAGTGCCGAAAATCATTATTCATAAAATAGACTTTTTGTGTATGATGCATAAGCATCTAAAAACCTCAAAGTTTAGATTACGAACCTGTTGGGAATCAATTATATACCTTGGACCTCTAGTGTTTACTATAGTCCAATGCTCAAATGAGACAAAAGCATTAATTGGACTTGCAAACCAAAAGCCATATAGATATGATCGATTCCCATGTGGTCTGGAAGCTAATTGTTCAGCTGCATGCATGGTACGTATACCACTCCACCATCACAGCATTGTTTTGAACTGTTTTCAGGGCAGTTCTATTCTTAAATAACATTGGAAAAGTTTCATTTCCTGATTATGAGGTGTCCAGATCACTAGCCATATTCCCAGATAGGGAAGCTCTGGTAAGTTATGATTTGGCTCATCAAGATGTTTGTGAAATGGGGATCTTCCTTGGAAGTAAAAACTCTGATGTGGCTGAGAAAATCTTTGTGAAAGTTCATCCGAGATTTTCAGAAATGCTGGAGAAGTTGGTGGTACAAGAGGATCCCCAAATTGTTCATGTAAGCTAGATATAATTAAAAAGAAATACTTCACCGGACCTGAGAGATATATGTGTTTTTAATCTCATGGAAGTTGAGGCAAGAAATGCCATAAGCTTTATCATTTCTCATCAAAACATAGGTGCTGAAACTGCCTGTTCATTTGCGGTGTTTCTCAGAATCCTGGCTGCTTACAAAGATGTGTTCTCTCGGTGTAGATTTACTGCAGAGAAATAGGGAGTATTGCGCGGCTGTGGAACTTCTACGACAATTACTGAGCCAGACAGAGTTTTGTCCAAACAACCGTGGTTGGTGGTGGGAAAGATTAGCCTTGAATCTTGATCAACATCTGAAGAAACCCTCAGAAGTAATGACCTTCGAAGCCTTCTTGTTCTGACTATTCATTTCTATAACTCTTTCAATTTTTATTGGTTTGCTTTTCATATAGAGTTAAATTGAATGGTATCCCCTTTAGAATATGTGAAAACAATCACTTTAATTCATTTTAATTTATTTCACGAAGGCTTTGGATGCAGTTCGTAACGGACTGGCCGACACTAGAGTAAACACTGGGCGTAGACTTGCTCTGGAACAAAGGGCCAGGAGGATTTGTGAAATGAAAAGAAATTCAAGTCTCAAAAGATATTTGAACGAAATCAAGTTTACTGAATTGAGACAGCCTAAAGTCGTGAGTGAATATATAATTGTTTATCAACAACGGAAGTCAGTTACCCTCCTTTGACTAGATTCAAGCATTCTTTCATTTCTTAAGCAAGCTCATGCATACTATTGTAGTTGTTGCAACAACCAGCTTGCCTATATAACCTTTTTCTTCCTCAGGTAACAATATCTGGTAAACGGCTGGAAAATGAACCAACGTTTATGTTCAAAGATGTGAATGCGGATGGATTTGTTGACAGTGTTAGTTTTGGCAGGGTGGAGGAATTGGCATTAGATTACTACAAACGGCAGGGATATAATCGCGGAATTCATGGAGAAAGTTTTACCTACAGAAATATCTATTCATGTTTAATGTGGGACATAATTTTTGGGTGTCATGTCGAGGCAGATGTTTTTAGAACCCCTTTTCAGGTATTTGATCTTCAGTTCTCTTCAGAGTATTTTTACACTTTGGCTTATCCGCGGTTTATGCTAAACGCCTTTCGAACTACACCTGGGTCAGTGGGTCTATCAGTAATCCAGTGTCTTATTGATACAGTGAAATGTATCTTCCATCCAATATATCTTCTTTTTCCCACAGTCTGCACCACTTGATATATACTGCGAGAATTTTTATTCCAACCGAAAGGAAATTATTGACAAACGTCTTGATGAAATTCGATCTTCGTCTGCGGAGGTAAGCCTACGCTATATGCCTTTATTCTTACATATCATGCTCCTTTCTTGGTTTGCCTCAAATTAGGACCTTGTTAGGTCATCGTTTCTAGGGAAAACGTTTTTTTACATACAGAGAAACTTGCGGTTTGATCATAAATGTTTTTAACACCGCTTGTGGTAACAAATCTCCATATCTTCAGCAACTCGCAGAGGAAATTAAATCTACATGGCTTGAACAAGAAGGAAAGATATGTGTTGGGGTGAGATGGGATTTATTTACTGGCGTTACGCAAGTTATGGTAAATACATGTAATTGTAAAACTATTCATTTCATTAATCCTGCAGGGCCGACCAGTTGTTCAAAGCTAGGTTAGCGCTAACCTAGGTTAAGCTAACCGGCTTTTGAACAACGTACTGGCCCCAGTTGTCATAGCTTGTCAACGCTGAATCTTTCTATCCGTAGGAGGTAACTCAGTGCCTGGGCGGTGAAATACTTGCTGGTATTTGTGAGAGGTTCGCTAGAAATTATCATCACACTCGTTCTGGTATGCCTGATCTTTTTGTCTGGAACTCTCGAACTCTCAAATATAAGGTGAGAAAACACTGAGACAGTGAATGATTCTTACAAGAGTTTGTAACACTGAATTCCTCGAGCAACTTCTTTTAGATTGTTGAGGTGAAAGGTCCGAATGACAAACTCTCAACAAAACAAGAAGTTTGGCTGGACGTCCTTCAATCATTGGGTTGTGAAACTGAGGTTCTTTGTGTCAAAGGTGAGCTTTACAACAGGTTTTTTTTTGACGAAACATGACGATTTACTGTTCAAACAAGAAACTGGACTCATTTGCATCATTTTGTTTTCAGCCGTAGGTGGGAGACGGTTATTAAAAAGTGTGCAAAAAGTCTAGCTGATGATTACCCTTGGAAGTTGAAAATGAATTGTAAATAATTGATATTTTGTTCACGAAAAAGGGAATTAACTGTATAGACACTCAAAACTCGAAGAAACCTGTATGATGGTAAATGGTGATGAATCTATTAGTTTAAGAACTGATAATTACAAGATAATTTGTTAGTTTTCGTTGAATTAGAACCGTTGAATTATTGAGCAACGGCAATGATCTGGCATGTGATGTGATTTGTCAAAATTTCATGTATGTAAACGATGTCATTTTCTACCCACATGCATTGTCTGTCAATTTTGTCTGTCATGCCCAAGCGAAGCCCAGGTCACCTGCTTTACCTGGAGTGCGTTCTCCATAAAAGGAAAGACGGAAGTAAAAAATAACATCTCGATCCCTGTCGCTACAAACTTTTTAATAATATATCGAAAATTGCGCACCTTCGCAGCAATATTTCGACGACGTCTTTCGAAATACTAATATACAATTTCGTATTAGGGCTTAATGTTTTGTCGGTAAAAGCTTTGTAAAAGCCTTGCTTGCAATATGAAAATATGAGAAGCGTTAAACGATAGACGAAGATGAATAAGCGGCCGAATGCGAAAGGTGTCGAAGAATGGTCAAAAGCTGGATCATTTGTAAGAAAACCTGAGAAAGGTTGGCTTCACTCTGCTCAGGCTATTAAAGATGGTGGCGTTTGTTATGCTCTCAAGGTAATATAAAAACTCATTTTCAGCTTCTGTGCCTTTCAAATGAGCATCTTTTAGTATTATCCGTCCGTGAAATAAAACCCAGACAGTGAATCTGCAACAGAGGAAATTCGAAGATCATTCATCATAAAAGCGTTCAAGAATAATATTGTTTGATGTGCTTTAATTGTACCTTTTTACATAATGTTAAATTTGCTTATTTAACTGAAATGAAATCGGTTAAATAAATGCCTTTATGTGCAGTTCTTATACAATATAAATAAAAGGCCGAATTCTTTTGAACAATTGCACTGTGTCAGCTAGATCGTCTGTTTCCCCACAGTTTTTAGCAAAAAATGGCATCTAAGTTCTGAATTAAAAATATAGAATTTAGGATACAACTCAAAAGGGTTTGTGGTTTTTCATGATGAGGTCAAGGTGTTTATGTCAGTGGTTTCTTGTGGTTTAGTATTTCTATTAAAATTTGTATGATCAATGTGATGTCATGTTGTGTTTTTAATACCTTATTCGTTATATTATTTAATTGACTTTTATAATCACTCAACATTTTCTGTTCTTTTCTAGTACCTTGGCTGTATTGAAGTTCTTAAATCTATGAGGACATTACAGTATGATGTACGACAGCAAGTTACAAAGTATGAACTGTTAATTTATTGAACTTGATTTGGTCTTTTCTTCCATGAAAAAAATCGGCATTTAAACTTTGCCTTCCACATATGGTGAAACTAATATCAATGTTGGCTGTTGTTATTTTTTTCATCAAATATATGTCCTTTTTTAATATCCTTTTCAGCAAAATTCCTAGACCCCACACAATGCTTACCAACTCCTAAGAAAGAACAAATCTAATTTTGTACATCTTAATGACCTATCAATGAAACAAAGGAATTAACTAAGTCTTTAAATGAGTAGAATATTTGTTAGTTTGTTCATGGTTTGTTGCAATGAATATTGGTTTTTTAAAGATCATGACAATGTTGTTCTTGTTTCCATGTCAACAATAAGATATTGTTCCTCCTGTTGCTTTCAGTCTTGAAGAGATCTAGGAAAAGTGACTCCATGTTTTATCGATTGACCAATATTCCTTTATAAGGTTCATTGTTAGGAGAGGTGCACACATCTTAACTATATCTTACTAACCCTCTGTAATTTAATTTCTACACAATGTTCATATAATTTAACTCTGAAATTTTAACTGTTTTACTAGGTTTAATAGCATTTTCATATTTCTTTTAATTCAGAGAGGCAATGTATAGATGCTGTGAGCGAATGGCTATAAATTAGTAAAAGGAAGAAAGCGAAGAGCAACATTCTGAAGCTCTTGGCAGGTTAGTGATGTGCATACATCCTGTTTTAGAGTGTATTTCTGAAATTCTTACAATTTAAGATGTGTTTCCAGATCATCCACGCACCGTACACAGTGGTACCTTCATCAGTCTGACAGTATCTGTGTCTGGTATTGTGCTCACAGAAATGTCCAGTGGTGAGATGATATCGAAACATGATATGCAAGGAATATCTTTTGCTAGTGGAGGTGAAAAGGTATACATAGGGTGTAGTATATTCTGAAATGTCATTAGCTTAGACTTTGGGAGAAAGGTTGTCCTCTTTATACTATTGGTTTGTTCTCATTTGATGCCAGCCATCCTTTCCCCTTTCTTACCTTTATACTAGTACTTGCATAGTCTTCCACTCTCTATCTATACGTTTCTTAGGATTGTCCAGATATTGTTGGATATGTTGCCAAAGACGCTAAAAATAAAAGAGGTAAAATGACTCTTTAAGACTTTAACAACCAACATATACAATAAAGTTTTTTAACCTCAACTTTTTTTTTCTTTTTTTTAGCTTGTCATGTCCTGGACTGCCCTCAAAATCTCTCATATGATGTCATCAACACAATCGGCCAAGCATTTGAATTGCGTTATAAAATGTTTCTGGATGATCCACCACAGTTGCTGCCTGTACCAAGAAGGTTAACTTTTTTTTGTCAACACACCTTCCTACACGCTCTTACACGCTCTTACAGTTTTAAGTTTAAAGCCTAGTTTCTGTGCTAAAGACTTTAATCTGCTTTCTTGTATCAGTGTCTCAAAGTTTAAAATGTGGCAATATGGTGGCTTGTTTAATGTCCTTGAGGCTACAACTTAAACTTTCTACAAATTGCTTTGTCGTTTTAGGTTTGAAGGTTCAATTTTTGGTGGTGAAGAACAGCCATCATCTCAAAGAGTAGAATCACGTCGTGAACAGGCTTATGAACAGCCACACGAGGAGGTAGTTATGGGGAAAGTATTTCCATTCTAACATCTAAGCATTTAACATAAACTTAAGGAATAATTTCCAGGCATTAACCAGGTTATTGAGCATTTTATGGTATTTTATTTCAGCCAGACGAGTTTGCAGATGGTTATGAAGATGAATTTGATGACGAACATGAGTATGATACTCCAACTGATGGATGCCAGCCAACTCCCACTCATCAAAACTCAAGTCATTACCAAAAGCCCAGATCACCTCCCTGTGAAATGTCCAAATATGACACGCCTCATAGTACAATTGAGAGTCATGCAGGGGGGAAAGAACCATCCCCTACTTCTATGGAGTTTGCAGTTGGCACGCAGTTTGATGCAGTTATGGGACCTTTGGTTAATATTCCATCCTATAATAATCCACTTGCGGCCGCAATGACAGTTGAAGATCTACCCTCATTTTATGACACCCCAGCAGAGCCAGGTAAGGGTGATTTTCTTCTGAATACATATTGATACAAATGGTGATAGGTTTAATATTGTGATGTTTAAAGGGTCTTAATTTCGAGTGGGGTTTTACACACTAACACACTTCAAATTCATCCAGGAACAGTTGATGGAAAAATGAGTCAACTATAGGTCCTCCGGCAGGAATCAAACCTACACTTTTGCGATGCCGGTGCAATGCTCTTTCTACTTTTCTTCTTTCGAGTTACCAGCTGATTTTTCAACTTGCTCGGTCGGTAACTCCAGCTGTTTAATAAGTAACTGGGACTGGTAGAAAAAAATGACGAAGGTCCTGTAGGTACAAGTCATGCGTAGTGTATTATTGCTTTATGAAGTATTATCTGCCAAAATGATAAATATTTGCATGGTTTATAGTGTAAAGCCTTCGTTGTACATATGTAGATTATGAAAACGGGATTTACATCGTATTTTAGCAAAAAACAGCGCAGGAGAAACGAATGGCGATGGCAATGAAGGTTCGTCTCGAATGAATTGGGAAACATTTGATGAAGAGATTATGTCAAGTATCGGAGCACAAACAACCGCAGACCCTGCGTCTGGTATAAAGAAGTCGTCACCGGAGCCCGCGCAACCTGAGCCGGCAGACTCCCCCCAACATAATACACTGGGGTATGCCTTACCGTTGCCAAAGAAACCAGACGAACAAGTTGTTAGGAGAACACCACCACCCATACCAAAACCTTATTCCCGTAGGAATGACGAGGGCACAAGTAAGTCTTTTGTTTAAACTCTAAAGGCCTATTTAGACTACACGATAAGTTGTATGCAAAATTTTATCATTCTGACGAATGCAAAAGAGTGCCTATGCCACAATCTTCATTCATTTTTGTTCAGGTTAGTATTTAAAGTGTCACATTTACACGTGTGTTCATACGTTCACATACGCCAGGGTATGAATCGTATACGACAAAACGCATAGTGTAAATGGGCCTTAAGAGGATGGTTAAGGCTGGTACAAGTGGGTACTACATGTAGTGTTCAATATTTTTTCAGGTGAACCTTCTGCTCCACCACCAGGGACCGCTCCAGAAGATGAACTGTCTCGCAAGGATTGGTTCCATGGTCCTATGTCAAGACAAGATGCAGAAAAACTGCTCGTACGTGATGGAGATTTCTTAGTTCGTGAGAGTACTACCAACCCTGGACAATATGTTTTAACTGGCCTACAGAATGGTTATCCAAAACATCTGTTGTTAATTGATCCAAAGGGCGTGGTGAGTAACTTATTCTCACTAAAAATAAAGGTCTAAAACATAAGAGTGTTAGTGTTAGGTTAATGTCGGTTTTCTCCTGTAGGTTAACTGGATCAGAGATGATCCTTACTGGACATCTAGGAAGAACAGTTTAAAACTGATAGAACTATCCACATATAAATAAAGTTAGTTTAGTTTAAGTTTCCTCCTGTAGTAACACTGGATAAATAAGAGATGATCCTTACTGGACCTCTAGGAAGAACAGTTTAGAACTGATAGAGCTATCCAGTATAAATAAAGTTAGTTTAGTTTAGGTTTCTTCCTGTAGTAACACTGGATCAATAAGAGATGATCTTTACTGGACCTTTAGAAAGAACTGTTTAGAACTGACATAATAACTGGGCTGTAGCGCTTAATTAATTTTCCTAAGTTATGCCTTTATGGTTTTAGGTGCGAACAAAGACTCACGCTTTCGAGAGCGTTGATCACCTCGTTTGTTATCACCGTGATAACAGAGTCCCTATCATCTCGTCAGGAAGTGTAATAATATTGCGTCAGCCTGTTGTTAAAGATGATCCCAGTCAATCTTTCTATGACAGACCTTTATAACCATGTTTCATTATCACAGGACAAGAACTATGAATCAGGAATGTGGTAAAGATATGTTTTGCAGCACCTTATGCCCGGTGGTGATATAAATCATTTGGCATCTTTCATGCTACACCAAGTACATGTAAAATAAACACGTTAGCATATTTCAGTAGGTTTTTAGCAGTTGGTATTTAACGTTTTTTACCAATGATATAGGAATATTCACCTCGCATAGTCCGTATAGTTTATTGATATTCTTACATGAACTAAAAGTAAAATTGGTTGGTTTCGTTTTGAAGTTAGACCTAGCCATTAATATAATTAAGCGGTTTTATTTTTTTATATACATAAGTGACTTTCGCTTGTTGATTTCAGGGATGAAATATGAAGTGACGGTATGATTGAGTTTATATACAAGTGGTAGTTAGACGGCGTTTTCTAATTTTTAACCCCATGGACCTGTGATGTATAATTTATATTGTAAATTAAACTATGAAATTATATATGTCATCTTAAGATTTGATTTTTGCGCAGGACGTGATGTAACTTATGTTTTTGGAACGATGAAATGATCAAATGGCTGGCAAGGTACTATTCAAATTTACGTGTAAATGTTGACCATAGAGTCTGCCTGAGTAGCAACCAGTTAGCCTGCATTCAGGCATACTCGCTGGCGTACATTCGTTGGGTCATGCTGACATCTGCACTTCAACGTCACCAATCGCTCAGGGAGGAGGCTAGAATAATAAGGATTGGCGTCTTGTTCGTTTTGGCCTTTTCCTTTGAAATATTCGGCACTGTTTGTATTCTGCGAGTTGTTTCTCACACTTTGGACATTCGTGAACAATGTTTTTTAAACTTTCCATTACATATGGAGCCCACAAACAACAATAACATCTAAAAAAAATAATGAAATAGAAGCAATATAGCAATAACGCAACTATATCCTTTCATGTCTCTCATGGACGAATCCCACTATGTCTATGTTGTGCTGTCAGAGGTACCAGATTTAGAAAGAAAAACGGTCTAATTTTTCTTATCTGCCTTTTCTATAAATGGATTACCGCAAGAACTAAGATCTATAGATATTCACCGAGCTGTTTATGAGATATTTACTGCCGAAGATTCATTGTTTAAATATTGTTTGTTTGAATTCAGTTTGCCAGCAGCAGAAACAGTGGAAAGCCTTCAAAAGATCTAATCTAGATCGCATATAACAATCAGTTAGAAATGTTTACTCGTTAAAATGAGTAGGTAGGTAGGTCATAAAATAGTATCGTTCATGATAGGACTTATTTAATGGAGAAAACAAGAGGGAATTGTCAGGCGTCACACAGAATAAACCTACACACACTGTATAGTTCTCACAGTTCTGATCAACATGTGCACTATAACTTGTTCATCAGCACACAACAATTGTTTCATCACAAGATACCGCGGAAGATAATACTCACTGAAACAAGCAAAGACATGCAGTTGCCCAGTAGGTCCAACGTCCGTATTTCAATCGAGTTCTACTGACGATTTTCTCATCACAAAAAGGGCAGTTGATATAAACTGGAACTTCCTGAAAAATACTCTCATCATAATCTGGTTTTCTCTGCTCTTCAAGAAGACCATGCTCCTCGCTTGCTTCCGCTTTAGAAGTCATTCCTCGTTCACTTCTTCCGAGAATTTCAATCTTGTGCCCCTACAGCGGTGACGCCTGGTTATAAAATGATCCTAACTTCATAAAAATAGTAAATTATTTCAGCGTGATCGTTTCCAACTGTGATCAACTTCCCCTGAATTTATTCCGTCGAGTGTTTACAACAAATTAAAGCGGGCCCCTAATGAATTCGTTTTGCTTGGTTTAAACGCGGGTGCTTAGCGGTTAGTCTAATCATTTGAGCCAAACAAGCCTAACATCTGCTACCCTGTGTGTTTATGAAAACCCTCGAGCGAATTCCATACACCCTTGCCTCGCTGCAACTAATTTGCAGGGAATGCATGACTGCATTCTTGTAGTAGTTTCAAGAAAGTCCATGAATACCAATCAAGGTCAATGTATCAGCAATAATTTTTTTTTAATTTCTTGGAAAACACATTTGATTGCTTTGACTGACGGCTGACTATGGTAAATTTTGCCAGTCTCTTCCAACTGTTGAAATGGTTTAATGTGTTGTTCATGTTACAAGGAGTTGCTACAACTGATATTTGTTTGTCACGTAATAATTTACTATGTACGTTTGAGGCTATCCAGCTATCAATCATGACCTATAAATATTTTAATTTGGAAAACAGCGGACGCCTTTTTATGACTACTTTCGTTATTACCGACAATTTGCTGTAAGGTTTTGTTGAAATAGAAATTAAGGTACATAGTTTATATTTAAACAACCCCGGCTGATTTGGACCACTAGTTTATTTTTTTAAAAAAAAACCCTCGTAAATGCGTTCGTATTTTATAATTCATGGTATCTAACCGCGATAGAAACCCACAATGGCAGAGATAGGTATCTTCCTATTAGAACGACACGCGACATCTGGTCTAAACAATGCTTTTAGATGAGTTTTGGCCTAATTTTGAGAAATCACAGCGAATCAACGATGCAATCTCATTCTGAAAGTGGAATAAATTACGCAACCGGTTCTAAAAGGAGAGAGACTGAAGATAGTTTGGTAATATGGCGGAAGATTTGAACGAAAAATTGAGTGTAAAATGAACCTTCTTCCGCTAGGATCTCGTCGAAAGCTGAGAAGATCGTATACGGGAACGATTGACCGAAGCAAAAGGGAAGAATGCATTCCTAATAGTTTCTGCAGGTATAAATTTGTTCGAATACTCTAAGAAATGTCGCAAATTAGTGGCTTTAAATGCACGTGCTTGCAATTTTAAAGATGGCGACTGCTGAGTCTGTCGTAGGAGATCAAAGTACATTATGATCAAGCATTTGCAATGCCGAAGTAACGTAGTCAGACAATTTGCTTTTTATTGTTTATTGACTGTGAAAGCAATAAATTTCCTGAGGAATGAATAATAATGGGCTTTAATGGCAATACCTTAATTTGGGAAAGCAGGACTAAATGACGAGGGTTGGCTCATTGAAGTGATTGAACTGAATATTGGTTTACGATTTAATTCGGCAGACGTTCATTGTCAAACGTGTATACGATCAATATATTTCATATTGCTACCCTCAAATATTTCCTAAGAGTTGCACAGATGTTCAATGTGGTTACAGTCTTACAGACTCTGTCCACCATAAATGACAGATTGAAAAACATCTGCAATGAACTTGCAAGGTTATCCACCAATAATAGAATCAATCCTGGGGAGTTATGTCCTTCAAGGTTTCCAACATTTGTAATATTATCCACAGTTAAATACTGTGGATCTGGTAACAATCAAGATTATTGCTTCATGCTTTTTTGTCAAGAATCATATCACTCTTGACCATGCACCAATAACCAGATTCTGAAGATATGCCAACAGAATTTATGCAGATTAAGTGAGTAGGTTTTCAAAATGAACTGCACAAACATTTATTTACAGCCGACCAAAGTAGATTGACATTTTTCCAATTATGTGGCAACACATTCTGGGTATAAAAATAGTTCTCCTTGAATTAGTTGGGTTTTCTGGTCAATCAAATTAAGCTAATCCTTTCATGTGTTTTAAATACCAACACATAATCTAATAAATGAATAGAAAAACATCGACTAGTCTGTTGTCTGCAAGCCTTAATTGTCAGTCCTTTTAAAGTCATGCTTATTATTTAAAAATATCACAAACAAGTCTACATTTTTACAAGTAAAATTACTGTTAATGTACATATGTTATCTAATTAATCTTTGAATGGTATCTGCTAGCCAGTCCAGAGTAATTTTATATTTGTAATCATGATTAAGATGTATTCTTCATCCTAAATGGAATGTGTGGTTAACAGTGTTCTTAGTATTTGCTTATTCGTTCTGGAAATTGTCAAATTTGCAACCAAGGTCAGCCGAAAAAGACACAAACATGTTGTCAACACTTTGAGTCACAGTTATTTTAATTTTTATATCTAAGTTACATACATATTACCTCAGGGCTAAAACTTTAAGCCAAAATGCATAAAACAAGTCAATTGTATTACCCGGTCATTTGTATTACTTGCTGTGCAGAGAACAGCTACAGCGATATATTCAATTCCACTTCAGTCAGCCATTTTCAGAATTAAATGTTTTGAATGAAGTGTTTTAACAGCAGACAGAAGCTGCATGGCTGCTGGAATTTCATGAGTCATGGAAAATAGGAAACACCAACTGCAAATATTAAAAACAGTCAGCATCAAGACTGTAGAATTGCAGTATGTAATGTTTTAGCAGAAAATGCTTTGCCCTATTGAGTCAAATGTAATTTAATTTGCTGTGTAGGTAGCAAATGTTCACAAAAGGCAGATAAACTCCTAAAGTAAATGTGACTGTTCATCACAGCTAATGTTAGTGAATACCTGTATTAAAAATATCTGTTAATTACCAGACTTATAAACTATTTCACATGTTTTTTTTAATGGCTTACACATGAATTGTTAATACCCTTGAATTTGACATAAGCCAGTTGCTGAATGATACATAAGCCAGGCAACAATGAGCTGGGATATGCAAACTTAAAATGTGTTGAAATGAGCCATCCAGAACTTCTCAAAGTGGTCATTGATGATGAAAAGTGAACTGAGGACAATGATACCTTCATTCTTGTAAAAAAATGACTGAAAAAAATGGAGAGCCAATTCTCTGAAACTAAGGGCACTTACTTTATAGGAAGAGCTCGTGCTAACGTTTTCCAGCAGCGTCTTGTTGCATGCATAGTACGTACTTAATTTGAAACCTTCGAACAGATAGCTAAGTTTTATTATAAGTACAGAGTGGTAGCTTCTTGTGTCACAGTCTGTAGTAACTTTCACTTACAAGTTACAATCCGCCCAACCCAACCAGTGTGCTCAACCATGATAGTCAATTTCTTCTATTGTGCTCGCTTTCTGTATTTCTCGTTCGTTTGCTTGCTTTTTAAATTAAAAAATTACTGCTAATCAGGCAGTAATTGTTCAGCCTGTTTTAAAGTGTCAGATACTCAGAGAGAGCTACCGAAATGGGAGTTTTTTTTCCCCCGATAAATTGTAAAAGGAAAGATCTATTTACGAGCTCATAGCCAGGGATCCAGTCAACGACGAAATTAGACAATATCTTGCTAGTGAAAAACGAGCTTTATTCCCGAAGGTCAAACCATTACTACCCCTGATGAGCTGAAATATATTTGTCATTGACCATGCGAGAAACCAGCGCATATGGTGCAAATAAATGAATCACTTTCTAAAAATAAACGTAAGACGCTGAATGCGAAATATTATTTTAATCGCAACTCTATAAATATATGTGTATATCATCAGTCACGAAAATATTAATCTTGATAACTTAATTGTGTGACTTTAGGGAGCAAGCACTCTCAAATAAATAAGTCTTACAATGTTTGTACAAATTTTGAACATTCTATTAGGTCAATCTTCGTGATTCACAATCTCACGAAAGCGATCAACATTAAGCATTTTGTTCATCGTCGTAATCGTTTTTAGGATTCCTTGAATAGTTCTTGGATTAAGTCTTTCATATCTTTCTTATCGTTTTGACATTCTGTGTCTCCAGAAAGGCATCTCTTAGTTGGATTATCTGTGGAAAGGCGTCTTTTGCAAGCCCATACGCCAAATGGACAATCCAGTTGTCGCTTCTCGTCCATCGCTCGCTGACTCGCTCGTTCCCAGAGCTCTTGAATCTTTGCACGGCATTCAGCGTCATCAGTTAAGCAGGGAACACCCATACCAACGTTTAAGACGTCTTCTTTTAACCTGCGCCATGACGGAATGCTGTCGTCTCTCTGTATTCTGAGTTTAGCTCTTGCTGTGATGATGCTTCCTTTGGTAAGATTTTTTTACCATTTTTCGAGAACACCCCCAAATCTCAGGCGGACATTTTAAGGCATCAACAGCAACACAAGCCAAGGAAAGAGCGACAAACAGCAGCTGGAATTTCATTTCTGGTTCTAAAGAAATTTCGAGAGAGACGTTTAGCGCGTCGGTCGTTATAATGAAACGCAAAACGATTGTTGACACACGACAAACAATTGCTCGAGTGTTTGCGCAAATCTTAAAAGAGATATTTGTTTTCTGTAAAGTATTGATGAAAAAAGCGCAATATATGAATTAATCTTTAAAGTAGCTTTCATCAGGTGTCTGGTCATATAAGTTTCTTAACTAGCAAGTTCCCATTTCAATACTTCACGATACATTTTCAAATGCCCCTCATAAATCATATTCTGAAGAATGGAAATCTGGTTCTATCGAACGCGTTGCTTTACGTGGGTAACGCCCCATTTTGCTGTTTCATTCAGTATTCAACTCTGTCTAAGCACGAGATACGAGCAAGCACCGCCTGAATTTTATTTAAATCTCGAACGAAAAGTGAATTATTTCTTATATATATATATATTGCGTGTTAAGTTAGAGTGTTTTTCTTTTAATCGATACAAGATCGTCTACTTCAAATAACTGACTGTTCTAAATGTCATTTTGGTTGTTAAGCATTGAGAAGACCGTAAGAATATGTCAAAATCTTTTACAAACAATGACAAAGCTCGCGTCTTTCAAACAAGATAAACCAAACGACAATGAACTCAGTTCTTATGTAAAAAACAATACGTTCCTTGTTTCCCAGAATATGTTTATTCAAAATATTCTCACCTTTTTTTATTTAGTTCAACCAATATCTTGACACTGATTGTCTAATTCTTTCTTGCGTTGGAAATGAAGTTAGAAATCTTTCTGCGATGTTACCTCCTCGGTCTCTCTTTAAGACTGCAACAGCTGAGTGCACGAGTTGTGTTTGAAATTATCGTGAGGCACCGCGTTTAAATACCATCGCCGTTTGTCATAGATCACAGAGGTATGTATGATATTAGGTAATCTGTTTTTTCGTCATTTGTTTCCGCTGTGTTGGCATCACGCATGCATTTTTGAAACGCTTGAGCTTGTTTGCATGTCCTTGTGTTTCGGAAGTGCTGTTAATTATCTCACATTAATGAAATATTATCACACAAGCGTGACCCATTCATTTAATTGCACATTGTTTGTTTTTTAAATTTATCATGACGCACTTGTGTCTGTAACTGCCCAGCAAGAAAGCTTCTTTTATTTACCAATTGCTAGCGATTCCAGCTGCCCTGTCTGGATACACTTTTGTAAACATACCTTGCGCCCCCGTTGTAACTGTTTGTGTAAATTGAAAGGGATACATTCAAGAACCTGGAGTGTCCTTAAGCAGATATCACGAATTCATTTGAACTAATCGACCACAGTACCCTATGAAGGTTACGTTGTGTCACGATCAATGCACGCATGTACTTTTATCCCTGCAACATTTGTAAGATGAGAGTATTGAGAGAGAGTGTGTGTTTCCAATTTAAGCTACTTTCACTAACTAGGAATACCACAGAATATTTTCAAACTGATGATGGAATTAACGATGTGGTTGGATCGTCTTTCCTCATAATAAAGTGCGCTAATTCTGATATGATTCCTGTCAGCTCGCATTAAGAATTCAGTTCATGATCTGCGCCATTGCGCCGTGACGTAAATATGCATGAAAAGTTACAGATAGTTCAAGTAATGTGGGTGTGGCGTTGATACAACACCAAACTTGGTCACATCAGCGACAGTTTGTTTTTTCACCACATCACGACCGCGAGTTGATCCGTTACCGCGCGATGGGATGTTTGTTCGTATTAGCAAGCGATTAAAAATAACTCGTGACCCGTTAGGGCGATAAGTGATTGATATCAACTCGTGAAAGATTTAAGCTTCTTGTTTGATTGCCTGAGCGCGCGCACGCTAAGTGTTCGCTGTCAAATCGCAGATGCTAAAAAGAATGTCATTTATGTCAAAATGTTTGTTGTCGAATCGGTTGCTTTATTTGTCTTATTCACCGCTCTCCTATTGAGTTCTGAGGTGTCTCTTTTGCCCCGGGTATTTTTTGAAAGATGGCAAAACATATCTGAGTATATTAAGTAACTGTTATATGGCAGCCTGCGCATTGGATGAAATAATGGCATATTAATCTAGCCTTGCGCAAAATAAGTTTTGGTTGTATGATTATATTAATTAGCATTCAAAGCGTCTTCTTTCATTTTGTCGCATCTAAATTCAAAGAATGATTTATTAAACTTGCTGAACTACAATATTGATCTTTATAGCCGGTAACCACACATAGTGTAAAAACATGGAATTTGTCTAAGAAAACGATCCTATTCGCAACATCCCCAGTGAGGCTTTGTTGGTTTCTTACTCAAATTAACAGCCTGTGGGTTGAATTATAATAGGCTAATTTTGTCGTTTACTTAAAAGCTGCATGGAAATTATTATTTTTTGGGTTTGATGATTTCCGAATTTTCCGGCGTGGAAATGAGTAATCGCCTTTTAATCTTTATTGCATTATAGTAACGAAAGTTGTATAATAAAGTGGGGATATAATTGGTACTACTTGACACGACAAAGCGGCATTACTTAGGGCCAAGATAAGTTGGAACACGTGTCTAAAATAAAGGTTTATTTTCAGTGATGATCGTTTGATGTTCTTCGAATGTTAGATAGCCAAATCGTGGTAATATTAATGATTCTATACATGCATAAACGACACCAGTAGCATTTTAGTTATCTGACGAAATTTTATTTCGCGTGTTTTTGTGTGATACTTTCCAAATATCCCTTCCTATAATGATTACACTAAAGAGGACTATATTTAGCTCATGATTTTGGGCTGAACATCCTGTCTACGTGCATGCGTGTCGCGTTTTGAAAGATTTATTATTCTTGAACAGATTCATTTCTATTAAATTTCAAACTTTGCGCTTGCTGCTACAACGTTTAGGGTACAATTTTTGGTTTCCTGTGATCCGCTACTTAATTCTGTGATCCGCTACTTAATTCTGTGATCACTTCAAATCCACCGGGATTACCTTCGCTGGATCCAATAAAAAAAGTGATTGATGACTTCTGTGATATCATTGTTCGTTAAGTGAGGCTTTATATATACCTATACGCTTCACCAAATGCGTCTTGTAGACTTTGTCAGAACCGCTACAATTCTTATTTCTTCACTTCATATGGCAGGGATAACCACTTGATTTACTTACGAGGTTGAGCATATAGCTATACACAATAGTCAATACACCCGAAGGGAAGTTTGTTCTGCTAAAAATATCTTCCATAGTTTAAGTCGACCATGACACTGATGACAGGATCTTATTTTATAGAACTCATGCAAGGATTTTAAAACTATCCGTTTAATTAATGAGCTTAGTATAGCCAAATTAGCATTTTGGTTAAATATATATGTATATATAAGCCAATATATTGTATATAACGATGCAGTGTAGGTTGTATTTTACAATAATGCCATAGGCATAGTTTGTGTTTGGAATACCGTGAACGACCTGGTGGTCTGATGTTGGAAGAATTTTGTGATAAGCTGTCGCTGTTTTTGTCTGAATTGCCTGAGAGAAATACTTCAAATGTCATACAATAATCTGCGTTGTTTTCTGTTTCCAACTACAGCTGCAAGAGATATTTCAAATGCGGTGATTTGAGTATTTTGTCTTCCTCGTGGGCTGCCTGAAGTAAAATGATACAAAACACTCAAGTTCACATAATTGCCAACTGTGTTTACGAGTTGTGTTTGTTAAACAAGCAACTAAATATAACCATTGATTATTTTGCGAATGGACGTGATGAAATGTGCGGAATTATACAATTTCGTGCTGATCGATATCAAAGGAAGAAAGTTTACTTGACCTTGACGGTGAAGAATGATCGATTAGGTGACTACGAGGAGGGGGTCTGGTACTGACGTGTTTAACCAGAGTTTTGAACTTGGGTACAGATAAATTAACCCCAGGGAGTCATGGGAAACTGCTGAGTTAACAAAGTGTGAAAGAATTCTTGATGTCCAGAAGGGACGCGAATATTTTTGACTAGACAATTGTTAAAAAGTTTCTTGTGGGTTATGTTATACGTACATTTAATTAAACTGCGGTTTGTACTCTCACTCTCCAGGTTGGATTTGGCTTTCAGCCGAGCATATGCCACGGTGAGGAAAACTATGGCTTCCTATCATCAAAGACTCAAGATACAGGAGACGAGCCTCACGGTAGGACTTCAAATGTATTTTTTTTTATCAAAACTTGTCAGCAAGACAAATTGAAGAATTTTTTAACAAATACGTAGGAACTGTTATGTTTCGGGACAAAAGGATACAGTTGTGGGAGGCAGGTGTGTTATATTACAATAGATAGACTCCCACGTTCTATAGTATGTTAAACCGACGCAAATATAGATTAAAACCGGACACTCAGATTTCTGAAACAGGTTTCATTAACGTCATACAAGACAATGAAGGAATCATTTAGTTCCCGTTCATCACTTAACTGGGTCACTACCTCTACTCGAGGTACTTTAGAATTTCGGATGTGGCAGCCCAAAACTTAATTTTAGTCCAACCACAGAAAAAAAAGGTGACAAAGCATTTCTTTAAAATAGATCGTTTTTAGGAAGGAAACCTATATGGTCAACGGAATGAAATCCGGCAATAGGAACGGATTTCTTTTTAAAATATTTACCACCGTAAGGGGGGAATCATAAGTGTTTTTCAATAAGTGCATCCTGTCTCGTGCACACGCGCAGAACTTATCATTATCACGAGTATTTGACTTTTGGCTGAACAATGTAAACTTTGTATGTCACCTTGGCTCGATCGCTAGATTCTTTCCTAACCACATCCCTTGAGAGAGCGTACGTAGTCGATCAAAACTAACGAGGTAACGACCTCGAAAGATTGACTCTAGAAATACGGGTAGACTCCTTGGATGCAAAAACATGTGTTTCATAACACACCGGGAACGTAATTGCCATTTTCGCGTCAAATGAAAGACAACACATGCATGTTTTTAATATACATTAACATACAAACATCTCCCCACTGTCATGTTGACGTAAAACAAACATAGCATATCATGTATGTACCTAACCGTTATTGGAATTGCAAGGAAGTCTTTGAAACAATAGAAATTAAGAATATTTGACGCACGAAGAGAGGTCTCATTAAGGGGAGACACAAGTGATATAATTCCATCTTTCGAATACGCAGTTTAATCTAATTCATTGCATGCCTCGTACATAATTGTCTGGGGGCATTTCATGGGCACTTTCTGAGCATATCCCCATGCAGGACTGAATCTCCCCAAGCAAACCGCGGTAAATGGCTCAAGTGTTTTGTTAACCTGCTGTTCATTCTCAGTTTCCCTCATACGTAGCTTAAATCCAGTTAGAGGTTGAAAGTGTTAGATCCTAAATATGTTTGGGAGTTATTTTTAAAGTTAGGGCGATGTTTTAGATTCGAGTTCTACATGGGATTTCTCATGCACAAACACTGGGCTCATTCAGCATTCACAAAATCGTCTTAATCGTCAAGCTTTCAAATTAAAATGAGAAGTTTTTAAATGATAGATTGGTAAGATGAAAAACAGGGTTAAAGTTGATGTATTTTTAGTGTAACACAAGCGCATATTTTCTGCTGTGTTGTATTGCTCAGATGTAACAAACGCACATATATGGAAAAATATTTCATACTTCAATCGTCATTAAGTTAGAAGTAAACCACCAACCATGAGATATATTTTTTTACGCACGTCAAGGATATGTCTAATCAGCTTACATCACCCACGATTTCTAAGTTATTCTCTACCTTACTATGTTTTCCGAATGTGGACAAACAATTTGGAATATTTGCTTTGTCTCTTGACACAAGGTTTTGCTAACCTCATCCTTGGGTTAAGAGAAGGCTTAAGCTTTTTGAATTATCATGAACGTGCTATAGATCACTCAAAGAATTCTTTATTGTCGAAATTTAAAACGCGGGTGTTGATGATGGGTATAGCAATCAGTTAAACCACGCTAGAATTCACGACATTGTTTGATGATGTCAATGAAAACCAGTCTACTGAATAACTTTGAAAAATTTATTGAACTATGACAACAATTTAACAACAAGAGAAACCTAGAGATAACGATTATAGATGTACTAGAAGTTTGTTATACTTCAGATATTGAAAGAATCGTTCATAAAATAGAATTAACAAAACCAGCTCCCAGCCTGCATCGTGCATCCTCTCTTTTCACCTTTGGCTCCCGTCGGGTTGTCGTCGTAATCTTTCTTATTCCGAACCTCCTCCGAGCGGTCTTCGTAATCGTTCGGGAAGTTGAACATCTCCTCGTTCTTGTCAACGGCGTCGTATGAGTCTTCGAGTTCAGCTGTTAGGTCACGTGTTACGACTGGGTGAGCGTGGTTCTCTGATAACATCGTAATTGCGATGAGAGCAAATAGAAGAATAATTCGACAGCCAAGCATTTTTTCTGTTGATAAAAAATATTTGATTTAGGAAACCGCAAATGTACGCGGAGGCTTTTATGAAATAAGGGTTTATATCTGTCGTGGTTTGTGTCTGAACTACCTAAGAAAGTTATCTCAAACGTGGTGGTCTAGTGTAGGTAGTATTCTGATAATAAGCTGTCGTGGTTTGTGTCTGAACTACCTGAAAAAGATATCTTCAACGTGGTGGTCTAGTGTAGGTGGTATTCTGCAATAAGCTGTCGTGGTTTGTGTCTGAACTACCTGAGAAAGATATCTCAAACGTGGTGGTCTAGTGTAGGTGGTATTCTGCAATAAGCTGTCGTGGTTTGTGTCTGAACTACCTGAAAAAGATATCTTAAACGTGGTGGTCTAGTGTATTGTCGTGGTTTGTGTCTGAACTACCTGAGAAAGATATCTCAAACGTGGTGGTCTAGTGTAGGTGGTATTCTACAATAAGCTGTCGTGGTTTGTGTCTGAACTACCTGAAAAAGATATCTTAAACGTGGTGATCCAGTGTAGGTAGTATTCTACAATAAGCTGTCGTGTTTTGTGTCTGAACTACCTGAGAAAGATATCTCAAACGTGGTGGTCTAGTGTAGGTAGTATTCTGATGATAAGCTGTCGTGGTTTGTGTCTGAACTACCTGAGGAAGATATTCCAATGGTAATACCTAACTGTCGTGGTTACTATCATAGAAATCATTAATTCTTTCATGTATAAAGCATTGAGTACAACAGTTCTTGCATATTTCGATACACACTGTTACAGCAGTCAAGACAAGAAAGGAATTTCATTGATTTTACAATCAACTTTGAAGGTCATGTTATGAGATCGAAAGAGATACTCAAAAATTACTGATTTAATTCGCTAATCAAGCTGCATGCAGCCGAGTAAAACCAACGTTGTCAATTGTAAAGACTTGCAAAACTAATCTTATATGAAAATACTGAAAATTACTAGCGTATACATCATCTAATTGCCAATACAGGCCGTTGTTTAAAGCATAATAACTGGTAGAAAACTTATTAGACTATACTTACTATTCCAATTTAGATAATAGAAAAGAAAATATTGCTCAGTCGTGCAGAGTTTGTCACCAACTAACGTTTCCTCAATATTCTGACCTCAGTAAACGCATTCGAATTCTTTTATAGCATCAAACAGAAACGTTGGCTTCTTCTAAACAAACACAAGAGCAAACAGTAATAATTTCAGGCTTAGCCAACTGCTCAAATTGTCACTCAACTTGTTGGCATTTCTCTTCATTTTAATTCATCTCGATAGTTCGTGTTTAAGGAAGCGTTCTGTTTACTTGCTATGCATCTTCTATATTGCACCCGTTTGGACGTCTGAGAAACGATTTTAATAAAATAAAACAAACAGTATGGAATTCCTTAAATGCTAAAATCTATGTTGTTGGTCTAACTGCGCAATAAGCGAGCTGTTAACGGTGGTAAAAAAATCATCTCAAACGTGGTGGTTGGACGTGGTTCTCTACAATATAGTCAGTCTGGTTGCTTTGTCCCATCCACGAGTCTCAGATGTGGTTGTCCACTCGGTGTTAGATGGGCGTCGTCTACAGCTGCATGCGTCATGAGCTGAATATTAATAAAACCAAATTTTAGAATAACTAAACAAACCTAGATTATACGCAGGAAGCTGTTTAGTCAAATACAACTGCGTTTTGCGGGAAGGTCAAAAGAGTTGTTTCTTCATGATAAATGCCAAACTATATTGCCTTGCACCTGCTGTATCCTGCACTACCAGCTGCCCTGGGGAACGCGTCATGAACACTGTTGCAAACTTGATAAAAGTTCTTATTCTTGAAACGCTGTGATCTTGCATGAGCTGCATATATACTGATATATATAGAAACTATGGCACTTTTTCTTTCATTACACAATTTATATTTCTGTTTTTCAACAACCACAAACTTTTACAGAGAAAGATTTAGCGCATGGAAATTTGCCTATTATCTCTAGTTTAATCCTAAACCATTTTAATTACAATGTACATACAGAAAGATTTTACAGTAATAGCTTAAATCTTTAGGCTATTTAATAAACAATCGTGAAGCATATTCTTTGTATGGTTTCATGCGGGTTTTATTTCTAGCAGGTTGACCAGGATCCAGCCAGCTGATCCACGCCACATCGTCTTCGCTCACGAGTATTTTTCAAGTTTTTTTCCCATTCATGGATTAATCTTGCAAACCACCGTCCAGGCCGAGGGCCAGTCTGTGGACTGGTCTGTGGACTCTCTACTGACGTTATCGTATCACGTTGCGGATCGACTGGTAACGGGTGACCGCGTGGAATGAGGGTAAAACATAGGAGAATGGTCACGAGAATTTTGCTAGTGAGTATTGCGTTCATGTTTATATCTGGAAAGAAATAATGCATAAAGCATATTAGTAATAAATAAAACATATGAAATAAAGCGAATATCGTCTCTAACTGAAGCTACTCAGTGTTTTTTGTCTAAAAAAGACTGAATTGGATAGCTTTACCAGTTCAAATTTGTTATCACCGATATTTTAGTAAGCAGGTTATTTTCATTTGACTAGTGTTAGAGCGTAATAGATTGTTGCCCTTCCGTGATCGGTTAGGACGGTACAGCAAAGAAAACAATAGACACTCCGAATAAGGGCACAATTTTATTCAAGGTTTCGACTAGGTAATCATAATTCCTCATTTAAAACCGCAATGTCTACTTGAGCAGATATCAATGGCTTTGCGGTGTTTTAGTCAAATTGAAACAATATGGAACGATCGTAGCGGGAATGTCCAAGTGATTTCGTTGACCTTTTTTGTTCACGGATATTGAAATTTGCAAAATGATAAAAAAATGATGAAATGTGAACTTCAAATGCATATAAACTGATGGCGTCGCCATTGCATCAAAACAACGAAAAATATTCTTAACAGTTCGATGTACCTTACCTCTAGTTCTATTCTTCAATTATTAACAATCTCAGATCATCGACTGTTTTGGATCTTCTCACGGAGCCAAATGAATAATCGTAAATCTCACGACTGCAGATGTACTTTTATAAACAGTGCGTCGCGTTATTATTTATATTGGATTTTTCTTACTCTTCAATTACGATGGGCAATCATAGAATTGACTTGCACTCAAAAGAAAAGAAACTTAAATAATTGGCGTTTCGATTTTAAAGGGTTTCGTAATATTGCGGATATGAATGGCATATGCATTTAGTTTGAATGCCCTGTCATCTTAAAGTGCTTTGCGTGGAAGTAGTTAAATGTTATTATATATACAAATGCATTCGAAGAGGTTGATTCGCAATTAACAAGTTCATTGTGCGTCATAAGAGGGATGCGTTCAACGCACACCACATGCAAATATCAGTCCATTTATACAGCTGATGAATGCAACCAATTTTTCGAAATTTTGCAAGTGAAATACGATTTTTCAGTTTCCAATGCCGTAGCAGTATTTATGAACTTTTTCATTACCAAGTGCTATAAGAAAAACAAGGCGAAAAGTCCCTCGATGTGAAATGATTTCGTCAATATTCTCCGTTTGATAAAGTTATCCATATCTTCAGTTATTTTTACCAGACCCCCATCACGAAGTGCGTGGGAATAAATCGCTATCACCTGAATTCAGTTCTTGACCGTGCATTCAGAATTATGTTTCGTATTTTCTCATTTGAATCATACAAGGACTTAAAGAGACAAACATTTGACACACTAGTTTGGCGAGAAACTTGTTAATAATATAAGTTGTTTACTTTGCTGTCTTATACAACTTGAGGGAGGAATAGTTAGACTAGAAGTTAAAAGCAAACTCCTCTTAGTTACAAACGATATATTGCCATTTATTATGTTAATATATTCGCTACAATAAGCACTTGTAGGCTTTTTATATGCAACAATCCATAATCACCTAGTAACCTGTAGTGATGTGTAAGTTGTAAATAAACATGCATATAACAACCCCAGCTTGACCTCTTGAGAAAGGCGATTTCTCATCGCAGAGATTAAGTGTGTAAACTTTAAAGATAAAATAATGTTCTAAGGAAAATAACTCATTCATCCAAGGTAATGTATATAGTATAGCTGTGTATATATCACACAGGTTGAATTTCCTATTCACTTGGTAACTGTAACGAAGCCGATATGTATATATCTCTTGAGACTAACGCACTATCTCTCGACTTCAAAAAATGTAATCTCACTGAACAGCTTGTATTACTCATAAAAACTGTTTTTGGCCGTAATGACTTATATCAAGAAACGTCCATGCATCAAATACTTCAAACAATATCCCCGAGATATTTTATGATATCATTTTGGGATTTAAACAATACTATATAAACATTATGCATATCTAAGTTTGTCACCTGCATCTTACATGGAGGGAATGCTTGATATTTTAAAGCCCACATCTTCGCAAACTCTGAAATCTCTTTCGAAATATTTAAGTGTAAGCGTGTACCATAAAGTATATATATTTAAAGGGCAACATTTGCACCACTTCAACTAATTTTTAAAGCCTATAAGCATCATTTAAGCCGAGATTTAAGCCATTCTTGCTTTTTTCAATATTTTTATAACAAAATACTCGCTGCTTCAGATGACATTCAAAAGTTACATTCATTATATATCGAGCCAATTCAAAATGATTCTTCAAAGTAATAATTCTTCAAAATACATCACTTCAGAGCATAGACAGACAGAAGACAATATACTATACATAGTTCAATATTTACATTGAAATGAAAGAAAAGACCATTCTTTTTGTGCAGTACATAGCTCTTTATAGAACCCAAAGTATATTTCTTGAGAGCATAAGTACATTTATTCCTTAATATTAGCCCAGCTGTCATGGGCCATTCAGTGTCGAAAGGTCGGCGAACCTTGGAGAATGCCAGTCTTGAACGTGATGTGACTTACTTACGAGGGCAAATCACTAAACACGAGGAAGCTTATGGTAAACTTCAACGTGAACACGAACAACTCAAGGACGAGGTTAGCAAACAGACACAAGAGTTTGAAAAAGTCAAGGAAGAAAATATAAAGCTAAAGAAAGCTTTAAGTTCTTCTTCTGTTTCCCAAGATAACAACGCAGTCGTATCTCAAAGTAAGTCATGAAACTAACTTTCAGTTATAAAAGCTTCACATAAAAGCTTTCTAGTCTGGGCAAGCAACTTAATGAACTTATTACAGGCAATCTTTTTTATCATGAACGACAATATTTAGTTATGTTAAATCTACATTATTCAGCTCGGATATACTGAGACGTGTTCTTTATCCATCTTTAGCTGAGGTTAAACCGAAGATTGAAGACCACATTTCTGAGGTTAAACCGAAGATTGAAGACCACATTTCTGACACAGATTCCGGTGTAAGTGTGGAACAGACCAGGCATTTGAAAGTCGGAGACAAGGTTTTATCTCTTCACCAATCCTGGTCGTACTATACTGCAACTATTGCGTCATTTGATGTCAAAACTTTGATGTACACCGTCAACTGGGATGATGGCGATCCAACAGGAAGAGTGCAGAAATATTTTAATGTTGCTCAGAATAAAACGCCGAATGCAGATGACATTGGCATGGGAACCTTGGTTTTATTTCCTCAGGTAAGAAATTTATTTGAATTTGAATTGTAGGGTATGTCATTTCGTTTTAATATTTATGTTTTTATCGTATCATGTAGGGTCATTATGCTGGTACCGAGGGTAATAATACCGGGGGGATCAGATATCACCAGGGTCGCATTACCCGGGTGTATAAAGGTCCTCTCGGAATGAAAAAATACGATGGCGTGCACACGAAAGGAGAAAATGATGGTAAATGGGTGACCTACAAGGGATACAGTTATGAATTTAAGGGTCTTATGAGGAAAGATCTCCGCGTGTCCCCTAATATCCTCGATATATTAAATGCCCAGGGGATGTCCGGGGACGAGGGCAGCGAAGGGGATCAAATGGGAGTAACACAGGATAACGATGGATCCGAGTACGATGTGTTTATATCGTATTCTAAGCTCAATAGTAACTTGGCTCTTGAAAACGGTGAGGTCGGAGCAGGGAGACTGGATAAGAGTGTTGAGGAGCAAAAATCTCTAAATAGCAGAGCCAGCGATCCTCGTTGGATTAAACAGCAGCTAGTGAAGTGTGGTCTACGAGTATGGCTGGATGAGTCAAAAGAACCAGTTGAACTTAGCAATGTCGTTACTATCATGAAAAGATGTAAAGTTATAATATCTTGTATCAGTAATGAGTATGCAAACAGCGATAATACCAGGATGGAACTGCAATTTACCAAGAAAACAATAAAGAAGCCGATCTTACCGATAGTGGTCGGAGGAGGAGAATGGGAATGGCAAATGACAGTCGTTGGTTTGCTGATAGCCGGGGAATTATACATTGATTTCACGGTGAGCGCTTGTTATGAGACGGTGAGATTCCTACAATAACCTGATTTTAATCGAGTTGGTTTTTATTTAGAACTCAAGTGTAGCAGCTGCCAAGATTGAGCAACTGGTTGAGGCATTGTCTAAGCATGTTGATATGCCCAATAAACCGCTTCAAGAATCACCAACGAAATCCAGCGAAGAAACGAAAGCTCCTGAGGTGTTCATAAGTTATTGTTGGACAAACTCAATGACTGCTTTTAACGCTAAGGAAATCAAGCAGTGTGTTGGTAAGAAACTGTTATGATTAAGGCTATGTGCACAGGGTGATATTTTCGAGCGTTTTCACATTCGTTTTCATGCCAAAACGGTTTCAAACACCGTCAATTTGCAATAGAAGTTGAAGCAAACTTATAATATAAAGCATATATTTACCTTGAATCGTGTGGACAGGACGTCAAAAACAATAAAATAGACAAAAACGATTTTAAAACGCTCGAAAACGACGCTTGTGTGCACATAGCCTAATTGTCGTCAGTTGGTATTGCCTGCACTGACTGACAACTGCTGTCTAGTGTATTAATTGGCTTTGTATTTTTCATCTCTCTTATTCCATAAATTGTGAAACAAATTCTTTAACTTTACTCGCGTAGGAAACCAATACAATGACCCCAGACGCATATACACTGATCTCACAGAGAGAAATATTACTGGATGGATTGATATTCGTCAGTTAACCAGTGCAGCAACCGAGTCGATTGGAATGGTAAGCTTTCGGTTAAATAACGTATCAATAATCGATGTGTTTCCATCAAAATGCTTTCTTTTTCCTTTTTAGTTCGAGCAAATTGCCAAAGGGTTATCGAGCTCAAAACTCATCCTGGTTTTTGTGAGCGATGAATATTCGCAGAGTGACAATTGTCGCATGGAATTCCAGTTTGCCTTGAAATCACTGAAGAAGAAAGTCGTGCCAATCATTGTAGGAACTGGGGATAAGTGGAACAACACAATCATTGGCATGCTGGTCAGTGGTTGTGACGTGGATACCATTGACATGCGCGAGATACAGGCTAATGACTACGAGAGGAAACTGGATGAGATTATGCAGCACTGTTCCGTTGTGCAGGACACTAACTACCAGTGTAAGTTGAAAAGTTATATTTTTTTAACAAACATTGACCGCACTTTGTCTCCTTACCTCATGTTTCCAATCACTGGAAATCACTTCATGTTTCCAATCAAAATGAAGCGTTTCATTTTATAAGTTAACAAACAAATTCTGATTTATTCAGCCCCAACAAAAGAGCGCACTTATCGTGCTCCTAAAATTGGCGATAAAGTGATCTGTCATCACTTCAAATGGGCGTATTTCCCAGCGACAATCGTGGCGTTTGATAAGAAAACGTTTGAGTACACCGTTGATTGGGATGATGGCGATCCTAGCGGTAGACAGGAATCTTATAAAAATGTTGCTTTGAATTCCGTGCCTCGTTCAGATGAAATAGCAGTTGGAACTATTGTATTCTTTCCTCAGGTATAGTGTAATAATAAGCTAAACATATGAAGCTTGTTGTTTTAAAAGGTATGGGGATTATCCCTCTTCAGCCCGGAACGGTCGAACCCTGTGCTTTTGTCGTAAATGAATGATATACTATTAGTAGCAGATCATCAACTTTCTTTTTCACTTGTCGAAAAACTAATTAGTTGCAGGTGTTTTCATCAAATGCTTTTGTGTAGGCATACACTTGCAGGTTGCTTCCGAGCAGCTTTTTCACAATGAGTAGACGACCTTTGCTCTTTTTTTTCTCGTATTTCCAACTTTTCGTCTCCGTTACAGGGTTCATACTCTGGTTCTGAAGGAAACAATACTGGTGGCGTGCGCTACCATCAAGGCCAGGTGTCTAAAATATACACAAAAGCAGGAGAGACATTTTATGATGGCGTGCACACGAAGGGAGAGAATGAGGGCAAGTGGATCACATATCAACAATATAGTTATCAGTTTACTGGTATGAGATTGAAAGATTTAAGGATTGCTCCTAACGCAATGGACGCCATGATGGCAATAGAGAAACAGGCAGCACAATTATGAGACTGCACAGGCATGAAGCCATGAACCTACACGAACAATTAACTGCACAGCATCCAGGGAGTTGAGAAATCCTTTAGCAAAGATATAATTAATAAAGCCTTTTCTGCTAAGCAGAGATCGCATTTTGCGCAATCAATATTTATACCTCATGAATGATTTAAAGTTATCTCCATTCTTCAACATTTTTAAATGACAATCTTTTTAGTCCAGGACTAGTCAACACACCATCATATAGGTATAGATGTAACGTACGTGTATCAAGCAATATTCTGCTAACTGTAGGATATCTTATTGAAGAAATCATATCTCAAGCAATTACGCTAAGCAAGACTATTAGTATTAAATAATAAATGACTTGCCACAAACGTTTTAATACATGAATATTAAATTGTAAAATAAGTGAATAACCTTATAACATCACATGTAGTTCAGATGGTATAAAATACGATCATAATAAGAACGTACATACTCGGGTTTTCTGTACTTTTCCTGCCGCGGGAAAGTCTATATCTAGGAAAAGTTTAAACTAAAAATTGAGGAAGAATTCCTGTGGAGGATAAAATTTACGATGGGTTAATATCGTCTTATATTTATCGCAATAAATTATAATGTGTGGATAATTGCATACACCTGGTAATTGATTAATTCTTTTGAAGGATATTTAGGGTGTATTGTTAGGATACTAGATATTTCAGATACGAGATGTGATTAGTCTAGCACAGGTGTTTTTTCGCAAGATATAAAAAGGTGCGAGGGTTTTGAGACATTTTGAGACACAAGGCTGATTTCATCAGGAACTGCAGTGGAGTAACGCACTTTGAAGATTAAGGTAAGAACATGGTTGTTAGTATCTGAGAATTCCATTGAGGTTGAAATTTTATTCTTACAATAGCTGGTGGGATGTTCTTAAGAATTCCATGTCTTCTTTACTTCATATTTGCAGAAAAGGGAGCAAAAAATGAGAGGAATTTTATTTCTGTCAAGTCTGCTATTGGCATGTTTCATTTTCACCTCCGTTCACTCGCGATCTACATTCAAATTGCATGAAAAGAGAAGAACCGCGAATCAGGTCGACTGGCCGTTCCCAGATGAAACACACGATAAAGATCCTGACGAATACAGAGTATTGGAGTATCGCTACGAAGACAATGATAACAACATCGATACACAATCCTGTCCACGTGCAGGACTTCATGGTGCATGGTTTTGTTAGACGTCAGAATTCCATATTTTATTTATCAAATTGCCTTACAATATTGGCATCATTGTAGAAACTAAATTTGTTATATAGCTATTTGCAGCACGAAATATAGAAGTTATGGAAGTATTAATTGCGTATACAGTTCAAACTATTACTAAGCAGTAAAATTTTAATTTGAACACCGTAGATTCCAATAAATATTCATCGTAGATATCTTTCTTGCAATCCTAGTTTTGTCCTTTTTCTTCATTCCAAGTATTTTGAAATCATTGTTTTGCATCAGATGACCTTCACTGCGCACACAAACAAATTTAATATTGCACAAATTGTTTGAGACAATTGTATAATAATTGTATAATTACAGATTCTTCCGTCCCAGCCTGACTAAACTGTTATCATTTTGTTTAAAACTTCGTTAATTCCATATTAGCTTTATTTGTTGAGGTTACGGAGGATCCTCCTGTACTTGTTGTGTATACATCGCGTTTTGTATTCTTATTGATTTCATGAAATCTTCCTTCCGATGATGTACCGTGATAACGAGCCTTGCCATGACTTGTGTCTGATTCTTCACCTCCACAGAAAAGTTTGTTGTATTTAACTCTAGTTTCACGCGAGAGAACGCAGTAGAAAATAAATACTAGAAGTCCTTGAATTGAGTTGAAAATGCAAAAGAGGTATTGGAAAACTAGTTTCGCATCTCGTACGGCGAGTACGCCAAACAGCCATGTTAATCCTAACACAACCAAGATGGCGGAACCTCTTCTTGCATGTTGCCATCCTGTTGCCCTTTTATCTGCTGCTACTTTACTGCCAGATGAAAGAAGTGAACGGAAGATGAGAACAAACGTGATAGAGTTGACGATGAGGATAAGAACCACTGGAGCTAGGAAAGCGACCTGAAATGCCAGTCCTTTCAGGCGACAACTGTAGTGAAAATGACACGAGAAAACATGAATCGCTCATCGATACGTAAAAACATTTACAATCAAAACAAACAAATTCCAATCTTACAAGTATTCGTCTCCATATTCTTCAATTTCTACTGCGGCTGTTATTATCACAATAATGGCGGGAATACCTGCAGATAATGAAAACATTCGTTGTGATTTATATTTCATCTTAGTCGCGTAAACAACACATCCGTAGCAAGCATGAAAAATGAAATATAAATGTTATTGACAAAGTTATTGATATTGATAATTTGGAATCGTTCTTACCCCATCCAACAACACAGCATTTCAATATATATTTAGCGTGGTAGCTGGGCATGACTTTCACAAAGGCTAGGTACATATTATAAGCTTGAATTGACGTCCAGAAAAACATCGCTAAGACAAAATAATGTAAAGTGATTGCAGCTACACGACATCCAGTGAGTGATGATGTTTTCGAGCGTTCAGCAGCCGCCAAGAACACAATTAATGTGAGGGATAAAGCAACGCAGAAATTGAGAAGAATCTGTGTCGGAGCCTTGCTTCGAAGGTCTCTAAAATTTCAAATCATAGAAATGAAGATGAAATCAAAATAACTCATTCCGTCTGATTAATGGGTTTAGTAAAAAATAATCCGTTGTCATTGCTAGGATCGGTGGTAAATTTTTACTGGAACTGGTAAAGCTATTCGGTTCAATATATAGTTCATCTCGTTAAGATTTCTCATCGAGATAGCACTGGGTCCGTTTAGTTTAGTTTAGGTTTCCTCCTGTAGTAACACTGGATCAATAAGAGATGATCTTTACTGGACCTCTATAGGAAGAAAAGTTTATTAATATATTGATATACTTACTTAAATATAAGTATAGTGATAATGGTTAGAATAAGACCAACCAATGAAATAGCACAACCGATATAACTGATGATACTCAGAGCCTTGTCATGAGTTTCATCTCTGTCGTCGATGTTCACGTCCTGCAACAAGAAAGCATTTTAACATTCAACTTTTGTTGCTAGGCAGTGCTTCGTCAAGTGTAAATATAACATTGGAGCAATGTATGTTTGGATGGATCATAAAACATGAGAAAGGTAGGATGATCTATACTGTGTTATGTACTCAGTAATTGCTGCGTAATTTTACCATCAAAATTGCAAAGTTGGTAAGATGCGTGCAGTGACACGTGACTACGCCATTCAAAGTTCCCTGATAGCTGCACCCCGCTGTTGACCAGTCTCCTTTACCACTTATACTGGTAAAGTTCCAAAATACGCAAGCAGTCGTTTCATCAATCCCCGACTGCAGAGGCTGATACGTCGTTATAATAGGATCTGATAAGTTTGATAGCTGTTGACCTTTCACTGATCCTGATATTACAAAACTATTCTTTTTTCGTATGGTTTTTGCTTCTGGGTCAGGTAGATTTTTTTTGACAGTAGAAAAGAACGAAGTCTTGCGATATATGACGAAGGAAATACGTTGATCTTGGGTCTTTTTGTCTATATCTAAGTTTTTAAACAACGTTCTTGGCATTGTCAACGAGACTTGCGAAATGTTAGGCAATATAGCATATTCACTGTCGTATATTTCAAAGTTATTTGTCGCCTGTTCTAAGATACTTGCAGCTCCAGCGCCTTCAAACAGTTTCGGGTCATATAGCTGTGTGTGAACGGCAATATTTTCCTCGTTCTGGCTAATTTCTTCACCACTTTGTAGAGGAATGCTTTCTAGGTATTCCTCGAGCACCCTTACGATTCTGTGAAGAAATTGAAAGCAGAATGAAGCTCATTGTGGCTACGCAAAGACAGGCAATTCAAATCAATAAAGGTTGTCTTTGTTAATAATAAACTCTAAGTTGTAAACCTACATCTACATAAGCGCGCCAAACATGCATTTGCACTAACCTTGCTGACGCATTGTTGCCCACTTGACTCTCAAGGAGTACATTTTCAGCTGTATTCAAAATATTATCAATTATCTTGACTATATTTGGGCCAGTCTAAAAAAGATAATTGGTCTGAATGATACAACAGTTTACACAGCAGTTTTTGCTCAAAGTGGATTGGCGCTACAAGTTCTGTGTAGATCCTACAATCGGAATAATTGCTGCCCATGCAGAGCTTTTGACTCCGTGCATCTCACCTTATTCAACTGCTTTGTGGCTTTAACGATATCTTCTAAGATTAACGTTGTGAAAACAACATCATCGTTTGTAAATTCTGGAGCATGAAACAGGGTAATATTAAGAAGCTGTTCGCTGGCATTTTGTCTTGATATGTCGTCCATATTTAGCTTCTATATAAATAAGATGAAATATTTTATAAAACAACCTGACCTTCTCCTAACACTTGGACTAATGTAGTTCGCTGTCTGGATCGTAGTAATTGTAATGGGGGTCTCCAATAAATCAAATTTCCGGCGATTCTCTCTCTTCTTTGAAGAATGTTTCTGTTTAAACATCGGGATTGCGTCTTTCTGGAGTCCATGTTCTCTTCATATTACTTACCTTAAAAATCCCCGACAAAGTCAAAGTGAGTTGAGAATCGCTCACGTTCTTGTATTGACACCTAGTCGTATCAGGATCCAGCCAGAATGGATTCTTACAAACGTTCATCTTGTCACATTTACAAAATCGCTGGGCTTTATTAACACCAAATGTGTTATTACCATTAGAGTCTTGTTTTGGAAGTTCTCCGTGTCGACATTGTCGAACTTGCGATGTGTTTGCATCTTGTATCGTCCCCAAAGAAAAATGTTCCTTGAGCAACATCGTCACCTGTTGTGTCATTTTGACATTGGCCTTGAAAGGAAAAGGAAAAATATGGGGTTTTGAGAATGAGATTGCTGAGTCCGCTCTTAAGATCCAGACTAATTTGGTGTGATATTAATCATCCTAGCACTGCATGCAATACTAGCAAGCTAGCTGGGCAGCCCTTTAACGAGGAATAAATATATTTCTCTTCTTACCAAGTGTGTTGGATTGAATATCAACAAACGGTCCTGGCAAATCAGATGTTTGTCTTAATGATGCTATTTTTATTTCATAATCCGTAGCTGGTGTGAGCTGGTCGAGCGAGAGCTTGGCTGGATTCTCGGTTCCGTGTTGTGTTATGAATTGATAGGCTGTCGAGGAACCATTACGTCGGTATAGCGCGGTCGCGTTGAAAACGCCATTTCGTTGAAAAGAAATGCCGAGTTTGGTAGAAGACCTTGAATTGATTTGAATATTGACTGGAGCAGAAGGACCAAATGGATTTGTGCCGAGATGCTGAACTGAAAAATAGAATTTGCAAACGAGAAATTTTCATCTCGGTAATTTCTGCGCTGGAAAGGATTATTGGGTTATTTTTGTTGCAAAAAAATGCAGAAAATCTATCGTAAAGATATCCATTTTTTTGGATGTCTTCATCTAAACATCTCAAGGGTGTCCCTTTAGAGAGATTTCGTTTTGTTGCGGTCTTTTTAAACTGCATTTAGCGTTCTCGTTTTAGACAAAAATGCCAAAATTTACTTACAATTATCAAATAAGGTTGAATTGCTGAACCATTTTCTGTCTTGGCAGTTCACTTTGAGAGGAGGCCAGTTGAAATTTGCTCCTTTGTCGTTTAAATTTTTTATTGGAATGAAACAGGAAGATTTATTGCTCATAAATTCAAGACAGTTTCTTTGACTTATTGGGGATTGTGGACAGGCAGGCAAATGTAAATGACACAAAAGAAATGTAAGTTGATTGAAACAAAGCCGGCTCCCTGCCAACGAACTTAGCAAGTTTGAATATCTGCTCATCTCGTAAACTGCTTCATCTGTAGAGCGGTGGTTGAAATAGTTGCCATTTTCGACTGTTGTTTTGAAATATTCATCTCCCGAGAGTTGGCCACCTTTTGCCGCAGGTCTTCTTATTGAACTGCAAATTGGTGTTGAAGGAGTTTCCTTGCATCCTGATGAGATTGCTCGACGTCGTCTTTGTGGTGGTAGAAACCTTTCCCCTGCAATTGTACATGAAAGTGAATTTGATACGAGTTTTTCATCTTGTAATTCTTATAAAATAACTCGTTCATTTTATTGAAAGAGCAAGTAATTGTGCTAGGGTAGATAGCTGATTTCACATGAACATTTTCCTGTACGTATTGAGTTGTTTTCTGTTGAGCTTTTTTGGCTTTACCAGGATCCTTGCTCCGTGTATTACAAAAGAACGACACCTTTCTTCCTGTGCGCATACCTTCATCTGCAAGCTCCTTTTTTCCTTGTGTTTCATCTTTGGTTAGATCTACAATGGAGATCGAGAACGTACATATCATTTATTATGAGAAGAGATGAAAACATCCCTCCCTACTGGAGGTATTTTGGTTCAACAAACCTAAAGATACTCTGAAAGTAACCCTATACTAACAATAAATTCTGTATCTATCCCATAATATAATTAGCTATCCTTACTGTAACACGTTGCATCGTTCGAAAATTTGCTACATTCCAATTCGTGTGGCCAGTGGAACCTGGAGCGAGCAATAGCGAATTTACAACTCTTGTACACTCGGTCACAGGCTTCGCGACACGGCTTTTGACTGACAAGCGACTCCGGGTCATAACGAGGTAAAAATATCGAACACAGAAATGTCTCTAGCTCACTGGAACAAAATGTGTCGACCAGTGGGTAAAATGGATAGAATTTTAGTTTTGCACTTTCAATGGTCTTATCACCATACATGTTCGGTAGAGCAGTATTCCTGTAGTAATTATAACAAATATCCATTGACCTTGGAATCTCAATCACGCTGGATTCTAAAAAAGTGAATAAAATAAATTTTTATTCCAAATCATTCCACGAACTCAATTTTTTCCCATCAACGTACCGAATGTTCTACTTGTTATTGTACGAAAAATTCCTGGAAATCCATTTCGGTCCATCGTTGCAACTTTGATTTCGTATTCTATTGCTGCAGATAACTTCGGAATGTTTAAAAGATCTCTGCCACCTTCCAAACTTTTGTAACTTGTCTCTGAATTATTCTGTCTGTACAACAGTCCAACCAAGGAGGAGTCCAACGATCTGAAACTCACAGAAATTTCGTCCGCTGTTTTCCGAGAAATTTCTACGTTTGATGGAGGTGGTCGTGGTAGTATAGGAAAAAAGTTTGCACCTAAAAATATAGAAGAGCTATATGTTGTTCACGACTTTTCGAAATCAAATATTTATAGATAGACTTGGTAGATAGATCTGAAAATTGACACGCCTAGCTACTGTGATTTGAGAACAGACACGTCACGTTTTTCCTTTTCGATAATGCGAGAAAACGTGATGTGGAAAAAGGAACAAATTACTAAAATACTAACTAGGAAGTGTGCCATTCGGAGTAAACCATTTCTCATCATTGCAATTTACATCCACTGGTGGCCATTTCAAATCATAATCCATTTGGTTAAACGCTTTCACCGCTTCAAAGCATACGGAGCCGTTACCAAGTACAGCAGTGCACAGACTTTGTGGTTGTGTTTTCGCTGGGCATGAAGGTACATAGACGTGACAGAGAAATAAAGGGAGATATCGTAGACATTCTGTTGCTGCCCTGTGCCGTCTTCGAGCGAACTCTTGCAATACGCTGAGTAAACGTAAATGTCGACTCAGTTCAAATGTGGCTTGAGCCGTTGAGGAGTGCTTGAAGTAATTTATTTGTCCTCCGACGAATGTTGATTGGAAGGGACTGACTGGTCCGTCGCCACGAATTCTCGAGCATATTTCTACTGTTGTTGGCTTGCATTCTCTGACAGATCTCGCACCGCGTTGATTAAGTGGTGGTGGTGGTAGGCCATCATCTTAATAAAGGAACGAGACAGGTTTATAATTCACAATATTATTCGTCGACTAAGCTTTTTAAAACAAGATTTTAACAAGATGAGACAGGTTAAAGGCTGAAGATAGTTTTTACGTTTGGCCTCCAGTAACTCCCAAAGTTGTTCAATGAATCAAATACTTACCATCTTCGTTAAGAATTGATCTTGATGTCGTCGTAACATCTTAATAAAGAGAGCGATATGATCTTAATTGGCGTGAATACATTGATTATTAAGTCATTTCATATTCTACCCATACTATATACTATACCCTTACTATTTCTCGCACAGTGTTTATCAAGCTGGACATACAGAGACAGAATATCTAGCATGAAAATAACTTAACTTGCTTAAATCTAGAATTTGTTTCTTACCAAAGCAGTTTTCATTTGGAAACTTGTCGCACTTGAATTCGTCAGGCCACAAGAATTTCGTGCGTGCAATTGCATAAGAGCAGTCCTCGAAGATCTTCTTACACGTCGACCTGCAAGGATCCTGTCGGCCAAAATAGTATCGTGGAAATACAGCAGAACAAAGAAACGTTTGCAGACAACTGTTGCAAAGCGTGCGAACCAAGGGGAACAAAGGTATCATTCTTGATCTAGCGTTGGATAAGTTGTCTCCAAATTTGTTCGGTAGAACTATCAGTTCATGGGTAGGGCAGATGGAAGGAAGATTATTGACTGATGCACCAGCAGTATCTGTGACAAAGAATTGAAATTTTATAACATTTTCTCTTTTAATGATTATCTAAATTTAAGGGCTTAAGAAATCACTGAAATAATACATAATGTTAAGACAACATTCTTCACTTTTTTGCAATATTCCTTTGTCATTGGTTTTTCAATTGTATCCATGCACTGACGTGACATCACCCGCAAAGCAGGTCTTCTGTGTGGCCAGCCATGTTTTTTTTGCATATAAAAATAATGTAAATAACTCACACATAATTCTGTCAAAATATCCTGGCATTCCGTTTTTTGGTTCCATATTAGCCACAAGAAATTCATAATCTTTGCTGGTGTCGATATTTAAAGTTGCTGGTAGTGAGGTGTGATTGTTGTGGAGATATGCCATTTCTGTGTCCTTCTGTTTGTAGAGAATCTTCACTGCATTTGAAGGATCTGTTAGTTCAATATTCCGTATTCTTTGTTTTCTTAACTGTACAGTTTGTCCAATTGTTTGATAAACTATGTCTGCTGGTGGAGGCAAAATCTCTTGAAACCTGATATCTTTGTACCCAACTTCAGAAAAAATATACAATTGAGGTAGTTAGCCATATATTTCCGTTGAAACATTGAACGTCGTTTTCTGCCAAAGTAAATTAGGAAAGAAAGAAAACTGTAAGAATATATTAACTCACCTTTTGGCGTAACTACTGATGAGTCGATTGAATCGCAATTTATTCGGACAGGAGGCCAGTTAATATTGTATCGATACTGGAATTGTAACCTTTCCACAGAATCAAGACACACCAGTCGGTAAAGTTGACCTGCTTTCTGTCGATCTGTCTCAACAATACTCTTGCAATCATTTTGACTTATTTCAGAACCACCATTGCACTTAGGAAAATACAATCTACACAGGAAATACGCGAGTCTCTGGACACATTGAGTATGCGTTAGACTATTCCTATGATCAACTGCAATCAATGTTGACAACAAGCTAAGTAGTTTGGCGTGTTTACTGAGCTCGTAAGCTGCTTGTTCCTGTGATGTATGATTGAAATAATTTCTGAACGGTTCAGATACTGTGGTGAAGTATGACGTGGTAGTGTTGGGCTTATTTATAATAGAACATATCGACGGCTCGTCCACACTTTTGCACCCTTTATCGTCTGAAAACAGAGAGTTAGAGTTTACTCTTTTGTAATATATATTTGAGGGTATTCTATCATATATCTATTAAACAATATTTCGTTTTTTCCAAGTTCTCTAAGTGATTTGATATATGTTAAAACTTAGCTCACTCACCGGGTGGACCTGGTAAAGGTTTTGGTTCTAGATAAACGAAATATTCAAAAAAGTCAAATCAAGCGAATGCAAGAAGATAATTCCTGCCCTCGAAAAGAATTACTTACGATAGCACGGCGCTTGTTCTTTCAGATTGCCACATTTCAGTTCATCAGGCCATTTAAACCTCAGCTGACTTATTGCGTGTTTACATTTATCAGTTACACGTTCACATAGTGATTTACATGGAGGTTGAATTGCTTGTTCACTTGGAAGGTAGTTAGGAAGATAGGCTGAACATATTAAAGCTTTGAGATCTGATGAACAAGCTGTATTTAAAAGTGGGCCTATTTTGTGAATAGATCGTATAGCTTGGTCTTGCGTCTGATGTCCAAATATATTTGGTAGCTTCGTGAAGTTATATAGACTCGAGCAATATCCCAGTTTAATTTCTTCAACTCCTTCAACCGTCTGCAACTCGATTTTTTCCAAAACACCCGGCAACAACGCTTCGCTGTTTACAGTAGCAACAAAAATTTCATACTTTGTGCTGGCGTTAAGACCACGCAGTACATGCGAGTTCTTGTTGGTGTGTCGGTGCATGTATTCAACATTTGAACCTGATTTCTTGTACAAAATACAAGTCTCTACTGTTGTTCCAAATTTGTACTCTTCTGGGAAACTATTCCATTTGATTTCCAAAAAGTTGTCTGAAATACCTTTGCTTTCAACGCCTGGAGGTGGAGGTGATAGACCACCAAACGTTCGGACTTTTTCAAAGCGAGCTACAAAAATACGATTGTGATATAATAGGTATTATCATGGTGGTACGCAAGTATGGTGCGCTAAGGTACATCATGATATACAAGTATGGTACGATATGGTACACAAATATGGTACGTTTTGGTACATGATGTTTTTTGGTATACAAGTATGGTACGCTATTCTACATGATGGTACACAAATATGGTACAAGTATGGTCCGACATGGTACATGATGGTATACAAGTATGATACATATGCTATGGTAAATAATGGTATACAAGTATGGTACGCTATGCTACATGATGGTACACAATATGGTACGTTTATTAACATGATGGTATTTGATACTTACGTGCTGCACCAGTGCTGATTGTGTTGAAACGCTCACAGTCAACCTGGACTGGTGGCCAAGTGACGTTATATCCTCGATTCAAAAGTTGTTGAATTGCGGAGTTACAGTTCTTTCCAAGTACGTTTCTACATTGAGAAGAGTTGATGGGATAATCTCTGGGAGTTTTAGACCCGCATTTCGGTAAATAAAGGTTGCAAAGAAGGAACGTGATGTCGTTTAAACACTGAGTTACTTCATTTGTCTTGTTAATGTCAGGTTGTTGTGAGATAAGTAGATGAATCAATTTAGCATGTCTGCTCAGTTCATAGAGAGCTTGTTCTTGCGTCTTGTGTCCAAAATAGTTTGAAAATGGATTGTTAACAAAAACGAAATATTTCCCAACTGGAGGTTCTGTTGTTTTTATCTCGGAGCATATTGGTGTACCACCATTGTAGAGGACAGCTGAACATGTCTGATTGCCTGAAATTGAAAAAGCACAATATCGTTTTATTCGTTTCCGCAAACGCTAAATCCAATGGTCAGAGGCAGAAGAATGGTCCAAACATAGTTATGGGATTCCTTAAGCCATGTCTCACCACCGATAACTGAGAATGTGAAGAAAATATTAAACAGAAGAAAGGTTATAAATATTCATGCACCTGTTGGCCTTGGCGATCTTTTAGGATCTATAAAATACAAGTTATAATATTACAATTATTAGATTTTACGTTTTGTGACGAATTTGTGAAAAGTGAAAGTCAAATTTTGGTAGTTCGAGCACGTTTGATCACGTGATGAACACGAAGCCCACCTTTAGAGACACAGTTTCTTTCGTTCCCAAACTTCTCGCAACTTATTCGTTCTGGCCAATGAAAGTTGAGTTTGTTGATTGCGAACTGGCATTCTGTTCTGATATTCTCACATAATGATCTGCATACTGAACGTAGTACCCCTGGCGTGTCTGATTCTTGATGGTACCAGGGAATGTGTACCAAACAGGTGAAAAATATCAGTTCGTGGTGACAAAATGTCGTGATAAGTGGTTGGAATGTATGCATATGAAGTATCGCTTCGTCTTGACTTGTGTGGTTGAAAATATTAGGTTTAGAGAATGACGTTGTATCATATGCTGATTTGCAAATCGGCACTTTCACTTTAAATAAAAATAAACGAAAATATGTTAGAAATATATTCTCGAAAGACATTGGTTTAGATTTACCCTTTTGCATTGCCCCTGAATGTCTCGATATTTCTAGTGCGCCAGATATTGCGGTGGCATCAGTGATGCCTGATGGCTCAGTTAGACCATTGACGTCAAAGTATATTCAGACAGTTCAAGTTTAAAGTCACGAAATAGCAAATTTGATAAAATGGTTTTGAGCTATCACGGAATCCTGAGGAATAATACATTTTGATATATATTTTGGTGTTTTGAAACAGTCCTATAAACCCTCCCTTGGATATCGCGTGCTTGTATACGTGTCTTTTGAGTGAAGTGGAATATATAATAAGTGCATAAGTTAAAGACTTCTTTGTGTTTCTAAAGACTAAACATCTTTGATCTTCTGGCATTTGGAGGAAGATTCCGTTGTATTCCATGGCGCCATGCAGTTATAGATATGAACACATGACAGGCCAATTACGTATATATCGGCAATAATTTTGGCCTATTTTTTACGTTAGTATAGATGGTCGGCTAATTTCAAATCCAATTACTTTTTGACAAACGTACGTCGAACCAATCGTAACATGCATGCTCTCTGTCATGATCTACTAATTTCAAAATACACATTTAGTTTTACATTAATTTTGACGTTGTCTTGAACTAAAACTTCTTTAATGAAGTTTTGCTCTGAGATATATACACCTGTCGACTGATTACCAGCTCTGGCAAGCTGGTGGTGACGGACTATCCTTGAAAACGTTTGGGGTCAATGATGTTTCTACTTATGAGTAAAACGGTTGGGGATTTCCGTGTAAAAACGGTTGGGGAACAGAACTCTGCAGTCTTGACCTTTAAGTCGTATTTTTATCACGAGTACATCCTGCCACTCGGAACCATAAACAAAATTGATTCTTGACCTGTAGACACACCGCAAAGCGCAAGAAGACAAGATATATTCAGTTTCTTTAAAGCGTTGGTTTATTCATACAACAATACAGTTCATATCATCTACGGCTATAGCTTGAATGAGTTGCCTCTATATTGGCTCCTCGTAAAATATATATTATAATATTACAATGTATCGGTAAGCACTTCAGCATGAAAAAGTAAGCTACTACGTCAGACGTTTGTCATGAGTTGTAAGCATGGTCCTATTTGGTCAATATTTATCATTAGTTGATTAAAACTTACCCTTTTCTGACGGTGGCGGCCTTGTTTGGCCATGTGAGAGCCGCACAAAAAAACCAAATAATATTGCAACAGTTACGATACGTCTAAAACATTTCATCAACTTGTTGTAACCGTAGTCCATGTTGAAAGCGTAACAGAATCATGGACTGCCAGAACTAATATTTATCTCTTGTCTCGTGACTGATAAACTCAAGCGTTCTGTTTTGCTGAATGTTAAACTGAAACCGTCGCTTATTAACGAAATCACACCCGTTTCACCTCACTGCATTCTCAATTATGGCAATATTCAGCGTGGGAAGGTGTGAAAGACTGGTCTTAGAGCGGTCGAGCCCGGCGGCACACTGAAGAAAACAACTGATCGTCACTTGTGGCTTTTGGGAAGCTGTTTCCTCAAGTGTGCGCTTTCAACGTCCGATATTCAACATGTTAAATATTTTTGTGCACGTGTGAGCATTTCCTTGCAGTGTGCGCGCGTCCTGAGCTATCACCTTAACAGTGGTGCGAATGCCACTCGCCTAAAATGAAATTACCAGTGGGTAGAACCAGGTGGTAACTACAGGGTGTCACAAAAAAACCGAAAACTATTGCAATCAATCATTGTTAAAATTTGAATGCCGTGTTCACAAATTTTAGCCCGTGGGGATTTAATGCAACTTATAAAATGCTAAATATGAAAAATTTGTGAATATGATTAAATTTAAATTAGCCTTGATATTGCTTCGAAAGGAAATGGTACAGCTGACCGCGGAACAACGAGTGTTTATTGTGATATTAATATTATCCTAACAGAGTGCTTAGGCATTCAAACTCTAACAATTAGATTGTTATGGAACATCGAGACACCCTGTAGTACGTGTGTAAGGAAAATGCAGAATACGACAAGGCACACTTGAGGCAACAGTTCAGCTAACAGTCACCCTTGCCCCTTGGTAAGGTCGAGTATACCGGAATATGGTATATTCAACCTAGATATGGTCGAGTATACCAGAATATGGTATATTCAACCTAGATATGGTCGAGTATACCAGAATATGGTATATTCAACCTTGATATGGTCGAGTATGCCAGAATATGGTATATTCAACCTAGATATGGTCGAGTATGCCAGAATATGGTATATTCAACATTGGTATGGTCGAGTATAGCAGAATTGGTTATATATGGTATATTTAACCTCGGTATGTTCGAGTATACCAGAATAGATGTGGTATTTTCAACCGTTTTTGTTCCGAAAATACTTGACATGTATTCCGAACAAATATACATTTGATATGTATGTACATACTTTGTATAAAATGTATACAATTGATCTGCATTTGATATGTATGTAATGTTATGTATATTACACCCTGATATTACACCTGTTGTCAGTGTTGTGGTGCAACAAAGTGGAAACACAGAATGATTTCAGTTGGCAAATAATTTTAGCAAATATTTGCTGCTACGAAGTTACGAACTCTTTCATGAAATATTTTGAAATATTTTCTGTTTTAATGGATAGCGAATAGTATTGTGAGGCGTTTTGCTAAAGCTGGAAATAATAGTTTATCTGGAAGGTGCTCAAAATGGCTAGCCAAAAACACGGAAAAATTGTTCGTGGGTTTTCAATGGTTGACCCAGAGTTAGTTTCAAAGCTTCACACAGACATAAAGACAAAAGGCAAAGACGACGAGGAAATGGACAATAGTTATGGTTATAATTTTCGAGAGATTGCACACTTCAATTTCACCTTACCAGATTTTTCACAATTCGATCAGGAGCTCGTTGATTTTATAATGAAGGATTTGATTGAGAATTCTACATTAAAAGCTCTTGAGGAGTCAGGTATGATTCTGTTCTAACCTGTTCTACAACAAATAATCCTTCGGCAGTAAACCTCCCTAAATAAAAGGTTCCCAGTTTTACTGGTGGTCATTCATAGGATCATGAACATTGCACACTCTGATGTAAAATTTGATCACTTTTTTTAAATGCTTACATGATTTAACATAAGGTTAGATAATTGAATCAACTAACTTAAATATCTTTTCCAGGTCATCTTAATTGGTGGGTGAAGGGATCCAGCTTGCAACGTTTGTATCCATTGCTGACGTTAGGTGATGGTAACTGTTTACTACACGCTGCATCACTTGGAATTTGGGGCATTCACGATCGATTGTTAAACCTACGTCAGGCAGTCTACCATACACTATCTTCCAACTTAGCGGAGACGACATTGAAGCGACGTTGGCTTTTCTACACATGGGTGAAAAACCTGCAAGAGGGACTGGTGTTTAGTGCAGAAGAGTGGGAGAATGAGTGGAAATCTGTACTTAATATGGCTGATGTTAAACCTAGATCACCACAACAACTATCTACTGTCCCTGAGGGAAATACCATTGAGAATGAGGAAAGTATGACTAAGGAGGATAGTACAGAAAATATCGGTAACAGCTGGCAACCGTCTTATGAAAGTCTGGAGGAAATCCATATTTGTTCCCTAGCACATGCTCTTCGTCGACCAGTCATTGTTGTCTCTGATAACTGGGTTTATGACTTTCATGGCAATGCTATGTCACCGATTCCATTCGCTGGTGTTTATCTTCCAGTTGAGTATGAACCTGCAGAATGTTGCCGTATCCCTCTAGTGCTTGCGTATTCATCATCTCACTTTTCACCTGTTGTGTCAACTGAGCTGTTGCCTCAGATTACAGAAGATAACGCCACTAGTTTGATCACCTCTGATGATGACAAACCTGAGACTTCTTCAGGTAAAAAACGCTACTTTAAACCACTTAGAAATGTACAACTCCTTCAAAATTTCTTCCATACTGTATTTCTTTAGGTTCCGATCCTGATTGTCCCACAACTCATTCAGCATCAAAAACCTCAGATGTTGCAACAACAACACCTTCAACAATTATCCAAGCAATGTCATCATTTATTAAAGTGACAAAATCCACATTATTTGAAGCAGCCAAGTCATTAAGTCCATCAAGTATGCTTACAACTATTCCTACATCACCTACAAACAAAACAATATTTGCGGCAATTCCTCTTGTTGACAAAGATTTGAAAACTTTACCGTTACCATTTGCTGCAATCCCAGATACAAATTGGGATTGGTTGAATCAAGAAAATTGTGAGGACATTGTAAAGGAAAAAACTTTATCAGAAGATAAGCGAATGTCTTTGCTTAAAAAGTATCTTGATGTTGCTGAAATTGATATTACTGACAATGGGGGTCAGCGTCAGGAAGTATCTGGTGAAGCTGATGGTGAAACAGGAAAGAATCAAGCAGATGTAAAAGAACAATCTGATCAAGTTGAATTAAACCAAACCTATAAAATTCCAGTTGCTGTTCTGCCTTGTGATAACCAACCAAGTTTTTATAAAGAAGTGATTAAAGGGTATTTAGAAAAAGCCAAACAGAGATTTGATTTTGATAAAGAAACAAAAGTAATCAAACCAGAACCGACTGAAAGCTTGAAATGTGCAAATGATGGATGTGATTTATATGGCACTGTTGCAAATAATTATCTTTGTACAAAGTGCTTTCAACTTCAAACGAAATCAATTCATTCAATTGTAAAGTATCAAGAACATCATCAGCCTCCTCCATACAATCCACCCTCGTATTCAGATGCAGTCGGTAATGATCAAGTATTTTATTCTCCAAGTTTTACAGGCCAATCGTCAGACAGTTCATCAACAAAAGAGATGACAACTTTGAAAGAAATGTCCACGCAATGTCGAGCTGACGGCTGTACATTCTATGGCACTTCCGATAAAAATGGATTTTGTTCAAAGTGTTATGAAAAAAACAAAAAGTAACAGTGAGGAGATAGTTAAATGCAGAAGTTTTTAAACAGAACAAATAGTGCTTTATTGCAAATTCAAGTAGAAAGATAGACATAACTGTAGACTCTGACAGTGAAACTGTGGACACTTATGATGTGCTTATTTCATTTTGTGTCAATGATAAATACAACAAACAAAATTGAAAACATTTAATATTGCTTTTAAGTAAACTTGTTTAATTTTTTCCTAAGTAATCCTTGGTGTACCCTGTGTCTCATTAAGTATTTTCCCTCCAGGTGGAACACTGGAATGTCATATTTGTATCTATCAAACCATGCTTTGTTTTCAGCCAGTGTGATGTCCACCTTCTTCAATACAAACTAAAACAAACAGTTTTTAAAGAGTATTAATTATTCATACAATAAATATACATCAAATATTAGCAAATAAAATGCCTGAAAATTACCAAATGCCTAAAGGGTTCCAATTTTTCAATGGCTTCATCACATAGAGAGCAATCTTCCTGAAACGTAAATGAAAATGTGTTAAATAATTTAGTTGGAAGTTCAGTTATATATATATGAGAGCCCAGCACCTAGATATGTCCTCAGTTGTGAGATCATCAGCCACATGAAGTTCCAGTGCTTCATACGTATCTTCAGTTCATATATAGAGGTCAGACTGGCAGTTCATATACAGGGGTCAGATGCAGATGGCTAAGGCCTGTACCTTTGTAAACATTTCTAGAACTGGTAATCCATCTTCCTTGCAGTTACCAAACGTTCTAATTACTAGAAATCCAGCACTCTTACTGTCACCAAGCGTTCTAATTAATGGCTGAAGCGATCTAATTATAAAATTCTTTGAAAGTAGAGCCATGATTGATAGAAAGTCCCATTTAATTATGATTAAGAGCCTGCAAGTCTATAGTTGCCGGCTTACTTGGTGTAATTTTCATGAAGTGAAGCCCGATGAATCACCCTAAGCGCATGCGTACGACTGCGTGATATCATAAACGTCCAATTAGTGTCCGAATTTAATTAACATTAATTATTAATTGGGTCATTTTACAAAGTCGAAGAAACGTGTGCGCAAGTAAATGAATATGTGAGGTTAAGATTTTACAAAAAGCGCAGAAACCTGTTGCGGCAAAATGGCCAATAATACAACGCATATTCATGAAAATCATGAAGACCACGTTCCTCCGTACGCTGTGTTATTCATCTTCACTGCGTGTTGCATTGGAGGTAAGAACGCCACTCAGTTCACTGCAGATCTCACTTTCATAAATCAATATTTCTGATGAAATAGTTTAAATAGTGCGACCACTGTATATACTTCACTTCTGGAAACAAATCACGATAGCCTCTTGCTGTTCTCACCAACTCATGCTCATCTTTTCATCTTCCATTTATTCCAAGGTCTCATGCCTGCGTGTGTTCTAACACGGTACATTCATATTGCAGCGAAGCTGACTCATGAAAGCTTCTTTTGAAACGACACTTATGAAAGGTTCATTTTACGTTTTTAGCGTTATGTCGGCAGATTATGAAAGGATGGCCGATTCCGTACACAGTTGTACTAATTTTCCTTGGCTTGGTCTTTGGTATCTTTTCCGCGAGCTTTGAAGATGTTCAAGTGTAAGTAGATATATTTAGTTTGCAATTATCCGCGATACACCATTTGTAAACTCTTTAAAATACTTTCCGCAAAAAAAGCTGTTCTAGCCGGCTGTGAATGATTGATCTGCTTTCCTCAACTGAAAGCCTGATGTCTAATGAACTAAATTTGCCTTTTGCTATTTCTGTAGGTACACGACCATGGCGAGTCAAAATCCACATCTTATTCTCACGACTTTCCTTCCAGTGTTGTTGTTTGAATCAGCCTTCGCTATGGATGTTCATACCTTCTATAAGATGTTTTGGCAGGTAGAGTTACGTTTTAAATAAGTTTGCATAGTGTAGGTTTTCATATTATAAGATATGTTCTAGTCGCAGTGAAAGGAAACAATGTTCCACATTCAAAAAGTCTATCAATTTATTCATAGATTGTGTATCTTGCCGTTGTTTGTATGGCTATAGCTTCAGCTCTTGCTGGTGTTATGGCAAAACTTGTTTTCACATATGATTGGAGTTGGTTTGTGGCTCTCATGTTTGGATCGATCATCAGCGCTACAGATCCTGTCGCTGTTGTTGCATTACTCAACGAACTTGGTAAATTCTGGTTTTTCATCTCAAACCCTTCATGGTCCAAAATGGAAAGCATTGTGCGGGAACTATTATTACAATGTTATTTTTTCTTTGCAGGTGCTTCGAAGCAACTTTCAACGATCATTGAAGGAGAATCCTTATTAAATGATGGCATGGCAATTGTGCTTTATAAGATATTCTACAACTTATCTTTCTCGTCCATGACAGGTTACCCTATATTTTCTACCATAAACAACTAAACAAGACTAGGTTGCTTTGTGCATCAGTGAAGTAACTACGGATGGAAACTAGCCATAATTATTGAAGTACGTGCGTCTTCTTTCTACTTCTAGCGACTGAGATTGGTCTGTACTTTCCCCGTGTGGCTCTTGGCGGATTCTTTTTTGGTCTTGTCATTGGCAAGATTGTTGTGTTTTGGTTACAACGTGTATTTAATGACGCCATGGTTGAGATTACAATAACTCTTGCATCAACATACCTGACGTATTACATCGGGGAAGAAGTGCTTGGTGTATCTGGAGTGCTGGCAGTTGTAATGCTGGGCATTGAAATCAACTCCCAGAAAACAAGTATCAGCCCTGAAGTGGAAGTTTTCCTTCACAAGTACGTTGTAAATTGTAATTATTTAATTTTACTTCATTTTCTCCATTTGGCAGGAAAAACTCGAGGTACAAGTGTGTTGTTTTCATGTTGAGTTAACTGAAAGGATATCTCAAGTGCTTTTTTGTTTTATTTTTTAGGTTTTGGGAAATGCTGGCATACCTAGCCAACACTTTGATTTTTATAATGGTCGGTGTTGTTATCACTGAGAAAGCTTTGAGTGAAATCGATCTGAGAGATGGCTTTCTTATCATCGTTGATTACCTTGGCATCTGTGTGATAAGGTGCATTAATTGTACTTAAATAGTCCTTTTACACTATAACGTTTCTCCTTTTTGATTATTATATAGACAGGGCTAGCTTAATTGCATCCGTTTGCATGCATTTTATCATTTTAGAGCAACAGTCTTGATGATGGCCGGACCAGTTTTAGCTCGTATTGGGTATGGATTGACCTGGCAAAATGCTGTTATTTTATGTTGGGGAGGATTACGCGGTGCAGTTGGCTTAGCTTTGGCCTTGCAAGTCGCCCTGGATTACAACACAGTTGGTAGTAAGGTGAGTAACAATTTCAACAACAGGCCTGGCCCTACTCAGGATTTCATGCACTTTGACTTTGGGTGCTGCGTTGTTAAGGATTGGAAAGAAGAAAGATTCAATCTGTTCTAGGTTCTGATTCACACCGCTGGTATTGTGATTTTCACGCTATTCCTAAACGCGACGACCATCAAGAGACTACTTGAGATCCTTGGTATGAGTGAGATATCCGACTCTAAGAAGATAGCAATGGCGAACGCCGTTAAACGTTTGCAAGACACGACCACAAGAACTTTCAAAATGCTCAGAACTGATCGCTTCCTGGCTGATGCTCACTGGTCGTTAGCTGAGAATGTTTGTCAAATACACAATCCTTATATAGCGGATGAAGACGTTCACGAGGTAAAATAGTTTCAAAACTAGCAGTTGGAACATCAACTGTTTTTGCCATTTATCCATGCACTTGGTCTTCTGTGGTCTTCCAAGTCAAATGCGATTCTCTTATTTCCTTATAAATAGATCGTTGAAGGCGAACAACAGTTGGTCGTAATACGTCACAGCACATGCCCATCATGCTCTTCGAATGTTCCAAATCAACCCTCGCCCAAAGAGTTTGCTGAAATGACGGAGGAGGGACGACTGCGCATGATTAAAGCTCAGAAGGTCAGTTATTGGAAACAATTTGAGCATGGCATGCTGTCTCGTGACGCTGTTCAAGCTCTCATGGCAACCGCTGACACGGCTATGGATACACAAGACAGGTGAGACTCTTTGACGTGTTGTCCTGGGGCGAGGAATGCCACCATGTTGACCACGTCAAATATCAAGATTGATGAGTCTTACGACTTGTTTCTATGATTTTTAGATGTATTGAACTGAATGACTTAAACGTTCACTGGGAAGTCCCGCCTTTCTTACAAAAAATGGTAATTCAGTTTAATCAGTCTTTTTGCCATTAATGATTTTAACTTGTTTTTGAAAACTCTTGTTTCACTGTTAAACTCAGCTACAATACTACTGTGAGTGAAATTCAAGCTATTTGCTTCTTTATTCTCTACAGAAAGATAAAATTGAGAGCTTGAAGAAGATTGATCCAGCTGAAAACATTCCACCGCCGGACTCTCCGATACGTCGTCGTCTATATTATATTGCTACAAACTTCTGGTTCGATACGACCGTCAATGTTCTCATCATCATAAACATGATTCCTATAGCGTTGGAACTGAGTGTTGATGAAGACGTGTCTTATTACATTGTCTTGCGAGTTCTCAACTATATATTTTGTACTATCTACGTCTCTGAAGCGGTTATCAAGGTAGTTCTTGCTTGCAAATTTTCCGCAGTATCTACAACCTTATTTTTGTCTCCCAATTTTATCATTGAAGAATGAAGATTACCAATGTGATTAATACCTTTGTCGAGTAACTAAACTAATCGTTTCTTTTGCGTTAGTGTGTGGCTTTTGGTCGACGTTACTTCACTGATTATTGGAATTTATTGGATTTCCTTATTGTCATATTCTCCCTCGTTGACATAGTCATTGATATGGCTACGAATGGCGCTACGGGAAGCTTTTCACCAGCAATTCTCAGAGTCGCAAGAGTCTTTAGAATCCTCAGAATGGGACGTCTGCTGAGGTTACTTAAGGTTGGAAAATATGTTTTTTAAAGTATTGTTACTTCGGATAGCCTGCCGGGATACGTCCCGGCCGATTGGGATAAATGTAATGCGATTATTGTGTGATCCTGGGTGGAAATTTAACACCTTTTTTCATGCTAGACCATGATGCCGAAGATTATCAGCATGATAAACGACATCATCCATCGGCAGTTAAGTTTTGGTTACGACGTTGGCAAAGGATTTATCGTTGGAGAAGAAGAAGTGTCAAAGAATATCCATCAAATGGTCGCTGATAAAAGAGTTGCACGTGACTTGAAAGCAAGATCGGAGAAGAGTCGGCTTGACGTCGTCAAAAGCCTGGGTAAGCTCGCTTGAAAAATGTTAGGCAGTTAAGACATAAACTATAGGGTAGCCTATATAGAAATCAATACCATTTATGTAATTACTTATGGAATATTTTTTGTCCTAAGGTCTTCTGCAAAGAGAATATCCCGGTATTGCAATCTCAGTGAAGACTCGTCAGTCAATTCGTTCCGTGTTAAACACAGCCATGGAAACCGTTCATAATCTTCGTGGAGGGGGTCTACTGGATGAGACTGAGGCTAAGAAATTAGAGAAGGTTGGTCGACAAATCACCTAACGTCCCCTCCCTCCCTAAGTCTCATTTATATCAGTGGTCACTAGATATAGCTAAGTTGTAGTTAAAAGTTGACATAAGATTGCATCCATTTCATTTTTAGTGTATTTAAGAAATGTTATATTGTTATTTTAGCTTGTGGAGGTGAAAATGAAACGACAGCTTAGTGCGCCATCTTATATTCCTCCTCCTTCGCCTGAGGTGCTGTTGCGAAGCACAGTCTGGTTGGAAGGAATGGGCGAAGACGTCATTGACTGTATCACGAATATTGCAGAGGAAAAGGTGTTTGACAGCGGCGAAACTATTGTACGTCAAGGCGACAAAACCGATGGAATGTACCTTATTATATCTGGTCTGGTAAAGGTGTGTATATCTCGTTACTCCATCTAAATAACTCCGGAATTGACGCAATTCTCGTATTCATTTTCGGAATAACATTCACGACTGTTCAAATGCTAAATTTGGAGTCATCCTACGTAGTCCGGATAACGAAATCTTTGCTGATCCGATCTTTTTATATTTCTTGTGTAACCCCTTTTATTATGGTACCGTATATGTGCATTTTGAAAACACAACTAGTCTTATCAGCCGAACGTGTGATAGCATCTTAAGAGTCACGAACAACTATAGCAACTTCGGTTAAAACCGAATTCGATATACGATAAATCAGGTCCATTTTGCATTGTTTAGATATAAAAGCACAAGTTATTTATTTATATAACGTTGCCACGGTCATAGATGTAGAGAACACTAGAATAATCACTGAATCTGGACATTTTGAAGTGGCTCTTGTCCGATTGTGAATACTTGAAAATCTGCAGGCAGCATTTTCACATACATGTACATATATAGTCTGGTTTGTGCCTACTTGAAGAACTGCGATACAGAACGACCTCTTGAGAGTCAAGTGGTGCCAATTACCAATTACCCTCCTCAAAACCTCCGTGCATGTATTAAATGCAATAACAAAACTTGTATTCCTCTAAGGAGACAATCACTTGTAAGTCAAGTAGTTAAAGATTCAAACTAGCATCGCAGGAAACCCCTTTTTGAACCTCTTAAGATACATGCAAAACTCAAGAGCTTGTTAATGGTCGTAAAAGTTTTATAACAACGGTTTTCAGGGAAGAGTGCCGGTTGACCCAACCTTGAAGATACAATGATATGTTCAATGTTGTTTCTGGGCATTCGTATTCATGTTTTGGATCGCATATTTCTGAAAATGCACACATTCAAGGCTTCAAGCCACGAGCAAAAAGGACTTTTATAATAAATACGTGATCTATGATCTTCGTGTTGGTCAAAATCTTTGTCGAATACGACCTAACGATTGCAAGGAACCTCTTTCGTCACTTTAGCCCACAACACAATCATATTTTATAATATCACATGCACTATAGACCAGGGCGGTTTGTATCAAGCCCGTTTATCTTAAACGGTGGATAAGTCAAAATTAAATAACATGCACTCTTACATCTCTCTTGAATGAGTCAACTTGAATATTATGCACTGAACATGCAGTTGTAAACAGTATCTTCGTATTAAGGTTAAAAACATTTAGTTTGCTTCTTGAATAAAACGATAGACTTGCTTTCTATTTTGAACTTAACCACCGTTTAAGCTAAACGGGCTTGATACAATTATCAGCTATCATGGCTGTATATTTTCTAGGGCTTCGTTATCTGTATCGGCTGTAAAACGACATTCGAAATTGATTTGTTTAGTCACGTTCCTGTTCGAACATTTTTAGATGATCGGTGTTTCAGTCCCGCATAAGGATGCCGCCGACGATACTAGAATGTCTTTAGGAGAGATGAACGTGCAGACAGACTACCTCTGCGCTGGAAATATTGTTGGAGAAATGGGTTTATTGACAGAGTCTGCTAGGAATGCCTCTGTTATTTGCGAGACTACTGTTCAGGTGACTAAATGTAGTTTAGTATGTTTTTTTCTGATTCATGATAGAGCCATGCACAAGCATGTATTAATGTCATACTTGAATTTTAGGTGTATTTGCTTACTCTTGAAAAGATGCAGAAAGCGCTCCAGCTGTACCCAGCGCTAACTGAGAGCATTTGGCGCGTTTGTAGCATTCGTATCGCAGTTCCCCTGCTTATGGCCCATCCAACGTACAACGAATGGAACAAGGAAAAGATCAGATTGTTCTGTGAAAAATCAACTATGGTCTCTCTACCCTGTGTTGGTCAGAGTCAGAGAACATTTATACCATCCCCTGATACTGTGGAGCTGGTTCTTATTCATGGAAAAGTCACGTGTATTTCGAATAGGGAAACATATGAAGGCCCTTGCATCCTTCCCAATGGTGATGAGAGATTACTAGTTCACCAGACCGACGGCACTCCGCCAAGGATCTTGGAAATTCAGGGGCATGACTCAGAATCAAACCCAGCGACTACTCGACTACAAAATATTATCGAGGAGGATTTTGCTGGTAAGTAGCTGTTCTTTCAGCCTCTGAGTTGGAGAATCATTCGTTGAAAAACGACGTGTATTTTTTATTGTATTTTTTAAAGACTTTTCACCAGCACATCGTCGGAAAGAATCCTCATTAGTTTTTTAATTTCAGACAATGGAAAAAAGACGACAAACAGTGTGGAGAAATGTTCAGTCAGTGCAACTGAAGTGAAATTCCGTGGGAGTACCCCTCCACCTGTCAGCCGTCCCTTGGAACCCCTTCCCAACCGGTACAAAGGAATGCCTTTATCTGTTTCCATGGCACCAGAAAATGATTCTTCAGAACTCACAGACGTGTATGAGAAGTAAAGGTTTGTGTATGGCGCTCCTCACTTCTGGATTATTTCATCAGTAATTTCATACTGTTACTATATGCATATATATTATGTCAGGAAATATTTGGTATTTTTTTAAGTGTTTTTGTACACACTTCGTGACATTTCAAATGACATTTGCTTCACGAGTAATAAAATTGTTGTTCAAGCACGTTTCATAGCAGGTATTGATTACCTTCGATGTTTTACAACCTTTCCTGAAACCAACTCTTGAATTTTACAAAAATATGATTTTGTACTTCAGTCAAAAGCCAAACATAGTCACCGACGAAAATAGTCACCGACGAATATAGTCACGGTAGTATCTCGTTTTCGGTAACTCCAGAATGTTTATCCGAAGGTTTTGATAAAATCTGCTAAATGGAAAGTCTATTTCTGGCCGAGAAAACTTTTAAGGAAGAGCGAACCTTTTCAGTAAAATTACCGCAGGGCAACAACTTTGATAACGAAGATAAGTGCTCCATGTTGCTGGAAGCAACGGTAAGTGTTTTCCGGATAATATAGCTATATAGTAACATGTATATATATATATAACAACACCATTTCAGACCAGTCTTGATGTGAGAAAGTACTGCTAAAAAAACAACGGTTCGAAGCAATGACGTCATACGTATGTTTCTGTTTCATACATTGAGATGTGTTGTCTCTGTCGCCGACAAACCTGAACAGTTGACTTTATTAATTTATCTATTTCACTCCACAACTGATTTAAACATCGGAAAACGTGCTGTACAACAAGAAAGATCCCAATATCAAATCATTTCGCTAAATAATTTGACTGAAGCAGTAAACTGACGTGCGTGTTCTAATCAATTCTCTTGAAGAGATCAGTAAGGCTGCTTAGATCATAGTGGGGTCATATTCATCTTGACTGAGATCAACTGAGATCTAGAATTTTATTGCACTTTTAAGTGTAGAGTATTCAAAAGATCTCAGCAATGTCATTTTTACCAATATGCACTTCGATCAAACATATTTTGATAAGTGTCCAACCTTTTAAGACCTAATTAAACGTTAGCAGATGGCTTGAAAATATACTGAGAAATACGGAAGAAAAGTTCGAGGAATTTGTGATTTAATTGTCCAGCGAATGCGTACATGAAAAATCTTTTAAATATATATCATAGAATATACACACTCTATTAACATTCAGTTGCATGGTGGTCCCTACTTTATATGTGTAGGTCAAGTGCAAGTTATTATTTATAAATATACGTCAAAATGTTATTATACCATAAGGATCATTTCGCGTCCGTCAACTACAATGCTCTTGAAAACGACAATTCTCGCTAACAAGAACCTTCAGTAATATAGTTCGTGGTCATCATGCACATTGTTCGCATTTCTTGCTTTCAAAACCGTGGCGTAAACATATGGCATTCAGGAAAGCATCTGTAAAATCGATATGCTTTTAAATCTCTAAGACTTTCACCTCAGATGCACGCCGCACAATAGAAAATTTAACGAGCTGTAGACAGGATAAAACATTGTAATTATCATCGTATATCGTTCGGAGTATACTGTTTTTCTACATTGTTCATTCACTTGGCATTTCTCGATCGCGTTAAAGAAAAACTTTTTTCTCTCTCTCCCGAAGATTCTCCGAGTCTCCTTCGAAGATTTGTCTCGATACTACTCGTTTCCAATCTTCTTTTCCATTTGTAATGCTTTTGTGATATTTCTCCCTTTGGTTAGTTTTAAAATGTCATCAATCATCGTGAATTGTTTTCAACAGTTCTTCCGTCATGATTTGATACTTCCGAAGTCTTCCTCGTGTCGAGTTTAGTTTTTTCTTACAGTTTCTTTCCACTCAAATACGGTTGCAAAGGATTCATTCTCAAAGAAATGTGTGTTGCAAGTTTGTAATTATAGTTCAGATTGTTTGTGGGAATGTTATTTGGGTTTTTCGCCGTTAGGTAATTTGTCGTTCATCGTTAGTTCAAATAGAAACGATAGGAACGTGTTTACAATCTTCGACCACGGATAACTTTTCTTTTCCTGGCAAACTTCTTTAATTGTCGGAATTTTGTTGATGTGATGAGTTTTTTCATCGTCCTCAGACATTGTGTATTACTGCCACAGATGCTGTGAGAACCAACAATACTGTGTCTGTGCGTTCTCTTCACGGATCGACACCCCCATCCCCCACATCCACCTGGGAATGGCGCGAAACTCTCAGCAGTGTTGAAACACAACACAACACACGCCAATATCATTGTTAATATGAGGAGAAGTTTAGCCATAGGAGATTTTTCTTCTTTTCACTTAACGAATCGAGATACGTCCTTCGCTTGCCTTGTAAATCTTTCTATAAAACAAACCGAACAGACCTATTATCAGTTTAAAACTCTACATTCTGAAAACAGAAGAAAATTTTGAGATATCTTACTCAGACCTTCATTACGTTGTTTATTTTACATACAGTCTTTTCATCAAATTAAGGAACGTTTCACAACTCAGGGTACTAATTGAATAACATAGCCGACCAATAAACGGTCAGTTTACCTAGCAACCCTACTGTTAGCGCGGTCAACTTGAAACATAAGCTTATATCATTACTTTGAAGCAATAAAAATATTTGAAAATATTCCATCTTTCCAGCCATTACTTTCTTTAACTACTATTGAAAAACCTCAGCTTAAAAACTCACAAAAAAATTCTTGAATCATTTTGACATGCTTTGAAACGTATCTCCGAAATATTTGTTGTACAAACCACAAGTTATTACGTTTGCAAACTAAATCGTATTAAAACTTGCGTTTGGGATTTGCTCTGTTTAGAGTGTTATTGGATTCAACCGCAAAAATCAGTGAAAACGTCTTTGAGGGCAGATCGGCTAGATGTAAATTTCCTGCGTAGGATGTGTCATTGTTGAAGCAAAGTAATTTATATAACATTATATATTAATTCATAAAGTTTAAATTTGATTTTTTTACGTCAATAAACCACCTAAAAATTATGGCTAAACAGTATCTTGGTCAGTGCAAAGCCTTTCTTTATCAGCCTTGACCAACAAAGACTCTCTTTTCATTTTTTCCCAAGTGGAAAAGTGTTTAAAAAGCTTCATTCTGATTGGTCAAAATCATCCACTACAACAGTTGCAAGTGTTTAAAAAAGAAGCTTAACACAAGTATTACTTTGATAGGAGTTTATCTACTTAGTTTTATTGCAGCATTTCAGTATGGCTACTACCACACGCAAAGCTAAATGACTAAATCTGCTGTTCATGATGTAGCATGGAAACTTTTCTCAATACCGTATGACGCACTGTCTGGATTTTCCCGTGTACTAATTCCACAACTTCGGATGTGGGCCGATATTCAAAAACTTCTCGAATGTTCCTTTAATTTTTTTACTACATAGCTACTGCATAGCAATATTCCTCCATGTGATATAGTTAAATGGGTTATATCCAATAAGCTCATCGCGTTTAACTGGATTTTTAATATTGTATCAAAACGTATTAAAAAAATTAACAATTTTCACAACTTGAATTTTAGTAAGTGAAGAACGCCGGGCAACAATCTGGTATGGCTAGCTAGCTTTATATTCCTGACTTTCTTCTGTCCGAGGCACCAAGGTGCGTTTACTGTCCCATTTAGGACGAAAATGGTATAAAATATTCTCTAATTACTCTCCTGCTATGTTAATGAACACCTTCTAACATTTCATGAAGGAAACACACTTAGGAATACTGTAATATACACTTACAATTAACGTTGATTCCTTATTGAAAGATGCGTCTACTTTATTGAAAGATGCGTCTCCTTTATTGAAAGATGCGTCTGAAGAGTTCTTGTTAACACGTTGTGAATAATCTGAGACTGATCAGGTCTTGCTGTGCGTTAAATAGACGCAAGTGGGCAGCCACGTGCTCGGTCAGGAACAGAGGAATTATAAATATGGTCTATAAACTACCACATCAATATCATGTCGGAAATCTTGTGATTTGTTTTTGTGATATAATCAGGAGTACAGAGAAACACTAAACCGCATTATCTAGGTACTTAACGACCATCAATCATTTATAAATCGCCTTTTCTGGTCAATATTTAAGCTAAATGCTCCTTCTTTACAACTGTTTTATGTCTTTAGATCACGTGGTCTCGACCTTTTGCGCATAATTTGCATATTTTTCAGTGTCCACGCGCAACGGCTGTCGATTGTTAAATTTATCACTACCGTCATACATATGAACAAGCAACGTCTCTTACACGCATGTCACAATAATCCATCAACTTAAATTTTAATTAAATATTTCTACTTCAATTTAGGAGCCATTTTCTCTAATCTTTCTTAACCATTATGATTTGCAAACACCACGCCTAAATTATGTTTATTTCACGTTCTAGAAGATATTCAAATATACTTCAAAAATTTACACGGCGTGATCAATAGAGACTGTAAAAAAAACTTACATCCTTTGAATTTTTTTTTCCAAATTGTTTGTTGCAGATGGGAAAATATTTGTTGTTTATAATGAATAATGAGTGCTTTTCTCGAGACCGTTAAAATATGATTTATTGCATCAGTCACTGTGATGTTTTCGACAGGTATTGATTGCAGAATGGGAAACAGGCGGTTCAACATTCACGGAGGGTCATGATTGAGATGCTCCATTGAGCTTTCGATGAAGAACGATCAACAAATCCTGGCAACCAAACGTTTGTTGCAAGGGGTAATTCAGTTTTTATCTTTCTGTCGACCTCCTCTGGTAGAGGGTGTGTCAATTTTGTCGCTTAGTTTAGGAGCATCCTCTTTAAAAGATGTCCTTTCTTCTTCAATCTTTCCAGATATTATAAATCTCTCCGCACACACATTAATCCTGAACTTCATATTGCCTTATTCGTATTGTAGTTCTTCACAATAAATTCAACATTGGTGGTCGATAATCGTTTTAAGACCAACGACCTATTTATCTTAAATAACTGAAAGATATCAATATTTTTGTTTGTGTTGATGCGCTAAACTACATATGGACGTAATTTTCTGTTACTTATCATGTTTAAAAGATAAATTTCATTGATTTTTGAATGAATCTAACGTTTTTAATATAACAAGATGTAGACAAGTACTTGTATATAGTATTTGTATAGTGGCTAAACACATATTACAAATATA